ACCAGGGACCGAGACATGAAGAAGAAAAGGGAATATGGGAACAAAGCAGACTAGACTGACCTTGGCCTTGCGCCGGCGGCATCGATCGCACGCTCTGCTCACCAGACGGCCTCGTGGATGGTGGTGGAACGAGGTTGCAGCCGCTCCAAGTGACTGCTGAGGCGGCGGTGTTGAGGCCGTTGGCGAGCCGGGCTGGGACGTCGAGGCCGATTCGGGCGAGGTGGTGAGGGCGACTGCTGAGCCTGCAGAGCCTGTGCCTGTAGAGCCTGTGGCAGAGGCCACCGCAGCGTTAGTAGTGCCATACCATAGGGGAGGGGGGCTGCCACCACAGGGGGGTTATTGCCCATGCTGTGCTGTGCTGTGCTGCGCTGTGCCGCGCTGTGCCCGTACTGACCTGGACCTCCTGCTGCTGCTGCCGCTGCCGCTGCCGCTGTCGCCACTGATGCTCCCCCTAGCGGTGCGCTGGCCATGGCTCTGCCGATCGCTATCAGTTGCGTCTCGAGGCCTCTCCCTCAGCCTCCGCTTCCCACGCTCTGCTCACGGTTGGTCGGGGATCGGAGAAACGCAGGGCGCGCAGACAATGTCGCGTCTTCCGGTCGGAAACGCCTGGCTGGAGACTCGAGGCGAGACGGGGATTTATCAACGGTCAAATACAGGGAGGAAAAGTGGGCAGAGGCTTGGATTTTTCTCGTCTTTTTTGGCCCCTCCACTTTTAAGCCATTTCTCCGCATGGGGTCGGCCGATTATCTAAGGCAGCTAGCACCGAACCAGAACAAGACTCTCTTCAGGAGGGCTTCTCACGTTCCAATTTTATCGTCCTTCAGGGCATTATTATCAACAGACTCGACCCCTTCCGACGCCATCCCAGTTTGGGCGCCCGTGCGAGCCGCTAGCCGCTGCGAAAAGCCTGGGGAAGACATGGGGGGGTTCTGGAGGATGCAAAGGGGATGCAAATGCAATGCAATGCTACGACAGATGCGGCGCCGCTTGATCGCAGACTCGACTCAGCGCTCAGGCGAGTCGGGTTCGAGATTCAACCGTCATCAGAAGGCGCCCCCTTTTGATTTTGCCTTCCATCCGTCCATCCACCCGCCATGTTTTGATGGCCGGTCAGAATAGCTTCCTAATGGGCAATCTCGAGTCGACGCAAATGCGGGGTTTGCATAGCAACCTTGCAACCTTGTCGCGTAGCCTTGTACCCTGCGGTAGGGCCGCAACGTCGTTTGGCCGCGTGCGCTACCTGCCGGTACCTGCCGGCTATCAACATCGGATGAACGCAGACGAGAATGCGACGCTGGATGGGCAGGTCCCCAGCAAGTTTAATATAAATTTTCAGCGTCGACTTGAAAACTCTCGAGCCAGCTCTGGATAATGGTGAAGCTGCATGTGTCGTGTCACATCGGCCCATAAAACGACGCCAACTGGGTAACTCAACGCGAGTCCAGCACTCAATATAGCCTGAGCATAGCCTGAGCATTGGGAAGCCAATTGAGATTCAAGGGTAAACGACATCGTTGCCCTGCGACTGCAGCCGCCAGCTACGGTTGTCTCGGCCCCTCGCCATGACAATCAACAGCCGCGAATAAAACCAAGTCCTGGCACCTCCCTGCCGATGCTGATTTGCCACTCCATCGTCCAGCAAGACGATGTCTTCAGCAGCCCAGGCCCCCAGGTGGTTTCCCGATCCATGCATTTAATTGCATGTCTAGGCAAGTCTTCCGTACTATACAGTGTCGAGTACGAGTACGCCGTGGCAACAAACATCGACTGCACGTGGAGAGCGTATTGGAAGCCAAGCAAACAAGTGCAGTAAGTTGCTTCTCGTGTGTGCTCTGCCATTGAGCCCTGCAATCCCCATCTCGTCACATCTGGAGGCATACCAGTACATAGAGTACCTACGTAGAAGACCATAGCAATCATCGGGCTTCGTCTCGAGTGCATCGCCAACGGTTGGCTGCACACACGCAATTTCGGGCTCACCGCAGCCCTCCGGCCCCCGCTCGAGCCCGCCCCTATTATAGCGAGATCAATATTGCGGAAGCAAGCCTTCCGTTTCAATCAAGCTTAACTCGGCATCGGAGGATTTGGCCGGGAGCAAAAGCGGCTTACCAACGTCGGATTTATATCAATTGAGTGCCATGATCCGATAGTCAACACGCAGTTCCCTCATGGCGCCCATGTGTCCTTAAAACTCAGTCTATGCTGAAGCGAGCAAGCCGCGATATCCTCAACTCCTTCTTGCCGTCTCCCCCAGGAAAACGAAGAGCCGTCATCATGAAAGATGACCGGCAATTGACAACCTGGAAAAATATCTGCCTAGATGCGGAGAGCGAAGTGGGATCCATGTCAACTGACTGGTTCAATGTCACCATGTGATTAAGCTTATACCAAATACCAATTACTAACGAGAGGAGGGGCCGGCGCTACGAAATACCTGAGTTTTTGAACTGGACACTGGAAGTTGCTCATTGGGTACGTGCAGAGTCTTTGTCCTCGTTGCGCAACTTACACAGGCTCCTGAACTGTCGTGTCACGCCCGGTGCTGAAATAGGAAGCCTGGATGGTTTCCTTTGTTATTAGAAAGTCCCAGAGATGATTCCAGGGATGCATGATCCTTTTTCTCATCCATTGGCTATTTACTGGTATACAGGTCGTTGTGTCACAATATTGACAAAGAAGAGTACGCAGCCCGGTCGCCACTCGCCCCCCTGCTCGACAAGTCGACTGATACTACGCATCCCTTTCTTTTGCGAATCACACATTGAAGCATTTTGACGATGCTCTCGGCGAAGGACACTGGGCTTGCCTGGTGGCGCCATATACCTACAAGAATTGCACAGAGCTGCGGCAGTTAAGTTTGCACAATCTGAGTTGAGATTATCTTCGACTCGAGGCCTTTGTGCGAAACTGGCGGGTTTATCCCATTAGACAAGACTGCAACTGGCATACGAAGGCGCGAATACTCACTTTCTAGTCGAGTCTCTATGATGCAATAAAACTCACGAACTAGCAGAGGAATATGGGTGATGGCTACAAGCAGATCATTGGTGCTACAGACGTGTCTCAAGCCCCATTAGGTAGGTAATTAACGATTTCACTCCATGTGGCGCCATGCAGCGTAATACTGCTGCTCCTTCTAGAAGAGAGCAATGCTGTTCGTAGAAATACTGCACCCGGTGTTTGATGCGGTTTTTGCCCATTTGTTTATTTCGCAGGGAATAGTTTGGCCATCATAAGACATGGAATCTCTACCCCCATTTTTGCTTGCTGGAGTTGCCTAACATGCGCCTCTGTCACGGCTCGCGTTGCGAAATGCACAGCAATTTGCCTATCCCCATAGAAATCAACAGTCAATGGCACCGTATATTTGCTCAAATTTGCTCTCCAGCTCCCTTTTTTTGTCACTGAGAACGAGTGGGTGATACGTGGTCAAGTGCTTATCCACAAATAAAAGAAAAATGTTGGCTTCATGGACGAAAATTTGTCCTCTACAGGGTAGCACCAACATGTCCTCATGGCAGCCCCGATAATTCTAAAAGAACTGGACACAACCGCATTCCAGTGTCCCATTGGTATTTCAGTAGCATTATTAAGAAGTGGAAGAAGAAAAAAAGGCATGTTAATTGAACGATTGACAAGATCGATCGATCGATCGTGCCACGCATTGCAAATGTAAACACGTAGTAAACTTGACAGTCTTAATTCCACCCATCATTCCCGTCTAGAGAAGAGTCGTCCAATTTTGAATGCTAAAATGAGGTTACGAGTAGCCGAGAATTTTAGCTAAAACTTGCATATTTCATACATTAACTCAATTCAAGCTGGCAGAACATGTCTTGGAGTAAAGTATAGTAGTCTACACATATCGAGGGAGTGCTGCCGATTCCATTGAAACTGGAGTCACGAGGAAGAGATCCAGCCTTGCCGAATCATCCACGTTTCCAACCATCAATGGATGTAGGAAAGCTGCGTTAAACCATAGCAAAGAGGCTGGTCCCACAAATGGGGTTCCTTCACAGCATTCTTAACCCCTCCCAAGGCCTGGAGGTTGAAGCGACATGACTCCGATAGATGCAGGAAAGCTGCGTCGAACTATAGCAGAGACGCCAATGAACACTCATCTAGTCCACAGTCCGATCTTAGCTGCATGAAACAACCGTGGTCTTTTTGAGCTTGTTGTACGTTGGTTAACTTCACAGCATTTTTAACTCCTCCCAAGGCCTGGGGATTAAAGCGACATGGCTCCAATTTATTGTTTGGAGCAAGGCCAATGATGCGAGGTTTCTATAACCACCTGCATCTACTGGTGCCTTTCACAGCACTTTCAACCAAAAAATCTATTGTAGTTAGACTACCTCTCGTGGCCTCGGGCGAGGCTAAAATTGCTGTGAAGAGTCCCGCTAACGGCCGGATTGCTACCATTAGAGAGCTCAATTACTAGAAATGCTTAGGTACACACTAAAGCGTGAGCTACATGCTCTCTCAACGCTAGTTTTGTATCTTTCGTCCTCGTATCAGCATCTATACTCATGGTTTGGCCAATTCCACCAATTGGCGCCACCATCCTTCCTGCAATACTTCTTTACCTCAACAACATGACACAAGTCTACGAAAAGACAGAATGATGCGAATTTCTCGTGTGGGGCATCGTGGAAACTGAATAGTCTCATTTTAGACAACTTCAATCATACAGCCCGCTTGGCTAAGCGGTATAGCGTGTCACTAGTAAATACTTGACATGACAAGGTGATCAGTTCGACTCTGATAGTGGGCACTGTATTTTTTTTTGGGTTGCCATTGACTTTTTGCAGTGCCGGCTCATTTCTAAGTAACATGACCCTATCTTGAAACAATGACAAAAAAGAGACGTCCCAGTCATTCCAGTCGTCTATCCTCCCCACCCTGGCCAGGAGCATCCCTACTCTTGACCGCCCAATGCCTCCATCATGTCGTCAGATGGAAAGACTTGTCCAGCTTTTTTAGAAGAAAACGAAGTCGGCTTAGACGCTGATGGTCAGAGCCAAAGAGGAGTGGATCTGGCTCAGCTGGGTCTGGGCCTGCTGGGCGTAGGCAGGGATGCGGGCAATGATGGCACCAGCCAGGTTGACAACGGTCCGCTCGATCAGGTTGAGAACAACACCAATGGGGCCACGGAGGAGAGAGTTAGAAACGAGGCCGTTGGGGCCGACGAAAGCGTTGATGAGCTGAGTGTTGGCGGTAGTGAGCTGTCATGGCTGTTAGACTATATTGTACCTTGATGGTGTGAATGGGATTAAAGAGATACTTACAGTGGCGAAAGCGTTGTATATGGAGAGCTGGTCACCATCGCTGAAGGTGGAAGTCACCGGGGTGGTGATGATGCTGGCAACGTTGGTAACAAGGTTTCCAGCCAGAGCGCTGATGCTGGAAATGATGTTCTGCAAGCCCATTCTATCAGTATGCACTACTTATTCACTCCATCACGAGGGGAAACTTACAGGGAGCTGCTGAGCAAGAGTGACAGCAGTGATGTTGCTGATGGCAGTTCCGGTGGTGGCAAAGACGTTGCTGACGCTGTTCAAGGTAGCAGTAATGGCGCTGGCGTTAAGGGCCGGGAGACCGATGTCAAGCTGGTGAAGCTCGGTCATCTGGTGGACGTGGATCTCATGGGCAAGCTGCTCGAGCTGGTGAACCTGTTGGCTCTGCTCGCTCTGCTGCTGGGCCTGGCCTTGCTGAGTGGAAGACATGGCATAGGCGGACTGGACCGTCAGAGCGGTGGCGAGGACAGACAGAAGCTTGAACTGCATTTTGGGGGTAGAAGGCCGAAACTTGGATAGATTTTTCTTCTTGGTGAGATGGGGATGTAGAGGACTGGAGTTGTGGGATGAGCTGGTAGTGGTGATGAATTGGACTAACTTGGCTCGGATCTTGTCTCGTCTTTTATATCTCTCGAAACTAGGTCGTTTAGGAATCAAGGGATATATATTGGAAAGAGATGATGTCCCGTAACGGCCTCACGGGCTCTGTGTGGAGACACTCAATATGAACATCCATTCCTAGAACTTGCCTTCTCCAAGACACACAAGGGAGATTTCCAGGAGAGCAACGACAGATTGTTTCAACGGTTAGTGGCGGATAAACAGCAGGTTAGACCTGGGGAATGCGAGGCTGACTCCAGTAGAATTTCTGTCAAGCTTGCGGCTGGGTTTTGCCAGTGACATCAACGAGAGAGGCTTTTGCTAATTTGTTGGCACAAAGGCGTCTTCTCCTTGAATCACGAAATCTCCGTGTCCTGGCTAACCAACCAATAGCATTTCACGAATCGTAGTTGTGCTTTATTCCATTCCATCATGTCTTGGGCTGTCCGGAATGTTGACGAGGTCTCGCTGCGGCCCGCGCATGAGACCAAACAGTTTCCTATGTAATGGGAAACTGAGGGACTAGACGGCAGCAATTGCTCTAGAGTGTGATATTTGCCACTGTTGAGATTGTTATGTGATGGATGAGCCATTGATCTGCCAACCCTGATGACGAATTCCAAGCTGTGGTATTCAGCACAATAAGAACACATGAAAGGCGTTCTACCTGACATATCAGACCTTGGTAGATTCCTTCATGTAAAACGTTGCTGCAAGTCAATTAAGCATTGATCCAGAGTAGACCAATGCCGTTAGTATTGAAGACTTGTGCTTTGTGCGTGAGCAAGGCCATCATTATGGACCAAAATCATCTCCTACGGCATGTCTAAGGCTTAGCTTCAATTCAAACGCCATGACCAGATCTCAGCATCGGCCAAGACACTGTATCATCTAAAGTATCAGGCCTACCTGGGAAATCTTTCCAACGTTCTTACGATATATTCTGCAGATTCTGGAGCTGTCGGTGTATCACCGGGATGGCGTTGCAGCTTGCCCATTTGTTTCTTCCCACATTGCTGACAGATCCGAGCAGGCTATGCAGCAGCATCTTTATGTACGTCTTCCATATGGTCGAGAAAGGCAAAAGCGGTATGTCATCCGGAGTATCCTGAGACGATAAAGGCCCCTTTCCCTCATGCCCCCGCGAAATACGAAGGAGTGGCGAGACCCGCAGATAGAGGCAGATGCCCAGATCCTGCACAGTTGAAGAGGGGCTCAACAAAAAAATATTACTGCCGAAATGACGCCCCTCTCGGTCGATTGCCGTGGTAGTTGGACAGGGAAGAAGCCAAAATGACTGCTGCTCCGTGTCCAGCAGTCGAGTATTCGACTTGGCGTCAAATATACTCGTAGACTGGACAAAAGCGTCTAGAAGACTTCCCAAAAATACACAAGGCGCTTAGAGGCGCCAATCAATAGGCTTAGCACCCGCCGCCCTCTGGAGCCATTGGCAATCTGGGGAAAGCAATTGGTAAATTGGCTAACAGTCGGCGGGCCGCGCGGATCCGCGACGGCGAAGCTCTGCCAACGCTTTCGACGGACAGCGGCCGGTATTTCGTGGCGATTGCATGAATACGACGTCAATAACATCAGTACTTGCCGCCGAGCAGAAAGTCGCCGGGCCACAAGGTTCTCAGAGGCCTCTTGCGGAACAATCTCGACGGGGCCGAGTCTGCGATTGATTGTACATGGTGCTAGTTCCCATCTAGGCAGGATACGCGACGTGCGTCTGTAGGAACGGAGCCTGGCAGTGGACATGGCCAGCAGCACGCCATCTCATCTGCTGGGCAAGGAGAAGACAAGATTGCAATGGCCATTGTTCCCGGGCTTCTGGCTCCTTTCCGCGCGATGGAGATTCGTCTAGAAGGTCGACCGAAGGTTCTGGATAGGAGGAAATGAGGCGCCCAGGGCTGCGAATCTGATAGTCGAAATTGCCAACAGATGCCAAATGAAAGAGGCCACGGAATTTGGCGCTGCTCGGTACGGTACCTTGCATGAATGGGACGCAGAGAGGACCCTGCTTTTGCGCCCGTGCCCTAATATGCTCTGATTGCATTTTTTTCTTCCCTTAAACCATGTCACGGCCCATGCGAGAGCAAGGACAGGGTAGAGGGCCTTAGGCAAGTCATTCAAGTTAGCAAGCGACAACAAGTACCCAGCTGCCATTTTAGAGAGAAAAGCTACTTACAGTACCTGGGTGGCTGATTGATTTACCACTGGTGCCCTTCCAGCGTTTCATTGAGCCTTTACAGGAGAAGGGAGAGCACGCGGCTGGCAGCTTGGCAGATGGCCTAGAGCCGGAAGTGCTTCCGCATCTGGGCTGCCTGGAGAATGACTCGGCAGCCAACAGGTAGACGGGCATCTCATCTGCCTCCCTGCCTTGGTTCATCCGGAGTGGAACTTACTCATGGAAGATACCAGACTGGTCAGGCATGAAGGAGAGAGGCGAATAGTATTACTCGACCCCGTATTACCCTACTGTACCCCATGCGGAGGACCCCGAGAATGCAGTGCAGTAGAGTACAAGCACATGCAATTCCACGGGCACGCAATTGAGCACTTTGCAGCTGCCTAGACAAAGAGGGGGAGAGGAGAGACAGACAAACAAAGCGTGTGCGTGCGAGTGAGCGAGGAAAGCGCCATCGTGGCTCAGACCATCTGGCTGCTGCTTGTCTCAGTTTCACCGCTTCTGCTGAACTTGTACCAGTAGGTACTTGCACGTAGGACATGGCGATTGGCAGGTGCGTCTTGAAGCCAAGTCACGAGAGCCTGCCCTCGCTTGGCCTTGGCTCTTGCACTTGCTTGTGGCTTGTGGCTCTGGCTTGCGCAAGTGCAGCTGCAGCACCTGCTGTGGACAGTGCACGACAGGACTGTACAGCTACAGTAGCACGGATGGAACATCCAAGGCAAGAGCTGCTGCAACTGCGACTGCCACTGTGACTTGATGTGGCTTCGGCATCTCGTTCATGACATGTGAATGCCAACCTTGGAAACTCTATTTTCTGCTGATGTTCCCGATTTAGCTCTTTGTCTTGTCTCTGGCTGCTTACCGTGACCGTGATGCTCTTGCGTCTAGCCTTTGCAGCTGAGGGCGCTTCTACCACATGATGCTTGCACGGCTGAGAAGCACATACCAGCAACTAATAGGTACCAAGTTATTAATCTCCATCGCACTGCGGAGTACCTATACGCCTGCCTTTACGCCTTTACGTCTTTACGCACTGCTGAGCAGCGACAGCCGCTTCCAAGGGAACGACTTTGCCCCGATCAGACTCACTCTCCCCCTCTTGTGGCCGGAGATATGGTGGCGGGTTTACGCCCTTGATTCCCTCGTGGCCAGCATCGGCTACAGAAGCCGCCACATTCGACTAGAAGCAACTGATGATCATGGCGTCCTTTTTCCAAAAAGCCAAGTCCCGTCCCGCAACTTTCTTTTACCCGCGTGGCCAATGGCGCTGCTGGAGAGGCATCCATCGTAGCGACATCGGAAGCCGTCGTCCAACCACGACGGGTTAGCAGACCACATTTTGTGTCGAACTCGCCCTGCTTCTGGATCGATGCGCATGACCTGACCCCTCTGCTGCAAACACTGCAAACGCTGCAACGGAAAAAGTTGCAGCTCTTTGCTGTGGCCTATCAATGAGTCTACTCGCCGGCATGGTGGTTGTAGCGCCGCCTCCACTTGGCCTGCAGCAAGCAAGGTACATTACTTACTAGTACGAGTACTACAGTACGCCCAAACCTGGCGAAACCTCCCACAGGATATACCTCTTGGTGTGGTTTGATTTGCTGGTGTGTGGCAGCATGTGGCCCCCTGCACGCTGGTTTTTAATAGATCAAATGGCATGTACTTGGATGTACTAAACTTGATGCAAGCGACTATCATGACGACCTCGCAATGCTGATCTGCGCACATGACAGGTACCTGTACGGCAGAGACACATGCATCTTTGACAGATAATCCCTCGGCTGTGATTCTCTGATTCGACAATTCGCCGCCCATTCACATCCACGGCTGCGAGCACCATTCCAAGTATATCATTCATCTGTGGCCCCGGTTCTCGCCTGTGCTTCTCCCTTTGGCGAAAGCAAGCCTCTTCACAAAGGGCCCTTGTTCAACTCAGGTTTGCAATAGCGCCCTTGTAGCCCCTCGCGCGGACTCTCGCCGTCAACCCACTTCTTGGTCCTTTAAGCGTTCAAGATTGAAAAGAAGCGAGAGGGGCCTGGTGAAGAGCTCTCCACTTGGCACCCAAGACTACTTAACAGACTGGACCTCAGCTCCCGCCGCTTGGCGATGGGCCCTTCCCAACCGCCAAAGCATCCTGGACTCTGGATTCTGGGTCCAATCGATTAGCCACGCGACGGCGTCTGTGCAACTTGGCTACAAGTAGCTATTACGAGACTGGTTGCCATTTCAACTGACATCTCGACGCCCTCTCGACGACGCCTTTGCCTTGACTCATCAACAGAACTTTTGCTTCCTTCTCTAAGCGACTGCTAGCCTCAGCCGAACCATCTGCTGTCCATCGCTGCTGCTTGACACAAGCAAACAAGAAGAAACAAGAAACGAGAATAAAATCCATGCCCTGCAGCCCACAAGTACAGTAGTGAATGGGAAGAGATAGTCGCCCTTCAAATCAGGTTATCAAAAATTGTCTGAATCTCGTCATCGCCAACCAACCCTTGCTGTCGTGGTTTTTTGCATTTGTTCACCGCCGACTGGTGATTCGACTTTGTTGTTTTAATAGCTCCACAGCCGACTTGAATAAGCACCCCGGCCCTGCATACTGGGGCAGGGATCGGCTCACCAGCAGCGGATCCCCTACAGAGCGGCCCCTTGGTTTTTATTTTTTTTTCTCTTTGTCCCCGCCTGCCGTAGGCCCTGAATCGGACACCACAAACCGGACCAATCGAAGCGTTTGCCGTTGCCAGTCGCAATCCCGCTTGTCACTCTCCTCGATTTGAAAAGACTGGGCGCTCCCGGGAGAAGGCCATTGTTTTATAACTTTGCGTTATAATCATCCTGTGTGGCTCTTTACGGGCGGTAACCCAAACCACAAATTATTTCTATTTCTTCTTGTATATGCCTCGAGTCGCTTGCAATTTCCAGGGGCATCTCACCACAAATATATTTAGGGGACCTCCAACTATATACTCCTTCTCCCATCCACACTCTCGTCAAGCTTGGTCCTCCCAACACCCCTCTTTTGACATATATATGAAAAACCGAAAGCTGGCCGTGGCCTCATCTTAGCCAACTACAACTCCTTTGGCAACTTATATGGTTGACGCCCACCACACTCGACCGTCACTTATACTGCGCCGGCCGCAAGCATCTCAAACAATTCCACCATCATGGCACATTCAGCACGGCGGGCATCCGAAATCTCCTACTACAGCTTCCGTGATGCTGAGCAAGTAGACCCGCTATCATCGCCTCCTTCAACCTCTCGGGGACGCCAGCCGACTCGGTCTCCCAGGTCTCCCAGGTCCCCTAGGGAGCAGTCTCCAACCATCGTCAAAGTCCAACGAAAGGATTCTGGATACGAGTCGCATACTTCATCACCACGCACGTCAGCCACTTACATTCGACCCAAGCCTTCACGACGTACTACAGGACTATCCAAGTATGGAACTGCATCAGCTCAGTCGTTACGATCCCGCATCCGGCCGACCATCCATCGACCCGCAACCAGCCAGACATCTGGCACATACCAACTTCGAACTGTCGAGGTCGCCAACCAAGTGCCCTACTACCAGTTCCAAGCTCCCGACCTTGCTGAAGTTGCAGAGACCAGCCAGGAAGCCCAGAATACCGTCTTACCGCCCCAGACCACTCATTACTGGACCAGCGATAGAACTCGTCGATTGGAGTATGCAGCCATTGACGCTGCAAGCAAGGGCGTCAAGGGCTGGTTCCGAAGGAACTTGCTTCCCGACTGCTTTGCAGGCAAAGGCAGACATGTTGCCTTTGACGATGATACTGGCAGTGTTCGTCGGTATAGGCTTGACCTGGAAGACGACCAAGAGGAGAAGTGTGCATCTGGCTGCCCGGCCTCATCGTCCCGCAAAAGCCGGTTTTCTATCCGGATTCATCGCAAAAGCGTGGCTGTTTAAATCTTTTCTTCTATTGTTCTTTTTTCTTCTCCAAATACCCATTCTATCATTTATTCCTTTGCATTTCGGCGCACCACATTTATTCGGCGTTGTATACCCCGATTGATTTTTTTCCCTACCGTTTTTCAGGTTCTTTTGTGTTCTTTCAGATCCTTTCAGGTTCTCGTATGGAGCTGGACGAGATGAGATACCAAGCGCGCGCATATACCAGGAGAGCGTTTTCTTTATTCTCTTTTGAGATTTTTTTTTCTTTTCAACTTTGCATAGACATGGGAGTGGGACAGCAGGTTTAGAGCTGTGATTTGATGCCCCCTTTTATTACGTCTTTGGCTGGCTCATTTTTGAGTGGAGGAAGCCGGTTACACTGGACCAGGTTGAACAGTGTAGCATCCAATGATGCGGATGAGATGAATGACCGATTTTTAAATTTAGAGCTGATGGATAGAACAAAGAGCATGGCCATTGAGACTGGAATGCAACGAAAGTAAAGGGGCGGCGTTGAGGGCCCGTCTATGGTCCGTGGGGAGGACAAGCAAAGCCAGGCTCTTTGATCCTCAATCGCGGCTTTAGATAGAAGCAATCAAAGCACACTTCTACAATCAAACAATGAAAGGCAGCCATGTAAATGGCAATAAATAGTCGCTCATCCTTCTTACATGCAATAACGCGTTGAAAACTTGAAGGACGTAATTGCTCATTTTATTTAATATCACGGGTGTGAGGGTTATGTCCTCAAACGAATTGGAGCGGCGGCAGAAGAGCCACGTTCCTGACGTGGTATCTAATCAGTTCTCAAGCAGCCCAAGCAGTTGCTCTGGCCTCCCCAAAATATCACTCGCCTTGCGAACTCATAGAACCCTAAACACCGCTCCTTCTGTCTACTTCTCGGAGTCCTCAACTCCGGCTCCGGAAGGGGTTCCGGGAGACCCACCCGGCGCCGACTCTGTGGGTCTTCTTGGCAGAGCAAACAGCTACCTTTCGTCTGAAACAAGCATTGGGTTAATTTTGGGAAACAAGGAGGACAAGACAAGGAGAATGGAGGGGCTGGAGACTTTGGAAGTCCCGATGGAGTTGGCGGAAACGGTTATCAATATGCATACGCTTTATGCAGCAGAGATGAACACCCTGAAGGACACCCTGAAGAAAGAAATGAGACTTTTGAAACAGCAGAATGACGAGCTTGAGAGGAGACTGGACATGCAGTATGGAATTTTGTGGCAGACGAAGGAGTTTATGCAAAATATTCGTAATGGTTCGTTTGGGGGTGTTGATGGAGGGGATCTGCCGACGCTGTTTGAGGAGAGGGATGATGATGATGATGATGATGTGCGGATGAGAAGCGTGGATATGGAGGTGCCGCCGACGCCGGATACGGATAGAGAGCCTATCAGGAGTACTGGGCGGAAAGTTACGAAGAGGAAGCCTACGATTGGGAATTCTGGTGTGAGGAAGGCAAAGAAGAGACAGACGACGGCGAGGAGGGCGTTAGTGGAGGACAAAACATTACGTTCTAAAAACAGCGCTGATGCAATGGACCTTCAGCAACAGGAGGGTTTAGGCTCGGAGACGCTGCAAGAGGAGGAAGTCAATCAGGAGAGGGAAGATGATGGAGGCCGAGCTGATGACGAGAAAGAGGATGAGGATGAGGATGGACTTAAGATATTAGCTGGCGCGCGGCGGCTTCGAGCCGTGGTGCGGAAATCTCTTTGGACAGCCATAAACGACCCCCCAAGAGACGACAACCCCCCGGATCTCAACGACCCCTCCGAGAACAACAACGACTCAGACACGGATTACTGCCCTTCCCCGTCGCCCCCAGCGTCGGAATTTTCGCCTGAAGACGAACATGCAGATGAGCCTGAAGATGAACCTGAGCCTGAACCCGAACCTGAACCTGAACTTAGACCTGCCCCTAAACCTCGTCGCCGCCCTGGTAAACGAGCCCAAAAACCAACACCAATAAAATCAGTGCCAGGCAAACCCCGATACAGCGTCAGCCGCAGTTCAATCCCCCGCTACCACACTCTTCCAGACGGCGGCCGCTTCCACTTCCGCCGTATGTCGAAGGGAACCACTGTCCTCTCCATCTGGAACCAGTACAAGTTCGGTGACCGCGAGAACCCCCCCATCGAGCTCCTCGAAACAACATATGGCACGGAATGGCGCAAGAGAACCACCCCCGAAAATGATCGCCATTACAAGTATATAAGTAATTATATTAATGTGCGGCTCAAGATTATTCGTTACCTGGAGAGGATAATTGAGGTTAAGAAGATTGAGCCGGAAGACGCGTGTAAATCATTGGGCAAGATCGCGGATGGGCATATTCATGGGTTTCTCGATTCGCTGACGCAGGGTAAGGATCCGTTTGATGTGCTTCCGGTAGCCAGCACCTCGTATACGTAGAAGAAAGTATAGATGTACGAATGGTCTTGTCGAGTCTTTGACGAGGTCAATTATTCTCTTGAATTGATTCAAACTATTTCCCTATTATCCCGCCATCAATCAAATACTTGGTATCCATAATTAACACACCATCTGTGACATATCAGAGAGCTCTGGGTTTCACCTTGACATAAAAGTCAATCGGCCGAATATTAAACCATCCATCCACTTCCAACTTATACTCCGGATCCGCCAGCTCGAAATCAAACTCCTTAATCATCTTAGCCAAAAGAATAAAGCTCCACTGCAAAGCGTAGTATCTGCCAATGCACACTCTCTTGCCATTGCCGAACCACTTCTTGGCTCCGGCAGGCAGCCTCTCAAAGGCCTCGCCGACCATGCGCTCGGGCTTGAATTCCAGCGGATCCTCAAATACCGCTGGATCTCGGTTCACCCCGTGCAGAACAATGATCATGGCTTGGTTGTGTGCGACTTGGTACTTGCCTCCACCGAGCAGCACGGGACTCTTGTCACCCTCGGTGGTTGGTCGTGGCTCAATGTTGAAGCCTGGTGCAGCCGAGGACAGACGGAGTGACTCGCGCATAATTCCTTGCACGTACTCTAGCTGCTCAAGATGCTGAAGCTCGAATTCCCCATCACCAATGACTCTGTCCAACTCTTCACGAGCCTTGACAATGGTCTCTGGGTTCTTCTGAAGGAGATAGATTGCGAAACCGAGCAAGCAAGGTGCCGTGCTGCTCCCGATGGGCATCGAAAGAATCTCATCAATGACTTCCGAGTCAGTCAAAGTCTTGCCCGTTTCCGGATCCGGCGTGTTCATCATAGCAGCCAGCGCATCTTGGCGGTCTGTCGGGTTCTCGTGGCGATACTTGACCAAGTCTGCAGCATAATCTCGCATAAGCTTGATTGACGACTTGAACTTGCGGCCATACACAAGCCAATTGAGAAAGCCTGGCCGAGTAGGGCGCTTCATGGCCTCCGACGTAGAGTCTTCCATTGCCTGAAGCATCGGGTGCGGAGGACCGTTCAGTCCGTTGAGCCGCTTGCCAAACAAGACGTAGGTGGTGGACTCGAGATTCAGTCGGTTGAGCTGTTCTACAGGAGAGATTTTATTTTGCTCCCCAAGGCCTCTCCAATTATTCAGAAGCTCGGTAGCTAGATCTCGCATCTCTCCAAATTGAGCTCCCACGGCGTCGGGCCTCAGCGTGGGGAAGATGATTCGGTGAGCGATGCCCCAGCTAGGTTCATCATCATATGCCGTGAAGAGCGCATCGTGAACCGCCGCTCGGATCTCGACAATTGGTCCGCCGACGTACTTGCGGAATCGCTTCTCGTCGCAAAGCTCCTCAGCTAGAGCCACGCTGGCAACGAAGACGATGGTCTGACCCAGTACTTTGATCTGGAAGATCTCGCCATACTTTTCCGAGAGCTTTCTTAATGAGTCCCATGTGTTGCTGGGTTTGACGTCAAAAATATTGCCGAGCAATGGCACACCGGGTGGCTTAGGAATTGGAGTCGTCATGTTGATCTTGTTATAAGACTTAAGAAACAACGGGACTAGTAGAGGCCTATGGAGGAGGATGGGAGAGGGGAGGAGCGAGGTGTACAAGAGGAAGAGGGGGAAGAGGAGGAAGAGAAGGAAGAAAAGAGCAAAGGCTGGGGGAGGTCACATCTATAGACTAATACAAGCAGGCCAATGCCATAATACATGCAGTAATGGGCCCGATTTAGATGAAGTCGTATTGGGTGGCCGCAAGACCGTGGATCTGTAGTGAGACATTCACCACCGCAATCACAAATACTGCCTGCGTGCTTGATTCGCGGTGCCAACTCACCCATGCAGTGCCGCTAGCTCTGCGGGTTTCGACCAAGAGCAAGCATCAAAGGCCGGGCATGTCTTTGCCTGTGCTTCACGGTCAATCTTGGCCCGCGTCCAAGTGGTCATAACCACTGTGATGCACGAATTGCAGGCCGCAGAGTGAGACATTCCCCGCCGATGCCTGTCGTCATTTGGTCCCGTATCGGGAATCAAGCTGTCTTACAAGCTCCCTGTCACATCGATTGCTTCTGCTTTCTCCTCTCTCGCACAGGCAGCTTCACCGGCACATCGCACGGCCTGCATTAGCGCCCGGGCTCTGAATGGATGGACCGGCGATTAGGACGGCTGGGAGAGCAAATCCAGAGCTAATTGCCCGTCTCCTAGTGGCCACCGCGCACCAAATCCACTCCCGTCCATCTGGGATGGGCCTGTTGCGACGCTGGCCATTGCCCGTCAGTGGACGCCACGCCGGCGAGAGCAAAGCTGAATACCAGGGTCATCTGTAGCCTCTTGCCTCCTTTTTCCACGTCTAGCACAAGTGCGGGTGGGTGTACCCGTGGGTTGGACTTTGATGATCCTGGTAAGCTGAAGAGTTGGTTGGATGGCCGATCTGAATAGAGAGGCCATCAATCATCCCTGCGCCTTTTGCCAAAGCGGTAGATCTAATGGTACAATCTCGATTAGTACATCTGTCTGTCTGTACTATTAGCAATGCGAAATTTCAGCATAAAGAAGGAAAAAAGAAGGAAAATATGTGAAGCAGAGGGAAATGAAAGAGATAATGCTTGCTTTTCTGTGCTTCTGTGCCATGACAAGTGCAAGACATGCCAAGTGGAGAAACACTCTACTCTAAAAAGGCCATCAACACAGCTTTGCTTAGTCACCATCTCTGAAATTTACAGCTGCAGGGCGATTCGTTTCAACGCGCCTCCCCTAAGCCACAGCCCAACCAGCCAACTAAGCCCACTGCAAGGCCTAAAGCTCCAGCGCGCCAGTTCCCAAACCCGGCCGAGGCGCCACGCTGGTTAGATCGCGGAATTTCAACCTTCGACCTTGTTCATCTCGCAAAGGGGGGCTCCAATTCCCACGCATTTTCGGCACTTCGCAGACCCTCAAACCCTCACGCTCATTTTATTATTTTCTTTCCCTTGTCAATTTTCGCGATCACCTCTGTCGTCATCATGACCCGCGCGCAGCAGACCATCTCCATTGGCCTCTTGGTCTCCTCTGTACGAAGTTTCCCCCCCCTTCAGTCGCCAAAGCCTGGCTTCTGGATCGCGATACGAACGAACTTGTCTTTTTCGCTAACGATTGCTCGAAATAGCTCTACTTTGCTCTCTTCCTGGAGCTCATTCCTCTCCCTCCTCTCGTCCAGCAAGAAATCGTCCCAGTGGTGCGTCGCGACCCCAAAAATCATCTCCCCCGTGTCGAATCTCTTGACAACACAACTAACCTCTGCTCCTTTGCAACGTCATAGCTCCCCTTCTGGGCCCTCATTTCCTTCGGCGCGTTCCTCCTCTTCCGTCTCGGCTGGGGCGTCTTCACTTTCAACGATGTTCCCGCGGCGCACAAGGAGCTGATGGAGGAGATTGAGTTGGCCAAGGTCGATCTCAGGAAGCTGGGTGTTGACGTGGACTAAATCGTGGCATACGTGGCGCAATTGGAAGAGGGATAAACAAAATGTAAAAATAATCATGTGTAATATCACTCTGGGATCAAAACAAGTAGTGTTTTTTAATGTTCACGTTTCGGGCTCACTCTTCTTGCTATTGATGCGGTGGAATCACGTCAAGCGCTCATCTTGAGCTAGATTGAAACATCTCTTTTACTCCGGCCGCCTTTCAGGCTGTCCTTTGATATCACATCGCTCAACAACATACACACTTCACTGTTCTCCTACAACCAACGCCACAATCGTTTTAACCGCGAGAGATGGGTCCTGCCCCCCCTCTACAAGATCCTCAAACAGCTTTGGGAGCTTTCCCAACACACCACGCTGATCAGCTTTGCGCCCTGCATAAAGAATATGTTAGTATATAGTTTTAAAGACAAAGTGGGGAAAAATATAGTAGAGCTCTTACACTTGCCGGGGACGCCAATCATGACAGTCACCTTGCTTTGCGCCTCTCCAATCCAATCAAAATCAATCCTCCACTCCAACCGCACCGATGATGTAGGATCTGTCCGCTTCTTCGACGGGATGTTAAATTCGAACGCTTGTTGGCCCATGAAATGAACCAACGCGGCCTTCTTAAATGATGGCGCAGGTGTTGATTGCTCTTCCCCGTCGTCTTCCATCTCCTCAGCTGTTCTTCGCAACGGCTTTTTCCTCCGTGCCTCGGCAACGGCTTGCAAGAACTGTCCCTTGGAAGCTAGCTCCTGGTCTAGTTTGGACCATAACTGCGCTCTTTGAACGGCAGCCTGGTACCATTCCCCCATGGCCCATGACAGTATCCCAATGTTGCGCTGCATGCTCCTGTTGCAGTCGCCTTCGCATACCTTGGTGACAAATGGCCCCAGCTCAGCCCTCGCTGCGGGTTCGAGAGAGTGCACCTTGAGTTCCAAAATGCTCGAGTTGGTGGCATTCACCACCATCTCGACCTTTGAAGCAAAGAGGCCAGGTGCGTCTTTTGACCGGAAAGTCATGACACGCCGCTGCCGCAGGGGTTGGTCCCCATCCGCATGCAACACGGCCATGGTTGACGTGACCTCGAACGGGCTGAATAGTTGCAGATATGGCAATTCTTCCTCTGCCGTCATCCTTACGGGATGGTGAGATTTGATGTCTGCGATGTTGATCTGATCGTCTGTCGTAGCGACAACCGGAGTTGGCCTCCCAAATGGCAACAACGCTGTAGGGTTTAATGCCGCTCTTAATAACTGTTGTGATGGGGGCGGCGGAGGTTTTGTCTCGGAGTCTATGAGATGCCGTCGCATCACGTCAAATACCTCTTCCTCGTCCGCAAAGCTTAGGATACGACCGGAAGACTGCATCAGCCGTATTCTATCGTTCTCTTTGCTTACTATCTGCAGATCCCGCTGCAACTTTGCAATCTCTTCCTCAAGAGCCTCTATTTCCCTCTTTTTGTCTCTATTCGGATCAAACACGCCAACTTGACGGGCTGGATGGGCTTTGTCGTGCAAAGGATTCTCCTGTGGATTGCCATCGCTGTCCCTTGGAGGAAGTTGAAAGCTGTGCATCGGCAATACAGCCTTGCTGCCGGGCTTCACGGGCGGGTGGCTCGAAGAGGGCTTTAAAGGCGAGGTCTTTTTCATCCTAGGCTTGTCTCTCCATCGCGATGGACTGCTGTGTATGCCCTTTGGCGGTTTGAAAGAGGCAGCGTCAGGGGCAGATGGCGGTAACTCGGGCTCTGGGTGGGAAATGGGCCGACCGCTATTTGGTGATCGTCGCTGCCTTCTTCCCAAGAATGAATCTGCCTCATCGTCTCCTTCGGGTGCAGGCGGCGGTAACGGCCTTGGCCTCGGTTTGAAAGGCGATCTGGTAGGTATTCCAGCCAAGCTGCTGTCGGCTTGTTCTGACGATGGTAATGACCCAGGGCTTCGCGTAGCTTCATCCTCCTCTTGCGCTGGGTTGCTAGTCGCTGCTGCTACCGCGTTGGCGGATTCGTCGACAGCTTCTCGTGCTTCGTCGCTGGTGGATAGCGTTTGTTGTTGCTCTGTTGGTGGCGCAGATTGTTCCTTGTCTAAGGTCTGTGGCTGGCGACGCACTGCGCTGGCTTTCGTCTGTGCAGCGTTTGCAAGGCGATTGGCTCGGGCTCTTGCGGGCTCTGGAGATGTTGGAGTCGCGTCGCTGCTGCTGCCAATGTTGACAGACGAATTACGAGGTGAGACCCGACGTCTCTTTGACGCAGGCCCATCCATTGTTGAGAAGCCAGGGGGTGGTGGGCGGTAAAACCATGCGGCAGGGGAAAGGTCTATGTTGGATTAAAAGAAAATGAATGAGAGAAAAGAAAAAGAAAGAAAAAAAATATGCAAGAGATGCGAAGATGCCCGTATGAACAGCTTGGCGATGTGGGATGGTGTTTTTGGCCGGATGGAGCGCGTCACAGCAAAGCTGCAGCTAAACAAGGCGGGCTTGGACCAAAGAGGTAGGCGGTAGCGCTTGGGCTCGGTATACTAGACTATGTAGCTCCAAACACTGGAGGATACTGTAAATCAGATTATTATGCAGGTTCCCATGGATGGAATTTCTTGTCGCTACTGCTTGCGTTGTCTAGTGACGATAAAAATAAAAACAAAATCATAGCAGCAGCAATACAAAAAACAAAAATGTGCTTCCTATTTATCCTGCTTTTATCTCTTCTCTCTACCGAAAGACACCTACTGATGCGAGTCTGAAAACGACGGGAAGCTCGAATTAGTACCGAAGCCATCACGTGCGGCTCTCTCTCTCAGCAAATGCCGGTTTGCCCGATGACGTCCGAATTGCCCCCCACAAAAGCTCTGCGAAGCCGAAGTGCGAATTCCGGATCAAGGCCTTGCTCTCATCCGGTTTCTTGCCGGCTCTTATAAATCTGCCCTGTCGCATCGCATCGCATCTGCCGCAGCCCAATTCTCCAAACCTACTCTGCTGAAGCAACCACAATGTCGCCGTCAAGAAACATCATATCGCGGCTGGGGCTTGTGCGGCCCAGAGCGGCTTTATCGCAGGGGAAATGCTGTCGACGATGTTTTGCCAGTGTCACTGAAGCTGGCCTGGAGGAGCAGTGGCCGCAAAGAACGCCTCTGGGAGCATACTACCAAACGATTTTCGAAAATCCTACTTTGTATTCGCCTCCTAAAACGCTTAAGAGAGCAGCTAGCTCCATCCCCACGGACCCAACTCTGAAACCTCAAGACGCTACTCCCAAAATCTTCTCTACCATATCACCTCAACAAACATCGGCACCAGCAACCCCAGAAGCAAGAGCACGAGTCATCTTCGGCTCTCGTCTCCTCGGCCCCGCGGAAGAAGCGGACCGCCTTGCCACCAAGAAAGCAAAATCTACCTACATCGCCGGCATCCTGATCCCTCCTCGCCCGGAAGAGCCCGACAACTGCTGCATGAGCGGGTGCGTCAACTGCGTGTGGGATCGTTACCGAGAGGATTTGGAAGAATGGTCGGCAACCAAGGCTGAAGCGAAAGCGCGATTAAAGGCTGGAGGTCGCACCATGGATGCCGATGGCGGTCGGTCGGATGCAGTTTTGGCGGCCGACATCTCGAAAGACAGATGGGATGAGGAGGCCTTTCAAAATGTTCCGGTTGGCATCCGCGAGTTCATGAAGCAGGAGAAGCGGCTAAAGGAGCGACACCAGCGAGAAGGAACACTCGGTGGCTGAGAGATGAAGAAAAGAAAGTAAAGAAAAGGCATAAATTTCAAGTCGGAGTTTCAGCAGGCGGTATAGTGTATCAGTCAATCAATTTCGAGAGCTGTGGTATGGGGCATCATGTATAGAATCCAATATCCTGTATCATTAAATTAGACATCAGAGAGAGCAAGCTTAGAACAGAGAAGACAGCAGCAAATATTAATGGTATCAGTTATTTATTTATTTTTTTGCTCTATTTCTCAATTTTACGTATTCGCAGGTTTAGATGACAAAGCGTGTTCTATTTCTTCAGGGCGGCAAGACGGTCGTGCTCGTCAATGTCGATGGCCTCCCAGGGATAGTTAATCCACTCATCGCCGCAAGTGACGGCAGCCAGGTATCGGTTGTTGACCATGTCCTCGGGCAGCTGGCCCTTCTTGTCCTTGTTCTTGTTCTGGAAGGGAGTTAGCAAAACATACTTTTTGGCATTAATGTCTCCGCGGATAAACACATACGTGGAGGACAAAGATGCTGAACTCGGCCTTGGGGGCATCGGGTCCCAGCCTCTGGCGGGCAAGCTCGACATCCTTCTCAAGCTCCTTGACGGCATACTCGAGCGTTGTCCGGGTGTCGTCGACCTCGTCCACGATCAGGACTCGCTTGCCAACGAGGTTCTCCATCTCGCCCAGGGCGCTGAGATCGAGCCACTGGGTGCGGGTGACCTTTGTGCCAATCTCCTCGACCTGGGTGTCGTCGCCCAGGGACTCGTACAGGGAGAGGCCGATGGCCTGGATGGGGATGTTGGGAGAGCCGGGGCGCTTGAGGAACGAGCGGAGGATTCGCGCAGGGACGTAGCCGCCACCGCCGATGGCGATTATGAGCTGCGGCTTGAAGGCATCGAGGATCTTGGTAGCGGCCTCCTGGCACAGCTTGTGGACCTGTTGCGGCGAAGTCGAATTAGTTTTTAGGTTTCGCAAAGTACGATGCGGCAGGTTGTCTTGTTCAAGGGCTTATCATACGTCGTTGTAGGTAACGTAAATCTTCTCAACCATTTTGACGTTTTTTATTTGTTTTTAGTCAACGAGGGGTATCAAAAAGGAAATTTGGAACAAGATTGTCAAGATGGACGGAGTCTTAACGAGGCCGGTGACCACGGGAGCGAGACGGGATACACAGAATGCCCAAGAGGAAGAGAAAAGAAAGGGGAAAAGAGAAGAGGAAGAGGAGCAAAATATAGAGGCAATCACCGGCGTAAGAAATTCGCTTCACACATGCTTTTCGGCGGCTCCCGATGGTTAATTTTTTTTTTTTTTGCTCTTAATTTTTTTTCTGGGTCAGCAAAAGGGTCCCATTTTCCCCTCCCCCACCAAGATGCTGCGTCACTTCACTGTCGGTGATTGAAGCAAATCCCAGCATTGGATCACTTGCCCTGCAAGCTCCGTAAGGGCGCATTAGACATGCTTTTTCGGGTTAGGCGATCTTTGGATCGATTTGCCGGAGGCAGCGAGAATTTTCCCGTGGTTTTGGTATGAGGGTTTATACTCGTACACGGGTTTGGTCGTATGATGTCTTATATGAGTACATGGATCTACTTGAACTGTCTACGAATCTCCATTGGTGGCTGGGTAGATGTATGTACTTTAACCAGCTGAAGGTGATGGATGATCATGATGGGAACAGTAAAGCACGAGCCGTAGGCAGCAACAGCATCCATCTGCAGGACGAGCAAGTTTTGGCATGACTCAATTGCCAGCATGAACTTGCAGATGCGTACTAGCCGATTCCAGGATGGCCATCTTCACTGTTCCGTACATGAGCATCATCACCGAGAGATAAAGGGTTGGCTATGGATGGAAATGAGTTTCACTCACTGCTGTTCAAACAACTGATGGCAAATACAGACTGCCGGAACAGAGAGGGAACTGAATGGGAATAGAGCGTCCAGCCGAAAATGTCCAAGCCATGTTCGAATTCGCCATCACCAACGACTAAATAGGAATCGCGCAATGGCCACCCTTGCTCCCCAAATAAGCATGGTTAATAACGTTGACGCCATCATCTGTCCTCGGAGACTCCCGCTTCAACTCCCAGGGTGAGAAGAAAATCTCGATTTTCACCAGGTCGTGGGTTCAAATGAGATTTATTCATGTTTTCTTATACTGTGGCAATGTAGAGATGTACCAAACAGGCTATCTCCAGGAACAAGGGAATAATGTTTGGGCTTCGGTACTTGGTAGGTCAAAAAGGTGCTATATGCATGAATGTATATGCAATATATAACGATACGACATATGATGGGGAGTAATTTCATCACGTAGAATATTATTGGGAATACCTTGGCTAACATACTGTTCAAGACTATAGGAGATTCAGCGGCAATATTACGTAGGGGGCGTAGACATCGATGCGTACCATCCTGGATCAGACCGCATACTGCGCATTAATATGCCTGTCACACCTTGCACATACCTAACAGTTTCTTTGAAATACGAACCTCTTGATCTATAATCCAACAATCTTCTTTATGTGACCTGTGTACATTATCTTAGGACAACACAGGCAAGATACAAGCCGAATGCTTCGTGGGCCATCGTGCAGCTCGTTATTATACGTGACTCGTTTCGGCCCGTAATGCAACTACATAAAAGATTTTCATTATTGGCGGAAGATTAACCGAAAATTTTGAGACTCATATGACCTAGAGGACGGGTATCTAGGTATAGGAGAAAAGAAGGACCGCCAATCTTGAACCTTTATTGGTGGGTTCTTCGTATAAACCTCAAATCTCCACAAGTACTGAATTCTATCCGACGCCCAACCATGCTAGTCTCAAGTTTATGCATGGTTTTATAAACTATATCGATTAATCAGTACTACGTTGCGGGAAATATTCCCAGAAGGAGCAGATGCAAGTTCACACAGCTTCACCTTGTTTGGTTAGTGTCAGACCGCCTGTCATGGCATTACTCGGAATTGCACGACGATGGTTTCTGGATACTCAGGGGTGATGGATACCCAGGGGCGTTGGTTTTTAGCCAAAACTTAACGCGACTCGAGTTTGAGGTACGAGAGATCTGTCCCTAAGTTTGATACTATTTCTTTGTGTAGATGGAAGAATTCGAAGAACGCAATCGCAATAAGCTTGTAGCTCTATGCCAAGATGCACATTATTATCTAGACTGCTATGTCATATTGCCGATATAGTTGTTCACTTGGATGTCAAATTTCTTCATTTGGTAACAGAGTCATGCCCCTGTACCTACGTAGCTGATAAACCTTAACGAGACGAGTGAAGCCATCCAAAATGCGCTCAGATCTCGCTGGAGCATAAACCATATACCAATCATTCAAAGTTTGGGAAGCCGTTTTCAAAGTTTGTTCTTGCTCCTCCTCTTACGTTTGCCGTATAAATATTTCATGGGAAGCAGCCCCCTTCTTGATCTTTATCTACTCAATTTCAACAAACATAGCTCACATCTCTGTATACACATATCGTCCATCATAGCCTTTCCGATTATATTACGTGATTGCTTGTAGAAGCCTATCTATACAATTCAAGTGATCAAGTTCTCTGCATACACCACCCAGCATGTCTGACCAAGAATCAGGGGGGCAGACGAACCAAGAAATTGTCGGTTCAGCCAACTCACCTACCACAAATAACATAAGAGATAATGGTGCGTACTATTGCGGCGCTTTTACATTTGGTGATACTCTTTGCTTACGAAGATAAATAGAAAACCTCCTTTATGATATCAGCGCGGTATTTGGAGGGCCCATTAGCAAGTCGCTATGGCCAAGCATCAATTCAAGGATCCGAGCTTTCTTGCGGCTCAACCAGATTGAGCAATTCAGAGACCAATCGCACGCCAAGTATATCGATTCGTGCAAAACTCAACAAGAAAAGATGAACTGCCTGCTCCTCAATCTCCAGATTCACCGCGGCGAGATGATACAAGTTGCTCTGATGGGAACCAAAAGATTCTCCAGCCAGCTTAAGGAAATCATCGACAGCCACACTAAGCTCTACGAGGAGATGCTGGAGCATGTTGAAGAAGTGGTTGAAGATGCGATCAAACATGGTGATGTTTACATGCGCCAGTTGAAGAAGGAGTTCAAGCGGATAGAGAAAGAGGTGAACCGACAGAAGGTTAAAAGCGAAGTTGTTAGACGCAAAGTCGGTAAATGCGGGTCATTATTTTTGCGACAGTGGCTGCAATTTCCCTGGACCAAGAAACCGTTCGTCAAGGACACTCTAATAATAAATCCTGATACCAATGATGGCTTCTTTTTCAGGATTGGCTTAGAGCGCCTCGCAAATATCGCCGCCTTGGAAAAGAATAAGGAACTGATGCAAAAGCAACACGTTCTCATCTGCTTGGCCCACGATGCCATGGTATGGGACCCAGAGAACGTCTTTCTTCATGAAGGAAAAGTTCAGGGACGGCTCTGGACCCATGGACTTAAAGAAGAGCATTTTCGGAAGCTGGACGGTGATGAGTGGTCTGTCCAAATGAAATGGACGGCGGCAGAAGGAAGCATGTGGAGGCCAAAGACTGTCCATGTTAATGGAAAATTTGGTCGTCGCCATGGAGAACAGGTTGAATGGGTCCCAATCGAACCGGGTCGCTCTGACGTCGACTTTGACGTTGAAATTCATGCTTTTGACGACTTCTATGATGAGGAAGAATGGGGTGAGCGAGGATCTCGATGCGATACCGATACCTGGTATCGCAGCAACAGAACCTGGTTTGAACGGATATTCTATCGGAATGGCCCTCCGGATGATGATAATTGAGGACATCAACGGAGAGATGAACATCTCTGAAGACCATCTTGTTCTCCACCAAGTCTTCTGTGAGGTTGTGAGACCAGGTGATTACGAACTGACGAAGCTACGAAGCTATGGCGATCCATACATTGCATGAATAAATGGCGTTTTGGATGGATTGAATATACCGCATTGATTTACCGGATGATTTGCACATGATATAGGGGGCTTTGACATCATATATCGAGTTTGTCGCATGGCGACCGAATAAAGTACCTATTTCTTTTTCTCGCTTTCCACTGTTAATTCGTTGAATTTTCCCATCAAATTACATCGTGTCTAGCTATTGTATATATAGTCTTGGATAAAATTCGTGTGGTTGACTTTGACCTGGAATTCGCGATCGCCTCCTTATTAGATGTAATTTCTCCTCGGCAAACGGGTTGAAACACCTGATTCCATAGCTGATAATTTTCAAAATATTCTATTTTTTACGTATAGGTAAGGGATTTGGGCTATTAAACTCTGATCAACCTGAAGATCCTCACAACCGTGTACTGTGTAGAGTAGTAAAAAAAAAGACAAATCCTCGGTTGTTTATACCTATGACACCATATTGTATGATACCAAGAATTGAACGCATAAACGCCAACTAAGCTTAAACAATAAACAAAAAGTGATTGATACAAATCAACATCTTTTTAGACTAATTTTGACTCCATCTTTGCATGTAGTGGCAAGAGCATAAAGCTCTACCCATTCTGAATCATCAACTGCGTTCATTGTCTCGAATGTTTGCACCATTCTTGACACAAAGTAATATGTTTCCAAGAGGGCAAATTTCTCTATTTAAACAAGTTAGAATTCGCCAAACAATTTTATAGCTTCAGATAGCTTACGGCCAATGCAGATTCGTGGTCCGCCATTGAAAGGTAAATAACTCCAACCTGGTCTGAGACCATTCCACCTTTCGGGCACGAATTCTTCAGGATCCGGTCCAAACACTTGAGCGTCTCTATGCATAGCGTAGATGTTGTACATGACGAGATTTCCTTTCTTGATGAGAAGAGGTGAATTGCCATCTTCACCACCACCATATGGTAGGACAGTGTCTTTGGACGCTTCTCGAGCATTTGTCGGGATGACAGGATGGAGTCGCAAAGCTTCGCTGCGGTTAGCTAAACGACGTTGACGATAAAAACTTGGATCCTGGCTCACACTCTTGAACACACCACTTGAGATACTCCATATTGTTCAGTTGGCTGCTTGTTGGAGGCTCAGCACCCGCAATCGAAGTGACTTCCCTCCTCAGCTTGTCATATATGTGCGGCTTCTTAGCCAGAACGAAGAAAAGGTTGCTCAACAAACAGGCCGTAGTATCGCGACTCGCAACCAAGATATGGAGTATCTGATCCCTAAGCTGTTTTCGATCTGCCGTCACTGCCGCGAGACACTGAAGAACATTACAGCCCATTATTGCAGAATTGCTCTCATCTTTTCTCTCCAAGGATGCGCTGATGAAATCGTCGATATATCGGAACACGCGACTTCGCGCCCTCATAGCAGCAAAATTGATGGAGAACATCTGGAGTGGACCGAGCTGCATCTTCCTAACAATCTCCGTAGAGCACGTCAGGTAATCATCCACAAACTGCTTCTCTTTTGCATGACTTGATATGCGGTCGAGGACGCGCGTCGAATGGCCCATAAGAAAGTCTGTCGCAAAGTCCATAGTGAGCCAGAAAAACAGGGGCTGTAGATCGATAGTGGTGTTGTCGTCTGGAATTCTCCGTAGTAGGGCCTGAAAATGAGTCTCGAGCATATCGACTATGCTTTCCTTGTTCTGCTTCGCAAAGCAGGGTCGCAAAACTCCTCGAGCATGTGACCACGAGTGCCCGTTCAATGTGAAGATGCCGCTCCCAAGGAGCCCTGTCATTGCGTTGACTCGCAGACGAGGGAGCTTGAAATCGTCAAAGCCAGAGGCAAGGACATGCTTAATATTTCGGCTGTCGCATGTGTAGACGGCCTCCCATGTCCACCGTCTGTATGCATATGTGGCTCCCAGCTGTTGGAAGGTCTTGTATGTAGAATCGAGATATCTTTCGACGGGTTTTGCAAAGAGACAATCGTAAATGAAATCAAATCCAATGTAAGGATCCTTGACTGGGGCTTTCGATTGCGCGTCTTTGCAGCCTTTGATACGTGAAATTCGATACTGGAGGATTTGCTTATATATACCATGAGATATGTAAGAGAAGAAAAGTAAGGTGAAAAAATAGAGCATTAAATATTGATCCTCAAAGAATCCATACATAGCTAATGATATTCCACGGAGCATCAAGTCAAAATAAAGTCTTAGATTTCTATGATATGGAAAGCTTTGGTGTGTTGGGACGAAACAAAAATTGCGACCCCTATTTCTGAGCCAGCCCAATGAAGTCTCTGCATCACTTCATCACAAAGTACACTAGTAACATGTCCAAGCCCTTGATAAATTATCTGGCAGCCCAGGGATGTGCCTATTTTTGCAGAAATCTAGTGATTGGAATTCGTTCAGGCAGTTGGCGGTACTTGGCTTGCGGTATCTAGACAATACAACACACAAAGAAAAGGGGCTGCCCTAAGCCCTTTCATAAACGTCATAGCACTTCTGGTAAAGGTGTGTTTCACAAATTCATTTATCCAAATGCCTTGTATACATAGGACCGAATAATATCGATAGTTTCGTCTTCCTCGTGCTCCTGTTCTCTGTTGTGGAACTTTTGGGCGCAGCGGCTAGGCCTTATGGAAGCTCTCATTGACTGGAAGACAGCCAGCTGTTGGCTTCTGATTACGACGGAATAGTATAATAATAGATTGTCAGGGCCACAAAAAGGCAACCTCTGACACGTCAGTATTCAGTCGGCCTGATAATAATCCTGCCTTCAACAGTGAGGACTTGCGTCAACCTACGATGATGTTATGTTTACCGCTACTACTCTCCGCAGTATGCAGTCACACCCAATAATGATATCCCCTGCTGTTTTCAACAGCCAAGATAGGATGGAAGAGATGCTGACAGCTGTATGTCTCGCAACCGTACAGGATCGTACTGCTCAGATAGCTCAACGCCGATCGGACACTGCCCTTGCGCACCGACATGTGTGGAGGAAGCAGATATCCGACATGAGGGCTTCCTTTGTGTCGGGAAATACCGCGCCGACGTGGTTAGCTGCAGGAGTCTGGAGCCAATGGGCTGTGCATCTTTTCGCATGAGCAACAAAAGGATATTACGATATGCAACCACTCGAGACACGACTTGGAAGAGTGGGATCAGAGGTGCGTTTCTCAATGACACGGTGCAAGTCGTATTCGCAGATCAAAGAGGATCATGGGGTTGGCTTGGGGTTACGGTTACCAGCTACACACCGGATTTCTGTCACTACTTGGATGAAATGGCTTGACAAGAGAAATCATCCTGCGTGTTTTTCTGAAGCGGTCACAGTTAGTGGGGGCTTCTACATCCTCCATCTTTTTGATGAAGCTAACGCCTTCGCCCAGAGAGTGTAAGTGAACAAGGCTTGGGATTCACTCCTTCGGGTTCACTCCTTCGGGCTCGCTATTTGTCTACACCCGACAGGCAGTTTCCGAGCTGTTGATACGTTACTCTCTGATGTCAATACAAAGCCGCAAATTTACTTGTGTCTTTATTTCATCCGTCAGTCTTCGCTTCGATACGAAAAAAAGGTGCTCAGCTCGGATAGACTTACATGGTTGATCCCAGGTTCAATTATATTTAGCGAAATAGATTGGATACCAAGCGAAAGTTGACTTTGCCAGCAAGGGGCGGAGCACGTCAGCAGCATCCAGACACTGTTCTCATGGATTTAGAGTCTCAGACACATTCCAGATGTGTGTAACTCCGGACCAACAACCAACAACTCATACTCCAGAGAGCTTATTTTTGACCTTGTACGAAGCAAAGTCACGGCACAGACAACTACCGTGAACCCCCTCTGTCCGACTTGCCGTGGAGATTCAGCAATATGCCGTGTTGGATCCAGTGTCTTGGAGGAATGCGCTGCTTGCCGGTACTCGCATTGCGTACTACATCAGGTCGACCTTCTATTTGGCTCGCTGCCAGGGCGAGTGGCGTTTTCCTAGTCATGTCATTGGGGAGACGCGGGCTCTGTATCACAAAACATACGATGGGTATCAACCAACAGCTGCACGGTTGATCGAATGTGCTTTAGGCTCCCAGGCTAATGGACAAGGTGAAACTGCTTCGCGTGTGTTTGGCACACAACGCCTGGAGGGATCTGTTTTACAGGACGGGAACAATGACGGCTTGCCTAGACAAGATAAAAAGGTGGTAGCAGAGAAGTGTATGCCGAACAACTCAAAGCGCCCTTACTCTTATCGTGCCGATTAAACAAACTGGCCTATATATCTTGTTGACCCATCATCAATTTCTTAGCTTAGAGCTGGAGAGTAACTCTACATCTTTCAAACTCCCTGACAGTCGATTCCAATAAGATACTTGAGAGAAAATAAAGAGACAAAAACGCAAAATGGCCCACCAGGGAGAGGAAAACACCACTCCTGATACCGCCATTGCAGAGATTCATGGCGAACCCCTCTCGGATCTCGATCAACAGCTCTGGGATATCTTTGCGGCCACAGCTTCTGCCCATCCCGATAGAGAGGCAATAGTCTCTCTGTGGCAACCTGCAGATGGCAGCCGCGTATCGGAAGATGCAAACTTGACTGCGCGATCGGAATGTCTCAGATGCTCGTATGGAAACCTCCGGGACAGCGTTGAGCATCTGGCTGACACTCTGGAGAAGCTGGGAGTTGGTGTTGGCATGCATGTCGCCGCTGTGCTTTGGAATTGCGCAGAATGGGGCTTCTTGCTTTGGGCCTGTGTCAAGATTGGGGCCGTCTTCATCCCTATTGATCCTCGTGTGACGGACGATGTTTGTCTGATGCTCGAGTCCATCTCACCGCGCGTGTTAGTGGTTCAAGATACTGAATCTGCGGTGCTTTTGGATGGACAAATGTCTAGACCTCAATATTCTCTTCTCCGTGTCCACTGCGGGAGTGGCTCTGTTGATGGCTGGATCAGCCTCGGTCAGCTTCTAGCTCGGGATTCCACCCTTCAGGGGCTAGAGGGTCTTGGTGACACAGACGACGATCAAGGACCGCGCCGAGCCAACGGAAACACTCCCGCTCTCATTGTCTTTACGAGTGGAACGACGGGCAAGTCCAAAGGATGCCCTCACACAAACCGCAACCTGGTGTCTCAGACCAACAACTATGATGCCAATGCCGACCCGAGCTTTGTCGACCGCTGGCTCGTCCACACGCCTGTGTGCCATGTCTTTGCCATCAATAACGCGCTTCGTGCGTGGCGTCATGGCGGTACCGTCGTATTCGCAGCCAAGTCTTTCCACATTGACGCCACGCTCACGGCCTTGGTTCAGGAGAAGTGCACCGTCATGTCAGCCACGCCAACACTCGTGCGGGCCCTGTTGTCCCACAGCTCGTTTCCGAGCTCACGGGACCTCAATCTGTCCATTGTATCGATTTCCGGCACAATGATTGGGCCGGAACACATGCGTCTCTGTAGAGAGGGGCTCGGGGCGCGTGACGCTATTCAGGCATATGGGATGACTGAAGGGGCACCGATTATTAGTTGGTCTCGACGAGACGAGATGTTGGTAGATGGATACCACGCTGGAGTTGGCAAAGTTCTTCCTGGAGCAGCGGTGCGTGTCTGCCGTCCGGGAACTCGACAGGTGCTCTCTCGAATGCAAGTTGGAGAGCTCCATATTGCCGGTACCTCGGTAATACACAACTATTTGTGCGATGACGAGAGTGAACAAAGAGAAGAACGGTTCTACAATGACAATTCGGGGAGGTGGCTAAAGACAGGGGACCAAGCCATGATTGATAACAAAGGGGTTGTCTATATTCTTGGGCGGTACAACGATTTGATAATTCGAGGAGGAGAGAATATCAATCCGTTGAAGATTGAATCTGTGTTAGCCGAAATCCCGGGCCTTCTACAAGTAATACTTTTCTCCCCCCTTACTGTTGATCTATCGAGACGTCTCGGCTAATGAGATAAATAGGTTCTTGTCGTGGGAGTCCCAGATGACATTGCGGGCCAGGTCCCAGTCGCCATTGTCAAGATCACTTCAGAGGTATCCAAAGGAAAAGTGATGGATAAGGCAAAGCTTTTAGGTCCTCAGTATGCCCTTGATGCGGTATACACACTTGAAGAATTGGGGATAGAATGTGTTCCAGTAACCTCCATCGGAAAGCCCAAGAAGGCCATCCTTGCCGACATTGTCACAAAGCAACGGCTGGCTAATCAAACCAAGACCTTGAAGATGAAGAAGAAGGACGAAGTGTCATTATTGGAAACACAGCTAAGGGAAATATGGGATCAACTAGTGGGAGTCCGTCCCAGTAAGACAGATGACATCTTTTCTTTGGCCGACAGCATCACGCTGCTTCGATACTGCGACGCTGTGCTCCGAGTGCTTGGAAGGCAGCTCTATCTCCAAGATTTGAGCAAGAACGCTACTATTGAGAAACAGGCTAAGCTTCTGGTCAGTAGGGATGCACCGATTGCAACTGAAACTGAAATTGAAAAGAGAAGCTTCGCTGAAATCTACCAGCCAGAGGATGGCTGCATTTCTCTACCCAAAAGAGGCCAAGATTACAGCCCCAACCAGAATCCGTTGTTTGGGGATAGGGGTAAATATGATCTTCTGGCCGCTGCTCAAGAGCAAATCAAGAGATTTGGTCTAGATGGATCCGATGTCGAAGATGTTATTCCCATCAGGGGCTCCATGTACCGGACGATTGTCGGTCAACGGCCACAGTCATACAGAATCCGTCTTGCTTTCCGAATTCGTGATGCTACCATCTCGCAGATTTACAATGGACTGTTTAGATGGATAGCATCCCGACCTCTTTTACGGACAGTCCTCCTGGGCACTCAAGGATTGCTCTACCATACCGTTGTACGCCACAGCCAGCATCTCTTTCAAAAGCTAGTGAGTGAAGTCGAGGTAAGAACTGAAAAGGAGGCAAAAGAGGTATATGAAGACAGTTCTGAGGATACCCACTCTCTCATGTTCATGTTCAGCGCCATTATCATCAAGATTAAGGAAACGGGGCAATACTTGCTACGTATAACCTACAGCCACTCCATAGCCGATGCCTTGACTCTCTTGCCTTGGCATAGAGATTTGGATCGACTCATACACAATTCCAGCATCATAATCCCCGCCCAGACTCCATATCGACTTTTCGCAGACTTGCTTACGGAGTATCAAGACAGTTTGCCAGCGCAGAGAGCCGTTTCCTTCCATGTTCAGCGGCTGCGAGGCATTTCACGTTACAAATCTGCACTATGGCCCAAACAACTATCTCCAGGGATGATGATTGGGAACGACAGAAGTTCATTCTACGCTGCCGAGCGCGAAGCCGTCAGAGACCAGATATGGAAGGGAGAGTGGCAAGCTAAGGCAGACGAATTCCAGTTTCCACGCCGCAGCAGAATTGTCCGTCTCCCAAACATGGCTAAAATGCGCAACCTGTACAACTTGGAACCAGTGCTATTCACGAAATGTGCCTTGACGCTATTCAATGTCCTCCAGACAAAATCATCAGTCGCCCTCTTCACCTCGTGGGAGAGTGCTCGCTCATGGCCGTTTGTGCCGGAATGGATAGCAAACTCCCTCCCTCCCGCCATGAGCATTGATGGACCTACAGTGGAATGGATCCTAAACATGTTTGAAATCAAGCGCGAAGAGACGCTCATAGATCTTATTCAGCGCATGGTGCTTGAGCAAGAGCAGATTCGCCGCCACGAGCATGCACCGTGGGAAAAGGTCGTACAGGAACTTCGAGAAGAAGGTAGTGTAGCCATAGACGCGTCATTCCGGCAATCGTTTGTGTGGGATGTGAGCATGGGAGTAGCGGCATCTCGAGGATTCCGCAGTGATTTTGAGACTCTGGAGCCCGTGGCGCGGTATGACTGGCCAGATTGGTGAGTTGATGAGCATCGTACCCCTGTGTAGTTCATGAGTCGATCAAATTGACTAACATCTGACTGACAGTGGACTGTTTTGGAACGCCTTTATGGTGAATGGAGATAATCTCTTCTTCATTGCCTCGTGGGACACCGCGCAGCTGAATGCGGAACAAGTGGATGGGTATTGTGATGGCTTGGCGGATGTGATGAGGAGGCTTGCTAACGAGGAGAACTGGGGCCGCAAGATAGGAGACGTATTTTTCGAGCTCTAGATGGGAGTAACAAGATTAGCAAACACTTGTTCTTGTCTTGTTTGCTTGTAGGAAGCACTCTTGATGGATGAAGGATGTCTTGATGTACATGCATGTAGCCACGAAGTGCCTCTTCAATGGCTTCTCGCTTCACATTTCACTGTCTCTGTATCAAGGATATTTGGATTAGTATGTAATTAGCCAAGAAATTGGAATTTATGTTCGTTTGTAGGTCGTACAATAAGAGTGTGAGTGGAAGTTCTCAATGCAAACGGGCGCCTATTAAACCCCCTTCCCTATCCCTCCTCTTGAATCTTGACCTTTTTAGTCTTCATTCTTCATGCTATTTCAGCACTATTTCAGCTCCAGCATCTTGAGAAAGAACAGGCAAGCTCTACAATCCAGCTCAATACCTAATCCGGTCCCCACCATAAAAGAAATAGGAGACATGCCCCAACAACGATTCTTCCAACATAGCATCGAGCCTCGCCCCATAAGCGAACTCGGCTGGATCAGAGGCTCCTACAAAACCCATCTCAGCAAATGGCTTCGATCCCAAGCCCTCTGCTGGGATCCCTCCATGCTAGCCACCAAACTGGGCCGCGACATCGAGATCCAAATCACCCGCGACAAACGCACCTTTGACGTGGCCAACCTGATGCGGGCCGTCACGTATCTGCATGCAGAGCTAGTCTACTACGGCGTCTCAACACATGAGGACCCTCATCAGGTGTGGAGAGATGTGCTGCAGTATGCGAATCCGCGGTTTGTCGTCATGTGGCCGAAGCTGAAGGAAATGGCGGAGGAAGATGAGTTTGTGATTACAAAGGATGAATTTCTCGCGGAGTTTGATGCGTTTGTTAAGGAGAATAGATTGAACGGCAAGGTTGTGGTTTTGATGAATTGCCCGGATTGTGAAAGATGGGATGAGCAAAACTTTCATCAGAACTCCTTGATGGATTAGAAGACGGGAAGTTGGTTTTGCATCACTTTTCTGGAGCTGATGTGAGTAGGGGTAACAGCAAAGGCCCCGTTGTCTCTCTACTGAGTGGCTATACATTGGTAAGTTCATGCAGAATCAGAAGATGATGCTAGCAGAAATTGTACATCAGCAGTACAGATGTCTATAGGTGGACGAATTGATAAAGCTGCTACGTCTATGAAGCCATCTTGAGGATGCTTGTTAGCCACCCCTCCTTTCCATCTCCAGTTTCCAAGCTCCATTTTCGTATACTCTTATGCAAGCCATATTTCAAACTCAATTATCATACTACATCCCGTTTCCGAACGAAAACTTATTCTCCCGATCCAGCTCCCTGAAATGTTGCACATCTCTCCCCCTGTCCTGTATCCCCTGATCAACCTTCCTCTATTCCGACGCTTCATCTTCATCCAAACTCGTAACTTTCCACACCACCACTGCTCTTAGGAACGCAAGCCCAGACATTCCCCAGAACATGATACTGCAGCTTATCAGGGCGCACTTCAACATCACATTGTCTTCTTGGACACAATTCATCCACATGGTCGTAGCAGAAACGGTAGTCAGTGCAAGAATTGCCGCCTGGAGGTAGAGCAGCACAACTGGAGAGAGAACGTATATCTCGTGGATGAGAAGCGTGACGAACGAGATGAAGAGAACAAAGGTCGTCGTGAGAGACGGCAAGCTGCGCAGCCTAGATGATGGTCAGCACATTTCGTTCATGTACACGGAGAGAAACGCATCACACATACATGCTACCAGGTATGCCAACCAAACCCCCATCTTCGTCTTTCCACAAAGCTATCCACGCAAAAAGTGTCAACACTCCCAAGGAAACGCCGCACTGCAGCACCAAGACAACTCCGTGCATCACTGTATGAAGAACCCCTTGCATCTTCACTTCCTTCCCCCCTCTTGTCGCATCGTTCAGTAAACAATCTCGCTCATCATCGCCATGTCGAGGCAAATCAACAGCCGAAGAATCCATCCACCAAAAAGGCTGCCTTCCTGCCTGCGGAACGCCCTCCCGTATATATGGCTGATTCCGCCGATATTGATGACCATCGCCGTAATAATGGTGGCCGGCGATAGTTGACGACGAGGCAGTTTCAGAGGTTATGCCGTAAATGCGAGATGGCCCAGAAACCGGCGACCAAGCAGAACTTTCAGTCTGGGACCGAGCTGTGACGGAGGACGCCTCAGGAGAAGCAATCTGCACTGTCCCAGAGGAAGAGACTCGCTGAGGTGAAAGGGCACTATCAGGAGGAGTGATTGTTCGAGAAGAAGATGACGATGCTGACGATGCTGACGATGAAGGCGGGAGAGAAGGTGGAATTATCGTTATCGAGACAGGCGAGTTTTCGTACTGCGGCTGGAATTCATGACTTTGGCGTTGAAGTCCTTTTCCTTTTCCCCTTCCATTCCAAGCGTGATCACCACCATCCTTCTTTGCTTGATACTCTTTTCCATTCTGTTCGGACGCACCACCCGAGCATCCCTCTTCAATATCCGAAAGTTCGGCCATCATTTTCTTGGTAGAATCAAGGGAGTGAATCGTTCTGTTCAAGCGCAAATAGAACTGTGGGAGGACAAAGCTGTTGCAAACGGAAAGAAGAGAGAGGAGTGAAAGAAAGAATAGGTAAAATGAGCAGTGGCCAAAACAGGTTTCTTTGAATGAACTGCGAGCCAGCTGTAATCGACTGCCTGCTTTGTACGACTCCATCATCGAGTAGAGTCACTTTTCCCCTGAGCTCAACCCAGAACAAAAACCGTAGCATAACAGCATATAATTTATACAAGCAATAATTCATTATCCCTCATAGAAATGTGGTGATCCCAACGCCGCATCCGCGACTCCCGCCAAATTCCAGAAACCCGCTAGCCAATGCTACTACGACAGTATTGTTGTTACAAAGGTCTCGACACAAAAATAAATGAAGCCCTGCCTTGTATAGTGAATGCTGATCCACAGGCAACCAATGATATCCCAAAAGCCATTCATTCCAAACTCATGCGCGCTTCGTCCCCGATCCCCCATTGCCCGCCCTCCTTGCCCTGCTTTTGCAGCTCCAGTGCAACCGAAATGTTTAATGAGCTTGTATCATCCTCTCCGGCGATGTCACTAGCCACGTCGCTCGTCCTCCTTGGCCTCTGGCTACCACTTCGTCGCTTCTCCTGTCTCTGACTGTCCAGGCGGAGGCTATCCCCGGAACGGTCAGTAGTGCGTCTCCGTAGGGTTGGCCAGAACCGCGATGATGTAGTTGAATGTAGTGAAATTGTATCATCTGCAATCTTTGTATTCAGATCGTCAGCGACTTGGTCTTCATCTGGTTTGGAAACCACAGGTTCGGCCCGCATCTTTTCGTTGGTAGTGCTGTAGGATGTGGTGTGAGGCGGTGATGAGGATTCAGTAGCCTCCAATTCATGAGGAAGTTGTGATTCGTCCACTTCTACCAGTTCGGCATCACGATACCACTTTCTGCGGCGCGTCCACCGACCCCATCCATCAAGTCCCCGCCGGCCATTTTGCCACTGGCAAGGTCATTGTTAGCTCAGTGAGAGGAAAGGGTAAGAGAGGCAGGGTCTGTTTACCTTGTTATCATAGTATATCCACCCATTCTTCCCCTCGGGACCATCATAATCCACTGTGCCCTGCTCTTCGGATTCATTCACACCATCTACCCGCCATCTACTGCTCTCCACCCATCGCCACCTCATACGACTTCCATCCTCGACTTCGGGAAGCTCAAACTCATCCCTTTGTGGCACGGCGTTGTTGTGTTCATCTGTCCACGCAGGCCGTTCGTATGCGAAAAGATTAGTTGTCCACCCCAAACCGATCCACCGTCTCTGATTCTCATATATAATAAACGTGAACTTGACGCCGGCGCTCTTAGTGCCATTTGCAGAACCCTTTCGTCGACGGCTAACTTGTAAACTGGAAGAGCCTAGAAATGATGCCTTGCTCATCTGTGATTCCTTTCCATTTGTGCCATTCTTAGTAGGTGGTGGCTTTGGCGGGCTTTCAAAGTGTAGACCAGTAATAGCTCCTGCAAGCCTGCGAACAGTTGCGCTTCTCCAGACAATGGTTCTCGAAACTCGCATCACCCTGGCATGCCATGTCAAGACAATAGACCCTGCCAGTAGCACAACGCGTCGAGTAGTGATGATCTTGAATGGTGACATGGTCAGAGCGACCCAAAATGGAGTCACTATAAGGAGCCGCATGAACATGGCCGTGAGCGCTGGCCTGGTGGTTGCGCTGGTAGGGGTTCGTTGAGTGCTTAAAAAGTCGGTCATTTCGAGGAGAGGGTCCATAAAGACATTGCATCTGCCAGTAAACTCCTTGAGTGTGTCGACAATCTCATCCAAAGTCTTCTGGTGTTTAGTGTTTGTAATTTCCGACCTAGCCCGAGAGTGGCCAGACTGCTTCCCATTTGGAGTCTCTTCCAGATTGCTACCGCCATTGGCCGCAGCCTTCTTGGAAGCAGAAGCCTCTTTGGTTACTCGGGCCGGCTCGGTCCAGCCACTGCTGCTCAAGGGACTATATCGTCGGCCGTACATGCCCGCTATCAGTGACATGCAGGCCACGATGGGGCCGGCTCGCATGAGCACGACATCGCCGTAGAGGACGACGGCCCAGAAGGCGCACAGCAATAGGAAGCTCTGCCAAGGGTCTCCGGTGCTCCATGTTAGAAGCCCGACAAATGTGTTGAGTGGAAGTAGGAAAGGGTGGCTGTAGGCGAGCGCGCGCGTGATCTGTGGAGGCGTGGCCAGGAGCAGCGGGCTCTTCTGATGAACTAAGACGGTCGATCGACGGCTGTTCCTCGATGGGGTCGTGGCCGAGAGCGTGACTGGGGAGAAGGAAGCGAAGGTCGGGGGAGGAGCAGCTCCCAGAGATGTATGCGAGTCGAAGGCTGGCGGCGAGCCGCCCAGAGACGAGTCGTCGCGGGAAGACATTGGCCGGCCGAGCTGTGAGATCCACGGAAGATCCTGCGAGTAGAAAATGCGGCAGATGGTCAGCAAAGAGTTGCGGCAGCTCGAGCAGATGCGCGGCGACAACAGGCGCAAGCACTAGCACGCGGGAGTGTCAAGGTGTAATTGTAATTGTAATGGTAGCAACTCGACGACGTAACAACGACGAGGCATCTGGCCGTAGCTCGAATCGTGGCGTCAACGAAGGCTGACGAGAGACGTGCCTAGGCTGCGTGTCTTCATGACATCACCCTAACGAGCCCTATAAAGTTGTGGGATGTCGATCCAAGGGCGGGCATCCTCCGTCTGGCACAGGCGTGCGCATGGATAAGTGGGAAAAGAAGCAATTCCAAACAGCAGAAAGCAGTCGCGCAAGGTGGAAGCAAGGGTAGAGCGAGCAACGCAGGAACAGGGAAGGAAATCGAGGCCTCGCAGGGGAGAGCATGTGTACGAGTACGAATACCAAGTTGCCAAGTGCAGGGAAGAGACTCACAATGGCAGCCATCTAAGGCAGTCCGTCGTCTCCGCCAGCCCAAAACGTCATTGGTCGCGCAACCGCGTCAGGCTGCAAACAGGCGGGTTTGGAGTAGAATTTACATCAAGGAGAGTCGATGAGAAATATAGATGGAATAGAAAAGATGGAAGAAATTCGTACTTTAGGTACATGCAGTACGAGCACAGCAAATGGTCAGCAGGCCGCAATCGTCCTGATCGCTTTGGCAGGAGCCGAGGGCAGGCGCCTGCTAGCAAACGGATGAGTGCTGGTTGGCCACGTGAGACACCTTGATCGATTATGATTTCAATCACATGCAAATCGGGGCAGCGGGCACTCCGCTACTGTGCTACTAAGGACTCGGGAGGTACTAAGGTTGTTGATGAAGAGCACGAAATACTTGTATCGAGTACCTGAGTTGCGGTGAAAGAATGGGTCTACACATGGGTAGGGGATACCTCGGACTCCTTGCAATGTACCTGATTGTCAGCATGGACGACGGCAAGTGCCTTGCAGCGCTCCATAATGTGCCTGTGATGCCCCGTAGCTTAGGGAGCACCTAGCGGCGGTACATGTGGCCTCCATACTGGAAATTGCACTCTACAGGGGCCCCCAGCTCTCCTCCCGCGGCAGCTGACAGCTGGCCAAATCCGGGGAAGTCCAGGCTGCAGAACGCAGGGTCCTGGTGCATTTACAGGTACAGACTCTACTATGTACAGCTTGTGTCTCACAACGCAATAATGAACACAATTGATGGGAACATGCACAAGACGGATAAATGCTTTTTAATAGTAATACATTGATTATGAAGCGTACTAGCTAGTACTATTGAATACAAGTCGTCGAAATGTCGTCGTATCGCAATTTGACAATAAGAAGCCAACGACGTAGAGGCAGATGGCGTTTTTGGTGTGTCTCTCAAACATCAAGTGATGCGTTGCATTTGCTCGAGTATCAAGTTTTTAGTTGCAGTTGGAGCAAGAGCCTGTGTGTGCAAATACGCCAGTTAGCAAGATGCCCTATCAGTGACTTCTGGATGCCGACATATACTTACAGCTTGAGCCGCAGTTACAAGTGGAAGCACCAGAACAGCCACAGTTTCCGCCAGACATGATGAATAAGTAGAGATGGTTTGGTGTTTTATAAAAATCTGAAGAGATGTCGGTATGGTATAGTTGAAGTAGTTGCAGAAGATGTAGTTATTTGTATTGTGATAAAGAAAAGAAAACATCAATCCTCTCCAGAATCTCGCGAGTCTTATATACCCAGTTCTGCGTTATTTGTGCCGATTTTAGGCCCCGCCTCCTCAGCCTCAAGATGCGTGGTTTGTGCCGATTTGTGGCGGGTGGCAACGCCCAGTCTCATCCGGACAGTGGGGGTTCTAGAAGTCTCCAGCTCTAGCTCTACAGACTCATTTCTCCCATCTAATCATATCAATCTTGAGATCTAAGATTAATCATCATCATTGTCTACTCAGCTACTTTGATGCAGTACCTCTTTTTTAACTTTTTACTAATGATTCCAGATATGAGGAATCTATCATAACATGCACAAGTAATCGCCATCATTCTAATGGTCATGTCCCTCGTGCTCGTCCTCTTCACCATCTCCACTCCAGTCCGGAAATCCATCTTCAAACAGCCCCTCCAGCATCTCTCTCCTCTCCTCCTCTTCTATTCCATCTTTCCTCATTACTCCCTTCCACGCCTCATACTCCCCATCCGTAAGTAGACATGCATCAAGCATCTCCTCCAACCCGTCATGGTCTAGTCCCTCTCCGATAAAGACAAGCTCCTGTCTCCTGTCTCCCCACTCCCCGCCCTTGGCAATGTCATGCTTCACTAGAGCATCTACATCGGGGCTTCCTGTTGTATAATCCTCTTCTGGCAAAGTGCAGAACCACGACCGTCCGCCCGTGAGAGTGAGCATGGCGCCGGCTTGGGACCATTCGCCAGCGCGATGAGGCCGTGTGGCCAGGAAGAATTCTCCTTTAGAGCGGAAGAGCCGTGCAAGGGTTGGGTGGGCTCGTTTATTAGCGAGAATTATTTCGTTTGAGGGCATCATCAAGGGATCGACGTCCATATCATTGACATCTTTGCTATCGTGAGGAGATTGAGCAGACACTGCGGTTTCGGGAGTTGAGGGGGGACGAGAAAGAGATGAAGAATCTGACTTGTCTTCGGAGGACGAGTTGGTGCTTGCGCTGTCTTCACAGTCAACCATTTCAGCATCCTCGGTGTCGGATTGTCTTTCGTCTTCATCTTCCTCTTCCTCTTCCTCCTCTTCATCTTCATCGTCGTCATCCTCAGGATGCTCCATCTGCAAGATGAACTTATCATACAACAGCGCATAAAGCCGTCTTGGATGAAAAGGTCGATAACGTGAATAGATGAAACTCTGTACATTATACTCCTCCGTCTCCGGCTTAGGAGTCACCACATTGCGGCCATTCACCTAGAATATCTGTGTCAGCCTTTCCCATAAGGCTTCATACTGTAGAAGCAACTGTCAGGGAAACATACCTCGCGCACAGTCATTGCATGCAAATCCTGCAGCCATCCATAGCCAGTTTGCGCAATTTGAAGATTAAAGAGGCCTGTGTTGACCAGCTCTTTGACGTCCACTTTGCTATATTTAGACTCGAGAATCTTGGCACGGTGGTTCAGCTGCTTAACAATGTTAAGCACTTGAGCTTTTGTCTCGTCGTTGATCTGATCAATCGGTCAGTCATCAATCAATATGGCTTTACTTGTGGCCCACCTTACCATATCGATCTTATTCAAGATAATCACATCAGCAAACTCAATCTGATCAACCATAAGGTCCGACACAGTTCTTTCGTCTTCAGGAGTAACATCATCCCTTCGACTAGACAGTATATCCGCCGTATCAAAGTCGTTTAGCATCGTAAAAGCATCAATGACCGTCACGGTCGTATCCAATCGGGCAAATTTTTCCAGCCCTCCAGCTTTCTTCCTGCACTACGATCAGTTGCACCGCCAACAGCAAGAGGCAATCTTCCCATAATAATTTCAAGCTTACAGTTTGTTCAAAACCTTAATCATGTCTTCATCAAGAGCAGCAGCGCCTTCGCCTTCAGTCAAGAGGCTCATCTGCTCTGCAAGACGAGAATCAAAAGTCTCAGCTACCTGCTCCGGCTCGCTGATACCACTGCTTTCGATGATGATGTAGTCAAACTGCTGAAGCTGAGAAATGCGCACAAGTTCCTCTAGCAAATCTCCTCTCAAAGTACAGCAGATGCATCCATTCTGCAACGCAATGACCTTTTCATTGGTCTTTGTAAGTTGATGTGTCTTTTTTATAAGAGATGCATCGACATTGATACTGCCCCGATCTCAGTACAACTATTCCATTTAGAGAGCAGCATAATACATACGCTCCAATATCATTCACAACAACAGCTATACGAAGTCCATGGTCGCTTCGTAAAATGTGCTGTAGGAGTGTTGTCTTGCCCGAACCCTAAAACAGATTGTCAGCAAGACCTGGACCAGATTGGCGTGGAGTAGAGTGGACGTTGTCAACTTACCAGAAAGCCAGACAAGAGCGTCACTGGTAAAGGCTTGGGGGGCACCAAGATTTCTGACTTTTTGCTTTTCTTCACCTTGATAGTTCGTCGCTGTCCCATTGTGGCGAGAGGAGTTGGCCAGAGTCAATGTTTTACAGAGCGGTATATGCAGGAAATATGTCGAAAAGAAGAAATAGGAAAATTATTATGATTTAAATTTATATCGTTCTGGTGCTCTATTTTATAGCAGTCATGGTTACAAAAATTCATGGAATCTTCGTTGGCCATCAAGGTTGTCACGTCAGTGCCATCAAGGTGTTGACGATGCATATTTGCTTCACTTAGGCGCGTCATTACGGACCCAGTCAATGGATCTGATAGTGCCAAAACCCCAAAGATATTCGCTTCTTGTTTTCTCATTATAAATCAATGCCATTGTGATTGGCCAGCTTGTCTTTAGGCCAAATGATGTGGCAGAAAACTGCTACGCTACGTATAATGAATGGATGATTATTGGTGCGCACGGATTTCTGTCCGTATCAATACACGACGCTCAAACCCTCGGTTTAAGTCAAACTAGCATCTCAAAAAAGGAAGAATTCCATAACTCCGCTCAAGTAGGCCTACCCAATGGCCTCTGATGATATTCCCCGCAAAACTCAATGCATTACAACTTCGTCACTACAATGAGCGTTTACACCAACTTTCACATAATGCAGCAGCTTCCCATGCTCATGCCAGTCCCTGCTTGGCACTGCTCCAAGTAGCTAGGGTCGTCAGAACTGCCTTCGGCGAGATTGTACTTCCGTATTGGTCCCTTGGCTGTCAGGGTATGCTCTCCTTCGGGGTGCCACCATCGCAGGAGCTGAAGCAGTGTGCCCTGGCTGTTGTCAAGGCTAATCTCCCATCTGCCACCCGAGACTGTGATTTCACACTCTGGCTTGGGAAAGTGGTACTCGGGAAGGAATATAATAGTAGGGGCATCATCCGTCGCAGCCTGAGGAGCCGAAACCTTGATGTTGAAGGTGCATTTACGTAGATCAAAGCCAGACGAGACAAGTCTCCCCGCCACAGCTGATGGTGTTGGCCGAATGAAGGCTTCTGCAGCACGATAACCTGGAGCATTTGCAAGCTCAGGGTCTTTATCCGAGGGAGCGGAGCTGATTGATGGGTTCGTAAGCGTTCGTTGAAGATTTCCCGGATTTATTTCAGCATCCTCCAAGGTTTCCGAGGTTACGACGGTGGCGCCAGGTTTGACCAGACTCGTAGTTGATTGATCAAAGGCAGTCTCGCTCAGTATGGATGATGTCTCGGGGAGCTTGTCGTCGACGGAAACGATGGACAAATCCTCTCCATTCCATTGATCTCCCCTCTCGTGATCGTTTGTCGTGGAGTACACCCACAAACAATACCCTTCCATCCCCGATCCTTCAGCCGCAAAATAATTAGCATCCAGTGCCGCAGACTGGCTCGAGTAATCTCCCGTCTTGTATGCCTTTTTATCATCCATATCATAGGGAATACCAAATTCTGTCATCAGGCAAGGATGGTTGCCCGTCCGCTCAATGCCTTCTTGTCTAAGGGTCGCTAGTTGATCTCTTAAGCAGTTCCGAATGGCGGTCTCGCCAATTCTAATTGCAAAAGCAGGGTGCCAATACTTGCCCCGAAGCACACCAACGACGTCAACATTCCAACTACTATTCCAATGCTTTGTCATGAGGGTAATGCCGTCATAGAAATGAGGAGTAAAGGCCATCTTTGGGTCATCGTCCTCCGTGCCTTTGATCTGGGGAGGAAGCTCCAGAGTGGGAAACTGCATAAACATGATGCAATCCTTGTGGTGGGCGCGACAAGCTTTGCTGTATTTCCTCCAAAAGTCCAGGAAATAGGTGTTTGTGAATTCCGGATAGTCAATCGTTTTTCCAGTATTGGGGTTCTTTGCAAAGTAGTCCTTCTTCAGGAGGGTATCTGTTGCGATATCCCACACGCCATGCTGAGCCCAGACACATTCGCCAAGTTTCCATCCCGCATCGCGCTTCCATCCATACCTCGAGTCGTCATACCCTTCAGGCAGCCAGGCAAATTCGCCATGTGGATCTACAAGCTTGGTGCCCGTCTTGTACGGCCCCAGTCCCCCCATGTCCCATGTATCGACCTCACACGCCCTGCCCATGCCCGTTAGGAAAGTCTGCCACATTGTTGGGCATGTTCCCTTCTTGAGAGGGTGTTCTTTGGGAATGACGCTCAAATCAACATAGCCGGTCATGCCTCGATTCGGTTCATTCATACTCTCCCAGCCAATGACAACTTCGTTTTCGAGGTCTCCAGCCTCGTGAATGCGCTTTGCGAGATGGGCGCATGCATTGATGAAGTGGCCCTGCAGATAATCCTGGATGTTGACACCGTTAATGATGCACTTGGGGGCAAAGTCCTTGCCGGCGAAGAAAAAGGTGAAGATGGTGCCAGCAGCAAGTCGGTAGTAGTTGGTAGACCAAATCATCTTGGGGAAACTATCAGGCTCGGGATACGTGTTGTGAACAATGGCCGCCTCGGTAGCAGCAAAGCTCTGGGGATTCAGTCCACAGGCGTAAATCGTCCACATGGGGGCTCCAGAGCCACCGGTGAACCTGGACCAGACGTCCTGGTGAGGGTCCATGAAGACGTAGAAGCCATAGGATTTGGCGATCCTCAAGACCTCAATGGTGTGCTGAATGTATTCCTCGTCGTAGATGCCCGGCCCAGCAGCCTCAAGGGCCTCCCATGTAAACAGATATCGGATCGTGTTGAAGCCAAACCGCCGGATCCTCGAAAAGTGCATCGGGGCGTCTTGCTTGGTAAACGGCCGCTGGTGAAACGTCACGTTGTCACCGTCGAAGAAATCGTCGCCGACATGAGACGGCTGGTTGGGCTCGCTCGGCAGCTTCGTGTCTCCAGCGACGTTGATGCCGCGAAGAACAATCTGGCGGCCTTGGCCATCGCGGAACTGGCCGTCTTCGATTGTCAGGCGAAAGGAAGCCATGGTTCTCACCAGGCAGCGAATTGAATCGAAAGGAATTGGATCTGCTCCTCGATGACAACGATTAAATGGCCGACGAAAAAAAAAGGGACGAAGAGAACTGAGGACTGGAGTGATGACGAAAGACGGTTCGCGAGCGTCTCGCCAACTGAGCATGTCACCAGACAGATTCAGTGCCAGACCCCACTAGCAGATAGCGGTCTCTCAGTCGCCACAGCTAGAGCCTAAACTGGAAAATAGCGAACATGGCTAGCGCTGCTGCTTCCCCACAGCGGATAAGACTCGATCTCTTTTCCCCCGATTTCTCCAATTCGGCAGACCCGGGTGGCGATGGCTGATTGCGAATACGAAAGGAACAAAGTGCCGTGTAATTGCTGAATCATGCAGGTTTTAGACGTGCTTTAGTTCAAATGCCGGTAGATGTATGAATCACCGAATCCAGAGGCATTATACTCTACTTGTGAATTAGTATTGCATTGGTATGTATGTGGGTTAGGACAACTTCAATTGTTAGGACTGTAGGGTAGACAACAACCGAATCATTCATACACAGGTAGAGTAATAAACATTCTCATTATCCGTGTAATAGAATATACAAAACTAAAACTAAACTTATCCCTTCCTCATTATACATAATATCATCAAAAATAAAGTCAACATGGAGCATCCATCACAGCCAAATCGTCCCTTCATCGCACTCATCTGCTTCATTATATCTGCCTCAATAATAGAAACCCACCGGCCCTTGATTGTTTGTTGCCTGCATACCCGAATCATCATCCTGGTCCACTGAAGATTTACTCACGATAGGTTGGTAGACTTGAAATCGTGCTCCTGCGGGAGCATGATTCATCGGTCGGCTCTGGCCCAGTTCCACCGGCTCGGGAACTGATGGCAAGCTATCGCGCCCTATGAAATCGGCAGCTCGAAACGGCGCCAGGTCTTCGCCTTCTGTAGGGCCCCATATCACATCTTCATATAGCTCTGGTCGGGGGTTTGAGCGTCGTCCAAAAATGTACCATTGGATCAACCACGGCAAATATTCGAATAGCTGGAAACGCATAAATTTCCTCTTCGAAACGGCAAAAATGTGGTCTAGCTCTTCGAGAGTGCGGCGCTTTGTCTCTTCTACAAGCAAGAAGACCATGACTAAAGCGACCACATTGAGTCCAGAGAAGAGACCCAAGGAACCGATTTCTTTGAGGCCAGAATTCACCCTTTGCAATCATTAGCCCAAAATAGCCATTGATTTGGCCTGAAGGTTCAGCTTACCTTGGAAAGACGATGGATAAAATACCCGCAAAGCCCAAGTTGATGGCAATAGCCCAAGACGCTCCCTGATACGCAATTAATTTTGACGAAACTCCTCAAGATTAGTCATGATAACCTACCGCTTCTCTATGAGATAGAGGAAAGCTTTCTGAAGCAAGGGTAAACGGGATCGGGCCCAGACCTGGAGAGTACGCAGCGGCAAAGACTGGCTGGATGTTAGGTCACACTTCAGAACTAATTGGTGATTGTCACTCATACCGAATAAGAAGAAAGCAGCAACTCCAACTCGGATATTCTCAGCCGCAATATTGAATGATAAAGCGGCAGCAAGCATGAACAAGGCCATGAAAGGCAAAGTTCCCAACAGCCACTTTCGCCTACCCAACGTGTCGATACTTCTCACAGCCGGTAGTCCACACAGAAAGTTGATTGCTCCTATTTAATGAGCGGTTAGCTTTCTGTTCTCAAGTAGAAGAATGTGACGAATAGGTATGTATTTACCAAATCCAAGACTGTATGCCATTGGGACGATTTTCGTGTGCATATGGATGCCTTCGTGCACGCCATTGAAAAGGTATCCTAATTTCCATGAGTTTTGGTCTGAATCTGGCTACATGACCCGAGATTTACCTGAGTAAAAGGCCAGAACGTTGACTGTATCTCGTTAGAGCGTGCCTCTTGGATGATGTATATTCTTAACTTACTTCCGCAGAGCTGCTGGGCTAAGTTGACCGTAGATGTAGAGATGAGGGCATTATATAGGCGTCTCTGTTGGAATAGTTGCCTGTATTGTCTCATAAAGTCTCGCATAACCCATACGAATCCCGGGGATCGAAAAGCATGGGCGTCTAAATCGCCTAGACCCATAGATTGTTGCTCAAGTGACTTATACACAACATACAAGTCTCGCAGTGCTTGCAGCTATCAATGAGTTAGTAGATACCAGAGAGGAGCCAAAGTATGACATACCTCAGTATTTCGGATCTTCGCCATGCATGTGAATGCCTTTGGAACGCTGTAGTTGGGGCCTTTGGTAAGGTGGTATCGAGGGGATTCTGGGCAGAAGAACAAGGCAATTATGAATAGTACAAGACTTGGCGCCATGGGGGCTGCATTGATGAGTGCCAGCGTCGTCGCGTTCGACTGAGCCGTCGTGAAGATGAGGTTAAAACCAAAGCCGAGCATGATACCAAATGCGACCCTTTTCTTGCGAGTTAGCTAATGGCACCAACAAGAAGGTGTTGAGGTGTTTATCTTACCATAATTGCCAGGCTAGAATGGCAGATCCACGCCAGAACCCGACAGCAGTCTCTCCAGCAAGAATCGGCGTGCTGACCGCCTTGATTCCCATTCCTAATCAAATAATTAGTATTTAAAAACCAAGAGGAATTTTTTGATCAAAAATACCAATGCCATTAATAGTCCGGATTCCGAGTAGTAGGTACCAAGACTTTGCGAAAGCAGCACCAATGGAACTTGCGAATATCAAGAACGCAGCAACGCAGATGCCTCCACGTCTGCCGTACCAATAATTAATAGGCAGCGAGAGAGGGCAGCCAATGAAGGCAGCAACGAAGAATGGTGCTGCATTGGTAGCCCCGAATTTCCAATTATCCGAGCTGGAGGTCATGATGTGTTCCGGAATCCCCCATTCTTCTTTATACAGCGAAGCGCCGTTGAAGGACGACTGAACAAATCCTGTTGAAAGAAGACAGAATTAGGCAGGAGCAAAATTGCCTGAGAATGACGCGCTCTTACCTTGCAATAGAGCAGCAATTGAAACTGTGAGGATGACAATTCGCATGCCCTTTTCACTAAATGGGACGTCTCTCTCGCGTCGCAAAGCTCGTTTCTCCTCCGTCGTCAATTGTACCGGAAGAGTCGACTCAAAACGGTATCCTTTTTCTCTAGCAACTTCATCATATATACGAATATCCTTTGCGACTCGAGCGGCACGTAGGAGGTCCTCGTATGCGACGGATGGCAGGTGGTTCTCGATAAAGGATCGAACATCCCTCTGCAATTCCTCGTCCGTGAGATGTACTATTCCCGTCAGCTTCCATCAGATTCCTATTCAAGCTTTTTTTTTTTTCTATTGACAATCTTACCCAGAGGGTTTTCAATGATGGCATTGCCATTCGCGCGTCTGCCTCGAGTTGCAGACGAAAATTGGCCTTCGTTGCGGTTCGAGGCGCCCGTGTTTCGACCCGATGAAGCCATCACGAATGCCAGAATCGTCAATTACACCGACAATCTGGAACAAACAACGGTGAAGATGATTCATGCGAGATTATATCAAGAAAAAGCAAAGATTACAGATTCGCTCGCGATTTTAGTGGATATGAGTCGCAACAACAATAAGACGCTCGAGTCACCCAGAAGACCGGGCGCCTCATATACGGGCATTCCTACTTACAACAGCAGCTCACTTGTTGATATGCACAGATAATGTGACGGGACGAATTTTGTGCATCGTATTCACATTCTTGGCTGATCAATGCTAAATTACACAAACCGCAACGCAACGCAAGGCGGACCGGACCCTCGCGTGGCTGAGGCATCAACGATTCCTGATGCCAATCATAGAACTGAAAGAAATTTGTGCTACCTGAGTATAAAGAGGGATGCCACAAAAAAAAAGAACAATGGACTTCGCGCTGGCTAGACTAGGGGGCGATCTCATTCTTTTAGTCTAATGTGGCTTTTCTGAAAGCAAACTTGTCCGCAATGACATAAAAGCGAGGCTGCGGCACCTACAACTTGAGATGGGACTGGTGCCAAGATTTGTTGGCTGCATAAAGGAGTCGAGCTTTGACAAAAGCTGAAGTTTTCAAGGACTCTTGAGGTTGTACAGACCCCAGTCTTTCTGATGGCTGTCTCAACAGGCAACCTTTGTGGCTTCCCACAATCCCTGGCTTGCTATGTACCTAGTGGGTTGATAAGAGATAATTAACCAGGAGGGGGCAAGGTATCCTCTTGAACCTTTCTTATGCTGTCTTGATCACGAGAGAAGTATTTGTGTTTTGTTTGTTTGTTATAGCCTATTCATAGGATGTCACTCGTAATAAAAATAGATCCAGCTGCAGCCGATGTATGACAATGGATGCATTCGTATAAACTGTAGAATTATGTTGACATTTGATCTTCCAAGAGAGCAACGAGAATTGCTCCTTAATATGGTATTTTGCTCAACATGTGGATATTATTGGAACAGTGACGATAAAGACTCGGAGTAGAAGATTTAACATCACGCATAGCCTTTTCTTGGCCTTGGAGCTGCTCACCGATAAAATGGAGATCTTATCACAACACAGTTGCGAATCAACGATAATTATCATCAATTGTATCTTTAATTCTGCAATTCAATGATTGTTGCCCTGCTGATGAATAAATTCAATTTTGTCAAAGCCAGATGAGGACCTTGGTAGGCACGATCGGCAAATCCTCGGCCAAGGCAGCACAGCGCCCGCGATAGCTGTTGAGGCTCATGGCTTAGCCAGTCACTTCATTCATCACCAGACACTCGCTCGAGCTCTCAGACATGGGAGTCTTGGCTTGAAGATTCTTCAAAGGCAGAGACACCGTCTGCCATGAGATTCAAGCCGTTTGATATTACAGGCCGTTCTTTGTTTTGTTTGTCTTTCTTTCTTTCTGATCTGACTCCATCCTTTGTGCGTGCTGGCTTCCGCTGAGGATATCAGGCATCATCATGGCCAGCAGCAAGGCGGCGCTCAAAGGCATCAACGATGCAGTGCGCCAACAAAAGTTTGACGACGCTATTGAAATGGCCCGGGACTTTTTGAAAAAGGAGCCCAGCAACTACCAGGGGTATGTTGGCTATTCTATTCTACATCCATGTGCACCAAAACTGACCCCTCAGTCATATTTTCTTGGCTTTTGCGTTGGATAAGAAGAACCGCCCGGATGAGGCCGAGGCTGTCTATCAATCGGCAACCCAGCTACGCCCTCAAGATGCACAGGCTTGGCAGGGACTCATCAAGCTGTATGAGAAACAGGCCGCCAAGAAGCTGCGCGAGTATCAAGCAGCAGTGATCAGCCTGGCCCCAATCTTTCACCAGGCGGAGGACCTGTACAAGTGCCAGGAAGCCGTCGATAAGTTCGTCGACTTTGCTCGAGCCCATGGAGATCAGCTACAGTATGCCGACGCCTTGTGGATTAGGCTTCCCGAGAGTCCTCTGTACTCGATTCTGGAAGGCTACTTCCCTCATCCCGCCAAGACATACGAAAGCATCACTCATATTATCGAGACATATGAGAAAAAGGCCATCAATACGCTCATTGGAGAGCGACGAACGAGGCTGGGTGCGACATTGACTGATGTTACTCTCGAGGTAAAGCGGGAAATCTACGGCCAAAGCAAACTAGAGCACCTTTACCGGCAACTCATCAACTGGACGACTGATGATGATTTGAGGAGAAGTTACGAAGAAAAGCTGATTCAATACTGTCATGATCGCCTCGTTGTGCTACCCTCAGGGCCAGCAAAGACGGAGGAGCAGGAGAAGGTTCTTGGACTGGCAAATGACATGGTCATTATCAGACACCCATTCCGACTGGCCTGGGATATTGCCATAAACTGGCAGGACAAGAAGGAAATCCAAGACTACGACGTGGAGCTTCTGAGAAACTACTGTAATTTTTTCCCAGAAAGTGATCTATACAAGATCATCACTGGGTTCCTAACAAGCAGCTCTTCTCCTTTCGCAGCGCCCACGGCAGAAGAATCGAAAAAGGCCCCCTCAGCCGAGGCCGAAACCTCTGACGATAGTGATGAAGAAGATGGCGGCGCCCCAACCTTTGTCGTCCCACTAACCGAAGAAGATCGGTTAATCATGATGACAGATGGCATTGCAAGCTCCGAATCCGTCTTTGGCTATAGGCTGGTAGGGCAGTACCTGCTACGGGCCGGAGAATACGAGAGTACAGTGGAATTGATGCGCAGGGCTGTTCCTTTTCTTACTAAACAGAAAGAAAAGATTGGCTTGTCATATGCAAACACGGAAGATGCCTATTCCATCTCGCTTGCGACGGCGCTCATCTACTACCAATCTCCAAGACATCACCAAGAAGCCAAGCGTCTATTTGACAAGGTTCTAGAGCACGACAAGTCTTCAACTCCTGCCATGATTGGCGCCGGCCTCATATTCGAGGAAGAGGAGGACTACGAAGAGGCGATTGATTTCCTTACTCGCGCACTGGCTCGTGATGCCTCAAACCTTCGTGTCAAGTCCGAAGCTGCCTGGGTCAAAGCTCTTAGGGGAGATTGGCAAACAGCTTTGGGCGAACTACAAGAGTGTATGGAGCCTCTAGAGGAGAAAGGTGATGCGGCCAAGGAGCTGCTGGCTGATACTCAGTACCGCATCGGAATGTGCATTTGGAACCTGGATACGGATAAGCAATCTCGAAAGCGGAAGAAGGGCGAATGTGCTTATGCCTACTGGCTCAAGGCGCTGAACAACTTTTTGAACCATGCACCGACGTATACCAGCCTAGGGATCTTCTACGGCGACTACGCAGGCGATAAGAAGCGATCACGTCGATGCTTTACAAAAGCCCTGGAGCTGTCATCTTCAGAGGTGACGGCGGCCGAACGCCTGGCTCGCTCCTTTGCAGATGATGGCGATTGGGATCGAGTGGAATTGGTTGCTCAGCGCATTGTTGACTCTGGCAAGGTGAAGCCTCCACCAGGGTCGAAACGAAAGGGAATCAGCTGGCCTTTTGCAGCCCTGGGTGTTGCGGAACTGAACAAGCAAGACTTTCACAAGTCTATCGTGTCGTTCCAAGCCGCCCTCAGAATCTCGCCCAATGACTACCACTCTTGGGTTGGGCTCGGCGAAAGCTACCACAGCTCTGGACGATACATTGCGGCGACCAAAGCCATCCTCAACGCAAAGAAGCTGGAAGAAGAATCCAAGGTGGATGTGTCCGGGGATACTTGGTTTACCAACTATATGCTTGCTAACATCAAGCGAGAACTGGGCGAGTTCGACGAGGCCATTATACTCTACCAGACAGTTCTGGAGACGCATGCTGAAGAGGAGGGAGTGATTCTCGCCTTGATGCAAACCATGGTAGACAATGCCGTTACAAGCGTGGACAGGGGCCTGTTTGGAAAGGCAGTTCATCTTGCAATAGATGCTATCAACTTTGCGACTAAGCGGAGCGGCGGCGTGTTGGACACTTTCAATTTCTGGAAGAGTATCGCTGAGGCTTGTTCTATATTTACGCTGGTCCAGAGTCGAACAGCGGACTTTCCTATCGATTCAATCAAACCTCTGTTAGAATCTCGTCCACAGGAGGCTTTCGATGTCCTCGCCAATGTTGACAAGGTTGGTACTGATGTCGTGTACCAGACGGCTACGACGGACGAGCATTTCAACATTGAGATTGCGACATGCCTCTACGCAACAATTCTGAGTTACAAGCAGGCCATCCACGTATCGGCCAATGATATCCACGCACAGGCCGTTGCGTACTATAACCTGGGATGGGCAGAATATCGTGCTCATACTTGCCTGCCATCACAGCTGCGGAAAAAGCCAAATCGATACATCAGAGCTGCTGTCAGAGCATTCAAACGATCAATCGAACTGGAAGCCAGCAATGCAGATTTCTGGAACGCCCTAGGAGTAGTGACTAGCGACATCAATCCCTCCATAGCTCAGCATGCATTTGTCAGAAGCCTGCACTTAAATGAGCGTAGCCCGGTGGCGTGGACCAATCTTGGGACCTTGGCCCTGCTGGCAGGAGACTTTAAGCTTGCCAACGAGAACTTCACGAGGGCTCAGTCCAACGACCCGGATTATGCGCACGCATGGCTCGGCCAAGGCTTTGTAGCACTCTTGTTTGGCGAGGCAAAGGAGGCAAGGGGTCTTTTTACGCACGCGATGGAAATTTCGGAATCGTCGTCGCTACCTGCACGCCGTCACTATTCGTCTTCGCTTTTCGATCACATCTTGACGGCTCCGCTCAACCTGAACGTGGCATCGCTAATCCAGCCTCTGTTTGCTGTCAATCAGGTCCAGAGTTTACGCCCCGATGATTTGGCCTTTGTCCATCTCAAAACCCTTTTGCAAGAGCGTACGGGCGAAAGCCCTCGCGCCGTTGAGACTCTCGAGAAGATATGTGAGAAGCTCGAAGCCGATTACGAAAGGACCGAGTCCGCCGATGACCTTGCGCGATTCACGCTGGCCAGGACGGATCTCGCGCGGGCATACCTCGCCGCGGGATCTTACGAACAGGCCGTCGAGTGTGGAGAAATGGCATTGGGATTGAGCGGCGAGGAGGGCGAGAATGAGTTGACGAGTGAGCAGCGCAAAAAGGCCCGGCTGTCGGCACACTTGACTGTGGGACTTGCGCAGTATTATCTGAAGACGTACGACGAGGCAGAGAAGTGCTTCGAGTCGGCGTTGGAAGAGTCCGACAACAACCCTGATGCGACGTGCTTGCTCGCTCAGGTTCTGTGGGCTCAGGGCACTGAGAGCGCAAGAGAGAAGGCTCGTGGTGCTCTGTTTGAAGTCATTGAAAAACATCCTGAGCATGTGCAAAGCGTGCTACTCCTGGGAGTCATCGCCCTGCTCGATCAAGATGAGGCAAGCCTAGAAGCCGTAGTAGAAGAGCTTCAAGGCCTCCGAACAAATGACAAGGTAACAGCAGCAGAACAATCTCGCATCGGCCAAGTTTTGAGAGCGGTAGCCTCTCTCGGGGACGGAAAGACGGAGCAGGACATGGTCTCGCAGGTCCAGACCGACATCATGCTCTATCCCAACCTCCCGCATGGCTGGTCATCGCTTGCTGAAACGACGGGCGAAGATGGCGACTACGCGGCCGAGATGTCGCTCAAGGTTGCTGCCAGGGGTATTCCGCCGCGGGGGACGCTGGAAGCGCAGGACTTGGCCAAGGCGTATGCTGGGACGGGCAGAGTCGCGGATGCGCAAAGGGCGGCGTTTTTGGCGCCGTGGGAGGGGGCTGGGTGGAATGCTCTGGAGACCAGTGTTGAGGGTATATGATGGGAATATATATCATGGCTTCATGTATGGGAAAATGAAGAGATGGCTGTTCACGATGACGGAATAGAGAAACGAGAAAGTGTACGGCTATACGAAATGACTTACCGTTCACAATGAAATATATACAGTAAAATAACGTTATATAAGGGGGTATCACAAAGCAATTCCAATGTCCCAGATCCAATCCATGTCCTCACTGCGGCCGATCCGCTCCCACGCTCTCCCTGAGCCTCGCCAGTCTTCCCTCCATCCAGGCCTCATGCCAAGCGTCAATCTTGCCTCCAAGCAGCGTGCACGTCTCCGGCGTCAGCAACACCGTCCCCCTCGCCACGACGGCGCCCGCCTTGAGCAGCATCTTCTCGCCGATGTGCGTCTTGCCTATCCCAATCCCCCCTACACGCCTCAACTCCACCGCGAAGACCTTTTTGCCGCGGCCGTCCTGCAGCACCAGCCTGTGCATGGCGTTGGTCCCCCCCGAAGCCGCTCCCGCACGAGAAGCCTGCGTCTGTCCCGCAGATGAAGAAGACCCATCCGCCTCGCCGTTCTCTTCGTCCGTCACACGAATGACTTGTCGTCCGCGCGTGCGCTCGCCTCGCTCAATGGCCTCGAGCTCCTCGACCTGCTCCCAGCGGCTCAGACTCAGGTTCTCAATGTCGAGGACCTGGACGTGCGTATTTTGGGGGAGTGAAGAATTCTGGACGGCGGCGGAATCGATATTTGGGGGGAACGCGGGCATTGAAGTGTCGACGACGGTGCCGGAGGTGTTTGTCAGGTCGGAGGCGAGGAGACGGGCCTTTGCGGTTGCGAGCAGAGACGGCATTGGTGGCGGAGGGGAGCGAGAGGTGAGTGTTGCGAGGAGGGTTTGGGACGGCGGGGGGAGGGATTGGGCGAGGATTGCTCTTCGGAGCTGCGGGACGAGGTCCATTGTGTGTGAATTTGGTGCTGGTGTTGGTGCTTATGCTTGTTTGTGAAGCTGAGGTTGAAGCTATCGAGACTTTGTTTGGATAGCAGTAGAGCTTTTTTTCCCTTTGAGTTCCAGCCAAATGACGTACCTGGAATTCCCATCCAGCGGCTCCAATTGATAGCGGCGATAAGGTTTTAGGGGACCAGGGGCGCTATATTTTAGTGCGCCAGCTCTAGCTTACAAGGCTGTGCCTGTGCTGTCTGTCACCTTCTCCAGTGTCCAGTCCAGCCTCATCGTTGTCTCACTCAACCTCCAACCTCCAATCTCAACCTCGCCATCGCCATCTCCAGCCTCTCCATTCCAGCCATGTCCACCATCGCATCCTCCCGCAACCCTCCCGCTCCGCTCCGCCGCACCCCCTCCGGCACCCCCACCTCTTCCGCCCGGCCCTCCTCCGACGTCTCCCGCTCCGCCGTCACGTCCCCCGTCCTCGCCGCATCCCAGCCCGCGACCAGCTCCAAGCGGTCCAACAACCGCGCCGCTCTGCGCGAGTACTACAATCTCCGGGCCGCAGCGGCTTCGGCCTCGTCGCCGTCAACGCCGCGCATCATCGAGGTCCCCGACTCGGAGGTTCCCGCCAGCGAGATCGACGCGCCCGACTTTAACCTCGATGAGTTCCTCCAGAAGACTGTGGCGGAGAGCACCTTGCAGGAGCTGTTGAAGCTGTACACGAGAGTGCTGGGCGAAGTGAGGGCTCTGGATGCAGAGAAGAAGGCTCTTGTGTACGACAACTACAGCAAACTCATCACAGCAACGGAGACGATTCGAAAGGTATGCATCATCATCATGACCCGGGGTGGAAATTGCGTGACAGGGTATGGAATTGCAGCTGCTAACCAATTCAGATGCGAGCTAATATGGATCCCTTGAATCCCATGGCCACAACACTCGATCCAGCCATTGCCCACATCTACAGCCAGGCGTCCGCCATACAAGAATCAATACGAAAATCGGTACCTCCGCCGGATTCGGACGAAGGCAAAGCACGGGAAGCCCAGCAACGCCGTCAACGCACGAGGCAGCTGGCCATTGAGGTGCTGGCGACTCCTGAGCGGCTACAAGCACTTGTAAAGGAAGGGAGATTCGAGGAAGCCAGAAGACAGTGGGATATGCCGAGAAAACTGCTGGAAGCTTGGAAACAGAAGGGGGTGGGCGGAGACGACGTGCAGACATGCATCGATGAAGGCGATGCGGTCATTGCTGTGACGCGAAACAGGTCACCGGCACCCGAAGAGAGGGCGTCAAGGGACGGGCGATACGGGCCTTTGCATTCTAACACATCGCCTGCCATGAAGCAATGACCGCCCTGCCTTTGTTGCTGTGCAACGAATCCAATCTACCTGATGCCGTATTTATCACGCCTCTTAGTCCTCCTGCAAGGTACTCACATCCAGTATCTTGAACGGGTCTGCGTCATACTCGCTCAATATCACTTCTGCCCTGGGCTCGGCCTCCTTGAGCAGCTTCTCCAAGCTGGGCTTCAATACCTCTCGGAGGTAGCCTCTTTCCGAGTTGCTGTGGAACACTTGGATGAGGGTTCTGCCTTGCTGGATGGCCTTGAGAGCAGAGTGATGGCTCGTCTCACCCATGACGAGTAGGTCCACATCGGCCGACTGGAGAACGTCATATCCACTTCCTGCGCAAACACCAAAGCTGCGCACCGCGGTAGTCTTGATGTCAGCGCCAACAGGGGACGCAATCATGATGTGTTTGAGGCCTCCGAGCTTGAGAGCCAGTCGCTTGATGATCTCCGCCAGGGGCACGGAGGCACCGTCCTCGAACTTGCCTATGCTGCCATATCCAGCTGGAGAGTGTGATTCGGGGGCCGTGGCGCAAGGAATAGCAACCGACCGGGTGCTTCTATGGGGTCCGGCTACGATGTCGGCGAGCCATGTGTTGAGGCCCTGGGGGGCAGCATCCACGGCCGTGTGCGGGCAGTAGACCGCAATGCCAGCCTTGGCCAACTGTAGGAGTGTAGCTTGTTGGGGGTCGCTATTCGTAACTGACTTGAAGCCGGAAAAGATGAAGGGATCTGAATGCCAGGCATCAAGGCCAATTAGTAGCTAGACGACAGAGTAGAACAAGGCAGTAATATCATACGGTAGCTGACAATGACGCTGACGCCCTGGCCAATGGCATCCACTGCGACTTGAAAGGTGAGATCGTTTGTCACCATGACGGTGGGCTCGAGCTTCTTGGCATCGCTCTCGGAATTGCCAACCAGCAGCCCGACATTGTCCCATTTCCGGTCGGCGAGCTCTTCGGGATATCTGCCATGAATCAATCAACAAGTGTCAGCTAGGATATATATATAGGAAAGCATGTGAAGAAGACAAGGTGACGACAAGACAAGAGCAACGTACAGCGTCCTCATCGAGTTGACAACGAGCTGCGTAAACTTGGACGGCTCGACCTGCCATGCGCCCCAAGCGCCCACACCATCTGCATATTCAGCCATTGCGCCGCTGTCTGGTCTTTTGGTTGAGCTCGAAGTGGAAATGGAAATGCTGTGTCGCGGCGAGGGACAAGCACGAGCTGCAGAGAATCCGAGACGACGAAGAGCTGGAACGGGACGACAAGATGTTGAGCGGAGTGCCGACGAAAGACCTCTATCAAGGCGTCTTGCCAATAGCATTTGATATCAATGTGATGCCAGAGCTTGCAGATGATGGGTGAATTGGAAGAAGAAGAAGAAAGTCTGGACTAGATCTTGGATGTAAATCCCCAATAGAAGGCCTCTTATCGATGAAGCCCCTCCAATGAGAACCCCAAGCTCAACTAAGCTTCTCACTCCCCACACCAATCCAAACGCCCAATGAGCTCATACCGTACCGAAGCTGCGCGCAACACTGTTGAATCCGCACTGTAGGCATGCCACCATCCCCACGATCTATCTAATCAATCAGATCGCTTCTTCTTTCTTCTCTGCATTGTCGCAACCCTCCAACCAATATCCTCGCCCTTAAAACATTTCTCGCCATGGCCTCAATAACAGAAGCCTCCCTGCGCGAGGCCATCACCCAGCGTCTCGGCGCAATCCACGTCGAAGTCACCGACATGTCCGGTACCGCCCACTCCAAAACCCATATTACAAATCCCCCCCCCTCCAGGATAAGCAAAGACTCACAAAAAATTGTATACCAGGTGGCTGTGGCCAAGCATTCACTTCCCTGATCGTATCCCCCCAGTTCCAGAACCTCAGGGCGCTTCAGCGGCACCGCCTCGTCAACACGGCGCTCAAGGAGGAAATCGCCGCCATCCACGCCTGGACGGCAAAGTGCCAGACGCCGCAGGAGTGGGACAAGGAGAAGGATACTGCTGCGCCGTCGCTGGAGGGCACGGTTGGGGGACACGTTGAGGGGACGTCGCAGTGAAGAATGAGGGGGGAACAAGTCCAATATACCCAGGGGATCAAGGATGTTGCATACTCAGCCTGACCGTGGCACGAGAGATGGGCGCAAGATATACATGATGGAGCAAGATGAAGCCCAGAAAGATAGCCTGCCCAGGCAAACACCCATGGGCAATCCACTAGGGCTGGTCAAAAACTTACTTGGATAACATCACCATGGAATAGCCCTGCCGCATCGAGCAAACTTGCCCCAAAAGATTATGATATAGAGAGGGCGAATAACTCAAAATATCTTCATAACTTGTATATATATCAGAGATATCAAAATATGCATCACTTATTAACTATATTTCCCAACATCCGAAGCCACCCCCTTCCACCCCGTCTCGACATCTCCCATATATGCCATTTCCCTAGCTCCTCTTCTCCCATTTTTGCTCGCTGACCTCTTTGCCTATCAAAGTCAATGTGCATCTACAGCAAACCCAAAAGATCATCGCTATCCTTCTTAGGCTCAGAACCGCCGTGTAGCTGCATCGCTGCCGGTAATGGCTGGCTTGCATTCGCCGCTCCAAAGTTGAGCCCCTCAAACCCATTCATTAAATCATTCATGCCACCAGCTGGCGCCGCGCTAGAAGAGCCACTGGCCGCAGGGGCATCAAACATGCTCATCATGTCGGCCATACCACCCGTGGCTGGGCTTGACACCCGGTCAGGAGTTCCCGCTGCACTCGCCTGCTCCTGAGACGCCGGTGCTGCGCCGTCAAAGTCGATGTCGAGCAGGTTTTCAATGTTGCTCTGCGATGAGGCAGAGCCATTGGCGGCGGCCGCAGCAACAGAGGCAGCGATGGGGTTCTCCGCGGCGTTCTGGCGCTGTTCTTGAATGGCGGCCCGCTGGATTTCGTCGGCGCCGAATCGGCCCTTGCCAACAAAGGCTTCGGGAGGCTTGTGGTATACTGATGCAAGAGTCGACAGCTCCGACAAGAGTTGCTCCAGAAGGGTAGCGGGCAAGCTTGTCATTGTTGTTGAAATGGTCGGCTTTTGTGACAGAACGATGCTCTAGGGGTTAAATATCAGTACATGTGCGCTTCTTCAATAGTTAGATGGAACTGAATTCTTACCTTGGCCACCTCCAGGTCTCCTGATAGCAATCGCCAGTAGACATATGCTCTGTCACGGATATCAGGGTTGTCGTTGTTAGTGGTAGCCTCTTGCAGTACTTTTTGAACCAGACTCTGCGCTCCACTAGGCTTCTTCAAGAACAGCTTAACAACGGCTGTCAGAATCTGCAGTTGGGTCTATAATGTGGTGTTAGCCTCGAAGTCTGACAGGCAAGCTGCTCTTCAAAATATACCTGAGTAAACTCTTCCGAAAAGGTGTCGACAAAGCCCTCGAGAATCTCCTCCGCATTGCTAATCTTCTCCGCGTATTCTCCAACAATCCAGATAAGTGATCCACGAGCATTGGCCTCGTCGAGCTCATCAATGTAGTTGCATAGCGAAGGAATCACTCCCTCGTAACCGGGGTACTTTCGCAGAATGTCCTTGATGACCACAACGACCTCTTGAACCACGTAGTTGACCTTGGTGGCGAGAAGGTCTTCCAGCGCCTGGACACACTTGGCACTGGCGTCCTCGATCTTGATGGCGACCTGGCCGATGGCCTTGATGGCTCGGCGCACAAAGTCCATGTCCACTTCCAATGCATACTCCTTCAGCTCGGAAAGGAGCTGCTCGTAGTTCTTCTCGTTTGCTATCCTGACCATGATTTCCAGCTTCTGCATCTTGACGTATGGCGGATCGTTGTACTTGCAGAAAAAGACTCGCAGTTCCTTGCTCAGGATGTCGGGCTTGGCTTGGAGGAGCAGATCGATGTTCCTGAGGGCAACATATTGCACCTCTGGCGCAGACGCGACCAATGTGACTGTTGTGATTCGTGTTAGCAGCAAAGCAAACCAAATGATGTCCATCGAAACGTAAAGATGGGTTTAGCAGCAACAAACATACCGAGAGGAGGCGCCATCTTCTTAAGGTATGACCGCACGAGCTCCGGGCTGATTGACTTCATATGGATAAAGACCACCTTGACAGCAGCCAAGACCACGCTAGGGTTGACGTGCTGAAACTGTGGAATGACCCTCTCGCAAATGTGTTCCGACTCCTTGACATCGGCGGCAATATAATCTGCCAGCACGGTCAAGATGGTGATTCTACCCCATTCGGTGCATTCGTTCATGGCCATGAGCAGCTTCTTCAGCACAGCAGGAGTGACCAGCAACGCCCTCGTCTCGGGTGCCGTCTCGCTGATTTCCGCCAATGCCTGGACCGAGTTTGCGACTACCATAGGATTCGGGTCCCCAATCATCTCTTGGAGTGTCTCGATGAAGCCGTTCTCGATGCACATGGCAGGGTTCAGGTCGAAGAGTTTGGCCACGCAAATGGCGGCCGTCTTGCGCACGTACGGCGACTCGTCTCGCAGCGTTTTCCTCAGCGGCTCCTCCATGTAGTCGACCATCTTGTCCACCCTGATGCATCCCATTGTGCGGATGGCCAGCGCTCGTACCAGCGGGTTCGGATCTTCCGAGTCTTGCACAAACGTGTTGACGGCGAGAATGCAGAGGTCTGGGTGTGTTTTGGCGTAGTTCCTAAGGGGTCACACGCCTCGGTTAGCATTGCCATGTCAAAACCTGCTCCAGCAATATCATTGCGACGTACATGAGATAGAGATAGACAAGTTTCTTCTGGTCCAGGTCGGCTGTCGCAATGTTCTTCAAGACGTCGGGGAACAAGGCGGACACATCCTTGCCCAGCGTCATGGCCATGATGGTCTTCTGGATCGACTCCTTCCGCTCGTAGGCATATTGCGAGACCAGGCCTGCTCGCAGCTCAAACGTCTCGCCCTTCCGAGGCGCGGCAAAGGCGCCCCGGATGCGATTCACCGCCATCGCCGAGGAGCTTCTGGGAGGTGGAGGGGCACGAGGATGGTGCTGAGTCTGGCGTTTCGGACGGCTCACGGGTTCCGCAGGGGTCTGCGAGTTGGCCGGCGGCCGTGAAGAGAAACCTTTGAAGAGAACCTTGGACTGCTATCAGGGGAATGGCTAGTGGCAGAGCCTCCAGCAAAGGCTCCGTGTCGTGGCCTCTGGAGATTGTCGAGCCAATGTCGAGGGGTTGAGAGTTGCAGCTGATGTCTGGATTCCAGGCCATCAGCTTGCTGTACTGTAGCGACAGCCTCCCTAACTGGGCCAATCAAAACTCCACTGAAGGCCGGCGCCGAATGGCCAGATTTACTGGTCCCGCTGAGTCATCCAACTTGACCGAATCGCCCTGAGATGCTATTAATGGCATGGCATGGATAGAGAGATTAGGTAGAGACAATAATTATCTCGATGCCTAGACATGGTATCAATCGTAAATATCAGAAGGCACCATTTTGGATGCCTAAAGTATTCGCTTGCTAGGAATGCATGGATGCTTAATCGTCCATCTATCACTTTACACGGATATATCCCATAAGGGGCATATTATGCTCGTAGTAGCAGAAACCAGCAGCCAGTCTCGAGCTATTCATGCAAGAGTCCGAATAAATACAAGGAAAAAACTCCGATCCACACCCACATGCGGCATCACAAGTTTCACTACACTTACTTAGTCATCTACTGTCGAGCTCATATCATATCATCTAATCCTTCATCTTCATGTTCACATCAAATACCCAAACATCAATCGCTAATTCATTCATCTCCACGAAATCACTCTAACAGGCACTCCATATTAATAAAGTGCACGGACCTCTTCCTCCCAGCCAAACTCACCCTCGACGCCATAAACCTAAATCCCTAGCTCCCACTTTCTCATCTCTGCCTTTCCTCCCAAGCCCGGGATCCTCTCTTCCCTCTTTTGTTCCGCCAACATGGTAATGCCACCAACAGAATCATCGAATAATGAATATCCGCGTACTTGTCTGCTAAATCTCCATGTCGCAGGCAAGCTTTCCCAATCTCAGGAGGCTATTCATTGAGGCCCGAACAGAAGATGAAGAGAGGAACATCTCCAGAACGGCCGTACGTGATTCCGCCACATGTATTTACTTGAAAGCAGCCCTTTCTAACATCATTAGTTTTATCATGCCGTTCTGTTTATGGGGTCCGTGGCCGTCTTCAGTCTGATTGCGCAGAGGCTCAACGCCGGGAAATGAATCATCTTGTTTTACAGCCAGTCAGCCATCAATTCAAGTCAATATTCTGTTACACCAGTCTCGCCGTAGTCATTGCACAAATGGGTCATCAATTCTGGCATCTATCAAAAAAGAATCATTCGTCTTGGTCGCCATCCAGAACATCTTCCATTTCGGCGTCCCCATTCTTCGGCGTTGACGATGCCGCCTTTGCTTCTTGTTTTCTCCACAAGTTGGCCAGAAACTCATTTGTACTTGCTTCATCAATACTCTTGTCGTCTCTCTTCTTCAAAAATCGTGGAAATCGTAAACTGAGACCTCTCTCGTCGCTCACGAGTCCAATTGCCGCGGTATAGACCGGACTGAGTGTAATGTCTGCAAACGCCATTTCCCATACCTCCTGTGGCTCAAACCAAACGTCTGGGCTTGGGCCATAGTATTCTATGAAGCTCGGCTTCTGTAGCTTGGTATTCTTTGGCTCGCCGCTTTCTTCTCCATTGTCGTAAAACTCCTTATTCGCCTTGTAAAATGCGTCTGTAAAGCCCGATATGCATTTGCAGACCACCTCCAGCGTGCCGCTTTCCTCATTGCGCACCGCCAACAAGATGGGTGACCACCATTTCGCTTTTCTGCCTTGCCCATGCCATCCAGCCACGGGAATCATATCTAGCGTGTCGAAGCTCGAATTGTAATCCTTCTTAACCTTGAGCCAGGAGTCTAGCCGTTTATCTGGCTCATATGTTGCCAAGAGCGGCTTTCTTCGAGATTTTGTTGATTTTTCATCACCATCGCCTTTTGCAGTACTCTTCGTCTTCCCCTTGCCCTTTGTTTTAGTCTTGGGCAACGACAGTTTTTCTGTATCTTCCAGGGGCTGCTCAGGCTCATCTTCCACTAAGGGCAGATCAGGAATATTGTCCAGGATTTTGACCATGATGCCTTCACATTTATTTTCCAATGCCGACTTGAAAAACTCGAGAACTGCTTCAGAGTCACCAGAAGTAGCGTCTAGGCTTTGAACCCAGGTAAAGTGGTGCGGCACCTCGATAAAGAGCGACCGAAGAAGTTCTCGTCTTTCTCGAAATGGTCTGTCCAAAAGAGATTGCCCGTTGAGATACATCAGATCAAACGCGAAAAGACAGACATCGATTTTGATGTCTCCAATTGCAACATCCTTTCGCGCACGATTTGTCAGTGTCTGGAAATTCTTGAGCTCTCCCGTCTCTCGGTCAACAGCAACAACTTCCCCTTCCATGATGAAACTACCGATACCTTCTCCTCTAATCTTTGGTACAAGCTCCACAAGATCAGGATATTTTTCGGTCATGAGCTCCAAGTGTCTCGAAAATATCGAAACCTTGCCTTTTTCATCGCAATGGACTTGGGCGCGCTGTCCATCATATTTATACTCGCACGCAAAATCCCTCCCTTGGAGCTTCGTAAGCATCTCTGAAAGATCTCTGGTTATGCTTCCCAGCATGGGACGCAATGGCACGTGAAGGGTCAAGCCGCACCGCAGGAGCAACTCTTCACACACCCCGATGTCAAGCAGTGCAGGAACTAAGTCGTTGTAATTTGGATGCCTCGCAAAACTTGCCTTGACAATCTCTTCTGCTCTGCTCCAGACTTCCGCCAACTCTTCCTTCTTTAGTTTACTTAGCTCCGTAATATCCTTTGTGCCGTACTCAGAACCTGGGGCTTTAGATAGCAAGAAAGCTCTGGACAACGCAATGAGCATGGTAGTTTTGACGGCACCAATGCGGAGCTATATAGCATCAGTTGTGAGCCTGGTGACAAGGAAAAATACAGGGTAGAGTACGCACATATTGAGAGACGGTTCGAACAATAAACCGGCTCTCTTCTCCCCCTCGCGCATCTTGCAGTAGCCGATCTACAATCCGTTGCTTCACCTCACCGCTGCCTTGCCCATGAGTAGTGGCAATCTTGACTAGGGATTGATATACTCCCTTTATTGTAAGAGGCTTCGGTTTTCTCAATGTGAAACTCTGTTTCTTCTTCGCTTCGAAAGCAACATCGCCAGGATCCCCGTATTTATCATAGATGGCTTTGAGGGACCGGTTATCCAGACCACATACTTGGCGAAGAGCCTTGGAAATGGCAGAGCCGCCGAGCCCAAGCTCCATAGAGATGTATGGAGGAGATATAGAGTTGGTGGCCAGCCAGACCTGAAACACCGATGAGAATGATTACGCTTACAAGGTCGATGAGAATACTTACAGCTGGTAAAAGACTAGAAGGATCGCCCTCGACCAGAATTCGTAGGCAATTTACCAGAGTATCAACGATTTTGATACGACTTGTCGTTGCACTGACAAGGACGAAGCATCTAGTAAGAAGGGCGTAGGACGCATCCCCGTTCTCGGGGGCCCAGTATTCCTGCAGCTCCTTTACATACTTTGACGGTTCAAAAGTGAGTGGCGACTCGTCAAGGGGGATAGACGTTGTTACGATATCATCGGCCATTCCAGTAGATTGCAGAGAAAGTGTCTTCTTAGCATCCTGCTTTTTAGGAGTCGTTGCAAGAGGTAATTGATCTGGTTGGCTTGCTGAAGTAGGCATTGAATCATCCTCTACTGTCTCTGCTATGGATCCGATATCTTTGTCCTTGGGAGTCGCATTTTGGCCATCCGAAGGAGTATGAGCTTCATTCGCTGCCTCTTGGTTCCATTCTGCTTGTAGCTTCCGTGCCAGTTCCTCATCTGAAAGTATAGCCGAGGAGCTACTCTGAGCGCCATCCTCGCCAGCTGATGAGTTCAATGCATCCGACTGCTTCTGCCTGGAAAAGAAGTACTCCAGTCCCTTTGACTGGGCTGCGGGCTGTTTCTTGCCACTGTTGAGCTTCCTCTTCTTGGCCGGACTCGACATAGCGTCTCTGTGCAGCTCGGAACTGCTGCGGAAGCCCCTCGACGTTGCAGTCTTTAGCTCAGCAACATGGAGAAATCATCTGAGAATAATCCCAGCTCGTGAAATACGGCAAAACGCGTAATCTCCGGACAATCACCCTCGATTCATGGTTGAAGCTGCTCCTTCACGCGAGCTCCTCGCCGTCCATGACGCTGTCCAACACGACGGCACGTGACCGTGAATCCCGCTTCGGCCCCGTCCCCCTTGCGCCGCTAAGCCGCTTCAGGCACTTTGAAGCCGCACAACCAGCAACCCGCAATATGCGAAATCTTTCCCTTCCAGCCCCACCATCTCGAACTTCCAGTCGACATCTCCCCTCACCCAAAACCACCAGCCTCAAAACAGACCCCCCTCAAATCCAGCCCAAGATGAACGGCGAAGATCCCGCGGAGCGGCCCGATTACATCACCACCGTGATCAATGGCCTCGAGCGCTATAACCCCGAGGCCGTGGGCACCCTCGAGAGCTACCTCCAGGAGCAGTGCGACCAGAAGTTTGCCGACTGCAATGCGAACCGGACGCTGTTGAAGCTGTGAGTGGCCTTGTTGCTAAGCGCGGGCTGTTGTCTCGTGTTGGTGCGAGAATTTCCCTGTTTTTTTCTTGCTTTTTTATACATGTTCTGCTATCTATCTACCTATCTATATGATGACCGTTTTTGTAAACGTTTCCTATTACCTGAGACTGGGTCTAAACAGCCCAGTCACTTGAAGTCAACTTTAGTGGTGTCTGAAAAGATGGAGATAGAGAACAAAATTACCTGCTGCTTTTGTTTCATTTTCACTCGTCAGCGCATGGAGCACCGCGATGCTAACTAAGCCCGCCAAACTAGCTACCAGCTCAACCCGGACCGCATGAAGGACGAGGTCGTCACCAACATCCTCGTCAAGGCCATGACCCAATTCCCCTCGTCTCAGTTCACCCTCGCCCTCCACCTCATCAACCCCTCGGCCGCCTCCTCCGGCGAACTCCACGAGGCCATCACCAAGCTCCGATCCCTCAACTCCCAGCTCCAGGGCGCCCAGTACGCCGACTTCTGGGCCGACCTCGACGGCGATGACCTGTGCGCCGACCTCATTGCCGACATCTCCGGCTTCGAGGATCTCGTCCGCGAGCGCATCGCCACCCTCGTCTCACACGCCTTCCGCGAAATCCAGCTCTCACACATGGTCTCATGGCTCGGCTTCAACGAGGACAAGACGCGCAAGTTCCTCACCGAGGTCGCTGGCTGGACCATTGACGACGACGGCACCGTCAAGATCCCCTCCAACCCCGACAACGAGGCCAAGAAGTCGGAGATTCGCGAGGACGTCAACGTCGATCAGTTCGCAAGAGTGATTAGACGGTCTTGGGAGGAAACTGTATAAATGCTGTCACACATGAGGGGAGAGAAGCGAAGGGCGACGACATGGAGATAGAAGGCGTTGATTAAACCAGTATTTGCTTATACAGGGAGCAGAGTGACAAATGGATATGTCGGCGGAACCCGTGATGCGGAAATGATACAAAAAATCACTGGCATTGGTGCGGGGTCCCAAAAACTCAGGCGTTTAATAGGAAACAAACAACTGTTAATTAAAAAAGTGATACAAGATCAGTCATGCATAGAACCGGGCTATCTTTTTGAACATCACTTCTACATTCTATTCGCGCTCTCCTATATGATATCATGAACTCGTCGAGGCTTTTTTTGTAATCCTCTTAAATATTTTTGTCTAACCACAAAGATAAAACCCCCCCCCCCGGACAAACATTATTTCTCCTTGGACAACTCCTCCCACTGGACACCCGCCCACTCCTCCAGATAGCCCGCCTCTTCCACGGCAGTATGTCTCAGGGAACAATCCCTCTCGCACACTCCAACAATGATCGTCCCCCACTCCATGCCATCCAGACTCAAGTCATCCTCTTCCAGCTCCGTAATAGCATTCGGCGTCAACTGGACCTCAAATGTCCTCCGGCCACCACAGTTAGGGCATCCGGGCATCGTCCGCTTGGTCAACAACTCGCCAACCTCATCCGTCTTAGAGTACAGCAACGGCACGCCGCTAAACTCATAACGAATGCACTGCTCGGGGTTCTGCGCCATTCTGTCGGCAAATTTCTGGAACGTAGCGTCCATGGCTGATTCGAACGCCTCGCGATCAAGAGCAGATGGCTCCGGGGCGTCAGCGTCGGCGATGGTCACGTTGGCCGGCAGCTTCGTCGACGCAGGATCGAGAGTTTCGTAGTCGGCATCGGCGAGGTAGAGTGTCGGGTAGGGTGTTGGCTGCGCAGCCTTTTCGGGCCAAGGCTCGGCAGGAGGAGGAGGTCCCGCGGGCGTAGTGTTGATCGCCAGAGTTTCGGCAAAGGTCTTTGAGAGGCTGGTTGAAGCCGCGGCGGCGGCAGGCTTCTCAGCTGGAGCAGCAGCAGCAGCAGCAGCAGGTTTAGCTGGCTGACTTGAGAACGGGTTGGAAGAAGAAGTAGAAGAGCTGAAAGGATTGCTCGATCCCGAGCTAAAAGGATTTGCGCCGCCGCTGGCAAACGGGTTTCCGCCAGAACCCCCAAGGGGCTTTGCTCCAAACAACGATTCCCCAAGTCCAGGCCCGTCCTTTTTCTTTTCCTCCGACTCGCTCTTCGCCTCAGGCTTCTTCTTCTCCTCAACCGGCGCCGTCGTCACGGCACCGTCTTTCCAAACCCTCACACCTCGCACCGCGCGAACACTGCCAGCCTTTCGCCGGCATGTGGCCCTGCGACAGGCGAAAACGTATAGCCGCCGCTCGTGGGATGGGAATTTCTCGGGGAGCTCGCCGTTCAGCTGCAGAAGCAGGGCCATCATGTCTTTGCAGACTTTACATCTTGCCAGGGCTGCTGACGGCGGTTTGTTTGCATCGAGCCAATCCTAAACAGCCATCTCATTTAGCATGTCGTCTCTCAAAGCTTTGGCGCAATTCATCAGAGACGGGGAGAAGGAAAGGCAAAAGAGACATACCGGAGTGCCTCCCAGTTTGCTTATCGTGTCCTCTTCAGCTTCTTTAGAAGCATATCCAAGAAGGACATTTGTCTCTGTGAACTCGCCGTCCGAGGAGTCGGAAGCGTAATCTGCCATTGTCGCAAATCTGCCTGCAGACTGGAGGCTTCTGATTGTGGTGCTGTATGTATTTCAACGATGGTGGGGTCAAGATTTTTTTTTAGTTGGAAGATAATCTCGTTGCGGGGCTTATCAGCGGTACTGGCTGCGGTATCGTTAAAACGGCCAGCCACATGTCCATTAGAAGAAGGATGGATATTTTATTGACGATGATGAGAAATGGATACAAGTCACAGCACGTGGCTGTATTAAAAATGCAGTATTAGATAAATGACAGTGCCTGGATATTTTTGAACCTGTTCCGGGATGATTTTTGTCTACCACAAGTCTAAACAATAGATTCATTCATTACATGTGATCCTCAGGGCCGTCCATTCCCGGGCCCGGGCCAGCAGCTCTGCCCATCTGTCGAGCCTTGAGCAGCTCGTCGCAGAGCAACAGGTTGGATGCAATGCCTGAGCTTGACGCAATGCAATTTCTCAGGACTCTAAAGGAGTCGAATACACCCTCCAGTTCGGGATCCATCGGCTCTCCAGTCTCCAAGTTCAAGCCAACGGTCTGGCCTTCGGCATACTCGTCTTGTAGGGCAGCAACTGTGATTTGACGTTAGTATTGCAACTTGACATTATAAATTCGGATCTTGGTGTCAACTTACGGGCATCCTGGACATCGTGTCCAGCGTTGGCAGCAAGGGTCTTGGGGATAATGAGAAGAGCATCGGCAAAAGCCTCCACACCCCACTTGGCCTTGCCCTTGACCGTCTTCGAAAAGGCATCGCTCTTGAGGTGGGCAGCACAGGCAACCTGGAAGGCACCGGCGCCTGGAACAACGCTCTTGTCAACAATCATGTTGTAGACGCTTCTTAATCCATCTCTGACAGCATCCGTAACCTGGGCAATGGTGTGCGCGTTGGGTCCCTTGATCAAGACGGTGACAGACTTGGGGTCCTTGACCTCCTCGACAAAGGTGTACTTTTCCTCACCCAGAGTCTGCTCGTAGACGAGACCAGCCCAGCCGAGGATATCGGGCGTTAGGTCGTCAACGCTGTTCTGAGCAACGCCGCCGCAGATGAGCTGAAGACGCTCCATGTTCCTTCTCTTTGCTCTTCGCAGAGCCAGGATACCGTTCTTGGCCAGGACGTCTAGAGAAAGGGGGTCAATGCCCTTCTGGTTGATGATGACAAAGCTCTTCTTTCCGTCATCACCGCACACCTGCTTCTTCAGCTCGACAATCTTCTTGAGCTTGGCATCGATGAAGCGACGCTCACTCTCGACAAGCTTGTCTCGCTGCTCTGCGCTTGAGTAGAAGAAACCAGAGTTGATCTCAGTCTTCTCATACTCCAAGCTGACGTTCATTGTCAGGATGTAGCAGTTCTCCAGTCTCTTGGGCATGTCGGGGTGTCTGGCACCGTGGTCCAACGCCAATCCTCGGATGAGCTGCGTGTCTGAGGCAGTGCGGTGCTGCATCTTCATAATCTCCACCATGTGCAGGTCGGGCTTGGCAGGGGCCTGGTAGATGGCCAGCACGGCATCGACGATATCGGGGGTGAGCTTGGCTGCTAGTGTCGCGTTCAGCTTCGTGGCAAGGGATGTTCGGGCAACGTTTAGCAGCAGTTCGCGGTCGACCTCCTTGGCTAGCTTGAAGGAGTCGAGGAACTAGCAACAGTTAGACGACACTCGTTTTAAATTGACAAGCGTTGTGTATTTGTATTCACCTTGAGAGCCTCAGCCTTGGCAATCTCGAAGCCGTCGGTGATGATGCGAGGGTGGAGTCCCTCCGAGATATATCGGTCTGCCTGCTTCAACAGCTCTCCCACCAGCAGCACGACGGATGTTGTGCCATCGCCGCAGATGTCGTCCTGAGCAGTCGCGGCTCGAGCAATCATGACGGCGGTCGGGTTTTGGATTTGCATTTCTCGCAGCAGGACGTTTCCATCCTTGGTAAGCTTGATCTGTTGACGAGCGAGGGCTGTTAGGAATAGGGGGTCCGTCACTGAGGGGTAGAAATTGGGCATCGCGTACCTGGCCGGCGCCGTCGACAAGCCTGCAACGCTGTTAGCACTCATGAAACGCCGCGGAGGAAGCCGTCTGCCTTACATTTTGATCGTGCCTCGCGGTCCGAGGTTGGACTTGAGCACATCCTGCAGGCCCTCGCCAGCGCTGATGTTGACCCTCAGAGCTTCACCCCTCCTCTGCAACCCGGTTAGACGACAGCAGCTCACGAACAGCAGGCAGGGGACACACGCACTCGGGACTCGGCCTTTGGGTTGAGAAGTTGTGCCGCAGACATGGTGATGGCTCTGAGCTCGCCGGATCGATTAGAAATCTCGTGGGCTCCGTGGTGGCAGTATCGTGCTTTCGACAAGCTTCCCTCTGCCTGGCTGCGACCCGCAATCTGAGTGGTGGGCTGGGTACTTTTTTCTGCCTTCTCCGGCCAAAGGCGGTGTGGTGGGGGTTTGACGTCCAGTTGTATTAGCAAGCCAATCAATCCTCCACCAATTGCGGTAGCCCACTCTTTTGACACGGTGTGTACTTGTAATAGGGAGTTGATGAATTCACATGAAAGTTGAAGAATAAGAAAAAGAATGCGAGTAATTTTACTAGTGGAATATTGCATCTGGATAGATAGATGGCTGCACAATTGGTAAATACATCGGTACATAGCTTTGGCCCTTCATCCTGGTACTCCCCCACCAAAAAAGAGGGCATTGTCATCTCAACTCCCTATCAATGGCAACCCCTTTTGCTCCCCGCCGTGTAACAGCATCACCAGTGCACCTCTGACCCTATTTCATCAAAAACAGAAGAAATAGGTAGGTATATGAGAACTCAGCAAGGTGTCGTTCTACGCCGCATACACTGGTTCTCTTTGCACTATACTACCCATCTATCCACGTACGCACTCCCTTTTGTGCTGCTTCCAGTCTGCCTTTTGACACTCTGTCGAGCAGTAACTGATCTTCATACACCCCTTGCATTTCTTCAGCTTCAGCCCGTCCGACTTCTCAGACTTGCCACATGTGTTACATTGCTCAACTCCGTCTGCCGATTCCTTCACCACAAACTCCTTCTCATTGATAACCGGTTCAACAAAAGGGACAGGGTATATTGGGCTGATTGCAATCCGCACCGCGTAGTCTGCCGCCTTGTCCCACAAAGGTAAAGCAATAAAATCGTTCGGTAGTTGTCCATTGCCGCATGAGCAAAGCCATTGCTGCCCATGTTCAAGGCTCAGCGGTACAGTTGCGCCCTTCTTTGTGTATTCGCAACTTGGGAGATGGTTCCAAGTTCGGCATCGCTCGACGAAAGATGGTATGGTCTTCTTCCAAAGAACCAGCTCTTCATCATCGACTATCACTGTGCAACCCCCAAGAGGGTCCAGTTCGTACAAGAACGTCCTCAAGGTCTCCGATTCCAGCATTTTCAGTGTAAAGGGGATGATGGCGGCGTCCAGCACCACCGATCCCGGGTCACCATCCAACCGTAGAGCCGATACTAGAATAACTGCCTGGATGCCGCCCTTTTGCGGATGCTTGATAAATATTAGGCCTGTCTGACTTCCTTGTACGCCAGAAGAAACCATGAATATGGTAAATAGAGATTCTTTGAAATTGACGCGCACGTCGTTTGCAATTCCCGATATATCCACCCCATCTCTTAGCTGCCTCTCTTTCACAGAGAATTGCAGAGATGTCAGCGTTGTCAGCCATGACAAGCGCGCCTTTTCTTTCAGATCAACAACAGGAAGCCTATCAAGGTTAATATGTGGCAGACTAACAGCCACAGGGAGACCGCGAGGAGCAAGCACAGTCGGGGAAACAAAATCTGCCAGGACCTCGCTCTGCTTCGGGTCTGCCAGAGGGGCAATCACCTCGATATATCCAGACTTGCGAGCAATGCGAGTTTTGCTGCCAATGCTCGTCACAGGAACAGGATATTTGAGCGGGCATATCAACTCTTTTTTGCCAAACACGATATTGATGGTGAAGGGGTCGTTCTGCTGCAGTTCGATAGGGGCCTTATTCTGCAACAGTTTTTGGCCCCTCTCAGAGGAAATCTGCATATGCGCAGTTAAAGATTCGATGGCTTTTTTATCCGAGGGTAATTCGGCCATCAATGTCATTGGCCCTCCGTTATCCACCTGGGTAACATCATCTTTCAAGGGCCTTACGCCACTGCTCGTTACCTTGTGCGCTGTCGTCCCCGGCATAAGCTTGGTTATAAACACTCTGGTGGAGTTTGACAATGTAGTTTCATAGACTGTACTCTCACCCAGTACTGTTCTTGTTCTTATAAGGGCGGTACTAGGAGTAGCCATGGTCAAGTCCAGGCCAACCATGTCTATCATTGGCTCTTGCACCAGCACAGCTGTAGGCACCAAAAAGGTTGCTACCAATGCCGATTCTCCTAACCAACAGAGCTCATCTTCTTCTATGCTCACGATTGCATCTCCTGAGGCCATGTCGCCGGTTTTCGTCACTCGGCCAAAAACAATATGAACATCATCGAACACGTAGAGTGTCTCAGCGAGTGATGAATAATGGCGGCTAGCCTTCAATGCGCCTACAAATGTTGGAATTGGACTTAACGGGTGAGGTTCACCATAGAGTAAGTCGATTGTGTTTCGAGGAACAAGTAGAGTGATGGCAACCATGGGCGGGAGATGATTCCATCCACTAAGAGGCCCATGACGAGGTATCGTTGCTACAGCCCCATCAACCTTGTCGTCATTACTCCAAAGGTTGGAGAGAGATAGCTGTAGGCGAAAGCCTTGTGCCTGTTTTGCTACCATGGGGAGAGCCCGTCGCTGTTCTTCGATTCTCCTTAGCAAATCGCCGAGCACTGAGTCCCAATCGGTTTTCACCCGTGCCTGGATGGCTTTGAGCAAGGCAGTGAACCCCCCACGATGGAAACGGGGATAATTGGTCGCCTCCCTCCCACTGAAATAACGGGACTCTGAGTCCATCTCGTTTGTAAACATGTCCAAATACATCTCAAATAGAATCTCAGTGATGTCTTTGGCTTTCATCTGTATCTTGGGTCGTTCTATGCCATAGCCACCAAGCTGGTCGTCACGCTTCCATGCCAGACGAACATGAAACTGAGACTGAGTTGTGCCTCCAGTTTGGACCATCGCTGATATAAAAATCTCATCTACGTGAGATTCAGCCTTTGCATTTGTCCAGCAATGCAAAGGGGTAAGGCCCAGTAAAAGAGACACTGTAGACGATGGGCCGTGCAACACATGGTCAAGAGACTCTTTCCCGGATTTGCGGTTGTCCAAGAGCTGCTCGGTAAACAGTGTTGCCCACGGTTCATTTTTTAGTAGAGGCGATGTGGATACGAGAATGTTCAAGACTTCAAAGTGATCCGACAAGTTGGAGGTGTCGATTGCATCGAATTTGGTCGGCGCACTGCCACCATGTCCATACGACGCCTCGTCCAAGCAGAGGACCTTCGAGTCCCACAGACGCCTGTACCAGTTCGCCGATACTTGGTCGGCCGTATCAGAATGTTGGAGGGTATGGCTGAATGCGAAGGCATCTGAAATGACAAGGCGAACACACATGTTGTTCTTCAGGCTTCTGAAGGCATCAACCCATGCAAAGAATTGTATCCTAGCAGCTGCAGCAACTTTGTATTTCTCGTCATCGATACCAGGCTTCAAGGGAGAATTGTCTGGCAAATCTGCGAATGCAGTCGCAAGATGGAAGCTGAGCAGGGGATCGTTGCCATAGTGAAAAAGTTCCCAGTCGGATAACAGGCCAGCCACCATAGGATTCAGTATCTCGGCAGTTTTCCCTTCAATCATCGTGATTCCCGTTTTCCAGTAGTGTCGGAAATTCTCAGGCAAGGCAAACTTGGACGTTAGAGCGAGAGGGGCAGCTGATCGCAACCCTGTCAGGATCATAGAGCCTTCCTCCGTCATTTTTTTAGACAATTTGAGACTCTCAGATAGCCTAGTAGCTTGCTTGTCTCTATCATCTTTTCTTGCCGCGTCAAGAATTCGCTGAAGAGCGTGGCGGACATCATGCAGGGTATCTTCATCGCAAAACCTGATAACCGACCCATATGGGCCTCTGGTAAACGAATCAAGCGATTCCAGCATGGGAATAATCGTTTGGGCATGGCTGGCAACAAGTTCTGTGGTCTGTTCGTCCAAGTACATGTGGTAGTATATGTCCCAGAGGGCCTCGTTGCTGATAACTTCTCCATCAGCCAATATCATGGTCAGAAGTACCAGGTTCCGTGCTACCAAGTGATCAAGATTAGCACCAGGCACGTGTAACGCTGGCATTTTTAGACCAACCAATGATATTTTCGTCAATATCACAGCATGTGAAGTCCAGTTTTCTGTCAGCTAAAGACGACGAGACTGTCAGTCTAGGCGCAACTTGATTCCAAGGGCAGTCTTGAACTCACGAAGCCCTTGCTGAACATAGGAAGTGTACAAAACATTCCTCAAGTCACCGCAGCCAAGTGACAGTAAGCTTGCATCCTGACCGTGGGGAACGCTTCGAGCCAAATTCGTAGCAGGCGTGTTTCCGATGGCGTAAAGCCAGCGGTATCGGTAGGCAACGGTGGGCGTCAGCATTTTCGAACAATGAATGTATCAACGGGGGGGATAAAAGAATAAACTAAACGCTAAATATGAGAGATGAATGCAATATCGAATGATTAAATGGCGCCACAATTCCAGCGATCACGGCCTATGGCCTAGAGTGAAGCTGGCGAAAAAAAAAAAAGGATGGAAAACTGAGGGCGGGGAGGCTCAAGTGCAGAGGCAACGAAGCTTATCTGCCAGAATCTGTCCAACTGTCGAGACGTCATTGGCATCACACCGCCGGCAGAAAAAAACCAAACACGCACTGCATTTAATCTATTTCATGAACGTACGACAGCGCAATACCCCAATCATATTCTACCAGGTGAAGTCACGAAATCATCTTGCTCTAGATACGGCGAATACGGCGAAGGGGACGGTTCGGCTCTTCTCACACGATCAGCAATCCGCAGGCTGCGTATAAAACGCGGGCACGAAAGCCCGATGGGCAATGGGAGAGACGGTTGTGTCGAATCAACATCACAGGGGAAATAGACAATCATGGCGCTTCCACATATTCAGGCTCTCATTCGTACTCTAGTGTGCCCAGGCAATATCCTCAAAACTCCGAACAAATAGCCAAAGAGGGACCCGGTGGCGGATTCCCGTGGAGAAGCCTCGTTTCCAAACATCAACACGTTGTAACATGACTGCATATCCAGACAAAGGAACTGAACAAAGGAAAAAACCACAATCCCATTTTAATCCCCAATCCCATTCCTCCCCCGTATTGTACAATTGAACTGACATCAGATTTCCAACATGGCGAGCTGTGGTTTATACAGCAGATAAGGGCCATGGGGATGTCAGAAAGAAACCTTATAACGCAAGGAAAAGAAGAAACATTATCCCGATCATTAGACCCGGTTCAGATTAAGGCGTCATCGTAAATCGACTCGACATATATAAGACAAGTTCGGAATATATCATGGCGCAATTAAGTTATTGGTCGCATCAAGCAGCTCATCAGAAGTAGTAGCCGTTGTCGTTGAGCATGCTGACGGGTACGCCGTTGAACTCGTCGAATTTAGGCATCATCATCAGGCTCTGGTCACGATCTAGCGGTATGAAGCTATCGTCGTTGGTGAATTGGCGAAGTAGATCGTCTTCCTGTTCGCTGATGCTCAGGGGCAAAGGTGGACCCATGGATGTCAAGCTCATCATCATACCGCCGGCAGGGAAGCTGACGACTTCATCCGGTGTTGTTGATGTGGCGGGATCCAGCTCGAAGAAATGAGAGGACGGCGGCGACGACGATGACTGAGAGAGACCGGGTGGCGTGTTGTAGTGGCCTGGTGTGCTCTTTCCGGGAGAAGAAGGATGTGAGACCCTCTCCATGATTGCTTCCGGGGATACATATGAGTTCACACTGGCTTCTGAAGGAGATGCGACAGCCTTGCTGCTGTTGTTGTTGCTGTTGTTGACTGGTGGACTGGGCAGGTTGGGCATCGGCGCCGATGAGACCGAGCGCAACGGTTCAGCCTCGCCCTCAATACCCATATCCAGCACCTCGTTCAATACATCGAGTTCATAATCGGGAGAGTTGACGTTGGAGATATCCGAATAGCCCGAAAACGAAGAGATGGAGCTGATGGACATGTTCTTCTTCCTGGTTTTGGCGGATTTCTCAAGGCGCGCGTCCATTTCCGGACGGTTCTTCTTGGGTCGTCCGCGCTTTACGCTCTTCCTCACAATGCCATCAAAGGCGCCGACGCACATACCCCGCTGGCGGTGCCTCGTGAGAGCATCATGTCGCGCAAATTTGTTGCCGCAGTCGCAAGGGTACGGCTTGATTCCAGTGTGTATCTTGGCGTGTCTCTTGAGGTCGTGTTGTCGAACAAAGCACTTCATGCAAGCCGGGCACTGATACTGGCGGTCGTTGAGATGTGTCTGGACGTGGGACTTGATGTTCTCTTTGCGACCAAACTGCTTCCCGCAGTCGTCGAACAGACAAGTCCATTTGCCGTCTGTCGTCTCGGGTCCCTGGATGTACTGTGCAATCTCTTCGACAGTTACTCCCGTCTCGGTTCGCGTCTCATCGATGTTGATATCGGCGATGCTAGCCGCGCTCGCGATGCTGGCAGCTGACTCGGTGCGACGATGCCGATTAGGGCGATCAGCAGGAGAATTCTGCGCGCCGTAATTGTGCGTGAGCCGAGGTTGCGACGGCTGAGCAGCATAACCGCTGCCGGCTACGGGTCTCATCTGTGATCCTTCTAGCTTTGTCATAGGGTGAGGCATCCAATCATCAGCAGTAACATTTTCAATGCGCCCTGGTAACTTAGCTGATTCATACTTCATATTGTTCATGTTCATATAGTGCGAAGTCTGCATGGGTATAGCGTTCAATGGCTTGTCGCTTGGAAAGGCGCTTGGGCAGGTTGTGCCTGTAGCAGCTGAGAGGCTCGGCTCGGCTTGCTGTCGCATTTCATCAAACATGATACGATACCAAAAGCAAAATGCTCCAGTGACAAACGGTGAAGTTGGTGAAGAATGAATGGATTCCAGATCCAAGTTCAAGGGCCAGCTGAGCTGCAGTAATGGTTCCCAGGAGCTCAAGTATGGGATGGGATGTCGTCGCCACGGCAACGCGCCAGCGCAAACGGCTCCACCAATAGCCCGCGTCTATCAGACTAGATGTGGCAGCTTAAAACAGCCCGGCAATATTAAGACAAGTCCAGGAACAAAGAGCTTTTGTGGCGATGCCGTGTTGATTCGCGCGGTCCGCAGTTGGGCGACGATGGGATGAGTTGTCCGCCTGCTACTGGCTTCCCATGCTCGTGTCCATGTCGCCAAACCTTGCAGAGCACTCCATACCTAGGTACATGTACACATCTCTCGCTTACCGTATGAACGTGAGATTGGTGCATATGAAGGAACGCATTATTACTGCTTGTGAAAAACCAAAAGGCATACTCGTATGCAGTGCTAGAGCATAACTCCAGCATGCCACATCAGCGTCTATGACGACGGCGCCAGATTGATTCCCCTTAGCAGGAGGCTTCGAGGGACGCCATGTTTCACGCCGAGATCGATATCTTGGCCAGAGTGTCTGTGTTTTCGCACCCATGCATCCCTTGGATGTACAAGTACAAGCGCACAACATGGGCATCATCTACCAACGCTCTGCCAAGCAAGCACCAATTGTTTTTTTCCCAGTGAGGCCGTGCTTGTTTTGTCGCCGAGCACATGCAATCCGCCCGCACTATTGCTTCAGACATGTACCGATACCTCGTACCCTGTCTTTTCTCATTAAAACGGCTTATTGCTTCTGGGCCCTATGACTACTACCTTGCCTTGATAGCAGCTGACGCGCGCCATGGCAACGCAGATTGTACCCATAACATTGGATGAGATCGCTGCTAAGCGCTATAGCTTTTTATAGTAATATTTATCGACGTCACCAAGGCTGCCCAAAGCGGAAATTACTCGCCGGGGGCAATCTCGCTCGGAGTTTGGTGCTCAGCAATAACAAACAAGCTGAGGCCAATCAATGGGCCATGTTAAATGAGGGCCACCTCGAGCGGTCCAAGTCCATGAATCGGCCGCGGCTGAAGGAGTAAATATTATCATTGAGCAAGCCACTAAGACGGCGTAGCGGCCATCCATTTGGGACCATCAACATTGAAGAACGATGGAAACGGCAACGCCGTTCGGGCGGGACGGAGCGAGTGGCTGGCTGGAACACGCCACTGTTGAGCCACTGCCGGCTCATGGATTGGACTTGACAAGATGGACCAGCTACTGCACATGCAAGATGCTGATGATACGATGCATTCCATCCTGGGGGCTTCCCCGCTTGTTCACGCCGGAGCCTTGCCTGGGCGACGGACCAAGGAGTAGCTAGCAGTAGTAATACGACTACTCCGTACATGGCGCCGCTCCCAACATGCTGGGACATTGCAGAGAGCCTGGATGACGGAGAAAAGCTGCTAGAGCATAGCATCGACGGCGCCCAGGTTGCTGCATTCTAGCTGCAGGCCTCACCTACATAAAAATGGAGTATCCTGGTCTTTGAGCTACAGTAGGCCTAGCTTCCATCTCAGCTTGCCCACGGCATCGTCACGGGAAGAAGAAAAGACACAATGACTCCACAAAGCTTGAATGATGTTTAAGATGTGAAGGAACAGAGAGACAAGCACTAGGCAGCAGAGGGAAGATGTCGTATCATTTGGGAGCTGACGCTTTAGGCATCTTGACACATCACGGGAGTACGCATTCGGAAACCAGAGACAGCGTCTGACATGTGCCCATACAGTATTTGCAGAACGAGACATGCAGCTTGGCGAGAAATAAATCAGAAACTGTGCTAGACATTCATCACCCTTTCTGCCCAGCCCTTGATAAAGACCGTCAGCCATCTTCTCCCGCCTCAGCCGCCAGATGGACTCCCAGTGCTCCCAAGTACGTATGGATGTGCTTCAAGGATCATGATTAGTGCCTGCTACTACTACCTACTATCAAATTCAATACCATCAATGCAGGTGCCTACATTGATATCATATCTAGGCTCTGCAATGCACCCCCATTCGACCTCTCCAGTTAAATTTCACCCATCAATGGGGCACTCACGAACGAGCGCCGCTAGATGTTTAGCACCTGCAGCACTAGGTCGATTCATGCTGCGCTTTTTTCCCTCTTCAGTGGCCCACGATGGGAGTTTCCGGGTTGTGTGTCGCCTGCCTCGGGGCGCCATAGGCCTATAAGCCGCCTGTAACCCGCCCGCTGGCCAATGCCATTCACTGCGCCAACCTAAGGGTTCGTCGGCTGAGCAAGAAAAAAAAAAGTGCCGGGGGGATCCTGGCCAGGGCTCAATATCTGGTGACCGACCTTTCGACTTCATTTCGTCACCCTTGAAAATCCCTCCTCCACTGTCATTGGCTGCCCTCTGGCTGACTCCGGAAAACTGATTTCAAGGAATTGAAATCCGGTTTGACTTTTTTCCTCTCTCTGTTCAAGACGACGCTTCTTTTTCGCCCGCATTTCCTGACGCCTTGTCGCGGACCGCAGCCATGTCGATGGTCAACGCTTCCAGAGGGAACAATCCCAGCCGAAATCAACCCCGAAGCACCACGCCGTTCAACAATGCCGGCCCTGCTATTGCGACTTCCGGCATCCCTCGCCCTGTTCTAGACCAGCAGCAGCCAAACGAGTCCAGCTCTGCCAGTCTCAGCGCGAGCAGACAGAAACAATCTAAGCGCGATGAGGTACGTGATGGCGTCTATCGCAGCTTTTGCACTCGAGTCAGGTGGGGAGTAGTTTGGGGGGAAGGAGGGGGGAGTTTGAAGAAAGCTATTCACCACAGTGTTCACCACCCCTCAGTTGTAGTGGCTAACGCGCGCATAATGTAGGCGATCCGCAGGAAGCTGGAGAGCGACCTCTCCAAGAAGAAGACTCTCACGGGCCGGTCACGACAGATTCGCAGAGCCCCTCCTGGAACTGTGCTTGCCCTCAAGCCCAGCCAGGCCCTCCAGATCAAGCCTGCCACCACCGTCTCCGAGGCTGCTCAGCTGATGGCTGCGAAGAGGGAGGACTGCGTGCTGGTCACCGACGATGAGGACCGGATTGCTGGTATCTTTACGGCCAAGGATCTTGCGTTTCGTGTGGTCGGAGCTGGGCTCAAGGCTGCCAACGTCACGATTGCTGAAATCATGACCAAGAACCCCCTCTGTGCCAGGACCGACACGAGCGCGACGGATGCGTTGGACCTGATGGTTCGCAAGGGTTTCCGCCACCTGCCCGTCATGGACGAGAACCAGGATATCTCGGGTGTGCTGGATATCACAAAGTGCTTCTATGACGCCATGGAGAAGCTGGAGCGCGCATACTCTTCCTCGAGGAAACTGTATGACGCCCTCGAGGGAGTGCAGTCCGAGTTGGGCGCCAGCCAGCCGCAGCAGATTATCCAGTATGTGGAGGCTCTTCGATCCAAGATGTCTGGGCCCACACTCGAATCTGTGTTGAACGGCATCCCGCCGACCACGGTGAGCGTCCGGACCTCGGTCAAAGAGGCTGCGGCCATGATGAAGGAAAACCACACCACTGCGGTGCTCGTGCAGGACCAGGGTGCCATTACGGGCATTTTTACTAGCAAGGACGTCGTTCTTCGTGTCATTGCTCCAGGGCTCGACCCGGCCAATTGCAGCGTCGTGCGTGTCATGACCCCTCACCCCGATTTTGCCCCAATGGATATGACCATTCAGGCTGCCTTACGAAAGATGCATGGTAAGCACCTCCAATTTCCCTTTCCTCCTCACCTTTACTGCTCTCATCCTAGCTTTATGGCTATCCCGTTTTTCGCGTGCCCAAGAAGCATAAAAACATGGTCAAATATGTGCCTAACACTCATATTCCAGATGGCCATTATCTCAACCTTCCCGTCATGAACGATGGCGGCGAGATCGTGGGAATGGTGGATGTGCTCAAGCTGACTTATGCTACGCTGGAGCAAATTAACACCATGTCGAGTGACAATGGTGAAGGCCCGGCGTGGAACAAGTTTTGGCTCTCCATCGACCACGAGACGGAGTCGATGGTATCTGGCGACGGCAGCCATAGCCACCACCACGCTCACCACGGGTCTCGCATGATGTCGCCCGAGGCGAACCGCCTTGGAGACAGCGTCGCTCCCAACGACTCTGCGTCGCACATCGGACTGGACTCGCCTCCTCATTCCATCGCCCCGGAGGTTACGACTGGCGATGTTCCGTTTGCCTTCAAATTCAAGGCACCTTCGGGACGTGTTCACCGGCTGCAAGTGGTTGCATCGCAAGGCATAGAGGCGTTTGTGCATGCCGTTGCAGCCAAGCTAGGAAATGAGATTGAGAGCATCGGAGGCATGCCGGATGTCTTGGAGGGCAGAATCGACGGTGCTGGGTTTGCTCTCAGCTACATGGATAACGAAGGTGACACCGTGTCCATCACCACCGATAACGATCTCCTGGAGGCCATCCTCCTCGCCCGCCAGGCGCATCTCGAGAAGGTCGATCTCTTTGTGCATGACTCAGAGAAGCCGCCCTCAGCGCCCTCGTTGGACACGATCCCAACCCCAGTTTCGTCATCCACCGGCCTTCGTGAACGACGAAGGGCCTACGAAGAGGAAGAGTCAGAGAGCGAGGAAGAAGAATCCGAGGAGGAGGAGGAGCGGCCCACGCGCCGGTCACGGAGGACAAGGACTATTGTCCACCAGGAGCAGATTATTGCTGGCGTACCCAACGACCTGTTGCTGCCCGGAGCCATTGTTACCCTTGCGGTGGTTATAATCGGTGTGTTTACTATTGCCAGAGCGACTAGCCGGTAAAAGAGAGCAGTGCGTCCCCTTTGTGGGATTTTTTTCCATAATGACCTTACGAAGAAAAAGTTGGTTGGCATTGGTAACTGTAGATTTCTCAAGCACAGACAAGTCGTCATAGATTTAGGGCTTTTTACTTTGTCTTCTGTTGTATCAAATCTCAATTTGTTTTCTCGCAACTCACCATCATGCCATCAAGTCTCGTGCATGCCATGTCAGACTCCATTTAACGTGCTTAGCACAGCTGAGCGTATGCAAGATGGCGTGTCAATCACAAGCCTCAGCCGACGTGGGGTAGTTTGTGCTGGGCTGGCAAATTGATGGCGGGGTCATTTTGCTCACACAGCTGCAGTACTACTTGACTACCTACAGCGTAGGCGCTCTAAAATTCTAGCGGCGGTTTGCCCAGCGGAACCGGAAAATATGCACCGCCGTCAAGACCCCATCCATACCGGCGTGATCCAAATTTTGGACTGATGCGAGCAAGTCGGACGGCAGCAGGAGCAAGACGAAAGCCGCCATGAATGTTCAGAGCGCCGCTGTGCGGCATGGTAAGTCAATTGGAGACGAAGACGAAGACGAAGATGGGAGACGCAGGATGCTTATCAAATCTAGGCCGCCGCGCATTGGCGTCTCCCCTGCCACGAGCCGTTCTGCGACAACTCTCGACCGAAGTCAAGACGGCGACAGCTTCAACCTCGACCTCCAATGGCCCGGCTCAGGCGTGGCCGGCTCCTCAGGCAGCCGCCGCTCCTCCCAAGATTGTGTCATCGGCCAAGAAGAAGCAGAAGATTGTCGAAGAAGTCATCATGACGCTCGGAGCCAACTCTTCGCAGGAGCACCACGGAGCTGCATGGACCAAGCCGCACCAGAGGGGCAAGCAGACTTTGACCCCCGCTCAGCAGTATGCCGAATTCCAGCGGATTCAGAAGAACACAAGGAGCCTTGGCTCAAAACTCGAGAAGCGCTATGTCCCCACGGAGATCATTAGCAATCCACCCCGGCCGGAGGACGTTACGCTGGAGCTGTTGATGGCGTCGCAGACACACATGGGCCACAACACTTCACTATGGAATCCGGCCAACTCTCGATACATATACGGAGTGCGACAGGGAATTCACATCATTTCCCTCGAGACAACTGCGGCGCATCTTCGACGGGCGGCCCGAGTGGTTGAGGAGGTGGCCTACCGCGGTGGCATCATTCTCTTTGTTGGTACCCGCAAGGGCCAGATGGAGATTGTCACAAAGGCATCTGAGCTGGCAGGTGCCTACCATCTGTTCACAAAGTGGATTCCCGGCTCTATAACAAACCGAGACGTCATCCTTAGGACCCAGGGTATGAAGGTGGTGGACCACCTGGACAAGGAACTTGATGGATTCGACATGTTCAAGGGCACGGCGAGACCACTGCTGCCAGATCTGGTAGTTTGCCTCAACCCGCTGGAGAACTATACGCTGTTGTACGAGTGTGGCTTGAAGAACATTCCCACGATTGGAGTCATTGACACAAACACTGATCCTTCATGGGTCACGTATACGATCCCGGCAAACGATGACAGGTGAGCTGGGCTCTATCAATTCCCAATTCCATCACGTCGGTTCTATTTGCTAACCGTTTTTCTTCTCTTAGTCTCCGTTCCATGGCTTTGGTTGCTGGAGTGCTTGGTCGAGCCGGAGAAGCTGGTCAAAAGCGACGACTACAAGACGCCTCTAGCGGCAACATCTCATGGAGTACCTCGCCAGAACTCAGCCGCCACATGAGGAAGGAAGTGCAAGCCGCCGTCCTCAAGAGAAAGGAGGTCATGGGCCGGATGCAGGCCAACATTCAGGGATTTACGGATGAGGAGATGAAGCTGTTGCGGTCCCAATACCTGGGAGAGCAGCAGGAGGAGGTGACCGAGGATGACTTGGTCAACATGATGGGAGAGACAGTTGCAGCTGAGGCGTCAACAGAGCAGGCAGCGCCCTCCAAGGAGACACTGGGTGTGCGCCTGGGTAGCATCGAAGCGCAGCTCAAGAGTCTGAAGGAGGATGCTGCCAAGATTGAGCAAGCTGTGCGAGGAAGTGTATAAAATACCTATGTACAAGAGCCATTAGATGGATGGAAAAGGGGGAAGAGAGGGAGGGACATAAAAAAAACATTGTATAATAGATGTATATGGGCATGACGCAAACGAGATGAATTATTTCCGCTTGAATTGACTAGCCATATCTCTCTTCAACATCCACAACAATGCGAGGCTGGTTGACGGTAGTATGGAGTTGAGAGCATCTCCAGCTTACCCTAGAGGCGACGGGTCCAGTGGCGGAGAAACCGTCATTCCGCAGCCGGTACGATAAGGTACCGCTACCTTTTAAGTCGCCGACACACAACGCAAACCAAAAGTCCTCAAGGTCACGCCACGCCTAACCGCAAAAGCCGGGGGGGCAGAGGCAAAAAAGCCGCTCTCTCACTACCACCTACCTGTGCTTCTCACTCTTTGGTCCGAGCAGAACGTCGCACGACGAACTTTTCAGCACAGAACCGGGCGCGAAAAAAGGCCAGCAGCGCGCAAAACAAAATCCAGCCGCCGCAATCAGACGCACCAAACGGGCTTGCATTAATGAATCGAGTGGCCTAGAAACTAACCTTTTTTTTTTTTTCGGGGGGGCGGGAGCCAAATAAAGAAAAAAAGTTGGAAGGGTTTTTTTTTTCTTTATTTGAATTTTGGGGGCTTTTTTTGTTGGTCTTTTTTTTTTGCCGCGCTTCAATTGAGCTGACAGAAAAGAAAAAAGTCCTAGTCGCCTTTTTTCCTCCTGCTTATCCTTCTTTGCTTTTCTATATCTCCCGCCTGCAGCCTGTAGGGGCTCTGCACGGCTCTTGGTTGGGGGATCTGTTTGGGGGGATTTCTTTTTATCTTTTTTTTTTCCTGCTGCTGCAGGGAAAATTTTCCGGGCTGTTTCCTATTTTGGAGGTGCCGTTACTGTCCTTAATGGTCTTCTTTTACCCATGGTATGTACTACTACTCTCTTTTTACCCTTCCATCCCCCCTTCTCTCTGGCCGTCTGGACTATGCCCAATTGGCGTCACCCGCTCCAATCCCTCTGCTTTTCTGCATTTCCTCTCCCTCTTCCCTTGGCCAGATGACGTACCCCATGGGTGAAGGGCCATGATTCCCTCACCGGGAGTTGTTTAAGCGGGCCTGTGGCTGATTATCAAATCCGGCATGCACAGAGCATCTCTGGGTAACCAACGGTTTCCTTTCTCTCACCCCCCCTTAGAACGCACACGCTACTCTCCTCGCCATCATCCGGCTCAGCCCAAACGATGCCGGCCGCCGTCGATGACCCGGCCAGCCCCACAATCCATCGGGTCTCCGGCCAGCCGCCGTTTCCGGACCCGAACAACCCGATTCTGCCGCCGGACATTGTGCCTCGCCAGGTGACGCTGAGGGACCGCCAGACCGTGGCGACGATTGTGCCCTTTGCATCGCGCCATCAGATCCCCGTGTCGCTGGTCGTCTATCTGTGTGCGCAGATCAACAAGGAGATTGATGGCGGCGACACGTACCCTCTGATGGACCCCTTCAGCGCCGATGGCTTTGCCGACTTCTGGTTCCAGAACTTTGGCGCCGTCATGCTGCTGGGCAACATCGAGAGCGCCGACCAGCTGCTGGACGGCAAGGACTGGGCCAAGGAGTGCCTGGGCAGCTTCTACATCCGGCCCAACTATCCCGGCCGCAGCAGCCATGTGTGCAACGGCGGCTTCCTCGTCACCGACGCGTCCAGAAACCGCGGCGCCGGCCGCCTGATGGGCGAGGCATATATCGACTGGGCGCCGCGGCTGGGCTACACGTACAGCGTCTTCAACCTGGTCTACGAGACCAACGTGGCGTCGTGCAAGATCTGGGATGCGCTGGGCTTCAAGCGCATCGGCCGCGTCAAGGGCTGCGGAAACCTCAAGAGCTATCCCGACCGCTTCATCGACGCCATCATCTACGGCCGGGACCTGGCCCCTGGCGAGACCGAGGAGCTGGTGAGCGAGGAGCGTTTCGACAAGATCAAGTACTACCTCAAGTACGGCAAGTATCCCAACGGCGCGGACCGCGCCGAGAAGAGCCGCCTGCGCAGCGCCGCCACGCACTACAAGCTGCTGGACGGCGACAAGCTCATGCTCAAGGACAAGGAGGTCATCTCGGACCCGGCGCGGCAGTATGAGATTGCCCGCAACGTGCACGTCATGCACCACGGAGGCATCAACAAGACGACGGCCACCATTGCCGAAAAGTACCACTGGAGCCGCATCAAGGAGACGGTCAGCGACGTCATCCGCGCCTGTGCCGAGTGCAAGGAGCTGGGCAAGACGCCGAACCCGGGCGGCACCAAGAAGACGGTCGCGTCTACCACGTCTGCTCCGGTGGCCACCACTGTCGCGACGCCTGCGCCGACGCCAACGCCGATCCTGCCGAGCAACGGACCGCCGCGGAACCACTCCATCCCATCCAACATTGGCACTACCGGGCGGATCCTTGCTTTACAGAGCCATGACACGATGCTGTCACTGTCACCGAGCACGAGCCCCAGCCCGAGCGCGTACGCAAACCCCAGCGACATCTCCGTCATTCCACCCTCGCAGACGTTCCAGCCCGCCCAGGCCCTCCATCACCACCAACAGCAGCAGCACCAACAACATCACCACCACGGCCTGCCGCCAGACGCCCATCACCACCACCACTTACAGGCCCTGCACCACCACCAGGTCACCCACCAGCAGCCGTCGCTCCACCACCCCCATCACCAAACCCACCACCACCACAACCCAATGCTGCAAGACCAGCCCAACCAGCACGAGCCGCACGTCTACCAGCCGATCGACCCCCAGATCATCAACCACCACCACCACCACCCGCAGCCCCATCACGACATGGCCTTTGAGCACTACCACCCGCACCCGGACTTTCAGGCTCTCCTTAGCGCAACAGAAGACGTGCCCACACAGCCTGACGACACCGTCCCGCCCTCTGTCGACACGGACCTGGAAATGCTCATCGAGCACGACGCAGTAGACGACGACGTCGATGATGTCGGTCCCAACGACCACACAAACCACGTCATGGACGACGACGTCATGGTCGATGGACTCACCGGCGGTGCGCAAGTGATGCGGAGAATAGGGCATAGAGACGGAAGGGGCATATACGACGTCGGCTTTGGTGGTCCAGCGGGATGAAACGATTTTTCTCTTTCTATTTTTCTTTTTTTTATCATGTCGTCCCTTTTCTTTTTATGGCATCGTTGAGAGTTGGGGCTTGTTATAGCGTGGGAGTTTGTAGTTGGGAAGTTTAGTAGTATGATGGTGCATGGAAATATGGGCTGATGCTGAGGTGTTGATGTATATACGGCAGCAGGTATGATGAGATACCTTATAGATTTCACATAAAAAAATATACACTCTCGTTTACCTTTTTTTATGATTATAGAAGAAACTAGACAACAAATAGAGAAAAGAAAGGGAAACTAAGAAAATTACAAGAAAAAAAAATCGTCGGAAAAAGTGTCATATCAAAGTCTAGTAGATAATAGAGGCCATTTCTAGGTATCTTACAGATCCTCAAAACCTCCATTCCGGGTTGGTTCTTTCTTCCTTTTTTAAAATGCTTTAAATCCCCCCCTTCCTATGCGCCTCTATCTACCCTTTTGCCCCTCAATCTACCGTCGAGGCATGCCCCGTCCTCTGCCTCTCAGTGCCCTCTGGGCCGCACCCGGGGGAAGCTGACCCGGTGCCTGTGGCTGAGCGCTCTCCTCGTTTCTGATGGTCTCGTCGACGCCCAGGATCAAGCAGCTGGCCTCGGTGGCGGCCTGCAGGGCGTTGATCTTGACCAGGGAAGGCTCCCAGACGAAGCGCTCCAGCATGTCGGCGGTTCCCTCGTTCTGGAAGTCGACACCGGCCCAGGTGTTACCCTTGCGGTGCTCTACGCGGAGCTTGTTGAGGATGTCGGTGGCGTCGAAGCCGGCGTTGTCGCACAGCTGTCGGGGGATGATCTCGAGGGCTTTGGCGAAGGACTTGATGATGGCCTGCTGCTTGTGGGGGATGTTCTTGTCGGCGAACTGGTGCAGGTAGGCCGAGATCTCCATCTCGACGGCACCGCCACCACCGACAATGGTTCGGTTCTTGACGGCTCGCTTGACAATCATGATGGCGTCGTGCAGCGATCGCTCAACCTCGGCAATGAACTGCTCGGCACCACCACGCAGGACCAGAGTGCACGTCTTTGCCTCTGGACAGCCCTCGAAGAAGTTGTATCTCTCGCCTCCAATCTGTCTCTCCTCAAAGGTCTCGCAGGTTCCCAGGTGCTCGGGCAGGATGTCTGAGCATGTCGACTGGGTGACAGCGCCGGTGGCCTGGGTGACACGCTCCATGTCCTCGGACGCAACACGGCCGGCACAGAAGATGTCTCGGTCGGCAAAGTACTGGGTGGCCAAGTCACCAATGGGCAGCTTGCTGAGCACAACCTTGGCGCCCGTGTTGGCAACGGCCTCGAGCTTCTGGTAGATGATCTGCCACTCGGCATCGACGATGGCCTGGTATTCTGACACCTGCTCAACGCGGACTTCGGCGTTGTCCTTCTCGGCCTTGAGCTCCAGCTCGACGTTGAGGCACACAATCTTGGGCTTCTTGAAAGACTTGGGCTGCTGCTCGAAACCGGCGTAGGCAAAGGTCTTCTTGAAGGCAACGCCGTTGACGAAGCGTGACTCTGTTAGGGAGCCGCCAGGAATCTTCTTGATGCCGATCAACTTTTCGTTCAGGTCGGTCTGGTCGAGTGATAGGACGGCGTCAACGACCACTATGCCACGTTGTTAGTTTCTTGCCACTATCCATCATCACGCAGCCTCGTGTAATGCAGTATATATAGTATGTGGTACGCAGTCTTACTCTTTGTGAAAAACTCAGTGTTTCGCTTAATCAGCTTGCTCGTCATGGCGGTTGCGGCCAGTTTGCTGAGGGTATCGCGCTGGCTGCCGTCGTCGGTGCTGACAGCAATCTCCTTAATCTTGTTGACGGCCATCTGCACCGCCCTCCTCAGACCCTTGATGATGATCTGTGAGCTGACACCCTGTTCGACATGCTCCTTGACCTCCTTGAGGATCTCTCCCGCCAGGACGACGACGGATGTGGTTCCATCTCCGACCTCAGCGTCTTGTGACCGTGCGATGTCGACGAGGATGCGGGCAGCGGGGTGGACGATGTCGAGCAACTATTTGACCGCGCTTAGTTGGCATGTTGTCACCCACAGAAGAGATAAAGGGTAATAAAGGGTGTATGTAGTATATTGGGATACGTGCGATGTGTGATGTGTGATGTGTGATGTGGGTTTCGACCGTACCTTCATGACCGTCGCGCCATCATTTGTAATCGTCTGCTTGCCATTCTGGTCCACCATCAACAGATCACCACCGTAGGGACCCAGAGTCGACTTGATGGTGGCCTGGACCGCCAGACACGCATTGATGTTGGAGACGATCTGGCCTTTGCCCTGCGAGGTGTCGGTGCCTGGACGACTGGGTCAGCTCTCGTGTCGTGTCTACGGCCTCGATGCGTTGGACGGGCAGCGGTGGGCGGAGGGGTAAATTGCATTGGATTCCATGGGATATTGGCTACCTTCTTTGAGGACGATGATGGTCGGGGTCTGGCCTCCGAACGACATTTTGGCGGTGGTTTGAGAGAGTCAGAGGCCAAAAACAGACGCTTGACGACGGAGAGGTTGCGAGGCGGTGGCCTTGGGCGGATTAAAGGGGCAATGCGGCGTCTTTTCGTCTCGGTGCGAAGCTGTCGAGCTCCGGAAAATTGTTGCAGCCTTGACAGTGAATTTGGGTGCACGGACCAGGGGTCAACCAGAGGAGCCCCTCCAACCCCTTTAGGCACTAGAAGAATCCACGAGAAGAGTAACCCCGCCATGGGTTTTGAGAGACGGAATTATAAAGGGATGGATATAATACCATTGGAATAATTATAAAAAATTCATTATTTTTTAATCTGTTAAATATCTTATCTTGATGTATTCTGAATAACTCATTATGTATATTTTGGCCGTATTGATGTCGGTATCAACTCGCTTGCAACACAACTTCCAAGATCCATGTAGTTGGCTTCACATCCACGGTGGCGACATCACCAATCTCAATCAAAAAAGCATCACGCTTCTGGTATTAAACAACTAACCTACATCAAATTACATCGAACATCCATCCAAACAAACTACCACATCACGACTATTATCAATCCAAGGCAGGCGGCTTTCCCTTGCCCCTTCCAGGAGCAGCCTCAAACTTGGCCTTCCATATATCTTCCTGATTAAACATGGTCACGCACTCCATCGCAGTCGGTTTGCCATAATCAGGGTCTGCACCACCTTCTAACAGCGCCTATTTACCTCGTATTAATACATAGTTCCAAAACGCGAGTGAATTGTCGTTAGAAAAGAGAAAAATGAAGAGGTACGTACATCGATAACCTCATCCTCCTTCTTAAACACGGCTCCGGCGAGGGGACTCTGCCCTCTGTCGTTGACGCGGTTTGGGTCAGCCCCGTGTTGTATCAGCAGCTTCACTAGCTCTGCGTGTCCGTGATATGCGGCGAGCATGAGCTTGAAAAGAAATGTGAGCCATATATGCAAAAATGAATTGGTCTCAAGGCCTCATGACTGCAGGCCAGCTAGGCAGCGCTGCTTGGGTCTGCCTTACCAGTGTGTCCCCTTTTTCATTTGTCATGTTCGCAGGCAGTCCAGCTGGAAGTGCCTGTTCAAAAACAGCGACTTCGCCTCTTCTAGCAGAATCGTACATTCTCCCAGCAAACGCGATGGCTTCGGGTGAGAGCGTCGGAGGCCCTCCGGCAGCTTGACTGCTTGATGGTTGTTGTGAGGGGTCCATGGTGTTGATGACTGAAGGCTGTGGTGTTTTAATTATGATGAACCTTCAATATATATCAATTATATATCGATCTCAAAAAGTATCAATGTCACATTCAAGGTTGAAGAAGATGATGAAATGAAGAATCTTCACGATGCATTCGAACTTTTCTATATGCAGCTGAGATCCCGAGCTCCGAAGTGGTAGCCACCGATGACGTGTGAGGGACAGCATCCACACTGGCGACGATACTGGAATTGACTTTGTGCGCGTCCAAAGAAGATCCGATGTCAGGGGAAAGAAAGGATAGTGCGTCGAAATTTATTCTGTAAAAAATTCTTTATTCATCATTCATCATGCATGGAAGCATTTTTACATCAATGTTGATGAGCGCAATCTATTTCTTGTAGAGATGCCAAAGAGGTTAATAACCTAGACCAATGAATCAAGAATTGAACTCTTTGACAGCTCACTCACAAATCCCAACTATGAAAATGAAACGACCCTGGAAAGCAAATTCGAATCCAATGAAATTTCTCAATCAAATAAAAATAAAAATAATGTACATCGCTTGCTCAATTCCATTCTTCCTTCATTCTGATAACGTCGTCACACCCACAGAGTCGCGCTCTTTGGGCAGTGGCGGGGGCAAGTGTATATGTAATCGGCGTATCGTGTAATCGGCCGTAAAAAAGAAAGCCAAAAAGACATGCGCTTCATAGACGTTTCCTTCATGAATCATCTCTGGGCATGTCTATTCAATCTAGTTCCCTCAGTTCGTTTCCGCAACCGTCATGTTCGACGCCGCTCTCGAGTCCACTCAGGGCTCGTTCGTATTTTCTCATTCCCGAGCGGCTCTGTCGTCATCAAAGTTTGAGCTTGAGTTGCCCCTCAGTAATCCGCAGTGCCATCGCCTTCGCTGGTATCAGGCTCGGTGGGAAGAGGAGCTTCGGGCTGTGGCGTCTCTGGCCTGTGCTGCGGCATCATTGCGCTCGACAAGTGCTCGATGTTGAATTGATGCCGATTGTCTTGTTTGATGTTTTTTGATTGATTCGGTGGCTTGTTGCAATTGTTCAAGCGTGGTGGTTGTCGAAATAATGTTGTCACCAAGGTTGAGACAGAAAAGGCGGGACTTATAACGCCCCTTTCAAGGGCCTTTTACTGCCTTTTTACCATGGCACAGGCTGCTGTCCTCGTGATGAGCATCGTTACGTCAGGAAGTAGCATTTGTGTAGCATCTGTGCGTCTGCCTGCGGCGGGTTGGACAAGCCATGGACAATCAGTGAGCGTCTCTGTGAGAGGACAATGCTAAGGTAAAATGGCTTTGAGGAGAAAGAGACGCCACGCAGGTTGATGCTGCTCTAGCAATTGCCACGAAGGGGAGCTCCCAAAGCTAATTCCTTCATCCTTTTGGCTCGAGGCGAATTCCTTCACAGTAAAACCTACTTCTAGGCTACTTGGCTAATGCCTCCGGCCTCGGCAAGAAAAAAAAAAATATTGGGTATGATATCAGCCAATATGAGTGTGATCTGGATGTAACGTGTAACGGAGCCAACCCTGTTGCTGTTCGCCGACGATACACGGAGCTCGTAGAATTTCCTGCCGTCAAGCTGTCACCGTCAACGGGCCGGTCTCACATGTCAGCCAACCGACCCAATCAAGCCATCAGCAACGCAGGCGATTGTGTATACAATTTAGGCATCTTGGCCCTGGTCAATATTGATTTCGTGATCAATGTTGCCCAAGGAATAAGGCGATCGCCGATGGCAGATAGACAGGCCTACCACATGCTAGCGGAGCCCCCCAAATTCCGCGTCTTCAGTGGTGTTTCGCCGCTGTACTGTAGGCTCCCTAGGCCCCCTTGGCCCCCTTGGCCCCTCCTCGTCACCCCCGCCCCCGCCGCTTAGGCACTGCATCTGCAGCTCTGGCGGGCTCGCGGGCCTATTCCGGGCGCGGTGGTCCGAGTAGTGACGTATAGATCACGCCAGATGGTGATGCGAGGGTGCGCCCAACTTTTCCATCAGACAACCTCTACAATGCCCGCAGAACTCTATCAGCGAACCACGGCCCGGCGTGGTCGAATCAGCTTCGCCAATCTCTCAGACGTCATGGAGCTTTCCCCAGGGCCATTGGTCGGACCGCATGCAGCGCTCACACATGCATCTGGCAAGCTGCATCCTGCTGCGCTCGTTCGATTGCAACATCGCACGATAGCCAGTCTTGCTGTTCCCCCCTAGTCAATCACAGCTGCAGATAGTGCTTTGTTTGCATTGCTGCTCTTACCGACTGCTTCACTGATTGGTCCTGGACTTTCTATCTGTTGGGTCAAGCTTCTTTAGCTGTGCTGTACACGGGCCTCCATCGACTCTAGACCATCCGCGACTATACGGAAGTGGCAAGAGATCGAAATCGTCTGCAGCTTACCCTTGCAACGGCTTTAACAAGCTCCCGACTCGGCGGGAAGCTATAGACACCCAGCCGCTCTTGTCTCGTATATAACCAAGAGCTACGCTTCGCATTCCATAGCTCTTCGTCCTTATGTCTGCGGACAACTCCCTTCTTCAGAACATACAATCAAATCAACCTGACAACAATGGCCGACGTTCAGTCCATTCGGGCATTTGGCCAAGCCCGCTCAACCGTCCAGGGCACACCCCTGTCTGACGAGGAAATCAAGCAATACAATGACTTTTTCAAAGCCAGCTGCTACCTTTCTCTGGGTATGATTTACCTGAGAGACAACCCTCTCCTTCGCGAGCCCCTCAAGAAGGAGCATTTGAAAGCCCGCCTTCTTGGACACTTTGGTTCAGCTCCCGGCCAAATCTTCACATATATGCACTTCAACCGTCTTATCAAGAAGTACGATCTGGATGCCTATTTCGTCTCCGGCCCCGGTCACGGTGCTCCGGCCGTTCTTTCGCAATCCTATCTCGAAGGCGTCTACTCCGAAGTCTACCCAGACAAGTCACAAGATATTGAGGGTCTCCAGAAATTCTTCAAGTATTTCTCTTTCCCCGGTGGTGTTGGATCCCACGCAACCCCCGAAACCCCAGGCTCTATCCATGAAGGAGGAGAACTCGGATACTCTCTTTCTCATGCCTTCGGATCTGTGTACGACTATCCTGAGCTCATTGCTGTGACCATGGTGGGTGATGGTGAAGCAGAGACTGGTCCCTTGGCTACTGCTTGGCATAGCAACAAGTTCCTCAACCCCATCACCGATGGTGCTGTTCTCCCTGTTTTGCATCTCAACGGCTACAAGATTAACAACCCGACAATCTTGGCCAGAGTCTCGCACGAGGAGCTGAAGAACCTGTTCCTTGGTTACGGATGGACTCCTTACTTTGTGGAAGGAGATGATATCGATACCATGCACCAGGCCATGGCTGCAACGCTTGAGCACTGCGTCAATGAGATCAGGCGCTACCAGAAAGAGGCCCGCGAGAGCGGAAAGGCCACTCGGCCACTGTGGCCCATGATTGTCCTCCGAACGCCAAAGGGCTGGACTGCACCCCGCAAGGTGGACGGCAACTACCTCGGAGGCTTCTGGAGAGCACACCAGGTTCCCATTACTGATCCTTCGACAAATCCAGAGCATCTCAAGATCCTCGAGGACTGGATGCGCAGCTATGAACCCGACAGGCTGTTCGACGAGAGTGGAAAGCCCATCGCCTCACTGACTGCTCTTACCCCGGAGGGCAACCGTCGTATGAGTGCCAACCCTGTCGCCAATGGCGGAGTTCTTAGGAAGCCCCTTAATATGCCCGACTTCAAGAAGTACGGTGTCAAGGTTGAGAACTCTGGCGCCATTATGGACGCTAGTATGAAGAGACTGGGAGTCTTTTTGCGAGACGTTGTTGCGGCAAACCCTCACAACTTCCGACTGTTCGGCCCCGACGAGACCGAGTCAAATAAACTGTCTGCTGTCTACGAAGTGGGCAAGAAGGTTTGGATGGGCGAGTATTTCGAGGAGGATGAGAATGGTGGCAATCTCGCCCCAGCAGGCAGGGTTATGGAAATGCTGTCTGAGCACACCTGCGAGGGTTGGTTGGAGGGCTACATCTTGAGTGGCCGCCACGGTCTGCTGAACAGCTACGAGCCGTTCATCCACATCATTGACTCCATGGTCAACCAGGTGAGTGAAACAGAGTCGTGATATCTATCTTTGTGATTGCTAACAGCGATCAATAGCACTGCAAGTGGCTCGAAAAGTGTCTCGAGGTGGAGTGGCGTGTTAGAGTCGCCTCCCTCAATATCCTCCTGACATCTGTTGTTTGGAGACAGGACCACAACGGCTTTACTCACCAAGACCCCGGCTTCCTTGATGTTGTTGCCAACAAGAGCCCCGAAGTTGTTCGAATCTATCTCCCTCCTGATGGAAACTGCCTGCTTTCCGGTAAGAGAACTCAATTACTACTTCGTACAAGTGAGCATTGCTAACGTGTTGGCTGCAGTCATGGACCACTGTCTTCGATCCTCAAATTACGTCAACGTCGTCGTATCCGATAAGCAAGATCATCTTCAATATCTCGACATGGACGATGCCATTGCACACTGCACAAAGGGTATTGGTATCTGGCCAAAGTTCAGCACCGATATTGGACAGGACCCCGATCTGGTCATGGCTTCGTGTGGTGACATCAGCACTCACGAGACATTGGCCGCCATCGACCTGCTCCTTCAGCACTTCCCAGAGCTCAAGATCCGCTATGTCAACTGTGTGGACTTGTTCAAGCTGATTCACCCAAGCGAGCATCCTCATGGTCTCAGCGATAACGACTGGATCAGCCTGTTCACAGCTGACACACCCATCATCTTCAACTTCCACAGCTACCCTTGGATGGTGCACCGCTTGACATATAAGCGACCGGGAAGCCAGAACATCCATGTCCGTGGATACAAAGAGAAGGGCAATATCGACACCCCTCTAGAGTTGGCCATTCGCAACCAGACAGATCGATTCAGCTTGGCCATCGATGCCATCGACCGTATGCCACACCTACATAACCGGGGTGCAGCTGCTCGACAGGACATGTTGAATGCCCAGATTGAAGCTCGAAATGAGGCGTTTGAGAGAGGTATGGACCCAGAGTATTTGACCAATTGGACATGGAAGCGAAATGGGTTGTGGAGCAAGCATTAGAAGGCTCCGGGGGTGAGCTAGAAATGTGGAAGATTCTATGCAGTTAGAGTGACGGATTTCTCTAATAGACCAATAATGGTGTGGTCAGGCTGCAATTTATACACAAATAATACAATACAAAAGATTCTGTTAGAAAGTATCTTGATTCTATCCTTATTCGTACTCATTTAATCAACAAATTGATAGAACGGGTTTGTATAGTTTCGATAAAGCCGTAGCCCGCATCATGAAGAGTTTCGAAGACTACCGCAGGATCTTACTTATAACTACAGTATATCGTACGCACATGTACAGTCGAATCAAACACATAAGTAAAAACCCAAGGAACAAGACGGAGACTGCATTGTCTAACCGTCATAGATCTACTATAGCAATCCAGTCGATTTAATCGAGCGAAATGAAAATCCACTGAGCGACGCAAAAAAAGGAAATGCCAACCGGGATAAAATAAACTGACACGCCCATATCATTGCTATTATAATATAAAACAACTATGCGTTTTCCTCTTCTCCAGTGACAAAATTGCGGCAGTCTCCAACACCTCTCTCACGCCCTGGCCGGTTACGCTGGAGCATTCTAGGTAGCTCTTGGCCCCAATTTCATGTGCGGCCGCTAATCCATCATTAAACTGGACGAGCATTTGAGCTTGCTGGCTCAATTTCGCCTCAGAGGTATCATCTTTTCGAAGATCGGCCTTGAGACCAACAAGGATAATAGGGACACCGTCCTTTAAGCGGGCTGCGTATCTACCGCACTGCGTTCATTATAGATGTTAGTGATGGAATCTAAAGTGTATGGCTGGAGAGGATCGAACCCTGCTTTTAATATTTGTAAGGAAATTAGGACAGTCAATCGAGAAACATATTAGTAGTACATCGGCCAGGGAACACTCTAGCAGTCGTAAGTTTGGGAAATCTTCGTCAAAATCGCCATCGAATACTGTAAACGACACCTTCTTGCCGTTTACTACGTAGTCTATAACATTGCAATATTGCTTGGGCCTCTTTCAAGTCATTAGTACCAGATGTGAGTGCTCAAATGTGTGAGACTAACATAACGCTCAGACGGGTCCGCCACACGGCCGACTCCAGCAAATGCCAGGAAGCTGGTCTTGCCGCAGCCTTCATCCCCAAGCACGGCCATTTTCCTGGGGACAGAGGTAGATTAGTTCATGGATATACCAAAGCTAGGAGAGGTATGGTTGTCAAGACATTTGTTTATATTTTGCTTACCTGCGAATCACCCTCTGGCCTCTTGAATCTGCCATAGCGTGCTGATAGACGAGACGATAGAGGAGTTAACTTCGTTCGCGAAAGTTCGTGGTCATCTTAACTGGAAGTGGCTGCGCCTCCACCTCTAAGACGGGCGCGGTTGCACCCTAGCGTTATGCTTATTTCCGCTGTTCAGAGCTAATGTTGAAGTGCATCTTGTCGCCTCTGTCAAGCCATGTAAAGCGTCCCACGCCCTGGAGTCTCAATTTGCGCCGAATTTACCCTCCATCGATTTTTGTGTCTTCTGGTAGGCGTATCTAACTCCTATGTGTCTATCGGTTCCCGGAGCACGCCCTCGATCGGTATCTGGAATTCTTTCTTTTCGTATTAAACGAACCTGCCTTTGTATATGAGTAACATTTAAGTCTATACTTTTGATCTTGGAGTATTGCTATCTTTGACCAGATAGACTGATTTTCATAACTCGTCTTCCAATCCGATATATTTCAAGACGGGTCAGAAGCCAGCGACATGGATTACACAAGAGCCCGGAGGTCCCTCAATCCTCACCGGATTGTAAGTGAATACAGCAACCTTCAGCCTGTTATACTGTCAACATTTCTTTACGAGTCTCGAGTATCGCATCTACTTCGCAAACGTGATTATTCCCATCAATAGATCTCATGTTACCCGGTGAGAAGGTGGTGGACAATCCTTGAACAGAGCCCACCGGCGCGCTTATGTCACATTCCGAGTGGTAGACGCTCTCTCCTAGTACGGTCTGCTTTGGCACGATTACGATAGAGATAATATCCATCCCGTGGCCAACACACGGTCCGGGTGACAAATTCATGCTCTATTCTCTGTAGAATCCTAGATTTGGCACCACTGTAAGGCCCAGCAGCATACATACATATATATACATATTTGATACTATACATATTGAAGCCCCATCTAGACGGGTAATTCCTTGAGTGCCTTGGGATCGTTGGAAATTTCGAGCCTTTTATCCCTAAACGCAGGACCAAGGTATCGCTCAAATAGTTTCCAGCCCTCGGATGTCATTCTCAGACGATCAATGACAGCTCCAAAGTACCAAGTAGACGGCAGCCCGTCATTGCTCAAAAGGTCCTCGCCGGCGGCAATACCCCTAATATCACTAGGCCAGGCATACCTGACCAAGTGCATCTGATACCTGACCATGACGCCATCGCCATCACGGTCTACCACGTGATTCATTGCGTTCCGACTAATACCGGGAATGAAGATCTTTGCATAGAATGTCTCGAGAAACTTTCTTCTCTCAGCCTCACCACGGAATGTGCCGCCAATGTGGTGCACGGCAGCTTCTGGGAGAAAGGTAGACATTACTTTGTCCACGTTGAACTCTTCAAACACGAAGTTATTGCGATTGACGAAGTCGATGGCGCTGGACCGTTCCTCGGCGGTCACGTCATTGAGAGTAGAGGCATCAATAGACGGGAATAGCCCGTTGTTAAGGAAGTCCGACATAATGAAGGTTGATTTGTGCGCGTGCTGTGTTGTAGCTGTTGCTGTGCTGATGATAGGAGCTGTCCCGATCAACTTGAAATGCCAATGACCAGGCCCAGCATTTAAATGGATTCGTGACCGGATACCCGGAGCAACCGAGGTATGCCATATAAAAGAATGAATAAGAGTTTATTGATTCGAGACTGACATGATCTCGTGTGACTAACCCCGATTGCTGATCAACGAACTTGATCGGAGGCATTATATAAACATTTCCGTTCCTCTCCGAGATGATTAGCTGCTTTCTGTTCATGCTTCTTGTGCGGAGTTTGAGGCGACCCAACCAATCATGCGAAATGCGTGGATAGTATTGGTCGAGGATAAGTCAGTAGATACCTTGAAAGTCATAGGCGGGGAGGGAGCATTGGTTTTAATGAAGACTTTTTCGGTATGTCACTTGTCCGTCACTCGCTGTATCAAACATACGCTATTATTCTTCATGCGGTGGATTTGTCAAAGAATTCAATTGCCCAAAGATTTGGGTTCTCCCTTCGCAGACGCTCTTGGGAACAACTATTTTGTATTTTCCGATGGTTTCTGGGGCCTGGTTACTATGAACTACACCGGAGGCCAGGAGGGACATCGATGAATCAAATTCCAAAAAATAGTCAAAACTAACATACTTCCCGTCCTCAGTGCAAATGACATTATAGTTTATCTGGCTTCAAAAGGAGCTCGGTGCGTTGATGGAACTGTTCTGGAGTTGACATCTGAGGGTAGCGGTGCATTACGGATCTCGCAATCGCTCTTTGAAGAAAATCTCTCAGGAATATCTCTTTGTCTTGCCTACGGGCCTGCGTTTTGGACCGAACGTTTGGATGATGCAATTCTATCTTCTGCCATATGACCATCATCCTGAACAGCACTCCCGTTTGTATAACGCGCGATTATCTTCGGCCAGCGATGCAGTAGATAACGGCCACTGGTTTCCAAATCCCATGGCTCTGTCAATGGGCTCGAAGAACCGTGAATGGGAAAGGTCTCGCCTCGCGGCTGTAAGTCTATAATAGATGAAGTTGGCTGGTCGCAGGAACTTGGGTATAATCGCTACCGCCGTCCATTCTAAAGCAAGCATAGTTTTCAATTGCATTGTAAGAAAGGCCATAGAGCTTGAAGTCATGGCTCTTCTCCGATGACATTTTATTTGGAAGGAACGGGGATCGCATTCATATCTTTCGCCATCCTTAACCTGATGTTCAAAGAAACGGGATGATTTTTGGAGCAAGCATACTTAGAAGGCTCGAGGAGCGAGCTAGAAGTATAGATGATGCATCCAAGGTGACGGACTTCCCTAAATAGACCTAATAATGGTGTGGTCAGGCTGTAATTTTACACTTGTGATACAATGAAAAATATTTATTTGTTAAAGCTTCCAACTGCTTAGGCATAAGCTCGTAGGATGAGACTTATGTATGCCTCTCTTGCTTAAACTCTAATCTAACTATATGTTCTAAAGGGGCAGGCGATGCTAACATCAATTGTTAGGTTTACTTTGTGACGACGAAGAGATATAGTTGCGCATTTGATTTAACATCAATATATTATTGTTGGAGTGCATCTTGTATTATCTGGAATGCACATATTGCATTTCAAACTTCTGCCCGATTCTCCCAATTTCTTATCCACCCTCCAACTTGATGCCGCTGCCTCTACTCACTATATCAGCCAAATGCCACCCAATTCACATAAATCTTATCTATAGAAATGCCAGAAGGCGAATTACCAGTCCAAGAAAATCCCGAAGGATCTGACCTGTTAACTTTTACTTCGATATCCACTTCTTGGCTGGATTGCATGGCAAACCCACTGAGCGCCAAAAACACTCGAGGCGTTCTCCTAAGTCTCGTAACAAAATCCACTCGTTTTTCCTGAGCCAAACCAAGCAGTGGTCTAGTATCGATGAAATCGCTGCCACTTTTGACATCCGTACTCTCGGACGGATAAGCTAACCATGATACACTGAGCTGATTCTCGGAACCCTCATCTGCTGGCTCAATCGTAAAGTGGAAGTCAGATCCAGTAGCATAGACATATTTAGCATTAATATGCCAACCAATTTTCCCAATATTGGGAAGGTATAACCCGTTAAGCCATACGACAATATGTGGCGCCTTGTCGAACTTGTCCTGGAAGGGAATGCGAATAATGCTGCTGGAATGCTGCGATACGGGGAATTGGCCAACTATCATGTCAATATATCAGTGAATTAGTCATTTGAAGTGGCATAGCGATATCCTTTCTTTTCCTCTTACCTTGGAAATTCTTATCCTCTGCGCCAAATTCAAGCCAGACAGCACTAGCAGAACGCACTGGCTTGCCAAACATTTCAGCCTCTTGATACCGTTTCCGGACTAGGGAAAACCCTGTTTGGAGCACAGAATTTGCCTCCCAGTGTGTGTCAATGTGAGAATCGCTTTTCATATTTAGGGCACTGATTCCAATCATCAGCTGAGGTGTTGATGAGTGAGGGGGGTCAAACTGAATATGCTGCATGTCTTTCACAGTAGGTAATGAAGGAGGACGAATATCCGTCGTTGAGAAAAATCCATCACTGTGGTTTCGAAGAGGTGGTATATACTTGGCGTTATCAGCATGCATTTTCAGTAAGTCCTCTACTTCCTCCCTTATACGATCCGGTCCAAAGGCATCCGATGACCCGGATTCAGAACCCTTCTTTAAAAGCAACCGCATGATATCTGCATAACCTCTCCAGGATGCCCATAATAAGGAATCGCGTGCGGCGTTCCGCCATGCTATTATTGAACGTTGACTGAGGAGCAGCTCCACCGCGTCTTCGTGGCCTCTCTTTACGGCCATTTGCAGCGGCCAGAACCCGTGATCATCTTTTTCGTTGACATTGGCTCCGTTGTCCAGCAATTCTTTCATCACCTTGACATGATGTTGGTCAATTGCAAGCCACAGAGCGCTCCTGCCATTATACATTTTCCTATTCAAGTCTAATGAATCAATTTTCATCAGGAGTTTCAGGACATCCTTGCGCCCATTCTTGGCAGTGTAGTCTAAAGGCGTCATATCACGTTTATCGGCAAGATCAAGGTCAGCACCCTTGGCGATTAATCGTTGCAAGAGCTCTTGTCGACCCAGTTCGGCACAATGCGACGCTGCAGTTCTGCCGTCGCTATCTTGGCTATTTGGGTTCGCTTTCATTTCAAGAAGAGCGGAAACCACTTCATGCCAGCCATTTCGAGCAGCAAACGGAAGGACGTGGCTAAATTCGGAAGAGTTGATGTCTCGTCTGGACGTCATGAGGCATAGTAAGACTAGAGATTGGCCTCTCTTCCGTGACGCGACAGCCGAGGTATATTTGAGCATGGATAGATCTTGTAGATCTTTTCCAGTTATTTCTTTCACTACTTCCTCATAATCCAACACTATTGCAGCTTGAATTGACTCATTCGGAGCATTACCGAAGTTCTCTCTCATCCATTGAATGCCATTTTTGCCAAAATCTTGTCTGTCGCTATTTTGTCCCTGAGCAAGTGACCAACGGTATAGTTCACCAAGTTCTCGAAGCAATTCCGTAAAAAGGCTAGCTTTATCTGCGCTTCTCTGGCTCAATAAGCAATAGTAGTGACAACCCCAACGCAAAATAATTTCTGCGCCTTCCCATCTTCCGTCCCGTCTGTATTTTGTTGCCGCCTGGGCTAATGCCGACAACAGTTGTTCTCGATTGGAAGTAACATCAGATCTCAGTATCGGAATTAAGCAGGATATAGCGTCTGAATATGTCCCCAATGAATGGCCTGTGAAACACTCGGTAAGAGCTGAAACGAGAGGATTTTCTAGGCGAACATTGCCCGCCAACTCATTAACGGACAGTTCACTGAACTCTCGAAATCCCTGGTTCTTCATAGAAAGCATAAAAGCAACGAAGAGCTCTTGAGCACATATTTCAAGTAAGGAGTTTCCAGTGTCCTTCACCGGAAAACCTTTGACCTTCACTCTCCCTTGAATAATAGTAGTATCATGGCTTCTTGTCCCAGAATTATTTCCCCTGAAGGCGTCGTATATGAGATTCCACCCACAAATTCTTTGTACTGGTTTTTTCGATACCTCTGGTGTCAGGTCGTATTCCCAGATTTCTGGAGTGTCAGGCATCTCAGTCCAGGTATCAGCAAGGCTATATACGTGATTTAGTCCTGCATTTAAGTCCAACGTCTGTTGGGTAATATTCAGATCTCTTGAACCCAACCATATGCTCATATCTGCATCCACAGAGTCATCCCAGCCTTGCTCTTCAGTGCAAGCAGACACAACTCTGAATATCTTTGCAGTAGGCTTTTCAGATCGAGGATTCGTACTATCGCTACTGTCTTTCAGCCTTTTGTAAGATTCGTAGTCTTTGCTGACTATTGACCATAGCCAAAGTCCTAAAACCGCTTCAAGTTTGGAAGAGTCGAGAGTCCAGTTGATTTGATTGAGACCCTTCGGCGGTTCCATCTCGATAGTAACAACGCTGTTTTTGTCATTGGTGTCACCGTAAGAGAGTCCTGATACCAATCTTAAATGAACTTCATCTTTTGATGTCTGGTCTCTCAATAAAGCTGCTGCCGCGCCACAAAGAGCTGCTTTAAGACTTCGAGCTTTGGTACGGACTCTGATACTCTCATCTTTCCAGTGCGTGATTCTTTTCGCTTCTTCCGAATTATCAAGATGACCAGTAAGATTGGCAAGACGAATGCGATTTTTGAGTAGCTGTTGGCTTAAGGTTGTGAGCCATACAGCGTTAATGGTATGGCGTGCAGACTCAGTGCTCTCCGATGCAGGCGTCTCTCCACACTGTCCTGTCACATACCAGCACAGCTTCTCCTGATACTCTTGTGATTTGTCTTCCTTTGGTAATTGATTTGATTTTAGGCGTTCTTGCCTCTGTTGGAATTCCAGTCCTGCGATATTGAAGGCTAACCAGTCAAGCTCATGGCCGGCAACCAAATCGCGCCGCCCATCTAAGCAGTTATCATTCTTATCCAAGCGATCCATGCGCAAAATGCTGCGTAGGATGCTCATAAATAGGGTAATTGCTAGCTGGGCAATTGAGATCCATGCATTCAGTCCTCGGAGGCCGATGAATTGACCAACATAGCCAAATAACACAAGCAAAACGGCGATAAATGCGAGAACCTCCGATTTCTTCCTATTGGAACTTTGCGTTGATGACATCCAAATTCTATTGCGCTGTTCGACTTTATTTGCATCGGAATATGCGAAAGGGTAGAAAAACTGGTCACCAATAACTTGGGGCCCTGGTTGAATCCAGTATAACACATCAGGAGATGATTTAGACTTCCGTTGATAATACATCTCAGTTGTTGTTTGTCCGATCAATGTCGCACAACCCCATACACCCGAACATAAAACAATGGTACCCACAATAAATATTCCGGGAGCATAGTTCTGGGTAATAACTTCGCCGTCCGATTCGTGAATGTTCCATCCAAGGAGCAACACAGCAGTACCGGCAAACACAAGAATACCAGCTTGTAGAATAAAGCCAACGATAGCGACAACATAAAAGATCCAATCTGGTCGTCTTCTGACTCCCACATTGAGAGAGAGGTTTGGCTTTGGAGCAAATTCAGTAGATTCATCAGACGAGAAGAATATCTTGCTGAAAAGGGCGTGACCGCTTCCGGAGAATTGATTTTTTTCCCAATAATGACGAACAGGCCGATCTAAATATTTGGTGAATATGTGAAATCTTTCATCTTTCGGATCATCAGGTGTGTATATGAGCTCAACAATATCAGGCCGACCGAGAACTCTGGCGATACCGCTTTTATTAAATAATTCGCAAACGTCGGCGCTTGTTGATGTACATAGCTCAGCTTCAGTAGTACCGTCTCCTTCCTGAGCTCTCCCAATGAAGGCTCTAAGTGCTGAGCTTCCGCATATACGAATAGCAGCCGTGATTGTGGCAATGATGCCTATAGGGGCCATGGCGAAAATGAAATAATCCAGGAAACCGATACTTTCGCTGAGATATTGGCGCGTTATTTCATCTCCAAAAAGCGCTAGGAGAGGACCTAGGTCCGATGCTAAGTTGTTGGAGATATCGGAAAGGCCATCGGCCTTGACGACGGCTATGAAGGTAGCATAAATAAGAAGAAAGAATACATATGCCATTATGACTAGATTATGGCTTTTAGAGCAAAACGAAAGCAAACTTCTAAGTAGAGAAGTACGTTTGTGAGTTGAAGTTGAATATGTGGAATGTTTGGTTGAAGAAGAGCTGGGCAACACACATTTGGGCATGTTCCCGACTGTTATATAATGTTTGGATAATCTAAAAATGATTTATGAGAATTATAAATTGATAAAAATGCACGCGATTGTTGTGCGGCCAGCTTCCGAGCATTTAACAGCCACATTTCGCTCACAAAGCAGAGCTGAGAGTCCATCGATCCTTGTCCATGCAGTTGACCCTGGTCACCGAACGCAGCCTCGTCCACTTCCTTCCAATCATCTCCATCCCTTACATTTCAGCTGGTGAGCTACGAGAAAAAGCAATGGGAAATGTCTCAGCTTCGTAATGTATTACACATGATGGGCTTGCGTGTAATACAATGTTGGGCGGGAAGGCATAACAGCCCCTGCACATCTAATTTCCCCAGCCCTCTCTATGCAATAGAAAGGCTTTGGAGAATTGAAGTGCCTGAGAAACATGTTATGCTTTCGTAGTACCTCATGGCAGCTGTTGATCTAAGTATGAACTCTGATTGGATGCTGCGCTCAACTGATAAAACACAGGGAGGTCGAGAATCTCTTCATATGATATCTGGAATTCATAAAGCTCGCCGACCAGTTGGGACAAAGCTTACTGAGACGCTTACTCGTAGTAAATGACAGAAAATTAATAAAATTGAAATACAATGATCATTAAAGCGCGAGTAGCTGAAGACACGAACCCAGTGTATAAATATAAACAAGATGGGCATGATCTTGATGGCCAGCAACTCAAATCGGATACCCGGATGCATATATATATGTGCTACTTTGCATTACTATCTATGTTCTGGTAAAGTCTTAATATAATGGAAAGCTACTAGGTATGTAGCACACATTTCTCATATGCGTCGGATGCGGACTCCTTGGCATTACTACAATTATCCGATCCTTGGACTTTTGTCATCCACTCGTTTGATCATGTGTATAACGTAGGTTCTGTGATTAGCTACCGACAGGTCATATATCGAGATCATCTCATCTCGGCTGACACCCCTTGATTCAATGCTACAGTATCTGTGCCTACTTACGCTACAAAAAACCTGTCCATTGTTGTCTGAGAGGAGGCTAACCTCCCACGCTTGCACGGGCGCTAGCCTGCGATCTCGATGTGCATCAGATTGCCTAAACTTAAGCTTGCACAGATACGGATAACATAAACACGTTTTATCAGATAGCAGGGCCGGGACTCATTTATGTACATAGGTAGATATATGCAGATAGAGGATATGAGCTGATGTTCGTACATTTACTAAAGGCATTGGACTGGTTCTCCGGGCTGGTGCTGTACACTTATTGCTACGATGAACATAATCCAAATACCTAGTGGGCCTGCCTGCTTATACTGTACACCCCCTCTCAGCGCCCCATATTGTTCCTGTTTGCATTTCGTAGAGTGTTAAAAATTTCTTTTTTAAACCTAAAACTAGCCCTGGTGTTATGGCACTCTCCGACGCTGGTTGTGTACATGTAGTCTGTATTGCATGTTTGCCCACTTACACCCATATTGAGTCTATGTAGCATCCAGCAGCGCGGGGAGAAAACAGCCGTTCACTGCTACGAGTGCCACTAAAACCGGAATCGGGTATTCATATGATGAATACTATTGTATTTTTGATTCTTCCTATTGGAGATGACTTTTAATTTCAGTCTTATACTCTCTTTCAACTATCCGTTATTGCCCGTTGACGTGTTCGGGATCATCTCTTTTGCACAGCATGATTTCATCTTAAGATGCACCTTCTCTTTCTCTGTCTACACACCATCAACATCACGGCGATGCATCCAAAACCACTTTACCAACGTTCGGGGACCCGGAGGACCTGGCCAGGGTAGATCAGATCAGGGTTGTCAATGCCATTGTGTCTGGCAATCGCCTCATACGAGGTGCCATAGCGGGCAGCAATAGCACGGAGAGTGTCTCCCTGCTGGACAACGATGGTGTTTCCGTGGTGGCCGCGCGATCTGGAGCCTGAGCGCGAGCGTGAGTGGCGGCGGTGATGCTTCTTGGACGAGCCGCTGGAACTGCTGCTGCTGGAGCGGGAGCGACGGCGAGAGTGGCTTCGGGAGCGGCTTCGGGAGCCGCGACGGCGGCGCTCCTCTTCATATCTGTGCTCCTCGTATCTCTTCTCCTCCTTGTACATCTGTGCCTCGTGCTTCTCCTCCTTTCGCTCATGTCGCCAGTCTGAGACGCCGTCCTGCAGCTTTGACCCAGCAATGGCTCCGACAATGGCTCCAACAACACCGCTTGTCTTGGCGTGGCCGGTGGCCTGGCCTCCAAACTTGGCACCGCCAAAAGCTCCGGCCGCACCTCCAGCCAAAGCTCCCATCAAGCCTCGCTCGCCCTCCTGGGGTTCGCCATAGCCCTGCTGGGGTCCGCCATAGCCCTGCTGAGGTCCGCCATAGCCCTGAGGTCCGCCATAACCTTGCTGGCCCTCATTGCCATATGGCGGAGGGGGCTGCTGGTATTGTGTGTGATAGCCTTGCTGCTCGTTCGAAGCTCCCTGGTAGTACGAGTTGGCAGAACCGCCGGATTGGTGGCCCTGCTGAGGGTAGTCGTTGTTACCGTAACCGTAGCCGCTCATGATTGCTTCGATTTGTGATGTTTCGTGGTAGAAGGAAGGATGATTCGAGCCTAATTATCTTCAAGGAGTCTGACGAAAGCAAAAGTCAACCAAGCAATTGGAGCGGGACAAGGCGCATTTTGTAAGACACGACATTTACACTCGGTCCCTCGTAATGCTCAAGCTAGCCGGTCAATCCAATCCCCATCTCCACTCCCCTGCGTTCAAGAGTGGCTTATGACCTTGGCCCACGGCAGGGAGACTCGACACAGCCCCAATATCACGCTGCCACGTATACCCGAGAAGAGGTGGCGGCCTATAATATTCCAGGATTGGGATGTACTGGAATGCCGTTTGTTCCATCACGATTCTCATGTCCAGATTCGAACAGCTGAATTGCTGGATCTTATCGATTGAGATGCAAGGACGGACCCCTCCATCTGCTGTTCCAAATGTGGCGGTGTATTTCGAGTAGGCGGGCACTCCGTATGGATATGTGTGGATTACTTGGTATAGGAACAAAGCCGCCAAAACCCCTTAGTGGAACGAGCGGTTCTGTACATCTGGGACTTGAGACTGAAGATGAGGCATATATTTGACAATCAAAAATTCCACCTAATTGTACACAAATCCAAAGGGTGCCACACAAAGAAACAGCAGCAGCACTAACATAATACATCGTATTACAGAGTATACAAATCATATGTCATCCACGGCCGAGCTATCAGCAGCCACTGATGAACCCCTCTTTCCTATTTGCGCCATACGTAGACAGGTGCTCCACTCCTTTGTCCTGGTGGCGCGGTTGGTTTGTCACAGCTAGACGCTAAACTCCAACCCTTCAGTGAGTTTCAAGTACTCGTACAAGTACACTGTCTGGTCTAGCGTATGAGAGTATACCAGTGAATGGCGGGTCGTGACATGATCCACTGGAGAAACACTCAGGGCATATTTGTTTCACCAAGCAGAATCTGATGGTGGAGAAAAAACATGACAGTTGGACTAGTCCGAAGCTGGCCCGTGGCATAAGCATATCCGTATAATAACCAATAAGCATACACTATAACTTCAACTATATATAAAGATCATCATAAACGAGAAAGCATCTGAGAGCAAAAAAGAAAAAAGAAAAATAAAGAGAAATCTTCTTCTATCTTCTGGGAATCGAGGAGAAGGGAATTGGGGGAGGGAAAGGGGGGATGTTGCCCTGTGAATCAAGGTGACTTGACATCTTCAGTCCACTGCACCTTGCCGGCAGGCTACTGGGGAAACATGGTCTGTCCGCTGCTTGTTTATCAAACTCAATACACTGAGTCGGAAACGTCTCAGGCCTTCCGTTAAAATTATGCCCGTAAAACTAGTAAACCACGTGAAAAGGGGAATGGCCCAGGAATTGGCCTTGATGTCGGCTTGATGAAGCTGGAATAGCCGGTTAATATGACGCCCGGTAAGTCGAGATATGTAAAAAGAAACTGGCCGAATGAGTATGAAACACCCTGGTATATAAAGTAAAATTGAGATCATGTAGAACTCCACAATAACAGCCAAGTTTGACTTCGTATGAAAGTCCACCCCATCTGTTTTGAATTGCAAAAGCCGTAGAAGCCCCAGTTAAAAACAGGCAGTAATCAATGTGATGACACTAAGGTATACATGCTTTGACTGCGTCTGGTGACACCCTGCTTTGCAACTTAGCCCAGAGGCACCAATGAAGAGATGGAGGGATGCCAAAAGGAGTTTTCAGTAGCGTATATACGCATGAGGTTAGTTTGCATGTCATAACCAAACTTGCTTATAATATGACCAAAAATTCGGCGAAGCCTCATAGCGGCCATCTTTTGCACATTTGAACAGGCACCATTCTTGATATAGCCTCAAAAACTTTCGAGTCTTAAGTCTGTGCCCAACGCTCATGCCTGGGAGAGTCAGGCGATGACATCGAATGTGTTCATTAGCCTGATAGGCGGGCTGCAAATGCCTCCGTTTCATGGACATATGCTCACATTACAAAGTTTGCGTATGAATGCAATAGATATGCCAAATTGATGATGTCTCATTAATTCTAATCCAAAGGCGGGGTGGGAAAGGTCAATCTAAAAAATATGTCCTCCAATTCTCTCAAAATACTGTCTTCAGCCTTCCCTACCATCATCGCGTGAAAATTTGATCTCACGTGGACTCTCACCATCAACTCTAAATGGTCATCCTCACTAGCACAAGGAAGATGAAACAATCCACTTCGGAAACCCTTGTTGCGGAGACTTTTCTCCTCTTGCTTAGCCAGTAGCTCAACGTCTGGAATACCTAGAGGGTGCTAGTGTATTAATATGATATAACAAGGAGTATGAGGTAGGTTTGGGGTTGCAGCATACCACAGTCTCGAATTCTACCTATAGCAATGGTTAATATCGATTTTCGATGTGACTATATACTTTGGAATGATATTCTTACCAGGGTGGGAAAAGATACTAGAATGATATAGTGCATGTTGGACAATAGTATTGACGCCAAAGGCCTTCGCCCATAGATCCTCTATATTGAATTTTCGAGCTATAATGTCGTTAAATGCAGTTCTCTTCATCAGACCATTGAGAGCGTTCTCAGTGTAGAGTTGAGAGGCTGTCCAAGTCAGTATAAGCCAACGTATACGAGTTGAATCATTCAAGGTGAGTGCGAGGATGCTTACTCTGAGCAAACACATCTTCTGGGCCGACTCTTATGTTGTCACTGACAAAAATATCAATCTCATCTTGCGTTCCATCTCTATACCCGCATTGTTCTCTCCTAAGCAATTTCAGATAAAGCCAATATCGTGAGCAATACGTGGCTTCGAACATAGAGGAAATGATTGCTTTGTTCCGCATTCGGATCATCTTGCTGCAATTGGAACTAAAGCCTTCTACCACCGTTTCAAAAAAAATCATTTTCCCAGCTTGGGCGATGTCCCGTTCAAACTCGAATTTCCCACCTGAAAGCAAGTTATCAGCATCGGTAGCGTTACAATTATATCTCTCAATTTGCGAGGTCTTTTACTTACCAAGCTTTTTGTACAGTTTAAGGAAGGATATTATTGGGTTATCATGAGTACGGCCCTTCTGGATTCCATACGCCATTCTGCGAAATTTTAGTTCCTTGTTCGCCAATGGTTGTGCAGAATATGTTTTGGGCACTATAATGGTCCTCCACACAAGGGATTTTTTAGAGCCCTGGAGCTTGACCAGTGTCTCTATCCCTCGTAGATATGCATATCGACTATCCGAGTCATCACCACCCACGATCTTGAATGATTCGCAAGGGGCGCTATTATAAGACTCCAGTATTCTCTTGATGTTTTCCTGGTTTCGGTAGGCGATTAAGCTAGTATTGTATGCGTTCTCCAGAAATATGTTGTTTATAATGTTAACATATTCACTTCCGATGGGATGATAAGTAAAATGAAATTTATCGGTTGGCCGATGTTTCCCATCATATCCCGCAAGAGGATGGGCCTCCCCATTGATAATTTCGGAATAATTATTCCTGCATTTTTTTATTGGCAAATCTTCCAACAAAGATTTCCAATCTGGCCCATATATATTTTGAAACGATGACCAGAGAGCATCATGACGCGCCTGGCTAACTTCCAATTGGTAGTCTTCCTCAGGGCTTGGCAGTGCAAGACACCGTAGAACGATGATTAAACGGGGTGAAATGGGTGCAAAAAGGTGAAATCCAGCGTGGCTGCTGCCTGTTACCTGACCTGTGTCTTTGTTCCTGGTGAAAGTATTCGGCCCTTCAAAAACATTGTAGCAGTTCTCCGTTAGGATAAACTCATCCGCCACCTCAGAAGTAGTACATATGGCCATATAATACTGTTCAGTATGCATAATAAACCAAAGGGCATCGTCAGGAAACATGTTTTGTAGGAGTTTTGCCATCCACTTGCCCTCAGAGTCCATTTCCAAGTTCATGATTGTTTCCAGGTTATGATACCAAACATCCCTCGGTGTGGAAAAGTGGTGCTCCCTCATATATTCGAGAAGCAACTCTCGATCATTAGAGCAGTAATCCTCAGGCTTGTCATGATAAAATCGTTGATGAAACCCGGAGCCGCGATACTTCAACAGAAATAGAAACTTGCGAATCAAATTTCGTTCAATTCTTGTAAGTGTCACGACTGTGCTACCTTCTTCGTGGGTTTTGACAATGCGGCGAAACAGGATGCTTGCATGTGATTCCATTTTGCTAAACATGCATTCAATGCGGCGTTGCTCATCTGACGTGGCTTTGGCTGGGTCATTGTACATATTGGGGGCCCCAAATATGCGTTTCACCGAATAAGTCTCCAGTCGGAAAGGAGAAAGAGTCAGATCCACACAATTCGTAACGAGATCTCCAGGGTATTTGCCTTTTTCATGCTTGCATTTGCACTTTTTCTTTCCCTTCTTCTCAGCATTTGGACATTTGAGTGGGTAGGAGTAATTTCTCAAAATGAATTGCGGAATGAAATGCTGATATTCTGCATCAGTGAAGGACATTGTGAAAAACTCGAAATGGAAGCTGATGATAGCGGAGTTATAGATGAAGAAATAAAACGTGCAACTCAGGAGAGAAGACGAAATCAGCTTAAGCACTCAACAAATGATTTGCCCTTTATATATACCTTACGTTGGGAGGCCATTGCATAAGAGTACTGGCGAATTGTATCTCATTTACATCGTAGAAACCTACAAATGACTGAAGAAGTGGGCCACAATCCGAATGTTTATTGGCATCCTCCAGTCGCTAATGCAAAGGCCTCCGAGGCCACCAATCACGTACTGCAAATTGTCTCATCCGATACTACCCTCCACTACAGTATGCATAGGCCTCCCAGCTTTGCGAATCAGCTCTTGACGGCTGTAAGACACGTCGCTAACCCAAAGGAATTGCACAAGGCGGAAAACAACCCCCGCCTGGGAGCAGCGACAAGCTTAAATAGCTCAACTTGCCCAAGCAGTGCCCCAGGCAGCACTCAGAGACCCTCCTCATCATCCTTCTATTTCCGTGCCTACAGCACTTTTAACACTCTCAACTTTCATACTAGTCAGGGGGTAGCACCACATGGTCCAGCTGCTAATGTATTGGTACCTGGACCATGTGGTGCTACCCCCTGACTTTATCCTCTGGACCTTCTATTATAGGGCCATTTTCAATATTTGGATAACACTGAAGTGGCAGCTGGTATGTGTGCTAAAGGGACTTGGATTCTGACATATATGTTGCTAACAATAGAATTTCTGATTCCAGGACCAATGGTTCTCGGCATGTGGACTGACCTGTATACAACTCAAACAGTGGGATTGCCGAAGTTCCTTTAATGATAGGGCCGTTGCCAATCCCCGGCAACAGTGGGCCATACCATTAAACCAACTTCAAATAGCCCATTCTTTGAGTTGCATACTCGAGGACCCTTACCTTGTCATATGGCCAGAATGTTATCTTCACGATGACTCTTTTTTGAAGCTTTCGAATATGGTATGCTCTTGTCGGAACATCTAATTCTATATTTAGAAAAAAAATATTGACTAGTTTCAGAAAGCCAAATTGCCGGACCCGGATAACGTCGTTAAAAGGTGTCCAATCATCACTCTGAACTGTCAGAGTCGAAAATTTCCAAGCAAAAATATTCTTGAACTAAAACTCCTTATTCAACGCTGCCGCTGGCAGTTACAAAACATACCGAAATCTCAAAGCCAATCATGGATTGGGCTTGGTGCCAAAATCCAGAACTAACGTCCATATTGGACGACAATATCAACTTGGGGCTATTCATGGATCCAGCTCTTCCCGGAGACAACTATTTTGATGGGCTGTTGGCAGCCGCTGGCAACCATGACAGTTTACTGCCTAATTTTTTGAATACCGAAGAGTGTGTGGTTGACGACAATGACGGATTCTCATTACAACTCAATTCTGATCAATTTACACCACCAATCAATGCCTTCCAATATGCGGGTATTGACTCCAGCATTGAGGCCGTTAGCGAGAATCAAGGGGCATGGGATGCTGCGACAACTCCAAGCGCATGGAGTTCTAGCAATACGCCTTTTTCACCAACAGACAATTTTCTCTCAGTGTCTCCGCATATTGTCTACCAGTTCCCAGACATGCCCAGCCACATTGACAGTCAAACAGAGGTTATTGGGTTCTCCGCACCAATATGTCTTATGAATCAACCAATAATTCCCACGGATATTCAAAAAGGAAAAAAACCAAAGACATTAAAGTAAGTGAAAATTAACGATTCAATACGAATGTTTGAGACTAATGTAACGGCTTGTTGTGTAGGAAAGATGCAAGAAAGGCATGTAAGCCAGAGATATGCAAAGTATGTGGAAAAGGCCATGCGGAGAAGAGAGATTTGGATCGCCACATGGTAGCACATCACCGGCCAGTGGCCAAGAGATTGGGGATTGATGTTTCGAAAAGAGCGTGCAAAATTTGTGGGATTGAATTTGACAACATTCGGCGCGATAATTTACGTAGGCATATGAAAAGAAAACACCCAAATGCTTCTTAGGAAAGTGTCTCAGAGTCTTGATATATGAACGTGCTCGAGTGAAAGTAACCCAAGTTCCAATATTGCCTTGACGAGTGTAGTTCGCTGTATATGCTCTACTGGCAGCATCAAGCAAATATAACAAACCTCAGCTTGCAAGGAATCTCTCATCATGTTGGAAGAATCGAAAGCAGAGTGATTAGCCTTTGAACTTTTTATACCTAAGCAACATCCTAGGTTATGTAAGATTCTCTATTCTAACTTTTGCTAAGAACGTCCAGGAGCACCCTTTTAATTGTTCGAGTATAAGTCCCTAGATAACGCTGCCCTTATGGCACTGTCAAATATGCCGATCATTGTGTTCCTGTTGCGTGCATGTAAGTCTGCATCTATTTTAATACAGCACTCTTGGAGGAGTAAAAAAAAAATCCGCCAGATGAGATTATTCCACGGAATGACCAATTCAATCAGTCATTTTACCCTTTGTCTCCTTATATCTCCCTTCCTGCTCTCCATCTTTATTGTAGTCAAAAGTATCACTACTCTTATCATAATCGTCACTATCCTCGGCCGAGTCATATGTATACTCCCGGCCGTCATCCACCGCCCCATGGCTTAAGAGTATCTTTTGCAGAGCGTTTTGACGAAACAGTTTCTTCCTCTGCTTTGTTGCGTTGAATGCATTATCGTACTTCCCCCCTTGTAGGTGTACGTTCGCTCCATGCTTAAGCAAAAGCTCAACTACTTCAGTGTGGCCCTGGAAGGCAGCCGCTTGCAATGCCGTGTCGTACAAACCGCCCCTCTGATTCACCTTAGCACCTTTGCCGAGCAACAAATTGACCACGTCCAAGTACCCGTGATACGCAGCTGCTTGGAGGGCAGTTCCGCAGCGACCACCTTCTTCATTCGGTGATGCACCATTGTGAAGAAGCAGCGCGACGGTGTAAAGGTACCCCCTAGATGATGCTGCCTGTAAGGCGGTGCCATAAAAGCCACCCACTGCATGTATATCGTCTCCAGCTTTCTCTACCAAGTAGCAGATGGCTTCGTTAATTTTAGCTTGAGTTTTCTCATCATCTCCCGAAGGATCTGTTATCCTTGAAATTGCCGCTTGTATAGCCGTCCCGTACCTGTGTCCCAATATGGGCGGATTCACTTTGACTTCGTTGTCGATGAGTAGCGGATAGTCTTCTGGACGGGCCCATTGTAAGATGCTGCCAAACTTGTCGTTCTTTTCTGTTACTTTGGCCCCCAATTTGAGCATAATCTGTACCATACCTTTCCTCTGGCTCGCAGCGGCTGCATGCAGAATGCTTCCTCTACTTCCCCAGGCGTCAAGATTAGCCCTATGCTTCAAGAATAATCGCACAATGTCATCGCGCCCATGATAAACAGCCTTTTCCAGGGGATACTCGTGCTTGTAGTTTTTCTTCATGGGATCAGCCCCTTTCTTTAAGAGCATCTCGATTACCAAAATATTGTCTTTGGATTTAATAGCCGCCAAAAGTGGCAGAGCTTCTTCGCAGTTTGGATCCGCGCCCTTGTCTAGAAGAAGCCGACAGGCGCTATGGGAACCATTAGACGCAGCAGCGCAGAGAGCGGTACCGTGTTCAGAAGCACTGATAGTGTTGACCTTGGCTCCGTATTCAATCAAAAGCTTGACGATTGCTTCATTGTCGGAATATGAGGCAATACCAAGGGGCGTCCCCCACTCCACGCTTTGAGCATTTGGGTCTGCGTTATAATCTAGCAAAATCTTGGCGATGGCTTCATTTCCATTATCAGCAGCAATATGAAGAGCAGTCCTGTCCTCAAACATGCCAATACTCTCAACATTCGCGCCATGACTCAACAGTAGTTGCAGCGTGTCAATATGCCCCCTAGCGACGGCTGAGGTAACCGACACATCACCCTTCGCGCTGATATCGTATCCCTTGTTCAGCATATATTCAATCAACTTGTTCATTCCATTCCAGGCAACTTCACGAAACACTCTGGTGGATACTTCAGCACCCCTATCCAATAGTGAAATGACAAGTTGATCATCTTCTCGATACCTGTCAATTGCCGCCAACAGAGCCTTGCAGAACTCTTGGTTGGGTATATTAAGACTCGCTCCTTTATTCAAGAACGTCGGTAGGTATTCTGGTGCGTGTGAAATGACTGATGGCAGCAGGTTGGTCAGAACGCCACCTTGGTTGTCAAGTTGTGGCCGAGCATCGAGGAGGACCTGAAGCATTCCCCGCTTGTTGGGATGTAGCTCCCATCTCCTCCTTTCAATTGCTTCAATATAAGCAGGATGCTGATGGCCGATGGTGGGATAATCTCGTAGTATTTCTGCTAATATCTCCTGACCATGGTCCTCATCTTCGACTGCCCTTGTAATAATATCGCCAATAACGTCGAGATTATCCTCCATGTTGATCTCGTCTCTTAGCATTTCAAAAATTTCCCGATGCCCCATGATGATGGCCATCGTAGATGGATAGAGCTCGTCATAGAAAAACTTTTCCTTTTGACAAGATCCCATTGCTCGTTGTTGTTCCGAGGCACCATAATTAGCATCTCTGAAGGTGTTCCAGCTGGAGGGTTCCGGGCCATAGCCTTTTATGGACGGGTCAACTCCAGCCTTTAGTAGCATACCAACGAAATCCTTTCTATTGTCCCTTACTGCACGCATAAGCAGTGTGGCTCTTGCATTTGGCTCCAAAGAGCACAATCCCTCCTCGTCGAGGAGGCGACCAATAACGCCAGGAAGTTGTAGTTCGATGGCATTGTAAAGTGGGATTCGACGAACCTCATCATAATACGATTTCATCTGCCTGGGCAGAGTCAACTGTGGCGATATCCAGGGATAATAAGCATCGATGTAGTTGCTGAATAGTCCCTCATGGGAGTATAAACGGAAGATTTCATCCTCCAACTCGTCGCATCGACTGTCACTAGGAATATGCCAGCGCCATTTTTTTGCGGCGTAGTCTAGTAATGGATAATCTTGCATTCGTTGTCCAAATCTTTTGCCGCCATATTCATGTTTATTTTCGAAACCCCTCAGCGATAGGTACCTTAGACAAACTTTTGCGATGTACATTTCTGGATCTTTATAAGATCCGAATACCTGAGGGTTGCTTTTCAGATACTCTAGAATCGATAAATGAGCCAACCGAAGGTCGTTTTCACCATCCTTCACTAGTAAGCCGCAGCACACGACCACTAAGTCTTCAATATCTGGTATGTTGTCCCGGTCAATATCATTCAATATTCCGTCCTCAAGCTCGACAGAAAGCGCGTGGGATAAAGCACCGAAGCTTAGTGGTGATTTCGCATAGATAAGCCACAGCAATGTGCGCAATGCAAAGTCATTGTCGTCATTGTCTGCAATACGAGACATAATACCGCTGAAGGTATCGGAAAGTTTTTCTGGCATTCTTTGCAGCACTTTGTGCACTCTAGATGTTGTTTTACATTTTATAATTTCATTAAGCTGCAATGATGTCCATAGAAGCCTGTGACTAGTTAGCTTCACAATTCATGCAGGTATCTCAGATGCGAGCTTCAAGTCGAGGGGTATCACGCACATGCCATCAGTTTTGGAGACGATGGTTTTAGCCACCTCTTCTTTAAGTTCATTATTGTTTCTGAACTTGAAGTTAGAGCTTCTCCACTTATCGTCAATGAGTTCTCTTATGTCTTCGGCATGGGCCTTAATCTCGACAGGTACCCATCCAGAGGATATCCTTTCGAAATCAATTTTGCGGGTGGTGATTAGCATTCGGGCTCCCGTGTTTTGGAGATGATCAATTATATCCATAGTTTTAATTTGGAAGCTTTCAACGCATTCATCTAATGCGTCTAGTATAATGAATACTTGCTTAAAATTCCCTCGTAGGATGTTAATCGCATCCATTAAAGCAGAATCGTCTGGCGTTTCGTGACTTTGTTTAAGCAACGTCTCAATTACAGGAGGGAGTGTTGGAAGCTGTTCAATAAGTTGCCTCAATAAACCTGGACGTAGCAAAGCATGCTCTGCTGGACGACTGTAGTCGAAATACCAATAGAGGATTGCGCTATCCGGATCATTTTTAAACATATCTTCCAGATGATGAATTACGAGCCAACTAATTAGAGGATCAATATGCAATCTCAAGGCATAAATGGGCAGTTGACAGTAGAAGAAGAGAACACTTACGAGAGATGAGTTTTGCCAGCGCCAGGGAGTCCATGGCACCAGAGCAAACGATACTCATCATTTCCATGCTGCATGAATCCCTTCAATTCTGGCAACCGCAAGAACCAGTCGCCAGTATTGAGTGCTCTGGTACTTTCTATTTCCTTGTGTTTTGCATGATACTTGCCGCTACAGAGCCATCCAATGACCTCGTTTCTTTTACGATCTAACTAGAAGTCAGGATGAAGACGGTATATCAGCCCAGAGGTTATATTTATACCTTGTTGGGTCTGTTCCATTTTTTCGGATACCGCGTTCACTTTCTCGTGAGTGAGGGTTGTTAGATTCCTAAAATGCAGTTAATTAATGCTCGATAGTTCAGACAACGTATATCGCGACTTTGGGAATCTGCCCTTACAAAATATCAATTTGAAGCACACTCTGAAACACTGTTGCATAGTTCCTGAGTCCCTGAATTTCATCTTGAAATTCTTTTGCAGTAAAAGGCCACATAAGCGCGGTTTTGCGCATCTTTTTCGACTGGAGACTCTTCTGAAGCGTGGCCAGCAACCGTTCTACTGCGTCTTTACAGGACCCCACCTGGGGACCAAGCTCCTTAGCCGCACCAGTATACTTAGGTGATGAGCCATTGGCTTTACATATGACATCAATAAGTTTATCCAACGGTATTTTTAAAGCGTAGAGTTGACTTAGGAAATCTTCCTGCTCTTTTTTGGCGTGGGCAACGCTGTTCGCATACTTGAGAGTAATTGATATGGTAGTCGCGATGACGCCGTCTAATGCCGCAACGTCAGAAGCAAGGAGGAGAGGATTCATTGAAACTGATTCAGTATTGAAGGTATTGACGAAGCTTAATTGCTTTATGCGATAAAAAGAAGGTGAAGTTGACATCTCCGTTGGCAGCCTGCTGCAGCCATACGAGTATTTGTAGCCAGTGCCCGCATCTGAACCCCCACCCATGCAGCATATACTTCTGCAGCGAGGCTAACTTGTAGGCAGACACCAGCAACCTAACTAAACCAACAACATACATGTATATGTATCTGAAAACGTAGGCAACCAATCAGGATTAGTGAATAGGCTATGATTTGAAATGCCGGAGCACTATTACAGATGATATGATGGCCAAGAGTATGTCCTATATTGCATGCCAAATCATTGTCTATCTTGAGGATGTCTATGCTTTCTCATGTGGTTTATTGTGTAATGATGATTCAAGTAGCCCTGAACGCCGCGTGTGTGCAATTTATCAGCATCGGCGATAGATATTACACTCGTATACATTCTTTCTATCATATCAAACCTTGACCAACTTGAAGCCAACCTGCGTATATCTCGCCCAAACGAATCCAACGCACCCGAGCAATATAGAAAAGCCACACAACAACTGCAGGGCGTGATGGTTGAAGCGCCGTGATCTCAAAATAGCACTGACAATGGGACTTCCAATCAGTGCTCCGGTGGCTTGAATTGCAAACGCTGAACCGACTCGAGTGCCAATGTGCCTGATATCGGAGATTTGAGCAACAAGCGTTGGCACAAGGGAGATGACGCCTCCAGAAAAGAAGCCGAATATGACGACATATACGATGATGTCGGCCATACTTTCGACAAGGGTAGGAGCTGTGAGACAAAAAGTAGCTGAAACGAAAGTTATGGTGGTTACTACATTGAATCCGCCAATATTGTCGGCTGCAACGCTGAGAAAAATTCGTCCGAAGACACTGATGGCGCTGAAGATTGGCAACAGGTATGGGATCAAATCCGGAGAGAAACCGGCCTCTTTAGCTGGAAGAGTAACGTATCTGAATGGTACAACCATTCCCAACTGGAAAAGGAAGACGCCAGTAATAGTACTAAACAAACGGATATCCTCGAAGTGTCTCACATACTCATTGGGGACGAAGCGACGGCGACGCGGTGGCAGTCTCGACTTGACCGTCAAACATGCAATACCCAGCAGCAAGATGAACATCGAGGCTAATGTACGCATCATCCATGGAAAGGCAATGTTGGGGATCGATTTATTAACAATGATCGGCAGAACGACACCTGGGATATGCTATGACCATTAAATGTCCCGTAATAAAGATGTTTCATTCAACTTTACCTTTGGATGATGTGCCAGTCTGCAAGCATTGTCAACCTAAGGCCCTAATGCAACCCGCCTGATATGAAATTAGCCCCATTGGCTGATTTTATAAAGCGCCTGCTATACACACATGCACTGTAGAAGGGGTCGGCAGCATGAAGCATACGTCACAGGTACAGAGCTCGCTTAGAAGGCTAAACTGTTAAAACTCCCGTCAGGTTTCGCGTTTTGGAAGCTTCACAGCATTTTTAATCTACTCAAAGGCCGGAAGAGATGATGACTGTGACTCCCGCAAGATACGACCAATAGAAAATACACGCCTCACTTTTACTGCGGACTTGACCATTTAGCATAGTTTCACAGCAATTCGACCCTCTTCCGAGCAGTAAAGAAATAGAGTGGAGTATACATGTAGCCTATTGATCATGCCAGCGAGTTTCACAGCAATTTTAGCCACCTCCGAGGCCGTAAGAGGCAGAACCGACTTGGGCTTCAACCTCAAGCAGGCCCTACTAGTATATAACTGTATGTGCTTACATACCTACTCATTATTACAATGCCTTGGTCACGCTACTCTTCCAGCGAAATCTCTCTCGAGACAACCTAATGTCGATCATTAGAGCACATACACCGCTTCAAATTCAGCGTCAACCATGGATTTCACATTCGCAGGTGCATGACTTATTCAATATCCCACCCAGAGGAGCACCAGAAACAATCATTGACGCCCTGCGAGCACGCGGGCTGAACCACATTCTTATGGGAGATTCAGGCTACTATTTACATGTCCATACTACTTAACGTATTTGAACTACGAGCAGATTCTACTCGCCAACTTCTACAAGCCCCAAAGTAACCCGCCTGTTAGTACTCCTCCGCAAAACCCAATGACCCTCCAATGGCCTCCCCACCTCCCGCTTCGCCCGCCCCCTGATAGCCCCATCATCCATCCGATCCGCCTCGTCCAGAATCGGCCGCGTCTCGTTAGAAACTACCTGCGCCACCGTCTGCCAATAACTCCCAATGAACGAGATTTTCGTCGAACTCACAAATTGGACGAGCACCACGATCATAATGGCCAAATGAATCACAATGAGCATTGTCCCCAACGCAAAGCCTGCCCACTGCACTGGTATCGTTGCGGTGAGCAAAAACGCCGTCATAGCTGCGGCCGGACTGCTCAACTGGACCAATTTTTCGTAGTATGCAACCTGACAGGGGACGAGCGGCCCAGATGGATCCAGAGTACCCTCATCAATGTTTCTTGATATCTACTATGTGGTCTATTAAAGGAACCAAGAATTTTAATAAATCGAAGAGGCTCCTAAATAAATATATTGGGTGAGAATTGGTAGAAGTTTTACTTGGATAAATATTAATAGAATTATCCTATATTTATCTTGCAGGAAGTATTAGTGTAAATGATGGCAATCTCGATTATACACGAGCATAATAGATAATACCCAGTATTTTGTACACCGTTCACCTTCTACAGTTTTGAAGATTTCTATCCTTACACTATTAGTATATCCGTCCAAAATAGCAAATTTTGTGCGCCATAGGACTGAAAAATCGGAATGACACCAGACGCGTGGTATACTATATTTATTACCCCCCAAGTATGATACGAACAGAGCCGACGAATAGAATCAGCTATGCTACAGATCTCCTCCATCCTACTTTTACTAGGAATGAATCGCATTTTGTCATCAACGGTCAAAGAGAGGATCACAAGTGACTCACAATTAGAGTTCTGGAATGGGACAGCTAACCAATAGCACGTAATGTCGTTATTATTGTCTCAAACAAACAAACAATGTTACGTATAGACTCGAGTCTGTAATAGTCCAGGAGAAACTGAAATGAGTGTCTCCTTCTTGCAATCAAGTTTCTCTCCAAACGGACGCTCTCTGTGGCGTAATGTGGCTAGTACAGTGCAGATGCTAACGTGATACGTATATTTTTACATTGGGCTTAACATTATCCAGAAATAGATTTAGTTCTACCAGAAACTGAGACCGTTGCCTTATTTTTAAGACATCAACATGAACTAAGTTCCGGATCCAGTTCATGCCGGTGCAGGTGTCGGTAGATGCGCATCTAGATCACGCCTCTCTGCAGCCTCAAAGCCATAATAGGCTTGTGATTCAATGGCATTCCTTGCTCCAGTTTGGTGCTATATATCTCAACATGACTTAGTTAATGCTATAACCGAACAAGGTTTGCGTATTGATGTGCGGGCTAATGCAGAATGATAAATATAGTTAGACGGAGCTATCAAAAGTCGCTGAAAAGAGCATAAAGCTATAGTGGCGCTGCTACTTGACAAGGGAGCTGAGACTAAGGCATAGCTGAGATTGAAGCGAGGGATAAATATGGTTAGACACCGCTATTATAAGCCACTGAGAAAAAAATGAAGCTATAGTGACGCCGTGGCCTGAGAAGGGAGCTGAGATTGAGGCGAAAGATAAAGACGTTCAGACGCCGCTATAGTCGGATAGTCGGCGAACTGCAGTTTCAAGGACTCTTTCACATTCCATACGGCTCGTATGCCTTGCCGGGACAGCCCTTTTTTGGCGAGGCAGATTCTGAATTCTGAGTGTTTGTGCTGATCCAATCCCATATCTTTAGGATGCTATATTCAGCCATTTTTCAATAGTTTGATATTTTTTGCGCCTCACTGCCGCTTGTAACTAAGGGTATGTATAATATCTCAGCTACAGATTCTGCCCAGCCATCACTACTATCATGTTGCTAACGTTGATTAAGCGAGACCCTGGATACACACTGTATGTAAGCTCTAGGCATATTCTAATATATAATCTTTAGTCCGTCATTGGATAACTTCCCAGGCCCTTTCCCCCTCACTTCCATCTGTCGTTGAATAGCCTACTACAGCAAAACAACTTGTGTGTTCATCGAAGGCGAGATGGCAGATCTTCTGTTTCTGGCTCTTGCCATTGCCATGGGCGTGCTATTGGTGGATGCTGTCATTGAGCTAGCTTTCATCACCAGCATGGTGACATGGCTACACCACACAGTGAGCGGCCACAAGTATATCATCAATTTCAACGGCTCAACATTCGGACTCTACGGCAAACCAGCAAATCTCTTGCTCAATCAAGGGCATACCGCCAACGCAGCAGCAGGAACTGCGATAGTTCTTGTTTGTCTCGGAGGTGCCCTCATTCTCTTTCTAAGAAGCCGACCCAACATCTTTGGGCAAAAGTTTACGTCATTCCTTTACGGCGCCTGGCTTATTTTTATCATCCTGGCCTTTCTGCTTACCCTTGCGGCTCTTATCTACGTCTTCGCTGTTACGAATGCACACGAGGGACAGACAATCGATCTTCAAATCGCCTCAACAAACAGCAACATAAAATATCCAGTTGATACATGGACACCGCAAAATTGGTATAGTGCCATGTTGAACCTAGATTTTGCTGATGCAAGCCAGAGGAGCAACGTTGCGTTCAACTTACGACTTATGCGGGGATGGCAGTATAATTTGATTGCCATGTTTGTGATTCAACTTGCAGTGACTGTTCTCGCCGTCTTGGAATTTTTGGACAGACGAAAGAAACGGTCTTCGGCAAAGTATAGCGGCGTGGCGCGCAACAGCGGAGAGCAGAAATTTATTACACCTGTATCTCCATAACTGGGCATATGTTTCTTGGAGTCGGTCAAATGCCGTTTCAAAGATTGCTTCGCATGGTAACTGGAGTACCTTCATAGTTTACTACAAGCAACAAAGGCTCCCCATATCTTCATCCAAACTTTTCTAAACTCTCTCATAATGAATAGCGAATTACTACTCTCTTCCCTTTATTTTTTATATTCGTGTGCTTGGACTTGCGATTATGGGCTTAACTGTGTACGGCTGTATCCCCTCAAAGTTTGATTACATTTGCTGGAATGCTCAAGTTCAATTCAATACAACGTCTACGATAAGAGAGTGAGTTACACAAGTGATTGAGCCACTGTATACTGTCTCCATGCCGCTGGCAATAAAAAAACAAGCATGCCACTCACTTATGGAGGACATAAGTAAATTGTTATGCTCAGGTATGTACCCATAGCTTTAAATACCTAAAGCAAGATTAGTGCTATAAGTGAGAATTGTTAGGCTTATAACAAAATGGTACTTGTCGTTATATCGTCCTTGACACTGTATCAGCCACATGCCCTGCGGCATGGTCCGCACGGAATGAGATTCAACATTAATAAAGCCGGACATTTATTTCGGTCATCATGTAGTATACAGCATACAGGCTTGATTCACAAGCAAATTCTTTTATCCACCGTCCCAATTTTTAGCATCCCAATGATCATCATCGAACAAATTCCTTCAAGTCTTTCTTATCCTCAAATGTTACTTTTCCATCCTTGTTTGTTGGCTCCACGCGAATCCCGGAGACGTCCTCTTCGACCCACTTTGCAGGCTCTGAGCCTTGAGGCTTGCTAGAGAGTTCCAAGGCAGACGCCAGAGTACCAGCCTGTGCATCAGCAATCTCGTTGACCTGTTCGTTGGTGAGACTATCGACAACGCGCACGCCCCGGCTTGACATCAGAATAGTGCTCGGCCCCTTGAAATGCAAGAACAATCGATCACCCCAGATGGTCCGGCGGGTCATTGTTCGAAGACTGTAGAAAACACGAGCGAGGAATTTGTAGACTTGTGAATCCCGTGCCTTCTTCATAAACTCTGTTTCGGGAATCCACGAAGTAAGGGAGGGGATCTGGAAACGTAGACTAGCGCTCTTGAACCTGAAAGGTAAAGGCTGGTGCTTCGTTACAGAATACGCGACGACGCTGCCGGGGTGGGCGACAAATTCTTCGCCCTCGGAGAGATGCAATTGATAAATTTGCCCAGGCGCCGACAGAGCCGCCAATCCACGACCAGTCACAAATGTGCTGCCCCAATGCGCCATCGAGAGTCGTCTCTGGATCCGCGATGATAGGGACAGAGTGTGGCCAGTCCAAGCTAGTAGGGCATTGCGCTGAATCACCATCCAATCGGTCGTTCCGTCCAGGTGTAGGATGGTAAACGTCGTCGTGGGGGATTTGGTCGAGATCAAAGCGGTAATCGGCGAAGTGGCAGATATGCGCTGATAGATGAATGGAACTCCAAACGGCGCCCGCGAAAGAGGATTTAGTAGTGAAAGGGTCGATTGTGCCTGCGAAACCACCACACGTTAATATCTCGGTTCTATCGCTGCGGTCGCATCATCAGCGCTCTCACATTGTCTGGATTCCCCGCCACTGCGACCAACGTCCCACGTCGTGTATAAAGCCTCTGTGAAGCCGAAAGTGATACCGAGAGCAGCGAGTAGGGCGAGCCAATGACTTCGAATCGGGCATCTTTGAGTCCACAGCCAGTCAGCCCAAGCACCATCACATCACATCAACAGCGAAGCCATACCAGCCGTATCCCTCAGGTTTTCAATTGCGCCAAAAGCATCTCCCCCGGTTGTCGTGCTTGGAGTTGCACTGATCTGGATGCCGCGGCATTGCCAGCAGACATACTGCACCGGCTGATTGCGCCATGCTCGCGCTGTCCGTAGCAGCGGCGAAGGGCCTCTCATTGCGCCGTTTGTCGAGCTCTCACGAGCTTGTCGAAAAGCTGGTGATGAGCTTCTGAAGTCCGTTCGGACGCTAAAATCCCGGCAATTCTCGCAACCGCTGCGGTCTTTCCCGGCTGTGGTCCGACAGGTACGTACCTGGTGCATGTACCTCCCTCAGCTCAGCTCAGCTAGCCTTAAAGTAGCTGCACGTGTTGTTGCCGTGGTAACACAGCGCAAATACCCCAGTTCGTGCAGTACGAGTACCAACGGCATGTACCTACCCCGTACCGCACCCCTACCAGCCCTTGGCGCTCCCAGCCTTCCAGCACGCCAAAAATCGGTCAATCTAATTAATCTCACGTTCCAAAGACAAGGACGACGGATGCTCACTAAGCAGGATTTAGGAGCCTCGATTCCATCGCCATCCTCCGGCAGCGGTTGCCTCTCTCCTCCTCACCCATAGCTCCAATTGATCGCCAATGTCGGTTCGCGTCGTCGCCAGGCTGCGGCCTCTCCTGGCCCAGGAGCTGGAAAAGGACATCATTGTTCACACCGACAGCGTCGAGCCCGAGAAACCGCCGACCATCGTCAAGATTCCGAACCCGCGCAACGAGAGCGAGGAGTTTTCCTTCACCTTCAATGGCGTCTACGGCTCAGAGACGACGCAGGAAACATTGTTTACTTCTGAAGGTGGGAGCGTTTTTCTTTTTCTTCTCCGCCACTCTCCGCGTCCAACGCGTCTTACGGGACTAGCCGTGTTAACCTGAGCAGTGGCGCCGCATATCAAGTCACTGTTTCAGGGTCTCGATGTTACCATCTTCGCGTATGGTGTCACTGGCACGGGAAAGACGCACACGATGCGAGGAGGGATGAAACTGGCTGAGCGAGGCGTGATTCCCCGGTTGCTCAGCGGTATCTTCCGCAGAGGGAAGAAGATTATGAAGGACACGGATGGAGAGACCACGGTAGATGTGGCACTCTCATACTATGAAATTTACAACGACAAGGTCTATGACTTGATGGAACCCCCCGAAAAACGAACGCCAACTGGGCTGCCCCTCCGCGCAGAGGCCAACGGCAAGACGGTCGTGGTGGGCTTGACAGAGCGAGCTTGTGAGGACCTCAAGGACTTTGAAACATTGTATATCGAGGCCAACAACAACCGCGTAACAGCGGCTACAAAACTCAACGCTCACAGCAGTCGAAGCCACGCCATTCTACGGGTCAAGCTAACGCAGACAACCGGTAACATGGTTCGCGAAAGCACAGCATCGGCCATCGATCTGGCTGGTTCGGAGGACAACCGCCGGACAGATAACGGCAAAGAGCGGATGGTGGAGTCGGCAGCCATCAACAAGAGCCTGTTCGTACTCAGCCAGTGCATTGACGCCATTTCTCAAGGAGCCAAGAGGATACCATACCGAGAGTCCAAGATGACCCGAATTCTCTCACTAGGCCAGAACAATGGCATCACCGTCATGATCCTCAACCTATCACCACTCCGAAACTACCACTTGGACACTCTTAGTAGTTTGAATGTTAGCTCTCGAGCCAAGCGGATTGAGGTTCGCGAGATCGAGAACGAGGTCGTATTCAAGCAGGTTCCTAGGACGAACTCAGTTACAACTACTCGGCAGCCATTAAAACCCCTAGCCAATGCCATAAATACTCATATTGCTGCCAATGGAAGCGCAGCGGCGAAAACTACTGAGGCAGCCAAGCCGGTCAAGGCTTTCAGTGTATATACGGATAAAGCGAAGCCTTCAGCCATTGCGCGGCCCTCCCTTGGTTCTGTTCCTCCTCGCTCATCCTCAAAGAACCGGTCTTCATCTCTGAAGCGATCATCTGACCATCACGACACGACCTCTCGACCTAGCAAGCTTGCTCGGCCAATCATTCACCAAACCCCACAGCAGCAAATCGCAAAACCCTCACAGCCTTCAGCGCCCCCAGCGCCGTCGAAGCCTCCGCCGGCGTCGCAACAAGCTATTACCGTGACAGCAGCCGAAATCGAGGCCTTGGTGGAGAAGAAGGTTAGTGAGATTCTGGCAGCAAGGGAAGCAGCTGAGGAATCTATTCGGCGGACTCAGACTTCGCCCGAGGCGAGTGATGCAGTCCAGAGGCGGCTGGAAGCTTTGGAACGACGAATTGAGAACGAAGAGTGGAGAGAGGACGCCAAGTCCGAGGGCCTGCGGTGTCTGCTAGCAGCGAGGCACCACAAGGAGCGAGGCGATGATGCCGCTGCGCTCAAGGCTTACGAAACGGCTTTGCCATACTTTCCGAACCAGCCCAAGCTCTTGGGCAAGATTGAGCGCCTACGGGCACGGATAGAAGCTTCAGGGAGCTCAGGGAGCACATCCCCTGAGAGGAAGGAGAGGAAGAGGGAACGCAAGCCAAGACGCAAGACTGTCAGCGACGAAGATGGCGACGATGCTGAGGCAGATGGGGAAGAGGAATGCCAAGTTTCTACACCAAAGATCAAGGCAACTAAGCTCAAGGCTAGAAGAGAGCCAAAGACTATTCTTACGGAAGACGATGAGGAAATCACGCCACGTACACAGCGACTTCTCGACGTGGTCAACTCACGAGATGCGAGCCAGATCCGGGGGCTTGTAGGATTCGGCGCGAAGAAGGCTCAAGACCTGGTAGACTACCTGGAGATCGCGAACACCGAGGGCGGCGGCGAGATTGAGAATCTATCTCAGCTGCGGACGATTCCCGGCTTGGGTGGGCGAACCGTAGACCGCGCATATGAGGGATTGGTAGCAAGGGCATAAAGTCATGGGCGGCGTTTTTTTATACAGTGTGTGCATGTGTTACTATCGTGCACTTGGATACCAGAAAGGCGGCCGCAACGAGTGGTCGCATGAGCATTCTATGGCGTTGGGCGTTGTTGTCGCAGCTTAAAGGGGATCAACGTATTGCACATGTTGCTGCTGGTCGTTGATTGGCTTGAAGACGCATTTACAGCGAGCATTGATGAAATTGATTTTCACCCCTTGCATGAAATGCCATGCAGCCTCGACTCGAACCGTGTCTTACCTTTTTTGGTGTTTCAGCTTGGCTGTCTCATCATCCAAGTTTGTGACGCCCTTCTTTTATGTGTTTGTGACTTGTGATTTGGCTGGCGTTGGTTTGCTTTTACTGACTGGGCTGTTATTACCGTCCATGTGATACTCACACTTTGTTAGATATTAGAATGGTGCTTGTTTTCATTGCTGTATACCTCTATATACCTGATGCTGAGACATCGAGTAGTGAGGTAGGTTCTGCACCAGCTACTTGTTTGTATGCTTGATTTGAGGCGTTAAATGTAATAAATTATCTTGAAGCTTAGTTAATTTATAAATCCTAGTGATATATCATTTTGTGGTATAGACGATGTGCTACAAGCTCAGATAGAGGTCATCATGTTAAGTGGATACTACCTTACAAAGGCGCATAAAAGTTCACGATATCCAGCACAATCAAGATATCGCCCAACAACACCGACGTCACGAGCAACTAAATCGCAAACAGCAATTCCACGATTCAATCCAATCATGTAGCCAATGTACCTCTACTTCGTATCAGCAACAGGAACATCCCCGGCATCCGGACATCGAGAGCTGTCAAACCTACGCCTCCCAATGCAAGACGCCTCCACGAGTAAACCAATCGCCACCTTATCGCAACTCCCGGATATCCCAAACAAAACAAGGAAAACAGACACACAACACCTCAAGCCAGTCATTTCACTTCATGCAGAAAGAACCCCTCACCAAAAAAAAAAAAAAAAAAGCGTAAGACACAAACCATGTCTCACCCACCTACCTTGTCTTAGAAATCCAAAACCCGGACCCCCGGTAAAAACCACCTACACAACCAAAGATCCTCGATTCATGAACCCTCAAATCTCCACTCAAAACGTCTCCTACTGCACGTTCTGGCATATGTTCCCTCTTATAGATCCATGACTCCCAACACCTCTTTTTTTTTTCCCCTCGCCCCTCACAAAACGGCCATTGGTCCAATCCCTTCCGACAAAGCCCATGCGGCAGGCTTTCGCGCCAAGTTTCATGTACCGCACGGCGGCTACGTCGGATAGGCCCCCCCTCCAGAACAAAGAGAAGCACAAAAACCCACTTCTTTCCAGGAAGGAGGCGACTCTGTGTGTTTTGGGCTTTTGTATGGGGATGGGGGGATGCGTGTCATGCACGAGGTGGCAGCGGCACATACGTAATGCGCATGACGCGGCGGCAAAAGAAATTCTGTCCAATTGTTTGGAGTGTGAGCCGATTTGGTGATGCTTACTACCGGATTTTTTCTATCTTGTCCTGCGCTGATTAATTGAGGGGAAAACATCCGGTTATAGATCTGACTTATACGGACGTGCTGGGGCGGAACTCCCGGATTAAAATAGGAACTCTCACAGAAATAGGCCATCATGTGAGCATGCGCACTTATACGGGCCCGACAGAGCCGTATAAGCCTCAACAACTGGGTCCGTAGCAGCAGGAATCAGGTAAGTCAAACGTGTTTGAGTAATTCATCTCATAATTCTGGCATCTATGTACAAGAGACTGTATTGAGGAAAATATGTTCAACCCAAAAGTCATAGCAGACATGTCGTATGCTGCGCCCAGCTCCGTAAACTAAAAATCAAGTATAAAAGAAAATGTAGAAGATGCTTTAACCTAGCAATGAAGAACCGCCAGCGAATCTTTCCAGGACCAACACCACCCCATGTCCAGACCCAAGAAACGGCATGGTGAAGCAGAGAGAAAAGGCATCTAGAATCGAACGAGCGTGAAAAGTATGGCCTTTGATGAGATACAAATGATAATCGTGAGAACACGACCGGCGGTTTACTTCTGTACGTAGGGTTGCCGTGGTAGGTCGTAACCAAAAGCTACCCACTATGGTATCTTCCGCTTTTTGTCGTCTTGTCTTGTAATCCAAACCGTACACCATCCAAAATGAAAATTGGCTTTGTCGTTTTTGTTTTTGTTTTGTATAAGTCTTGTGTGTACCCTTTTGGGGGGCACTTTACCGAATCATGCTGGTTCGGCGCTGGACTGTCCTCTGCTGCTCTGTCCGGGATCCTCCAAAGCCGGGCATTGAGCTAAAGCGGTTGAGCTTCTTGCGCTCAGGAAGGGCCTCCATGGTAGGAGAGGTAGGCTCAGGTGTCATGGAGTGCATGGGAGATCTGGGAGTGGGCGAGGCGCGATCGCCGTGGAGAGCGTCCATGCGGGATGCGGTCGACTCTGTAGAAGAGCCGGTGCTGTTGGGAGTCTGGTAGACGTACTCGCCATCAACATAGACGGCGTTGGACACAAAGGTGGAGCGACGGTTACGGCGACGGGTGTAGCGTTGCTCAAGGCGGAAGAGCTCCAGCTTGGCCTGGATACGCTCGAAGAGGCTTTGGCCCATGTTTGCGGTATGAAGAAAAAGGTAAAAGTTTGTGGTTTGTGGTAGGTATAGAGGTTTGCGGGTAGCAACCGAAGGCGTAGATCGTTGTTATTCCGTTGGCTCGTTTCACGTTGGTGCGAGGAAAAGACGTTCGAGTTCGAATCAAAGAGGAGTTCTCCTGAGTTTGTACGTTTGCAGTAACAAGAACCGAGTACGTATCAAGTAGAGAATCAGGTGATGGGAGGTGAAGCGGTCTTGAGGTAAGATGGAGGAAAAGGAAGTGGTACGTTTGGCAGGGGACGTATTGGGAGCTCCCGTTGTATTAGTAGCGTTGAAGAAGTAAAGAGTGACAAGAGGTTGGGGACCTGCAGCTACAGGGGCGTTTTGCTAGATGAGGAATAGAGAGAAAAAAAGAATGGGAAGAAAAGAAGTTCAAGTTGGATGCAGAAGAGAGGAAGAGTGGAAGGTCTTGTGCAAAGATCCTGGAATCGGCGGGCCGGGGGCAAAGATATGGCCCAGCAGGTACGAGGTATGAGGTACGATGCTCATTAGCGGAGATGACAGCGTGGTGGAGGTAGCCCGTACCAGCTCGTGTACCGCTACTCCCGGAGCGTACTGGTACCTGGCAGACCCAGAAGCGCATGGCAACGCTGCAACGGCACGCCACCAGAGGCCGGGGGATCACTAGCGACAGGTATCTGGACCTGGCGGCGCTGGCATTTGGCGGGCATTTGGCGGGCAGGCGAGTGCTCGGGCCTCTGAGGGACAAGTACCGCTACTCACTGTCAGCAGCGCTAAGGCGCATAGTCTCTAGGGCTTGAATGAGCCGCAGGGGTCCCCACGTCGCTATGAGAAGGTGCCAGCGGTAGTGGCCAGGCCAGGTAAGGCGCTGCCTCGGGGGATAAGGGCGAATGCATCCCTTATGCAGGACTAGGCGGATTCTATTGTGCGATGTGGGCATTTTGGACGGGCCAGTCGAGTGGCAGTGGTGGTTGAGGGGAATACTTGTATGGGAAAAAAGGAGGAGGCAAAAAAAACGAGGGAATACTCCGCTGTAGTGCACTACTATAGCTGTGTTAGTACCCTGAGGTCTACCAAGGTCTAGGTCTTGTTTTAGTAGGCCTACTGTAGGTCTGTCTTGGTCAGCAGCAAATTGCTTCAGCATTTGGGCTCGATCCATGAGATGCCACAGCCCACGTGTGGCTGCAACTATAACATGGAGCTTTAGTCAGTCGATAAACCCAGTCCAGCCAGTGCCTCCAGAATCATGCAACGCCTGTAATGCCGTACGAGTACCAGGTATCCTGATGAATGCCCTGAAACCCTCAGTCTTGCCCTCTCTCTCTCTCTTTTGCCCTCCTCCCCCTGTTGGCCTCGCCTTGAATGGGTGAAACACCTTGCTCCGTATTTGCGGGCTCTCTAGCGCAGGGGCTCCATCTTGGCCCAAGTGCCCGCGGCCACATCGCGCCGTTGTGGGTGGTTGGTCCGTTGAGCGTTCAAGTTTACTTACTGTGGATGCGCCAATAATGGTCGGGCCCGAAGCTATCATCCCGGATTTCGCAGTGCCCAGCCAGGATCGGGCAAATGTCCTGAGACCAGCCAGCAGGGCAGGCGTTGGCTATGGGTAAGCGACATTGGCTGCTGAAATTGGCTGCTGCGTTATCTTTCTCCGCAGTTATCGATTGAAACCATTCTGCGTAGGTAAGTTGTTGTTTATTCACTGTCATTTCTCTGCCGTGCCTTTTACTCTTCACCTGCATAGCATCAACACTCGAACCAATCGATGCCCTCTACCGCCTCAAGACAGCAGAGCACAAACCCTAAAATTAGCTCAGTCTCTTGCAGGCAGAGAGCGTTTAGCAACTCGTACATGCACGACAGCCCAGCTGCAGCAGCCACGGCCGTACTCGTATTTGCGACAACCCTGTCTCGACCACTCAGTGGTTCATATTCATCCTCCCGTACTTGTACCTGGTAGCTGTCGTGCTACTTGTGGTACAGTAGTGCCTGGAAGCTGCATGGCGCCTCGTAGTGCTGGAATAGCGCAGTCCATCAACCCCCTGCGTCTGGTCCTGTTCATGTCATGTCGACTTTAGCCATTTCCTCTCCTCTCCGTCGATTACCCACAGCTGTAAAGTACAGTAGTCAATCGACATGACACAGCGCCGCGGATTCGCTCTTTTCCTGGCCAGGCCTCGATTCGCCGTCCTCAGCTCAATCTCCCCTTTTTGTGTCGGGCAAGTCACGGCTCGCTGGTGACATGCATGGGTGCGGCCTAGCACACTGTTTCCACGTGGATTCCAGAAGCGAGGCGCGCGATCTTGACGATTTTGGGGAGAGCTAGGGATAGGACCTCGCCCTGTCCCTGCAGCGGGTTGAGTGATATGGTACAGTATAATGCTGCAAGTGATGCGTCAGTATTACTTCGTGATTGTACTCCGTAGTCGGGTCGTATTTCATCATTACATCCGGTGTTCTGCCCAAATGCAAGAAACTTTTTTGCAGGCAAAAGTCTGAATAAAATTTCAGCCCATTCGTGTTTGCCCTCTGCCGTCTCCAAGCCTCAGCGTTGATACGAAATGACATCTAGCGAGCCGTCGTCGGAAGCTCCCGAGCACACAGATGCTCCAACGATCCTCAACCTCCGTCCATTTGTGCGCCTGAGCACCGCTTTCCCGTCGTAATGCACACTGTGGATGGCGCACAGGTGTGGAGTCCCCAAAACCGATGGTCCACGGGCTTAAATTTCGCCAAAGAAGCTGTCCGGGTAGCTTCATGCTTCTAATCCCTAGGTTATTTCACATTAGCACCAAGGCATGACCTAGTAGTAGCTGTAGATGGGACCGCTAGCTGTCCTTGGCCGTTTGTGGCACCAACACTAATAAGATGATGGATCACTGCTGTCAGAGCTGAGAGATCAAGAGAACTACTGGTGGCGTCTCGTAAAATTTGGAAGTATCATTTTGATTGTGCTTACAAGATATGCCAATCAAAATGACTGATGCCCGTAGTTCGTACCGTAGCGGCTCTCACAGCTACGGCACTTCTCTTGTCCCTCCACCGTTCCCGGGTGTGTTGCACGGAGATCGTATCATGTGTAGCAGCGACTCGGCCTCGTGCTCTGCTTCTTGTGTTGCATCAGTCAAGTGTCTCAAGTACAAACTCGCCTTGCCGGTATCCGCTATCTGCTATCCGCATTAGAGCTACACACGGGAAAGAGCGGATCAAGCTTGGTGAGTGCCTTCTGAATGGGTAACCGGGTATCGGCAACTATGACATCAACTCACTTCGCAGTGGGCAAGTGCAGCTGCTGAACCTGCCTCTACCCAGCAGTGGTGCCTTGGAGTACCTGCCTTGTGAGCTCGATATCTTTTCCATGACGAATTTCAACTCAAAAATAGGATAAAATTAAGTAAAATAGAAAAGACGGTAAAGCAGAGATGTCGATACCCGTGAGGAAGGACCAGACCAGAGTTCCCATGCCGTCTCGGCGCGAGTTGAAAAGTGTGTACATGCTTCTCCTTGAGATAATATCTGGGATAAATAGAACACCGACTCTGTGATGCTGCTCGTGTGCTTTTTTGCAACATTCTCTTGTGATTTCTTGCGTCTTTGAACTCTCTTGATGCCAATCGCTTTGGTAAACAATCTCAGGTTGTTCGAGACAGGCAACCGCCTCTAACCGTCGCTGAACCAAGTCATCACGATACAGCTTCCGCCTTGTGATTTTTGAAGCTGCAATTCTACAACAAACAGCCTTTTGAATCCGTCTTCCCTATCAAGGTACCTCGCCGGGCCAAGTGCCGCAAATCACCATGCGAGCTATCAACCTCGGGAGTCTCGCCATCCTCGTGGCAGGCGTCTATTCAATGAAGGGTGGACAGAAGAGAGTGACAGATACACCCACAAAGAACATCAATGTCGCAACAAACAAGTACATAGTTGAGGTCGAAAAGGTATGCTGTCATATTAATTCACTTGCCAGCTTGTAGCCAGCCATTGACCAGATTCGCGATGCAGGGTAGCGTTGCCTTTATGACTCGCCAATTTGACTCGCCAGCATCGAGAAATAGTACCTACTTCAGGCAGTTTGACTGTGGGGACCTTTTCAATGGGATAGTCGTCGAAACTGAAATTGACAATGCCGACACACTCGGCGCAGTCCCTGGTGTGTCCAATGTCTGGCCAATGAAGACTGTTCCAATGGCATCTGCCATAACGCGATTAAAGGCCGCTCCGGACCCCAAGAATCATAACTACTCTGTGCATCAGTGGACCGGTGTTGATCATCTCCACGCTCGAGGTATTCGAGGCAAAGGTGTTACCATTGCCATCATCGACACCGGCGTTGATTATACCCACGAAGCGGTTAGTCGCCTTGATCTATGGCAGACTAGCCCCCCTCGTGCTAAATACTCTGCAGCTTGGCGGATGCTTTGGACCTGGGTGCAAAGTTGCTGGAGGCTATGATCTCGTCGGAACAAACTGTAAGTTTTGTTATCAGCCGCTGGCTGAACAGGTGACATGATGGCTGACACGAAGGTGGAGGGAATTCTCACAATGAGAAGCGATACCCAAAAGACCCGGATCAAGATCCTATGGACTCCCATGGCCACGGGACTCACGTCGCCGGAATCATTGCCGCTGAAAATGAATGGTAATCTACCAAATCCCGGCCGATCATCATATTTACACACTAATTTCCCCATCAAAGGTTGACCGGGGTGGCTCCTGATGCCCAACTTCTTTCGTTCAAGGTTTTTGCCGATGTAAATGCAACGATGATATCCTTAATAAACTCCTTGCTGACAGATTATCCAGGATCCCTGGGATACGGATGAAGATGTGCTCATTCAGGCATTTTGTGATGCATATGGCGCTGGGGTAAACCTCCCTGGATTTTGTCCTCCACGTACTACAGCTAACCACGCTCAACAGGCTGACGTTATTACAGCAAGCATCGGCAGACCTGATGGGTTTGCTGATGACCCATGGGCTTTGGTTGCCAGCAGAATTGCCGATAAAGGTGTTGTAGTTACAATTTCAGCCGGGAATGAAGGCAATACCGGGCCATTCTACTCAAGCAGCGGCGCCAACGGCCACAACGTATTGTCTGTAGCCGCCATCAACGTGACCGGGAATCCAAACATCAGCACCTCTGATCCCAGGGCAGCACCGATTCCTGCCTTATTCACGTCGTGGGGCCCGACTAATGAGTTACTGCTCAAGCCTGACATCGGTGCCCCAGGCCTTGAAATCCTCAGCACCGTGCCAGACAATGACTACACTTCGATGAGTGGGACATCAATGGCTGCGCCATACATTGCGGGTATTGCAGCGCTGTACATATCCAAGCACGGTGGTCGTGAGCTACATGGCCCTGGATTCGCAAAACAACTAGCCAACCGGATTGTTTCCAGCGGAGTTAGCATTGGGTGGGCTGCTGATGACATTGATCTCGATTTTAGAGCCCCTCCTTTCCAAGTGGGCACCGGTCTTGTCAATGCGCTCAAGGTGATTGACTATGATACGCAGTTGGAGTTTGAGCCTTTTTCGCTGTCAGATTCCATACAGTTCCGATCAAGATGGACAGCCAACGTTACAAACTCAGGGAACCAAACGGTGGTTTACTCTTTTGAGCTTGAGCCCCAGGCTGGAGTAGAAATCTTGGATCCTCATTATGGTATAAAAACTGCCTACAAACTGGAGCCATTGCGGATTGTGCCCCCCGTTTTATTGCCCAGTGATGTTTCAGTAGCACCTAGAGAGACGAAACAAGTCGAGTAATGTCTTCCCACCATTCAAATTGTACGTCATATATGGCTAATAAACCTCAGGTTCATCTTTGATCGTCCCGAAAACATAAATGATGATTACCTACCTTTATATGGTGGTAAGGTTTGGATGAGAGGGAGCAACGGCGAAGATCTCTCTATTCCATATGGAGGTGTGTTCAGTCCCGAGATGGATAGTTTTTCAACATATTGATTTGTCATTGCACCTTTTAGGGGCAGCATACGATACTGAGAAGGCTTTTGACACCATGTTCATGGGAGAACCCTTCATCACAGATCGGGGGGCCAACTGGACGTAAGTGCGCCCCATCAACAATTTTGAGAAGATATCTAATGTCGACGACGACAGTTGGTCATTTATTACCGACAAAAGCAGATTTGACTTTGTCGAGTTATCTGCCCGTCTCGATTACCCATGTTTCCATCTCCGCTGGGATGTCAGTATCCGCCCCCTGCTCCAAGCCGGGTCATTAAACTGCTAATTAGGATCATCTCTTTAGATATACACCCCGTTTTGGACCGAAATCCATTGGGAGTATCCTCCCGTCGTTGGGGAATCCGGCTATGTTGGTGCAGCGGCCACAATGCGAGATGCCGACACCTTCTGGTACTACGACCCTAGCCGTATGGATAAGGAGCAAACAGTCTCGTTTCCTATGATGAGGGTTCCACGTGGCTATGCTAAGCATTGGTGGTTTGGCAAGCTAGCAAACGGAAGCTATATCGCTCCAGGCAATTACACGTGAGACAATGCAATCTAAACAACTAACTTGTTCGAGATTCCTGGATCTGCTAACCTTTTGATGTAGCCTGCGATTTGCTGCTTTGCGCCCCTACGGCAATCCCAACATCTCTGATCATTGGGACGTTATGCGCATGCCTGTGCGAAACATTCAAGTCTTACCATACAACCGAACGAACTCCACCACACACGGAAGATGAGTAGGTAGCGGATAGGGATTTTGTCTGTCAAGGATTCAATGTTATAGACAATTGGTCTTGGTCATCTTTGAAACATTATAGAGATTATTCCTAATTTTGGAGGTTATAGACTGTAGATGAAGCTGGGCCATCTTAGTATACGAGATAATCATGTTGAGAAATATGCCCTGACTTGGAATTCTATCTAGAGTTTTATATCTGTAATCGATTTCTTAGACCCCTTAATCTCTTTGTATGCTAGGTTACGCCTCTGTCTTCTGCTTCTTCGGCTTGGACTGCGCAGCATTACTTTCCACACCACGCTTGTTCTGGGTAGATTCTCCATTTAATTCACCTCGGTCTTGTTCATCTTCGTTATGATCTGCATTCTCCCCGTAGTCGCTTTCATACTCTCCCATGACCTCGGCCTCGTCAGGGGATGGGAACAATGTTCTCCAGCTTCCATCTATAACCCTGTCGTCGTTTCCGTATAGCCCCACGGCATATGCTTTCTTCATGGCCGCCATGCAGATGTCTCGCCGCTCGTTGAAATCAAACATGGGCTTTGGGTACGTCGCCTCTTGCCGACCCGAGAGTCCATCTCCAGTGACCCGGACGCCGGCCTCCTTCTGGTCGAAGAGAGGCATCTTCCACGGCTCGTAGATGTACTTTGCTTTCACGCGGCTGAGTTCAGGAACCCATTGCCGGATCAGGGCGCCGTCCTTATCCCACTTCTGGCCAAAGGAGACGGGGCTGTAGCAGCGGAAGTACTGGGTGAAGAAGGCGGTACAAGAGAGCCACTGCCAGTTGCCGATGTTGCAGGCGGGCTCGTGGTCGATGAGCCACTCCTCGAAAACCTCTGCGCCGCGCTCCCAGTCGACGTAGCAGCCGCCGCGGGTGAGGAAGCAGGCGACGCTGTGGCGGCCGAGGTGGTGGATCCAGCCGTCGTGTCGGAGCTGGCGCATGAGGGCGTCGATCCAGGGGAAACCGGTGACGCCGGCCTTCCATCGCTGGAACCACGTTTCGGCTTGTTGGTTGTCGATGTGGTGATCTCCCGTGGCGAGGCCTGTGTCTGGGTCGCGCTTGGAGGGGAGATGCCAGGGGATGAAGCGGCAGTAAGGGTTCATTGCTGTCTGCGCGAATGATGCGCCAAGGGCTGCCTGGGCGGCAAAGTACATGTCGCGAAAGAGTACTTGGCCGATGAGGCTCTCTGGGGGCGATGAAGCTGCCTTGCCGTAGGACTCGACGATGGCGTGGACGCGCCAGTAGAACAGGCGCACGGAGAGGGCCCCAAAGTGGAAGAATGGCGAGAGCAGGGTTGTGGACTGGGGATTGAACTGGGCTGGACTTGTCTTTGGCTTCTGGAAAGTTGCCGTGTATTTTTTATCTTTGAGGAGCTCGTCGAGAGCCTTGAGGGCACGCGTTTCGCCGCCTCGATGGGGAGTCGTGGCTGGAGGAAAGCCGAGTTCCTCCAGCGTTTCAATTGCAAAGTCGCCATTCGGGCCCGCGATGTGTTTATACTCAGTGTCTTCCTCAGATCTATAACTTTCATTGAAATCTGGTTTCGTCTCAGGAAGATGCCGCTCGAAATCCACGGGCATGTCTCCCGGATCAGGTAAGCTCTCAGGTGCGGGAATGGGCTTTGCGACGGGACCAATCTTCTTGCCCGCCGCCTGTAGCTGGGTTATCGACATGGTGGGTTTTCCGCCGTGGTGTTTGACGATGTCGTCGCTGTCCCAGAGAGTTCGGCCTGGTCGAATGATGACTTCGACTCCTGCTGCTTTGGCTGCTTTGGCGACGGCCTCGTCTCGAGAACGAGCATATGCGTCTGTGTCCTTTTCAAAAACCAAGTGGGTGGGCTTCCATGCTTTGAAAAGTTTTGGGAGGAGTGTTTGCGGGCCTTCCCTGAGAACGAACAGCTTGGAGTTCTTGTTCAGCTTCGTAATGGATTGCGAGAGGTCATTCTGGCAGTCCAATCTAATGCGAAAATATCAGTCTCTCGTCTCATCATTCAATGAAGGCTTTCAGCCAAGGTGCCATACAGAAACTGCCACCGATTCACGCCTCCTCTGGCCTTGTACACGTAGTGAGGATCCCATGTGAAGATTGGCCAGAGGACCTCTGGCTCGAGATCTAGGGCTGCTTGGAGGGCCGGCGAATCGTGCAAACGGAGGTCTGTTCTGAACCAGTATATCACGCGTGGTTTGACCATTTTGCTGAATTGTGTGATTATATAGACAATTCAGTCAGTGGAATCTTTAATCCACGTTTGAGATTTGGATGACACGAATATTCCAGAGGAGCATTCCAGAGGAGTGTTGTTGGTTGAGGCGTCAGTCCATGATGTCATGATTGTGTTTGAGGCCGATGCTCGTGAGCGAGCTAGAATGTCTCGATCGAAGGGATGAGGCCATCTCGACGGACTCAACATTCGACCTTGTACACCAAAAAAAAAAAAAAAAAAAAAAAAAAAAAAAAAAAAAAGAAGTGGCATCAAACATACATTGAAGTGCATCTCTTTGTAATCATTCATAGCCAACTTGCCTTTCTAACGTAAGGCCGAGTTAAGGATAGCTGCTTACAAGGCGAAGACAACCACTAGCCCGAGTTTAAAGTTGAAGCCTGTAAGTCTCACTGTAATCCCTCGGTTTCATTACCACTTCCAAGCTTGTCATCCCTTATTGGGACATCAGTTTAATAGTACCTTGGGAGATGTAATCTCAAACTTTAAATTACTAGCCAGTTGTATGTATGTTTGTGTAGCGCGGAGATATTGGCGTGCATTTTTATTCCGTATTCCATGTTTGGAGTTAGGCTGCGATGCCCGAGTCCCGATGAATCCTACATTCGCCAGGTCAGCACTAATAGCTGAGAATATCTATATAAGACATAAAAAATTGAAGCAAGAAGGGCAGTAGACAATCAGTAATCATTTTCTCCTCAAAAATTCCTTAAGTACCAGCCAAAAGCTCCATAGCAACATGCAGATAGTCTCTATCAACGACTTCATCCGCCAGTCCTTTGACTTCCTCGTCATCGGCGGCGGAACTGCTGGCCTTGTCGTTGCATCTCGTCTAGCTCAAGATGGAAAGTACACCGTTGGAGTTCTTGAAGCTGGAGGGACGGCAAACGGCCGCGAAGATGTCCAAATTCCCGGCTATCTCGCAATGTCACTGGGCAGTGAAATCGACTGGAAATTTCAGACAGCACCGCAGACAGGTCTAGGAGGAAGGTCGGTCAGTTGGCCGCGAGGAAAAGCCCTTGGTGGGTCGAGCGCCATCAACTTCATGACTTGGATGAGAGGTGCTAGAGAGGACTATGATGGGTGGGAGGCGCTAGGCAATTCCGGATGGGGATGGAATGAGCTGTTGTAAGTGCTTTTCAGGCAATAGCAAGGTGAATCAATGTGAATATTCTCTGATATCGGCTCATAGACCTTATTTCAAAAAATCGGAAACGTTTCATACGCCTAGCGATTCTATACGGGATGAAGAGGACCTTCGATATGATCCCGAGGCCTTTGGAGACTCAGGACCGATTCACATCTCTTATGCTAAAGAATACTCTCCATCTAATCGTCACTGGTTCAAGGCACTCAATTCATTGGGAGTACCAACAAACTCTGCTCATTTTGCGGGGTCGAATGTCGGAGCGTGGACAAATGTCAACAACATTGACCCACGCACAATGACCCGATCATTTGCAACCAACTATTGTTCCTTAGCTGGCTCTAATCTCCACATCTTGACTGATGCTACAGTTCAGGAGGTTATCCTTGACAATATTGACAATGAGTGTGTAGCCTCTGGAGTACGGTTTACATACAAAGGCGAGGAGCATGTCGCCCTAGCATCTCGCGAAGTCATATTGTCCGCTGGAAGCATCAAGTCCCCACAGATACTTGAGCTTTCGGGCATAGGCAATCCCGAGATATTGTCTCGGGCCGGCATTGCTGTCAAAGTGGACAGTCCCATGGTAGGAGAAAATCTGCAAGACCACAACGGTATGTACCTGTTTCGGCAATACCAATTAGTATTAAAGGCAAGTCTTGAGCTAACGGGGAGAAATAGCGGTCCATATCATCGCAGAAGTAGACCCAGAGCTTGAGAATAGAGATGACCTCTTCTTTGATGCTAACTACGCAGCTGAAGCTCGAGAACAGTATCGTCGAGACCAAACTGGCCCTCTTGCCAGCATTCCTTCTTCTTACACTTTTGTTCCCCTTGCCAGCTTCATGTCACAAGATACGTTGGAGAGGTTACATTCTCAGGCCCAAGCTCTAACCGGATTCTCGCCAGCCAAGAAGACTCTCATGGAGCAGCGCCTGAGACATGCCGACCGGTTCGGCTATGCAGAATACATCTTTAGACTTGGCGCCGCGCCCATGGCTGTGACTGGCAAAAAGTTTGGCACGCTGTTCCAAATTCTGCAGTATCCTTTCGCTGTTGGCTCAATCCATATTCAGCCACCGGCCGCTGAGGGAGATGATCCTGTGATTGATCCTAGGCATTACCATGGCCCTCGTGGAGAGATTGACCTCGAGGTTATGATGGAATCGACCCGCTTTGCTCGCGATATCCTGCTTGCGCCTGCTTTTAGCAGTGTTGTGAAGCAAATATTTCACCCCCCTGCCAGTTCATACGCGAACGACGAGTATATGAAGAAGTGGATCACTGATAGCACTGCTGTAGCATTTCATCCTGTTGGAACATGCGCCATGGGCGGCCATGAAGGTATTCGAGGGGGAGTTGTGGATGAGAGGCTCAAGGTTTATGGAGTCAAGAAGCTGCGTGTTGTGGATGCAAGCATCATGCCGCTTCAAATAAGTGCGCATATACAGGCGACTGTTTATGCCATTGCGGAAAAGGCATCATCCATGATCCTTGAAGATGTGGCACAAAATTAATACAGGCATGATACTCACGGTAGCGTTCATATGAGGCAATTTGCCGTGCTGATATAGATCGAGGTAATTACAGTATAAAAGATATGTTCATGAGCTCCAATTCATCCTCGTGATATTGTGACACTCTCATCATCGGCATCGTGAAATCCAGCTCTGGCTCTTGCGACAGTAAATTCGCTTGATGGCGTTCTAAAGACGGATGTGGATGACGGAATGTTTCGAAGAGAGATGCCATGAGGTGGTTGAGTGGTAGGATCTGTAGATACCTCAGAGCCACTGTGGGCTCCATCAGGCTCCGAGGGCATCTTCAGATTCTGTTTCACCCAAGGCAGCAAGTTGAAATAACCACCACAAGCGAATACGCCTATCCAAAGGACTAGCTCAGTCCCGTATATCACCATGCCGAGGATGTCCAGTTTCGGCTGGAAGAATACTGAGACGAGTGAGAAGATATCGCCGGCAGCATCGATGCCCACAAATATGAATGAGATTCCGCGCACTGATCGATGGACATATATATCCCAGTAGTGTCTGAGCACGCCAGCAGCGAGGAACGCCGCCGAGAGGATTGCCATTAAAGTATCTGGCCATGTGAGATGCTTAGAGTGAGCCGCTCGAAGGGCGAAGATGAGGGCAATTTGTGTACCAGCCATCAAGAGAGCGATGGGAATGGCTACGAGAAGACAGCGAGAAACAGGCCATTTCTAGTATTAAGACTAAGGTTAGTCATTGGTAATTCCTGCTGGGTAGCAACAGCGAAGCAATTATGTACTCACCTTGTCGTAATATCGACATTGAGCCCAAGTGACCAGACTTAAGAGTGTAAGAATCTGAGGCTGGATGCGTAGGGCTATATTGAACTCCTTGGTGATGTTGTACACTCCAAGTGGAACGCCTGCACACGCCCACAGCATCATCATTGAGGGCTGCAGGCCGGTGGTGTTGTGACGACGATAGTTGATGATGATTTGGGGGATAAGCTGCCTCTTGTTTAGTGATGCTATTCACATGCCGATAGTATAGAAACGGAGGCAATTGTACCTGTACAGACCAACACACCTAGGAGGAATAATATTAGCCGGTGGTTTGAGAGATGTACCATCTTCATGGTTAGTAGTTATTGGAAGAGGCTTACAGCTCCAGCTGTGCCGAGCACATTTGCAGCCACGGGATTGTCCATGATCGAAATTTAGAGGGCCGATGAGGTTATGTCTTTTCACCTTGAAAGTATGCTGAGGCGGCCAGGTTCGAGGTTTAAATATTCAGACATTGCCATTTCATAGTGACGATAAAAGAGCTCAAGCGTGCATGTTCGAAAGCAACAGCAAGCCTCCAGTATAGAAGCATAGTTGACGTGATGAGTAAGTGGATGCTTCAAGGCGGGAAGAGGAAGAGGCGATTACCTAAGCCCCGCCTTTCGCGTCACCTCTTTTTTAATTGATTGCAGTCCAGACGCGTCTCCCCTCCAAGACACGCGCCGGTGGCTCTACAGGGGATTCTGCAAGCCACGTCTTTTCGACCAGCTGCATCTCCATGCTTCATTTCCTTCGCTCCGGCTGGAAAGAGATTTGGAAGTTTTGAGGGATCGCTTGGGCATCTTCATCACAAATTCATAGTCTCCAATCATGGCTTCAAGACCCGAATTGAAGGTACATCTGCCTCTTACATCAGCCAGACCGCGAGATACCGAATCTGACATTGTATCACTAGGTCGACGACGAGGGCGGCTTCATCCGCTTCTTCAAATCTCTACCAAATCTCGGCGAAGATGCCGTGCGGATATTCGACAGAGGCGACTGGTACACCTCCCATGGCAACGATGCCATGTTCATTGCTAAGACAGTACGATACCTCTCCAGTCAACTCTTTTTGATCAGTTCACCTCTAACATAGCCCCTTCAGGTCTACAAGACGACATCCGTTGTCCGACAACTCGGCAAGAATGACCACACGGGTCTCCCCTCCGTCACATTAACCACGACCGTCTTCCGGCAGTTCCTCCGCGAGGCGCTCTTCAAGCTGGGCAAGAGGGTCGAGATCTGGCAGAGCTCCAGCGGGCGGATGAACTGGAAGTGCATCAAGCAGGCGTCCCCGGGAAACCTCCAAGATGTCGAGGACGAGCTGGGTGGCCAGATTGATTCGGCTCCCATGATTATGGCAGTCAAGATATCCGCAAAAGCTTCGGAGGCACGTGCCGTCGGTGTCTGCTTTGCTGACGCCAGTGTGCGAGAGCTCGGTGTCAGCGAGTTCCTCGACAATGATCTCTACTCCAATTTCGAGGCTCTTCTTATTCAGCTTGGTGTCCGGGAGTGTCTCATTCAGTACGAGAAAGGCGACAGAGAGAAGGAGAAGGACCCCGAACTGGCGAAAATAAGGCAAATCATCAATAACTGCGGTGTGGCCCTGGCCGAACGACCAGCCGGTGACTTTGGCATCAAAGACATTGAGCAAGACCTGACCCGCCTCTTGAAAGACGAAAAATCAGTTGCCATGCTGCCACAAACAGACCTTAAGTTGGCCATGGGTTCCGCAGCATGCCTGATCAAATACATTGGCGCCCTACAAGATGTTTCCAACTTTGGCCAGTATCAGCTTTACCAACATGACTTGGCACAGTATATGAAGCTCGATGCCGCAGCCCTCAAGGCTCTTAATCTCATGCCCGGTCCACGAGACGGCTCCAAGACAATGAGCATCTACGGTGTGCTCAACCACTGCAAGACTCCTGTCGGCAGTCGCCTCTTGGCGCAGTGGCTGAAGCAGCCGCTGATGAGCAAGGATGAGATTGAAAGGCGACAGCAGCTCGTAGAGGCGTTCTATACCGATACTGAGCTCCGTCAAACCATGCAGGAAGAGCACTTGCGCTCTGTCCCCGATCTCTACCGTCTGTCGAAGAAGTTCCAGCGCGGCAAAGCCAATCTAGAGGACGTCGTCCGCGCCTATCAAGTTGTCATCCGCCTGCCTGGCTTCATTGGCACCTTGGAAGGAGTCATGGACGAGGCTTACAAGGATCCTCTCGACGATGCATACACCAACAAACTCCGAGAGCTGTCCGATAGTCTCGGCAAGCTTCAGGAGATGGTTGAGCAAACAGTTGACCTCGATGCCCTAGACCGGCACGAGTACATCATCAAACCAGAGTATGATCAGAGCCTGCGTGTTATCCGCAAAAAGCTTGATCAACTCGACCGTGATATCAGACAGGAATTCCACAGCGCCGCACGCGACCTGGACCAGGAGGCCGACAAGAAGATTTTCCTCGAGGCCAACCACAAGGTCCATGGTGTGTGCATGCGCCTGACGAGACAAGAAGCTGGCTGCATCCGCGGCAAGTCAAAGTATCAGGAGTGCTCCACCCAGAAGAACGGCGTCTACTTTACAACAAAGCAGCTGCAGGCCTATCGTCGTGAGCACGACCAGCTATCGCAAAACTACAACCGCACCCAGAGCAGCCTGGTGAACGAGGTCGTCCAGGTAGCGTCCTCGTATTGCCCCGTCCTCGAGCGTCTTGCGGGCGTGCTGGCTCATCTGGATGTCATTGTCTCGCTCTCTCACGCCGCCGTGTACGCTCCTGAAGCCTATGTCCGACCCAAGATGCACACTCGTGGCGAAGGTCAGACAAAGCTCACCGGCGCTCGTCACCCCTGCATGGAGCTCCAGGATGATGTCCAATTCATCACCAACGATGTGGATCTCACCCGTGACAAGTCATCGTTCCTCATCATCACCGGACCCAACATGGGTGGTAAATCTACCTACATCCGCCAAGCCGGCGTCATTGCCCTCATGGCCCAAGTTGGCTCTTTTGTTCCCTGCTCAGAGGCCGAGCTCACCATTTTCGACTCTATCCTTGCCCGTGTGGGTGCCTCCGATTCTCAACTCAAGGGCGTCTCGACCTTCATGGCCGAGATGCTTGAGACGGCCAACATCCTCAAGTCAGCTACTGCCGAGTCCCTCATCATCATTGACGAGCTTGGTCGCGGCACCTCGACATACGACGGTTTCGGTCTAGCGTGGGCCATCTCCGAGCACATTGTCAAAGAGATTGGTTGCTTTGCCATGTTTGCAACTCACTTCCACGAACTCACCGCGCTGGCCGACCAGTATCCCCAGGTCAAGAACATGCACGTCACGGCGCACATTAGCGGCACCAATGGCGATGTCAACGCCAAACGCGAGGTCACGTTGCTGTACAAGGTTGAGCCCGGCATCTGCGATCAGAGTTTCGGTATCCACGTCGCTGAGCTTGTGCGCTTCCCAGACAAGGTCGTTCGCATGGCCAAGCGCAAGGCAGACGAGCTCGAAGACTTTACTACCAAACACGAAGATCTTGGCGTGAGCTACAGTACTGAGGACGTCGAGCAGGGCAGTGCAATGCTCAAGAAGGTGCTGGTTGAATGGAAGGAGGCCGTGCAGAACGGAGAGCTGAGCAAGGAAGAGCAGGTGGCCAAACTAAAGGAGTTGGTGGCAGCAGACGAGCAGCTGCTCGCCAACCCCTTCTTTCAATCTGTCAAGGCGCTATAAACAAATCACATGGATGGAGGATAAAATCAACGTCAGTTTACGCAAAGGAAGACATTTAGTGTAATGGCCTCGCATTTAATAGCGCCAGGAGTTGGGATTGACGGCATTTATTTGGGAAACAGATCCTATCATTGGGAAGGATATGCATATAATAGCACTAAGAGCGCCGATATTTAAGGGGCATGAGACTCGCGATTTTACATGAAAAGCTTTTATATCCTGTGTATTCCATATGTCAGCGTACTATTCGTGACATGCAGCCAGTATAAAATAGTGAGAGATAAAGAAAAGAGTTCCATCAGACAATACAATGTAGATATGGTGATAATGTAATCAGTGATATCATAAACAGCCTCTGAAGAGATTTCATCATGGAAAAGAAGAAAACAAAGTGCAAAATGAAGAATATTCAAAACAACGTACCTTTTTTCAAGTTTTGTCGTCGTGACACCGGCAGCCCAGATCCAAAAACATGCAGACCAGCAAATGGCAATAGCAATGGTGATGGCGACGTGGCAACGGGAAAACAAAAAAAAAAATCCGATTATCTAGCATCGCATCTCTTCCGCACTGGAATGCGATGGATATATGTACAAGCTGCCGCGGACTCACCTCAATCTCTGGCAGCTGGCTTTAATTCTTTCTTTTTTATCATTGTATTTATTGGCTGCCCTCAACGGTGGCGCTCACAGGGTTAACTTCGAAGCCATACTTCTCCTTGATCCGCTCTCGTCTCCGCTCCTCATATCCAGGAGGACGAATGCCTGCATTCGAGTGTCAGCTTACAGAAATCTACTTTGGAGATCCTTGGGAGTCGAGACTTACCTCGTCCCTCGCCAAGCTCGGCGACTGTCTGCTCAACGGGCACCCGGGTTGTCCGTCGAACAATCTCCTTGCGCTCAAATTCATCCTCCTCCTTGTAGAAGCTGTCCAGTCGTCCTCCAGTGACGTGGAACAGGCCCTGGGCAGTGCCAACGAAAGCACCGAGGGCCAACACGATGGGAGTGCGCTTGACTGTAGTATGGGAGTCAGCAAGCGCCATTACCGAAAACCACGCAGAGTTCCGAAGGGATCCTTACAAGGAAGTCCGAGAACACTGCCGCACATGAAACCTCCGAAGGCGGCGGCCCAAGCATCCTCCTTCTCACGCAGGTTCATCATCGTCCGGGAGAAGAAGGCATAGGCACCGGGACCGGCAGCTAGAAGACACAAACAGCGCACCCGTCAGCCGAAACGCATTCTGATAATTGTATTCCGAGAAAGGAATCCGGCCCAATTGGAGCCGCATCCTGCAGGAGGACTCAGTCCATACCGGCAATGCCAATGATGGGAGCTCCCCGCGTAAAGACGCTCATAGCGCCCACGTTGCGCTTCGACAGGGCATTCTGGATGGCGGCAATGAAGATGCCGCTGCCCAGGCCGACTAATGAAGTCTTGGCCGTCTCGTCAAGGACGTCATGCGGCACATACGGCTTCGCCATGGCGTTGTGGAATTGGGGTATCTCGCCCGTGATGGGAGTTGAAAAGAGAGGAGGAGCTGTTTTGACCTGGTTGAGTGCCTTGATGCCGGGAATTGCGCATCACGTGATGGGAGTTGTCATCAATTGGGCTGCCGTGATTGGACAGAAGAATTTTGGGCTGTCAAAGGCTGTCCCGGATTTTGGGCGGCGGTACAAAGGTACTTGCTCGGCCCCACCAGCCCACCAAGAGATTTGGAGCGCAAAAGATTGCCCCATAGAAAAAGTCCATATAAGACTTTGGAAAACTCCATGATATTGGCGATTAAGGGCGTTCTAGCGGTGTCGCAGTGACCAATTGTGATTTCCAAGAGCTTTATTCAGCTAAAAGGCTACTTTGGATATCAAAAACCTCAAAAATAGCTGGTACTACACTTCTGTGACTCACCATCACATAAACAGTCGCCGGCAGAGGTGATCTCAACAACACAGCAGACAGTTCAATCTCAAAGCCAACCCGGCTCCAATTGAACTTCTCATCCCGGATCGAATCTCCGTTATCTCATAACCTCATCAAGAACCCATCACTCAAGTCATACCACACATAAATCATCGCAGAAATGAGTTCCCTGGAGTCTACCGAGGCCTCAACACAGCCTCTCTCAGAACCAATGGACACTCACCAAGAACAAGAACAAGCTCAACCCGCCCCCTCAAACCCTCCCATGTCCAAAAACGCCCTCAAGCGTCTCCGCAGGCAAGAAGAATGGGAAGCCGGCAAAGACGACCGCCGCAAGCGCCGCAAGGAAAAGCGCCACGAGCGCAAGTCTCGCGTCCGCTCCGAGCGCGCCGCTCTCATCGCTCAGGGCGTCGACCCTCTGGAGCTACAGAAGAAGAAGACGCCTTCAACTCTAGCCCCTATCGGTATCATCATCGACTGTGACTTTGAGGAGTACATGATGGACAAGGAGCGCGTCTCGCTGTCCAGCCAGGTCACCCGGTCGTACTCTGACAACAAGCAGGCGAGGTATCGCTCGCATCTCTGGGTCGCAGGCTTCAACAAGGGCATCGCAAAGCGCTTCCACGAGGTCCTCGGTGCGCAGCACAAGAACTGGAAGGGCATCTGGTTTCACGACGGCGACTTCACTAGCTGCGCGGCCAAGATCCGTGAGCGCATGAACGCCACCGACGGCAGCGGAGGCGAAATGATTGAGTCGCTGCAGCGCAGCCTCGACGAGGCTCCCGCGTGGACTCGTGATGAAACCGACCCTTTTCCTATTCCTGGCCCGGAGCCGCCCCTGGATGAGGCGAACAAGGACGTTGTGTACTTGTCATCTGATTCCCCTTACACACTTGAACGCCTGGAACCAAACACATGCTATGTCGTAGGTGGACTGGTTGACAAGAACCGCGAAAAGGGCCTTTGCTATAGACGCGCGCGGGAAAAGGGCATCCGTACAGCAAGATTGCCAATTGGCCAATTCATGGTAATGCAGAGCCGGCAAGTCCTAGCGACGAACCATGTTGTTGAGATTATGCTCAAGTGGCTAGAGTGCGGCGACTGGGGCCAGGCGTTTTTGAGCGTGATCCCAAAGAGAAAGGGCGGAAGATTAAGGGGTGAGGATGCCGGCGATGGTGAAGGAGGTGAGGAAGAGGGTGAGGAAGCAGGTGAGGAGGAGGAGCAGGGGCAGGATGAAGAAGACGATGAGGAGGAGACATCAGAAACCAAGGCACAAGACGCTGCAACAGCTGAGGCATCAGCTGATGCTGCAGACGAAGGACACGCTGAACAAGTAAAAGAGACATCATCATAGGCGTAATTGTTGTATACGGCTCCTTGAATAATACCAAGCAAGATTCATGCCCAAAAACCTGCTGCACAAAATTATATATCCCTCCTGCTATATGCAACCTGGTGACAGTCCATTGATGCTCCATATCATTATGACTCTAAAAATCCATTGAATCGTCCTCTCGCTCTCGCTTTACTTTTGCAACACCTTCATCTTTGATGAGAGCCGACACAAATGATCTGAATTGCTCAACATACGGCTTGAGGCTGGTCTTTTCCCAGTCAGCAACGTTGGCTTTGGACTTGTCATCTTCATCACCGTCCTCTCCACCCTTCCAAGTATCGATTTCCGCGAGTAAGCTTTGCACCGTAGGTACGCCAAGAGGATCAAAGTCCTCGAGGTTTTTGGTATCAATGGGCACGCAGACTCGCCCCGTGCCTGGATGCACAACAAAGGGGCTCTTGAGCAAATGGTTCAGCTTCTTGCTGACTTCGATATCGAGGCGAGGATATGTATATTCCAGTACAATATCCTGCTTAGCTTCCAGCAATCCTTTTGCGTCCAGATGCTTACTTGCACCGGTCTTAGCCACAGCGTCAATATCAGCCCATTTTGATGTTGACGATCGCCCTGGAGCGGCTTCCCATTTACGGCGTAATGAATCGTTTAGAGTGCGATCCGGGAGAAGTTGTAATAGTTTCTGAGCTTGTTCATCTGTTCCCCAAGGATCCTGGACAGCCAGTACATCTTCTTGGAAGTGCGTCTTGAGAATGTCGAGACTCCGGCTAAACGACATGTTAGTGCCATTGCTGCTATCAATATTATCCACCAAAAGCAGAAAATCGTCACTCACCTGAGGTGTGGGTGTAGTGGTCTCTTGACATTGACCTTCTTGCCACTGTGTGAACCACCCTTGATTACTTCCAGGTAGTTTGCTATGGCCCTCCGCTTCTGATCATCCATTGACCGAGCCTTCTTGTCGCATACCCAAGCGTGGGCACCTCTTCGTCCAGAGTACACCCACATGATGTGGTTGAAGCCAAAGTCGTCTCTCAGAGCTATATCGACAACCTTGATGGCCATGGTCATGAATTGCCAGCACTTGTTGCAGATGGTGGCCTTGTCACAGCATGTTCGGATGTCGTCATAATCGGTCAAATCGATATCAAAGCAAAGCTCTTTCGACAGGGGCTTGAAGGCGGACGACTTGTGCAAGGATTTTCGATCTCGAGGGTTCGTTGTATAGACGGGGCCGATTTCGAAACGGGAGGGCATGAGGCGGAGGACATCTTTTCGTAGTCTAGATGCACTGTGAGCACAGCTGCACTGGTCATTTGCTTGCACATATCAGCTTACAGATCTGCCGTTGCAAAAGACTGGTACCGCAGATATGCGTCGTTTTGCAGAGTAAATGCAAACTCGCGATTGCCAAAGTCATTTGTAGGCGTTGGGCTGTGGTTCAACCACTGGAAGAGCTGTCGCCAGGGGAAGAGTCGTTGGTAAAAGCTGCGCATGACCTCTGGATCTGAGGCGGGGATGTCTCTATGCATCGAGTGGTCAGTTGGTTATTATCCCCTCAAGAACTGCTGGAACAAAGACGAGATAACCACTTACGAGGGTGAAGCTGCTCGTGCCGGTGAGCTGACGCCTTCGCGCTTAACGGGCGCTAAGCTCGGAAACTCGTCGTCGGAGTCGACATCTGCGAATAGCTCGTCCAACTTGACCTCCTTTTTTGATTCCTCGGCTTGGCCTGCGGGCGGTGCCTCCATCTCGTTCATATCGACATCGAGATCGTCGTCTGACATGGTTGCGGTTGTCTGTGCTGGAGCAATGTTGGTGGGAATTCCTGGTTCGCCGTCTATTTGCTCGTCCTTGATAGCAGCGGCGTTGCCCGAGTTGAGAGAGAGCGAATGTGGCATTGCTTCTCTTTTTCTTTGGGCAGCTGGATCTGAGCTGATTGGCTGCTGGCTTGGTCCTGCAACGGAGAATCTGGTCGGGATATTTTGATATGGCGAACAAGGCCCAAACCCTTGCGCGGGGATGGTCAATTGGATTGATTGGGGAAAACGCGTCTTGACGCGTAAATTGAAACTGCCACTTGACAGCTAAAGTGCATAGTGCCTATACTGAGAATATACTGTGATGGATACTGTACGTGTAATTGAGTTCAATGGATTCAGTGCTGTCAGCTTAGGGCGCTTCAGAGGCGTCACCCCACTGAAGCTGCCCTCGGAGCTCCCATGGAAACAGTCAAACAGTGTACTCCGTATAGCATCCATGGATGGATGGATCCGTCCAATTGATGGGCAGCTTCAGTGACTGATTGCTTGGGCACCAACCACAAGCTTCCAGCTCCAGACCTATAAGCAGCACCTGCAACTACATATTTACAACCACACACTTCTATAACTGACCTGCCACCTTCAATATCTACTATACTATTCTTCAAATTGCTTAACAGCTCAACACTCTTTAACAATTACGAGCTTCACCTCAATCCCTCACATGAACGGATTAGAGTTTGAGCCAACCCTCCGGATCGTCTCCGAATCAGAACACCTAAATTACCCTATCTGGTAAAGATCTTCGACTCAGCTTCATGCGTCCCAAAAAGCAAGGGCCTAGACTAGAAAGTTCCAAAAAAACCACCAAGCTATCCGGCTTGGCAGAACTGTCATCTGTCATCGTCTGTTTTCTCTCTCCACCGTAAGGAACTTTTTTTTTTCCTTTCTCCCCGTGTCAGCCCACGAGTTTGGTCGGAGTTTGGGGGATTACGGCGCAAGGCACCATCAGCCCCCATGTTTTCCTTGTGGGTTGTTAGCACTGATACGGAGTACATCCAAAACAAACACCAAGTCCGCTCCTCTGTCGTCAAACAGAAAAAACAAGAACCACAAAAAGAAACCAAAGAAAAGTAAAGAAAAAAACCTCGTATCGCTCGTGTAAGTGCTACACCGTCAAACCGCCTCCCGGCTGTACCACATAGACACCAGTTGCCCGCTGCTTGCTCATTAGCCCGCCGGCGCATCTACTCCCAGGCGAGGTAGCATCAACAAAAGGCTTCCGGCATCAAGAGCCCCCCCTTGGCACAACCTCAGATTGATTGCCGCATAAACACACCCGGGCCGTAGAACTTGCTCTAGACTGCCGGGACTCTGACGTTGCCACCCCCAAGGTAGTAAGTAGGTAGTAATAGGCACCCGGATAGACTAATTAGTGCCTGGCAAGGCATGTACGAGTATGTACAGTAGCAAACAATTTGCTGACAAGGGCATGCATTCTCCGTCCCTCTCGGTATAAGTGGCTCGATCCGCCTTCGCATCGACAGCCATCTCCCTCCCCCGTACAAAAGCAAACACATAACAAGCCCTTGCATGATAAAATCTCCATTATACAATACACACCTCCTTCTTCTCCCATCCCCCAAATATCCCATATCCATGTCCACAACCTCCAACTTCGCCGTCATCCCCCGCTTCCCGCTACCAAGACTCTCTCTGGACCACCCGTCTCCATCATTCCCGGTCCAGACCACTATGGAACCCTCAGCGCCGCGCCTGCGTCGTCGGATCTAACGGCTACAGGCATCCCAAGGTGTGATTTTTCTGCAGCCTTTTTCTTCTTTGTCTTCTCTTGGTGACGTCGTGCGTCCTTCAGCGATCCTTTTCCGTGTATAGTGCTGCCGGAGTTGCTTCTCCGACGCCGCTAACCTGCCCATCCCGGCCTCGTTTATATGTGACGTCGTGCTGGAGATGCGCAATCGGATCTCGCCGGCCCATTTCGCTCCTCTGCTCAGGGGAGTGAAAAATTAGTATTAATGCTTGGACGGCCTCCCATCTGCCGTGCCGACTTCTCGGGCCCGTACCTCGTAAGTCTATGCTCTTGGGCGCATTTAGTCAGTACAAGCACATCTCCCTCGCCTTCACTCACACTCACACTTCAACTTCATTCTTTACACATACAAGGACGTTCAACCGTCACTTTATTTACAAATGGTGAGCTTGTTTTGTCGTGCAAATAGATCATATGATTAACCACTCTCTGTCATGAACAGCCACCAATCCAGGCTCCCAATGCTTTGGGGCCTTCAACACCAGCACGGCTTCATCTTCATCACAGAAAGGCGGCCTCCTCCAGCCCATTCTCCTCATAAACCCATGGCCTAGATAAGCATATATCGTTACAACTCCGGTTTTCGTTCATTTCAAAAAAGAGAACAAAAAAAAAGCGTTTCCTTCTCCAAGGGGAAACATTGTCACAGAATGCCCCGACAAAATATCCAACCGGTACGCGAAATCATCATCCCAACCAGAAATCCCAAGAGAACAGGTGGAATCCATCTTTAAGGATGGAAAAAAAAAGACAAGAAGAAAAAGTTCCTCCTTTGGTTTAAACAAGTCACAACGCCGATAACAAAGTGTCTCCATGCAATGAGTCGACAAGGAGGGGGAAAGGTGAAAAGCGGAAGGTAGGGGGGTTGAGGAGACACAAAAGTCAAAATGATCATCCAACAGAGCACTTCGATGCACAGAATTAATCGTCAGCCTTGGCGTTAAGCATAATTTCGTTGCGAGTTATTCAGGCGCTGCCGCTTCTCCGGCGGGCTGTCATGATCGGATATGCGGCCAGAGGATGCATCCATCGTCGAGTACCCGCCCCTATTCTGCGATATGTTATACTGGTTGCTCCCGTCCATGAGCCCAAAACTCTGGTCGACCCCGTTCTGGGACATGTGGCCGGACGACCAATTCGAGCCGCTGGCACCTGCGGGTGGAGTCGGTGACTCGAATTTGATGCTGTTGCCCGTCGTGCTCAGATACGGAACGTTCATGAGGAACCCAGGCCCGTGCCCATTATCCGACTGGCTGGGTGGGTTCTTTAACAGGTGTTGCATGTTTGTCTTGACCGACTTGAGCATCCCTTCCTTTGTGAATGGCTTGGCCAGCACTCCATTCATCCCTGTGCGACGGTCAGCTTGACACCCAGCAACTAGACTCTTCCTCTCTTCCATCAAAACTTACCATGCTCGAAATATCCATTCACTTCGTCCGGACGAATGTTTGACGTCATCGCAATGATGGGCGTCGTTGGGCAATGTTGGCGGATATACATGGTAGCCGATACACCATCCAACCGGGGCATGATGATATCCATGAAGATGAGGTCGAAATGGTCGCGACCAACGGTGCTGACCCTGCTGAATGCTTCCGCGCCATTGTTCTGCAGTTGTTAGCCGCTAAACATCGCCGACGAATAACGCGGGACCATGCGCTGCGCAACGTCCTTTGATTATTTCCGTTTTGGGAGAATGCAGTCTACTTACGGCATGTTCAACATCGCAGCCCATGGATTTGAGAAACTTAATACCAATCTTGGCACACGTGGGGTCGTCTTCCACCAGGAATACAACGGGTTTCTTTGGCCCCCACAGAGACGCAGGCTTATCCATCGATCCTGAGGTGCCAGGTGCGTTGTTCATCTGACCGGATGACCCTGGCTGCGGCGTGTGTTGCTGATGTTGTTGATGTTGGTCCATGGGGCCGGAACTGCCTTCGTTGGGAATAGCATATGGAATCTTGTTGATGTGATCCGAATGGAAAGGATCAATGCCAACGGTCTGTCCTACGGGGTAAACGGGGTACCGGCTAATATCATTCATAGGGTCATGCATCATCGGCATCGATACGGGGGTTACCATGGTCGCCGAGTCGGCCGGGGATTCGTAAATGTCATGCAGACGCTCAAGCTCACGATCAGCCACGGTGTCGGCTGGGACACTAGAAAGCAGCTCTCTCGCCCTTCTAAGCTCCGGCACAGCTTCGTCTCCTTCGGCCGTCGGCATGCTGCCATTCGAGTTCATCTGGTGGCCCATCATCCCATTATTCCGGTTATGGTTGTAAGGGGAGAGGTAGTTGAGCATCTCATACTGCGCCTGCTTCTGAGCATTGAGCATCTTTTGCAGCGTAAGAACCTCATTGACGAGGAGCCTGTTAGTTTGCGAAACATCGGCAAACAGCTCCTGGAGCTGCTGCACCTGCTGCTGCGTAGCCGTCAGCTGCTCGGATATGACGCTGACATGCTGGCTCGTAGTAAAGTCCTCCGCGACCTGAGGTTTTCTGGTGGCCGGCGCTTTTCGGCGGATATTATCCAAATCGTCTTTGCTGTCGACACGGAAGTAGGGATGTTTGAACTCTAAAATCTGCGCGTCGAGTCACAATTCTTAGCCATGCGCCCCCAACGTAGTATAACTTGGGTTATTCCATCGGCCAAGGGACTTACATTGCCATTCGGCGAGGTGGAGTCGCCATCAGTGGATGGCTTAACCTTGTGGAAGTCGTATTTGTTAAGCTGTCGGATAAAGCTAGACATATTGCTGTGCTTGAAATGCTTCGGTAGGATGGACCTCGTGAACTTTTCGCCCTGGTTGGAGAAGAAAGAGTCAATACTGGTGTACGCCGATATCCAGTTGTAATCAAGGTGAATCCCACCTCGACGACGACAAATGAGTCGCCATCCTTGCCCCATCGTGCTACATCTTGGTGTGACGGGTCTTCGAGCATGCTAAGGCAACGTCAGTCGGGTGCGTAGAGGGTTATGGTTCGTTGGCGAGCAATTACCGAAACAGCTTGCGGACCTTGACATCATCCATCATATTAGCAATCGTGTAGTTGTGCGGCGGGCAGAGCATAAGAATCCTACTCACAAATTCACTGGCATTGTTTCCCCCACCGCCCTGGGCGGCGGCAGCCTCTGTCCCGGACATTCTGGGCCGGGTCGGTGATGCTGAGCGGGATCCAAGAGGCAATATGCGAGGAAGCGACGCGCCTCCAATTGAGGCTCAGCGACGGCCAAGGATCGGCAAGCTGCAGTCGCAGAGGCAGCAAGAGAACTCGCTCGGATTCTGCGTCGACGGCCCCTTGCCTGTCCTGCTATACCTTCAATCTCCCTCTCTTTGCGTCGGGTCGGACGAGCGTTGACGGCTGGACCTGGGCCTTTGGGCTTGGCCTTTTGGCTGGCGGACCGGAGCGACGGCACAAGGACGTAAAAGCGCCCGGACACGGAGGTGGTGCGCCGGGCTGGCAGAAGGACGGAGCCAATGTTCTGCACCGTCAAACGTCGAGCTGGCAGGTGACGTCGCAAGTCGGCGAGCGAGATTCGACTCGACTGGGAGCGAAGCAATTGACCTCGAAGCCTGGCTGGTCGAGGCTGGATCGAGGTTGGACGATTTAGCCCAGCTCCGTTGAATGGGCGAATGGATGGCCCGAGATGGAGTGGGCCGGGCCTAGGCTAACAAGGAAGATCAGGTGGGTGGTTCAGAAGGCACAGCGCTGCAAGTGTACTGGAGCGGTGCCAGATACAGCGATTGATGGCTGCTAAGACGCGGGCAGGTATCGATACTTGACAAGCACGGCAGGCACATGCAGTCAATCCCTCATGCGGCTAGGAGGAAGCTGAAAGCACGGAAATCATGCATCCAATCCAGGCGAAGAAGGCAAAAGAACCAACAGGAAACAACACGCAGCAAAACACACAGCACTACGACCCTGTCTATTGACTACTAGAGGAATCATTCCAGAAAAAAAAAATCAAATGTATCCACAGGGGGGGAATAATAAGTGTTAGAACAGAAAAAAAAAAAAAGAAGGGGGTCTCAAATCCAAAGGCCGGGAGCCATCGTGTGTTCCGTGTTCTATTTAGCCAGATCCGTGTGGCGGTCCCTAATGCACGGTACATGCAAGCCTCGTTTCTTAGGGCATCCCCAGGCGCTAGAGCCGTGTGGCGCATAGTCCCTCACACGGAGCCAGAATCCCCAGTACTTGTAACTAGACTGGAGGCCATGACAGGGAGCAATAGCGTTTTCGTGCCAATTTCAATGGCCACTTTTCAGCCAGCCCCGTGTCTGTCCGTCTTTCTTGTTCTGTGCCAAGCCCCGGCAGATGATGACACGATAGGCTAGGTCCATTTGATGTGCTTTCTTTTTTCTCGTCTACGGAGCACTGCACTCTTGTCTAACGCCTAGCGCAAGTGTAAGCCACATGTACCTGCACCCGTACCTGTCGAGATTCAACATGCCAGACATGTACCTGTACCGACCGATACGAGCGCCCCCGCCATGTGTGTAAGTCGGGCTCGTAAATTCTACATAGTACTTGCTCACAGGCATGTTGGATTGCATCTTGTGCAGCCTCCACCAAGCCGGGATCCTCCGTATTGACATCTGAATCAGCTGGCGGAGTTGTTTTCTCCAGCATGGAGTCTCTGTTGGCTCTCAGTTCCATCCTAGTGGTAGAGCTAGTCCTTGGTAAGCTGGTCAAGCTTTTTAGCCTCAATTTCTAACTTGACCCCTATACCCGTCCAAGCGCGATGGAGTCCCCAAAAGGATAATATCTATCAGTCTCAATTCGTGATATAAAATGAGCGCCGCTATTAGTTAGCACCTTACGAGGCAGCCATTCACAAGACAAGCCGCTGTTGGGACGGCATACACGTGTGTGCCATCCAATCTCTCGACGATGCCAACCCCAACATGCTGGACTCGTACTCCGTGTGTATGTGTGCACTTATCAGCTCTGCCCCCCATAGCAGCCACCTGAACAAAATCATGCAGGGAAGCAGGTGATGAAAGGGAGGTCATTTATTATCTGGGGGGGGCCAAAAGCGCCTGTATGCATGTACCAGGGGGTACTTCCTTTTTTTGGGAGCCTACCGCTTCAAGCAAGAATATTCACACTCGACCCTTTTCTAGCCGTGATGCATGCCAATTGGATACTCACGATGGTCGCTTTGCGGGGCTGAACTGGAAAGACGACCAAGGCGGCGACTACAATGCGATCGACTCACACACCAGCCGCTTTTTCTCCTACTCGGCGACGAATAGAATGCCCGAGACGCTCGCTTCTTAGCACATTGCAAGTGTAATAACTGCAACATTCATCAAATGCTAATCAGGTCACATCTCCCTTGCAGCACGCGCTGGACGCCTCGCCAGCATCAAATCGCCGACTTGGTAACATGCATGATGTGCTGCAGGCCTTGGACACGGCTCCGCTGTCGGCGTTCCCCGTCAGCTTGTCATTGGACTCCGTCGCTTCGGGACAAGTCCAAGTGCTTAGCATGATCAACTCGACGCAGATTGAATGTCTGGTGGGATGCCATGGCATGAGGCCAGAAGCAAGATGCTGTCCGTACCTACTGTAGCCTCCAGAGATGGGATGTAGGCAAATACTCGTATTTGTGTGTCTGTCTCAAGTACAGATACATCAGTGTGACAGACTATCTCTGCCGCTACATCCACAGGTCCTCGCTCGGGTCAGCACCCGTCAAGGTGGTATTCCAGTTAGGCTCAGCGGACCGGCCTTCCGCAAGATTGCCACCCAGGGATCATTCGCTGTTTGTACGAGTACTTTGCGGGTAGTGTCTACTGTATTTCGATGCTACTCGTACTGGAACATCACGGACTTCGTCTACTTGTAGCACCACCTGGATGCTCGCAATGCCTGTTTAGATAACCTTGAAATGTCTTGAATATTTTTGCTCTCGAGGGCCTCTAAAAATAAATCAACTCTGAGACCAGCCATCTGCCTTTCACCAGGACAGAGACGGTCCACAGGCAGGCAGGCATGCACGCTACGCTGCCGCAAATAGAGCAAGACACGCAGGGAGGGAGCGCGACCCAGATCTCTACTAGAACTGCTTCAGCAAGTATAACAGTATAACAGTACTCGTATAACATCAATGGAATATTTGTGCTGTGGATCTAATAACCCGCCGGAGCAGACTCCGTTGATCTTCAGAGTCTGGCACTTGATTTACAGTCCGGAGTAGGTTCGGGATCACGATATTATTAGAACCCCCTGGAACAAAAAGACGCACCACGGAATGCTTCCAGAGACAACATTCACAAAGCCTCCCCTTTCTTTATTCATTATTAGCTGAGACCTGGTCGGAATCTGACTTGCTCGGGCTCTCCTTTACCGAATCCCTCTATCCCCCGCACAATGCCGATCAGTACTGTATCCAGCAATGAACCAACCTTGGCAGAAGCTGGGATTTGCCGTCTCAGATAGACAGATGTCGATGCCCATATGCAAAGCACACATCCAGCCAGGTACTATAATTGGAGCATGGTGAGACTTGAGACAAGAGATGGTATATTTAGAAGCTCAGGAATGCTACATGCAGGCCCATCCGACATGCGCCTTCAATCTTGTGACCCAAAGTATTTCATATATCGAAAGACATAGTGGCCCCATTTAGCTTCCGGGCCCTCGTCTGGAGGAGGACATGGAGCGTATTCGTCCAGATCCACGTCGAGGGTGCGGATCACCTGGAATCCTGCCTTTTCGTAAATCTTCCACGCTGGCTCCGACGAGTGAACCCAAGCAAAGACGCCTGCCTCGTCGCATATGTTGGTTCCCCAGCGCAGCAGCGCAGACCCAATGCCTCGCCGCTGGAATTTGGGCGAGACGGAAAGCCCGATAACCACGAGACATTTGGTGCCTTTGGGCATCACCTCCTTCTGCCACGCATCCAAATCAGCGCCTGTAAGTGCCTGGAGTCGCTCAATGGGGTCGTCTGGATCCGCATCGGGACTGGGCTTTGGCTCTACCGCAGAGGATTTCTCTTTTTCCTTGTCTTTGCCATTCTCCTTGTCATTTTCATTTTCTGACTGCTGTGCCGGAGCTGCAGCTGGCTTTTCGGGAGGTTGGATTCTGCCTTCCACTACTGGCATCTCTTCGGGCGAAAATCCGATGAGCCCCCAGTTGCAGAAGCCGGCAAATTCCCCGGTTTCGTTGTCGACGGCCTTTAATATCACGCATCGAGGCGATTTCAGCATTTCTGGGAGGCTCTGCGTCTGGTATTCCTTCATATTGAACGGGTTTCGACCCAGAGCTTTCATCTGGGTTTGGCGATCCGTCAGGAAGGCATCGCTGCTGAGCTGAGCCGCCTCGGGCACATCCTGCAGCTGGAGAGCTTGAATGGTAAAGGTCTGCCCAGACATGGTGTAATATGTGACGAAATTTGTCAACTGACACGTATTTTATCACATATTCTTGTATCGAACGGCACTGGGGTGAAGCATTTGGCTCCAAGGTTTATTAAATAGGTATTGATGTCATGCATGTTGAAGTAGGTAGGTACATGTACAAAGTAGTAGCCAGCTTCGAATATTGATGAATGGCGGGGTGAGCGGCGTTGAGTCACCGGCGAAGGTGAGGGAATAGAACCATGTGGATTTTATCCAGCGACGAACCTCTCGCCATATAGAAAAGCGCGCTATCAACCATCATGAGGCCTCGGAGCTAGCCTTATGAAGCAGCTCGAGAATTGTGTTGGCATACGCTGTCCCGTCGCCCTTGATCTCCTGCACAACCACCGTCTTATCTCTCGATCTCGCGCCTTGAGCCAGAACCAACTTCGACTTGGGAATGTCCAGAGCCTCGCTGAGGACCTCAATCACCGCCTGATTGGCCTCGCCGTCTTTGGCTTGAGCCGCAACGCAAAGTTCAATCACGTCGTCGGTGACCATCTGAATGCCCTCTCTGGTCTTGCTCGCCCCCGGCTTGACATGCAGTCGCAGCTGCAAGATGCCCTGAGGCGCCTTCTTGGAACCAGCCAGGAAACGCACGGCTGCGCTAGCCGGAGATGCCATGGAAAGTATAAAATAAAGGATCAGGGCTGGATCGCGTCGATGGGATGAGATCACATGCACTCGCCAGGTTAAGCCCCGACTCTGCCGTTTTCATAGATTAACCTGGCCTGGGATCAAGCACATAACGCGGGTGGGAGCTGCCAACCCAATCGCCACCCTCATCACTAGTAAGTTCAGTCGATCAGCTTACCGCCGGCTTCATCAGCTAAAAACAACAGAGTTGATGAGATAATCTCACATCAGACACAAGACGCAGCAGCAAAACTCAAAAGTCTCCCAAACGCCGTTCCAATTGCTCTTCACACGAACATGAATTGGTAGAAATGAGATGAATGCAGGGTAGGCCCCTCGAATGGATATGACGGGAGATGAGCAGCCACTGCCGTATTGCTGCTGACCTCCAGTGCATAGCCCGCTAAAGCAGGTCCCCTTCAGAAGGGCCAGGCGTTGCACACGACCTATAGGCGCCTCAAGCTATATACAGCGAAGAAATTCCAACTCGACTCGCGACATCTGCTTGGTCCAAAATTCTCGGCCCAGCGCCTGCATCTCAACTTCAGGCCGCGACCAGACGCATTGCAGTCTCCAATCCCGCAGCATCACCGCCGCCGCTCGTCTTCGCCGTTTCTCTTCCTCTCTATCGAGCGCCATGGCATCGGCGTACAGCGCATACCATGGCGCCAAAAGCTCGCAGTTCACAGTCACGGCACTTGGGCGATGGTCCATCTTGACGAAGCAGCTCCCAGGTTCGTCATGCTGCATGCTGCATGCGCTCCTTTTGCGGGCTTATGGGCTAATTAATCCTTCTAGCTGTTGACAAGATCCGAGTTCTTCATGTCTACGATTTCGACAACACACGTGCGTTTACCTCTTGCACTCCCACCACCAGCTAAACTCCATTCCCAAGGCTGACCTTGAGAAACCTTTAGTGTTCCGAACTCCCATGCCAAACCCGACCCTGTGGACCGGTCCGACGATAGGATTGCTCGCGACCCAAGAAGCTTTTTCTAATGGCGGGTGGTGGCATGACAACCGCATCCTCGCAGCCACTGGCGAGGGCGCCGAGAAGGAAGAAGAGCGAGCTTGGGAGGGCTGGTGGAACGAAAAGGTGGCTGACCTTGTCAAGCTGAGCACAAAGCAACCAGATGCCCTCTGCGTGCTGTTGACGGGCCGCTCTGAGCATGGCTTTGGCGAGCTGATCAAGAAGATGGTGACCAGCAAAGGGCTTGAGTTCGACATGGTCAGCTTGAAACCGAGGGTCAGCCCATCAAATCAGACCTTCCAGAACACAATGCACTTCAAGCAGCTGTTTTTCGAGGCTCTCATGGAGACGTACCAGCAAGCTTCTGAGATCAAAGTGTACGAAGATCGCCCGCGGCATACAAAGGGATTCCGAGACTTCTTCGCCGAATACAACAGGCGTCAGACTGAAGCGCCCACGCGAGGGCCCATAACGGCCGACGTTGTCCAGGTGGTTGACTCGTCCACACTTCTTGATCCTGTCGTTGAAGTCGCCGAAGTCCAGCACATGATCAACCAACACAACGCTACCCTGACTAAGGAGCCCTCCTCCAAGAGCAAGCTCATGATCAAGAAGACAGTCTTCTTCACGAGCTACATGATAGGCGCCGATGACATCAAGAAGCTTTTGAAGCTTGCGAAAATCCCAGCTGGCGTGTCGAATAACGACCTCAAGTTCCACGCCAACAATATCCTCATCTGCCCCAGGCCATGCCCCACCAGCATACTCGAAAAAGTTGGCGGCATGGGCAGCAAGATGCTGTGGGAAGTCACCGGCACTGCCTGCTTTGACAACTCCGTCTGGGCTGCGTGTGTGCGTCCTGTGCCGCATACTGCCAAGTTTCACACCGATAATCCCATACCACTTGTCGTGCTTGCCCTTAGAAAAGGCGCTCGCCCTATGGATGCTGGGAAGATTACTGCTTGGCAGCCTGTGCCGGTAGAAGAGCGCTTTTCGTTTGAGACAACTGTCGGCGAAAAGGTGATCCTTCGTATTGAGGCAGAGGATCCCAAGGAAGACGAATACCAGAGTCTCTTCGCCAACAAGTCTCACAAGCGCAAGCACAATGCAGACGAAGAGTGGGCGGCTCGGTCCGTGCAGTATACCGGCCGAAACGAGACCAGAGGCTTTCACTCTGGTAGGGGACGCAACAAGGGTGGAAACCCTAGTCGAAGCCATCGTGCCTCCAGGGGTGGACGAGGTGGACGCGGCCGCGGTGGCCATGGCTACCGATCTCTCGACGACGTTGACCCCAAGGGTCACCAAGCAGCGAATGATGCTGGAGCCTCGAGCTCCTTTGGTCGGGGTCGACCAATGGGCGGACAGCCATCCAACGGTTCAGATCTACAGAGTTACTATTAGAAGTAGGATGGCTGCTGCTTATATCGATATCTAGCATGGATATGAACATAGCTAGCGTTCTGAAGTCTGGACGAGCTGGAGGAGAAGAATGTCCAAACCAAGGCATCATTTTTCTTTCATTTTTCTTTCATTTTTCTTTTCTCGTTTTATGTACGGTACTGATAACGACGGAGGATATGGGTCTTTTGCTTCATCACCCCCCCCAAATTGCGTTCAAGGAGGGCATTTCAGGCAATTTCAGGGCGAAATGGCGCTTTAGGGAACATGCACATTGAGATAAGGGTCGGAGGGGAGAGGGACGGGATTGATTTTTTTTCAAGGCATATTCGGATTAAGCTTATCAATGAGGCAATATATGATGATACCCAGCTTGGGCGAACTTCGCTAGCTGTCTAAATGCCCCCTTTTCTTTGCTGCTCTTTCTTCCCCGTCTTTCTTTTGTTGTCTTGGTTTATTTGCCTTGTTTCATTGTGCCTATCCTTTTTTACTTTTTACTTTTTGGTTTGTCTAATCACTGTCATCATCGTCGTCGTCATCGTCGTCATCTTCCTCCTCTGCGTTTTCAAGCCACTCGACCAGCACTCTGCACTTCTCCTTCAATCCAGCCATAGACTCACCCTCCACCGCACGTGGATCCGCCCACCAGCCCAGAATTCCTTCCTCCTCCAAGATATCCAGAGCGTAGAGCTGCTGCAGCATGGCAGGGAGAAGCGTAGCAGTCTTGCTCTGCTCCTGGCCCTTGGAGTAATGCTGCAAGGCCCGCTGCAGGGCGAGGATGAACTCGATCTGCGCCGACTCGCCGCCGCCAACACCAACCTCGTTGACGAACTTGGATGCGCCCTTGCACGCGGTGAAGGCCTTGTCCGCCGCCTTACTGGCGTCGAGGCCGCCGTGTTCGGGGGTAACGAGCTCCACGGCGCGGCGGGTAAACGCCGTTGCGACGGCCTTGCGCATCATGGCATCGGATGCGTTGTTGGCCAGACGCAGACCCATGAATTCCAACTTGGCAGAGTCAAAGTCGCCAGACTCGGCGCGCAGGGCGTCGAGCAGACCGTGGACGGCATCGGCGTGGAAGGACATCTTGCCAGCCGAGTCGTCTGACGCAAAAGACGAGAGACGTGATCTGTTGGAGTGGGCGACGTCGGTGGAAAGGAAGTTGCTGTCGTTGTCATCGTCCGAGTCGACGTCGGAGGCAAACGTTGAGATGGAGGAGGTGGATAGGTTGTAGTCTGCGAGGGAGTAGATGAGAGACTTTTGGAGTCTGGAGGGGTCTTCGTCGTCGAGCTCGTCGTCTTCAGGATCGAAGAAGGGGGCTGCGTTACTGTCAGGACCGAGCAGGTTGGTGTCCTTGGTGACCTGTTTGCCTATGGAAGTAACGGTTGAGAGCACCGCGGCGGTAGAAAAGGAGATGGAGTCGCTAATGTGGACGCCGAAGGAGATGAGCGATCCAGTAGGTATTGTGCAGCCTTTACCGACGACTACGTTGCCAGCCAGGATAGATTGTGAGATAACGGTGCCGTCTCCCACGGTGGTGCCGTTCCAAATGAACGAGTTCTCCAGCGTGACATTGGCGCCAATCTTGCAACCAGCGCCAATGATAGAGTTGACGATTTTGCTTCCGGATCCGATGCTCGAGTCGGTTCCAATGACGGAGTTTTGGAGCTTGGCGTCTGCTGCGTGAGATGCGCCAGTCTCGATAACAACATTATTGCTGTGCTTCTTGTACGCCTGCTTGGGCATGATGTTGTTTTCAGGGATAAAGGGAAATGTCCATCGGCCTAGAACGTCTCTGCTGATGGAGTCGTACATCTGCAGGTTGCTTGCCCGAGCAGCATATCCGTCCTCGAAGATTTCAGCGTAGATCATCTTGCCGTTAAGCTCCCAATCCTTCAACACCCCATGTAGGAAGTTTCTCCTCGGCAGTTCATAGTCGAAGCTCTCTGACCACAGAGCCAAGACCTCGGGGGTGCAAATGTCGATCTGAGCATCTATCAGGTCGGCTCGTACCTCGAACTCAGTCGACAGCTCATCAGCAATGGCAGGATCCATGGAAAGGTAGTGGTCGCTCTGCAGGGGGTTCATCTCATCGTAGTGAAGACAGCGCTGGGTCTTGGTGTCCACCACAAACACGGGAGTGATTCCGTTTGTCTTGGTTCTGTGATCTGCGGGCCCTCCGCTGTGCAAGATCATGGTCATGATGTTCGCGGCACTCGTCTCTCTTCGTTTTCGGTGCGCTGCCAAGGCGCCGTCCAGAATCAGGTTCGACACCAGGTCGCCATGTACCAGGAGGAAATCACCGTCCACCAACGATCGCTTGTCCATGTCGCGGAGAACGTCGCCAACCGACCTCGCATCGGCAACTCGAACGAACTGGAGCACCGAAAACGGGCAAGATTTTGACGACGACGTCCATCTAGAGCGACCGATGTAGTCTTCGACCTGGTCTGTGTGTGCGCCACAGTAAATGTAGACTTCCTGAACGCCGTTCATGGCCAGGAACTCGAGCGTATACTCGATAAGAGGGGTGTTTGCCAGCGGCAGAAGACACTGTAGTTGGAAGGAGTCAGCTGTCGGTTGTATTCTCAACCAAGCTCCTCAGGATTGGCAAGGTCCACATACTCTTGGCTTCTCTACTGTAAAGGGCTTGAATCGATCCTGGAACGAGTCTGCGAGAACCTGTAAACCGACCACTGGTTAGCTATCGCTGCAGCAGAACCCCGCGATGACTGAACGCACCACAGCCTGCAGAACATCTTCGCCCTTGCTCTCTGCGCCAGACTTGGCGGGTTTTTTGCCCTTTGCCGAGCTGGCGCTGTTCTTTCCCTTGTGCGACATGGTGAAAAGCCCGGCGCAAAGAGATGCAGCGGCGACGAGCGCGTGGAATTGGGGATTTATGGTGGGAGAGATGGATTTGCGACAAGCATGGTGACTCAACCAGCAAGGGCTGTGGTGGAAATTTCTCACCGCGGTGAAGCTTTCGGTGTGGCGTCCAATGGTGGGGTAGCGCCACGGCATATGCGTTTCTACCGTATTTTAGTGGTGCCTTATAGGATGGAAGCTTAATCTTGAGTCACAAGTGCCGTCTCGTATAATTAAGTACTAACATTGGAAAGAATTATACGATTACTAGATAAAGCAAAAGATAATGAAAACGTACGTGGGAGCAAAGTTCTCGACTCAAGCCCCAGACAGAAAACGGAAGGGAAGCCTAAACCATCAGTTGGCCCTTGACTCCGGATGGAGCCGATGGGATCGGAAGAACGGTGTAATGAATTCGATGAGGAACGATAAAGAGAGCGGGATGCATAAAATGAAGGAGCACGCAATGGAATCAGTACTATTAACACCTTATTACAGTAGCATCTACTATTCTTACTATCTAGGCAGCTTTAAATTTTAGGTACGAGCCGCTGGACAGCCGATTTGAGGTGCTGAGTTGCTGTAGGTATTCTATTTTATACCTAGTAGGTATTATCGCGTACAGAACTGCAGGGTATTGGAGATGAGATTCCTAAATCAGCGCTTTGCAGTATATGGTGTCAATACCAAGAGTGTTCCACTGATTCTTGGAAGCAAACATGGTCAGAGCCTCCACTTCGTCGCCAGTTCTTGAGCACGTTTTTTACCGGCAATGATCAACTGTTCGTCAACAATACACAGTTTCATCGTCTGAATACGCGTATAAGCGAAGCTAAGGCTCGTATTATTACAGCACGCCAACTCCAACGAACTGCAAGCTAAGATAGACATACTACAACAGAATCTCTAAGATCGTGAGTCCCATATTAAGGAACTACAGCCCCAGGCTTCTCAGGGCTAAGATCACAATAACTAAGTGGAGGGCTTACGGGACGAGGTTAAAGACCTGAAAGCTGAGATCTGTAAGAAAGAGGTCCTAATAATAGATTAGGAAGAAAGGCTGGACATATTATAACAGACTCTTTAAGATTGAGAGTCTGAGAACGATAGGCTATAACTTAAGATTTTCTAAGACGAAGACAGCGAATGCCATATACTCATTTCAACTGCTATTCTGAACAGCTCATTGTAATGCTCAACTCCTTCTCGATCTTATGCGTTGTGCTATCTTCAAGGTTATACATAGTGTTGGGTAAGAAGATAAACCGATGAAATATTGGCGTAAATAATTTACTTGTGAGCCGTGGAAATCTATGCCATGGGTCATCGCAAATTAATCGCCGCAGGACTAGAATGCGAGGCTGTCGTCTGCGTAGTCGTTGCGTGGTTGTTACGTGGTTGCCTCTCGGCCTGGTTGGGGAGCTCGCGAGGGTTCTTCGAAGGATTATAGTTACTGGTGTTATCATAGTTCGTTATTTCATTAAGCCCACTGCGGTTGTGCCTCAAGACATGCCCCAGACACCAAGCACATCTTTCTGAACAAGGTGACCCTGCTTCTCAACGCCCTGCTGCAGCTTCTTCACTCGTCTGACTGTTAGTCCCAGCGACAAAGGGCCCAGGATCGTGCACAACATTATAGCCCACGTAACAATGAGAAATATTTCCGAGCTCTTTCCATCCTTGGCTTGTGGCGAAGAGAATATCTTGTTACTCTCCGCGATGGATGAAATCAAGAAACCAATCTCGCCACGAGCAGTCATTGCGCAGCCTAAAATTGAGGCAGGGTAAATTGATCGCGGGTTAGTTCCCGCAGGGTTAGAATGCGAGGCTGCCGTTTGCGTGGTCGCCTCTCGGCCTGATTGCGATGATTGCGAGGGTTCCTGGACTTGAGCTGCGCGTGAAGAAGTCGAGTTACGGGACGCCTTAGGCTTTTCGTGAATTCGTCCCCAGAAATGTGCCATTTGTAATTTAGGATGCTTGATAAAGGCTAATAATTTAGTAGGTAGAAGGGATGTTACGGAAATGCGGAGGAGCCAGACACCGCATAATAACTTGCCGACCATCATTAGAGTGGTGTATACAATCCCTTTCCACACGATGGAGCCCTTGAACATCTCGGTAATGGGGATTGAGAAACCAATTGATGCCTTAAATAATTAGAGAATTTCTTCGTTGTTAGAGGGAATCACTTACAAAAAAGAATGGCTTCAAAACCCTATCAAGTGGCTGCAAATAGTATCTTTCGAAAATGGCGATTCCAGATGTATCCAGTTGCTTGGGCTCTGGTACAGGCTCAGAAGTCCTCGAATTGTCTGCTTCTGATCGTCCAGCAGTCTGGTCTTGCACTGGAGGTGGTGTTCCCGTTGCTGTCTTCTCACTAGCAGGATGGGATACTTCAGAGTCCCACCAGCTGATGGCCGCACCCGCAATATAGGCAGCAAATAAGTTAGAAGTACCTGCGTATGTTGACCCAGCAATACAGCCAATTAAAACGGAAGCGTGGATGATCCATGGTGTTCCCCTTTTGTTAAGAAGTTGATTGATAAGACCTTGAGGATGTTTTATCCGCCAAGAGTTCAACCAGAGCGTGAGCGGTTTAACCATGAAGACGCAAACGAGAGGAGCGCACCCGGCAAAGGCGATGGATACTAGGAGTGGCCTAACGATAGTGACGGCACTGATTTCGGAGGCGGATGATCCCAGATTGGAGATGATCTGGACCATGATAAGACCGACGACGTCATCCATCATGGCGGCACTTGTGAGCACGATGCCAAGCCTGGACGTGATCAGACCAGTTGATCGAAGCACCGTGAATGTCGTTCCAAGGCTTGTAGAGCACAATGCTGCACCAGCAGCAAACGCCTGGAGAGGGGTCGCGCCACTGAGCTTCTGGAGGACGAAAGAGAGGCCCATGGGCACGCTGACACCAGTAATGGCAACACATGAAGATAGCCAAAGATTGGCCCAGAGGGCCTTTAGAGAGGTCGACAGGCCACCTATTTGGGTAGATTGGATTAGATTGCTATAGATCAATAAAACGATGGAATAGCTCGGTAGGATTTACCTTCGTAGACCAAGAGCAGCAATCCAAGATAGCCTAATTGGACAACAACATGCTCAACTTCTGCGCTCAGCCATTTGGCTCCGGGTGTTCCCCAGGCAACTCCTACGAATATCTGTCCAAGGAGACCGCAGTAAACACTATGATCGAGCACAAAATTGGCGACATTGAGGACAAGGAGGAAGGATGCCTGGATAAGGATCGTGATGATTCCTGGCTCGTGGTATGGAAGGGAGGCCTCCATTATGACAATGGAATTCTAAACCTGCGATTTTAGAGCCATATGACAGATTTACGGCGAATCAAGAGGGCGGATGTGACGGGATGCCAGAAAGATTATGAGATAATGGTAGATTGGTAGATTTGAACATTGATGATAAGAGAGGGATTGGCGCAAAGGAGGTTGTCGATACAGGTATTCCAGTTGTTGGACCCTCTTTAAAAAAAAAGTCCGGGGTTGGCTTAGCACCAGCCCCAAAGTTACTTGTAGATCTATTCTAGTTGTTTTCTGCCGATTTACCGACATTGGAGATACATAGATAAATAAATAAATAACCCCTAATAGGAATACATAATAACGGCTCCATTGAAATGAAGCGATTGAGTGCCCAAGAATGATTTGTGACATCCTGTAGGGATGGGTTAGTGTCGGCTTTGCACCGGGTGTCTCTCAAAGTGCCAAGTCCGCCGTCTCACAGATGCCCACCGAGAGTTGTGAAAGCCTACCTACTTAATGCACGTACATGTATGTATGTCTCGTCCGCCATTATAGTTGCAGTAATTTGTACTTTTTGTATATACGTGAAAGGTGTTTAGTTAGGTACTACCTAGTAGTTAGACAGTCTGTAATCTGTACATGATGTAGAGGCATACTGATGCACCAAGGCGACTCCATCCATCAACTATTGAATCGACCACATCCAGATCATCATTCCCGTAGTTCCTCTTCCCGCCGATGCAATCCAGTAGTACAAAAAAGGTGATAGATAAGATACCTCTCATCTATATAAAGTTTGCATCCTACCATAACTCTAGGATGTTTACTAAGTTGCATAAACCTCTCGGTAGCTTCAATGCTATGCCTACCAATCAGCATCATCACGGCAGTGAAATTTCGATGCCCGAAAAGCCACAGTTTGCCACCTTGGGAGCCTATGAGTGCCTACCTATCCGGCTGCCACTTCCGGATCATACGACTTCGACAAATCCACCCCGGACCGCTATGAAAAGTTGAGAGCTTCAAGGTGGCTGGAGGCTCATCTGTAGGCTCAAACAGTTAAATGACCCCCACTGAGCGGGTTGATGAGGCTCATGTGTTTCTTCGAGCGGCCCGGCAGCTCTGCCTCCAGATTCTAATGTGCTATAGAAAAAAATTGGAATGGAGCCGAGTCAGCGTGTAGGGCTGATGGTAAGTGTTTTAGGTTAAATGTGAGTCAGTGTACAGTAGATGGTCCCTCGAAGCCTGAAGATTGCTGATGTCAACCAGCAGCCGGAAGATGGAGACCCAATGCATCTTTGCCCAAATGAAATTATGAATTTCTTTCTGGATGCCAGAAACAAGCAGGGATTGTGGTCTAAAGAATGACAGGGTGGAATTGCTCATAGATTGCGCGGCCAAGCAAGCGGCCTGCGAAATCGCCACCCTCTTAGATGCCATGCCGTGGCTAGCCCCCTTGGACTTTTTCTTTTTTTTTTTTTTCCACTTGGGAAAAAAATCATTAGCGAGTGAGCGCGCCGATATATGTACGAGTATAAGACACGTAGCTGATTGGCGAAAGCTTTGGGCGCACCGTGCCTCTGTGCTCCGTTTGGAATGCTTCGGTTTAATGCAAGCAAGGGCATACCAAGCAGAGCACAGATAGCCCTTGTACAACAAATAGGCGGCGACAGCAGCATTCTGTGCTCCTTGCATACAAGCACATATGCCTCTCTGTATCTGCACGGGCACAGCCACACGGCCTGCAACGGTCTGGCCGCTAAGGCAATGAAGAAACGCCTTCCATGTGCTTCTTATTTTTTCATCCTGGGACCACACCCTGCTTCGGAGATTCGACAGGGCTTCGCTGCACCGGGAGGCCGAGCGTGGGACAGCGGATAGCAACCTCCGAAGGCTTCCGCATACTACATGAAAGGCTAGTAGGAAGCATTCGCAAGTACCTGCTACCAACTGGTGTTAGCAAAAGCGGGCAAATTTGGATGTAAGGGCACCATCTAAAGACGTTTGGTGTTATGTAAGTGCTACTATGTAAAGACGGAGTACGAGTAGCAATAGTTGCATTGATTCTGACATGCCGGATTTCTGCTAACCCCGGGATACGGAACTCGCTTGTAGAGTTTTTTGGACGCCGGCCGGAAGAGATGCTGCTTTACCCACCCAGACAATACCGTATTATGGAGTACTCGTCCAGCTCCAGCAGAGATGAGATATCAAGCGGCTGCGGGCACATGCTTGCATCTCATTCAGACTGCTGGAATAAAACGGTTGATTATTGAACAAGCTCCCATACCAGCCGTAAAACAAAACGACGCGAAGCGAAACGAACCAGAGGGGTGTTGGCATAGTGGAAAAGCGAGGCTAGCGAGGGCCGGTGCATCTTGGCCAGTCTCGCGCTAGCAAATTGATTTCGACGTAAAGACAAGACAGGGAGCCTCGGGGCTGGTGGCGCCGAGGAATGAGACGGTGTACTGGCTAAGTAACCAAGTTGCCAAGTAACGTGTGCTGGAAGTGCTAAGGCAGCGTTAGCAGAGCGCTGGCGTTTTGGCGACATCGAATTGTCTGCTGAACGGAGGATTGTCCGGATACAGCTTCAGATGCTGTCTGTCGAGTGGTGCTACCGTCCGGAGAGTTAGCAGTTAGCGGGTGGTATTTCGCACTGTGACAAGCACTGGGCAGTACTCCAACCCAATGCGGGAAATGCACGAGCACAGTATTACGGCGCAAGCTCTCGTGGCCACTTGACGGGCTCGGTGTGCATGCAGACGATGCCGTCTTGGTAGTGCTGATTAGTACCTCAACCTCTCCAGCACACGATGCGAGTTCTACCTACTGTACTGTACAGACTATACAGAGAGATACGAAGAAAGGCGGGCCATCATATTACAGGACTCCCACATGCGCTGCACAGTGTGAATTCTCCCTTAGTATAGGTCCCTCTGATAGCTCCTCTCCTTGTGAAATGCGACGCCTGGTATCACCGTCCGTACCTGCTGCCTTCCATTTTTCAATCAATCCCACCTACCTCGTTTCCCCCCGTGGTAGTACGAGTAAGACGAATAAGAGTTCCTTCCATCTTCTATTAGGTAAGGTATACTCCATCATCGCCAAACTTCTGTTTCTACCACTACAACTCTTCTTCCGTCTTTCAACTCTCTCTTTTCTTTCCTCCTCCATCTCTATCTTTCTCCCACCCTTTCTCTCTCTCGCTCACTCACAAAACTGGCTGCCTCCTACCACCACTTGATTGGGTGAGGCAAAAATATCCAAACGCGCGCGCGCACCCACATGCCGAAAGAGTGCCTGAGTCCTCTGTCAGCCACTACTGTACGAGGAGCTACCAAAGCTAAGCTGCTACGGCTCCAGCGAAAATTCTCCATCGACAGCACTACTTCCTGGGACTAGCACTGCATAAAGCTACTGCCCATGAACCTAAGAACGCTCCTCGGGGTGTGCCGATTCACCACTGACTTTTCGATCCGCTGTCGCATCTGCCCCATGCAGCCCTCAATGGCGGCACCACCCCCCTCCCCAGCACACCAGAAATCCTCAAGCACCGCTGCGAAGGAAAAAGGGAAAAAAAAAAAAAAAAAAAAAAAAACAAAGATCCCCCCCCAAAGGCCAACCACGGCACCCCCAAAGCACGGAGCCACAGCAGGGACAAGGGCGAGCCACAGCGTTGCGAGACAAGCACAGCACAGGGGCTCCACGCCCAAGACGGTCCAGAACATCAGGCCTGCTCCTACTAGGGGAAAAAGCGTCCAGATCGAAAGCTTGGCCCCGCCGCCAGTTGCGTCTCTAATTAATATACACCCGACCCAGCGCCTCCATCACCAGCCGACGGGGCCTCGAGGCAACATCTCTTGCTCGCCCATTTGATCATACTTTTTCTTCTCTTCACTTCCTACCATCGTTTCTGCCATTTTGACATCCCCGTCGCTTCATCCTCTCGTCCCGTCCCGCGTGCCGCAAACCCGACAAAGAGACGACTTACAACCATTACTGGATTGGCGGTCCGGCTTTTGAGAGCTGCCAACGGTTTCAAGGGCGCCTTCGTGTCACCGGCATTGCGCTTACAGCGGCGGCGAAGTCTCCGAGGTGGTGAATGAGGATCGCGGTCACAGCCAACTCCAGCTCCCCGGTTTTGCTGAGTTGTGATAGTCGTGTCCTCCCCTCTCGCCCCTAACAAGCGTCCTATGCGGCTTATCGCACTATCCTCTTCACCAGTTGCTCGACCGCCTATACGTTGCGACGATACGTAAAAGGCAGACGGGAGTAATATCTTTACGTGAAACACTACAGAACCAAGTCGGGTTGAATTTCACAAGCTTCTCCTAGGTTCTTTTTGAATCTTGATAAGCGCCTCGGGGCACGTAGGCGCTTCGGATCGCCGTAAACATGTTTCGTTCAAGGTGAGGTGCTTCCTATCTGTCTCGTACTGCCCATCGCGAGCATATCGCCCATGTCCCTCCAAGGATTGTGTCATCCTCGAAATTCCAAATCGACTTGATATGGCCCCAGCAGCTGGATAGATGCGCCGTTGCTGGATATTCCTTGATAATAGGAACTGCGCAACCTCGACTTACTTACCAGCTTTGATTTACTAACGTCATTTGTCGCATGTAGAACAAGCGCGCGGAAGCCTGATGATGAGCTGTTGGCAGACTTCAGACAGCAGTTCCCAGAAGTCTCTACCGGAGTCACAGAGCCTACCGCCCCTGCCATCTCTCAGGCAACCACTGCCGTCTTTCAACCCATTATCAATGCACCAGTTAATGAGAGGTAGGTTGCGCTTCCGTCTAATAAGCCGGTGCCTCATGGTCAAGCTTCGCTTGGTTGCTTCAGCCTTGTGTTGGTAACGGCTCGGTTCGGCCAAGTACTAACAAGGAATATGATAGAGCACATATTGAGAATGTAGCCTTTCGAGACATGGACCCTACGCCCCGAGCTGTTAATGACCCTTGGCGATTTACACCCTCACTTCTTGATGCCAATGCCTTCACCTTCAACCCCCTCACACCAGGCATTGCTGGCGTCGCTGGCGTTACTGGTGTTACTGGCGTTGCCGGCGTTCCAAACGTTACCGGCGTTGCAGGTACTCAGGCATATTATCCTCCTACTCCTGGAGGATCGGGCACCTTGCTTCCCCCTCAGGCGGTAGAGATGGGCCCCCCTCCCGCAATGGCTATAACCACTGGCTTAGAGACTCCATTATCCGTACCAACGACTCTCGATATCATCCAGCCAAGCATCGAAGTTCCCAACTTGGCAGGCTTCCCTGCAATAGAAACTCTTCCGATCCCCCCCTTTGACCCTTTTGTCCAGGCACCTCCCCCGCAACCAGCCTTTGTACCAACCGAGTTCGTACATCACGATACGGGTTACGAGACGATGGATCACGATGCATCCCCAATGGACTCTGATCCATCAGAAGAACGAATTCCGACGATTGCCTCTGCATTGCACCCACAGCAGCTAACAGGAGTCCCAATTGCTCTTCCTCTCCCGGCCTCTGCCGAGAAGTTTCGGTTTCACTCAACACTGAATGCTCCCACAGCTATGGTAAAGCATGCCACCGAGATCCCGGTAACTTACTTGAACAAGGGGCAAGCCTATACGTTATCTATCGTCGATACGGGCACCATGATCCCTGTCGGCCCCGGTACTAGATATAGAACGTACGTGCGCATATCATTTGAAGATGAACAGCAGCGACAGAAACCGGGTGTTTGCTGGAGCTTGTGGAAAGAGGGAAGAGGGACAAATGAGGCCCATCAAAGAGGGGGTCGTTTACAAGCCGTTGAGTATGTTGAAGCTGGCCAACCCGCCGAAGGTGATGACAAGAGAACGCGGGTGGATCTGGAATCCTCGTCCTTTGACGGGTTTTCCGTCATATGGACGCCGGGCTTGAATGGTGCCGCCGAAGTTAACATTCCTGTCCGCTTCAACTTTCTCTCGACCGACTTTAGTCACTCGAAAGGTGTCAAGGGTATTCCTGTACGGCTCTGTGCAAAGACTAGCCTCTTCTCTTCGGATCAGTTACCATCGCCTCCGGATGCAGCCCCTGAGACATGCTATTGCAAAGTCAAGCTCTTCAGGGACCACGGTGCTGAACGGAAGCTTTCCAACGATGTTGCTCATGTGAAGAAGTCGATTGACAAGCTCAAGCAGCAGATCGCGCAAGCGGAAAATGGGCTGAAAGATTTCAAACGAAAGAGAGCCGGCGGCCTGGGTAAAGCAGGGATACCTGCCAAGCAGAAACACAAAAGAACTTGGTCCATGTCTTCGACCAGCTCTGCTGGTGGTGCAGCTCCCCGTCTGACATTGGAGGAGGATTTACACTTCAAACTGCAGACGCTCCAAGATATGTTCACGAGCACAAGGCCTGTGAGTGTTTTGTATCTACGGGGCGAGGAGCTTGATGACCCCGACCTGCATCCTGTGTCATTACAGGGCGAAGCATTACCGGGCAAGGCAGACTTTTTGCGCGAAGGGAGCAATTGGCAGGCTCGCAGCACACACAGCTCCGTTGCCGGTTCCTTGGTGTCCCCCTCCCCAAGCTCACTCTCTCTAGCATCTCAAGCATCTGCCATCGGCTCCGGGTTACAGTGGCAAGGTTTTGATTCTACCGGCGTCAAGAGGGTTGAGAACCCCACTACAATCAGCAAAACGGAGGAAGACGGGACTCTGAGTGGATGGATCGAGGCTCTAGGCGTCGACCCGTCTTACCGACCTCCACCTGAACGGCCAGCCAAACCGGTCGCATGCTTCTACGTTGCTTATTCGGGAAAAGCAGAGTCTGGGAAGAAGGAATACCACAGAGCCATATATCTTTCATCGCGCACGCTCCAAGAACTCAACGGCCGGATCGCCGCCAAGTGGGGACTCGACGCATCCCTTATAGTCCGGACTATTCATGTGACGAAGACTGGCATCGAGGTCGAAATGGACGATGATGTCGTTCAGGAGTTGAGAGAAGGACAAGATATGCAGCTCGAGATTGAGGATGTGGTGGAACAACCAAGCATCAAACGAGACTGGGAGATGTCGATTGACGATGGGCCCGAGGTCCCCACGTCGATACCGACAGGCCTGGCTCTTCGGCTCATTTTTTAGAGATATTACGACTGGATGGCGCGTGTCCTTGTTCTTCTAATTTTGTTTTCTTCTCCTTTAGGAACCCAGTAATTCGAGCGAGGCGGGCATGGAAGTGGGATATTGTGCTGGCGTTGGAAGGTGTTGATGATAATTTCAAAGATACCAAGGCGCCTTGGATTTACCATGTTGCAATTGCATACCCATCTTTACCTGGAACTGTGGGACGGTTGCCTTGTCGGCTACTCACATTCTGCTGGACGGGATTTGAGTTTATGATCTGTGGTTGCTTTTGTTGCATTCGAATACCCCCAACTGGATCATTACTGTTTGGCAACAGCTCATTTTCTCTTTCTCTTTCTCTTTTTTCTCTTTTTCATTTTTCTTCTGATTCTTGTTTCTTTGATTTCATATGGTGGTTTGGATCCGGCTGTACACGCATCTAGCTAGGATATAGCACACGACTAATTTCGCCTTTTTTGGGTAGCATCTCTTGGTCTGGCTTGGTATTACAATGGGTAGGAGGACTGGGATGTTGACATGATATACACGCTATGGGAAGGCTTTAGGCCAGGACATGCATCGCCTAATGGGAATATGACCAAATATGCATCACGCAGATAATGCCATTGTTTTTTTTTTTTTGATGAACCCCAAGCTCTTTGTTTATCTGCTTTCCATGTTGGGAAACTCCGCCCTTGCGTGTAATGCCTACTACTATGTACCTGTATGTAGTAGGTAGTTTGGCATACTCGTACTTCGTACCTGTACAGTACTCGTACGTACTTGTACAGATATCGCTTCGTCCACTCGACAAAGGCCCAATAAGCCCTGGGACGTTGGGCATATATGGAGAACAGCCTACGTCGTACAGGCACTAGCTCAGAGTCACTAGTATGGATGTTGAAAGTTGCCAGGTTGCCAGGATCCTCCCCCGTTGAGTAAAAAGGAGAAGAGTCGAAAAGCTTTGCACGGACGGGGTACAGAGTAGTACCTGCTTTTGCAGCAATGCGTGAAGCAGCAGATATGCGTGTCATAGCCTGTATCACCCAACATTTGCGTTTGCTTGGTGGAAAAGGTCGCGGTGACTGGGTCACTCCTCAAAGCCGCAGCACTAGCTTGTGAGCCGTGGCAATCTACTATGTATGCCATGGGTCACATCGTCCTTTTTTGCAAGGGCCTCGAGCCGTTGAATATTGGATGGAAGCAGGAGTATGCGACGCAATGGGTTGCATACCGGCAAGGCTTCCCCCCTTCTCCTGTACTCGTACATAGTACTCCGTACGGTCTCTGCAAAAAAGAAACAAGAGCGTTTTAAATTGCAAAAGGATGGTTGTGGTTTGGACCTGGTGTTTCTACACGTGTACCCACCGAGGATCAGTTACGGCATTGAGAAGCCATGTGGATTGCCGCGATGCTAAATTTGGACATATGCATGGAGTCTGGAGCATCCACCAAATGCTTGGTATGTACTAACTTGCTAATAGTCCTGTTGGTACAGTACCAACCGATATTATATGATATTCGTAGACGAGACCAAGATCAACGTCGAGCAAGAGGCCACTCGTCACCTTGTGGCTTTGCTTCCAAGCAAAGGGTGTGCTGCTTGCATGCGAGGCATCACGCATGAGTCTTATTACCCAGTCGAGGAATTAGCGAACTGGCGAATCAGCTGTGCGCACCCATCTGCTTCACCGTTGAGTCAAGCCAGCGCGAGAGAAGAAAATAGCGCACGACAAATCGCCAGCAGACAGTCAGTGGATGTGAACTCCCGACAGTTTTCGCAAGCTCTGGCTCGGCCCCCTTCTCGGCTCATGTGGGCGCACACCGTGTCCGCTGCTCGATGCCATGCATTAGTCGCGGCGAGGGGGCGATCGACTCGCTGCTTGCTGCTGGCAGCCATCGGTAAAAGGCATCTGGGATCGTATGGCCGGGTCTCTGTTGGGGGCACTTGAGGGCACAGACGGCACGGGGGCCAAAAGAATCACATCCAATGTTCTGTTTTGTCGCACTCAATGCCCGACAGGCTCCCTCTGCCCAACGCTCCAGCCCAATGCTGATCAGCAAAGAAGCTACTGTATTTCTTTTGGCTGTGGCGAGTGAGTTGCGCGTCTGGATTGCTCGCTGGGGTTGGATGCTTGTTGCTGCGTGGCTGGTGTGCGGAGCTTGTCTCTCTCAAGGGCGTGTCTATAACACTGCACGCCAAAGAGAAGACTAATGCTTTCTTTCAGTGGGTGTGGCTCACCGGATATTGAGCCCGGAGTAAGACAATATCGACAGGGGACAGAATGCGCACACATTGAAAGGACGACACGGCAAAACTCTAGCCAAGCTTCCAAGTCGCAACGGTGCCGCATCTTCCATCCCGTCTGTCTTGTTCTACCTCCTTCTCCTTCTTCATGCTATCAATGCTGGAACCGCTGGATTTTGCTCTTAGTATATTTTTGCAAGGGTGTCAAATACAAGCAAAGAAACGGGACCAACCCCCCCCCCCCCCATATGGCTGCATGGGATTTTATTTCGAGGCTGGTTAGTGTTGCTGCATGCCAAAGGAGAGGGCTAGTCGACTCTGACAATCGGTTTGGCGGTAAGCACCAGCAATATTCCCGTAGTCGGTCGATGAACCGCTCTGCTATATTGCTGTGACGGAATTAGACCAGAATCGGCCATCGATAAAGACCTACGTAGGCCAGGTCCGTGTGTTCCCTAACAAGAGTTATTTGCATATCTTGCCTCACTGTCATGACATGCAATGCTCTGTAGGTAGCCAAAGTTGACACATTTGACCAGTTGTATATTCGGGTAATATCTTGCTCAAAGGGCTGTTAAAGGGTGAAGCCAAAGATTGTGATAGATGATACTTATACCCAGCTAGTAAGGTTGAAGAATTGAGCGTACGCGTTACTGCCTGTTCGCACTTCGCTCATTACGGGCATATTTTGAGGAATGTAGATCAAGGGTCCCTTGTAACAGCCGTGAAAGAAATCTTCCTGCATGTACTTTGCAGCTGATGTGCCTGGCCATAAAGCTCCGAAAAGAGCTTGTCGCAGGTGGCAGTGCTCCTGACTCCTTACTTTTGCGGATGCACACTGCAAATGGTAGGTAAACATTAGCTTCCCCTTTCGGCTGGGCAATAGGATTTGCCAAGGGCCCATATCAAGCTGCGTGATACCTTGCTAGAATTGGCTGATACTCTGGAAGGATTCTCCCGCAATTAATGTGTGTCAATGCAATTGTATCATTAAGCCTTCAGCCTCAGCCAGCACGGCACCAGTCAGTTCAAGGTTTCTCGCTGGATAATTCATAGAGCCCAGAACATTGATCGTAGGCCGCAGAGAACCCTTGACTGAATAGATTTGCGAACATCCTTTCCTAATAAGTCCATTCGATCACATTTGAGTGCCGTGAAACATTGCTTAATCTCCTGGTCGTTTGATGGCGGGTCACACGGGTTACTAGCACGTTGAATTCCGAGTTGGAGGTGCGTATGACTTCTTGTAAATGCTGGTCACGAAGAAAATGCGACGCATGATCTTTGTGAAGGCTATCTGTGGCTGATGTGCCATCCCATCTGATGAATCCTCCCGAGAGTGGATGCCCCGGAACGCCGATCTCTCTTAGATCCACGACGGGAGACTAGACCGGCAAGACCGGCCGGCTGGTATACCATCAAGAAAGCACAAAAGCATTGGCAGCTTGCGTTGCTTAGCTCAGGAAACGTGGCTGAGGGGCATCTGCTGATACGATAAATGGCACACAATGCTGGGTTGGCCAGCACAAGACTCCGTTGCCAGGGGTGCTCGCTGAACTCAAGTCACCGAGATCGTGATCTTAGATTTATTCCATCTTCACTTGAAGATTGAGGGTTCTAAGACATGTGCTGGGGTTGAAAAGACTACCAACTCCCAATGTCACGCCAAATCTGAAGGCTGCCACATACATCCGTTCAGCCAATTTTCAGGCAAACTTTGCTCTCGTGTTCAATGCCGATCTTGTCGATTTCGGCATTAGTTTGCCACCACCAGGGTCCAATCAGTACCTAGGCCGTTTTGCGAGATTTCTGGTGCACACGCCTGCCTGCAGTCTCTTGTCTTGCTCCCACAAACCAATAGAAACAAGTATGGTTGACGGTTTAGGGAAAAGCATGCAATTGCCACGCTAGTCTGTGGGCTGCTCGGTCGAAGAAAGAGGCCTGAAGTGATCGTCGTTGACTCGAAGCTCGGGTTTGGGCATGACATGAATATACTTGGGAGCATAGTTGCAAAGCTTCATTAGAGGGAGCAGTGACAAATAATCTAGTCGAGACGTTCTTGTTAGTGCTGCAAAGATGACCTGCGTGTGTACAGAGTCATGAGAAAGCGGGTGAGAAAGCGGGTGATTTCTGGATTGGATATTTCTTGGCGTTGTTCATTAATGGATCAGGAGGTGCGGACAAGAAGAAGGACTTTTGCCTCTGAGCATTTGGAACGTATCTGTCAATTATCTGAATCAGTTACGCAAGCTAGCTATGTAAATTGCTTGCGGAAGAGAAACTCAGCGTATGTATAAATCAAACATGTTCTCCTTCACTGGGGCTCAGTGGTTCGAAATACATTAAATTTGTGTGTTAGAAGGCGGTATGAGGCGCAGAATGCATCAGAGTAGTTGAATGGATGTTGGAAACTCGAAGAAAGATGAAGACGGATGTTGGGTTAAGGAAATGGAAAGAGAGTAGGAGGGACACGTGATTATCAGAGGCAGAAGGTACGACCCATATGCTCATCTCTCGTAGTAGCTACAGTGATTTTGTCAGTATCTTAGTAATAGGTACCTAAGTAGAAGCAACTCGCGGTTGTCACAGACCGGTGCTTTGAATATTGGCATCCATGCTATACCTCCCTGATTCTAACGGCTAATTTCATAAAGGCGCCTACCAATGCATTGCCGCTTTCATGTGTGTCGACTCAGGCCCTCCTTGGGGGTTCATCACCCTCAGCTCAGGAGACTTGGGAACTGCTCGGCCCTTTTCCTCTCAAGAGGAGTGCGAATGTACTTAAGTATTGTATTAATAACTACCTTCACACCTAATTGTTAAATACGAGGTACCATTTTAAACACCAAGATAAGCATTCGATACCTAATTATTCTTCCAACTTCTTCAGAAACTCAATGATAGCATCTGCCATCTGCTGCAATCCCCTATCTTCCATTGGATAATGCCCAGCTCCCTCCAACTCAACGATCCGGGTTTGGACCTTGTTCATCCTCCCTAAAACGAGCTCACTCAAATGCAAAGGTGTCCATTTGTCATCTGCCGGCTGCGTTAATAACACTGGACACACATCAAAGTCCTCATATTCCACTGCAGGTTGATAATTGGCATACGTCGCCAGAAACCGCATAGACGCCATGGATCCCGCCGACGACTTGTCCTTGAGAAATACTCGGAGCGCAGAAGGATTGTTGACCAGCGCGTGCATTTTGCTCGCCCACGACATGGGCATTTTAAACCATGCCAAGCCCATGGCATTTGCCACTTTGGCAAGAGGTATTCCCACTCGGGCCATTATGAAATTGAGGGCTGTCTCGTCAACGACCTGTTGGTTGCGCATATCTAGGAATGTCATTCCTATGATGCCCTTGACCTTTTTGCTTTTCGCCGCAGCGTGGTAGGTGAGCATGCCGCCTGCCGATAGACCATATAATACTATTGGCCTAGGATCATTCTGCAACTCGTGGTCGATAAAGTCGCTCGCTATTTGGACCCATTCATCGTATGAGTAGTTCTTGTTATTCGGAGAGACTTGTGTACATCCATAGCCCGGCATATCTATGGCGACTAGGTCGAAGCCAGCGGTATGCAATGGCACTCCGAGAATGAGGGACATTTGACGGCCGTTCGTTCCGACTCCATGGTGGAGGATGAGGCGGACCTTTGAGGAAGGGTTGGGCCATCGATCGAGGTGAATTTTATGCCCGCGGTGAGACCAGAACTCTTCGATGGGAGAGTGCTCAGGGGTGAAGTGTAGCCGGGGAGGGAGGTAGGCCTGGATGTCTCTCCAAGCCTGTTGGTCGGCGTAAGTTGGCGGTGATTGAGACATTGGGATATTAAAAGTGAAAAGCGACTGTGTTCAAGTGTTCAAATAGTGTTGCGAGATGTATAAGTCGTTGCGTAGGACTAATAAGGTACTATTGGAATGATGCTAATGGCACTGAGGGAAGATGATGATGAGAAACGAACTGATGGAAGGAACACGGCTTAGTATTTATACATATACCTTTGATGCGAAAATTTGTATATCCCTATTTGCCAATACCTACCTATTCGCTGTGAGCTGAATGAGGCCTCGGCAGCTGTGGGGATGGTGTCCGCGGGTGTCGGGTCTAGGGTAATCTCGTGCGGACTACGGATCAATAATTCGTACGGCGGTGCCCGTTTGGAACGGCCGTTGAAGAGAGACGCTCGGAGCTCGGACAAGTTGATCATAGAGTACAATAATTTTGGCGAATTTTTTTTTTTTTCCTTCAAGAATACAGTGGCTAGTGGCGAATATGGGTTGCATTTGAAAACCGAAAAAAGACAGGTCGGAATCTATAATTAAGGCGTTTGAACGTGTAGATATTTCTCTCGTGAATGAACAATCCATTATTACGTCATGGACCTTGAAACGCGACAACCTCACATATTTTCTTGAATGCAATATTACTTCACCAACAGCTGTAGTAAAAGCTGTAGACAGCATGGATCAAGGTAGTAGCTATCATCACCTCAGAATTGGCTCTAAAAATGGTTTAAAAGATGTGGCTACAAGGAAAATTCGCAGTATTGTCCCCATCTTGGTAAGAGATCACAAATGTCTAGATTTTGGACGGTTGATGAGCAACGGAAGCGTTTGTATACATCTTGATGGCCGGAGGGAGTACTGTCATTGAATTTGACTCTTTTACCTTTGCATTCAGGTCAACCCTTACTTTTCTTACTTTTCTTGCATATAGTGGTTACACGTCCTTGTATATTACGACATCTTTCGACCCTCCAGCAGCTATGAAAGGGAAGCAATAATCTCTATAGAAACCCAAAAAGTGCTCCATTCATCATTTATGCATATAGATATGGTCTATGAAATTGATACCAATACACGCCATTGGGGTATTACTGCAGCTTTGAAAATTCACACACTCTCTCCCCCCTTTATCTTCCCGACCCTGTCGCTTTTGCCGCCGGCCTCGCAAGCGGAACTCTCTCCCCTGAACGCTCCTCATCCATAGTACCACTCGCCCCATAATAACCCGTCCCTTCCTCCACGCTGGAGATCCCCATAAGCTCGTGGCTTTGCTCTGCGTCGCTTCGCTCTCTTCCGCTCGTCTTGGGCAGGGCGCCTCTCTTGCGAAGATCGCGTTCAAAAAAGAAGAACTCAGAGCACTTATCGATGAGCTCTCGCACGGCCATTGCCAGCAGCACGACGGCGGTAGTCTGGCCAAAGTCCCAGTTGTTCTCGTGGACCTCGCCTTCGAGCTTACCCTGGTTGGCGGATCGCAAGGCCAGAGCCATGTAGAGGTGGACGGGGAACTGCAAGAAAGCGAGGATTAGGATAGAGTGGCGCCAGCGGGCGCCGGAAAATGCAGCGGCGAGCATGACGATGATCATCCAGGAGGCGGTGATGGAAACGTAGATTATATCGGCAGATGGGTGGACGGCAGAAGAGGTTGTGACCAGGTGGGTGAAGTAGCAGCGGCCGGGCTCGTGGTCGAGGGACCAGTTGTCGAGGTTGGTGCAGAGGAGGATGGTGAGGACGAGGTACATCATGGCGAAGAGATAGGCGCCGCGATGACGGGGCGTGAAGTGGGCGGAGCGGAAGAAGGCGAAGTGCCGGGAGAGGAGGTGAGATGATACGTCTTGGGGAATGGCCGGGCGATGGAGTCTGACATTGCAGTATGTCCAGCAGACGAGGGCGGCGGCGCTGGAGACTCTATGATGAATGTTAGTATGAGGGTGATGTGAGTGATGATAATAAGGATGGAGATGAAAGTTGGAACAACAAAGGGGGGGCATTACCCAACAAAGCTGACAATGTCAAACACGAGATGCAAATGGTACGTGTCGATACTGCTAGCCACTGAAAACACAGAAATCATGTACGACGCCCCAAGAATCATCTGAATATCGTTGCCAACCAAGAGAATATCAGACACACACTCAAGCCGCTTCTGCTCAATCGCAAACTCAATGCTACCAGGAGCATGGTTGCCATCCAAGGCGCTGCTTTTAGAGAAGAAGAAGGCCCAGAGGGCAAGACACAGGGATATCGTCGCCTGACCGACGAAGCCGACGATGATCTGTGTCATTCAGGTGGTCTTAGCTCGTGGGTTTTGCGGTTGCGGGTTTTGGCGATGAGAGAGCGGTTGACTTACACCGATGCCTGCTAGATCTGCTCTGCCTTCGCCGACGAGGATACATTCTGCCGTTGATTCCTCTTGGGAATTGGACATGGCTTTTCTTCTTCCCTCTTGATGGATGATGGATTTCAATGACGACAGATGGCAGGATTGAGGCGCTGCTTTATTGCTTGGCGTCGTGGTGGTGCAGCTATTCCGAAGCCATCAGGCTCAAAGTCTACAGCACTCTTGCTCTTATCTAGCAACCACCGCCCGGTCTTTATACATCTACAAAACCCGTCGGCATTTCGATGATGCAGCGATCAATGGCAGAAGGATCTCTTCCCTGTAGCCGTCCTCACAGTCAAGAGTCGGGGGGGCTGCCCATCCTCATCGCCATTGGGCACTAGCCCGCCAAAGGCGCATTAAGCCTGAAAAAGCACAACTCAATTCGTTTTCACATGTTTCGCCCCCTTTAAGCACCGAATTTTAACCATGACTTCAAAGTCCCTTGTTTTATTTATTTATTTATTTTAAGGATTTGTCCGTCCGTGGCAGTGACAAAGAATTAGGGTAGACGTGAAACAGTCAGCTGGGGTCAAGAATCCTTCGTGTGAGTTGGTTGATCCTCCGGGAGTGACAAGTGTGGCGGTTGTGGCAAAGGGTTTAAGCTTGATTGGCTGCATGCAGTGAGACGAAGCGATAAGTAGATAGGAGAGATCTTATTGGTATTAATGCACATTGATCGGGAGGGCTTGCTAGAGTAAGACGCCGTCATGGCTGATGAGACTGGAGGGAGGAAATAGAAGGGATCGTCATCGAGTCACGACTGGCACTCGCATGGCCTTCCGGATGGGAGATCGGCGTAATGGGTCCGATAGTCCGCCAGACGGCCGGGACTGGACTGTGATTGATCTGTTATACCATGGTCCATTTGGTTTCTGGAGCGGAGATGGACACGCTTCTAGCAGCAGTAAGTTCGTAAAAGACAGATGGCGGATATATACGACTGTTGGTGTTCATCAGAAATACACCTTGGCAATCACAACCAAGCATCACTTAGGAGGCATCGACCAAATCTCAATCTCAACATGTAGTTTTTGTATTATGCATCATGACATTGCCAACAAACATTTGCCCCCGTCCCCCCTTCCAGCAGGCAACTTGTCGACGTACCCACGGATCTAAAAACTCCAGGGCAGCATTTCCTTCAGAGAATACCACTACCAGGCGTAGTGCTCGATTCCCATAACTATTTACCGACATAAAAAACGTCTTGCCTCGGGCAACAGCGGTCCGAGAGTCGGATGCAAGCACATCTCCTTTTTTGCTTTTCTTGTCCAAGAAAACGTTGCGTTGCAGTGGTGTACAAAACCAACCAAATCCATAGGTCCCTCAGCCACTATCCCTTTTTTTAAAAACCTGGCCCGCTCAGTAATAGCCCTTGTCCGAAGTATTCATACCTTGAAAACCATCGCCTTAGAATGCCGGCCTATGGGACGCCCAATTCCACAAAGCAAAGAAAATAAAACACATTCCTTCTTCTCGTCCAACACTCTTGCTCGTCTCAAATGCACCCAGTCCTGTTAAAACAGTTTACGATTCACCACCAAGAGACTCCAGCTCCTTCAGAACAGATGTCTTAGTGTGAATCTTCTTTAGCTGGGTATCCTCCAGTTTCTCGCCACCAGCAAGTCGCATTTCCAAGTCTTCAATGGCTCTAACCTTCTTCTGAAGACTGCGAATCTTCTTAGCGTTGGGGTTCTGCGATGCCGGCTCAGTCGGGGCACTGGGAGGAGGGCCGGACTGGTGATGTTGCGGCTGCTGTCCGTTTTGACCTCCGTTCTGGCCTCGAGGACCTTGCTGGGTGTTGCTTCGGCTGCGGGCTGGCATGTTGTTTCGAGAGCGGCTTCTGAAGCCGCGGCCGTTCTGGTTGCCGCCGGCCACTCCGCGCCTCTCTGGGCTGCGACCTTCATTGCCCGAGCCAGCGCCGTACTCCTGCGGTGGCGGGGCCAGGCTGGCCCCTCCGTTAGGCTCGGGCTCCAGCTTGCCGTCGGGCTGGTTGTTCTTCTTGCTGCGCTTCTTCTTGTTCTTCTTGGCAGAGCCATCATCATTGGCAGGCTCCGCTCCAGGTACGGTTCGGACAGTCGGGACATTGCCCTCGGCCAGCTCAGCGCCGGGGACGGCACGTCGAGCCCTGCCGAATCCATTGGCACTCACGTTCTGGGTGCCATTGCTGACAATGTGAGCGGCGCCACCCTCATCCTCACGCTTGAAATGAAGTGGTGTGGCCAATCCACGAGCACCGGGAGGTCGGTATGCTCCAGCAGGCTTGCTGGGAGCCTTGACAGTGCTGAGGAAGGTCGCCGCAGAAGCGTGTGCGGTCGGGATAGAGCTGAGGGGATCTCCACCCTCGATGCTAGCGGCATCTGCGGGTCGCCATAGAACGCTGTACAGCTCAACCATATCTTCGTTGTACATAAGTCCGCCGGTGACGTGCCACAGCTTGACGCCATTGTCGACTCGCAGTCGCGGAGAGGTCGTGGCCGTCATGATATAACGGCTGTCGGGGCTCCATTCACACACGCTGGGGTTGCCACTCTCGATGGTGCAGACCTTTCGGTTGTCCTTTTCCAGGTCGTACACGTCAATCTGGCCAGCGAGATTGCCGAAGCCGGCAACGAGGACGAAGCGGCCGGTAGGCGAGAAGGAGATGGTGTTGCGAGGTCCAAGGGGGAATGAGTGCACCGCAATGCCGCGGTCGTTGAAAATAGTCGTCTTGGCTGGCATGTAACCATATACCACACCAAACTGTCGCGACGAAGGCGACCACGAGACGTCGTGGATGGGACCCTCCTTGTCCAAAGTCACACGAGCATCCAAAGTGCCGTTGGTGCTCAGTAGATATAGAGTCGTCTCTCCGTAGTAGCTCTTGCCGGATCGGTCCACGTCGGTCTGAGCCAGAACCAAGAGGCTGGATCCTCGCTTGTTCCACTTCAGCTGCACTTTGTCTCCCTTGAAAAAGGTCTTTTGCGAGATGGGGCTCTGGAATGCGGGCACTTTGTAAACTTTGACGGCGGCGGGTGCTCCCTAAGTCTCAGTTGTTAGCAGACAGCAACGAAAAAAAAAGAAAATCGATAACCGGCGATGCTTACCTTGCGCTCAGGGATAAAGACAGCCACTGCGTGATCCTGGCCCGGGGCCAGGGCGAAGTTGGTAGCGCCTTCGACGCGCAGCTTGTTCCACACCGTGACGAGGTCATGGCTCTGGAAGAACTGCACTTCGTTGGTGACAAGGCGGGCGCAGTAGGCTTCGTCGGCGGTGTACTGCAGATTCCAGCCGCCCTGCTGCTTCTGGACGAACTGGCCTACAGGCACCTTGGCGGCAGCGTCGACGCCCTCCTCCACGGTACGCCAGACCTTGAGGTTCTTGGTCGCGTCTCCGGCCTCGTCCTTGGCCGGCCGCTCCCATGTGATGACAAAGGTGCCCAGGGGTGAGAAGCCGAGCTCGTAGACGTTGACAATGGGAAGGTTGAGGATGAGCTGGCCGCTGGTGGTGTTCACCACGCTGAGAGCCTCGGGAGTGGCCCAGCCAAAGAAGCGGCCACAAGGCGAGTAGGCACAACACCGCAGGTTTCCCTCGGGCTTGGTGAACCCAGAAAGGGGCTCGTAGACCGGAGCGGCGTCAAAGACGCCAATGGTCTTCTGGGTCCGGTAGGCGAACTGCAGAGGGGATGCCATGGCTAGTCAAAGTCACAGAAATAATTGGCCTTGCAGTTGGTCTGGATGATGCCGGCCTTTGCAAAAATCAAGGTTCTTGTCTTGGCTTCTTTTTTAACCGATCAATTGAACCGTTCTTCTTCTTTCTGCGGGTGATTGCGCAGAGGAGCCAAAAAAGGGGTTTTTTGATGGACGATGGGAACTCTCCGCACTGCAGAAAATCCTGACAGGCTGTGCAGACAGCTGGCGTCAAAAAAAAAAAAAAAAGCGGAAGATGATGGAATTCACCTGCGCCAGTCGGTTCAACAATTATGTTTATCGTCTCGCCGAGATTGCAGCAGAAATTCCAAGCGTGGAATCTCCTTCTTTTCTTTTCTTTTATTTGTTTCTTTTTTTTTTGTATCTTGGTCGGCGAACCGGGGCTTTTTCCTTGGTCGCTGTCGTGATGCGTCACTGCCGTGTCGATCGACGAGGTTCGGCGGGCACGGGCACGAGCGGAAGAGGATTCTCGACGAAGAAAAGGAAAAGAATCGACGACGCGCTGCAAATCAGAGTCCGAAGCACAGGAGTGAGAAGAGAGAAGAGAAGAAAATTGCAAGCACCCAAGGCGAGGGGGGAAAGTTGGCTGGCGACGGCGGTGCCGTGTTGCTTGTGGGCTGGAGAGGAAGAAGAAGAGGCGGCAAAGTGTGGGCGATGTATTTTTTTTTTTCACTCCCTCCCCCCCACCGCCACGGCAAGGCTTCAGGCCAATGTGCCAGTGGAAAGCCAAGTCGGAAAGGCACGCTAAAAGCCTGGCAAATCCCTGGGCTTGGGACGGAATGGCCATTGGTGCCCGGGCACGCCTAGCCAATCACCGCCTGGCACTGCCGGAGCCCTGAAACTCAGCACGGCCATGGTTCTGGCCAGCGACGTCGTGGTGGATTATCAGATCGATGGAGTAGATCTACGAAAATGTTAGATAGTACCGTGGATGGTTATAGTCTGAGTCAATTTAATCATTGGAAGCAACTGCTCTTCAATTGCATCATTTGCCGTCCCTTCTATTTCATCTTCACAATTCCCTCTATTTCTCATGGATCACTACCTTGATCGCACCAGGGACCAACTGATAAGGCCCATGTACATCCCCATTGGCCGCCGTCCGACGCACAAGCCCGATGCAGTAAATCAATCAACTGAGCTGGCGGCATCGACTCCCAATGCGCGAAATCCATCGGGCTTGTCGCATACGGGCTGGATTCCGTATAGCCGCGAACAACTCAGTATACGCCTGTTCGTTAGTGTTGGCCTTAGCAGATTAATCTGTGTACACGTCATGAGACTAGTCAACTGTATGGGTGCCAAATTCGTGTGCTAGAATCCACGTCAGCGCAGCCCATCTGCTGGTATACGGTGTCTTTAACACGGCGCATATCTGCCTTCAGTGGCTTGCATACAAGCTGTGTACGGCGCAATTGTCATATTACCCACAGTCTACCTCTTTTTGTCTTGTCTTGTTTCGCAATATCTGGCAAGTAAACGGATGCCAGCTCATATTCAAGATGCATGGGTATGCCACAAATGGAATCATGCCTGGAAACGGCACGCTGGCGGTATCAACGTAACAAGCCGGCTTCTTTTCTCCAATGCCCAAAATACTTCTGCCTTACCTCACCTGCAGCTTCTCGCGCCATCCGCCCTTTTCAAACAGCCAGAGGGCTTCCACGGCATACGCCCTGCTGCCCCTGTGCCCGCCCTCGCCCATGCTTGCTTCAGCCAGACTCTCCAGTACCCGCCCCTCCTTGACAGCGCCCCAGACTCCCATGGCAATGGGGTGGTCTGGAGTAGTTCCCCATTCGCCGCGCCCCAGACGGTACAGGATTCGGCCTAGAGTTTGAAACGCTATGCAACGCTGCGCCGGCACAGCGCTTCGTGCCAGTCTAGCGAGCTCGGTGATTGTGTAGCCTGCAGCCTCGGGGGCTTCTCCGTGGTGATGCAGTCCTTTGGATGAGGGAATGGACCGACTCACTCGCGGCGATAGGAAACGACCTCGGAAGTCGAAGCGCAATGCTGAAACGCTGATCTCGGGATGGGGATAGTATGGAGAATCTCTATCGGCAGGACTGTCTTGAGTGGGAACAGGCGCCATCCAAGCTAACTTGCTCGGATCCGCGGGGAGATTGGGGAAGTATTTTTCGTGCAGCGTGGCGAGGAAATTGGGATCCGAAGGGTCCAGGTCCGGGAGGCTCGGGGGAACAGGGAAGTGTGTTGATTTCGGAAGGTCGGTAATGGGGAAGAGGTCGGGTGGGATTTGAGATGGTTCTCGGTCTTCATCGTAGTTATCGGCGATTTTCTTGGTCGACTTCGCCTGGGCAGCAGCGGCAGCGGCTGGACGTTTTGATTCAGGTTTTGATTCTGGCTCGACGACGTCCGCAGTCTCGTCCTCAACGGTGGCTGTTTTTGGCACGTCGTCAAAGCGGGCTTTAGGAATCACAGGCAATGAAGATGAAGCTTCTTGCGGCTCTGGGGCCTCAGGCATATTAAACGGCGAGTTTGGGTCAGGCTCGTCGATGTTGGCTCTTTGGAGCAGGCGTTGTATGAGCGCCGGGTTCAGTCCTTTCATTATGTCTTCCTGCGCCTGAGATATCTCTTGGGGCGTCATGTCGTTGATCTTTTGCTGGTTCTCTCTATCTATTCGCTTTCTTTCGGCCTCTTCGAAGCTCTGTGACTGGCCTTGCTCCTGTGCCTGGTTGGGCTGCGATGCACCGCCATTTCGCTGCTGCTTGAACGCGGAGGGCTTCCATCGTCGTTTGTGCTGAGGAAACCCGGTCGCTGAGATGGGGCCTGAGGGGAACTCGACCGGTTTCGCCCCCTTTTCGCTTCGTTCGACGATATCGCCAATGAGCAGCGTGGGATCCATGTTGTCGATAGACGCAGTAGTACAGACGTATCCTACGTTGATTTGCCTGAGGTATCTGCTTGATAAGAGTTAGAATTCAAGAAAATGATGGTGGGGCGACGATGCCAGCTTAGCCTGCCCCATCCGTATCGATAAGCCCATATCCGCAAACGAATGAAGCTCACTGCAGTACTCCGTAGAAGGGCCATTAATAAGGAGAGATTGACTTGGCAGCAGGTTTCGCACGGAGCGCTCTGCACAGCGCACGCAATCTTCTACAGTCTGCAGGGTGACATGGAATGCATGGACCCGCGCTTGGTTGGTTGCGGGTTAATGGGTCATTTTAGTTGCACTGTAGGTAGATGAGGCCATACAAGGTACCTTTCTGCGTAGGCAATGACGGGTACATTGTCATCAAAGGAGCAGGTTTCCCTCGAGCTGTGGCTGTTCCAAGTCACACAATGCTATACATAGGTATGTACAATAAAGAAACGAGGCGCAAAAAATTCTACTAATGCAATTATACTAAGAGCCGTATCAAGTAATCTACAGGTGGTCTGCCACTCTATTCTATTCGTCTTGCGGCATCTGGTGAGTCGCATTATTCAGAACAGGCATCGAATGCCTACAAGGCTTACTCGTACGGCAGTTCGCGCCTGTATTCCTAAATAAGACCCGAGGTACCTCGTATATTTTGCGGCTGGCCGTGGAACAAGGACCCCCACGATTGGCCGAAGCGTTTGCAATTCTAGATCAAATCTAGAGTTTCGGAGCCCAGCCAGCCAGCACCGCCACACCTGCATTAGTGCCACGCGGGTTCCCAGCAAGCAGCGCATGACAGGGGCCCCAATTGGCAAGACGGGCGAGAGTCAAAGAAAAAGGTTCAGGCGTGCATCTGGGTGAGACAGTATCGTGGCCTTGGGAGAGCGCCGGTCACATATCACCTCGTGCCGTGTCGTGTCGGTTGAATGGATTCCTCCCTGCGCCCGTCGCGTTGCTGGCGAAATCCGACAAGCACATGACATGAGACGGAGGAATACATGAGGTGATCGGCGACAGCGACAGCTAGTGTGACTTTTGGTGGGAGCCTAGGGGACAGTTAGGGGGCTGCAAGGCTTACTCGTACATACCTGCACTGGGTACTGTCTTGTTCATCCTGCGATGCTTATCTGAACAAGTAGCGGTGCTGACAGTATGGATGCTATCAAATATAATATTGACGTTGCAAGATGCGAGGGTTATCGAAAGTTGGTTTCGCTTGCTTACATGGGCAGGAAAAAAAAATCAGCACCGTTGGCGAGGGCAGCTTGCTGGGACCCAGTAGAGGATGGCTCCAGCGGTTTTTTAGCGAGGCGAGACCCCAAATGTCTCTGTGCCAAGTAGTTTTTAGGGGGCCCGGCCAGAGACAAGAAAAATTACAGCATGAGCAATTCCAAGACATGCCTGACAGGAACAGCAGACGATGTTTCACTTGTTTTCAGTTATTCTTTTCCAGACTAAAATCTCCTGGTACAGCTTATTACTCATGTCTCACATTTTCTTTCTCCTTTTTCTTTCCCTCTCTCTTTCCTTTTTCTTCTTCTCTCTTTTTTCCTTTTTCCATCTGCGACGCCCGACACGGCGCACCTGATGCCACCGTCCATGGCGGCCCGCGCCTGCCCTATCTGATGCCACCAGCCAGAATCAAAAGGACGGCAGTGGGTGGGGCTCGGCTTCAGGCCTGGTCTTTTTCCGGAATCTGGTGCATGCAGCCATGAGCACGGAAAAAGCAACAGCCCCGCTCTGGGCTGCTGCAGCGCGCTTCTCGGGTCTCTAGAAGCCTCTGGTCGCTAAGAGCGTGCCGCGTTTAATCTGCGCCCTGATTGGCCCACCGGCCGATCCCCCCCTACTTGTGCTGTATTTGCGCATCTCGAAAGTGCCCTAGCGTCGCCTTCTCCCCCCCCACACAGCAACTTTGTTAGGGGACTCTGGGGTGCCGCAAGGCACGGCCAGTACATGGATCAGGCCACGCTACTGTGCCTGTTTCTCAACCTTGCATCCTGAATTCTCCGGCACCGTCCAGGCGTGTATCACAGTCCGATCGCTGATGCGAGTGCCGTGCTGTGCAGTGCTTGCGATGCGATGCGCATGTGATTGCAGCTGTGCAACTCGCTGCTTCGTTGCGTGCGCAAGTGCCTGCTGGCGGGATTGCCATGGCCATGTGCGTCTCCAGCGGCTTGGCGTCAATCATCATAACGCTCCATATCTGCGCTATCGGGACTGCAGACTGGAGCTGGAGTCTAAATGCCACTAACTGCTAGCGGACGTGGCTAGGTAGCAGATTGGTAGGCAGATACTTGGCTAGCAGTCCCGTGATCCGACGCTAAACCCTGGATCAGAGCCTTTGGACCCTGGGCTAGCCTGTCAAATAAGAGCAGAGGAGCGCCAACTTCGGCTCGCATCTGTCGACTCTGGCTGCACTATTGCCGGGCTGGGTTCTTTGTTTAGTACCTAGTAACTGTAACTAGGACTACCTAACAGGCCAGCTGTACATAGTACTGTGCTGTGCCGTTCCACATCCAATCCCAATTGGCCGCTCTCCATTTGCTCCGTGCCCCCCGTACTGTGCCGCCGACGCCGCATAAAAAAAGGAAACAAGACCTCAATGCTCCGTAACGAGTACATTGTATTAGACAAATTGCTGTTTTTGTTCATACCGGTACCCCCCTTGGCGCTGCGACCCACGCCCAGCCCAGCCCGTCTTGCTTAATTCAACCCGACATGCCTTTGGCATTGGCATTTTCATTGCCTGGAGGTACCGTCAAATAGTGACCGAAGTCAACCGAAGCTGCTCCCAGATGCGCTTTTCCCAGGCCAAAACACGCGCTGGCCGCCCCGTTTTTCTCGCCTTTTTGTTAGAAAATCAGAATTGCTATATTGTCGCCATCCCCAAATCGTGCCGAGCTGGCAAATCCCCCATCATTTCCCCCTCCCTCCTCTTTTTTTTTCCCTTTCTTTTTCTTGTTCCTCCCATCATTTTTCTCCCCCCTCCGCCTCTCCCCTTTCTTTTGCCTCACCTCCTCTCTCCCAACCACGCACTTTTTCCATCAATCTCGCTCCTGTGCAGCGCCCGCGCCATCGCCAAACGCAGTGCATCCCTCAGGCCTGGCCCTGCTGCACGCCATCCAGCTCTTGCAACCGCTGCAGCCCCGCATCCTCAGCGCATCCGTCAGGCCGCCGCGCATCGCATCATCCGCCAGTCTGTCGCCCAACTGCCCGTTTGTGAGGCTATTCGCAAGTCCAAACCCGGCTCCACTCGTCACGTTTCCACTCCGGCTTCCGGCCACTCACGTAACGTCACACTTTCTGCACCGCAGCCTCGTTGACGCGCTTTGTCATTTGATTCGATTCGATTAAATTTCCTTTCATTTGCAAGGCTGCGATTCAAACACACTCGTTGCCTTTGATTGGGGTTTTTGATCTGTATTGATTGATTTTCCATCGGCTTCTTTTCTTTCTTTTCTTTTTTTTTCCCTTGTCCATTTCCATTTAATTTTCTCTTCGCCTTTTTTTTTATGTTGTAATACATAATTTCCCACCTTGTGCGAAACCGCCGAGCTACCTTAGTAGCCTTGTCGCTCGAGAATTCCCTCTCAGTACCTCGGCCACTAGAAAAACGACAGATTGCCTCTCTCAACTATCTACCTTTCCGTCGTGGCTGAGAGATAGTTACGCTGCCGCCAGGTCACATCTTGACGGCAGCCTCCCATCGCTTCCACCTTCGCGTCAGCCCTACTATGGCTGCTGTCGGCGACGCATCGACGCGATTCGATTCCTCCGCCGGCGAACTCTCCTCTCCCCCTTCAGGCTCCCTCTCAGAACCCGGGTCGCCCTCTCAAGGGGCTGGCCGCCGTCCCAACGTCGCGAAAGACCAATCAAAGCTCGACATGGAGGAAATCGTCGTCAGTGGCGACCAGAACTCGCAGCAGTACTCGCAGCAGTATCCGTCGCAGCCACCTCCTGGAGGCTCTCCCGGAGCCACCCCAGGCTCGCGAAGCCAGGCGCAAAAGAAGTATTCCTACATCGACGGCGAATGGGTGCAACTAACAGCAGCTGGCGTACCCCGCAAAAAGCCAGGACGCAAGCCCGGTTCCGTGGTGAAGCCCAAGGCCCCTGCAGACGGATCCGAAGCGCCCAAGGTTCGCAAGCCCCGAAAGTCTCGAGATGCGGAAGCGCCACCCGTGCAGCGCAAGAGAAAGTTGGCGCCTGCTTCTGATGTCGACACCGATGCGCCCAGTCCAAGACCCCTGGCCCCTGCCGCGGCAGGAGGGCTGTCGTCCTCTTCTCCCTCCCTTCACCCTCAGCTTGGAGAGCCTTTGTCTTCCACACCGCAGCACCAATTACAGCAGCTCCCGGATAGACGGTATTCGCCCAAGATGCAGAAGAGAGAAGGCTATCCCAGCTCCATGCAAAGCATTTTAAATGCCGACCCGCCACCAGTCACCCGATCGCCGTCAAACAGCATCGCCAGCCCTACATCCATACCCGTGCGCACCAGCGGCCAGAGCTACGATCCCATCCGGGGCAATTATGATCCCGTCCGAGAAACTATAACTTCGCATTACTCCTCAGCTGCCGGGTCTCCGCGGGCACCCCTACCGGTTCAGCCATCCCATCGCTCGCCATCCATTGCCAGCATGATTGAGCCGCAGCCGTCCACCAAGGCATCGCCCAGTCAATCCCACCAGCCTTACCCGCCTGCTGTGTCTCAGTCCCGTTTGCAGACTCAAGACGCTACCCCATTGCCGCCTTCCCCATCCTATGTGCCCAAGACAACAGCTTCTACACCAGCTCAAACTCCTGCTTTGAAGCCTGCGGTCCCGGAAATAAAGCGTGATGCCCCCACACCTACGCCTCCGGCTCCACGACCAGTCATTGATCATGCCAACTTTACCACAATTGCAAACGGGCCTGTGAAGAAGGTGTCTCCGAAACAAAAGCCCATCACCGGCGTCTCGACACCAAAAACAGACTATTTGGAAGAGACGATTATGGAGATGGACGAGAGATCGATTCTTGATTTCGGCAGAGCCCGCCCTGGCGAAGAAAAGGAGACGCCCACCATTGTCCTCACCATCCCTATTTCCGCGGGAGAAACAAACAAATATGTAAATTTCATGCGCATGGCCGAGGATCAGTATGGCTGGGATGCTTTGCATCCCCGGCTTGCCGCTGACCGAGACCGCAAGGCTCGAATTGCTGCGGCTGCGGCGTCCTTGGAGAAGGTTGAATCCGGTCGCGAATCTGGCGATGAGATGTCGGTCGACTTGTCCGATGCCGAAGGTAGCAATCCCGAAAATGGCGGAGTAAGTGGCGCCGATGCCCAAGCCAAGCCAAAGAAGAAACGAAACTTCAAAGAGGACCAGTACGATGTGGATGATGACTTCGTGGACGACTCTGAACTGCTCTGGGAGGCTCAAGCTGCCGCCAGCCGAGATGGCTTCTTCGTTTACTCTGGTCCCTTGGTTCCCGAGGTTGAAAAGCCAGCTGCGGGGTATGTATTGATCCTATCTCAGCATTGCTGGGCAATCTTCTTCATCGTTATCACTCGCTAACGCAGACATTGTAGACACGAGGAGCGTCCCAAGCGAGGCCGAGGCGGACGAGGCAGTCGAGGTGGCGGCCGGGGAGGTGCCACAAGAGGAGGAGCGACGACTGGACGCGGCGGTGGCCCAGGCTCCCGAGGCGGTGCTGTCACGCGGAAGCCTCGTATCACGAAATCCGAAAAAGCGCAACGAGAGCGAGAAAAGGCAGAGAGAGAGAGCATGGCCAAGGCATCGGCCAACGGATACCCACTCCAGCCTACCACGCCATCATTATCTGTCCGCGAGCTTGGTTCCTAGAAGAAGAGACGAATGACGGGGAATGATTGCGGCATCCCCTCCAAGAGGAAGAAGTGACGGAAGTTGTGAACGTTTCAGAGGCTATTCAGCAGCTTTTCTAATACCCAGCAGGCCTGTGCGATTAATATTAGCGACCGACGCACGATTTCATCTCAATTGCGTTTTGCGGCCATGGGCTGGCTGATTGATGCTCTTTTTTGTTTTCTCGCTCCCCCCTCTGGACGGCATCCTGGAAGCCCTGCAACCAATTACATGACAAAGGGGTCATACGGAACCTGGTTTCACTTGTCACGAACCGAGCATCTCTGTGTTAAAAGAACTCTTTTTTTTTTTTTTTCTATTATTTCTCAACATGACTTGCGGCACGTTAATTATCTGCTTTGGCACAGACATTGTTTGACTTTTCTTTTAACACTGTTTTCTCACTTTATGTTTTCTCTTTTTTTTCAATTGGCTTGTTTTTTTTTTCCTTTTCTGTCTGGGAATTGTATCAAGGAGGGACATCTGGGCTGACGGCGGCGTTTACACGGATGATGGAAACATGTTGGGAGAAGACAGCGAGGGAGAGAAAGAGTATTCAACTGGGTTCAGACCTGACAGGATGGAATGCCGTTCACTTTGGGTCATGTGCATAATGGGGCGTGAAAATAGATGGCCGTTTTGTTTTGACCGGCTTTGTTGATTTTTTTGTTCTTTTTTTGTTCTCTTGTTTTTTTCCCCTCATATTTCTTCTCTTCTCATTGTCTCTTCTTGTGTGGTTTCATTTCATATTTTTTTGTTTCTTTTAATTACTATTGATGACGAAGAGACATGTATGGCAGAAAAACAAAAACTTTCAAGCGCTATGCCCCCGCCCAACGAATCTCTCTAGTAGCGTCCCAGGCAAAAACTCTTCTGTATACAGACAGACAAAAAATAGACAAACTCTCTTCATTTTTTAAACCTTCCCCTCCACTCCTAATATGTCAAAGTTTTTGATGAAAAAATGTAGAAAGTTGGAGGGAAAATAATAAAAAAAATACGGTTGTAAAAGTATTTACGCAAGGCTAAATTCTGCAATCTCGCCCATCTCATTCTTCACCTCCTCGCCCACCTTGTACGACGCTCGCCAGCGTAGCTTGACGGAGTCGACGCGCTGGTTCCTGTTGCCGGTGTGCCAGACGTCGACTTCTTGGGTGACGCCACGGCTCTGCTTGGGGGAGAGGGAGCGGCCTGTCTGGGGTTTGAGTTGGAGTTCGTAGCCCTGTGGGGGAGAAGAGACTTTGAGTTAGCGACGAAGAGGGGGTAAAGGGGGGTTGGTGATTTATCAGGCGTACCTTTGTGACGGCTAGTTGGAAGTGAAGCTCATTAATAGGTTGCGCGGTGTTGTTTGAAAAGGCAAACAGGATGTTGATGGAGTTGCTAACGGCAGTGCTCCTCTTGGCCAGAAAGTCGGTTCTTAAGCTGGAGTTGCTGGCAATTCCCTTGTGCTCCTTGGGCTTGGCCGGCACTGGCTGTTCCGCTGGCAACGCGGAAGAAAAGCTCCATTCATCATCATCGTTGGACACGGCAGCAGGCTTAGGCGCGGGCGAGCCAGTGGAAAATGAGGCAAAGGCATTAGAAACTGCTGGAGGCGGTGCTTGCTGCTGCTGGTAGTTGGGCTGGGGCGTGGCGGACTGTGAGGCAGGAGGAGATGTGAAGGAGGCAAACTGGGAGAATGGAGGCGGCGTGTCGTTCTGCCCAGCCCCTCTGGCGGTGCTCCCCTGAGTTAGGGATGATAGTAGCGCGGGCCCAGGAATATCTAATGTTAAATCAGCTGTCAGTGGGCTCCTTGACACATGAGAGTCGAGTGTGTATGGCTTACTTTGGTTCGCTCCAAATCCCAAGGCAATGCCGCCGCCCTGTCCAAAGGTGCTCGACTGGCCGCTAATGTCCAAGCCGAGGAGATCATTTTCCAATCCGCCGGCCTGTGAGGAATCAGTGCCGTTGTTCTGAGTAGCATCGCCATCGAAATCTATAAGTGACAGCTCGTTTGCCGCTGAGCTCGATCCTCCCGGTTGGGATGGCGGGGGAGCGCCAGCCGCGACTTTAGCAGCTCCATCAAGGTCGCCCTTCTTCATGAGCTTATAGCGCTCAACCGTACGATGTATGCTGTCGTTAATCTCCAGCAGCCTGGCCACGGCCTCGTGATCGTCCGACTCCTCTTCGCACATCTTTTGGATCTTGGGCTGGGCGCTTTGCAGGGCGGCAGCAAGCTCGCTGAATACATCGCCATCTTCCATCTTGTCGCCGGGCCGGAACGCCGCGAGGCGCTCTTCCAGAAGCCTCGCCTTGGCCTGGATCTTGCTGACGTCTTCAGCAGCCTTGGCCCGGTAGTCTGTCTTGGATCTGGTATCGTAGCCGGCCATGACCTTCATCAGGCGATTGGCTTCCTGAAGGTCTTCGGGTGTGCCCCGGCGAATGAGCTCCTGCAGCTTGGCAGATTGTGCTTCTCGCTCTTCCTCCTCCATTTCTTCGGCCGATTTCAGATTCTGCAGCCAGATGAGTTAGTATCATGTCCATACTACATCATACCAGCGCAATTGAACTAAAGGCGCATCTGCCGAAGAGGCCAAACTTACATCGCTCGGGTTCAAAACGGCAGCATCTTCCCTGCGCACCTCCGGGAACATGTAGCCCTTGTAACTGAGCAGGCGGTGCATGTCCCTGATGAAGCCCAGGTCATCCTTGTAGCGGCTCGTCTCGCATATCGTCGTGCGCCACTCCTCCACCAGCTCAAGAATCCTCGCCTGGACACGGGTCGGGCGGATTGGGGGGCGTTCCGGGAATCTCCGCACCAGCTCGTTGAGGAACTCCTTTGTGCTGATTTGCAAATGGAAAGGGTAGCCGCAGTTTTTGACACAAATGTCGAGGAGGCTGAGCGCCAACAGGGCGACATTGGGGTTGCGGTGGTTGACGAACCCGACAATGGCCGTGGCAGCCTCGCGAGGGGCACTGCCCTTTTTGCTGTTGATGAGGTCTGAGATCTCGAGATTGAGCGCCAGGTTGGGCTCGTAGTTTTCGGGGCTGCAAGCTCCCTGGATGAAGCGCAGGAGCTGGGAGGGCAAGCGGCCGACGTCCCCCCAGCCGCCGCGGGTCGCCGCGCGGGCAGAAGCAGCTTCCATCTGGTATAGTTGGTTGTCGTTCTCTTCGGGTGCTCGCTAGCTCGTTTGTCTGTCTGTCTGTCAGCTCGCCTGTGTATTGCGCTGGTCGAGGCTCGAGCTAGCGGCCGTACGAGTAGAGAGCTAGCTGTCTCTCCCTAGAAAGCAAAGCTAAACACACGCTGTGAGTGAATCCTCACGCTGCGTCGGTCTGGATTCAAGGGACTCGCAAGCTGGATCTCGGTCAGAAGTGGCCAAAGGACGACGTGGCCGGAGCTGCACAATGGCCGTACCTCGAATGCTGCCTAATCGCAGCTCCTTCAACTCCGCAGTGGTAACGCTGGGCCGTCGACTTGATGAGCCATTCGCCTCCGCTCTGGCGATGTGGTCACTGTGCTGGACTGAGAGCGAGCTGTCTGAGTTGGCTGGCGATTGGCTGCCTCTACTCTGCCATGATGGAGTTGGGCCATGGTTTATGCATTTATCCGGGGCTTGGATATTCGCCAGCGGGGGCTCTTAAGGACCGGCAGCCCGGTGAGAATGCTGGTACCTGCGATGTACATCTTATCGGGTGTCGATTCAACTTTAAGACGGATGGATTTAATTTGTACAAAAGTTTGCTCTTTGCATGGCTTCCATAGAGGTAGGTAGGTATCTTGGTAAACAGTAGTATGTACTTTTTCACAGCAGATTATCCCGCATCGTCCTCCCTCTCTGCAGCCAGCCCATGTAGAAGCTCCAAACAGGTACCTGCCCTAGACATGCCTCTTCCGGCAGTGGAGGGGTACCTGGAGCTGTACCATACTTTCATAGAGAGACGCCCCCGATAAGAAAAAAAATCCTCTTTGCATCATCAACCATCAACAATTTGTGTTTCAACCGCCATCCTCAGGTCGACACTCGCCATTTCTTTTCCGATAATTCAAGTCCACATATAAATTCAGATATACATCAAAACATGGTGCGACACAAGAAAGACTTCGCCGCCAGAGGCAAGAAATTCGGCGGCGGCCGTGGCGGCGGTGCTCCTCGCCAACCCCGCCATCGAGACGACCAAGACGATGAATCCTCAGCAGGCCGCCCTGCCTTCAAGGCTGCCTGTTGGGATTTAGGCCACTGCGATCCCAAGCGATGCTCCGGGAAGAAGCTCATGAAGCTGGGCATGATGCGCGAGCTGCACCTCGGCCAGCGCCACGGCGGCGTCATCATTACTCCCAACGGCAAGAAGGTCATTTCGCCGGCCGACAGAGAGCTCATGGACCAGTTTGGTGCTGCCGTCGTCGAGTGCTCGTGGGCCCGGACCAAGGAGGTACAATGGAATAAGGTGGGTGGCAAGTGCGAGAGGCTGCTGCCGTATCTCGTTGCCGCCAACACGGTCAACTACGGCAAGCCGTGGAGGTTGAATTGCGTCGAGGCATTGGCCGCTGCTTTTGCCATCTGCGGTCACCTGGATTGGGCAGAGCAGATTCTGGCCCCCTTTTCATATGGACCATCGTTTCTAGAAATCAACTCGACTTTGCTCAAAAAGTATGCGGCTTGCGCGGACGAAGCTGAAGTTAAGAAGGCGGAGGAAGACTGGATGGAGAGGTTAGAGCAGGAATATGCCGAGAGCAGAGAGGAGGGTAATGATGATATCTGGACCAGCGGAAACACCAACAGAAGAGCACCAATAAATTCGGACGACGATGAAGAGGAGGAGGAAGATGAGGATGAAGACAACACAGATGATGACGAAAACTCCGAAGAAGAGGGAAGCATAGACGGCATATACTTGGGCAAACGGTCACCCAAGCAAAAAGACCAGGATAAGGAGGCCGAAGATGAAAAAGACGAGGACAAAGACCCATACGCCCTATCAGATGACAGCGACGATGACGCCGCCATGGAAGAAATCCGCCGCAAGGTGCTCGCCTCAAAAACTTTCACCAACCCCAATCCCAACGCCGACGAGAAGCAAAAGCCATCGACAATACCCCGTCCACAGCAGCGCTTCAAGGCTGACCTAGACATTGAGCCGGATTCTGATAACGACAATGGCGGTGATAGTACCGATGAGGGAGGCGAGGGCAGCGACGGCGATGACGACGAGTTTGACAACATTATTGCTGCGACGCCGGTCACGGATAGGATAGGGCTGGAGAAGCTGAAGAAGGAGAGGGCCAGGGCAGCGATTACAACGAGGACGTTTTCGTCCAATGTTGTTTCTGCGCCGAATAGATGGTAGTGGTTGGTACATGACACCAATATAATGCCACTCACTATTGATGGGATTTCATTTCATGTGCGAATATTGTGTGGAATGTTAATGACATCGGCCTCAACCCGAATTGCGTGCATCTACTCACGCAGCTATTTTTGCCTTTCTACGTACGTAGATGGTGAAGATCCTGCTCTCATCACCTCTAGTCAAATCATTCAACCCTTCAGGTAGAGTCTTCTCAGTGGAACAGTCTATATGGGCACTTGGGCACAAGTACATGCGCAAGTATGGCTGAGAGATCTATCTGTAGTAGCACAGATGCCGGATTTTCCAACCCAGGTGCTGTTGGCATATAGCTTTTCTTACTTGAAAGATGGGTACGACAAGGAGTATATGAATATCAACAGCTATTCAAGCATTTCCGCTATGAGATATGCGTAAATGTAGTGAATTAGCAACCTCAGTTGCTCCCGCGAATCACGTTGAATGGGAATTCGGCTAATCACTCAACCCAATGCAGCCAATCCAATGCGACTTGCCCGCACTTTATCTCGATGTCGCAATCCTACGCTGTGAAACCAACTGGCTCAGCTCACTTCTTCACAACGACGGCCCGACTATTCGAGAATGGATCCGGAGAAAACTCAGGATGATGCCACCTCTGCCGGCAGCTTCACGATATATACGCCTCATAGCGGCTCGACCACCTCCGATCAAACCTGGGAATATAGCTATGCAGTCCCTTGGCCAGGCGGGGTATACAGGATCATAAACAAAACCTCTGACAAAGCAATTACGCTTGCGAATGGCCATCTTTGCCTGCAAGAAACCAGCGACCCGCGCGACGAGTATAGCCACTGGCTCTGCGTCGAGGCCAACGGCTACTTCGGCTTCTTCAATCAAAAGGCGAACAAATACATCGGCCACGACGGCGAATGGGGTATGCGAGCATGGGCGGAAAGGTTCCTGGACTGGGAGTATTTCACTCCACGAAGGCATCCCGCTGGAGGGTACCAGCTTCTCTCGCCGTTTTATCACCACACGTTGAGGGAACTCGCCGTTGCTAACGGCGGGAAGAAGCTTATCAGGAGAGACCATGGAATCACTCTGTGGGAATTTGTGAAGGTATCAGAATATTGAGGGCTGCTCTTGGAAACAAGTATTTTGTCATTCTATATTGGTTTTTGCTTTCCCTGCCCAACGGCCAATTCATGAGTAGAATGAATGCCTTTTCCATGCGTTGAAGTTATACTAGTACATATCCATCCATATCGTACAGATTTTACACGTCTATATACCAAAGCCGCCTCTTTTTGTAAAATGTATGCATGTAAATGTTACAAGCTCCGCCTCTCCTTAATCTCTTCGTACGTCTGAATCTGATCATCCGGCTGGAAATCCTCAAAGTCTTCCAAGCCAATACCGCATTCTGTTCCCTTGCCCATTTCCTGGACATCCTTCTTCACATGTTTCAGGGTGTCAATCTTGCCTGCTTGTAAGTTAGCACTCAATGTCCAACAACCACGTCTCATAACTAGAAAAGTCAGATAACATACCGTCGTAGATTACCTCGCCCTTGCGAAGGACCTTTACGCGAGACGACTTCTTAATGGAGCCGTTTCGAACTCTACATCCGGCAATGTTTCTAAACACACGCTTCTTCACGTTGATCGGGAACACCTGCAGGACGTCGGCCTCGCCGTTGACACGGAACGAGATATTCATGGGCAAGATGTCGGACAGCGCCGCCTTGACATCGTCAACAACGTGGTAGATGACCTTGTGGTCGAGAATCTTGACCTTGGCCTCTTCTGCTCGCTGCTTGATGTGCGGCGGGATGGTGCAGTTGAAGTTGACAATGATGCTGTTGGACGTCGCTGCGTGGTCAATGTCGTACTCGGTGATCTGGCCAGCAGATGATCGCAGGATCTTGGGCTGCACCTCGTGGCTGCCCAGCTCCAAGATGCTTCCGCAAACTGCTTCCACGGATCCGACAACGTCCGCCTTGACGGTGAAGTTTTGAGTCAGGATTCCAGGCTCAGCTGTCTCTCCAGCGGTGGTTGAAGTGCCCTCAGCATCCGCTGCAGCATCTGCTGCGGCCTTTTCTCGCTGGCGCTGTTCTTGCTCTGCGAGCTGGATAGAGCTTTGCTCACGCTCAGCCATTTCCAAGCGGTATTCGACAGCCGTCTTCGCCTTTCCTTCATCTGGCGATTGGATTACCTGCTCTCCAGCAGTTGGTAGCTCTCGCCAACCCAGAATCTCCACTGGTGTTCCGGGAGGAGCAGAGTCCAGCTCGAGGCCAGCTTCGTTGCGCAGCACACGGATCCTTGCCCAGGTCTTGCCGGCGACAATCAGGTCGCCTGGGCGGAGGGTTCCTCTTTTGACCAAGATGGTCGCAGCTTTGCCCTGAGGCTTGATGCTAGACTCGAGAACCCATCCTTCAGCCATGCCATCATCCTCAGCTCGAACATCCAAGATTTCGGAGAGTGTGACGATATTCTCCTCCAAGTCTTCCATGCCCAATCCTGTTTTCCCGCTGACGCAGACAACTTGCACATCGCCACCGTAGTCCTCGATTTCAACACCATGTCGAGAAAGATCTGCCTTCACTTGGTCTATCCGGGCATCCTCTTTGTCAACCTTTGTGATGGCGACGATAATAGGCACCTTGGCGCTCGTAGCATGCTTCAATGCCTCCAGTGTCTGGGGCATGACACTGTCATCAGCAGCGACCACAAGCACCACGATATCTGTCACATTTGCTCCGCGCTGACGCATCGACAAGAAGGCGGCATGGCCCGGAGTGTCGAGGAATGTGATAGACTTGCCAGACGACATCTTTACAACAAACGCTCCAATGTGCTGAGTAATGCCACCGTGCTCTTGTGCTGCGACGGAGGACTTCCGAAGCCAATCCAGCAGAGTAGTTTTACCGTGATCGACATGGCCCATAATCGTGACTACAGGAGGACGAGACGGCAAAACCGAGGAATCTGCGGGCGGGGGACGAGTTCGGAGATCTCGAAGGGATCCTGTATCAACTGTAGGCTCGAAGCCGTATTCCATTGCAATGAGAGCCGCAGTCTCGCCAGTGAAGATTGTGTCGCTGGTGATGTTTTCGAAGCCCATTTCTTCCATGTCCTGCAGAAAAGGGGTAACATTTTGCTTCAGAGCCTTAGACAAGTTCGATGCGCTGATGTATTCAGGGAGAAATATCGGGACGGCTTGCTGCTCTACCTCTACAGCTTTCTGCTTCTGTGCCTCCTTTTCCGCCTTGCGACGTTGCTTCTGCTCCCAGCGGTGTACGGCTTCATCATCCCAGTCTTCGTCTTCATAGGCTTGTGTTTCCCTATGCGACTTTTTTCCCTTTTTAGATCGAGGTTTCTCAGGCTCTTGCTGCTCCTCCACTTCAAACCTGGATTTCCGTCTTTGTTTCTGGGGTGGAGCATCCTCTTCCGCTTTGTGTGTAGGTGTGACTTTCTCCTCGAAGGAATCTCGTTTGTCTTGAGCATCCTGTGTCTTTCTCCTCCGATCCACAAGTTGATTTTCATTCTTACTTTTAGCCTTGTCCCTAAATCCCGTGGCTCTAGTTTCCAGTTCTCCCCAGAAATCTTGAGTCGACGATTCCTGGCCTGGAGAAGGTTGAGTAGTTGAAGCCTTGTTTTCGTGGCCATGCGCATGTGGCCTCGCTCCAAGCTTTACCTTCATCTTGGGCTTTCGAGACTTGGTAATTTCGTTCCACACGCCGGATTGATTCCCACGAGGATCTACTCCATGCGGATGGGGAGTTGCTTCGGCCTTACGATGGCTAAATGAACCCCATCCAGTTGTTTTGAGACCGCCGCTTGTTGATCGTGCTGGCTGTTCCCCGGTGGGCTTCCCCGGACGAGCGAAGGTATCACTAGATATAGATAGCCTCGACGGCTTCTTTACAGCCTCGCTGCCCTCGGATTGCGGAGAAGACCAAGACTCTGGGGTTGGCGGAGCGCGCGGTTCTCGGTTGGTTTTGAAGACGTCAGCCAGGACAGACCTCGACTTGGTCGCTTGCGGAGTATTCCTGCGTTGGGTTCCTGTACTCATTTTGGACTCGTTGCGTTTAGGCTCGTTACTCTTGCCCGTCTGCACACTCTCTGCAACCGCTGATTGCCGTCGGGCCAGCCGCTCGTGCGGCAGCAAGCCATCAAATGCAGGCGTCGTCCCAGCAGCCGTGTCTGCTTTTGCAAATGTGCCCCAATTCCCCGCTCGAGTATTGGAGAATGCGCCAGGGAATCCTCCCGTCTTGGGAGGCCCCTCATTATTCGCAGAGTTGCTGAGACATGCCGTCCGCGACAGCGATCGGGCCTGGCAAGAGAAGACGGCGCTTCGCTCGGTGGGCAGCTCTCGCAACGCGCTTAAAGGCCCCGGCGAGGCAGAAGAGATGGACAGCGGTCGTACATGCTGCGGTCCGGCATTGACGGCCAGTTTCTGTCGACAAAACGTGCACACAAACGGATGGTTGCGATCCTAGAGTGTATGATGTCAGTTATCGCACCAGCAATACAGAGCTCAATTGGGGGGCAAAAGCGCAAACCTTCCACGCACGAGCTCTCAACATTGCAACAAAGAATGGCGATGAAGCTCACGCAAAGCTCCCGTCGACATTGGATAGAAGAGGCATGTATGAATGGAGATGTCGCTGGAGGGTTGCTAGGTCATTGGGGCAGAGCTCTTTGTTCTAGGCTTAGCGGGATATTCACTTTTTTTTTTTCTTAAGCTCGAGGATGAAGTGCTTGGAGGGGCATCTCGGGATAAGATTGTCCGTACGATGTGCAACATCAAGACATTTACTGCGCAGTAACTTGTTCATTAGAGCTAATTTGTCAACTCTATATTTTAAATTGATTGTTCTTCTCGAGTGTTTTGAATTTCCCTATAAGCTTGTACATTAAATGCAGATGGATTTGTTCATTTACAAACAAACCGCCTCCCCTGCTTATGGTCTCGGGTAGCAACTTGCTAGTACCTGAGATCTACTGTGTCGCTAACTCAAAGGGGATCAACTGATACTAACTGATAAGAAACCTGGCCACGAAGCTCAACTTTAGAGGAAGAGCATGGCACACGACCTCTTAGTTTTCGTATCTATGCAAGGAATGTCTCTGTAATTGAACCCAGCATAATGAATCCTGTAAACAAGTCATCTCGTCATCCTCACACCTGATTTTCTTCTCCCTTCTCTGCAAGTCTTGTGGCGATTTCGCTGTGGATACAGCTTACAAGGCGGTCGGGACCTGAGTTTTGCTGGGGCCAAAGATACCACATTCCCCTGAAGCTCACTTACTAAAAACACCTGCACGGCCGTGGATTGTGGACTCGCCAATTGATTCCCCCAAGAATCAGGCACGAGACGGCCAGCATTCGCAATGGCTCCCTCCAAGAGAAGTGGGAAGCACAAGCCATCTGCCGCATCTAATTCATCCGGCAACAATGGCAATTTGGACCCTCCCTCGCCGTTCAAGCGGCCGCCGGAGGTGCTGGAGCCCTTCATCCGCGAGCTCTCGCAGAAGCACATCTACATCACGCATATCGACGCCAAACCAGCCGCCTTCAAGCGCAAGATGTTCCTTGTGCCCGTCGCCCTGAATATGAGCGTTGCCGCTCTTTTCGTCTGGCGAATGTACTCCATCCTGCCCTGGTACTGGAAAATCCTCATGTCCGGCTTTGGCCATCCCAACGAGATGACGTTCCCTTTTCATGAGGCGTCGTGGTCGGAGCTGTCTTGGGAGGTGTGGAAGCGCGGTATCGTCATGTTCATCGACTTTGTGCTGTTTGTCTTCGTCTGGCCGTGGCCCGTCGAGTTCACGCTTGCCACGACACACGGCAACCCGACGCTGTGGCGATGGAACGTGGGCTTTCGGGACAAGGAGATTTATGTCCGTCGCAGCCGTGACTGGGACAAGATGCTGCGCGACATCTTCAAGGATGCCGACTCAAAGAAGATTTTGCTTGCCTATACTCAGCAGGCCACGTCACCCATGCTTCAAGAGCAAAAGACTGGCTATCTCCTTATGAATGAAAAGTGGGATCTGGACTGGAACGGCATGATTTTGGCCCACAGGCTGGTTGACAAGAAGGATGCTGCTCTCGAGGCGTTTAAAAATGTCATTTTGGTGTACCACCAGGACTACGGCTGGATGTGCCACGACCTCAAGCTGGGCATCGCAGCCGAGGAGGATGAAAAGAGGAGGCAAGTTTTTGCTTTCCGAGATGCCCTTACAGCTATGGGCAAAGAGAACCTATTTTACCGTTGGATCGAGATTGTGCAGTTTGAATCAACCCAACCTGGAGGATTTGGCCCGGAGAAGCAAGAAGCCACTGCCAAACAGATTCGCGAGCTCTTTGAAGCTGAAAATATCAACTTTGATGAGCTATGGAAAGATACGGTTGGTGGGAGGGCGTGAAAGATTGATTGATCTCTTGGGAGCCGGAATATAAAATGGATGGGATAATGCCGTTAGGCTAGGCACTTGTTGGATTTGGGGGGATTGGCTACGAGGAGGAATTACTCGGTAGTCCACATATAAAACCGCCCACCTGACTAGCTACTAGGTACTGCATCTATAGTGCGATTCATTGTAGTATCTGCAGTTCTGTATCTTGATATTCGGAACGCAGGTGGATCGCGAGAACATACACAAAAAGAACATCATTTCAACCACTTTGCAGCATACAGTTGCGATGAATAATAATGCTGAAGCCATGCAGCTGTCAGGTATGCTTGAATTCGCCATTTTACATGGGAGAAAAGGCAGAACAAAAGAATAAAAAAAAGGGTGCCAAGCTGGAATCGAACCCCGACCACGAGGGAAGCCAAACCTTCGCAGACTTTGGACACCTGGTACCTGACTTCGAGGTGCTTTTGGACACAGCACCCATGGTTGCGCATCCCGAGCGTCAACGCCATGCACCATCGAACATCGATGCAGGGAGACATGAAAGACAAAAATCACCAACAAAGACCAAAAAATCAAAAAAAGACAATGGAAAACGAAAAAAATTACACGCCCAGCGATCTCTCTTGAGGTCCAGCGTAGATCCTACTGCGCGCCCCGGTTTCCCATGGGTATTTGCTTTGCGGGTACCAACAGCTCGAACTCGCGCCGGGTGGGGCCTACGCGACGGTCGTCCAGGGCTGGGGGCCGTGTCTGAGAGTTCCTGACCTGGTAGTGGCGTTCGCCGCAAGTGCCGTGTGAACTGAAAAGGCCCTCTCAATTCACATCTCACATCTTGCCAACCACGCCACCTCCAAGTGGGCCGCTCGCTGTTGAATGGCATTGAGCTTTCATGGTATATAAGGATATGGCAGCTGCCAGCTGGTCAGCAGTCCAGTGCTGTAGGATTCTGGTGGAGCGATTGCCAGCACTTCCCAGGCTGTAAGTATAGAGGCAGGTGTAGCATTGAGATGACGATGAGGAGCATGTGATGGTGACCGGGACGATGCTGCTGACTCTTTGCAAGAGAAGGCCTGATACGAGCATCCATCCACATGCGAGGTGATTTTCTATCGAGTCTGAAGTTAGCATAAGAACACATCCAGAGTGTGAGAGGTACTAATACCTACCAGCTCAAAGATACCAGTTTATGCAAACATGCGTGTAGACGAAGCTGGTAAGCACTGTTGTCCGTTCGGAGTTGTATACTCACGAGGAGAGCGCCATGTTGCAAAGGCAATCATGTATGAATTAATCAATAGACAATCAAGCCCGAGGCATCATCCCGTGGAACTCTCAATGCAGTCTTGGGACCATATATGGCCATGCTGGTCTTGTTTTCAGGGCGTATCATCTCGATTGGAGACAGGCATGGGATCCGTACCCGACACAGGGGCCTTCGTTCTTGTCCATGACGAAGCAGACTGTGAAATCTGGCCTGTCATTCATGGAAAAAATATTAGCAAATCGCCTCGAGATGTGAACTGCAGGCCAGGCATTGTCAGATACCAAGCCAATGGCCAGTGTTGTGTCGAGCAGACGTTGAGAGTGGAGAAACATTCTTTTACGTGGCCTTTGCCGCGCTGTCGGCTACCGAATTGGGCAGTTTCCGACCAGTTGGCTTCCTTCCAGGCTGGGTGAAGCTCGGCACAGTAACGATCTTGGGAAAACACCACACAAAGTATCTCAATGGAGTATCAATAGAGCAACATCGTATAGAGCCCTGGAACCCTCAATTGCGCGAATTGTATCAAGCGATTGGTAATACGAATCAACGCTAATAATAGAATGTCTCTTCTGCTCTCTTTATCCCTCCTTTTTGGCTTTCAACCCGGCAAATCTGTTCGGATAGGCATAGCTTCAGAACTGCGCCTTCAACTGCAACCAGATAATTCTCCGTAGGCCAGTGTCTGAGACATATGTAGAAAAACACAGCCTTCGTCCTGCACATCAAGCGCTTCGTATCAAGCCTCATCGCCTCATTTGTTTCATGTTTCAGTCAATTTTTGCCGTCTTATCACCAATCGCAGAGTTGAGGTAGTATCTTATCTCCTTGGCTTGCCAGATGCCAAGTACCTAGTACTGTAATACTGTGCTGCGAGTACACGCGGCTGCCCCATTTTGCGCCAGGGCACGCACGAATCCCACTCCAATCCCCCCAAACCGGCCGACAGCTCCCCCCAATGGCCCCCCCCTAGCGCCAGTGTCGCAAGTGCGGCAGAGCTCATCAGTTGATGTTCTCAGGCCCCGTTAGCGCTGTAGTGCCTCTGTTTCGCTGGAATTTCCCGCCATTGACCCCATCCTTGCTACGGCTCAGAGCCTCAGGCCTGGACGAATCATCGACGCGGCCCACCACCAGGGACCTCATCTCTCCTAGACGCCTGTGGACCTTTCGCAGATTTGCCAGACCATACACCTCTTGTGCGTGACAGCGCTGTCCAACATCGGCCTGGGGTCCCTTTGCTGCATTGGCCGTTTCTTTTCATTGTTAAAAAGCCCCTCGCCTGCCGCCTCGCTCGCCGATTCTCACCGACTCGTGTCTGGTCTGGGGCTGGGCTCCTTCGACGATCGACGACGCTCGCCAGAATCGGCGCATCCTCCATAATCAACACCTCACCTACACGCCCTACAAGCCGTCACCATGTCCTCATCAGGCCTGACGCGACGCCGTGGAGCTGGCGGTGCCGCTGGTACTGAGGGCGAGAGCAGCAACGGCGTCTCGAGGACCAATTCGACCCGCGACGCTCGAGACAGCGGCCCCGAGACAAGCTACGAGAGCGGCGAAAACGGCCACAAGATTGCCTTTGACCCTCGAGACATCAGCGAGTCGGCCGAGCGAAGCAAGCAGCCCAAGCTGACCATGATGGAGGAGGTGCTGCTGCTTGGCCTCAAGGACAAACAGGTGCGTGTGCCTGCTGCGTGGCGGCGCCCAATTGCTGACCGAAAGCCTTGTGATTAGGGGTACCTCTCGTTCTGGAACGACAACATCTCGTACGCGCTCCGAGGATGCATCGTGCTGGAACTCGCCTTCCGCGGGCGCATCAGCATGGAGAAGGACCCGGCGCGGCGACGGTTCCCCCTGGCAGACCGAAACATTGAAGTGATAGATGATACCCTCACCGGCGAGGTGCTCCTCGACGAGGCTCTCAAGATGATGAAACAGAGCGAAAAGATGAGCGTCAGCTCCTGGATTGACCTGATGAGCGGTACTGCCACCCCTGTCTTTCCCCCCACCCTATATGTGCCATCCGCTGCCTCTGCGCCGACACTGGCGTGGCATTGCGTGTTTGTGAATATGCTACATGACCAATGCGGCGGCTAATGCTCTGAACCAACCAGGCGAAACTTGGAACTTGATGAAGATAGGATACCAGCTCAAGCAGGTCCGCGAACGATTGGCCAAGGGCCTGGTCGACAAGGGCATCCTACGGACGGAGAAGCGTAACTTCCTTCTCTTCGACATGGCCACCCACCCCGTTGCCGACGGCGGAGCCAAGGAGGAAATCCGCCGCCGCGTGCGCAACGTCCTGACCCAGCGCACCGTCGTCCTCAACGGGAGCCAGTTCCTGCCCGAGAACCTCGAGTTCCGCTACCTGCGCACCGTGGCCATGGTGTGTGCCGCGTACGCCGCCAACGTGTTGGAGAATGCGCTGTCTACGCTGGGCCACGAGGCTAGGGAGCGAGCGTTTGCGCAGACGGACGAGCTGCTGGCGGATTACAGCCAGTACCCCTTTGGCAAGAAGGCCACGGGCAATGGCATCGGAGCCAACCTACCGCAGGTCATAGCCGAGGTGAGATGCGCTTTTTTAATGGCACAATTATGCGCAAGAGGATAGCATGCTAATATAATTTGCGATGCAGGAGGTGAACAAGGCCAAGGATAAAGAACTGCAGCTCGAAATCGTGGCTGCCTGCCTCAGCGTCTTCACCAGACTCGACTCTCTCCTATAAACCCCGACTAGCTCTGAACGAACCGACCACTATACCACTTCCTAATTCGATTATAATGATGACAGAATACAAAAAGGCCAAAATCGATTACCCTTTCTTCCATGCATAAAACTTCTCTCTAAGATAGTCTCACAGCAAGACCTCTTTTTCATCCCCCCCTCTTCCATCGTCTCTTGAAAGAAATCTAAAACCAGTACCAACTATAAAAAAAATTATCGAAAATCTTCGCCTTCTTTGTCACTTTATCTTGGGAAAGGGGGAGTGGGGAAACAGGCGGGGGGTTTTATTTTATCTTTTCTTTAATTTTTCACTGCTGTCGGGAGAGGTTAACGGCTGAAATGAAATACGACCGCACAAAGAAGGACGAAAGAAAGAGTTGAAAGGGTATATGAGAAGGGAAAGGGAACAAAAGGGAAGTTAACGGCGGGGAAAGAGAGGAAAAAAGAGAGAGAGATCAAGAAGCGAGCCCTTGCCTAAATGGGAAGTCTTTTTTTTTTACTAATTTTATTTTGCCTTCTTTTCTTGTTTTTACTTGCTCTGAGATGTTGCTGCTTTGTCAGATCCCAGGGGAGCGGTGGAAGGGGGAGATGTTGGAGGAGGAGACTTGGAGAATGAGATGTGTCTGTATGTACCTATGCTTTGCGTATGATTTTTTGTAATGGTGATTTGGGAAGAACGCAAATGTACCGGCGTCAATTCAACACGCTTTTTCTCTGCCCATATCATATCCAGGGGGTTGTTTCTTTTCACGCAAAAATGTCCGGTCAGAGTCTTTTCTTCATTTGTTTGCATGTAGTATTAACCTCGTCAGCCATCGTGAATACCTAGAACACTTGCCGCCTTCAAAACGGCCATACATAACCACAAATGACCCGTAACCCTCCCTCCATACGGTCAACATTTGAAATGATGCCATGCCCTGCGCCTCCGACGCTAGTTCGCCCTATGTGGATGAAAAAAAAGTCCAAGCAAAAAGAAAAGAGAAAGATGACAAGCAAAGCAGATGAAACAAGAACAACCAGAGAACTGCCATGCAGGCTCATGAGATGGAGGGCCATGAAATAGGTACAAAGCTTTTTTATCGAACAACACGACAGGCCAAAAAAAAAGAGGCTACATGCGAACTTCGCCTTGCCGTCTCTCCTTACTTGCGCTTCCCGCCGACTCCAAAGCTCCCCTCGAAGCCGGGCCGTCCACCCTTCTTCTTCGCGGCGCCGCCCTTCTTCTTCTTGCCCGACCGGCGGAGCAGCTTGTCCTCGCGGCGCTGCTTGATGTTCTCCTCGCGCTTCTTTTGTCTCTCCCGCTGGGCCTGGGCGACGCCAGTGGCTCTCTCCTTCCAGGCCTTTTCGCTCTTCTTCTTGGCTACCTCCTTGCGCTTGACGGCCTTCTTGAGCAGAGCCTCGTCGTCGTGGATCTTCTCGCCCTCGGCACGGCGGCGGGCATTCAGCCAGGTCTCCTTCTCCTCAATGTCCTTGCGCTTCTCTTCATCGAGTTCTTCTATGCGCTTCTTTTCGTGCTGTACCTTGAGCAGCGCTGTCTTGGGATCTGAGGGGCCCTTCTTCTTGCCTCTGTTGAGGAAATAGCCGAGGTCATGGGACATTTGTGAGCCATCCCCAAATGCCACACGTCCAAAAGTGAAGCCTCCTGAAGCATCGTCGAGGCTAATATTAGGGCTCATAACACCAGGCGAGTTGGACGCTAGTGCCTCTTCGCGTTTCCTCTTCTCTTCCTCCTTGGCTAGCTGTCTTAGCTCCTTCTTGTGTGCTTTGCGCTGTGCTTCTTTTGCTCTTCTCGCCTCAATGAGTTCTTGTCTCGTGCGAATAGGCTTGCCATTCGTGCCGTCGGCTTTTCTGGCTGCACGGAGAGCCTCGATCTTGGCAGCAAGACGGGCTCTCAGAGCGGTGGTATCTGCAGGGATCTTAAGGTGCTTTGGCTTTTCTGATGAGGCAACTGAGGAGACGGATGTGGTTGTGCTTGCGACCTCTCTTGATGCAGGCTGGCCGTTAGCAGTCTCGGTTGAGTCGAAGGTGGGAGAGTGTGGTTCGGAGTCGAGTGCTGATACAGCGCTGCCATCATCTTCTCTCTGCAGGCCAGAGAAGTCTAGAGATGGGTCAAGACCGTCCATCCGGTCTTGCATGCTTTCATCAGCCTTGTCAGTGTGGCTGACATCAGCTTCTTGTGATTTTGAGGGAGTTGGCTGAGGTTTTGAGGGAGTTGCGGCATCCTTTTCCGCCTTCTTGTTTTTCTGCTTCTTTGACGCAGGCGTGCTAGCAGCCTCGGGGGCGTTCTTGACTGGGGTTTTTGCCGGAGTCTTGGCCGGAGTTGCTGCCTCGCCTGACTCGTGCTTTGCTTTTTTCTCGGCCTTCTTCTCGGCCTTCTTTTCTCGCTTTGCGGCTCGCTTCTCTTCCTTTTTTGATAGCTTTGGCTGGTCCTCGGAACCGTGTGCTTCATCTTCACCCTCATCGTTGCTCTCGGCTTCAACATCATCATTGGTCTTGGGCTTCTTTTGAGGAGTCTCAGGGTTCTTCTTCTTCAGGCCCTCGAGGGGCTTCTCAGCCTCGACGCCAGTCACGGGTTCATAGTCTTCCTCTTCAGGCTCATTCTCATCTTGCTCCATTTGCCGCAACTTCCGCTTGCTCTTGGCTCGCTCGTCCATGACTTCTTTGGCATTGCGGTTCAGCGCGCTGTCGGGATCTAGCTTGGCTCGCCGGGCGGCCGCGGCCTCCTGTTTTGACTGCTTCTCTTTTTTCCATTGATCCTACATATCAACAAGCGTCAGCCCCAGGACCTTGATAACCTCAAATACATTCTGGATGTGGATGGAATCCAGATATCCGCCTGATTGAGAGGGTTGGGTCGGCAGGATCAAGTCTGTAAACGTACGCTTGTGTCTTCGCCATAGTACATCTTGGCTGGAATCAGACTCAGCAAGCCATCGAACGCCTTGGCATGATCGCGCAGGCGATCCTAACAGACGATGTCAGCTAATGATTCCTACAGCTCGTCTCTCAGCCCCTTCCAGGCATTTCCACCTGGCGGGGCTGGACAAAGGACGTCCAAACGAACCTGCAGTGATGAATCCGCCATCCTAGCTTCAGTATCGCGAAAAGGTAGTATATATACACAGAAAGAAGAAATCTGCGACGGCGGCGGCGCCTATAATTCGATACCTGGCGACGGCGCTGGATGATCCGCGGCCAATGATGTAGAAAATTGCAAGGTGATAGCTGGTGGTTGGCGTGAGGTGATGCTTTTTTTTTTCTGCCACTGCCTTGCTGGGGACTTTTCCTGAATTTTTTTTGGGGTGTCCAATTTTTTTTCCACCTTTCTGCCGTACCGCGAACTTCGCTGTGGGGTAGCCACTTAGTGCCTGGACCGATGCAAACGCGCCTACGCCAGAAAAATTGACACCCAAGGCATTGAATTATTAGAACAGGATTGATGGTATTCAAACGTGCAGTTGAAAGCTGCTGAGTAATTGTAGAAAATAAAGGAATTACCGGAAATAAAATAGAGAAAGGCTTATATTATTTTAGCTGCTTAGTTTACAAATGTGATAACTTGGGCCCTGCGTATTAATACGAAGCACACAAGCATGGGTCACGAGAGCATCACCTGTCACGGCTAAGGTTGCTGTTGAAAACTGGCCGACTGAAACTCAATTCAGTAATTGCATGTTTAGTCGCTTTAGGTACCCATTGATGAGTCCAATTACGCAGTATTTTATTTTTAATTTTTTTGAAAGATGTATTGAATCTAGTTTCCAGCTCCCAAGCCAAGGTATCCTGCAGAAATCCAAACTGAAAATGGCTTCATTTCTTCTTGCTGCTTTTCTTGGCTGGGCCAGCAGCAAGTGCTCGCAGCTTGGCCTCTCTGGCTTCAATCTCAGCTCTTCGTTCCTTCTCTCGCTCTTCTCGCTCTTCTTTCTCGGCCTAAATGAGGTTGAATGGTTAGCGTTAAGATGCCACACACAAGGAGTACAAGAAAATCAATGGTGGGTCGTCACCTGTCTTCTAGCAGCATCAGCCTCGCGCTGTGCACGGATGAGCTTGAGACGGGCAATATCCGCCTTGGCCTCGTCCGTCTTGCCTTCGGCATGCAGCTTCATATATCTCTCCTTTGCGGCAGCTGCCTCAGCAGCTTCCCTCTCACGTCGACTGGCGGGCAATTTCTTGACGCCCTCGGTAATCTCGTCAACATCTGCGCCCTTGGTCGCCTGCTTGCGGGCTGAGGAAGAGTGGTTCGGGTTGGCAGGCAACTCCGCGTCGCTTTCCTCGCCGCTTGAGGAAGGCAGATCGCCGACCTCAACTGAGCGGCTCTTCTGCTTGGCTATGGCGGCCTCTTTTCGAGCCTTCTTCTGGGCTTTTCGATCCTCGCGGTTGGCCTCGGCGCTGGCTCCCTGAGCAGAGGCCTGGCCGGCCTCCTCCTCTTCGGATTCCTCTTCGGATTCTTCCTCAGAATCTTCCTCGTCCTCGTTGCGCTTGGCGTCCGCACCCCACATGCTCACTGCATTGCCTTCGGAGTCGAGAGGTTGGAGATCGCGGGAGAAGTGCTTGCCGCCTATTTCGTACATTCTACGTTAGCATGTGAAAATGATATGCATCGCGTTGTCGATGAGCAATTCCTGTGGCCGGCTGGATTTACCTCCTCTGGTGAACTTTCTGAACTTGCCACCGCGGCCACGCGAGCTCGATCCAGGAGCACCAGGCATCTTGAAGATGAGATAGATATAGGAAGGGAGAGAGTGAGAGAGAAAGAGAAAGAGAGTAGGTGATGATATGCTGTAGATAGCTTCGGCTCTACCTCCGGCGTTGCGCTGCTAGGTATGCGACTGCACAGGACTTAAATAGGAAAATTCAATCCACAGTTGAAAAGTTATGGCCAAAGAATTGCATGCACTCTGAGTCGCCAGTTCAGTGGCAGCGAGGCGGGGTAGCGGGGTACTTGGAGGTACAGCTCAGCCTTGCCCTCTGAATTCAGCATGATGTACCGCGAAGCTTCAAAAGTTCTGCTATTATAATGGAGGGTCCCGTGTCTGGGCTGTCATAACAGATGCTGCTGTATGACTCACAGCCCCTTATCTCTGGTCATACATGCCATCGTCGTAATGAGCTGATCCTTGGATGCTCTACTTTCAGGGCACAGGCGTTTGGCGCGGTCCATTCACAGTGTGGCGTTGTAACGCTAAAGTACTTTGCTTGTGACATTGAAAATGGCTGATAGGCGATTGGCTAACTGGCTTACAGAGCTATCGCACTGTAACTGCGCTCTTCATTATGCCATTGACTACTTGTATGAGGCCAGAAAGGGAGCAGCTGAACATGGACCTGCTATTGCTCTTGCTCATAGATGCTACCTGGTAGTACAGAGTAATATTGGATAGTTTAATTACTTAATTTGTATCTTCAAGCAGCAGGGCTTTGCAGACCGTTGCTTGGTGAGTCACAGCAGCTTGAGCAAGATGACTTCGAATTCCAAACGAGTGTGGGCTGCCGTAATCCCCAAGCGCCAAGTACCAAAGTACCCTGTTCCCCTGCCGCAGCCACGTTTTTCCGACCCAACTCCACCCACGCCCCGATCACTATAATACGCCAGCCGAGAATTTTCTTTTTTCCTCTTCTTTTCTTTTCTTTTTTCCTCAGTGAAACCTACTAGAAAAATTTCCTTCAAATTCACTCTGGCTTTCGACAACCTTTGGATGCGCCTGGAGGGGAAACTGGAGGATAGATGAACCCGCTGACTTACCCTCTGTCCTACTATACTCCCTCTTCGGAGGCTGCGTTTGGGATAGATAAATTTTTTCGGCGGTACATGCCCTCGTCGCGTCTTTTCCTTTGATCACGGAGAAGACGCTGGCTATTTTTTGATGATCAACGTAGTGGCATGCGTGCAATCTCTATATATTAGATGGGGAGGCACCTGTGAAAATGCCAGATTATATCGTAAACACATGAGAAATCTTCCATTATCCACCCACTTGGTTCTCATGCTTCACCCAGCTAGCGACTGCAGTACATCATGCAGCTGCTTTCTCTTCTGCGCCGGCCGGTATACCCCCGGTCGAAGCCCATTTGCGAAAGCCTGCTTGGCTTTTGCCTCGTCCTGTTCCTCTTGGGTATCGGACTTATCTCTTGTGTAGCGGCTCGCATTCATCGGCCGGGTGAAGATATACCGCCCTGTTGAGAATAAGCCGCGGCTCACATAGGATGGCTTGGAGGTAATGCCTCCTCGCCCACTGTGGCCCAGAAATACACATGCCATGGGCCGTGAAGGCAGTACAAACGGACCAGCTACAGCCTGTTGGTCTACTGACAGTCCCTGGCTAGCCACGTCTATGTCGTTGCTGAGCTGGCCAAGGAACGAGTACAGCCAAAATGCCCATGCCTCAAACGCAATGCCGTGGCAAGCTCCTGCTTCCCTCGACGCCGCGTCTGGGTCCCAGGAGGGCAGATACACTTTGCCTGTGTCTGTAAGATAGTCCAGCAGAGGCGGCGCCTCCCGATTGGAAACGAACTTGATGGCGCACTGAGAATCGCTGCAGAGCGTCACCAAATCAGCATCGACGCTTCGAATCGAGTCTCGTGTCTTGTTGACATGCTCGTCTGGGACTAAGAGCATCAGGTTCCGTAGCAATGAATTCTCTTGACCGCCCGAGAGATCCGTTACTTCCCACCCGGCCTCCGCTGCCTCTTTATGTGGAGGATCCCAGCCCTTTTTCGCGCCCATGACATCGTATAACGCCAATGAGGGAAACTTGACCACCCAGCGGAGGGAGTTTTTCGAAGTAGACCGGTCGCCCCAGATCCTCAGGATTCTCAGCAAGGGGAAAGGATTCTCCGCTTCAGTCCAGCCGCGGATAAGGTTGTCGGTCACATCTGGAAAATCGCCGCCCGTCTCATCCGCAGGTTGGATGAGCTCCAGAACTCCTAGATTTTTCATATCTGCTAAGCGGACCAGCTCAGATGCCTGAAAGTGACAACCGCCACTGATTACGAGGTGAGTGATGAAATCTGTCGTCAAAGATGCCAGGGGCTTGGTGTAGTTTTCGAGGCCTACGTCTGGATGACAAATGTGTTGTCGAAACCGATAAAGCCCAAGGCTCTTTTCATCGTCTTCGCGTAGCAATATCGCAGAGAAGAGTTTCCAAGCATGAAGGCTTACACCTCTAGAGCCAGCTCGTCAGTAACTCCTTTGACACATTCATCTGAAGTCCCAAACTAGCCTCCCCCCAGCATCTCAACCAAAGAATAAAATTGAGTTCTTGAGATCAAATAACAGATCCTTCATGAAACCGACGAACCTTGCCTCCAAAAAGCGCCAGATGCGCCAGACCAGCTGAGTAGGCATAGACCCTAGCAACTCCTCGGATACATCGCCAATATTATCAGCGATGACATTAATCGCCATGTCCATCAGAGACCGCGGACCTCGAGCGCCTCGAGTTTTAAACAAGGGATACGGCCGCTTCCGTGACCAGTCATGGCTGGAGCTGGCGTTGAGTCGACCTGGGATTGTCCATTCTCGAAAGACTTGGCCGGTTGACGGGTCGTAATTGTTCATAGCCACTCGATAGTGAAGAGACGGCTATGGCGCTGCGACATGAAGTAGAGATTCATTCACAGCAGATGAAAGGAATAAACGAGGGGGAGATAGGGATGAGATAAATGCAAAACAAATGGTGCCTTTGCAACTAGCAGCCCAAGCCCTGTGAGGCGTCTGTGGTGTTGCAGCTCAGCATGAGGCGGCGCCGCGAAAAGAGTGGTGAATGTTCAGACTCAAGCAAGGCGGGATATGTCAGCAAGGCGTAAGTAGGTGGCGGGCTGTGTTTGGTGTCCAAGAGCCTCCAGAGTCGCAAATCAAAGAGCTGAAAAAGATCCTTAGCGCTGATGGCGCATATGGAGGTAGTTGTTGTAATTTGTATTTAATATATAATATTTTGAATTTTTTGCTGTATCTCAATTCATTCGTACAAGTTCAGATAAAGAACGCTATTCTATCTCGCCCCCCAAACGCCTGTGATGGTGCCCAGGCACAGGTAGTTTTGTTTTTACGCAGCATCCCAGAGAGCATCTACCCGCCCATTTTTGGTATATACCTTGGTGTTACATCAAATATCTCAATATTACGTGTCAGTCCGTTTATTCATCCCAGTATGGTACCGCAAACCATCTACAGCATCGGCTTCAGGTCATCGGCAACTCTGAAGGGAGCCTCCGTCTTGCTCTTGATCTCCTCTACTGTCACTCCGTCTGCAATCTCGATGAGGGTGAGGCCGTGGGCGAAGTCGACGTCGAAAACACCCTATTGAAAGAAAACTGTTAACAGATGGTTTACATTTCAGAAGAGGAAGTGCCTGAATACTTACCAGCTCAGTGATGATTCTGGAAACGCACGCGCGGCCAGTGAGTGGGAATGCGCACTGCTTGACAATCTTGGGGTTGCCCTTCTTGTCGGTATGCTCCATGGTAACCACAACCTTGGTGGCACTGGGGTTGCTCACAAGGTCCATGGCGCCGCCGAAGCCCTTGACCTTGCCCGGCAACATCCAGTTGGCAAGGTCACCAGTTCCGCTGACTTGCATGGCACCCAGGATGGTCAGGTTGATTCTGCCGCTGCGGATCATGCCAAAGCTCTCTTCGCTGCCAAAGACCGCGGCTCCAGGGTTAAGGGTAACCGTCTCTTTTCCGGCATTGATCAAATCGGCATCTTCAAGGCCCTTCTTGGGGTAGGGGCCAAGGCCAAGGATACCGTTCTCGGACTGCAGCTGGACCTCGACCTCAGGGCCGACGAAGCCGGGCGCAAGCATGGGCATGCCGATACCCAGGTTGGCATACATGCCGTTCTTGAATTCCTTGGCAGCTCGCCTCACAATTCGCTCTCGCTTGGCCGCAGTTTCACCAGTTCCCAGGACGGCCTTGGAGTCGGCGTCAGCATCGTCCTTAGCCCAGGTGTATTTCTCAATGTTCTTGGCGCTGGTGCTCTGGATAACGCGCTTGACGTAGATGCCGGGCAAGTGAATGGCTTCTGGAGGAATCTCGCCTGGCTCAACAATGTGCTCGGCTTCGACAATGGTGATCTTGGCGTTACGGCCCATGGCGCCATTGAAGTTGTTGGCGGCGAGACGGAACTGGCAGTTTCCGAGCTTATCAGCCTTGTAAGCCTTGACAAATGCATAGTCTCCAGCAATGCTCTCTTCGAGGAGGTAAGGCTTGCCGTTGAAGACCTTGACGTCCTTGGGGTAAGAGTACACGTCCGGTGAGCCGTCGGGCTTGTTTCTAAGTGGCAGGTCGCCGGTCTGGACAACAGTACCAAAGGCTGCGGGTGTGTAGAAGGCGGGAATGCCCTTGCCGCCGGCTGCGCATCTCTCGGCCAGCGTTCCCTGGGGAGTCAATTCCAGCTCAACTTCTCCAGTCAGGTACATTGTTTCGAATGTTTTGTTTTCGCCAATGTAGCTGGCAATCATCTTCTTCACCTGCTTCGTCTTGAGAAGCTTGCCCAGGCCAGAGCTATCGGTGCCGGCATTGTTGGACACAGCCGTCAGACCGGTAACATCAGGTCTCTTGAGGACCTCGTCAATCAGAGTATCGGGGACACCGCAGAGACCGAATCCACCACACAGCAGAGTTGAGTCGGCCTTGAGGTCCTTGATCGCCTCGGCGGCGGAGGGCAGCACCTTGTTAATCTCAGCTCGGCGGGCGGTGGCAGAAAACGATCTAGACAAGACGGCAGTGGGCTGAAACACGGGGATGTTAGTCCAATGGTTACTCTCGGTTTCCATGAGGCTGCCATCATTGATGAGGACTCCTAGACTTACGTTTGTCGCATGGCGCGCAAAGGCCCCGAGGGTCCGCAGGCGCAGAGCTGTGGAGGGCATTGTGGAGGGGAAGACGACGAGAGACTGGATCTTGGGTCGCTTTGCGGGGTATCAAGAGCTGCAATAATCGGCGACTGCTCTGCCGGGAAGAGAGGCAAAGATATGTGAAAATATCAAATGCGCAAAAGGAATTAAGGAAAAGGAAAAAAGAAGCAAGAGTTTTGGGGTACTGTCAGATGCCAGTGACGGCATCTCGCGCGTTATGTATGGCCGTTGTGTTTGATGTTTTTGCCGGTGTAATAGCCGTCAATGACCGAACCCACTACCGCAGACCCGGTCTCCGCATGGCCACCAGAACAATTCGGGTATTGCAAGTGAGGAGAAGCTGGATCCAGGCCAGAATAGCGGGACAGTTCCGTTGCAAGGATCGGATAGGGGCGGCGGGCGGATGTGGGGGAGCAGCCACAGGATGAAGTATTTGATAGCAGCAATACAGAAGAAGTACGGAGCGTGATTCCGCGAACAACAACACCAAGTATCTGAGCGGAGAGGGTTTTTTCTCTCTTTCTATTTTCTGTTTTCATGTTATCACATGCTGACAAACCCTTGATGGCTTAGATGTACATTGGTCATTTTCTGATATCCTACTGTACATGGACGCACTGGCAAGACAAACCAAAATATCGCTGATCAAAAGCCCCGGCTCCGAGTCTGCAGGAGGTGCAAGCGGCTGTTTGTTCTCAGACAGTATTTTTCGTTGGAGGCGCTCCGTTGACGGCGTCAGAAGACAGGGAGGCGCTGCGTAGCCCCAAGAGCTGTCCGCTCCGTTCTCTCCAACCAAAGCTTCTCGACCCGGCTTCCGAAGCCGAAGCCAGGCCTGGGCGTTTTGCTAGGGCTGTCGGCACATGCGGAGTGGGAAATGTCTTTTCCCGGGAAGTCTTTCCGTGGGACTATCCGCGAGAAAAGATTCATCCGGCAGTGCGGACGGGGAGTTTGTAATTTGAAATCATTACGGGGTTCTTACAATATACTGACTGTACTTGTAAATTGAATCATGCAATTGAAGATATCTTCCGACACAATGTGATGCTTGAGTCACGTGCACCAGCCTTGGAAAAGGTCAGTCCTGAAGTTTTTCTTTTTAATGCACCCTGCCGTAGTAATGGCCAATTTGTTTGATCGTCTCTGAGATTTTATACCTGTTGCTCTTACAATAATTATTCTCATTGCTATAACCATCTCATCACATGCGCATCTTATCGCGCTTTGAGGGCTGTGGGCTCTGTGTGGGTTTTTGCGGCACTGGGGGTCCGATTCCGAAAGATTTCGCCTTAACTCCCCTCTACCCTCGGCCAATTTGGGGGAATTTGCCATATCTTGCCGGCTGCATTGTATCGCTTTCATCTGCTGCTTACCGTGCTACATGCGCAAACTCAGGTTATCTGAAAATGTCTAATTCGAGTGATGATTACAAGATCTGCGGCCAAGTCATCCCAGCTATTCGATGACGGCATCTTTGGTACCATGTAACCGCCATCAATTCTGATTCAGACCACTATTCTACGTCCCCACTACTACATCATTATCTGAAGAATACGTGTACATGATCATGTGTTGCATGTTGAACATACATATTATCGCTACTAACATGAAGCTAGATTACATGTTTAAGGCCGCCGAATATGACTATGAATCGTCACTTGGGCAGCTCATTCAAAATCTTCAATTCCAATGACGCTAAAACTCCTAATCAACCTCGAAGCATCAACCCTCGCAGCAAATTTCAGCAGTCTGGCCCGTCCTATGGATTGTGACACACAACCTCAATGTTATTACCCGCTGCATCAAGCACAAAGGCGGCATAGTAATTGGGATGATAATGCGCTCGCACGCCGGGCGCTCCATTATCCTGTCCTCCGCCCAAAATCGCTGCCGCGTGAAATGCGTCTACCACAGCTCGATCTATGAAGCCGTGTCAGTGTTGTGGTATGTAGCTAACGGTCCAGTATGGGCTCTTACCTGAGACACGGAAGGCAACGTGTGCCTTGCCGCCGCTCTCCTTGGTCCCAATTGCCCAAAAGTCAGCGGCTTTGTAGTTGTCTCTGGCGTCGAGCTTCGAACCAAGTCCAACGGTGTACTCGCCAAACTGGTAGGCGATCTCATATCCAAGTGGTTCGAGAGCTTTGACGTAAAGTGCCACGCACTCCTTGAATTTGTCCTCAGGGACCGAGATGGAGGTATGGTCAATGGCCATGATGACTGATTTATTATAGCTGTGTTGATGGTCGTAAAAGGGAGTCGTGTGGTTGAGCTTGACTGATACTCATGTTTACCATGGACACAGTCTCTCTGTTATATAACCTCAACCTCCATGCGGGTTTCGGCCATCAGCGAACGCCGAGACTCAACACGAGCTTCTGCTAAGTACACACGGAAGAAAGAGAACGCCGCTGATCCTATTATTACGTGCATCGGTAGTTGTTATCGACCGCGCATGCGGACTTCGCCAAGTTGGAGACACCGCAGCGGTTGCTACCATCAGCCGCACATGTGGGTGACGGGCGTGCGCTTCGTTGAAGTGGACAATAATATCCACACAGAGTTAGCCGCCTGCCGGAGCTACTACCGTCTCTTGAATTTAGGTTGCATCGCCCTGCATTCACATGGGTCTAAGTCAGCGGACTTCCGCCGTGCTTTTCCTTAGCTCTATTGTTAAGGTTATTGACAGCTGAAATGGTAGTTTTGGTGACAAAGCGTGCAAAGGTTCACTGAGCAAAGTAGTGACTCAAGATATTAATTGAATAGGAGATGTCTCTCGCTGCACTGTTATTTCCTCAAAGCGTGCAAAGAAAGATTCGATGAACATAATGCGACTCAAATGTACTTGGAAGGTGGATTTATCTTGCTGCAATGCTATTTCCTAAAATGACAATAAATCTTACGCGTAAACGACGATCTGATTCGTGGTGTTCTTTTCCTTATCATCTCCGAAGATGTTGATGTTCCCTGTTTTATCAGAGGTCAGTACTTGGAATAGAAACATGGGGTTGAATCCTTCACATCCAGTGGAGACTCGTATGGATTACTGATCTACTTACATTCGCATCCAGGAAGGTTGAGGCGCTGTGGAGTTTCACCGAATTTATCGAGGTCTCGGATGGCTTGGTCATCAAGCCCGATTTCTTGGAAGTTTTCCAAGATGCGCTCCGGAGTGACCGACTTTGGGATGACGGTGTGGCCGTCAAGCTGAGACCAGGCGAGAATCACTTGTGCGGGAGTGACAGTCTTCCCCTGAGCTTTTGAGAGACGGTCTGCGATTGCTTTGACCTCTGGGACATTGACGAGTAACGGCAGGCCGAAGAAGTTGTTCCCAAATGCAGAATAGGCTGTGATGACGATGCCCTTCTTCTTGCAGTACTCGATCAGAGGAGGATTGGGAATTCGGGGGTGTCGCTCAATTTGGTTGACAGCAGGAACAACGCCCGAGTTGTTAATGATTGCCTCCAACTAATTACAGAAATGACTGCATAAGCGAATGAAGCAATAATTTGAGACGGTGGATCAACTAACATGCTCAATTGCAAAATTGGAGACGCCAACAGAGCGAACCTTGCTCTTAGGTAGCTGTGTCATGGCTTTTATGCAAAAAAAGTGTTAGTCAAATATCCTTATCTACCAGATGATTACTTGCGCTCTGGATAGGATTCGCCACACTTACCTTTCCATGTCTGGCAAATAGATACTCCATTGTCAAGGATGATTGTGTCGGTTCCTGCAACTTTGGGAATGAGATCCTTGCCTGGAGCGAAAGCGACTGGCCAGTGTACAAGATAGAGCTAACATCGTACAGAGTTAGTCGCGACTCTGTCATATCAATTACACCAACTAGCTGTACAGTAAGCACTCACATCAAGGTAATCAAGCCCCAGCTCCTCAAGTGTATCGTTCAGCGCAGGCTCGACATCTTGCGGTCGGTGGCTGTTGTTCCACAGCTTGCTTGTAATGAAGATGTCTTCACGCTTCAAGCCTGGGATCTCTGCAAGAGCCTTCTTGATACCCTTTCCAACTTCGACCTGGTTTTCGTAAATCTTGGCGAGATCAAGATGCCGATAACCAATCTTAAGGGCCTCATAAACCCCTTGGCCAACGACACCAGGGCTGGACTGCCAAGTGCCGTAACCCAAGGTTGGGAATTTGTGGCCGGTGTTGAGGAGAACGGTGCGTCCGAAAGACATTTTGATATCTGTGCTACGAAGTAAAGGTATGGATAAGTCGAATGAATTTGAGTTTGTGATGATAGAATTTGTCGAAGAGAACGAAGGGGGATCTTGTGGTATTTATCTACTCTGTTCTGGTGTCTCTGTGCTTTCTTGGGTTCTCCATTTTGCAGATTTTCAGCAACTCTACCGATATCAACACGTGTAACCGGCCAAGGTCATGGCAACTAGCGCAATGACATTCAAGCTATTGGCTTCTCTATGATATCAATGTCTTCTACAAAAATCCTGAAGGCGCAAACTTGGTAACTTCATCCGTCGCCATCTTCTAGAGCGCTAAATATCTAGCGGGGCTTCCTCCTCTAAACTCCCGCCTTTAAAGACAAATTTAATATATCGGAATATATCGACAGGTGTCATCAAGTCAGTACTTTTACGGAATTTAACTTGCTAAGGCATCTTCGTAGTGGAGACCTGTTGGCAAGATGGCTTCTATTGTGAAGCTAAGAGAATGCGTATGCCCATGCCAGCTGACGAGAAGCATTAGGAAACCAAGACGAGCTTCGACGGTTTGTAAAGCACGCTATGCAACTTCCTCCGTCTCCACTTACATGAATGGTAACTATGCCGAATGCTCTTATATCCGGGCAGTACAAAGTGGAAAGCAATAGGACGGCGGCCAGGAGTCATTGGCGGTTAATATTTGTGCCGAAGCATAGATCAGCCACAGGGGCGCGCAATCGTTCCAAGATCTCAGCGTTTACTTGCTGCAGCTCCATTATGCTAGCCGGCATTAGTTGCTTCTCTGCAAGAAATGCCGCTCTATTAGTGTTTGCACCCTTAAATTCTTGAAGATGTCCCTGCGTGTGTACATACGTAGCGTGGATATCGCCATAAGGCTACTCACAAGCCACCAACGCCGTTTCCATGCTAGTTTATAGAGACTATCGCTTCAATACCATTTCGTTTCTTCTTTCCTTTTCCCTTTTACGCGACGGGTAATTTCCTTTAATGTCTGATAATGCACAACTCTGAATGGTTCCAAACCGCGTCCTCTTCAGTACTAAATATGTAGAAATGAGCATCTAGTAGACTTGCTAGTTCACTACTCTAGATTTTCAGTGCTTGTCCCAGAGCTCATGAGTGTCTCTCAAAGAAGGTAATGATATTATGTGAATTGACCAAAAAAAATTATTCCAACTACCGTGATTTAACTATGATAGATTCTCTTTTGCTTCATGGCAGAAACGCGCGCTTCTTGGGCTTAATGTCGACTTTGTAGCCACTTGTAAGTAGTGATTACCTAATCAATACTCCATAGCATCTGCACTTGCTTCAGCCACGCTAGAACTGTTATAGAATCGAGTTCTTATCGGCGAGCTTATCGCCCCGCGACTCTCAATGTCCAGCAAAAAAAAAAAATTCCCATGCGACATACATGCGCTCAACACCAAGCTTGCCTACACCAAGCCACGGTGCACGAGATGCCGAGCGACACCATGGAATCAAGCTCGAAGCGCCGCAAGATTGGCCATGAGAGCATCGGCCTCCGCCACTCTGGTCTTATTGACTTTGAGTCGCGAAATACGGCTCGCGTTAACGCTGCCAGCACCTTTGTCCTGCAGACGGACGAGCTGTTGAAGGAGGCCAAGCCGAACTACGAAAAGGCACTCCATGGTGTGGATGGCCAATTGCACCGACTTAAAGGCATAATCGACGCAATTGAGCCTCATGATCCCAGACCAGTGAGTTTTACACGAGCTTGAGAAGCAGCGAGCTGTTACGAAATCGAAATCCTAACACGCATCAGATCTCCGAGGCCACCATCAAATTCGAAAAAGAGCATCGCATCGTCATTCCGTTCCCCGATCCAAAGCCAGCAAAGGATGCCCCCTACAAGGTCTCTTATGCACCTCCGTCACAATGCAACGTCGTTGGAAGCTATGTTTCTCGAACAATGATCAAGACGCAGTCCGAGTTTGGAATCGACATGGTCGTCCAGATGCCCACCGCGCTATTCCAGGACAAGGACTACTCGAATATGCGATACTTCTATCGCCGAGCCTACTATATTGCGTATATTGCCGCCTGTGTGCGCAAGGAGTTTGCTGAGGAGATGGACATGAGCTTTGAGAACCTTAATGAGAACCCCCTGCTACCGATTGTCGTACTCCGACCAAAAGCTCCGAGCGATGGAAGCGATGACCGAGAGGCCAAGAAAAAGGCCAAGAAGACATCTTACCACATCAAACTGATTCCTTGTGCCCCTGATGACCTGTTCCCTTGGTCCAAAGTGACGCCGAAGTCGAACAACAACCGATTGGGCGAGGTGGATGAGAAGAAGGCCGCTCAAGCAGCGACACCGTTTTACAACTCCACCCTGAACGCCGAGCGAACCTTTATTCCTTACTTGCGTCTGCTTACCCACATCAAAAAGGAATGCCCTGCTTTCCCAGATGCTTGCATCCTCGGCAGGACGTGGCTTCAGCAGCGTGGCTTTGGCAGTGCCATCTCTCAGGGAGGCTTCGGTCATTTCGAGTGGGCAGCCATGATTGCTTTGCTTTTGCAAACAGGTGGTAGAAACGGGCAAGCAGCTCTATCGACCTCGCTGAGCAGCACCGAACTTTTCAAGGCGGCCCTCCAATTTCTATCTACAACCGATCTCAGCAAGAAGCCTTACGCTTTTGGTTCCTCCAGCGTTTCCGCGGATACCATTCGAGAGGCCGGCCCTGTCATGTTTGACCCCGTCAGGCAACTCAACCTCTTGTTCAAGATGACACCTTGGTCGGCTAGCTTGCTGCAGACGTACGCAAAATCAACCACAGATCTCCTCGCCGACATTATGGCGGACAAATTCGACCCCACATTTATCATCAAGGCCGATATTCCGTTTCAAACATTCGATGTCATTTTCGAAATCCAGAGCTCCGATGTGGCAAGATTCTCGGAAACCGCTGACCGTAGAGGTGCCGTGGCGAACTTCTGTCTCGAAGCATACAAGCACCTCAAGCGGGCGTATGGTGAACGAGCACAGCTTGTACAATTCCAGTTGCCCCAGAGAGGACACTGGTCACTATCCAAACCTCCGGCCAGAGAAGTCCTGCGTGTTCTCATTGGCGTCGTCTTCGATCCTGCTCACATGCCAAGACAGATGGAGCTTGGTCCACCTGCGGAAGAGCAAAAGGAGGCTGCGAAATTCCGACAATTTTGGGGTGACAAGGCCGAGTTGCGACGATTCAAAGATGGCAGCATTCTAGAGTGTGTCGAGTGGTCAAGTAAGCTTCCGTTGCAGATCTGCGAGGAAATCACGCATTACATTCTTCAACGGCATTTGAAAATCGCGAAGGACAAGGTGACAACTATTGGCGGTGCCTTTTCTTCCATCATTAGCCTGTCTCATCTAGACAAATCGGCCTTTGATTCCGCCCGACAGGCATTCCAAGACTTTGAAAGAGATATCCGCAACCTCGAAGAGTTGCCGTTGCACATCAGACAGCTTTCTCCTACCTCTTCGTCTGCGCGCTATGCATCCATCGAGCCGCCGTTGGTGGGTTATCATAAGGGATCTATCGAGCTCATGGATGTAAACCTGTATTTCGAAGCATCCAGCAAGTGGCCCGAGAATCTCACAGCCATTCAAGAAGCAAAGGTCGAATTCCTGCTCGACATTGACAGGAGATTGAGAAAGGCGAATGACAAAATCAGCACTTACTTGGGCCGTGAGAACAAGGAACTAGGCATTGAGAACTTGGCCTTCCTCGATATCATTTACGAGAATGGGGCAGCATACCGACTTAGGATACACTGCGATTTGGAAGAGAAGCTCCTTGAACGCCAAGTCAAGAATAAGACGCTCGAACCTCGTGTTCGAGAGGAGGCTGAGAAAGCCTTTGTCAAACTGAACTGGCTGTACAACATTCTCCCGCTGCACACCCAGACCATTGCAACATTCTGCACTCGCTTCCCTCCCCTGTCGCCAACCATCCGGCTAGTCAAGCATTGGTTCAACTGCCACAAGCTGACCGGCCACATCCGCGAAGAGCTCATCGAGCTGTTCGTCCTTCATGCCTTCCTCCAGCCTTATCCCTGGAAGCAGCCGTCATCCGTGGTTACAGGCCTGCTACGAACGCTGTTCTTCCTTTCAAAATGGGACTGGCGAGACGAAGCTTTGATCGTCGATACCGCCGAGGACCTCTCCGAAGACGTCCGTTCCTCGGTCCACCACGAGCTTCAAACCTGGAGGAAACGCGACCCCAACATGAACGACAAGGTCATGTGTGTAGCCACCTCCCACGATCAATCCGGCCTCGCATACACCCGCGGCGGGCCCTCAAAGCTAGTCGCCTCCCGCATGACCCATCTCGCAAAGGCAGCCTGCAAGCTCGTCCGAGAAAAGGGCATCCGCCTCGACCCGTCTCTTCTCTTCGAAGCCGCCCTCCAGGACTACGACGTCCTGTTCCACTTGTCCCCCAAAGCTATCAAGTCCATCATCCGCGAAACGGCCGTTGAGGCCGGCGCGAGGAAGCACTCTCAGTTCAAGAACCTCGATGCTCTGACAGCATCCGTCCCGCTGCCCATTCGCGCTCACCCGACAGACGTCTTTATCGAGGAGCTGGAGCGTGTATACGAAGACACATTGCTGTTTTTCAAGGGCAGCGCAGATGATGGTGTTGTGGCAGCCCTTTGGAATCCTCGACTGCAGAAGCAAAAGTTCAGGGCAGGTCTGCCGTATAACTTCCGTTCCAGCGTGGGTGACGGCGACCAAGTCGAAGTGAATCGCAAGGCGGTGCTATTAGAAATTGCACGAGCCGGAGGAGAAATGATTAAGAAAATTGAGGTGGCAGACGAGGACGAGTAATTAATTAGCCTGACAAAACCATATTTTTTGGAAATGATTGTATATAGCACCCTTGTACGTAAAAAGTCCGACGCAGGACGGACATAGCATTGTATCCAGCTTGTAGTGGTTTCTCAACCAAACAGAAGCCCCTTTCTTCATTAGAATACTACAAAAAAACACTTCGAAAAATAAATTTCCAGTTCTTCAACCTGGTGTCTTCCATACTCAAAAACGCCGTGCCATGGTATAAGTGCATATGTACAGAATGTATCCCATCCCCCCCCTACAGTCCAGCCCCCCGCCTAATCCATTTCATGTCTTACAAGATTATTTTCCTCTCTTCCCCCCATATCTCATCTTTGAATTCGTCGCAGCATGTATATCTTTTTTCGTTTCCAATCTATGACGCTCGCCTTCTATCGTGCCTTCTTTTGCTCCACCTGTTGCATGGAAAAGGAGCAGAACTTGTCCTTGATTGCAACAACTTCATACGTACCCTCCTGGCTAGCCTTGACGACCTTGCTATGTTCATACGAGATGTCGTGTCTAGTCTCGAGTACGATACTTCGCTGGCCCTTCTTGGCGTTGCTGCTTCGCGTGTAGGTGAATTCAAACGGAGGTGTGCCCCAGAATTCAAAAAGAATATCCACCTCATTTCCTTCGTGGATATCCACTCGAGAGTGTTTACCACGGCTGATCTGCACGCTAGGTAGAGGGTGAATTGTTTTGGGGATATTGACAGCAGCACGGCATTCGCTGGCCTTGTCGGAGATGCTAGTAATGGTAAACTCGCCAGGCTTCTCAGCAATACGCCGGAAGCTGGTAGTCTGTGACTTGGCATTCCATTGGCCGTTGAAATCGTAAGCAATGTCAAATGGCGGAGTGCCAGAAAGGGTATAAGAGATACGTTCGCCGATGCAGTAATCCTTGCGAGACTCCAGTGGATATATTGAAGGGGCATCGTATAGTTGGACTTGGATCGATGGGATAGATGGTCCGCCAATCTCGTATTTCCTCTGGCAGCCTCGTGCATCACGGACGGTGCGAATGAGTAACTGCTGGTTACCAAGACGGAGATGCTGGCGAGGAATAGACATGCCATAATTATTGGTTTGAATGGAGGGAATTCTGTAAGTTTCCGGAGGGGATCCTACTTGATGCTTGATTTCCACTTCGACGTAGAACGGGGGGACGCCGGTAAGAGTAATAGGAATCACATCTTCTTGCTCTTGCTCTTCCATACAGTATTTGAATGTCTGGCCTGGCTTGGAGAAAGTTGCAGACGGCTTCGCGTTCACACGTTGCCGCACAGTCAGGGGGTTGAAGTACTTATCACTGTTGTAGAGATTATCTGCAAGTCCAGAGAATTTGTAAGTGTAATCGCCAGCCCTGGACGTGTCCATGGCAACAGCAGCCTTAGACAAGGCGGCATCGAACCGTCTTGAACTAAGCGAAGCTGCGCCCTGCACTGGTTTATGTTTGACCTCGTATTCCACGTGGTATGGAGCGGATCCTGTATAGCCATAGTCAGTATGCCGTGCACCATTCGGGAAGCGTCTGTAATGCTAAAGTGAAGCTTACCTTTCATCTTGACTTCAAATCCATCAATATCACCTTCGCAAATCTCCTGTTTGACAAACACGCCACCGGCTTCTGTGATGCTCTTTGACGGAACGATGGTAATTTCTGGTCGGGGGAACCAATCGACTTCAAATTTGGAGGCAGTGGGTTCGACAGTTCCAGGGCATTGCTTATCTACAATGTCAACAAGCTCGTAAGTACCTCGAGACCTGACCAAAAGGTAATCATTTGGTCCGGTAATGGTCTTGGTGATGATATCGGATGGTCCATCCAGGTTTCGATAGGAGACAGTCCAGGGAGCCTCTCCCTGAAGGCGAAGTGGCAGGCGAAGAGCCGTATCCTCAATGGCCATGATGCTGTTCTTTTGTTCGATCAATCCGAAAGCGCCCCTAGGTCGCTGGCGACGCACAGATATTTTGAGTTGATCTTGCAAGAAAGTTCGACATCCACGTTGATCCTGGACACTACTAAGAGCAAGAATGTACTCTCCACCCTTTGACAAAGTCGATGTCTGGATCTTGAAGGTGGTATCTTTAATCTTCTCTGCACGTCCCGGCTTGCGCTTGCCGTCGTGGATGATCTCCCATTCCAAGCTGAATGGTGGATCTCCAGCAAGCACGACGTCCACATCCACCTCAGATTCGAGACATGCGTTAATCGTCTTCTCGGGGTTGGAGATATATGCCGACGCAGCCGGCTTGACTACCTGCTCCAGGACCTTGTCTTCACCCGTCAGGGGTAATCCAGTGTAGACACCATCGTCGATAGATCTAAAGATGTACTTATAACGTCCGGCCTTTCGAGGAACGAGTTCAATCTGGGATCTCAAGGCATCCACACGGTGGGCCTGTTTTTCAACTCGTCCATCGGAGATAATGTCGTATCGTACAGTGAATGGAGGTGTACCGACAAGGTCCAAGTCAACGCGGAGACCAACAGAGTTGCCGGCGCATTTATCGGGTATCTCCTCCGTTCGCAGAGAGAGGTGGGGTTCCAGGGGATTCAGCAACAAACAAGAGGAAGGCTCGTCCACTTCACCCTCACAAGATCCGCTTGAAACAGACTTCAATGTGTAGAGGCCAGGTTCAGATACCAACGGCTTATCGAGCGAGTTCTTGGGAGAGTATTCTCCAATCGAAACCTGGTCGCCGTGGTCACCGCTGTTAGTAATCGAATCGATGGGCGAGAATTCCCAGGTAACCTTGTGAGACGTATCATCCACAGGACCGGCGAAGCCAAAGCTGATGGGCAGTTTGGCTGGACGACCCCTTGCCACTCTGATGGGATTTCTCAAATCACAGCCCTTCATGCGAATCTTGGGTCGCTCTTTGACAGAAAACTTCTGGGCAAGCCATTTCATCTTAGGTGCATCTAGCTCTTCGTAGGCATCGCCATATTTGACAACGTTGCCAAGTGCATCGTGCACCTCCTCAACTGAATACTCCCACACTCCAGGGGTAGCCAGAGATTCGTTGAGCTTCACGGTTACTTTTTGAGACTTGACCCAGGAAACGTCATCGCCATCGTCTAGACTCAAGCCGGAGGTGCCGGCGAGTGGCGAGGTGAAGCCTTCTGGTTGCAGACTCTGAAAGTGGAAAGCCTGGGCTTTTCCATTAATTGATCGCGAATATTTGATCTTCAGTGGTGGCGTGCCAACTACGTCAAGCGACAGGTTGGATAGATCATGAATACATCGGTCCAAGGATTCGGCCGTTTGAATCTTGGCTTGTGGACAAGGCACCACATATGTATCTCTGACTGGTCTTTGAACTTCGAGCTTGTACTCGTCCAAAACTTTGTTTAGTCGATAGATGCCTGGCTTCTTGACAGGGTATGTCCAATGAAACGGGACAGCATCAGGATCCGCATTGTGTTCTCGAATTATCTTGGCCACCTTGTTTATTTCTCGGCTCGGGATCTTGATGGTCTCCTCTTTGCCAGTGTCGAGATCGAGACGTAGGATTTCGATTTCGGCAGGAACAGTAGAGTTGAAGAAGATTGGGAGAGAGGCCGAGGTCTGAGTCTTTCCAGACAAGCAAAAGGGCGTATGGTCGGGGTTGAGGACGGCAGAACCTTCGGGAAGAATGTTGATGGTTTGCTTGCCCATGATCAACGAGTGGTTGTTTAGGATATTGGAGACCTTGACATGGTGTTCTGAGACGGAGATTTCACGATCGTAGAGGACCTTTGCAACGCCGAGGAGCCAACCCTGCCATGGAAGCTAGCTCTCAATTAGTAACCCAATGTTGGCTAGGGAAATTGATGCGGAAAACATACCGGAATATTGAACATGAGCATGTAATTGGTCACCAAGTGAGACGCAAAAACAGCGGTAACCACGAGCTGGGAGAGCTCCAGCCAGGGTATCCTCAGCTCGGGGAGCCCAAAGAGAAAAGTAAAGTCAATGAGGATCCATTTCAAGAAGAGCCACCAAGAGGCATCTCCATCCTCCACTACTTGTAGCCAGTCGTAGAGTTTCCACGCCCACAGCAAGATGTAAACAGCAAAGGCGTACAGCCGTTGTTGTGGCCCATCGAGAAGCGTCAAAGGAATGACCGGCTGAGTGTTGGAGATGCGGGGAGTTGCCTTTTCTTGGGCCTGAGGAAGCTTTGCCGTTCTGTTCAACCCAAGTTTTGAGTCAAAGGTATCTTCTGGCGGTTCGTTGTCGTTCTGAAATCGTCGTCTGGGGACGGCTGGGGCTGGAAACCCAGACCGCAGGCGAGGATTCGCGCTCATCGCATTCCGTGGTGCTGTGAAAATCTGCTCAGAGGCATCGGTAGCCGCAACAGCGCACTCGTGGGGCCTTTGCACGGGAGATCAGAAGCAATCGGAATGGCGTTCCGCTGATGGTTTGCGTTGTCGCGTGGCTTGGGCGAGCTTGACTGGATGGCGATTTTGGGTGCCTGGTGGTTTGACCAAGTTTACCTAATTTTTCAGTGGATGCCCTTTTTTGGCGGTTGAAATGCCGACACGTCCAGACGCGACTTCTGCTGGCTCGCTGAAACGGAGCGCCAGGAGCTAATCAACAGTGATGCTGTCAGCGGGGTTAGCGGGTTTCGAGGCCAAATACTGCGCTTTGATTGGCTAGAATCCCACTAGGCCGTAGATGGAGAGCTGTAACTGTAAAGTACCGCTACTCATTCAGCGACCGGCCAATGCTCTTGTCGAGAGAATGACAAGGCAGCTTGAAAGTACTGGGTCTCTACAACAAAGTTGAAATAAATGCACTTCTTCTGCTCTGTAGCTCCCATTATGCAAATACACAGCAAAGCGACACTTCAGCAGCACCTCGTGATGTTCGCCCAATAACTTCTACTTCCAAAGATAACGACGCGTATTCGTACTCTCACCTACTGGGAGATCGGCATCCAGCACCGTCCATTATACTGAGGGTGGCGGTGAGGATGCGGATAATTTGAGCGATACAGCAGCTGGAGAGACTTGATTGAGTCAACATCTCGCCTCATATACCGCTAAGATATGCGACTTGCCTTGGTGAGTCCTTATCATGGCCACCAGTACATTGTCCAGGTGCGTCATCGGCAAGCAGATCAAGTCCCGGAGTATCCAATCCACCTCCTCGCCTCATTGCCTCTTCATCTCTGCTCGTTCCAACTTCAAATATCTACACATACACAAAAAGAAAAGAAAAGAAATGTTTCCTACTGTCTATATTAATAGCAGAGCAAGAAGCGGATGCCTCCTCCAAGATATGCTGTATCTGGTGGCAAGAATTACATGTAGTCAGGCCGCTCATCTTATCATGCACCCAATCTTTACCTTGGCCAGCTGAGCAGCTTGACGCAATCTGCTGGTTTCCTTCTTCAAGTCACTTGCCCCTCTTCCTTCTTGTTTTCGTCTTAATTACACCCTTATCTATGCCTTACGTGTACTGCATGGTGTCGCTTTTAGCATTACCCAAAAATTCAGTTGCCTCAATGATCCTTGCCCGCCGACCTGTTCGCAATACAAACGCAGCTTGGATAATAACAATGTCTAACAGCTCTAGGGCCAGTTCGCCAAAAGAGGGAGATTATGCACTATCTGATAGGCCTCTTCGCCGATCTTCTCGGCAGGTTGCATCTACCATCGTTGTCAAAGCCCCAGAAGCATCTGCTGAAACCTCATCCACGAGTAGTTTGAATGAGCGGCGACGAAATCCAAAGCGCAAGGCTGCCGAGGCCGCAATAGAGTCATTAAATTTGCCTGATAACCTGTTAGACGAAGCACTACGGCCTCTTACATCAACAGACATTGAAGAGTGGGAAGGCTGGGTTGAGCTTGAATCAGAACCTGTGAGTTACAGCTGCTTACTTTGCCCAGGCAATGCAGCGAATGGGGTGGACGCCTCTCAGCTTGCCTACAATGCGATAAGCACCCAACCATGAGATAATTTAAGCAACGCACTGACAGGCAGATCTTAGGCATTCTTCAATACCATTCTACACGATCTAGGGGTCAAAGACGTCAAGGTGCAGGAACTCTTCAGCATTGACCAGAGCTGGCTAGACACACTGCTGTGAGTTCCGAAGATGCTGTTGTCGAATGAAAAACTAAAATCTTCTCCAGGAAACCAATATATGGTCTGATATTTCTGTTCCAGTACACCCCTAGTGTTGAAGAAGATGAAGGGGAAGATGAGACGGGTTCGCTATGGTTCGCAAACCAGGTAAATATCCCTCAACTCCCGTGTTTTATCACCTTTCTATCGGCCACATGGCTAATTTCTCTGGTTTCGAAACAATTTAGACTACCAATAATGCATGTGCAACATTCGCTTTACTCAACATCGTCATGAACGCCCCAGAGGTTGAACTAGGCGACAAGCTTCGAGAGTTTAAGGAGGCGACCAAGAACCTTAACACCGTTCTGCGAGGACACGAAGTCAGCAACAACAAGTTCATGAGAAGCATACATAACTCATTCACTAGACGCATGGACCATCTTAATGTCGACCTCTGCTTAGAAAATGCCGTGTCGGACACGAAATCAAAAAAGGCAAAAACAGGATCCAAGGCCGCAAAGAAAACGAGTAGGAAGAAAAGAGCCGACGATTCATATGGATTTCACTTTATCGCCTATGTTCCAGTAGATGGGTATGTTTGGGAGTTGGATGGGCTCCGAAGCAAGCCACATCGAATAGGTGAGTAGCCTGGTCAAGCAGCTTGATCCAAAGCGCTTTGAAGACTAATTAATCCCTGTCATTTCACATAAGGTCCCATAGAAGCCGACGAGACCTGCTGGACAAATATCGCAAGGCCCCAGATTGAGGGTCGAATATTACAATATGAGGAGAGCCAAATATCCTTTAACCTCCTCGCCCTCTGCCAGCGCCCTGTTGCGCTGCATTCCCACTCCATCGCTCAAGCAGCCGCAGCAATCCGCCTCCTGCAAGAGCAAATGGAGCACAATTCGGAATTTTCTGGCTTAATCAACGGCCAGTTACCAGTCTTGGAAAAACCGGCTGAGTTGTCCGAGTTCAATCTCCGTTCATCCGATATCGAGAACATTGCAATACCCAAGGAGATACAAACCAAGATATCGCACGCTACGGCCAATGTTGACGACGCTTATGATCTCTATCAGCAGCTTGTCGTCGACTTAAAGGTTGCCATTGGAGAACACAGAGCCGAGATGATTTCCCTCGGCGTAGACGAGCAACGCGTCAAGGATCGTAAAAAGGATTACGGCCAGGCGTTGCACAGATGGGTACAAAAACTCGCAGAGAAGGGCATTCTGGAAGATATTATCGAGAATTCCTGAAATGGCGTTACAGTAGAGGCAGGGAGAAGGAAGCGTCGACAGATATTGGGCAACGGATAGTCAAGAACGCTGGGGCCTCGAAGACTGCACCAACTCAAACAGCGAACCTAGTCTTAGAGAGAGTAATATAAGATGTCACATTCTGTCTACAGGCATCAGGGGTGCGAATAGGAGAATATGAGTCAGACTCAGATTGGATATTGATGAAAGTCCAAATCTAAAATTAGATGAGGTTCGTCTGGGCTAGCATGTGAAAAGTTTCCTTAGGGTCAAGGCAAGAGACTTCAGCATAAGAGTAAAGGTCTTTTCAGTACCTAGTTATTTATCCTAAATGCTCATACATTAAACCTAACATTGAACCCAGCGTTGATCCTAATGTGGACACTCACTCTCCGGGGTGGTGGTAGGAGCCTCTTTTTGAAGTTTCGAAAGTGATTTTTTGTGGGTGTTTGCAGCCAGCTTGGGCTATTGTACGTAGAATGAATGAATGGATGAAACAGAAATTGAAGCATGTGAAGGCATGCCGCCGACTTGCGAGCAGGTGATTGAATTGCGTTGTAGCTGTGGCTGAAGGAGCTGAATCAACTGGCGTATATAACGTTTGACCCGGTTGATGGCGTTGAAGCTAGTTCAGTGCATGCAGCCTTCACGTTTGTTTGCTTGACAGGGGACTATCCATCTGTTAATTTTACTGATTGAAGGAGATAATACCATTATGTTGAAGAGCTTGTCGATGCGGGACACCTTAATCACTGTCAAGACGATGATGCTGTGGAAAGGATAAGTAGATTAGTTATACAATTATAGAGCAACCGTATGAGAAAACTCACCCCTCGCAGGTCGAATAGAAGTTTTTTTCCTACAAGTTAGCAGCCATGACGGGTCGCCTATCGCTCCGTTCGTCTGCTCGGCTCTGTAGTATCGAGAATCGAGGCTGTATTGTGTGCCGAAGAGATGGCCAATCCAGTCCGGGTCTTCGTTTACGAAGACATGTTCTGGTGCATAGCCACTGTCCGCCCGTCTATGTTCACTAATGACTCCAAGTTTCGCAACAAAATCGACCTTGTTAGCAAAATGCTCTGTGCGGAGAACATGGGAGCTGAGAAATTCGAGGTCCATCTGACTCTGCCCGCTATTCTGTAGGGGCGCAATGACAACATCGTCGGGCAGATCCAGCTTCCAGTCCACGCTTGGATTCCCAAATGTGAAGACGCAAAGCCGCTCCAGCATTGTCTGCCGAGTGTTGCCCGTCCCAGCAGCGTCCTCAACGACTAATTCCTCCAACGCAAGACGGAGGAGGAGGCAGCCCTGCGAGTGGGCTATCACCACAACATGCTTGTATACGCTTCCGTCTCCGTCTCCTGCTTGCTCCAGTGCCGCTTCCAGCTGCTCCTTCAGCTTCTCTTGAGCGCCCCTGCTGCTGCTCGTTCTTTGAATGAGCCTTTTCTGGCTTCTTGCATTACCCTCGCCTGTGATGTTCCTTTCGCCGGCACATTCGATGAGGTCCCACAAAATGCCATCTCCCCTGTTGTAAACACCTGTTATCTCCCTTGAATACTGCCTCGCCAGTTTCTTGCAAGCGAGGTGTAGCCAGAAGAGCTCCGTAGCGATACCATTGACAAACAACCATTTCTCATTCGCGACTCTTGGTTGCTCCTCTTCTGTTTCATCTTGTTGTTCCTCCTCTTCTGTTTCATCCTGTTGTTCCTCCTCCATTTCATCTTGTTGCTCCTCATCCGTTTCATTTAGTTGGTTTCCTGCCAGCGGTTGCCCTGGCCCTGCCGGTGTTGCATTTATTACTCGTTGCCTCCCCGATGGCCTGACTTCAAGGAGTGTCCCCGTGTCATAGTCATCGCTCCTTAATGTGGTTTCACTGCTCATGTCGATTTCTTCGAATGTGATTGAGGTCGCCACGTTCTTGAGTATGTAGATTATGGATCTAGCCAGTCTCTGGACCTGGCATATCAGAGCATGCCGATTCATGGGCTGCGAGAGGTCGAATTCATTGTCTTGCCCATGTGGATTGTTTTGTCCAGTTGCCCCGTTCAGTGAGCTTGCTGGAGCATAGCACTTTGCGCATTCAACCAGGTCGACAAAAAAGCTTGCAAGCTCATCAGCATTGCTCCATACCAGCCCAAGTGTCGCTGCATTGATATCGTTACTGAATATGCCGTTTCTGATAATCCCGAGTTGTCCCACTCTGGTGAGCACCGCATCCAGGAAGCGCCGCGAGAAGACGTCAACCAACTGAGCCAATAGAGAAATGTCAGCAAGTCTGACAGTCTTGATGACGCTTTGGACAAGTTTATTGTGGTCAGCGACATTGTCCACAAGCCATGTTGGAACTTCAGTCAGAATCCTCTCCTTCCTCTCCCTTCCGACTAGGCCGTTGGCCGCGATATTCACAGCTCCCCCAGTCATTCTGCCCATCCACGTTATCCCATTTTCGACACCGTTCGCCAACTGGCCTGCTACAGGTCCGATGACAGGTATCGCCTCCCATATAGAAGCCATGAATGTAGGTTGATAGCACGCTGTGGAGTATTATAATTGATAATGATTTAGCTCGGATTCAAAGGGATCTGGGGTGACTCTTTCGAGGCTGTGAGGAGAAGGGGTTTCTGGACTTATAAGCAGATCCGAGCACGCGGCGCAAGTTGATGGCACAACCGAATCGAATAAATTGAATGAGTGACAAATGGCAGTCGAGCTGGATTCCCTTTTAGTCTCACAAGTCACTCTTCTTTTCCTTCAGTTCGACCAGCTTTCCTTTCCTCCGGCCCGCGTTCCTATGATCATTTCGACGTAAGTGTATGCCCCCCTCTAGATTTAGTTTTCTCCTCATGCTTTTCTCAATCATAAATGCCGTGGCCACCAGGCTCACCGTTTGACATGGGTTGACACTGGGCAAACCAGATATGTATTCACTAGCGCTGTTAGGCTCAACTTTCGCATTCTCTTCGCCAACCACAATGGAAGCCCATCTAGCTATGTGTGCGGATTATCTCAAGACAGTCTTGACTAGGGATCTGATTGGAACAAATCCTTGGGCTTTCTTTGATAATAACTTTGACTAGGGATATCTTTTGCGTTTGGATGTACATCTCGATAAAGCATGTGAAAAGTCAAGGAATGGAGGCTTGCAGAATTCACGGCCGTTAGCTCAAAGGTTAACCCAGCTGGATAGATTCCGATCTTTGTAATTACTACAATACCTTATAGCCACACCTTCTATCAGCTGAAGCCACGGCATTTAATACGCGTACAGGTCAATTGGCAAGTAAAACACTAATTCGTTTAAAAGATTCATAACATCTATCTATAATAAGTAAGCAAGAGAGCTAGTCTTGGCCAAACGAGAGGCTCAAATAAAAATGTAGAAGTTTAATCAAGGGCCTCCAGGGTATACTAGGTTAAGTAGATAAACAGTGAAGCCGAGCGAAGCTGAAATCAGGAGGATGCTCGACGGAGCTTCTCAGCTGGCCTTAGGCTTCTTGTCTGTTCATATAAGCATCCATGCCAGTACCTGATCGACGGACCCTAAGATAGTTACCTTTTCGCATTCTAGTACTGCACTAACTCTTTCGTCTACCGCAACTACTTTGTAATTAGCATGTGATAGCAATGATGCCTCTGCAGCTCTGATCATATGCTCCACCTAAATAGATGAAACCGAAATAGAGACAAATGCCCAAACTTTATCTTGAGCCATATTAGAAGGAAATGAACTCCTTTAATGATTCAGATGTCATTGTATCCTCTTCTTTGCCCTATCTTGCTGAAGAATATTGAATATAATAGTATTCTATTCCTTTAAAAGGAAGTGGCAAGAGGTATTATTTATATTGAAGCAGTTATCCCAAGATCCAGGGGGAATAAAGAGAAGTGGCGAGGCTCGCCGACCTCGTAGCCATACGCCTCCGATAATAAATCTGACTCCAGTCTACCATCACGCCATATAACTCATGCTCAGGGGTATATAAATCTTGTAACAAAAAAGGGGAGGGCAATGAAGAAAAGCCAGCGCATGACAAATCCCACATTTGCCAGGACAACGAGTCACCCTCAGGTCTAATCGAGCGGGAATTCCTCTCGGATGTTGGAAATGAACCTGCAGGTCTCGACGTCAAATCTTTTGAAGAATTTCCCTGCCAAGGGAAACATGCCTTCCCGAATCAGGGAAGGATCAGAGATGAGCTCAACATTACGCAGGGCCACCACATGCTGTTCGGGCTCCGTTTCAGTTCTATGAGAGTGTCAGTGGACAATTGGGAAAGAAATAAATGGTAGAAGTGAAAATCGAGCTACTTACATGCACATAAAGCAGAGTGAGTAGTGAGAACTGGTTGGCCTGGGGCTGTGAGTGTACCGGAGTAAATCATCGTGAGAACCTTCCCGTAAGCTTGATTGCTGCGACCCTCTTTCATGCCAGCTGGTAATGGCGCCAAGCCAGCCATATCGACGATGCCGAAACACTTGGCCGACCTGAAACGGAGGGCCTCTTGGATCATCGCAGAGATCTCTTCGATGAACGAGCGGGGCCATGCCATCAGCATCTCGTACAAACTGCCAAAATTGCCACGGGTTGCCGAAACCAGCATCAATATTGCGGGGAAATCCATCTCTCGGGTTGACAACGCTGCTATACAACGGCCACAGGTATTTTTCAACCATCCAAACGTCCTCTGGCCAGGCCCCAGGGAATCGACGTAGGAATTTGGCCAACCGTTCAAGCCACGTGGAGTTATTCGGAGGCGTTAACAGTAACGTAGCCCACGAAGCAGCGTAAAGACAGGCATCAGCATTCATTCTACTGTCTCCGTGCATGAGTTGGCTGAGTTCAGGATGTGCATGGTCTTGCATGTCTGATATCCTCGCTAAGGTAGCCCTTATATTCTGTGCCGTTCGCATAGCCATCATCAGCGCCGGGACTGGGGCAAGAAAGAGTCCGGCGTGCTCCTGCAACCCTAGGCGGGTCAACGTCAGTTGCAGATATGGCAGTTGGATCTCGTGATCGCTGCCATACGGGTCGAGGTACATGCGCTGGGGCTGTGTCTCCAATTCCTCCACAAGCCCGCCGTCTAAAGCATATCCAGTTGGTGGGTACACAATGGCATGTACATGAGTTGGAAATGCACAACACCTCGCATCGATGTCGAGTCGAGATGCCACGCAGCAGAATATGGCGGTAGAAATGATTGGGATGGACTCGTGGTCTGGGTGACGCAATGCTTGTCCGATTAAGCAGTTTCTCAAATTGCGATAGTTTCGCTCTGGGTCCTGTACTCCGGTGAAATTATGTGCACGAAGCCAGCGGACCAGCTTCAATGCCTTTCTCCGAGTTGACCAGTTTTGAAACTTTGGGTGGCAAGATCGAAAAGAGGCCGTCATCTCATCAAACATCCGTGTAATCTTATCCACTTAGCAACTCTTACATCAGTAAAGATTGGACTAGAGGACGTACATCATCGAGGTCACCACGCTGATCGTGCAGCACAAAGAGGTCAAAGGCGCCAAGAGCTCTTTCGAGCTGCTCGCCTGCCAGCCGTATGCTAGGCGGCTGGGAAGATAGCATGAGCGACTGCCATTCTTGAATGGCGATGTGCTTGTGGATGGTGTCTAAGAGCCCATTGCTATAGTATCTACACCGCTGTGTGAGCATTCAAGATGGAGATGGCGGTATACAGGAACTGTACCTTCTGGCCAAGCCATCTTCAGCAGAAGGAGGTGTTTGGCATTGTTCCAAAAGAAAATCTTTGGCATCATAACCGATCTGGCCTATGATTTCGAAGCCTCTTACGCGGTTAACCTTGGTCCGGATGATCTCATCCAACAAGGCGGATATTTGCCGGTTGCGAGCGCTTCTGAAGATGAAAAGCTCTTTCCAGTTCGTCTCTTGAGCCAGTGCCGCCGTCTTCTCATAAAACCTGTGCCGCGGGTTCCAGTACTTGAAAGAGCTGCGGCAGTGGTGCCTCCAGAGAAGGGGTTCATTGGCAAGGTGGTAGAAACGACGTGACACCAGCTGGATGTTGCAAAGATTATCGTGGGGCGAGAGATAGTACAGCAGATGGCCGATGATCTCGTCAGGCACCTGGTTCAGTGATAAGACGCCATCGTTGCAGTTCTGCTCCATAGCTGCAGACCGATCCACAGATTATGTGAGATGATGCGAGTTTTTAAGACCCCAGGTGTTGTGTATCAGGAGCCTTCAAGACAAAGTGCTCCTCTCGCCGCCCTTTCTATCGTGGCGGGAAAACTGGTGGCAGCGGGCTCTCGGGCGCCAACATCGATGCGGAAACGAGGAGCGTTGGTGCCCTCTGCTCTGTAGAATGACAAAGATTTTGTTGCAAATTGAGATGGCCAAACCCTGGCATTTATGCCCAGATTACTCGCATATTTCGGTCTTTTGCGCCGGATCCCTGACCATTTGCCATGCGTTCCGCCTTTCCCCGCAAACGGGATTCATGCATCTATCGAAAAGATAATGCAATAAAGCGATCTTCACTGGCGGATAAACGGCGGCAATTGCGTCGCTCTTGGGGGCATTTTAAATTTCCTGCAAAGTAAATAAGATACGGAGGAAAGAAAACTACCTACCTAGGTACGTAGACCTTAGTTTCCCTGGATACTGATTTTATGATACAAAGTATGTATTAATATACCTACAGCAGTCACCCAAGGCAAAGCCCAAAATCTTGTACGAGCCTCATTTGGGGTACCCCGCCATTTTTGCTCATTTTCCCGCTGCACAGGGTACGTACACGGCAGTGGCAGAAGTTGAGAAAACTCTCCCCCACATAAATTTTGGTGGCACCCAAACTTCCATAAATGGGCTCCATGTTACAGACTCTGAAGATGTGCGCCTCTTACGGAGAACATGTTTTCGAGATGCCTAGAATATTTCAGAATATCTAAGTCAAGCATATAAATCTCTTGTGAGATGTATTTTAAATGATTTTTTCTTTCCAGCTGTTAGTGTCAAGAAAACGAACACACTGCCGTAACAGGATTTAGCCTTATAAGTCTCTGTAATACTAGCACATGGAAGGGAGAAGCCGCATTCTATAACTACCAAGTACTATTTAGTGCCAAGGGATGCTTTATGGATTCTGTAGACTTTCTCCGCAAAGCGAAATATCATGCATTCGGGCTACTCCAAGCTCAGAAAAGCAATTGAGTTTTATCAGAAACTCCAGGGCAAAATCCGAAAGGTTGATGCTCGAACATTGGTGGCGCTAGTCCTAAAGTGGCATGAATGTAAACAAGGCTAACGCGATAAACAACCAGCACATCTTCATATTTAACCTCCTCTCTCCCACGCGAAACCCTGCCTTCAACATCCCACACTCTTGTCTCAAAGCTCAGTCTAATTTCTCCAATTTACTTGTGCAAGTCGCGCGCAGCTCACAATATTGGTTATTGCTACTCCACGCCTTCCTTGACTCTCCGAATCCAGTCATCATTCATCGAGCAGATCTACTACATCTTGCGCTCAGCTCGACTTCATCCCACGATAGGCATCCTATGAAGTTTGACCTCGAATCGCACCCACGAATATCTCACACAATCCCACGACTCTTTCAAACCACGCCGCCGAAATGGCCCACCAAGGCTTTGGCGGCATCCTCGACACGCCACGAAGCAATGCCGGTGACGCGACATATCTTAGCCGACTGCCCGATATCTCAGACATTTCTCCCGAAGCATCATTTATAGCCCCAGACAAAGATGATGACTTGCTACAGCGACTCCGCAATGGCAGACGCACAGGCTTCAGAACGCCCCGCCGGAAGGGACCGCTTGCTGATCGTCCAAACCTGCCATCGAACATTGGAGGCGGAGAATTTACACCACTACTCAAGTCCGCTACAATGAACAGCACACGGAGGAATGGGAAAGAGAATAACGCCGCCGCTACCACCACACCGGTCGCACTGAGGACAATCGACGAGGACGAGATGACCCCGATGCCGCAAATGGACTTTTCCGCCTACTCAGCACGCAATGCGTCATACCTCGATACGCCACAAGTCTTAGCCAGCAGCATCTCCTCGACGCCGTTAGGTCCCCCACCACGCAGGGATGGAGACATGGGCCCTCTGCAGGACGGAAAACAATTGTCTCTACGCGAGCAAGAAAATGTCATTGACAAGCTCGAGAAGGAGAACTTTGGTCTCAAGCTTAAAATCCAGTTTTTAAATGATGCCCTCATGAAAGCAGGCCCTGGCTATAATGAAGCAGCTCTAAAGGAAAACACGGAGCTCAAAGTGGAAAAGGTCACAATGCAGAGGGAGCTTCAACGGTTCAAGAAGCAGATAACCACTGTCGAGCGTGATCTCGAGAAGTCTCGCCAGCGAGGACTAGAGTTGGAGGAAAACGCAAAAAGGAAGCACGCCAACTCCAATGAACTGCAAGCCGAGATGGACACACTACGACAGAATCTCCAAGATCGCGAGTCCCATATTGAGGAACTACAGCAGCAGGTTTCTCAAGGCCAAGATCACGATGATCAAGTGGAGAGTTTGCGGGACGAGATTGAAGATCTGAAAGCCGAGATCCGTGAGAAAGAGGTCTTAATCACGGATCAGGAAGAAAGGCTGGATACACTTCAACAGAATCTCCAAGACCGCGAAGCCCAGGTTGAGGAGCTAGAGCACCAGGTTTCTCAGGGCGAAGACGGCGGAGAAAAAGTAAAGGAGCTACAGGAGATCAATGAAGAACTCCAAGCCGAGCTCCAAAATCGGGAGGCCATCATCAATGAGCTGGAAGTCAAGGTTGACGACCTTGAAGCCGAGCTCCAAAATCGTGATTCTAATATCAATGAACTGGAGGGCACGATTGAAGAACTCGAAAGTAAGCTCATCCAGAAGCAAGGCCTTATGACAAAACGGGAGGAAGAGTTGGAAACCCTGCGACAGAATCTCCAGGATGTTGAGTCTGAGAGAGACGATCTACAGCTTCAAGTTTCCCGTGGCCAAGGCCACGTAAATCAGGTTCAGAGTTTGCAATTCGATAATAAGCAACTCAAAGCCGAGCTCCGTGAAAAGCAACACACAATACAGGAGCAGGAGAGGAGGCTGTACGACCTCGAAGAGACAAAGAGGAGGTTAAATTCTGCTTTGTCTCAAAAGGAAAAGGCCGAGAGGGTTCTAGATGAGTTCGAGGAAGAGAGGGCAAATGTGTCGTTCGTTCCCAAGGGGCTATCCCGACAGCGTGAGCAGAAGATCTCCCAGCTACAGGGGGAGCTTCTGACTTTGGAGAAGAAGGCCGCAAAGCTAGCCATGGATAATGGCAATCTTCAAGCGACCATAGAGGAGTATGTGGCAATAGAGCAACAGGCAGCAACACTCCTTGCCGAAGTCGACAATCTCCAAGCGGCGAACGACAGTCTCCAGGCAGCAAACGAGAAGCTCCAGACGGCCAACAACAACCTCGAAACGACTGTGCAAGATTTACGCCAGAAGCACAGCGGCTTTGGGAATGGCTTTGGGAACGGCTTTGGCCAAAGTGGCTTCGGGCACAGCGGCTTCGGGTTCAGCGGCTTTGGGCGTACCAATCAAGATTTTGAACGCCAAAAGTTGGAGGGCGAGGTCTACACTCTGGAGAAGATGTTGGCAGAGGAAAAGAAGAAAGCCGGCGATCTCCAGAAATTAGAGGCTCAAGCTCACAACCTGGAGAGGATGCTTGCTGAGGAGCAGAAGAAGAGCAGCGAAGCCGAAGATGCGGTACGAGCCCAGTACGATGACGAAATCCAGAGGCTAGACGACGAGATCTCGACCTATCAGGCACAGATGTCAAATCTGAAGGCGGAAATTCGCAACTTGGAGGCGGAGATTTTGGATCTGAGGGCAGTGATACGGGAAAAGGACAATCTCTATGATAACGACAGCACAGAGTGGGAGACTGAAAAGAGGAGGCTCGAATCAAAGCGAGAGCAAGCCGAGGAAAAGGCTGCCGGTCTTCAACGCACAGTAGACCGTCTACGTCAAGCTGAAGGTTCTCTCTCTAATAAGGAGACCAGGCTTCAAGAAGTGATGCAGATCGAGGCTGATCGCCACCGGAGCGAAGAGAAGGTGCTAACTCGTCAAATCGACGATCTTCAGGAGGCGCTGGACACACGCCAAGGCCTTCTGACTCAGGTTCGCAGTGAGCTGTCTACTGTCCGCGATGAGTTGCGCCAGGCGAAGATCGACTATCAGGCACAGGTCAACCGAGTCGAGGAACTCGAAATACGTGGCGTCGCCGAGAATAAGGCGTCGCAGACCATCAAAGAGCTCCAGCAAAAGCTAATTGACTTCGAGGACGAAAAGTCAGCTATGGAAGACTTGCTCGAGAAGGCAGAAGAAGATGCTGAGGAAATGGCAACCCAACATGAGCTCGCAATGCAGCGCCTGGTACAAAAACTGGAAAAGGCCAAACGTGAGCGTGATGCTGCCACCGCATCTCGTACGGAAACCAACAAGCAGAGCCAGCAGTTGCGAAAGAGCCAAGCTGAGATTGAAAGCCTCGAGCAGGAGGTTTTGCAGCAGGAGAAACTGATTGAAAACTTCGTCGCTTCAGAGGCCGCCCTGCGGCAAAAGCTCGAGCGCACCCGCAGCGAGCGGGCGGCGTATCGTGTGAGCGCCGAGAAGCTGCAGAAAGATCTTCAACTCCTGAAGAGGGAGGCGCAGGAGGTGCAGGCGCAGCGTCGCCATCGCGGCAGCGCGGACGATGTGTTGAACACCATTGTGAGGGCGGCTGAGAACACAGAGGCGCAGCATAGGCAGAAGTCGAGCGACATGATGCTCCAGATGGAGTTCATGCATGCCCGTTGGGAGCGTGAAGCGGCTCTTCGTAAGGACGTCTCGTATGCAAAGAAGTTCGTCCAGCTGCAACTCGATGTCGCAATGGCCTGGTATGTCATCCCCCTTTTCCACCCCCTTGTATCATTCTTGTAGGAAATACCTGCTGACCAAGCCCTTTCATTTTTACAGTAACAAAGCTCAAGTCCGTGAATTACAAAAAGCCCGCGCCTACGTCCTTCAAAGCCGCCATCCCGTTGTTATACCCGAACTTCCCTCCTCCACCAAGTCCCCGACAACTCTCAAGGCCTTCCTCGTCATGGCCCGCTTCATCGCTCGCATGCGCATCGCTGCGCGCAACTGGGCTCCCCAGGAAGGTGCCCGCAAACAGCTCCGCCTCGATATCAGAGAGAAGCGCCGAGACAAGCGCTTGAAGCTGCTCAGCGCTGTCCCCGTCGAAGCCCTCTACTAAGCATGCATTGTTCGCAATACATTTGGCATACCGAATGCCTATCTCCCCCTTTTTTGTTATGAAAGACCAAATACCCACATATATCTTTCTATTCTCTTTCTCGGTTTCTTTGTGTTTATAATCATTATTTTGGGGGGCGATCCTAGAATCAATCATCTGATTCCTAACGCTAACGACTTCTTTCTTACGAATTGCTTTGCAAGGATAACGGTTTATGGATTGGTGATGAAAGGTCAAACTATGTACAGGATAGAAGCATCTCTTTTTTTGGCATGGCATAGGATGGGAATCGCCCGGTTGGATCGGGCTGACGGTAGCAATGGCGTTGGGGGGGATGGAAAGCCACTGGATTTGTTTTTTTCGGTAGTCTTTTTTATTTCACACAGTTGAATATTTTCTTGTTTAAACAACGCGCTCGTATGCTCATACGTAAAAGTTATTTTCTCTCATCAAGGCGATTACAGTGCTCATAGTAAATAATGGCACTCCTTGGAATAGTGGCATGTCAACGCAGGTAGTTCCTCGCTTGCTGTTATATAATTCGAATAGTGTCAAATCCTAGTACATACGACCATAGGTAGAGGAGAATTCGGGGTCCCGTCTGCTCCCCCATAGACAAGCCTCTAACCGGCAGATTAGTAGTTGAGTGGGTGACCATCAGCGAACACCGGCTGTTGTATGTTTTTGTTTTTTTTTTGCTTCTCTTTTCTTCCTTTTTGTTTCTTTTGTTTTGGGCTTCCAAATTGCCGCATAGTAGTAATATGCTTGCAGGGTATGTAGTGTAATGACTTTGTATAAATTCGGGATGCTAGATTGCTAGGTTGGTGTGCTGGAATATATAAACCCGAAACAGAATGCTTTCCAAAAGAATTCCCATTAAAAAGACCGGCCGTAATAAGGAGCACTAAACATGAACAAATCGAAGAAGAATAAGAAAACAAAGCACCCCTGGGGAAAAAAAGAGACCAGCTGGATTTTCCAAATTCCGAATCCGATGAACCACCCCATCATGGTTTATTCAGAGGGTCGTAGCATCTTTGACTACGTATATATCATATACAAATGTGATGGTAGCCGCGAGAACAGAACCGCTCAGCCATTTTAATTTTTGTTAAGAGAAGACAGAGAGAGAGAAACTCCTTCACATGACAAATAAGAGATTGGTATCTGCAAAATATGTTAGGAAGAGTACTACCCTACCTGACATATCTGCAAGGGAAACTTACTAAGAGGATGGCTGCAGGAGAGCTGCGGCTTTTGTGTGTATTTTGTAGCGAGCTCGTCTCGGATGCTGTTGAGCAGCTGAACGTAGCTCTGCTGGGGGTTCTTCCTGAGAGCCGTGACAAACGCCCAGGACATGGCACCAGTGGCTTGTGAAGCAATGGTGGCATCGGCACTGAGAGAAACCGCTGTTAGCTACAACTTGGTCGATCAAGACTTGGACAATTGACTTACGAGGTTTGGTCGTCTTTGCTTCCAGACCACATGACGACGTCGGCAGGAGAAGTCTTGGTTGCGAGGGCTCTGTTGTGGGCCTCCTCGCCAGTGGTGGCCTTCTTGAAGAATCCGATGATGTTGTTTGCAACACCACCGAGATCTCCCTGGCTGTACGAGGAGATGACGCCGAGCAGGCCCTGGCCAGCCTCCTTGGCCAAGTTGGGCTCCTTGAGGATACCCTGCGTAGAATAGATGTAGGGCAAGTCGAGTGCTGTGCCGGAATGGCACGAATCGAAAATGGCCGTCAGTCGTACACCTGCCTGCAGGGGGCTGACCATGATTCGGTGCATTTCATCATCTGTGATATGCCCATGTTGCCTGAAATCAACTGGGTAAATGACCTCGTCGTATCCATCAGGCTCATCGCCGTCAAGGTCCTTTGTTTGCCCACCGTGGCCTAGGGGTGGTCAGTTTGTAAGCTCCAAACAATGCGGTAGTCGCAGCTATGCCAAACCAGCGCAGCAGGGGTGGAAACGTACCGGAATAGTGAAAGAAGAGCGAGTCGTTGGGCCTGGCATCCTTGACCAACCAGTGCATTGCACGGAGAATGTTTTGTTTTGTGGGCTGGCTCATGGGGTTTTGCTGATCATCGGTCAGGATGACCATGTCTTCTCTCTTGTAACCAAACTGCTCCACCAGGTAGGCCGTCATGTTCCTGACATCGTTGATGCAGCCTCGCAGCTGACCGCGCTGGCCGAAGTAGTTGATGCCAATCAACAGCGCTTTTCTACGGCCAGTGCAGTTGGAGTATCGGAACGCATAGCCTGTTGGTGCGCCGTGGCCAAAGCTCTGCGGCCCATTCGGAGGGGCCGGAGGATTGCCGCTGGGGCGTCCTTGATTATAGCCATTCGAGGGAGCAGGACCGGGGGGAGGCATGCCTGTTTTATCATGTCAGCACATGGGTTTGAGTTGGAAGATTCTCGTTCACCGTACCAGGGCGTCCGTTGTAGTTGGGCTGAGGAGGTGGCTGGGCGTAGTTGTTGTATTGCTGCTGTGGAGGGGCATGCTGTTGAGGATGAGGTTGCTACATTCATCATTGGGTGTAAGCAGTTGCAGAATCCTGGGCATCTCGGTGTGCTTTTCGACATGCGTCTGGGTGAAGGAGCATCGGCCATACCTGATATGCGTACTGCTGTTGCGGAGGAGCATGGTAACCGTAGCCGGGCTGGGGAGAAGGTTGATGCCCTTGGGGAGGATAGCCGCTGTTGTAAGCGGGCTGCTGAGGCCTGGAGAGAGACAGGTGGTGTAAGCATCAACGTATAATGCAGCGAAGAAGCAAGATACGCCTATATCTGATGAAGCAGGAGAGCAGGTTTGGATTGGGGGCACAATCGCCGTGACGGCGTTGGATGTGATGCGGTAAGGGGAATTAGGAGGATCTCATACGGATAGTAGCCACCCTGCTGCTGGTATTGCTGCTGCGGCGGTGCGGCATAGCCGCCGCCATTGTAGGCTGGATATCCGGACATTTGGGAGATGAAGAGGAAAAGAGGATAGAGATTCGACTCGGAGCTTGGTTGAAGCTTTTTTTTTTCCTGGTGTTGTTCAGGCGGTTGGGCAAGGCAAGGCAGCGCAAGCAAGCGCGCCGTTGGGAGCTAAGCTGGCGGTTGGAGCTGAGGATTGGCTAGAACGGCAATGACGACGGGGATTTGCTGAAGAGATGCACCAAGAAAATCGGGTGCAAAAGGGTCCAAGCAGTCGCGTGCAAATGAATTACCCGGCCGTCGATCCAGAAATGCACGCAGCAATCGAGTTGACGGGAAGCAGGTCTGGCTCTGCTCCCAATGCGCTGGCAATCTTATCGAGGAGAGCACGTGTAGCTGGGCGGTCAGGTCCGAGGTCGATCAATCAGAATCAGAGCTAGCGGACGTCTGGATATGATCAGATGGCGGGTGTGGTGTGGAGGAGGCGAGGCGCGGGGACAGAAGTCGAGGCCCTTGAGCTGTAGGAGCACGGAGTACGGAGTAGTGTCGAATGGAATCGTCCAGGTCCAGGCCAGCTGCTGCTACTCGAGCATGTGAAGGAAGCGGGCGGCAAAAAGATGGGGAGGAAAAAAATAACAATTGGAAGAAAAACAGAGGGGAGAGAGAGAGAGAGAGAGAGAGACCAATGTCAATACCGGCTGAGGGTCTCCAAAAAGGGCGTGGGCGAGACGCGACAAGAGGCGTGCAACAGGCAGGTTAGGCGCCGAGGGATGGATGAAGCTGACAATGGTGGCGAGAGCGCTCGTCTCGAGGGTTTTTGTCTCTTTTACTTTGGGTGCGGACAGGATGAAATTCCAATAAGCCGCTGGGCGGAGGTCGGGTGACGATGCGCTGGCGGTGGTGGGTTGCGCATAGCGAGTGGAGTGGATGGTGGACTGGTGGTGGTGGCGGGGTTCTGCGGTAGCTACAGGTGCAGTTACAGGTACCTACAGGCGCTACTGCTGCAGCTCAACCGCTAGCAACGCCCACTAACGAGCCCGTAATAAACGAACGGTGGCAGCGATGCTGGATTGGGATTTGAGATTGAGATGACCAGAAACGATGCCTCCTCCGATGGGCTGCCGGGGTTCCAGCCGGCCAGGGTTGGATGCCAGGATGGTTGCAGCCAGTTGCTCGGGCTGTATCTCGGTCTACGGCTCCGACCAGGAGTGCGATTGGGCGCCTGATGGGGGGAGCAGAGATGGGATACATGGGATACATGGGATACATAGGATACATCATACACGTACTAATGTAAGCTGCTTACCTGACTGACTGACTGCAAGGCGCAAGCAGAGAGGCTCTAGAGACATTGATGCCATAGACTACCTTACCTCTACTGTACTGTGCTCCGTCAACTTGACGGCAAGGTATCAAGAAGACTAACGCTCCGGCTGCTATCGACGCCGTTGCGGGCAAGACGACACGGGCCGCTCGATATTACTCGTATATTAGTGAGGTTATCCTTCATCCCTACCCGTGTTAGGCACAATACAGCTTGGCTAAAAACCCCCAGCCCAGCAACAAGCGTGGACTGGGGCATCGGTGGTCTGGGATAGAGCTGAAGACGACGATTGGCAGTATCTCCGAAATCATCCCATTGCTCCCAACGCTGTCAAGTGCGTCCGTCTTGTCTGAGACAATGACCGTTGAAGGCGTGACGATCACTCTCGCTTACATGACATAGGTACCTGTAGGTAGGTAGACAGTACGAGTAACACATCAAAGAGCCTCGGTCAAGGCTGGGGCACTGCAAATGCGCAAATGACGCAAAGCTGCAAAGCTGCAAAGCAAAACTGCATGCCTGATCTCACCGACGTGATGCGATATCAAAAGTCAAGTCGACAATGATGACATTGAAGATCCATCGCAACGTGCACCGCAACGTCAAGGCCAGCAGCACCTGCAGCACCTGCATCTCCTGCGCCTCACCAGTAACCACCAGCCCCATGTTCGCAATGGCGCCACCAATACGGTACCCAAAACGGGCCCCCGTCCGCTGCCTGCTTCATCTTCATCTTCTACCAATGCAAAGGGACCGAATGAAAAAAAGGAAAAACAACGCTTGGGCCCCTTTTGTTACCGTAACCGTCAGCTTGGCATCGATCCCGCGGAAAAAGATGAGCGCTACGGCCACATGGCGTCTTGCATGGCGGCATTGCCTCGCCGAACGGAGACCCCGATGCGGGTCATCATGGCAGTGCTGCTGTTTTTCTTTTTTTTCCCCATATGTACTCCGTACATGTATGCTGAATGTTTACAGCACAGCATCTCGGCATCAATTCTGCAGGCGGCTATTACTGCAGATGCTTTGGGACTGCACTAGTGTGTGGCCGACGATGCATGTTCTCTTCTTCTTCTTCTTCTTCTTCTTCTTCTCCATGCTTCTTCTGCGGTCGGCCATGACGACAGAACGGTAGTAGAAGCTTCAGACGGGGCAGTACCACCTAACCAAACAAACCAAGTGTTTGTGGCCCCAAGGCTGCACGTCACCACACACACGCTCACACTCACACACACATAAACATTCTCAAGCATTGCCAAGTCATCAATCTGGACTAATTAGCACCAATTAATCTGCCTATGTAAATATTTACGCCCATCAAATCTCCAATGGCGCGCGCCAACTGCCCCAAAACATGCCCCCAGCCAACCATTAACCGTCCTCCTCTCGGACTTACCCGCTGCCGCAAGTGATGCCATCGCCAAGTGCCAAAAGCTGCAGCGAGTGAGGCTCATCCGATGCTAGCCAGCAAAGCAAAAACACAGCTCAGCACAGCGCAACATGCTCATCGGAACAGAGACTTTTGAGCTAGCCCGAAAGCATCTTGGCGAGAGATGTCTCCTGCAGCAAGGGGAGCGCGAGAGAGAGCTTTCTCTTTGGCTGCTCTTTCAGCTCCACCATTTAACAACAAAAATACAGGGTTCTCAAACGAGCTGAAGTCTGGCCGCATCGCCCAATCACGTCCCCGGAACGCCTTTCCGTCCGGGGGAGGCTCAAGCCACACGAAGCACGAGGGGTGTGTATTGTACTAATCGTCTCTAACTCGAGGGAAAGTAGTCTGGCTCGTTGTCGTCGCCGATCGCTGGGCGGACTGCTTCTGACGTGCCTGTCCAGCTGGAAATGGCCTGATAGTATGAGTCTTGCGACTCAGGTTGGTGGTCCGCAGCCCATTTCGGGGCAAGGCGTGTCTTGTTTATTTGCTCGGCCGGGGGAAACGGAGTAAACAAGCAAGAATCTGGTTGCCTGGGGGTGGAAATCTGTATGTACGGGAGGCGCATTTGCAGATCGCCTGTGCAGATTCTTTGGGGGAGCCCCGGTTAGTCGAAACGGCCAACGACGTCAACGCATATTCGGCAGATGCCTTCCCTCAGAATGCAGATCTGGTCCAAGCGGCTCCAGGAGTGAAAGAGGGAGGCAGCCCGAAAGAAAAGAGCCATTCACCTAAGGTATCCTCTTTCAGCTCGAGGTGAACTGCCATTGTCTCTAGATGTAAATCTAGATCGACCCGATCCACCGTTATCTCCACACCTGTTGTCTTCTCAAGCTGAAAAGACGGGCCAGAAGCCGTGATATTCTTACTATATACGATAGCGTGTCTCAACCTCAACCCTACTTAGAATTCTTAGTAGTTGATGATGTGATAATAATCTCATTGTCTCATTCTAATCTTTCCATGTCCTGGCTCTATGTCCAGGTCGTCTAAAACAGCCAAACGCCAGGCCTATTGGGGGAATGTGATAGATGGCGGTGTACACAAGCATCAAGGCCACAAGTCGACGCGTGATCTCCAAAAAATCAGTGAGCACATCTGTATTCCAATTCCTCGACCAGGAGACGACCATTTCTGTCCGCATCCGTCTACTTGAGCTTCTTTTCAAACACTCTATAAACCACAGGTCCACTCAGCAGCGGCACCAGGGCAGGGTAATCGTCCCCAAAGTCGCCCAGCCTCACCTGCTGGAATCCCAGTCGCAGATACCACGCATGCATCCTCGTCTTGAGCGGATGGTCGTAGCTCGTTGGCATCAATATGTCCAGCCCGAGGGTGGTGCCGCCCAGTGATAGACAGTACTCTTCGACAAACTTGAAGATCTCGCGGCCCAGTCCGAGTCCCTGGTGTGTCTTGTCCAGGCTGAGCATGCCCAAAGTGCACATTGAGTCCGAGGCCCGCTTGACACACACGCATCCCACCAACTGGCCCTTTTGAATTCCCTGGTCTTCGGATGCCGGTGGTGAAGACGCGAGATAGGCGAGGGCTAGTTGGCCTTTGCGGATAAAGTCTGCAACCTCGGCGTCAGAGGTGCGCACGAAGCCTTCGTTCCAGATGCCAGCTTCTGCGTCGATGAATACACGATTCACCAGCTCGGTGATGGCAGAGATTTCAGAGAGGTTGTCGGCTGCCGTAACTGGAGGAAACTCAATGACGAGACGAGGCGTCCCTGAGGCGGCCTCTGTGCCATTGGCGAGAGCTGAAGGACTCATGGTCAAGGTGCTGCCTTTGGATGTTGTGTTTCAATGTTGATTCTTTGGTTCGTGCCCTTGTATCCTTTCAATGACGGTAGATATGTATCTATCCTACCTTGACTTATATAGGATCCGGCGATGTACACATGTATGTAGCAGCAACGCAAATCTATTGCTAGCGCTGCCGGTACTAGGGCGCGCCTCAATGTTTGGCGGGGGTTAAACAGACATGGGCTAATATACGTGGCCGGAAAAGGCGTTGCTGACGCCCATCTTAACCCGACGAAGTCATCCAATAGACGATGCGTTGGACTGAGACATTGTGTCACCGATATCATCGGGCTCAGCCTTGTACGACATATGATTAGAGATGACCTGGAAGATGCATGACCCAACACCTGGAAATAAACACCCACGCAAAGCACGGTATTAAGCAAAGGAGACAAAGAAGAAGAAGAGACAACGTATAGAATATTATAAATACCTACCTACCTTAGTAGTATATAGCTCCTCAATTTGATAGAGACTACCCTACACGATGCGCATGAGCCATCACCAGCCTCAGCCGCCTTTCGGGCATTTTTGTGTCTCGTAGGCCGCCCTGTGCGACTGACTGCTGACAGCCAAACCTCCAGCTGGTGCCTGACTAGGCGCAATCGATTGCCGCTAATCAAGGCACCTCTCTGCCTTCTCCATCTCCTTCCTTCTGCCTTCCTCTCAGCATCGCATCGCATCACATATACAACTCCTACTCCTCATTTTGCCCTTTACAACTTATTTCTACTCTCTCTCTCTCTCTCTTTTTTTCTCTCTGCTTTTCTCTTGCTTCTCTCCCGCTTTCGCTCGCCATGTCGCTCGCGTCTTCTCAGGCGCCGGCCCGCCCTGTGGCTATTCCCATTCCATTTCCCATGCCCTCACGCGACAATCAGCCCGAGCCTATTCAAAGCTCTGAAGAATACATCCAACAGCTTCAAATCCTGACTCATTTCAATTCTGACCTACGGAAAGCCGGCTACGTCATGCAACAGCTCTCGCAGGACTATCTGGATCGCAAGCGGAGATGTTTTCTATGTAGTCGCCGTAAGTGCTCCACTCCTTTTGACAGCAGAATATCATGTATATATATAAGCTGACATTACGCTTCTAGATCTTCCTTACAAGTTGAAAAAGACCGGTTGGTTACCAAAGACTCCGGTTCAAGGAAGCAGAAATAATGATAACTATGACGACGATGAGGATCTTGGCCAGCGCATCAATAGTTCTGGCCAGGGTGACTCATCCAAAAGAGCTAAGAAGCCAGTCTTGAACTGCAAGTACCATCCTGGAAAAGTCATTCAAAGAGTTTGTCTCTCTTCCTTTCTCCCTAACTCCCCGCTCCCTTCATACAAGTGAGATGGCAAAGCTCACATTTACCATGTTAGAAATGGACCTGCTGTAATGGCATCCCTGGTTCGCCGCCGTGTCAGGGCAAGGAGGATCATACGCCAAAAGTCTATGCCGCCGGTGAGCTGGAAAGGGAATGGAGATATTTCCACACACCCGGTTTCCAATCTAGGGGCTCTCCGGCAATTGCTGTTGTCATCGACTGTGAAATGGGAACAGCTTCAACAGGAGAATCCGAACTGATCCGCGTATCCGCTGTCGACTACTTCTCAGGCAAAGTCCTGCTCGATAAACTTGTGTATCCTGATGTTAAGATGATTCATTTCAACACAAAGTATTCGGGAGTCACCAGACAAGATATGGAGAACGCACGGCGCACGCGATCGTGCCTACTGGGCCGTGCCAGTGCTAGAAATGCCCTCTGGGAGTTCATCGGCCCCAATACCGTAGTCATTGGACACGGCGCCAACTCTGATCTCACCTCTTTGCGTTGGATTCACCCACTCATTATCGACACGTACTTGGTCGAAAAAGCAAACAGGCCGCCAGAGGAGGACAAACAGGGCAAGCAAGCAGAACAAACTTCTGAGGCCCTGGCCGGTGACCAGCAGCTCCAAAACGAGGTGACAGACACTCAACAAGGGCCCGATGAAAAGGGTCCTGCGGCGCCAAAACAGAGAGGGGGGCTATCACTGAAAGCACTGGCGAAAGAGAGGCTTGGGCGAGACATCCAAGTTAAGGGCAAGGGACATGACAGCGTGGAGGATTCAATTGCAGCGCGCGACATCTTGCACTGGAACATCTGCAAGCTCCTTGAGCCAGTCGATGACTTCGATCTCAACTGACCAGATGCAATCTAGCTTACATTCTTGCACATTCATAGCGTTAATCTTATCTTATCATCTCCAAGCCTACCTACTAAGGTAAGATCTTCTCTACCTACCTATGCCTACCTTAGCCCAAAGGTAAGCTCCGCTTCTCACATTGTCGCCATGCCTATCCGTAGCAATTATACAAATGGATATACATACGCATACATACTTTACGCTTATACATATCTTATCCTCGGTAAATGTCCAAGAACATGGGCTCCAGTAATGTGATATACACGTGCGAAAACGGGGGGACAAGACGTTTTAGCCGATATCGAGTATTGAATACGATATCGGAACTACGCGTTTTACCGTTTTGCCTTTTTGTTGACGCAGAAAGGCCCAATGATACATTATCATCCCCCAGATGTTAAATACCGAACGTTACAACTGTCAATTCTTTTCGTGATTACCATCCTCGAGCATTTCCTCCCTACTCAGTGATCAAGAAGGACTCCTCTTCACCTCACGGCACACCACGGTGATCGTACATGTCAGGCTCGTGCTTCACATCACATTTGTACCTGTCACTTCATGTTGACACCTGCCTTTGCTCTCGGCTTCACAATCCACAACAGCACAAGTTCCAGTGTATATTATCTAACCTTAGCTTTCCTCAACGCAAAAGCCTGCTGTATCTTGGATGTATCCTAGAAAACTCTGCTCGCGTATCGACAGCTCTGGCTTTATGTGCTTCTTTATATCTTCCGCCCTCTATCGTCGAGGTTTTCTTTCTTCGCAAAAGACCCACCAACGTTCAATTGTCAGCCATTGTAGCATCTTCCTCTTCTGGCTCTTTTCTCATCTGATAAGCCATCACGGCCCAAATCATTTGCATGGCAGCAAGTCGCTGCTCTGTATCAAACAGGTCGAACCACTGGCTTCTCCATCCTTGTACTCTGCCCCAGCTGCGCTGTGTTACATCCGGCTCAGGAGAGCCGCCAAGTACCTCTAGCAGACGGTCGGGCACTCGCACTCGGAGAATGGATATATGGTGAAAAATGGAGCTAATGACGAAAACATCGTCATAATCGGCGCCCTTCTGCCTGCCAACTGCTTCGTAGCGAGCCTTCTTGTCCCAAGTAAAAGCGGGTGGGCGCACCATTCGATAAGCGTCATATATGGACATGGTCTTTCGGGCCCTTTTGGCAGCAGGCCGAGCCGCTTTCTCTGAGTCGGTAGGCGCAGCATCCTTGTCCCCGAGAGGCGAATCCGCGTCGATTTCTCGCCCAATGGGGCCTCCAGTACCACCACCCCATCTTGGTTTAGAAGTCCACCACTGGTTCTCGCCAAATCGCGTTTCAACCTTGCCCTCACGAGCCCTATGCTGGGCCGTGATAAGCGCCGCCAATACTTCCCGGGCAAGGTCGGTAGATTGCGCAGTTTCGATGTCCGGCGTTGTAAAATTAATACCCGGGCGCGTACTCACCGCCCCAAGAGGGCCATACACAAGACCGGCACGGGCTGCTTCTCGTGTAGTTGGGCTCTGAAATAGAAAGTGGCAATTGGAGGGGCTGTATGACTTGCGCGGGCTTGGATGGTCTTCTGGAGAGCTCATGTGTAGTCTTGGTTCGAGACGTGACATGGAAACGTTACAGCCAAAGTCGTACGCGACAAGCTTAACAAAGGCTGAAATAAGATTCTGGCGATATTCTGGAGGCATTGAGCCACCATCTGATGTCCGTGCTACCTGGGGTCGTAGCGGTTCCTCGGCAGCAGGGGCTTCTCCATTCTCTGTCGGTGCCAATTCGGGAGAGGGCGGGAGAGAAGGGGGCTGACTTGGGTCTTCCCAATACATGGTGAAGAACTCAAGGCAGCGAAAGAACTCATAGGCGTTGCCAAGGCGAGCTTGCTGTCTCCCCTTGGGAGGTGCGAGGCGACGGACGGTACGAAATGCATCTTCATTTGCGTTCGAGAGCTCCCTACGACGCTCTACGTAAACGAGGCATCCAGGAGAAGAGTTGCCATTTCTTATAGGTCGACGCTCCGCCTGGTTCTGCTCTCGAGCCTCCTCAAGCGTGAGCTGGTCCCACCTCTTAAAGTCAGGGAGAAAGGACAGATCGGGGATGAGTTCCTCTACTTGGACGTCCAGTTTCAAATCAAATCCAATGGCAGAGAGGCCAATTGCTCCCGAAGCAGCAGAAATCCGGCCCGTGCACTTGAGTAAGTTAGATAGGGCGTGCTGAGGATCGACTGGAACGTCATCCTGGACGAAAGGCTGGTAGCGAGGAAGACAGATAGGCGTTGGAGGCGGGATGTCTTCGGGGGCTACCTTGACCTTCGGTGGCAGGTTTGCTAGTTGCCGTTTAGACAATGCGTAGAGTACAGAACACTGCAGTCAAAAGAACAAGGGGCATGCAGGAATCAGACACAAGGCGTGAAGGCAGGGGATATCACAAGCCAAGTCTGGTGTGGATGGTGCAAGGAAGGAGACAAGGAGAGGAGCTGGTCGCGTGCCATGTTCCCAACGGAAAGGAATCGCGAGGTGGGATAAGGAGGAGGGGGGGGGTTGAAGAAGACATACCCAGGCCAAAGGATCCAAACATGATTGACAGCCCTTGATGAGGACACGATAGAGTGTGAGTGATAGGCAGATAGATAGTGGGTAAAGTCAGATCGAGCCGGCGCCGCAACCGTAAGCCCAGGCTCGTACCCAGAAGAGGGGCAGGGGATTAACACGCCGTCACCTGGGCTGGGCTAGACGGGCGGATCTGGAGCAAAGACGGTGCCGTCCGTTTCGGCGGCGACCACGAGGAACGAAGTGGCCGGAGTGATGGAGCTTCGGAGATGCCAGGCGTACGGACGCGGGCGCGGGCGCGGGTGCGGATGCGAGTGCGGGCCAGGGCGACCATCAAGCGCCGATTCTCTCTCGTCCACAAGGGGGCAAACGCAGTTCGGGAATGGGCTCGGAGATGGCCTCTCTGCGCGCGTGTTAGAAGAAGACAGCAGATGCTGGCAAAGGCCGAGCCGGGGCGGAGGCGGAGGCGGACACGGAGGACAGGACTGTCGAAGAAACGACGCAACTTGCGGCGAGCGTCTTCAACTGAGCAGCAGACGGCGGGTCAACCAACAGCCGGCTGCCGTGCTCCGTGCTCGTACTGCAGACTGGACTGTTGCGTTGCATAGATGGGGTCGAGAATCCCAACCCCAAAAGGGACCAGACAGCTGTGGTGATCGATCCAGGGGCATGGCGCAGAGGAGGCGGTTAGTGCGAGTCCTAGCTGTCCCCAAGTACATAAGCCTGCTAACAGCTCCCCCACCTCGACCGGCAAAACAGGCAAAACACCTAGTAATGCTACTAGTAGTAGTAGGGAGCTTTGAATAGCCAATAATCAGAGATGGTAGTCTCATCTCTCTTTTTGGTCCATCATTCCATCTGGGCGTGCAAAAAGAGAGCTGTGGTTGTTCGGAGTGTCGGCTTTCCGTCTTCCGCTACCATAGCGTACCTGCCGTGGGCGAGTTGATCTCTAGGGGTACTTTACTTTACGTTGGAAGGTCTGATCACAATCGCTCTTACCTTGTTCTGAATGCGCAGTAATAGTCTCGTGATAAAACGGCCGTCCCAAGTCCGAATGTCTTCCGGCGCGGGATTATCTAAGAGCACAAGGTAAAAAGCGCAACAGCATCCATGATTCCTCACTAGCAGATGCTCAAGTTTCGGTCCTGTTACAAAGGGTTTATGCATACTACAGAAGCTCAATTAGAGTGTTTTGCTTCGCTCGCCGTCGTCTTGAACGTCACTGCTTTCATCGTGGAGCCTACTCCTCATTCCATGATGCCAAGGCAAGTGAATGCCTCGGGAAATCAATGCTACAACCTCCGGTCTCTCTCTGTCTCCAGTCCTATCCAACGAGCCTGAAGGTATCATACATCGCCACCTATGTATTCCTATATCCTCGGAAGCCCAATATATGGGTTGATGGGGTAAGTCTGAGACTGGAGCTAACTGCACGGCCCTCTCTCTGACGTGCACTACGAAACTGATAAAACACTGCCAACAGGTTTAAACGCAAGCACACAACATCTCGCGCGTACGGCCGATGCTGCGCCAGGCTTTGCATTCTCGGACTTCGTGCCGATGGAGCATTGACTGGGCCAGACGAGTCCTGTTCGAACGCATCAACGACTCAGAACATCGGCTCGTGCCAATCAAACAAACCATCCCTGCCGCCCTGCTTTTCTCCTAGGCCCTTAGCGCTGGCCAGACCAGCAACGGGCGCCTAATTGGGGAGGTATTCGCTCGATGGACTGACGAATGGCTTCATAGTCACTCCATTTCTCTTGCGAAGCTCAACGGCTATACTCGAGGTTCTCAGAGGGAAGGATGGAAATATCACTTACGAGGAGAGGTACGAATAACCTCATGTACGCGTGACAATAGCTGGTACTTCAGTTTGGGTACTCTCACATCAGCCTAAATAACAAGCACCAGGCTGACATCTCAGTTTCTGTGCCACAGTACATGAGCGTTGATGACCGAATATTCGTACGCCGACCTCCGCAGCCACAATTCTATTTCTATCTCGACGGCATAAAGCTCTACTGTTGATCGCATCGAAACGAACACCATCCCCTCTGGCTTTAGCCTTTATCCCCTCGCGACTTTTTCCTTTTTGCCTCCATGACTTCCTTTTTCTCAACTCATGATACTAGCCATCTCCTAAACCGTTCCCCCCTCTTCCCAAGGCTAGTTCAAAAGCGGCACTCCGCGCCCCCATCTAGCATGTCATGATGCTTCAGATGTGTCGCAGAACTGGGGGTCTCAGCCCCTGATACGGAGCGCCGCCTCCCAACGCAAGATCGTGTCGGCGCAACTCTCGCATTTCACAGCGCGATGCAATGTGTTTCGTTGCCTTGCAGGAGCTAAGCAGGGCTCTGTTTCTGTGGCCCCATGCGCTGCCAATCTTAGGTGGTACCGCCGAAAAGATGCTACAAAGGGCCGTCAGTAAAGGCGCACAACGTTGCCGTCCAACTCTCCTCTGACCTTGTTCTCGTGCCTCCTGGACATCACACCTCTAACCTTCTTTAAACATTCCTCTGTCACTGGCCCAAGTGTAATCTTCTTCCCATCACTCTTTCATACCTACTCTTTCTTTGTCTAGTGGCGGTTGGCTAGTCCATTGTGCACTTGTGATTGCCAGCTATGCTTTCTCCCTATTATTTGCTTTGTAGGGGGTGTTAGTCAACTCACACGATTTTTCTTCTTCTTTCCGTACATGATATTCCCTTAACCTCTATTCTTTCGGCTTCGCTGCGGCTGGTCTCGCAAGCCAATTGCTTACCGCAATGTCAAGCCTTTTGAGTGGCTCTTCGGCATCCATCGATACCCAGTTGCCTACATCAACTACTTTTCTCAACACCAGTTCTACCATCAACAAGCCCTCAGACATCCCTCCGCTATCTTCTTCCAGTATTATTTCCAGCGAGCCAACAAAAGGCTCATCGGACGATGTTGCTCTCGATGTGGCCCCTAGCACCGCGCAGAGCGCAACTACGCAAACGCCCAGCACTACAGCTTCGGATTTGAAGGCAGAAGAAACTGTTGGGAATTCCCCAATTACTTCTGCTCAAGGTGCAAGTTTGACAGCTGATGGCGAGACTCCAATCATTGCGTTTCCTACGGCATCCAGCGACAGCAGTCAAACATCATTGATTTCGCCGACTTCCATCCTACCAACGACCTCATCAATACCCACGCCATCAATATCCACGCAACTGTCCTCTTCAACACCAAAATTCTTTCCCCAAATTTCCACAGTGACCACAGTTTCGACAGGCGCGGTTCCCACGGCCGCACCATCTAGCCAAACAACTTCTACTATCACGATATCATCGCAAACCCAGATTCAGGCAGCGGCGTTTCAATCCTCTCCTGCTCGAGTTTCTCCGGCATCTGGGACCGAAATTGGAAAGGAATCCCCATCCCCTACGTCGTCAAAATCGTCATCAACCACTCCCTCTCAAGTTCAATCGTCAGTAGCCCAGCCCACGGATGAGTCAGTCCAAGGACCACAAGTTTTCAGTGCTGCCGCTGTCGCCCCCCCTCCCGAATCTTCGGCTTCATCTTCGGCTGTTTTACCTTCATCTACAGTATCAATACAGGCGAACAACATATCATCAACTCAGGGGCAATCCCAAGTCGTCGCAAGTCAGCCAGCAAATCCGGCCATCTCAGCCCCCCAAGGTGCTGGTGTTTCAAATACGCCCATCTCAACACCAGCTTCAACACCAGCTTCAACACCGATTTCAACACCGACCTCCATTTCATCTTCTACATCGGATGCTGGAGCTTTATCCGTGCCTACGTCTACAAGCTCCCTCCCGCCGGCTTCTACACCAACTATGCCGCTTAGCGACTCTATACTAAGCGAAATACCTTCCAACACAGTTACAGATATTGCCCCGAGTTCTACTGGGAGCTTTGCAGCGTTTCCCACGGGTATCAACACATTACCTGGCGACTTTCAAGAAAGTGGTCTACCAGGTAGCCAGGCTACTGGGCAGCCGGTGGCCGACCCGGTTGGCTCGAGCTCACGCCCATCAACCGGCGCCATTGTCGGTGGCACCGTCGGAGGCATTGCCGCTGCCGCAGTTATTGTTATCTTGCTGTGGTTCTGGAGGAAAAAGATCGCGGGAGAAAGAAGGGTGTCCAGCAAGGCCTATACCGAGAAGGATTCTTCCAAACCAATGGCACAAAGATTGGGGGTTTCAACCACAATAAATGCTGTCAAGAAGAACATTGGTGAGAAATTTGCACCACGCAACGTCAATATGAATAGAGGAAATTCTCAATTCCTTGAAGCGGACGCCGCCCAACCTAGAAACGTTGCGCCGATGCGAACCGGGGGAGCCCAAAATCCAGCCGCAGCTGGGAGAAAACCCAAGGGACATAAACTAGGACCTGGCCTAAGCTTCGATTTCGGCAGGCGGTTTAACCCATTCTCGGATGCCAATGCTTTGATGTCGGGCACAGTGCCGCCGCCTTCCAGCTCGGTACTATCAAATCCATTCAGCGATGATAACATGGTCTTGCCTCCGCCTGTTTCTGCTTCGACTCGCCGGTCGAGGGGCCGGTCATTGGGTGGGATTCGAAGCTTCCACGCCCCGACAGTTCCCCCTCGGCCGCACTCTGTGCACAGAGAGTCATTACAAAGCAACGATTCTTTCATTCAGCGCCGCGATAAATTCCGGTCTGATCCATTTGACTTGGAGCTAGAGAGCCGCCTTGCTCCACCACCAAACGGAACTCCCAGCAGGAGTAGTTCCGTGTATAGCAGCCAGGGCCAACAGAACCCCCGTGACAGCTATACGTCCAAGTATATGAGTGGTTCCAGTCTCGGCGATTGGACCGCTGGCGGAGATGTTGGTTCTGGTGGCCCATCGGGCAGGCGAGATAGCCCTACTATTTCATGAAACCATCTTTGCGGTGTATGACAAACGCAGGAGGAAGCTTGGGATATAAATGGAATTTAAAAAATGAAAAACGGGTCTCTTCTACTCGGTAGTGTTTGTCTTCTCACCAGCAGGTCTCAGTGCACTAAGGTAGACACTCGGGAGTCGTAGAGACCCTGTACGAAGTGGTAGTAGTAGTAGAGCAGTAGCTGTATATACTTTGTACCATGTATGACATATACCCACAATGGATGATATATAGACAAGACGTCAATCAAAAGTCTGGCTCCACAGTCCCAGCCATCACTAGCTCTCTGTCTCTTTCATCGAATGATTCTCACCTACAGAAGCCTCCGGCCAGTGGGGAGGGGGATGCGGGCTAAAGTGCTTGCAGCCCCCTCTGCGTCATTCTGCGTTAAAAGTACCTCTCGCGCGCCGCAGGAGCGTCCAATGCCGACCGAGTACGCTTCTGTAAAGGGATATGTCAAGAGACTTGACGCATGCAAGATGTATCGATTGACGAAAGCTTCGCGGGCTGGTGTTTCTTGGGCGAGTTTGGTGAGTGGTGAGAGCAGAGGTACAGTATTTTCGGCACGCCAAATTTACCACTACCAATATGCTGTGCTGTAGGGTAAGCCGCTTTACAACCGCAGAGCAAAAGCTGTCCTCCTTTAATTACGACCAACATCTCCTCCTCCCAGAAAAAAAAAAGCAAAGAACAAAGCAAAAGCCACGCTCAGCCCAACACAGCGCAATCTCAATCCCCCTCCCATTCCAACACAAACTCCCCAAAAGCCTAGACAGAAACTCTGTACTCCCGTAATTTAGTACCTCATGTAGTAGCTCCAAATCTTGCGTCACATCCTCATCTGCGATTGGATCTTTCCCGCCGCAGCTAATGCGCCACACGACAAGCCCATCATCCAATCACATCCGCGAGAAACCCAAAGCTGTAAATTAACCCTTTCCGTGCAACGCGACCAAGACGCGGGAGCTCTCTCTCTTTTTTTTTTCCAGACCAAAAGTCGCGTCCGGAAGCAATCCAATTCGGCCTAGAGGCGCGTTAAAGGCTGGTCGAAACCGCGTCTGTGTGCGCACGAAATGCACCTCGAGATTGGGGGCCGTTAATTAAAAGCAGCAGCCACCAACACACTAAGAACATTCATCCAACCACAAAGAGTCAACATTGCGCAGAAAGAGTAAATACGGGGAGAATCATTTTTGTCATTGACGCGACTAACTACTATCACATTCATTTGGGCCAAAACAAAGGCCAGCCTGGTTTCTACCAGGGGGGGTAATCATCCAACCATCCCATTCATACCAGCGTCCGCCAAGTCCACCTGCTGTACACCGCCAGAGAGGGAAAACAACAAAATAAACAAATAAATCTCTCTTCCAAAGACAGCAGCTCGGCTCCATGCCCTCCTCATGACCGTTCAATTTTGAGAGGATCAGCTGTCCCCAACGGTCGATTTTCTGCCCATGTGTCAACGGTGCGGACCGTCTAATTCAAAGAACAAACAAAACGCCAAAGGCCAGACATCCAAACAAGAGATTAGCTCTTGGGTCGGCCAACAAACTAGGGGTAAAACGTGAATAGATAAAATGGACAGAAACATAAAACAGGATATAGGGTGGTAATAAAAGCAATAAGGCCGCGTACAGTACGGCATACAGTGTCATGGTATCATGTACAGGAAGCAAATAGGTAGGGACAGTGAGGCATTACGGGATGCCAATCACAGATTAGGAGGGTATGCTTCGTTGGTTTCATCATGGTCGAGGCTCATCAAACGTAAGGCGCTTCCTGGCCACGCTGCGGGGAGTGCGGGCGCCTGTGAGGGGATTTGGTGTCTTCCAGACTTTTTGAGCTGGGCTTGGGGTGATGTTGACAAAGTCGGCAAAGTCGAAGCCTTGTCCAGGGGTGTTGGGGAAAGGATTGCCTCCTCCGGGCGTCGTCATCATGGCCGAGGGCAGATCCAGCTTGCTGTTCTTGGGGGGTGGCGTCGACGGCCGCTCCATGCGAGCCCTGTTAGGCTTGACCGCTGGCGAGGGCGATGCTGCCAAGTACAGCAGAAGATCTGCTCCCTCTTGGCCCCCCTGGGCACCGTCTCCCCTCTTCCTCAAGGTCCGGGACTGCATTGGCGGCGTGCGAGGCGGAGAAGACCGAATGTTGGCAGCAAACGAGTGTGCAGGCAAAAGATCGTCATCGTCCTCATCTGGGGCGGTGAAATTCGGGTGAGCATTCAGCTCGTTGGTCATTCGCCGCTGCTGGAAGAAAGAAACATCCGGTCCGGCCGAGGTGGTGAAGTGTTGCTGCCGGCGGGGCTTCATGGGAGACGAGTGTGTGAGCTGGTGCCCGTCCTTCCATAGAGCATGGCCGCCAAAGGACTTGTGTGTTGTAGGGGAGCCGCGGAAGCGCTTGGTCGGACTCGAGGCGTTGTTGTCAAACGAGGCAAAGTAGGTACGTTTGCGATGCCCGGAGCTGCCATTGCTTGAGCCGACAGCATCGGAGAACAAGGGTGCCTTGAGGGGAGAGCTCATCAGAGTCTTGGTCGGGTACGGCAGGTCGGATGCACTGGACGAAGAGTCGGAGAGAACATCGCCCTCGTAGAGACGCTTGCGTCGGATCTCCTCCTCCACCTTGGGTTCGATGATGTCGAGCGTGAGGTCTTCCCAGCCATGTTTGGTCTTGAATTGCGCAAGTGCGAGGCGGTTCTGGAGTCGGCGTGCAATCTGTGTCAAAGCTCCTGTTAGTGAAACTGGATGACTCGGAAGCAGGAAGAAAAAAAAAGCCAGTCATTGACGCCGGCAGCATTGATACTGCAACAAAGAAAATATATAGGAGTGATGGACGGAGAGAGGCATGCGTACCTTGCTGACTTCTGCACGCTTCAAGACGCAGTCGGCTACATCCTGCGGCTGCTTCTTCAAAGGCGAGGCCATCATGGTGAACCAAAAATTTGCGAGAACGCCCCTAGCAACTGCGGCCTTAAGGGGCCTGGATAAGGTCTACAGCGTCTGTAATTATCCCTCGCGAATGATCAATACGCCGACAAGCTTCTTGTCTTCCTCAGATGCTCCTTTTCCTCTATTTCCGGGGGCGGGCGAAGGCAGGAATTGGCGGAGTGCAGGGCGATGAAGGCTGTGAGGAGGGCAAAGTGTGTGTGCGTGAAAGACGGAAAGGTTGTGGAGTGCGAAACGAGCGGCTCTGTGGCCGTAGGGGAGGAGGGAGGCAGCAACAGCGGCTTTTTGGGCTGGCCAACCAGTGCGGCGGTACAGGCGGCCCCTAGAAAGCCGGCTAGGCTGCTGCGGGCAACCGGTCAGTAGGTGCTAAGCTGGCACTAACGGAGCGTTGGGCAAGGCGCTGACTTTTTTGCGGTTGTGCACGGCCAGCGCATCGGGCGGTCTGTAATGTTGGATGGGATGATGTGCAGGTGATGGGGATTGATGGATGGCTGGCTGGCTGCAGCTCGACTTGGGAGTCAAAAGGGGGTTCCGGGTTGAGGACAGCTATTTCACGAAGGGAGTTGAGAGCAGCTGCAGCGGATTTGGAAATGCCATCAATGGATCAATTCGATGCCCCTTCTGGCTCAAAATCTTGCACTGAGACATCCATCTGGGCGGGTCTTGCATGGAGATGCAGCCGTTGCTGCAGTTTCGAGACATGTGGATTTTGCCCCCCCTTCCGTCTTCTTCTTGTCTCTTCACTGATACATGGACCTACTTGGAGTATCCCTTCTGCTCTCTTGGCATGAGGCTCCGGGCTCATCGACTAAATTACTCGCATTCCTCTATTTGGGCGTTGGGCAATGACGGGGCCATGAGCTGAGCGCTGACATGTTCCTGGTTGGCCCTTGCAGCCCGCATCATGCGACAGCTGGGCTGTTTGCTCTCCGCACGGGGAAAAAAGGAACAAAGGCAACGCCGATCGCCTTGCGGGAGGTGCTTGCTGTTTGCTATCTGGGCTTTAACACACCCTGTGACATTTCACTACGAGACGGAGTTTGACACTGTTGCTGCCAGCAAGGAGACTTTTACGAGGGTGGCGGGATGTGCATAGGTACACAGGGAAAGCGAGAGAAGAATGATATAGCGTTCGGTGACGAGTACTTTGTATTAGTGTACCATCCACTGTAGTCATGGCGACGCCCCTCTTGAGTTTGGGAAGTGGTTATCCAGCAGCCCGCGTCTCAAATTTTACAGCTGTGATAATGGCAAATGCTAGAGAAAGAAGAAACAGTAACAGATATTCAAGGAACCTACTCCGTACAGTAAATTAAAGATATTTCCTCTGTATCTGGATACGAAACTTGAACTCGACGGTAAGTAGTTACTGGGATGTTGGCCGTCAATATGGAGCAATAGTACATCTTGATGTCATCAAGGCGCCTGGTCTCATATGCATGAACTTGGGCGGGAGAAAAAAAAAACCGTTGAGCTGATAAGAGGACAGATCCATCAGTCTAAAACATTGTCGAGAAAAACCTTGATCCCAGGATCAGCTTCTTCGTCTGCATGCGGCTGCATAAAATGTGGCTGGTTGATCCGCTCTCTCGTTAGAAATATAAAAGCGCAGGGCTGGTGCGATGTCCAGATTGAGGTGGCCAGTTGAAACGTTAGACTCCAATGAGGCTAGGGCGACAGTTTCTCGCCAAAATCGAGATCTGTCTAAGTTCGAGACCAAGGCTGATTCAGGCGATTTAGTTGCGACGGGAACTCTAAACACGGCACAGAGTTTAACGATTTGGGATGGGATGATGTGAGATGGGATGAGACGAGATGATGGGCCTCAACTGCCAAACCTTGATGTTCTGATATCGGGATCCGTGCCTGAGCTCAGGAATGCAGAGAGCCGCCGTGCCCTGAAGCTTAGCGCTCAACGGAGCTCTCAACGGAGCTATGTTGCTACGCTATGCTGTAGGCGACACGCTACCTTGGCCTTCGTGGATCTTGTCTCTGCAGGCACTTTAAGCTAGCGCCTCCAATCGGCGATCAGCCTCTGGCGACTGCTCACTGGCCGCTATCGAAGTGAAACTGGGACCGAGGCTGAAAACCCGCGTGCTAGCGAGCCTCGTATTGCACGTTCGTGATAGGGCAGAGGGAGGCAGAGGGAGGGGGACGAGAGATTGAACAAGGAGACCTGGGTGTGGGACCTTGACGGCCGTTGTGGAGTGCTGTCTTCAGGCTATAGTGCAGAGCAAGAGCCTTGACAGGTGTGTTGTGAAGCTTCACTTGGACACGTTAGAATTTATCCTAATTGTCGGTGGCTGTTTGCCCCGGATCGAGGACAGACGTTTGCCCCAATGCGGCGTCGATGTGCATGAATTACGACTGAATGTCACCTCGGAGTACGAGTACATATATGATTTGTATGAGAGAGCCATAATATACGAGTATTGGATGCATCAAGCATTGCCTGCGTGGCCTGGATGACGCCATGGATTTCCGAGCGATTGCAACAAAATCCACTTGACTGCATATTGCACGGAGCACTACTGGGAATATAGTACATGTACTATTGATTGCCTCCGTTTCGACGTTTCGGCCAAGCCCGAGCCGGAGCTGCAGTCTGCTCTAGTCAACGGGCTGATGCACGGATAAGGAGAACTAAGTCATCAAACATTAGGTAGTAACTCGGATGCCAAGTGAGTGCCCCAAAGGGAACCGTTGGTGACGGCTTCATTTTGCAGCCCTCTTGCTCAATGCTGCCACGGCCTTGTTGCTCCGCACATTTACAAGCCGCCGCCTTGCCCTGGCACATGCACGCAAGCCCCGATTTCTCGAGATTCCAGAACCGGCACAAACGAATGAAGATTCACGGGCGGGGGGTTGGGATCCAGAAGCCGTAGGCCGAGCCGATGAGCCCACACAGCCACGCACTTGTGCGGCCAACGGGTTGCGAACTGTGCCAATCCGTGGATCTCTCTCAGGATGTAGTAGTATGAGTACGGAGGATTTTATTTAACTTGACATTTTGTTGGTACGTGTACTGATAGGTAAGTACTGCTATGGGAGGAGAAGTTGTACTTGTGTGTCTTGGCGTTTAGTTGGTACTTTTCTCCTAATGAGGTGAGGCGAGAGATGGAATTTACATCGTCCATCAACTTTTCCCCCTTTCGCGCTCGTACCCTCTTCTTCTTCTTCTTCTTCTTCTTCTTCAGGAACCAAATTGGACCACCCGCCTGCAGCGACCGGCCTAATGGCGCCTGTAAGATCTGCCCAGCACCACACCCTCCAAGGCCGCTCGTTTGACATAAATAGCCACAAATAGCGCCACGGCACTTTTTCGTCGCGAATTGGCCAATCCCTCTGGCGTCCCCCCACAGCCGCAGACCCGTCAAAAGGTTCAAAAGCTTCAAATGAAATGCGACGTCATCGTTACGGCTGTAACCTCGTCCGCCAATTTGGCCGAGACGCTCGCTTTGGCCTGTCCGGTTCTGCAGCCAGGCGGATACGGGAGTTGCAGAGAATACAGGTAGCTCCGCATGCTACGTAGCAGGCATAAGTGACTGCGGGAAGGCTTTAATACGGGCTGTCTAGGGGAGCTTCTCCTGACCATGCGCTTATCTATCTCCTTCACCCCTCGAGATATTCGACTGGTGACGCGTGTCCGGCCTGAACGCTGATCTTGCCGTCTTTTCCATTGCATCTCCATTCAATTGTCCACTCGCAAAGCGCCAATCACCCACGCAGGTTGGCAGCAGAAGAAAGGCGCCTACCGTCCGCTCGCTCGTTGTTCCAGTCGAGGTTGCAGTTGTTGCCGGGTTTCTCCTCCTTGCCTCGTGCTCTCTCTCGTGCTCTCTCTCTTTCTCTCGCAATCTCTGGGCCTGATCTTGCCTCGGTGTCCTATAATTAGAGCCCGCCTTACGCTTTCGACTTTCCTGACGCTGCCTCGAACCTGTTCAACCCTAGAACTCGCCCCCCAGGCGTCAGCATCCACCAGCTCTCGCGTCAGCCACAGCCCCCGACTCTGAGAACCGGCATTTATCGCCTCTACACTGTAGTATCTGCTTTACTCTCGCTATATCACGGATTACCCTCATCGCTGGGAGACTTCTGCGAATCACCAACTGTAGCCGCTGTGGGTTTTTGGTCTATGCAGCTGGAACAATCACGCCTAGCGCCACTCCTTCATTTTCGGTGCGGCTGAGAGACGGATCACCCAGATTTGACAGCTCATCGACTGCCATTCGTTTCACCAGGACCCAGCTCTCTCTGCTCTGATTGCGGCAGAGAAGCAAGCAAACAGGCAAGCAAGCAGCCATTCTCTGCCGACAAGAAAGCAAAATCACCTTGTCGTGTATAACTAGTTAGGCCTTGACATTTGCCTCACATTCGCAATCATGGCCCCAGCGTTTCTCTCTCTCAAAGACTTGCGTCGCCGATCAAGAGCAAGCTTCCGGACCGAAAACTCCAACGACACTTCCAGTGATGGTACTTTGAGCCATGAAACCAATGACACCACGCCATCAAGCGGCTCGTTAACACCGCCCTCTCACCTGTCAGACCCGGCGCTGAATCTACAGGTCAAGGACAGCAATGCGTCTGGCCAGTATCCAGCACAAGCTCAAAACCGACCCATGATGGTGCCTGGAGGAAATTCCAGTCGATACAGCGTCTCGGGCATGTCAGGCCTTGGATCTCCTGCGCCCAACGGGAGGACCAACCTGCCTGTCTCCCAGTATGCTCCTCGTGTCCAAAACATTGCGGAAAATGCATGGGTACGTCGCGCGACACCCTTGTTCGAGTCCTCGTCCCCTAATTTTGCATTGATTACCCTTGACGTTGTTGAATTGCTCCAAATTGTGCGTTATGATGATGTTGAAAATGCTAATCCCTCGTGACAGGTATACCAAAAGGTTCTCTTGCTGCACGGTACAATTGGAGAGACGGAGCAGAACCATCTCGAAGGCACTGTCATCGTCAGCAAACTCGATGACTCCTTTCCACCAACCAGCTGGCCTGTATGCAATTCTCACTTCAAAGCTCTTGTATATCTACAACCTGGCCCCAACAAGATCAGAATTGAATTCTCTAGCCCGAAACTGGCCAACAGCTCGTCTTCAAACCCCATCCATGTCTCGTATCTCACTCTCCACATGGTACCTTCGTTAAACGCACCTCCGCTGCAGCTCGCCATTCTGCTAGGCAAAGACTCACCTGGGATATTTGATGCCACGCCGTCGCGTGCTGAAAGGGAAGGCAATGGCCTGGACACGGCTGTCAAGAAATTTCGAATGGCAGCCTATCTCTGGCAGGCATTTACTGCGGAGCAGATGTGGCGACACAAGCTAGGGCGACGAACGTTTCGATTCGAAGAGGAATGGACGTCTGGCTCTGCCAACTACCGTGATAGGGAGAGTGGTATCATGAGATCTGAAGCCCGTGTTCATATTATCCGGTCCGACAAGACAGTGGCGGAACTGCAAGACCTCAACAAGGCGCAACAGTATGACAAGGCTACGGATAAGAATGCTCTCTTCGACATTGCTTCGGCTGCAGTCAAGAAGCACCTGAACCCCCTGCCCGGCCAGAAGCAATATGTAGCAGTTCTTCTGCTGGATGCTCACTGGGATAAGGATGTCAAAACCATCCGTGGCCATGCCGCCCTTGGCGGCGGCAGCGGAGAGTTGCAACTGGGCATCTTCGGGTCACACAGCCTGCATAGCTATCCCGGCTGCTTCGAGGAGGTAGTGCCAGCCTTTACCGATTGCACGCCGACTGACACTGCGTACGTGGCAAACGACTGCAACGAAGCGGGGAGCTCCTGGGAGGCGGCAAACATTGGCATTGGCGCGCATCTGCACGAGGTTGGCCATTTGTTTGGATGCCCCCACCAGGAAGGAGGGATTATGCTCAGAGACTACGTTGTTCTTAACCGAAGTTTCGTGGCTCGTGAAGCGTATTCCACCAGAACCAAGTCCAAAGGGGGGCTGGCCTTGCAAGCTGATGAGTGCGGTTGGCATCGCCTGGACTGCCTTCGCTTCCGAGCACATCCTGCATTCAGGCTGCCAAACGATACCCCCACGAATCCCGACGAAAGCGTCCAGGCCTTTGCTATCGACGGCGGTAACGTTTTGGCCGTGGCACAGACTGGAATTTCTTTTATAGAAATTTACGGAGAGGGTGACGATGTCTGCCGCGCATGGATCGAGTATATACCAGACAACAACAGTCCTATCCAGCGGCAAGTTACAATGATCGAACAAGACTTGCGGGCACGCCTGCCAGAAGCAAAGAGAAAGGGTCGTGTAAAGGTGTCTGTCAAGTCCCATGGAGGAGGATCTTTGGATATCGATGACTTCAAAGCATTTGCATCAAAGCAGTCGTCGGTGAAGCTGCCAGGTGGCAAAGTGGCCTTCCGATGCAAAAGCCTCGGAGAGTCAAAGATGCAAGGCAGCGAGCCCCATGAGGTTGTCTTCACCAGCGCTCTGAAGCAGGACCGGGTCATGTCTCGTGTTATTGTATATCACGGATCGGCACTGGATGGACTGGAATTCGTCTATGACGATAATTCGACACAGCTATTTGGCAAGAGGGGGGGCAAGGAGGGAGGCGACACATTTGAATTTGGTGAGTTTGCTAACACCCAAAAATAGCGAAAGAAACTCCAAGCTAACCACACGTTCAACACCTCAGACGTTCGGCGCGGAGAGTACCTCAGTGGTTTTGTCGTGAGGGCCGGCTTTTGGATCGATGGCATTCAGCTCTTGACCAGCCTTGGTAGAAAATCAGCCATGTTTGGAAAAGCCCATGGTGGTTCTGCGTAAGTCACTCCAGCCCGAGGGATGTGGTTGGGCAGGGCGAAGTAACGCTGACATTTCGACTCAGACACACTCTGATACCTCCTCGAGGCTACTCTATCTGCGGTGTTGCTGGCACATGTGGCGCCTGGCTGGACGGCTTCTCCATTCTCATCAAACATTAAGACTGTGCCAATTTTGACGCAGACCGAGACGAAAAAAAAAACATGGTTTATGCATCTTAATTCTCATTTATGGATTACTCGAGCATTTGGACCTAGCTTGCCTTGGACGGTTTTTTTGGGTTTTCAGTCGCAACGCATGAGAGACAGACAAGCAAACTAATCAATGGGGCAGAGAGCGAGATGGATTTACAGGCGGAATGGACGCTTTTCTTTTTTTACACCACTAAAAATCGGACATGGAGGAGAAAACACGGGCTTTGCTAGTACCAACCTGTGTCTGGCGTTTTGAGCTGAATTTTGTCTCTCCTTTTTCTCTTTCTTTCATATGTTGCTAGGATTGGGCAAAGATACCCGCTGGAAAACTAGTCTGCACTTTTTGTGAAGGTCACAGTCGAGTAGCAACTGTGGGTATATTATTTTGGGAGAGACGCTCAGTCTGGAAGGAATACGAGACTGGGTAGGGAAGTTGTACACATTGGTACTTGTTTATATTCTCATTTTATGTCTGATTGTGGACATTGATAGGATCGTCAGTGTCAGGCTAGAATACCTAATAATCACTACAGGATATTGCTGCATTGTTGTTGTCATCTCTTTGGGGCTTGGTCACTCGACATGCCACTGCTAGACTTGAGTGTCTGAGCTGAGGGGGGTCAGGACATGTCCTCACTCCTAGTAATGTATGTGATATTGCTGATAATATTGTTATTACCGTTAATAAGCGTTCTGATAAATTTATTTGGAGTCGCGTGTCCCTCTTGAAGTCGTGTGAACAGTGTCTTGGATACTAGCGGTGATATTTGCATGTGACGGTGCATATACTTTGCAATACCTGGTCAGCTGCATGTTGAGCCTTACGTTAAACGCCACAGGCGCAGCAAGTACTCGGGCTGAGCTTCTCTGAACATTTCCATGTTATTTTCAACGCTTTTTCTCGCTCCAGCTTCTTTCAGCCGAGTTAAGGCAAACGAGGAAACAAGGATGGTGTACTCCGTACAATCAAGACTTGGATGTTTCACCTTCTGGGTTAGCTTTCTTCTTAATTGGGTATCGCGCAGAGGCCTTTTATATATGAAAGTCGTCCTCCTACTGGGAGTGACTATTCAGCATCCCACGTTCGCTATTCAGCATCCCATTCTTAAATTTAAAGCAGCCCGGGTAGTAATAATAGCAGATATTAGAGGAATATATAGATAGTAGCAAAAACTAGCGATAGTAGCAGATACACCAGGAATTGTATAATATGTATTTAAGTAACGGTGATAAGAGATCTTCATAATAATACGTTGTTACCCCATTCGGAACTCCTCTTAGCCGCTGGGGTGCTGAATAGCCCTTCCACTCCTATACCTCAAAACGCGATTCCATGTCGAGCATCGCTGCTGCCTGCCTGTTGGCCGCTCAACATGCGGCCTGCCTTCCATAAATCCTGGGATGTGTTTACCCCGCAAGCACCAACAGCAAATGATAACCACATCTTGCCTCCTCTTCACTCAGCACACGTGAATACTTCTGGGAAGTGCACCAAAGTTCTGCCAACAACGGATTCAAAATGCCCGCTGAAAAGCATCTCTTGAACGACATTTCCGGCGAAGATGCACCAGCGTCGAAGTTGGCCAAGACGAGCGCCAACGACGACTGGCGAGATCTGTTCGAGATCAAGGTCAAAATTCCTTCCCTGACCAAGACTTTCGAGAATGATTGGAAGCCACCGACCCGAGCTCAGCTCAAAATGAGAGCCCGCTTCCACGGCAGGCCAATGTCGCCGTTGACGGACCAAGAGAAAGCAGAAATTTACGGTCCTCGTGAATCTCGCCCTCCATGGATGATGGACCTAGAGCAAATCACCACGCCTAGAGAGAATGAGTAAGTATACTGCTTCTCCATTCTTGAAAACAAGCCAAGCACGTTCTTATGGCCTCTAGTTCACCTAGGATGAATGTAACTGGAGCCAAAGATGAGGGCGGCGACGAGACGAGAGATAAAAACAGCGGTGAAGAGAGTGATGAAGACATGGATGAACACTTGGATGAAGACATGGATGAGGAGAGCGATAACGAGAGCGATATTGACCCGTATGAAGGAATGGAGTGGATCGAGGTCATCAATGGATCCGTTCTCTCAAAGAAGACCAACATCAACGGCAAACATGACTGTATAGGTTCGTGCACCAGCGTCCTGATTAGACGTAATCAGATACGATCCAACTTCCACGACGATATCAAAGATCCAACTGAAGAAACTTCGGCCATGGGCTTCGACCTCTTTGATCGGTATGGTCGGCTCAAGCCTGTCTTCAAGAAGGACCCGGTTCGATCTGGTTCCGGTATCTGGGGCGATGAGTTGGATCATGGCGACATTCTCTTAATCGACCAAGTGAGTATCAACGAGTGTCACAGGCGTCAAGGCCTTGGCCGGGAAATGGTTCGCGACATCCTGCAAAAAGCAATGGCCAAGTGCGATCCCCAGACATTCGTCGCCATCGCTTGTTCGGCCGCGTTAAACTCGGAAGTCAGAGACGAGTGCGAGAATAAAAGTGATGAAGAGCAAAGACACATATACGACAGGGAGGAGCGAACGGCGGAATGTTTCTTAAGGTCTTTGGGGTTTCGGCGTATTGGCTACACGGAGTGGTTCGCTTTCCTCCCAGGGAATACGCAACATGCGTGTCAATCTCTGCCTGCCGACAAAGATTTCGACCCGCCCAGGCCAACACCAGCTCACACAACCAATATCTTCTTTGAAACGCTGCTGGACGAATTTGAGGCAACCAAGGGCGATACTGCTCGGTTAGCAGTGATTCAGAAGGCTCTCGAATCCTACGGGCCGGAGGAGGACATCTGGGTCTTGGCTGACAGACGCGGCAACACCTTACTACATCACGCAGCAGCCTTTGAGAATCCGTCATGTGTCAAATGGATCCTCGAGAAGTGTCCGCGCCTAATCACAATTCGGAATTACATGGGAGGGACGCCACTCGAGTTGTGCCAAGAACAAATAGATGATACCCGCACTCAGCATGGGATTTCGGATAAATTCACTGGCTGCTCGCAGCCTTTTTTGGACATCCTCTCGACTTTGAAAGGACTGAGCGACCCTTCACCAGAAGAGTTGCAACGGCTCAGGTACGGCTGCACCTGCGGACAGTGTCAAGAGGGCTTCATGAGCCCGCGAATGCATTTGGCACTCCGCTGTTGCGCAGCAGACGCCGGGGACATGCTCTCTGACGATGCGGATAATAGTGATGGCGACTACTTTGTAGAGAAGAATAGGCTCACTCTGAAGTATCTGCAACCCGGGGTACGCGACAACCTGCGCACAAACAAGTCCATGAGGCAAGGATTTGCCAGCATTTTGGGCCACTTTGCCCGGCTTCTGCGAGACCACACGGAGCCTCCCCACGTGCACAAGATCCTCGAGATGACCAGATCCTCGAGGGAGTGGCCACCCGTTACCAAGACCTATCTCAGCCGCGGTGGCACCGTCGAGGCAGTGGGTTCCGCCCTCTTCGCCAGAGCCATGGACGAGTCGCTGTGGGCTGTGGGCGGAATAATCTGGGATCTCTATGCAGATGAGATGGAGGCGCTGCCGGCTTGTCGCAACGATGACGAGTTTGGGTTCGTGAGCGGCCTATGTGGTTATAAGCGTGTCCGTAGGGTCCAGTATGTGTCGATGACTGGGATTCCGCTCGATGACGATTTCTAGCGCTACAACTACCTACAAGACTTTTTGTGCAGTTGATTTTCTCTCTCATGTGTCCTTGATGCCCCTGTCTTTAGGCTGTTTGACAATATGCCTAGAGTTGCTGTTGTGCTGGAGTTGCTGCTCTCGTAATCTAAGCGTACCTACTAGGTATTACTCTGTAGATTAGGATGTAAACCTGAGGCATGTTTCCACAGGTCATGAGACACTCACAAGAAGACGGGCAAAGAGATGTAGCTTTACTAATCTCTTACAGCATATCTGGCAGATTAGCAGCATGTGGATGGGATGGACAAGGCTTTTGCTCACCCTTGGGGGGAGCTGATACATTTGGGTTTCATAGCTCATATGACATCTATGAAGAGGGTCATACTGACAGCAGCTTAAAAAAGTGCCGTCTCTCTTTGCTCATTGAGGCACTGCTGGAGTACTCGTACTTGCTACTTGGGGTGTACATGCATGCACCAGACGTCATTCTTACTAAGGCGGTGTTGTTTGCCTGTGTGTGCTTACCTTGGCAACTTGGCAAAAGCTGTCTGCGCATCATGGTGTAACTGTGACCGTGATAGGTACATGTAGGTAGTAGCTGCATAAGTGTGTGCATCATCATGCCTGGTAGGTGGTTGACATCACCGATGAGCAACGAGCAACAGGTGCAGCCCGTTAGCAGGTACAAACAAGCTGCTGGCCCAACAAGTAGCGGTACTTGTCAGCTAGCACAATTGACATTGCTCTGTGCCCTACCACCAGTTCTTGTGGCGCAAATGGCCCTGCCGTGCTGTATCAGCTGGTACTGGATACTGTCCACATGCTGCTAGCCGGGTAGTCGGGACCAAGACAGGCTGTGCCAAATGGCAACAGCGCCACCCTAGGCTCTTTCGCCTAGCAGCGGACAGCTAACAGCTAAAGAGTGCAAGTGCCGTGTCCAATGTAATTGAGCATTTGCTGCAGCAGCCCCTCGCGTCGTCCATTTTTTTTCTTCTTCCCTTCTTCGTCTTCTTCGTCTTCTTTCCACAGACATCACCGTCACCTGTAGTCGCCGTTTCGCGATATCCCACCGGGTGCTTCTCTTATTTTCAATACTTAAGCTTGACTTCTCTTTTTGAACTTTGTTTCGGGACGCTTCGAGCTTTGCGCGCCCTTTGATCCACCACTGCTGCCCCGTTCGAGGAACCGAATAGACGGACAAAAAGCCTCTCTCTGAGCCTCGGTCTACAAGCCAAACAACCAACTCGCCATGTCAAAACGACCCAGTGCCGCTTCGGCAGATGCGAATGGCCTGACTTCGAGAGAGACGCCGCCGCAGAACCTGCCAGGTACGAACCCTCAACTGCAGCCTCGTGGTGGGAATAGTGTTGGGGATGGGTCATATATTTTGCCGAGCTAGAGACACATCAGAAGCTAACCTCTCCCTGTGTCTTCTAAGCAGCCATTGATAAGCAAAAGATGCTTCTTTCTGCAGACGTGGGCCATTTCTCACTGGTACGGGCCATGCACCTCGCAGATCTCATCACTCTGATGAACGGTGGGTTCCTCTCTCCCCTTGTTCCCTTAGTTTTGCTTGGCGACCTTGATTGCTGACGTTGCATGTGATGCTGTCATAGGCTTCTGCGGTGTCATGTCGATATTCTCGTCCTTACACTCGTGCCTTGACGATGCCAACAGAGACACTCATCTGCGGTGGGCGCTAGCCTTTTTGCCATTTGGCCTGTTCTTCGACTTCCTTGACGGCAAGGTTGCCCGATGGAGGAAGAAGAGCAGCCTCATGGGCCAGGAACTGGATTCCCTTGCCGATTTGGTACGTCGTCCTGTCTATAAGCTACTTGTTAACAATCAAGCATGCATACTGACACGCCCTGCTTTGTAGATTTCGTTTGGTGTTGCCCCCGCCATGGTGGCCTTTTCAATTGGTCTTCGAACTACCGCCGATACCGTCGCCCTCACCTTTTTTGTTCTGTGCGGCCTGACCAGACTGGCCCGCTTCAACGTTACCGTCGCGGTTTTGCCCAAGGACGCCAGTGGCAAGAGCAAATATTTCGAGGGCACTCCCATCCCGACGTCTCTGGGCTTGGATGCCATCATGGCTTACTGGCTGCAGCAAGGCTGGATCCTGGACAACATCCCCTTTGGCACCGTGTTTGAAGGCACGTCGCTTGAGTTCCACCCGGTCGTGCTTTTGTTCATGATTCACGGCTGCATGATGACCAGCAAGACGATACGCATCCCAAAGCCTTAAATTAGGCGACAGCATCGACCGTAGCAAAGTTGTAGCTTTATTTATTTATTTTTCTAATTCTCGGTCTTACTGGATATTCGGCTGTGACAAATGGGGCTAGAGGGTCAATGGTCTGTATGGTTCATGATCAATGAGAGCTGGCGCATACGAGATTGTTCAATCGTGTTTGGCTTGGTGGTTGCCCGGCAAGCGCCTCGAAATATGGATAAACATTATGGTTGGAGGCATGGGGTTCTTTTTATATAATGATAGCTACTCTCCTATACAACTGGAGGTTTTTGGCACTTTGAGGCTCGAGGAGGAGAGGATATGATCTGCATAACTTACCACAACAGAGATTATGATACCCCTATGACCATCCTACGTCTTGTATGCTGTGAGAGAGACCCGTGTTTGGTAAGCCCCAAAGTGATTACATTTATTTGTCTACATTCGCATCACACTTTGCCACTCTTTGTTTGCTCTTTCGTTACATGAATTCTTCGTCATGCCTGGTCGAGACAGCAGCACCCAAGATGGGTGGGAAGAGAAGGGGGGAAATGAAGATGACGAGAAAACCCAATTCAAGTACGATGAGGAATAAACCGAGCCATTAAACGCCGTGAAGCCCTTTGTACATATAAAAATCTCTCCCCCTCTCCTTTTTCGCCCCAAGCAAGCTGCTGTCGGCCGCTTCCAATGCCGGGTTTTTCTTCCCTTCTTGCTTTCCAATTCCTAGAGGGGGGGAATCCCCAAGGTTTGTTCAGCAAAGACGGAAAAGAAAAGACGGACAATTCATCTTGGTACGTCTGCCTTGTTTGTTTCTCTCTCTCTCTTCCTTCTTAGAATCCACGTCCTCCCCTGCTGAAGCCACCACGTCCCCTGCCACCGCCGGCACCGCCTCTGGAGAAGCCGCCGCTTCCACCACGGCCACCACGGCCGCCGAAGCCGCCACCACCGCCTCGCGAGAAACCTCCACGGCCACCGCCGGGGCCGCCGCGTCCGCCGCGGGAGAAACCTCCGCGACCGCCTCCACGGGGCCCGCCGCGCGAGCTGCCGCCGGCGCGCTTAGGCTTGGGGGCACCCGGCGGGGGCTTGGGCTTGGGCAGGAACTTGTCGAGGGGCAGCAGCTTCTCGGGGGCGATGTAGAACTTGTCGCCCTCCTTGAAGGAGGCGGCCTGGATGCCCTCGGAGGGCTTGATGGTGAAGAAGACCTGGTTGATGGGGCCGAGGACCTCGTCGACCTTGCCGACGGCCGTCTTGTTCTCGAGGAAGATTTGGGCGTTGAAGTGGGGGACCTTTGGGTTGATGGACTCGCAGACCATTTCGCCCTCGCAGGCGTGGACGAACTTGCCCATTTCTGTGGGAGGTGGTTTGTTAGCTGGGTGTGTGTCTTCTGATTTGTCTGAATCTCTGCCTCTCGCTCATTGTGTTGTGCTTCAGTTTGAAGCCATTGTCCATTGCCATTCGCAAATTGGACGACAAAAAATCTAGAGCAAGTCCAAAACAAGAAGTAGAGAAAGAAGCGCGCAGTCGCAAGGCCACTCTCCCCGTCGAAGAGAAATTTTCAACAAAAGAAGCCAAGAGCAAAAACTTCGACACCAACCAAAAAACTCTGCCGCAAAGACAAACAAAACAAAATCAGAAAATCAATGAAGAGAGCAAAAAAAAAATCGCCATACCTAGAACCTGCGCCGGCGGGCCCATGTCCCTCTGTTGGAATCCTCCCCGTCCGCCTCGAAAGCCGCCGCCAGACCCTCCACGACCACCGCGAGACCCGCCTCGGAAGGACATGTTGTGCTGCTTGATCTTTTATTTATTTATTATTATTTGTTTTAATGAGTGAGGAAGAAAGAGTTCCGTGGGCGAGAAAGAGGCCAATCGTCGGGGGTTTGCGAGTTGGAGGCCCGTTTCTTCGGATGTCGTTTCCCTCGTCGGTCGTGAAACTTTTTTTTTTTTTTTTCCTAGAGCGTCTCCAAAGACTGGTGTTGAAATTTTCGGAGAAAGGCTGCTTGCTTTAGAGGAAGCTTGTCCGATTGAGGGGATCTGATTGGCTGGTGCGGAATAATGTTGGAGCGGATTGTGCGTGGTGGGGCAAGAGGGACGTATCTAAAGTACATTGATACATCGACATATCGATACAGCGATACAGCGATACATGCAATTTCATTTGAGGTGCTCCATAACAGCGTTTATAATTTCATATAGGCATTGCGAGATACTGTGAGATTGAAACGGCCTGCTGCTACCTATGGTATCAATCTACTTTTGCAAAAACAAAACATTGAATTTCATCAAACAGCAAAAAACTGCTAGCTGTACCACGCAGGGCAAGCTATGGATATACCTAACGAGTGATGCGGTCCAGAAAACACTTGCATCGACAACAAAGCAACGGAAAAAACGCCTTCAACTCACTCAATACACTGTTGCTCTTTTCCGGCCCCTTTTCCCCCTCCACAATCCAATAGCAAAAATCCATTGTACAGGACGCAGATACCTAAGACAGTAGGTAATCAAGAGATGGTATCCAGATAGTGACGTACACACATTTCTTGGACAAATGAAAACCAAAATAGCAAGAAAAAAAATGAAAAGAAATAACATATCCATCAATAAATCAAATGACGGGCCCTAAGGAAAGCTGCCCGGCATCGGTAAGTCTGACACTGTCACCGTACTAGCCGCTCTCTCATCGTTGATTGCCCGAACCGCGTTATTATCACCCACTAGCATTGCAGCATCTCCCTGACCAGGAAGAACCTGCAGTCCTGAGGCATCAGGCTGAACTTCAGATCTAGGAATCGCATCCGGAGAGAGAGGTGCTGTGCCCCCGACATTTGTGTAGTGTCCGCCGTTGATATCGTTCGTGTCAGCTCCTGCAGCTGTACCATTGATAGCGGCTGCATTCTGTTGCTGTTGTGGACCGAGAGATTTGTCACCACCTATGCCGTTGGCCAGCACTGGCGCACGAGTGCCTGGGATGATAAGTGGCGTCACGAAGACGTTTCGTTGGTGGCTTGGGCTCTGGTTTACTGGCTCGCTTGTGTAAGGGTTGACGCCGTCGACCTGTGCCTCATGGTCGGCTATGACTGCCTGTGCATGGACGTCTGTTATCGGGGTCTCGCCTCTCTGTCCGTATTCCGGATGGCCTTCGTCGTGCCGTGTGTACTTCTCCGGAGAATAGGCCTCTGTGGCTGATCCTGGAATCGCGGTTGCTGCAGCAATCACCGGGGCATGTGGCTCCTGGCTGGATCCTACACTAGACGGGGACTGAGGCACCTGTAAGCCTCGTTGTGCGTTGACTTGGATATCGGATGGGAACCGCCCACCTGGTTGGGGTCGCCGCGTGGCAAGAGGTCCTGGCGTGACATCTTGCTCGGTCGCTGTAAATGGCTCCTCGTCCTCTTCCTCATCAAGTCCGTCGCTGCTAGCTGAGCGGTGCGATGATCGGCTCGTGCTTCGCCGTGAGTGAGATCGTACAAATGCTGTTCGCTCCTCCGGAGACGTTTCCGTCAGGGCCCTGATGTCCTCGTACCAAGCCATCATAGTATCATGGCTCTCGGCCCGGAACACCCAGGTGTGGCCTCGGTGCATGGCGCCAGTCTGCCGTCCCTTGAGAAGAAACTTGTTGGATGGACCTCCTTCGCTAGAGCGGGATCCTAGTTTTTGTTCCGGAAGATAGAGAGACATTATGGGCGCCTGAGCTTTGTCTGCCGACTTGAATTCGTGAAGATGCGTTGTCGAAAGTACATACCTAGCATCAATCGCATTAGGTTTTACCTCGTTGAGTGATATGGGATAGGAATAAATCAGCTGCTAGTACACAAGGAAGAAAACTCACCATCCTGCCGTATAGCTCTTCAAGTACTTGCTCTTGCGCTCCAGTAGTCCGGCGCGGATTTCTTGCGCCGAGAGATGGTCTTGCCCTGGGTAATGAATCTGTTCGACCGAGCGCAGCGGCATGCTGGGATTGACCACTCGGCTATCGTTAGACACAAAATGCTCCCACTCTTGATCCTTGGGCATAGCAATTGGTCCATCACGGAGTTCTCCGACCACGCTGTGAGCATTGTCTGCCTCGCGCTTGAGGATACCAGCGTAGGCATTGTAAGCCTTTTGAATCTCGCCTACGATGATAGATTCGAGCTCGCGGCCTGAGCCCTCAAGGTTGAGATAGGCTTGATGCAAGTAGTTTTCTTCGTCAAGCTGGCGCTCAATCTGGCGATCGACCGCAATCTTGAGGAGGTATGGATCCTGCTTGCCCGTCGTGGCGGCGGTGTCCATCTCATTCTTTCCCAGCGCTTCTGAGAGGATCTTGACAGCCTTGCCGGTGGAGTCCATTTCCTTATCAACAGAGTTCTTGAAGTCACCGGCCAGGTGTTTGATTTCCTTGATCTTTTGCTGCAGATCGCTCCTCAGGCCAGTAAGCGCCAAGATGACATCCTCCTCGATTTCCTTGGCTTTGTTGGCCTCTTGAAGGGCTAGCTTATTATAGTTGCGTATAATTTGAAGAGCATCATCAATGCCGGCGGTTTGGAGGAACGAGGTTGGGTTCGACATGTTGTTGGCGACGCTTGATAGCTTGGCGAGCGACTTGGACCTTTGCTCATAGTGAGACTGTACCTCACGATAATACGCAATGAGGTCTTTCAGGATTTTCCTCCAGTCTGTTGAGTGTCGTACAACGTTAGCGTCAGATGATACAATACAACGGCTACAATGCGCCGAGTCGAATCTGAGACGGGGGGAGGGGGTGTCATGAAGGCAAGCATACTCTGGAATCTAGCGGCGAGCACATCGGTAGGATTGCCGTTTGTGGGAACGGGACAGAAGAAGGCGCTGTGCAACTCGTCGGGATCCGTCGCAGTCTGGAGGACAAGGCTCTTGACACTGCCAGCTCGTGCGCTGCGGCGGCTACTGGATCGCACAATGCTGCCCGTGCCGCTTCGCCGCAGCGAGGCCTTCTTCTTCAGCGTGTTGCCCCTCTGAGGCAGGGCGCGATCATCGCCAGCCGCATAGCTGTTGACCGAGTTGGAGCGTTGCACGGCCGATGGTCCGGCCTCGGCAGTGGCAGACATTGCTGGAGGGCTTTGGCCACGGCGGCCGTCGACGACGGAACCTCCACGCTGGCTGGCGTCCCACTCCTCGTTGAAGCGGCCAGGAAGGGGACTCTGGCGTCTCTGAGGCGATGCGGTATGCGAGCGTCGTCCGGGTTCGAGGTATGTGGGCTGCGGCTGGTAGGAGAGAGGTCGCCTCCCCTTCTGCGACGTCTGGTAGGGCGAGCTGGACGGCTGTCGCTGCGATTGCGACTGTGATGCGACCTGCGGCTGCTGCAGGTAAGAATTGAGCTTGGGACCCGAGTTCAGATCAGGGGAGAGACGGGTCAATCCCTGAGATTGAGGCTGGGGATCCATTGCGACGAGAGGGAGGAGAGCAGCAGAGCTGGGCAGAGCAGAGCAAGGCCGAGCTGAGCTGAGGAGAAGGAGAGAAAATGCAGCAAAAAGAGGAAACGAAGCTCCGAGCAGCCGCACAGCCAAATATTATAGTTTGCTCCTAATCTGGATGCCAGCCAAGACGGCGCCCGACCAAGGTTTCGCCTCGCACGAATTAGCGAGTGACGACAGCTGGGACGATCACCGAAGCACAAAGAGGCGTTGGTGGGGAGGGGAAAGTCGAGAGGCCGTCAACGTCAACAGGCGTGACTGACGCAATGGCAGTTCAGTCGAGGTGAGACTTTTTGGGGTCGGCAAGCCAAAGCAGGTTTTAGCGCAATGGAAACAGAGACAGTGACGGATACAGAAGCGGAAACAGAAAACAGAGCCTAGATGAATTACGAGATGGCTGATGCGATGGACCGTGTTAGAACAAAGCAGCGCTGCTGTAAATTGCGAATTTGGTGCTGCCGAGCCACAGGCCAACGAAACGAAGCTGCGCATTGCTGTCCTGCTAAATGATTTGCGTCGCACGGGGAGACGGGCAATGCCTTTCATGCATGTAATGGCCCTGTAATGGCCCCGTAATGGTGAGCATAAGTACAGCTGCGGGTCACAGGTACATGCTCCGCCCCCTCCGACCGTGCAGTCGCAGAGGTACTCAGAACCCGGGTTGACCTCATCGGCCTTACAGCGCAACACAGAAACCGAGAGGGGGCACGCTAGCGCAGGAACCTCTTCGATACCTGGTATCGTTGCATCACTTGCGTCTGCCGCTGCGTCACTTGCAGGTACTGGGGGAGCGAAAAGAGAGCATGACCAGGCACCCAAGGTGGCCAACCTGCGATGCACGAGTGACCATCAAGGTGATGAATGCTCCCTAGCATCAGGGCAGTGCTGTCTACTAGAATAGCAAATAGGTACATACGTAAGGTGGAAAGATCTCAAGATAGATAGCAGGGCCGACGAAACACCCGTAAGCAGTGGCGGTAATATTCCATTCAGTGCCTGTAATCCTCCTCCACGGAGCGTCCCGGGGCCAAGGGGCACAGTCTCACTCGATATTACTGTACGTGTACTCACTCATACCATGACTTACTACGAAAGTACCTATCATTGTCCTGTCCTGTCCTCCTGTTCTGTCCTGTTCTGGCCCCTAACATGGGCATTGACACTGGCACAGGCACTGACACTGACACTGACACTGACAACTGACAACTGACATGCCAACACCCCCCAAAATCTGCGCTTCAGCTGTCACCTCATGCACAAACCCGCGCTCAAATCGTCATTTTTCGCTTACAGCAAGTCCCTTTAGACCCCTACAAACCCAAAGTCCTGCTACCGCCGTCGCCGCTCTAAACTCGTACTGCCAGGCATGTAGCACTACACACGTCAAATCCACCCTTCAGCTGCTTCTGTCCAAGCAACACAAGCCTGGCTGCCTCTCTCCTCAAAGCCCCCCAGAGAATGACGTATTAGTTCGTCCCCTAAAACAAGCGCCAGCCCAGCACAAGCCACACGCCCCTCCTCCCCCACCAGCCTATCTCTCCACTTCAAAATTCCATCGTGCACGATCGAGTCTCTCCGCTCTGGAAGGTTATTTCCTTGCATTGCTTTGTTTGGAATCGGTAGAAATTATGGAATCTTGGAGTGTTGCTCCACTGCAATGCGATTGGCGTAGCATCGAGCAATGGCACTAAGACTCTGGATGGATTTCCTCACTGGGAGCGCCTAGCGAGCTAACAAGGTTTAACTAGATATCGGGCGGGTTTTATTCTAGATACACCAACTTCATAGTCATTATATAAAGCAACCGGACCATGCGGCCCCTCGGCAAGATCAGTATGAAAGGAAAAATATTACTGGCCTATACTACTAGAAATTAGAAGTAAATTGAAATCCAAGGTACTACTCAAAATACGGTAGGTTCCTAATTGAATCTCCTGCGATCATCCATAAATGTCCTTGAGAGGGGTCAAAACTGCTGTAAAATGTGCATTACTTGCCAAGTGGTTTGCAAAAGAAGAGGGACCGCAAAATGAATATGTGCATACATTGAGACAATGAAAGCAATATTTCGCTGAATTTAGCGTGGTCTATGTATGCGTACTGAGTAATTCTGTGTGCCGATTGTTATCAGCCGAACGTCTTTCACAGCATTTTTTACTCCCCAAGGCCTGAATAACTAGATCGATTTGATTCTAGTCTCTAGAGGACTGGCCTATAATATTTCTCTTTTCATGCATGTAAGTATTTCTCTTTTCATACAAGCGTGATGACCGAGACTCATTTCACAGCATTTTTGACTCCAACTAAGGCCTGAATGGCTGGATCGATTTGGCTCTAGTCTCTAGAGGACTGGCCTATAATATTTCTCTTTTATCATGCAGGTGAGTGTCTCAGACATTTTGCTTCACAGCATTTTTAACTCCCCCCAAGGCCCGAAGAGCTAGATCAATTTAGTTCTAATTTCTACCTATGCAGGCCAATAATATTTCTCATCTCCGGCGATCATCCATAAATGTGGCCTTGAGTGAGGTTAAAATTGCTGTGAAATATGCAGCCACAATTCAGCGAGCTAATACTATTTTTCTTCCATGGTCGTATGCATGGCCCAAAGATCCCGAGAGTGATCGCTGCCCAATGACGGGTATGCAGTTTCCCAATTGAGTCTCCTGCAATCCTCCACGACGGTGTGCGGCCTTGGGTGAGGTTAAGACTGCTGTGAAATACCATGCAAGTGAGCTTGCATGGATGCGTTGTTATATTTTCACAGCATCTCAACTCTCCTCAAAGCCAGGAGAGGCAAAATCGACTTTGGCTCCATATTCAAATGCTTTAAACAAGGATTCAAATACTTTAAACGAAAATCGAGATGTACTTTGATAAGGCTTACCGTTATTATTATTACAAAGAAAAGAAAAGGCAATTATATAATGAAATATTCGTCAAACACTTAAGTGGACTTCTCGTCCTTCCGATCAAATAACTACTACCTGACTGCAGCATTTCAAAACAAGATTCAATTAGTCAATGTATTGTAGAATAAACGCCCAACGTCACACACGGCACATCCGAAACCCTATGAACACTAAACAAGCAAGAAAAGAAAAGAAAAAAAAAAGAGAAACAAATTCGCCCAAGTAAGAAATGCTCCTTTGCCTGTTCGCCCCTTGTTCCAAGCATCATGCCCAGTAGTAAGACATCGTATGTACGTCTGTATGTACAAAACAAAGTAAAAAAGGTATAGTAAGTCCTGGGTAGGCTGCTTCTCGTCCCGATAAACACTCTCTTGTCTATACTGCGAGGTATTTCCCTTTACTCATGTTTCTCGTGTCAAACAATAGCCGGCCTGTCGCTGATCAAGTTCAAGAGCTGAAAATCCGCGTCATTCTGCATTGTACTCCAAAAACTCCAGAAAAGCTTCGGCCGTGTGCTTCCAAGGAGGTGAAGACACGTACCGGTCGACGTCTTTGAGCGCCAGCAATACCGCTGGGGCTCGCTTTCAAACAATTCTCTTGAAATTAAGAGGTGACGAAGTCAAGGAAAGAAGAGAAGACGAAGAAAACCCCAACAACAAAAACATCTTAACGTACATACGGCAAATTTTGGCTACAAGCCTGTCGACTCCCTAGTGTATGGTTCCTGCGAGGTGTTCATCCGATGACGTCGTTTCTGCCAACCTCACCTTGCCGTGTCGTCTGGGGGGTGGCGCTTTTGGAGGGGTCTTTTTCGCGGCAACTTTACTGATATGTACCATGGTGGTGGCTGCATGCTTGAAGGGAACGCCGTGCTTGTGTTTGGGGACCACCGGAAGAGGCTTCTTGGCTTTGCCAGTACTGTCTTCCAGCTCCACGTAATGCTCAGAGTGCTCCATGCCTGCTTTCGAGTCATTGTTTCGACTTGGTGTATGCACGCCTGGCTTTTCCGTGACTTCGGCCAGATCACTGACACTAACACTGCTGGATGAATCTCTTGGCGAAACGCTCATGCCTAGGAGCTTTCGGGCAACTTCTGCCTGCCCCGACGTCTCAGAGTCTGCATCATCGTCTGCCTCAAGCCATTTAACTTTGGCTATTCGGTGTACCAATCGCAAGGTTGTCGGATCGGCTGGGGCAAAGTGGGCGTTGTGGGAGCCCTTCAGGATCTTGAGCAAGCGGAGAATCTCATCCTTTTTATAGTGTGGCGGCTGGTTCATCTGTGTATGCGCCAGCAGAGGATATAGAATTCGCAGGTAGGTATGCCGGAGAGACATTCTCTCGTCCGGGAGATCCATCAAATTTCGAATGATGACGTCCAATAACACTCGCAAGTCGTTTGTATAAAAGTATTCGTACGTCGCTTTAGTTGTGAAAAGAAGATATAGTAGCTTAAGGATTAGAAGCTGGAGAGACGTCTCCGTCTCCCGATTCAAGAGCAGAATGATATTCTCCCCAAATGTTCGAAACTTTGGTCCGTGGAGACTTAGGCATTTTACAATGCGGTTCGTTGGCGGTTCGGGTGTCGATCCGGGATTCGTCACGGTATCTGTAGACGCAAGCATGTATTGCTCGTTCAAGACAAGCTGTTGCCATTTGTCAGCATATCTCAATCTTCAAGGACTGGGATCTCTCTTGGATGTAGAGAGCGAAACACGCACCAGTACTCTAATAGTTGGGTAATGATATGGATCGTTTACATCGCTAGACACGCCCTCGATAAGGCGAAACAATAAGTGTATAAAGTTATCGTCGACTAGCGCCAAGTCCTCCGGCGTAAGCCGCTCTACGCGCGACATCTCGTACATGAGCTGCAGCAGAAACCGATGGAGGCGCGGGTCGTCGTCAGAGTCTCGGCTGCTGATCAACTCCAAAAGGCGAGGAAAGCATGCTTCCTGGATCATGCGCGGAAACGTCACCGCGTCCTGGTGGCCGTCGAGAAGAAGCATACATACTATAGCGTGGAGCGGCCCGGACTCGTCCTCCTGCAGCAGGCTGTAGATGAGCTGCTTGCGGACATAGTCTTTGTTGTGCTTGAATATATCGCTGTTCATTAAGATCTGCGAGCACATGACAACCTCGTCTTGCGACGCGGGTTGCTGCAAGCGCAGCTGGGTCGTCAAGTTCAGCCAGGAACGAAGGGCATCGTCGATGGATTCGTGGCTGTCGCAATGTTCCGACACGCACTTGTCGAGCTCTAGACAGCAGCCATTGTCAATGTCCGTCTCCCGAGTGTTGGATGTAGCTGGTCCGTCAACTCACCATTCCACAGCCCGTCCTCCTCCTCGGGAGAGAGAGGAGAGAGCGGAGATGGCACCATCTCTTCGTAATCCGCCATGGCTGCCAGATCCCGCAGCAGGTGGCAGCGACTGCATCGGGGCCTTTGCGCAGACGATTTGGCGATGGCTGGCGAACTGGCGAACTGGCGAAGGGAAGAAGAGGAGCAAGTACAGCAGGCCAACCCGCGACAGGCTCGCCAAAGTATAAAAGGGCACGTCGACCAAGAAAAGTGAGCCAGACGTCGCCAAGCACCCAGTTCCGGTCCCAGTCCTAGACCCTGTCCCAGACCCTGAAAAGGCTCCTGATTGCTGATTGACTGGGTTTGTGTTACTTGGGATGCGAGCGGAATGCAGGCCCCGTTTGATGTGTGGGGTAAAGGGAAGAAAAGAAGGCGATGCTTCGGGATTGATTTCGAGTCAGTAGCCTGATGTCACCCAGCAGGCGCAGCCGATAAACGGTGGCACTAAGAAAAAATTATATTTCAACTGCAGCCACTAATCCATGCGCCATGCTTGCCAAATTAATATGTGGCGGCTGGGGACTCCGTATGGATGGTATCAAATGCAGGCATTGACAGAACAGTCTGCAGTATCTACTGTAATGCGTCATGGAGGTATTAGTACCTAGTACTAAGATAGGCAGGCAATTCCTCTTCAATGCAAAATGCAAGATAACGAATTGGCATATCTGTACTCTGTAGCCTCGTTCCATCATCTAAATAATTCATACAAGGGGACAGCAGCATCCTTGTCGCCACTTCGTATGTGCCTCCCTTTTAACATGTCATTTCCGTAGTGGCTCTGTTAATCTCCATCCACGCTTGGCTCCGTGCATCGGTAGATAAGACAGAGACATGTTCTCGAACCTTACATAAGCATCACTCACTCAATCAGACCGTCAACTCCAAATTAACAACAGGGATCCAATGCCTGCCTGTAGGGCTACCGTAATTCTCAACTATATTTTATCTTGTCTACTGTTCTAAGTGCTTCCGCAATGTCTGAGGGTATTCTTTCGTCGTGAAACAAGCTCTCCGCCCGCCTCTTTTGCATATGTACAGCTCCCCACGCTAAACGCCAAATCGCCCATCCCATCCCAACAAGGCCAACCACGCAGGCAACCCAAGACACCAGGTTAACGATATCATTCTATGATTTGTTCTTCTTCCCCATCTTCTCGGTTTCACCTTCTTCCTCGTAGACCTTCACTTTGTCGGCATACTCTTGGATATTGCTCACGACATAGTCGGTGATGGTCTCGCCTTTGCCGGCTGCAACCCTCAAGATCAGCTCGTTCAGTGTCTCTCTTCCTAAAATGTCAACGTGGTCGGCGGTATTGGGGCCTCCTCGCGGGCTAAATCGATCAGGCTCGTGGGGCATCTCTACTACTGTGATCTTGGCGCCAGCAGGGTTATACCGTTTCATGTGCCAGCCATGGTTGCACATGTATCCGGCGCTCAAAAGGTTCACTGTACCGTCTCCCTCACCTAGGATGACACCGTGGTCGATAGCACCTTCGGTGAGCCCAATATCGATGGTAATGTTGAGGTTGGTCATGGTAGGTTGGTCTGGTGCTCTGTAATAATATGATCGCTCTGTAGGTTTACCGACCCCATAAAAGCAATATATCTTGAGATTTGGCGCCAGAGGAAGTCTACTCTCGAGGGGGTTGATCCATTTTTTAGGATCTTTCTCGTTGGCTTCAACCTCTGCGGTGGTATGAGCAACGCCGTGAGAATAGCTTCGCTTGACCTGATCCTTGTACCAATCTTCGGTCGTGTTGAAGAGATACTCCATGGAAGCATCAACTGTAAAGTTTCGGTCGGGAGTTGTCCAGTTTGAGCCGACTCGAAAGTTTAAAAAGGAGCCATATGAGAAACCTTGGTCAGGCTGGTCATCCGGCGCTCCGTTTAAGTCACCCCAAACAGCGTTACCTCCAAGCGGCAGCATTGATGAAATGCCCGGCATTGCTCTGAAGATTTCCGCCCGCTCCTCTTTGCTCAAGAACTTTTCCAGTCCGTAGATTGCCAAGGCATTTAGCTGTGCAGTATCCCGCATTTCTCCGGATAACACGGCCGTCAGATCCTTGACTGCACCCAGCATGCAGCCGCTGATATTGATCCAAGAATCGATATGACGGTCCACCCAGTCTCCTCCGCCACGGCCGCCCTGAGCAGACTCAACCCAGTGATAAAAATAAAAAATGACTTGGCTGCCCATGCTGTGCGAGGCGATGACCACCTTTCTGCCTTCAAATGCGACGGCGGTTTCGATGTATGATTTGAGCTTTGTAAAATACTGGTCTCTTACTTCAAGATTGGGGTAGGAAAGCCTCCAGTCGTATGCAGCCGTGAATGAGTTTGTGGGATCGTATCCAATGGTTGCCAGGTTTTCCAAGACTTTGCTCCAGATCCAATACCCTGTGATGAAGAAGTCGGCTGCGTCAAAGCCCTGGGCTGCACGAAGCTTCACCATGGGCGGATCAAGCCCGGTTCGCTTATCCAACATGATGTGCTTTTTCCAAATCTCCTTGTCAAGAACCAAAGCCCTCATCATTGTCCAGCTTCCCCACAGTCTCTTTCGAAAATAGGCCCTCGAGATGTTAGCCGTGCCCCAGGACTCCAGACCTGTTGAGATGACGCCAGGTATCATGACCATGGGATGGTAAGCATCCAGCCCCTCAGCCCGAGCCTTCAAGCCGACAGAGAAAGAATCATAGGAAGTAGTAACCTCACGCTCTCCTTGAACAAGCTCGCGCATGTCCTTGACTAGGCCTGCCGGGATAACATCCAGCAGACTGTCCATGCTGAGATCGGTAAGCTCCGGCAAGTCGATCAAGTCGTTGGACTTGGCAAAGAATCCCGCAGCAATGAGACCACAGAGGCCACCCAGCAAGAAGATGAAGGTGTTGCGACGCTTGCGCGCCTTGGGCCCTCGTTCGATTACATGGACGTGGGATGTCGGCTGAATCGGCGGGGAGTCTTCTTTGGAGTCCATGGTAGTTTCGGCCGAGCTGGTCTCTGGCGGCATCCGCCTCCGCAGAGTTGTCGCCATGGTTGAAGCCCTCGTGCCAAGTCGCAGGACAAATAAAGATAGGAGAAGAGTAAATGGAACAAAGCCGTGCCAGGTGTTTCAAGGGCTAAAGCTGCTCTCTTGGAAGTTGAGTGTTGCGAGCAAATTGGTTCAAGTTGTCTAAGTAGCGGCTGACGTCAGGGCAATCATCCGGCACGGGAAGAGTTCCAGCCTTCTTAGTGGCTGCCAGCGCTGTGGAAAGGCCACTAAAGTGAACTGACAGCGCCAAAGTGCCGAGGACTCGCTCTCATCGCGAGGGAGGGAAAGAAGAAGAGGAGGGAAATACGAGTTAAATGCTGTACACAAGGGGGAAGGAAAAGTCAGACGCATGGTTCACGCCTCGGAGCGCCCCAGCAGCCCGTCCATTGGCTGCGGCAAGTTGCTGGAACCCGGTTTCAAGCATCAGATCAAATTGGCTTTTGCCCTCCGGATCTGGGAATCTCGCTGAGCCGCTGAGCTGAGCTACAGGTAGTGGACAGCCTTTTTTAGCACGTTTTCTGCGACCCCCCGTTAACATGTGATTGACCGTCACGCGACGATACGATAGCGACTGGAGCCTCCACCCAAGATTTGCTTTTAGTCAGACCTAAGGTTGCACCAAAGCCAGAGAGCTTGCCAGGCACCCAGTCGTTGCCAGGCCTCTCGAAGGATTCCCTGCTTTCCGCCGATGCTGACCGGCTTGCCTGGTTGGCTGCCACTTTGGCTATTCGCTCTCATTGCCGACTCACTGGCCGACGGTTGAGTCACTGCTCGGAGGAGGTGTTTGATCCAGAGAGGGGATAAGAACGTGGGATAGACGGACAGGTGTCTGGCATCGCCTCGCTATTTCTTGCGCTGCTCCCTAGACAGTCCTTCACCGCAAACCAGCAAAACACCATGGCAGTGTCGTCGAACAAGCAGCTGCCAGCCAACCTGGAGTATATCCAGTATGAGCACCGGCTTGAGGCCCAGTATCTCCCGGCCATCCGGGCCCTCATCTCAAAAGACTTGAGTGAGCCTTATAGTATCTATGTCTACCGCTACTTTCTTTGCCAATGGTCCCATCTTTGCTTCATGGTAAGCCATCTCTGTCGAGTTTCTCGCCCGTCACAGCAACTGATCGATCCAGGCCCTGGACCCTAAAGACTCGTCTCTCATCGGGGTCATAGTCTGCAAGCTTGAGGTGCACTCATCTCACTCGCCTCCAACCCGGCGAGGGTATATTGCCATGCTGGCCGTGGCGTCACATTTCCGCGGGCGGGGGGTTGCCACCGCGCTGGTGAAGAAGGCCATCGATGCCATGGCAAACCGCAATGCCGATGAGATCGTGCTGGAGACTGAGGAGACCAACACAGCTGCCATGAAGCTATACGAAGGCCTTGGCTTCATTCGCTCTAAGAAGTTGCATCGATACTACCTCAACGGCAACAGCGCCTATCGACTAATCCTCCTTCTCAAGGCCGTCGACCCGGATCAAACTTCCCTGTACGATGAGCATCAAGTCACATAACTTGCACTAGAACGCTGTCTTGATGGGCAAACAAATAGAGAGAAGGAGGTTCCTCGGGGATATATCGGACTGTTATAGAGAGGCGGCGCATGGGATGGCGTGGCATGGTATGACGTGACACGATATGAGGGTCATTCACAACTTGGCGTTTAGCATATTGGTCTCTACTTGTCCTAGCATGCATTGTGTTTTCAGTCAGCTTGACTTTCGTGGGTAGTCATCTCCCATTGGTTATTTCGGTGTTGGTCTCAAAGTATCTCAGCATTTTAGTATACGTTTTTTGTTGTTCTACCAATTCGAGAAGATGTTCCCTATTTGGCGCCCCTCAGGCTCGGCGAGGAAATACATCTGTAGAGCTATAAATGGACACCCTCAGTCCCCACGCATTGCCATGCGAGATGCCAATATATGTGAATGCATCTGTTCATGGTGTCAGTCTTGAGATCAGATCAGACATACAGCGCCGGAGAGCTTGCCTGGCTTATAGTAAATTGGTCGACCTCTGGCCTCAACCAGCTTGAGCTCGCGCATCTTTTGCAATACGCGCCCAACGTCAGCCTTGTCAGCAAAATCGGCCGTGTATATGCATAGAATGCGATCCTTGCGAGGATCCTCCAATGGCGATCGTGGCGCAACCTTGGCGGCGATGCCAAGCTCATTATTTGCTGTCGCTTTAGCGACAATCTCCCACATTTCGTTGACGTCCGAGGCAGGACAAAACAGCAGCCACTACGGGGGAGGCATGGTCAATAAATAAAGAATCACATATCATCAATCAACATGGGTGATTCGTACTTTGCCTGTTCGCACCTTAGCGAGATGGGCCAGCTTTAGAATGTCGTCAGTAGCCTGCTTCTGCTCTTTTCTGATTTCCTTTTCGACAATAGACTTGGCCTTTCCCGACCTCTGCATCCCTTCGATGAACTTGCTAACCAGGTGAAGCCTTTCCAGACCGCCTTGAGCGACAATGGCCGTCTTGCTGCCCTCTTCCTCGGGCGCCTCATCCTCATTTCCCTTGGAGAACTGGCTCTGACTCTCATGCTTGTGAACCCGTGGGATGTAGGGGTTGCAGATGAATATCCATGGCGTATCCGACGTCTGGTCAGTTGTTGCGGGCGGCAGTCGTGAAAGGAAGTTGTCAATCGTCTCCGTCAATTGCCAGGCATAAGATATGCCGGCATATGGATTGTGCAAGTGAGAAGCCTCGTCATTGAAGTTGATCTTGCGCTGCGGACGGCTCGGATGGACTCGCTGCTGCTGAGCCCAATCGTCCACGTCAAAGTCGGCGACACGCTGTAAGAGGTGTGATGCGACCTCCTCGTCACCTGGATTGTCCGGTCAGAGATGATACTTTCCTTGTCTCCCTTCCCACAATCAGACGAATAAAATAGTAGATGAAACTCAAGGTACCATAAAAGTCCGAGTCGTCAGAGTCCATGGCGTTGACCCAACTCGCGCCGCGATCAGGTACCCGACACCGCCGCTACTGGTGCTCCCGTATGAGCTAACGCTGGTGCACACAGCTATTATTAGTGAACGTCCAAGTACCTATGGATTGCTCAGCTCAGGCTGCCAAAAGTCTGAAGTGGCCTTGGTAGAGCCGCCACAAAAAGTGGTACAAGCTTGTGCTGGTGTTTCGGCGAGTGCGTTTGCCCAAGACTTCAAGTACAAGCCGCGCGTGGGCGATGAGGTCAAGGCATCAAAGCTGCTGCTGGCAAAATATCGATTCTTTAGTCGGCTTGGCTAGAAAAAAAGGGGGGTTAAAAGAAGAGAAACTGCAAAAAGACGTGCAGAGAGACAAAGTTTCGCCCGCGGGGATCGTCTCTTTATGTAGGTGATATTGTAATCCAGGTATTCATTCGTCTTGGTTTACAACCGCCTCCCCTGCAAGCTCTCCCCAGTGACTGCTGGCGGGCTGCCGGGAAGCGATCCGATAAGCTCCACCGCCGCCACAGCGATTTTCTTTCTTTTTCCCAGGCCACCACAGGCAGCTATCGGGTGAACCATGTCTTCAAATTGATGTTTCCTTTTTCCGCAATTCGCACCCTCTCTTAGCACGAGCACCGTTTGCCGAATATGGAAGAATTGACGCCCATCGCCTCGCTGCGATCACTGGTGTTGGACCTCCCGCCTAGCTGTGCTGAGTTCTGCCCCGCGCATCCTGAGTATCTGGTGGTGGGAACATACAATTTGCAAAAGGACGACACCGAGCCAAAGCCGGCGCAAGAGGAAGCTGAGAATGGCGACTCAGCAGCTTCCAAACCTCAGAACAGGAATGGCAGCCTTGTCGTTCTCAAGGTTGAAGGCGACGACGTGTAAGGCTGCAACTCTGGATGCCTAGGAGGCTGGTCAGGCTGCTGGACTACTGACTGTTGATGAGGGAAACAGATCGATAGTGCAGACCGTAATGCAGCCGTCTGCGCTGCTGGACCTCCGCTTCTACCAGGATGTGCCGGAATATCAAAACGTCTTGGCAGTGGTGTCCAGCACTGGAACCCTTGCCATGTTCAAGTTCGACCCGCTCAGAGATGCCAGTGCGCCATTGCAGCACTTAGCCACGAGCAGGTGCGAGGATCTCGACGACGACGTTCTGTTTCTGCAGTGCAATTGGCATCCGATTGCGCGCAAGGTGATTGGGGTCACCGCCTCTACCGGTTTGGCAAGGCTGTTGCTACTGGACGATGAGTGGAAGATAGCAAAATCTGCCAATGTGGACATTGAGAACTCTCTCGAGGCTTGGTGTATAGCTTTCTCTCCTATGGACGCTTCATCACCTGCAACGAACCAACCCATCTCAGTCTACTGTGGGGGGGACGACTCCATGCTTCGATATACGACCTGTCACTGGGAAGGGGAAAGCGATCAAGATGACCCATCATCAACCCTAGACATGCCATTCAGCTCCATAACAATCAAGGGACAGCACGATGCAGGAGTAACTGCAATTTTGCCCCTGCTGCTATCAACTCAGGATCACGGTAGAATAGTCGTCACTGGAAGTTACGATGACCATTTGCGAGTCTTTGCAATTCATGATCTTCATCACTCGCATGGTTTAAAACGCGTGCAGCTGCTAGCAGACGCGAATCTGGGAGGCGGGGTGTGGAGGCTGAAGCTGGTGGATATCCAGACCGCGGGAGGCTCGACGAGGATACGAATCCTGGCATCTTGCATGTATGCTGGAGCGAGGCTCGTGGAGATTGTGACAGACGGCAGTGGACAGGGCTGGGCTTGTGAGGTGTTGGCCCGGTTCGAAGAGCATAAAAGCATGAATTATGCTTCGGATATTTTGCCATCGCCCGCGAAGGATGGGAGGATACGCGTTGTCTCAACCAGCTTCTATGATAAGCTGCTCTGCCTGTGGGAGTATGAGCCGCGGCAGTAATACTAGAATGAATTGCCGGTGATGTCAATCCCACTGTGACAAAATATCGTCTGAGAATGGGCCAACAGGCACAGCCAAGTGGGCGGTTTGCCCTATTGGGACGGCGTCCATCCTTATGATCCAATCCTTCTAGAAGACGGAGAGAAGCGAGGCAGGCTAGACATGAATCTCGGGTAATCAAGCAGGTCCGGCGCGGGGTGCATTCGGCAGAGGCATGCTGTTGCTGATCAGCCAGGACAAGGTCCGGACCAGAGGCCATGAAGCGATGCATCGCACACCACACGCCCCTCCACCAAGCTGCAGCGGTTCCACTGGGGTGGAATATAGTACGACGACACAAGATCCAGGGGAGCGGCCAGGCTCCACCGCCGCCTGCTCTGTGCACTGGGCCAAGTAAAGTAACTGATCAAATGTCATCCGTTGAAGCTTGTGGTCGCATGTATGCTCTGTAGGGCCCTCTCAGCCTTGCAGCGCGGTGACACTGCAGTCGCGTGAAGAAGCTTGACACATCAGAAGGCTGGCGAGGCCCAAGCTGCCTCTAGGTAGCCGTCTCGTGCGGTGCCTGTCTGTGCCTTGCTCTGTCGATAGTGGCTGTTAGTGGCTGGTCGACCTGTAAGGCTCCATCTCGGGCCTAACGTTGCCTAGGCCGTCGTGATAAAGACCCCTAAAAAGTATGTAGTATGGAACCTGGAAACTTGAAAGGAAGAGCCTCAAGAGTTTTGCAACCGTTGCTCGAAGTAATAGAAGCTGGAGCTTTTCTGCCCGCTGACCGCCTTCACCTCGTGCTCGGAACAATCGTGCTCGTTTTCTTTCATCACCATCATCGACCTTCTCTAACCAATCGTACTATTCATCTTTCATGTTGCAACTTGCTCTTGCGCTTAGCCGTTGAGTCACCTTGTCGTTACGAGTCCTGAACCCCGCTGGCCTTTGTTACCGACGAGCTGTCACCTCAATACCCAAACAAATTATCCGGGCCCCCCTGCTCTTTTTAATTTTTAGTGAACAGCAGCCACCCTCGATGCTCGTGCCCAAGCCGACCGACTTCTAGAATTCTCTTGAGGCTGTCTCGTGGGATAAAAGCATCCTCGATTGCGCCGCGTGCCCTGCAGCGTTCCTGCTCGCGCCACTTTGGCTGATTATCAATCATGTCTTCCAACACCAACGGCGGCGACGCGAGAAACGGCGGCGACGCAGACGTGCTTGCCAAGATTCACCTTGCGCTCGAAGTCGTTCACAGCCCTCACTCGACCAACGATGCGCGTAGGGAAGCCCAATCTTTCCTCGAAGAAGTCAAGGACATCCCCGAAGCTCCCTTCCAAGGCTACAACCTAGCTTCCGACAAGGCCCAGCCATCCGTCGTCCGCCATTATGCCCTGTCGCTTCTCGAGCATGCCATACGGTACCGATGGGCCACTTACTCCGATGAACAATCCCGAACCCTTCGAAACTGGGTGCTGGAGCTGAGCCAAGCCGTTTCCAAGGGCGACCCTTCATATCTGAGAAACAAGACTGCCCAGCTCTGGGTGGAGGTGGCCAAGAGAAGCTGGGGCTCCGACTGGACGGACATGGATGCCATGCTCGTTGAGCTATGGCAGATCCCCAACTCGCCCGCTCACAAGGAGCTTGTCATGTTTGTCCTCGAGGCTCTATCGGACGAGGTTTTTGCCGGAGATGATTCGGTTGTTGCCATGAGGGAAGGTGTCCTTAGCAAAGCATGCGTCGAGATCTTCACTCCTACCGCGGTCCTAATCGAGGCGTTTCCCAATCGTCAACCTGGTCCAGATGTTCGATGCGGTCACGAGGGCTGGCTCAGTCGACTTTCAGAGTTCCTAGGCCTGTGTATCAGCGCCGATGCCAATGACGAAGTTAAGACATGCATTGTTAAAGGATTCTCCGTTTTCCTGTCCCTTATGCCGTGGGCTATTCCAAAGGCTATATCCTCTGCTCGCTGCGTGGCTATTCTGTCTGCCGGCCTAGCGTCGCCCTCGACCGAAATCCAAAAGGTAAGACAAAGAGTGTTGGCGGACTATTTTCTCGTGACTCAGGCTGACAAGCTCCCAAACAGGTCGCCCTAGATGCCCTATACGCCCTGTATTGCCGGTCCAACTTTACAGATGAAGAGTTCAGAGACCTCGTGGCCCCCATGTACAGCAGCGCGTCCATTCGGCTCTTCAAGGAACTCATTGATCGATCAGCGGTCGACGCTGACGACGTAGACGAAGACAAGTACCAGATCTTGAAGAAGCTCTCTGAGGTATGCCCCCGTACAACTGCACGTACCCGGTTCCCTCTAACAAGTGTTTCAACAACAGATGCTGTCAAGCTTAGGTGATTATTTTGAGAGGAAACATTCACAAGTCCCTCATGATGCAAGCCCTGAAGGCTTCCTGCAGCTTTTGCTCCAAGTAGTACAAAACCAAAGCCTCATGGTGTCAATCCCGGTCTTAGTAACGTGGACGAGGCTCCTTGCGAACAAGGTGATTGGCCCAAGTGATCTTGTTACATCCATGATAGGGCCTCTCCTCGAGGTCTGCAGCTCCAGATTGGTCCGATATGAAAATCTGCCTCAAGACACCTCTGACCCAACCTTCCTATTCCTGATGGAGGACACCGATACCATCCCCGAGCGCCATGCCTTCCTGGGCAACTACCGCCGCTATAGCTCACAAATCGTTGAAATGATTGTACAACTCAAACTAGTCGATGCTGTATCGCATATCCTGGGGCGCACAGAACAGGTTCTGCTGCATCTTTATGATGGACAGCCTCCATTTAATAGTGAGACATTGCCGCAGGTCCCCCGCTCAGATTGGGAGCATCAACTGACTATGATCAGAGCAAAACTATTTCAAGCATTCGATGCCTGTTTTGCAGGTAGACGCTCACTTCACTCTGATTGAAGCATCTTTGAAGGGATACGCAAAGTGGAAGAGATCACACCAGCACGACAATGTACGCGTCCAAGAACACTTCAAGGTTGATACGATGATGCTAACAAATTAACTGGACAGCAACAACAGATAGCGGAGCTTGAGTCCAGCCTTGAAGGCTGGTGCACGAGACTTTTGGCGATGAACTTTGAAGTATGCTCTCTGCTTATAAGAATGCCATAGCCCAATATCATCATTGACTAACACTCGGCGCTCTCTAGGACCCTTTGATACGAAGGCGAACTCTTCAGCTGCTCGTCTATTTCTCAACAAATGCCCTGAACAAGAACGCAAACTTTATGCTGAAAGTGCTTGAGCACATCATTCTCACGTGGCCTGTTTTAGAACCGGAGTATCGCGCATACAATGACGCCATTAAAGATTTTCAAGTTGAGAGCATGGTCGAGCTGCACCGCCTTGCGATTGGCATGCCCGATCACCTCCTGGTATGCTTTCTCTTTCAAGCTCTTCGCATCTTCACGTACAAGGGTGCTAACTGTTTTTGATCATTAGGGGGTTTATGACCAAATCGAAGCCCGTGTAAATGAGATGATGTCTACTGGAAAGTTGGACGATAGAAGAACTCTTGCTTACCGAAGCTTTTTATTCTTGATCATGTAAGTTTCAATATCGAGTAATCACTTGCAGATCTAGTGCGGTTTCTAATCCAGGGGGCAGACATCGAGCTAAGAATCTTGACGCCCAGGCCAAGATTCAGAAACTACGAGAGTTTGTTGAACCGGTCAAGGCGCAATGGCAAGAGGAGAATATCAAATCTGCCGTGAAATCGTACTCTGGCTTCTGCGAACTTCTTGCGCTAGATAAGGCTCAGGCATATTTGGTCAGCCGCCAGGCACACAGCATCCAAGACTGGGGCTCGTGTGAGCTTGACGCGGAGGGATTAGCCCTCCAGAACGAGTTGGAAGAGCGCCTCAAGGTATGTGTAAATCCCAGAAGCCCTACACCCCGCTGTGAGCATGTGCCGATACAACATCACAGCAATTGCCGCTCCGCCCGATGAAAACCCTTCTCGCACTCTCCGTGGATCGAGTCGATAGGTCATCCACCGCCTTCCAGGCTACCTCTGTAATTTGGGAAGGAGGATTCGCAAACATCCTGGCAGATTTGCTGCGTCTTTTGAGGTACGTGCTCTTGACGGTCGAGATGCTGTTATTTCAATCCTTTGTATTAATTTCCTTCTAGCTATGCCCACGCCTCGCATAACCCACATAATTGGACAGGGTTCCCAGAAAACATGCGCCACATGGTAGACAAAGTCCTCAGCGATAGATTTTGGCAGGCCGGTATCTCTGAAGGAAGCAAAGATGACTTCTACGCTCGTGTTCTCGATAAGAAGGGCACGATAGAAGGGCTTGCATCCACGATCCGTGGGTCAGTTCGGTTCGTCCGTGAAACAGCCTATGGAGTCATATACTGCATGAGCAAGCTACATTCGCAGTTTTACGGATTCAGCGAGCTCGCCGCTCCATTGTCTGAGGCCTTCTTTACAGATTCGATATGGTTGTCTACCCACCAGCAAAGCAACCTGCTGAGTCTGGTTCGGCATCTGGTCGATGACTGCCCAGTTGATTGTCGCGAAAACTTTTTGCCCAGACTTTTATCTTCGTGCTTCCAACAGATGGATGCCAAAATCAACTCGGAATGGGCAAAGCTGGAGCAGCAGCAGAGTGTGGTGGTAGATGGGGATGCCGAGCTCAAGGAGGAGATGAAGTCTGAGAGTATCCTCCGCCAAGTAACGTATACTGCCGTGGTACTGGTGGCAGACTTTTTGGATCCAACCAAGCCAAGTATGATAAGCCCTCGATTATTTCCCACGTGCTTGCGTTTGCTTACCTTTTACATAGATTCTCCCACTTTGAAGTCACAGGCCCAGCATGCCGACGAGCACAACAATTCTGGGGAAGCCTATCCCTCTCTTCGAAAGTTTTGCCTGTCGCACCAGGAAATTATCGAACCGCTCTTGCTTTTCTGCATGCATGGAATTCGAATGCGAGATATACGATGTTGCGGGATGCTACTGCGACTATTCATCTCTCTGGTGCCGGAATTCGCTGGTCAAGGATCCAAGAGAAGCCAAACAACTTCCGATGGAAACGGAGTCCCAGTGGATGCAACCCCAATCCCTTCAGAAATCGCTACTGCTGTCCGAGAATATATCTCTTCGGACGTAATGAGAGCATGCATCACGTCCTTCCACGAGCCGTACTTTGTGGATGTGCAGAAGGAGTTGGCATCGCTCATTGCCACAATTGTGGTCTATTATAGCACCATCACATCGACGCCGACCGATGTTCTCATGGCACTGCCGAATGTAAATCCCGCGGAACTGGAGCGCTTAAAGGCCTACGTAGCCAAGCCGGGGTCTCACACACGGCAACAGAGAGCAATCGTCTTGGAATTCTTAAAGGATCTCAAAGGAGTAAGCGTCTCAGAGATGGGGAAGCTGAATAAAGGCTTCGATAATTCAAGCCGCTCTAAGCGCACAACCCGGAGCAAAATGGCACAGGGATTCATGACCAGCGCCCCGGCAACGTCTGATGCTGCGGGCCGCAAAAGGGCGGACGCCGCTGGAGGCAGGGATACACCTGATGGCCTGGAGGGCATTTCTAATTTATTCGAGAGCTGAAACAAAAAAAAATATTTGGATAGCGGTTTAAGCCGCCGGAGCAACAAAAAAAGGATATAACAATGGTGACAATGGGGCGCAACAGGAGTTTGCCTTTTCCCTATTGTCTTGTACTGTTTTTATTAACATATCAACGCTTTATTAGAGCCCGTGGTGCAAGAGCCGTGGATGGAAGGCAGGAAGACGTGAAGAAGAAAGCTGATAAAGGGCAGAGTTTTTATTGGAGGAAAATGAGCAGTTGTGGCTTATGCCACCTACAACTGGCGAAGAGGGGATGGGATGAAGTCGTCATTCTGCCTCAAGGCATCGCAGGGATTCTGATCATCAAGGTACCTAGACAAAGCCACGAAAGGGGGGAACCCGTAGCTACTAGTAATGTTAATGATATCTAGTAGCACAAGATGGAGCTATCTGATACTTCTGGCAAGCATTTACAGCCTCCTCTGTCCAGCTGTCGTGAAGTGTGTGTGAATAAATCTTTAGACGGGATGACAACGACAGGGTGTGTTATTACAAGTGCCAAAGGGCCTTGTCGTAAGGCGTCGTTGGGGCGGTTTGCCCCCCTGCCTAGCATCCTTGGCCGATTCCTACTCGTACATACATGTCATAATAATATTCCGAGAGATGCCAAGGCAATGGTTGTGGTTGTTTTGATTGGGCTGGTATTGTGTCGCCTGGGGAGAGGGGCGTTTTATTTGAGCACGGCCATGTCAGTTGGACGTGAAGTGCGAGGTCCGGAGTCCGGGTTACGGCGGTGGAGGGATTCAGCTGTTTACTGTAGAGGAAATATATTAAACAGCCACCCTGTGTGACTGTACAGGCATGTAGGCGGACTTGGTGCCATCATCATCCATTGGTAATGGATTGCAGGGGCCGGCGGGAAGCTTTTCATTTTTTACGAGTTATTACAGTACTCAGCCAACGAGGGAATATGGCGTGGGTGGTATTGATACAGGTAAGCGGGTGAGAATGAAGAGAACTAAAGAAGAGAGGCGAGGAGAGAGAGACAGTAGGGAAAATAGAAAGAGAGGGAGAGAGGCAAACATTGCGTGCATGCTGAAGCTGAGCCGGGCCTCAATGGGTGCGACGTGCAACGAGGGGGTCGCACGCACCAGGACGCACGCTGTGATCCGTCTCGCTTCGCGTGTTTTCGGCCTACCGGGGGAGAGGCGGTTCGGTAAAGGGCGTGGTTGATGATGGTGGTTATTTGGCTAGGTTGTTTGGCGGTTAGATTGGCGGCGCTGGGCTTTGGCTTTGGCTTTGGCTTTGGCTTGTTCCCGTTTTTTGGCGAGGGTGAAGAAGACGAAGCTGATGTTTTTGCTGTTTCCTTTTATTGTTTTATATACAGGTGGTGATCAAGTACGCGTACGGCAATCCTTCATGTCGTTGCATCCAAGCTCGTAATTCGGGCGGGGAGTTCGGGATCCAACCGCCCAAAAGCCAGGCCTCTGCCTGCTTGCAGCCTCCCAATCCCATTTCGGAACTGCACGTAGCCTCTTTCTGCGCACCCGCAGCATCGATTGGCCCAGACTCTATCCGTATTTTCTCTCCATCTCTTCTATTTTCTTCTCTCCTGTTCCTCTACTGTATTCCCTACTCTCTGCATCTTTTGTTTTGTTTTTGCTCGTCCCCCCCCCCGTAACAGCGGTGCCGTGCTAGTTAGTCTGTGGGAGCGGCAGATGGAAACCCCCCATGACACTCATGACACTCGTCAAACGGAGCCGTTTCCTGTTGGCTCGTCGCAGCTAATTATAGCCCGAAAGGCCGAACTTTGCTGGGCTTGAGGGTTTGGTTTGGTTTTAGTTTGATGTACTAAAACAGCAGCTCTGCGTCTCTCTGCATGGCATGGCATGGCATGGCTTAGCAAAGCAAGGCATGGGACCAAAAAGCTGCCGGAGCTGGCATTGAGCTGCAGCTTTTTTAGACCAGGGGCTGTCATTGTGGCAACTCCGCAGGCCCCATGCTAGTCGCAGCTTTTGACTTTGGATCCCGCGTTGGTGGCATCTCTTTAATATTACCGTACCAGTACGAGGAGCGAAGTCCGGACTTGGGGGGCGTCAAATCTCGGAGCTGCTGGTTGAACCCAGTTTGAATGGACAAAGGTGCTTTTTACCTGGTCGCACAGCCTGCCCACATCTTGGCCGTAAAAGATTCTTCAGCATTTCTCGGGATCCTGGGATGTCAATTTGTCATGATATTGGTTACAGGCGCCTGTCAAAAGATTTGCGGATCGGAGATCTGAGCATGTATATCGTACTTCGGCACTCGCAGCACCTCCAGTAGACAGCGGCTTGCCCTTAATTCACCTAGTAGGCGCTTGTAGCTCCCCCAGTTAGCGGTCAACTCTTTGTATCACTAAACTCGAACCATCGCAAGCTCCAGCGCCCCAACACATCACTGCAGCAGTCCACAGAACCAGAGCATCAACTGTAGCCTCCCCCCTGGCACCTGTCAGTTCAGTGAGATCCGCGACATGTCAGGTTACATCTGCTAAGGTACCTGGCCCAGCGGCCACCGCAGGCAGGGTGCAGGTACAGGTACACGCCCAACGCCCAGCACCTCCGCCATGCTGCCTACACCTGTACCAATACCGAGCCGCGAGATTCGTATCCACGCTGGTACTGCCAAGCTCTCGCTTCCAGGTTTCTTTGTCGTCGTCTTGCTGTGACGAATTCCACGCTTCCGCCAAACCCGTTCCGTCTCCTTGCTTTCTTCTTCCTCCTCCTCTCTCTTCCACTGTCCGTCTTACTTGGTGCTTGCTTGCTCTCGTGAGCCCTCTCCCATTTGGCTGGTCCGGGCTGCAGCTGGCATCTGGCATCGAGACCGTCCATCCTTGATCCCTGGAGCCTCCTATTCCCATTCCTGCTTCCAGCCCTTTCCCCCTCATTCGTCGTCATCCCAGAGCCCGCGCTTCACGTGTCTTGCTTCTATTTCTATTTCTATTTCTGTTTCTGTTTCTGTTTCCTCTTCCAACGTCTCTTCTTGTTGATTCCCTCGCCAAATCGACACCAGTGAGACTGAGTCCGAGTCGGTTCCAGTACTGTAAGTAACAAGAGAGTGAGCGAGAGCCAGACAGGCGACCGGCACAGGCTCCCCGGTTGACACGCATGAATCTGACCAAGATCCCGGCTCGCCAGAAATCCTACAATCCAGATCCGGATTTCGCTTATAGCAGTACGAGGTGGATGGCCTATATCTCTAACTCTGTGCCTGCGATAGCTTCATTCTCCGCAATCCTTCATCTGGCTCTTGACGCCCTGTACAATTTTCAGCCGCCCTGCTTTGGCTCCTTGGCTCCTTGGCTCCTTGGCTCCTTGGCGTCCAACATCTTGTCCGATTCCAGATCGCTCCTCAGTGCTCTGCCGTGTATACTCGCCACCACTTTATCCGGGAGGGACATCCAGCCATTCATTAGCTACATAGCCTCGGCAAATCAGACATCCATTTCACCAAGTCGCTGCTCAACTCCTCTCTCATCGCAAGATACGTCGCTTCTCGCCTACCTGCCAACACTCGGCATTCCTCGTCACTCACTGTTGCACCGTCATCCACCTGCCTGCCTTGTGACAGGTTGAGCAAACATTTCCTTTCGTGGCCTCTTGTTTATAGGCCCCCCTCCCTCTCCCCCATCATCTTTGGGAGTTGGTTGGCGCCCTCAGATTCTCGTCTCTCGAATCTTTTCTCCTTCACCGTCCCCTCAAGAAACCATAAGCCAGCTCAGCATTCTGAATCTCACTGCAATTGCTTTTTTAAAACCGCCTCTCCGACTCCTCACTGTCTCTCCCATTTTTATACTCTTTTTCCCCTTCTCCGGCTCTTAGTACCGAGATAGGGCTGCGTGGCTTTTGGCTTCATACGCTATTTCCTCCTCATTTGAGCTCTCCCATCCCGATTTGGCAAGAGGGTCAAGCCCAGCAAATTCGCCCTATATACATATACCCATATACACAGTCTCAAAGCTTTGTCGTCCATACATTCAGCTCGTTGACATTTCCGGCCACTTCTCCATGGTTCAAGATCATGGTTTCAAGAACACGACATTCAAGCTCAGGAACCGATATTTGATATAAGCCAGCCAGTTCTGTTCCTCACCATGGTCTATCAAGGCAAGCCCTCGAGGGGCTGTCAGATGTGCCGTACTCGCCGCATCAAGGTATGTCTCTCTGCTCCTTACCCTGTTATGACGCGCCTCGTCGAAACTCATCATCTACTAGTGTGATGAGACAAAGCCCACATGCAAGCAGTGTGCCAAGTCTCGCCGGCAATGCCCCGGATACAGAGATGAGTTCGACCTGGTGTTTCGTAACGAGACCCAGGCGACGGAGAAGAGAGCGCAGCGGGCATCAAAAAAAGCTTTGGCGCAAAGGATGACCAAATTCGCCCCCGGGTCTACGCCAGAGCCATCATCTCCCAACGGTGAACATTCGTCTGCAAATCCCACCTTTGTGACATCTCAACATCTGTCATCGCTGGCTCCATATGGCCGCAAGAATCAGCAGACCCCCTGGACTGGCCTTTACACCCTTCTGCAGAAACCGCAGATGGATTTGGACGGCCAGGTCACTTGCCATTTCCTCTCCAACTATGTCCTCATTCCCCGGCAGGGCAACGGACGCGGGTTCCTCGAGTACGTAGTGCCATTGCTGAGGGCAGAAGAGGTGGCCCCTCACTTCAAGGCCGCTTTTGATGCTTGTGCCATGGCTAGTTTTGCCAATACCCGCGGAGATGAGCTTCTGGTGGAACGCGCCCTGCGCATCCACTCAAAGGCATTGGGGGCTATAAACATAGCCTTGAATAACCCAGACACCATCAAGCAGGATTCCACACTGGCGGCAATCCTCTTGCTGGGGCTTTTTGAAAACATCACAACTAGAAACCTGGGCATGCTAGCTTGGGGACCTCATATCCGTGCGGCGATCCAGCTTGTTAGGAAACGGGGCCGCAAGCAACTCCGGACCAAAATCGGAGTCTCCTTGTTCATAGCAGTGCGAACCCAAATGGTAGGTTCTTCCTCTATCCTGCAACATGTTTGACCCCTTGTACATTTCCATCTTCTTGATCTGACCGTAGTTTTCGTAGATTGTCCACACGCTCAGTACTGCGAAGCCACCCCTAATGCAGGCAGAGTGGTGGATCAATTCAGATGCTGTCCGGGATACGTATGCTTCTCAGTGTCAGAGGCTCGGCATTCGCACCGGAGAGATTAGGGCAGAGGTAAACCGGCTCATGAGCCAGCTCCCTCGAAACATGGAGAGCGTTGAAGCTATGAAAGACATGATCAGACAAGCTCGGGAGGTGGACTTTGAATGCGTCCGGTGGGCGGAGACGGTCCCGGACGATTTTCGATACCGGACGATCCTCTGGCAAGACGAAATTCCCGATGCCGACTACAGTCAGCTGGAAGTATTCCCAGGCCGCGTCGATGCCTATCCAGATTTGTGGGTGGCCAGTCTATGGGGCATGATGCGAGTATCACGAATCATCTTGGCGTCAATCGTGATCCGGTGCGCTGCCTGGGTCTGTTCACCTGTTGACTACCGCACGGCGCCAGAGTATGCCACAGCAAGAAGAATATGCGTGGAGAATATTACCGATATCATAGCTTCGGTACCCTATCAGCTCGGGTGGTTTAGCACGCGCAAGCACCTATTTCAGCAAGACAGCCTTTCTGGGTTTGCTTGCGGTGAAGACGACACCTACAAAAGCCTGTCTGGATACTTCCTAACGTGGCCGCTGGCCTGTATTCAAGGACAAGACTACGTGACTGAGGACCAGCGGACATGGGCCCGTGGACGGCTCACCTACATCGGGAAGCATCTTGGTGTCTCGTACGCTATCATGCTGACTCAAGTATGAAACCATTCCAATTCCATTTCTCGTGGCCTCTTTTTCAGCACGCACATGCTATGTACAGTTGGCTAACAGCAGGAATCAACTCGCAGCTCCAATATCGGACTCCTTCCATGCTCATCAGAATGGATGGCACAATGTCCAACAGTCCGTCTGTCAACGTCGAGAAGCTTCTCTCCATGAAAGTCGCAAAGCCGTCCGAAGGTCTATCCACTATGCCTATGCCGTCGCAGTTGTTCCGGCAGCAGACGTTCCAGGGTCAGCCGACTGTACTGGTACGTGAAGCAACAAGAATTATCTGTAATGGCCAGAGTGCTAACATGAAATGACAGTTGACGCAGCACGCTATTTCGACGTACGATGATACAAGTCCGGAAGGGGATTGAGGTCCAGGACAACGCAGACCAGTCTCGTTTGGAATTTCAGAAGGCGCATGTATCGGACAATCAATCAAGAAAGGGGTGAGGTTAGGCGCACAGGCTCGGAACATGCCATACTTGGACTTGGCAGTGTCATCATATTGCTTTTATTTGGGGGGATTATTGGTGTGGGTGCATATAACATAGAGAGTGTTACATTATAGGATACGTATGACGGCCTCTTAGATGTCTTGTTCAATCCAGCGACAGCCGTTGAGTTTGGCGACAAGAAGCTCCTCCACACCGCATTTTCCCAAGATGCTGTATCCGTGGGAAGTAATGGTGAAAATCAAGGTTCACATTAAAAGCCCCATCTGGCTTACTCTCCTCGCCACAAGTATTTCTGATGTTTCTGTCACATGTCATTTTGACATTTAATCCAAAGTTGACTCATCGAGCTTATTTCCACCTCGCTATTTCGAGCCTTTCCGTTTCCTACAATCAATAGAGCATTAGCTGAATATGAAACCCTCCCAGGAATGCAGGTTTAGATGCTCACATCTCCTCGTCTCTCTGCGCGGTCCCCAGATTCCAAGCCTTGACGACGTAGCTCTGGGTCTTGTCGACGTATTTCTCGTTCTGCATGTGCTTGACGCCGACGCGGACGCCGTCCTTTGTGAAGACGACGTTCTTGCGGCCCATGCGCTCGGACGCGGTCTCGCGCATCTTGGTGAAGGAGAGGTAGATTTGGTAGAGGACCCAGCCGCCGCCGCTGAGGAGGGCGATGGCGATGATGAGGGGGATGATTTGGCTGGAAGAGCGCGCGCAATCTGCGTGTTAGTTGTTTCTGCTAGAGCTATGAAGGGGGGGGGGGGGTTGTTCTTTCAGAGAGGAAGCGTACCCCAGAGTTGATGCCATGATGTTCGGGAGGGAGAGGTGCGAAGTGGGGGAAGAAACAATGTAGACGGTTGTTGCAAGTAAAACTGGGCGAAATATAGCCCTGGGTATCGAGGTTTGTTCTTGTTGTGGTTATTAAAGCGATTTAACGGCAAAGGCGCAAAGCAGCAACGTCCAAAGGCGACTCTTGGAAATGGGCGTGGCGCGAACAGATGATGTCAAAGGAGCGAACAGAGTTTGAAAAGAAGAAAAAGGGCAGCTGGCCAAGTAGTTGAATGGCGTAGCTGAAAAAAAGAGAGAACCCGTGACGGTTTGGAAGAGAAAAAGAGGGAGCTGAAGAGCAAGTTGGGAAGCTTTGGAGCGATCGATGGCTGGAGGGAGGGAATGCAAAGATTAAAAGAAGGACATTGCATGTGCAAGTGGAGGAGGCCTCAGCTGTTTGTTTTTAGCTGGCGATGGGATTCGATAATTACTGCCCGAAATAGCTGCTGCGGTACAGTACATGTATGTACCTGGTTGCATGTGCGATTGCGCTGCAGGATACATGTACATAGCCAGCACTAGGCCGGGTTGTTGATTAAGGCGATCAAGGGAAGATCCTGGGCGGGTTTTTGCTTCGGGGCTTGGAGTCAAGCATATTCCCCGTCCGGCGCGCCTTTTTCGCTGGTCTTGTGGTTCTTGTGGTTCCTGTTTCCCCTTGCCGAGTTCCTGAAGATGCTTGTTCCCCAATGTTAGTTCGTGCCGCAGCCAGGGACCGCAGCCTGGGATACAGCGGTTTCAGTGGGCTTTGGGCGGCGCTAATGCGCTGGGGGCTGGTGGGCTGTGGCGGGCTAGCGAGGGGACCTGAAAGTCCATATTACTGCGTGTCGTCTATTATTATCATCGTCCGTGGGCCTGGAGAGGGAGGACATTGCTGTGAAGCATTGATGATGCTACTGCGAAAGAGACGCTTTGCGCCAATTGCATTGATGGCACATGCAGGGATGGGCTGAAGAGGGTGGCATTTGTATTAGAAGGGCTCCGTGCGGCGGTATCAGATATATGGGCAATTATTGAGTCAACTTCATCCTCAGCGAAAGAGGGAGTTCAAAAAGAAGAGTCGGCACATCGAAATGCTTCAAGGTTACCGTTTGGACGCGGTAGGGAGATTCCCCACAGCGAAAAATGTCCTAATCGGGAGGACGCTGCAGCGGCGATGATGGACAAGGGGGAGAGTGAGCAGTCAGAAGGATTTATTATATCAGATGTCAAAAGATTACTGCGTGCATTCGATGGGCGAACCGTTGCGGTGCCCCTTGTTGCTTGCTGGGGGTTTGGAGTCTGGGCTGCGTGCCGAATCCCGCTCAGCGTTGCTTCAAGGCCATGGTTTCAATTGTCAAGGTATTACGGAGTACCAACAGCTACCCTGCAGGTTGGCTTTTCTGCACGGCTTTGGAGTGAAGGAGGGCATGGCTGTTCTCATCGAGGAATCAAAAGTCACAGGTAACCAGTCATCTGCCATCTACCCCGTGTTTAGATCTACCACGTGGCTTGATTCGAGCTTATTGCTGAGGATCAACAATGTTGCCTGACCAAACATGCCAGCTGGGTGGGTTGGCATACGCCGCTTTGGCCACATTTCAAGTTACTGTACCTGGACGAGTACCAAATACGGCATGTAGCTACGTGTTTCTAACGGCATCTCACAATGTCTCGAAGCTGAATAGTAGAGAATCCACTCCGAAACCCTTCTTCAAACAAAGCACCTGTTCAAAGCCATCAAGTAGAATACGGTGGCATTGTGCTATAAAACCCGCGGCGGCCCATACAACAGACAATATCGACCTGCATTGCTGGCGTCGTTGCCTCCAATTAGCATTGGCACCTTAGTAGAGTACTTGAGTACCTTGGTACTTTGCTCCACCGAGTCTCGAGTTCTCAACGCCTCCCTAGCCACAGCGCCCCTCTTTGTGTGGCTCAGAGGCGGTGTCTAGGTAATTACCTATCCAAAGAGGACACACTACCTAGTATCGACTGGACGACAAGCAGTGACGCCCACCAGCGAATCTTGATCTTGCTTCCGCCTGCCAATCCACCCAGACGGCTGGCTTCGACATCGAATTGCTCGATATTTCGACTGTCGGATCCAACCTTGGCCCTTTCATCTCATCGACCGCCTCCCCCGTGGTCAAAGGCAGAGCTTTCTCGCCCCGAGCAACTGCTCCTCTAGAGGCCCAGCCCTCCCCGCCGACCGAACTCTTATCACAGCATCCCTCACCTCTGGTTGCGCGCAGAGCGACGCCCTCGGCCAACGCAATCTCATCATGTCGGCGCCGCCCAATGATGGCTACGGCCAGCCGCTTGACCAGCAAGCCCAGGAACCGCCATTCGATGGCCAGGCCGCACCCCACGCCCACGAGGCCGCTGCGGGCAAGAAGAAGAAGCGAGGATATGCGGCGCAAGCTTTCGAGGTCGGCACAGGAGCCAATGCTTTAGCTGGCGGTCAGCTACCGGTCGGACAGCAATACGGCGTGCCGCCAGTTCAAGGCGGTGCTGCTCCCTATGGCGCCTATCCCCAGGGCGAGCCTCAGCCTCTTGCTGGTGGACCCGCGGCGACTGGATACCAGTATCCCCAGACTGGCTATGGCGCACAACAACCCGTGCCTGCATCGCAGCCCGCTTATGGCGGCTACCAAGCTCCGGATCAGGGATACCAAGCTCCAGGTGGTCAAGGGCCTGCCGCTGGCGTCGCTGGCATCACTCAGGGCATCGCTGGCATGCAGATGGGAAGCCAGCCTCAGCCCCCGCAGATGGCCCAAGCAAACAGGCCCGCTGCTCTCAACCAGCTGTATCCTACGGATCTCTTGACTCAGCCCTTCAACGTCACGGAGCTGGATCTGCCCCCGCCTCCAATCATCCTCCCGCCCAATGTAAGAATGACATCCCACCTACACATACCGTGCCGCGATGACGTGTGTGCTAATATGAGCTGTGTTTCTTATAGACCAGCGTGACTGCCTCACCAGAATCCAACTGCTCTTCGCGATACATTCGCTCCACTATCAACGCCATCCCCACAACCAACTCGCTGCTCAAGAAGTCTAAGCTGCCGTTTGCTCTGATAATCCAGCCGTACGGAGCTCTTCACGACGACGAAGACCCCATCCCCGTGGTCCAAGATCAGGTCATTTCACGTTGCCGAAGATGTAGGACGTATATCAACCCATTTGTTACCTTTTTGGATCACGGCCACCGCTGGAGGTGCAACATGTGTAATTTGAGCAACGATGTGCCCCAGGCATTTGATTGGGATGCCGCGGCCCAGCAAGCTGCTGACAGATGGCGCCGCCACGAGCTCAACCACGCCGTCGTCGAGTTTGTTGCCCCCCAAGAGTACATGGTTCGACCTCCCCAGCCCCTGGTGTACCTCTTCCTCTTCGATGTCAGCTATGCGGCTGTTTCCAACGGCCTCTTGGCCACAAGTGCCAGGACCATCCTCGACAGCTTGAACAGGATACCAAACGCGGATCGCCGAACTCGCCTTGGTTTCCTCGCGGTCGACTCTAGCCTTCACTACTTCTCCATTCCCAAGGATTCGGAGGAGAATGTCGAGACCAGCATGCTTGTGGTCAGCGACCTTGACGAACCCTTTTTGCCGGTGCCCCACGATCTCCTGGTTCCCCTGACCGAGAGCCGCCAGAGCATCGAGAAGTTCCTCCAGAAGCTGCCCGATATGTTCCAGAACAACCAGAGCAATGGTTCGTGCATGGGCTCCGCCCTGCGTGCGGGACACAAACTCATCTCGGCGCTTGGCGGCAAGATTGTTGTCCTCACGGCCTCGCTGCCCAACACGGGCGTCGGAAAGCTGGACATGAGGGAAGACAAGAAGCTCTTGGGAACCGCCAAGGAGAGTAGCCTCCTGCAGACCTCGAACAGCTTCTATAAGAGCTTTGCGGTCGAGTGTTCCAAGAACCAGGTTTCGATTGACATGTTCCTGTTCTCATCCCAGTACCAGGACGTGGCCTCATTGAGCAACTTGCCCAGATACACTGGTGGACAGACTTGGTTCTATCCTGGCTGGCACGCTTCGCGACCGGAAGACGCGCTCAAGTTCGCCTCCGAGTTCAGCGACTACCTGTCGTCCGAGATTGGGTTGGAAGCCGTACTCCGAGTTCGCGCGACTACGGGTCTGCGCATGAATGCCTTTTACGGAAACTTCTTCAACCGCAGCTCAGACCTCTGCGCATTCCCGGCCTTCCCCCGCGATCAGTGCTACGTTGTCGAGGTTGCCATTGACGAGAGCCTTACTAAGAACGTGGTGTGCCTGCAGGCAGCTGTGCTACACACGACATGCAATGGCGAGCGTCGTATCAGGGTGTTGACTCTGGCCCTGCCCACAACGACGAACCTGTCTGACCTGTACGCGTCGGCTGACCAGTCCGCCATCACGGCCTACTTCAGCCACAAGGCCGTGGAGAGAGCACTCAGCAGCGGTCTGGATGCAGCCCGAGACGCCCTATCGGCCAAGGTTACCGAGCTTCTCCAGACTTTCAAGAAGGAGCTCGCCGGCGGCAGCATGGGTGGTGGCCTGCAGTTCCCTGCGAACCTCCGAGGGCTCCCTATGCTGTTCCTTGGCCTCACAAAGAACGTCGGCCTACGAAAGTCAACACAGATTCCTTCTGATATTAGATCAGCCGCCTTGTGCCTCTTGTCCACGCTTCCGATCCCGCTCTTGATCCGTTACATTTACCCCAGGCTCTACTCTCTGCATGACATGCCCGACAATGCTGGCGTGCCGGATGAGACCACAGGGCAGATCATTCTCCCCCCAGCACAGAACCTGTCGTCGGAGAGACTGGTACCATACGGCCTCTATCTGATTGACGACGGCCAGGTCCAGTTCCTGTGGGTTGGTCGAGATGCCGTTCCCCAGCTCATCGCCGATGTCTTTGGAGTAGAGGACCGCACGCAGGTTCACGTTGGCAAGGGACGGGTTCCCGAGCTCGAAAACGACTTCAACGAGCGTATCAGGGCCGTGATCCAGAAGAGCCGTGATCACCGAGCACTTGGCGTGGGAAGTATCACGGTTCCGCACCTGTACGTTGTACGGGAGGACGGCGAGCCATCTCTCAAGCTATGGGCGCAGACGCTACTCGTCGAGGACCGGGCAGACCAGGGAGTAAGTGCGGCACAATGGCTTGGTGCACTTCGAGAAAAGGTACGTCAATTGGCACCCTCATAAAAGAACTCTATGGAGAACACCCAGTAGCTAACATGATCATCATCTAGGTTGTGCAGTAATGAACGTTGGGGAGTGCAATTGAGCGGTGGTGTTGCAATAATAATTGTATAGACTAGGTAGTGACGGGGAATCTCATGGTGGCGGCCTTTGGCAAAAAAAGAGGGCGAGTATGAGGAGATGGGATCATGTCTTTTTATGGTAAACGAACAATATTTCAAAAAATAGTCGCTTGAAAAAAAAAAAACTGAAGTATTGAAGATGTGTTTTCAAGACTTGGCTGAGTCCCGTGGCTGAGCATGTTGTTTCACGGCGTATTTGTCTACTTTCTTACCTTGGCATCTATCTAGCCTCATCAGGTATCATCCTGCCTTTATCACGGTACATCACAAGTGCCAAGGTGCTTTCTCTCCTCTGTATCTCGGCATCTTGCCTGTTCTTCTATAGTGGAGGACGGCGATAGAGGCCGGCCGGCCGGCTGTTAAAAAGCTGTTGGAGCACATTGTTTCGTCGGCAACAGGAAGAGCGGGACGGGGGTAGAGGTGGCGTGTTTTATCTGATTGGGTTGGGCTACTCCATAATTTTCGAACATTGGTAACCAATACGGAGAGACGGGCCTTTTCCTGTGCGTCACATTTTTGGTGGTTTTGCTCGGCAGCTCTGGTGTTGACTGGGGGGGGGTTGTCACTGATTTTACCGTGTGTTTTGCGCTTGGGTGCATGGATCGTGTAGTACTACCTATCGGTACGTTGACGGTGGACAACCACAACCGAAAAAAAAGCGTACTCGTAATACCTGTAGGGTTTAACAAAGGAAAAAGAAAGGCTGGGATATGAAATACGGCCCCGAGTTTTTGAAACGGCGCTGGAGAAAAACCTCTAACGTCGAGGTTTGAGGTTGGGCACCCCTCCCCTTTTTTTGGGGCCGATTTTGTGATTTACGCCGCAGGTGGGAGTGTGATGAAACAGGCGAGGGGGGACGCTTGACTGGCCAATGGGGATGGCGATTAGGCGCTTTGGGAAGAAAAAGAGTGTGAAACGATTTGGAGGAGGAGTAGGGAGGTGCTTTGTGATTTGATGGATGGAGTTGCGAGATAAAGAGGTGATGTAGAGGAATCATATGACTCATTGGGCATGCATCGTATGGGATTGGACTGGATTGGATTTGATGTTGCTGATGTTGAGGTTGAAGGTTTTGTGGAAGATGGACCGTCAATGTGTTGGTCCAGATTCATGGAGGAGACAAAGCGCTGGCGCCGAAGCTACGCTACAGGGCCGCGCTGAGCCTGTAAGATGCCCCAGACGCCCCCATGTCGTCTCCCTGCCGAACGACCTGCGCTATGGAAGGCTTTAGTGGCCTTTAGCTCAGGCGGGCGCCGGCTGCTGCTGGATTGGATCCAATGTTGAAGTAAGACGGCCGACTGTTCTCGGAATACTTCCATGGTAAATGGCAGTTGAGGCTTGCTTGTGATGAGGATGAAGAGGGTGCATATTCGACCCGAGCTGACTGCATAATGGCTCTTTTCCCCTCACTTGTCACAATTGATGATAGAGGAGGCTTCTTTCTACCTGATTTGTAGCTGTATAGATAACTCCCCATCTGAGTCTGAGTAAGAACAAAGCATACAGCAGGCGTTGACGATTCCATGTCAAAAGATATTCTTCAGCAATCCAACCCAACAGCTCCCGTTCTAGAAAAACAGACCCTTGCGGTCTTTTGTTTTTTGCTCCCAGGTCTTTGTTCAACAAAACACAAAGGAGCCTCCCCCCCTCTCCTCCAAGAAAGGGCACCTATCTGTACTCGTAGGCATGTTGCATTAGCCGTATGCCGGCGTTTGACAAGCCGTACCGTATACAACACCACATGCATGCATTCCCACGGCATTTCCCCGTCTCCCGCTGGGCCAGCCACCTTCTCAGGCAAGGTATTGCTGTTTCGAGCTTCAAACCGGGCTCGATACGGGCAACGGCCAGCGCTGCTCGATCTGGGCTGCCCAGGATCGGCAGGTTGTCACAGGACAGTTGCAAGGGGCCGCCAGCGGATCCGCGCGCCGCCTGAGCCCGTCCGGCACGAACCTGTAACTCCAGGCGGGCTTGCATGCATCTTGAAGCTCCATCTAGACCTTGGACGAAGCTCCGTGCCATCAGCGTCCAACATTAGCCCAAATGCAGCGTGCCAGCCTCCATCTCTTCCAGGGCCTGCAGACACCTGTCGAGCCCCAAGCATAGGCTCTGCGCCCCCCCTTGCCCGGCCCTCCTAGCCCGCCCCCGCTGGCCCTCCTGAATTATTGCTCGTACAAAGCACCAACTCGCTAAAGCACCTCAGCTGAGCAGATACAAAGACCATAGGCCACCCCCACTTGGCCAGCACGCACCTTCGACCCCGCAGCCAGCGACTCGTGCTTCGTGAGTGAACTCACCGAGACTTCCATATCATTTGCCGGAATCCCAGCTGTCTTTGTCTCTGTCGTCTTTTTCTCGTCATACATTGTTCCTTATTCCGAGGTTGAGCGTATTTCTCGTCTCTCCAACTTCTCTTCTTCGCCCCAAGAACAAGCGTCAGCAGCTTCTTCTGCATCTACGCAGCCTCCCATTTACCCACCTCTGTTCGTATGCCGCGATTCCCCTCGTCTGCTGTGGGAAGAACCTCAAGCTGACTCCGTCTAGTTCGTGGAAGTGGAGTTGCCGTTGATTGGGTTAACCGTATATTAGCCTGCGGGCATCGACGAGAATCTCCAACGCATACGGAGAGGCCTTTGTTCACCCTTTCCCGCCAGGTGCTGCGTTGCGTTTCTCTACGCTCTCGAGCCCGCCATCGACATCCGCCCACAGCCACCTACCTCCCAGCCTCAAGTCGCGCAGAGCGCCCAGCCCGACCATCATGTCTCGGTCGAACCCCCCCAATAATGCGTCGGCGTCGCGCAAAATCTCCTTCAACGTCAGCGAGCAGTATGACATTCAGGATGTTGTTGGTGAGGGAGCCTACGGAGTTGTTTGGTAAGTTTCTGGTTCCTGGGTCTACCTACGTCTTAGTTGTAGCTGCACACGCCGTTTTCTAACAGCACTTGGGCGTCAACAGCTCTGCCATTCACAAGCCGTCGGGACAAAAGGTTGCCATCAAGAAGATTACCCCCTTCGACCACTCCATGTTCTGTCTGAGAACTCTGCGAGAGATGAAGCTGCTGCGCTATTTCAACCACGAAAACATCATCTCCATCCTTGATATCCAGAAGCCCCGAAGCTACGATAGCTTCAACGAGGTCTATCTTATTCAGGTACGTCATCCCACGGAGCTCCACAAGCCCTCTCTACCCGTCATCCGTACATGTGCTCACCGTAGAACTTGCGTGTAGGAACTCATGGAGACGGACATGCACAGAGTCATTCGAACCCAGGACCTCTCCGACGACCACTGCCAGTACTTCATCTACCAGACGCTGCGAGCGCTCAAGGCCATGCACTCGGCAAACGTTCTGCACCGAGATCTCAAGCCGTCCAACCTCTTGCTAAATGCCAACTGTGATCTGAAAGTCTGCGACTTCGGTCTGGCCCGATCTGCTGCTTCCCAGGAGGACAACTCAGGCTTCATGACGGAATACGTTGCCACGAGATGGTACCGTGCTCCCGAGATCATGCTGACCTTTAAGGAGTACACCAAGGCCATTGACGTCTGGTCTGTGGGCTGCATCCTGGCTGAGATGCTCAGCGGAAAGCCTCTGTTCCCCGGAAAGGACTGTAAGTTGGCACTCACGCCAAGCTCCATGTACGCAAATGAATGCTAACGCAAGGACCTTTCCAGACCACCACCAGCTGACTCTGATCCTTGATGTGCTCGGCACACCGACCATGGAGGACTACTATGGCATCAAGTCTCGACGAGCGAGAGAATACATCCGCTCGCTGCCCTTCAAGAAGAAGGTGCCATTCCGCACCCTCTTCCCCAAGACTTCTGACTTGGCATTGGACCTCTTGGAGAAACTGCTTGCGTTCAACCCCGTAAAGCGAATCACGGTGGAGGATGCTCTCAAGCACCCCTACCTCGAGCCATATCACGACCCTGATGACGAGCCAACCGCGCCTCCGATCCCGGAGGAGTTCTTCGATTTCGACAAGCACAAAGATACCCTGAGCAAGGAGCAGCTGAAGCAACTGATTTACCAAGAGATTATGCGGTAAAAGATTGAGCTCGTGTTTTCAGAGCTCGATGAAGCACATTGTTGGAGGAGATTGTAGCCATTTATAAACAAGGTGAAGAAAAATGGAAGAATCTGTGGAGGATATAGAGCAATGAGATTGGCAAAGAAAGGATATTAGTCTTGGCCGGGCCAAGATGAGCGGATAGCAAAGCAAGGAGGAACGAGACGAGATATGAAACGAATAAATACACAGGCCTCGGATGGCTCCTTTTTTTTCCTTTTCACTTTGGTCACTTTTGCGGGGTTTCTTTAACTACTTAGCCTGCGCATCTCATTGAATACACGCACACATGGTCGATGATATATATCCCTACAGAGTAGATTATACTACGAGTATATTTAGCATCAAAAGGCTGGTCCCGGCCGAGGTGCGGGGCGAGTGTCGCGATCGACATGGACGGCTCTGTTTTGCAGTGGCCTGTTGCTCATAGGCCAAACCAATGGCAGCATGACTTGGCCCTGGCAAACCCCACCTCAGAGGTAAAGCATGGATCAACAGATACCTGTCGACAGCTAAATTGCTGCCCGTGACAGGCCGTTGCCGTTGTCCTTAGCACGTCGTTTTAGGTGTCTCGACTTGCGCAGGTACACGCAGCTTCTGCACCTTGGATTTTCATTACGCCGCTGTTTTCTTTCTCTCACTCTTTCGGCGTCGCCCATCATCTCCGGCTTCTTTTTGCCCTATTCCATGGCCGTCCAGCTTCCATCGCTCGGCTGGCGGGTCTCGTCTTTGGATACATCGTAACTGCTCGCGGCTGCTTACCGCCATACCGCAATTGAACATTCTGCCAGCTCATACGTAGTACTACCTACCTAGTAGTACAGAAGGATTACCAACCTGCTGTGCCTGCGACCTGCTGCATACCTACTGGGTAATACTTCTAGGGACGGGCAAGATACTTGACCTCCGGCTTATACCACGAGCTGCAGGGCTGCTTACACGCCAGAAGCCAACGGCAAAAAGCTGGTAGCAATGTGGACGGGCCTGATGCGGCGCTTCTCGACCGAAGAAACGCGCGTTGGCAGCGAGTTTGACGAAGCCGCCGACAGCCACGGCCACCTCAAGGACGGCATCAACGATGTCTACACGCCGACGCTGCGCACGCTGAGCCCCTTCCGGCCGCCGCCGCTGGATCCGATTGTGCTGCTCGGATACAAGGACAGCACGCCGGCGGCGTCGAGGCTGCTGACGACGGTGGTGGCGGAGGAGATTCGCACCATGGTGCCGGAGCGGCTGCGCATCACCGAGAACTGGCGCCTGGTGTACAGCCTGGAGCAGAACGGCACCAGCCTGACGACGCTGTATCAGCGGTGCCGCGAGTATGCGGGCATGCGGGTGGGCTTTGTGCTGGTTGTCAAGGACCAGGAGGGCGGGGTAAGTTTTTGTCTTTTGTCTTTTGTCTTTTGCCTTGTGGAAGCTTGGACTCGAGATGGATCTCATGATGGAAAAACAAGGCTGGAATGGACGATCCGCTGACTATTGACTTGACTTGACGCAGACGTTTGGCGCCTACCTCTCCGAGTATCCCCATCCTGCCCCGTCCTACTTTGGCAACGGCGAGTGCTTCCTGTGGCGAGCCTCGACGCTGACCTCTCTCCCGCTGCCGCCATCCGCAGACACAACCCACTTGACACGCAGCACGACGCTTGCCCCTCCCTCGCGGTCCGGCGCCTCGACGCCCGGGATTCGCTTCAAGGCGTTTCCTTACAGCGGGCTCAACGACTTCTACATCAACTGCGAGACGGGCTTCCTGAGCGTGGGGTCTGGAGGCGGCCACTACGGCCTGTGGCTCGACGACTCGCTCGACGTGGGCCACAGCGCCACCTGCGAGACGTTTGGCAACGAGCCGCTGAGCGATGCGGGACCAAAGTTTAGCGTTATTGGCGTTGAGCTGTGGGTGATTGGTGCGTGATGAGGTTATATGCATTGCCTTTGAACGATGTTATCTTTTGCTTGTTCCCGGGAGATGAGGCTCCTCCCCTGGTGCATACAGTGTTTACCGGAATACTGCTCTTCACTCCGTCTTATTTGATTGCCTAATGGACACCGATGTAATCGACTGAATGGGGGTCTGTCGAACATGGTTCAAGTCATATGATGCATAATTCTACTATATGAGAGATGCCAGAATACATGTCAGACAGAATCTTGGGCGAGAGGGGCGTGAGAAAGTTGATAATATGAGGAAAAGAAGGAGGAGGATGAAGAAGGTGTGGTGGTATGAGAAAGAAAAGGAAGAATTGGGGAAACGAAAAGAGATGAAGCAGAGGAAGACGACACTCCCTCGAGAAAATTTGACGCCTAGACAGATAGCCAGACAGACAGATATTTTATACTATGATACCCCGAAACCAAATGAATGAGCGCCTTTCCCCCCATTTGTATTTATTGCTGCCTTCGATTCCATGCGTACTCTTACAGTGTGTTGCAGTGTCTTGTTAAAATGCCAATGGCCAGCATTGGCTTTACAATTTCTATTCCTCCTCTTGCTTGACTTCTATCCATTTCCATTGCTACAATGCCGTCTTCTCTAACCTCTTCTTCTGGAAAGCCACTATCCCCTCCAATATTCCCTCTGGCGTCGGCGTCTCAGCACAAACATCAGGCTCGAAATCAAAGTTCTTGACAAGATGTGTCCTCGTCGTAGGCCCAATCGTAGCGACATACGTCCCCTCGTCCCGCCGCCCAGAGAACTTGCCCGTCTCGGGATCCAGCACGCCGAGGCCGCGGAGCATGCTGTCGCAGCCCGTGGGCGAAAAGACGACGGCCCAGCGCTCTGGGCAGCGATGCGTGCTGCGCAGGACGGCCGCGAAGTCGTCCGGGAACGAGGGCATCTCGCCCGTGCCGTAGACGACCTCTTCGACGACGGGGATCCTGCGGGTTTCGGGGAGGGACGGATCCATCAGGGTGCGGGGGATGATGTCTCTGCGTTGCTCGCCGACGAGGAATAGCAGGGGGGGTAGTCGGGCGGGGTGGTTTCCGCGGTGCCACTCGGCGTAGTGGTCGAGGATGAATTGCGCGAGGGCATCGCCGTTGCCCGTGTGGCTGCCGAAGATTTGGAGGGGAGGCTGCTGGGAGACGGCGGACAGGGCGCGGGTGGTGGCTGGGCCTACGCTGTAGATAGGGATGTTCTGTAAGTGAGGCCATTCGGGGTCATCTTTTCACCGGGGTGTGTCAGCTAAGAAGATATGGCCTATTGAAGAGGAAAGGATGCTGAGCTAACCTTTTGCAGCTTCATCTTCAAGCACTACATGCGCAAATGCTTCCACCGCCCTCTGGGAAGTGAATATCAGCCCGCCGAACTCGCAGTCCGGGCTGCTCCCGATGCGCTTCTGGCGGAGCAAGTTTCGGAGCCTGTCTACTCCCTTTTCCTCAAACTTGTGCTGTAGGACGGGGACGAAAGTTGGTTCAAAAGAGGGGTTATGGGAAGGGGCCGAGAAGAGGTCTTCGTATGCGTCGGATGGGCTGGATTTTGTTTTGAGGAGCAGGACCGGGATCGGCTGGTCTTGAGGAGCGGAATTGGACGATGACATGATGAAACTAGACTAGCACAGGATGGAGGTTGCTGAAGGACATTTGGTGGGTGAGATTGAGAGTGAAGCTAATATAAATGCTCTTGAAGAGGCGGCAATGGATTTGGATATGCCTTTGAACAATGGCTTCAAAGATGGTGAATTGAGGTGTTGTCGACATCGATAGCTGCATAAAACGACCGATTGCTGACGAGCTAATAATAGCCTAGTAGTTCTACGGGAGTACAAGAGCGGATGACGACGGCTTGGAGGGGCTAGAGGGGCTACCCGCAGCTTTATCGATAAGAAAAAAGTGTCCAGGCTGAAAGTGACAGGCCGGGCCCAAGCCATGGGCTGACAAATTACGTGCGAGATACTGTATGAGTCCGTCTTGAGACTTGTCCATCTTTATACATCTTTTTCTCTCCATCATTTCCTCTTTCTTGATTTTTGGCCACCGTTCGAGGCCTGATTGGAGTTTGTTAGTGAGTGTGAGCGTTGTTTTGCTGGCACTACTGGGATCTTCTCCTACCGATACAAGAAAAAAAAAACTATGGCCGAGGAAGCATCCTTTCGTGACGCTACGGCGATTGCGTCCGTTCCGGGGCTCTCGGCTGCTTCCGAGTCTGTAGCCGCCGACCAGCAGCCCAAGAAGTTTCCCAAGGGAGTGGTTCTGGGCAAGGATGGCAAACCGTAAGTATCTGCAGCCTTGCGTATACCCTCGTGTCTACATTTGTGCCTGTTTGGGCACTGGTCATTGGATCAAGTCTGGTAACAGTGCCCCTGTCATAAAAGATGCCGAAGCTGCACATCATTTGCTTCATGGGCCGCACTGGCCAAAGAAGCGCCCAAAAAAGATGCCGTCGCCGGCAGCAGAGCAGTATCTACAACAGCTGTCGCCTCGGGCCCTCCAGCCGACTGCCCGCCCGACGTCGAGACCCTTGGACGGAGCACCTGGACGCTCCTCCATTCCATCGCCGCATCGTACCCAGAAACGCCATCGCGGACGCAGCAGTCGGACCTGCTAAGCTTCGTCGGGCTCTTCTCCAAGCTGTACCCGTGCTGGGTATGTGCCGAGGACTTCCAGGGCTACATGGCACGGCAAAAGCCGCAGGTGTCCAGCCGTGACGAGTTTTCACAGTGGCTCTGCCGCGCTCACAACGACGTCAACAGAAAGCTGGGGAAGCCCGAGTTTGACTGTTCGCGATGGGATGAGCGCTGGAGGACCGGGTGGAAGGACGGCCGATGCGACTGATGGCCTCCTGGAAGATGGACGAATGTATGTGTACGATTAGAAGGAGGAGGGAATATTTTGGAAAAGGAAAAGGGGTAACGAAAGGTGCTGCAAATGCATGCACAGTGTACGATTGTCAGCGGCTGATGTATTGCCAGCCATAGACGGACGGCGTTGGGAGTTGGGAATAGGGGCAATAGACAAGACGCCGTGCTGGGCCGTGGTACGAGGTATCATGACTTGTGTGCGCATGGTGGCGAGAGAGTGCGAGCATGCCACGAGAGAGAGAAAAATCTTTACTCACCCTCACAGCTCGATGGGCTCTCAACCTATCGACTTATCAATTCCACTATCAATTCGCAATCAAGCTCATCAAGCCGCGACTTCGTATCCTTGAACTCGGCGCCATGTGTGGTATGGATTGGTTTGACTGGTACCTGAGCCCGGTCGATACCGTGATGCGGCTGGGCCCAACGCCAAAACAACGGGGCGACAGGCTGGTAATTGACCGGGCGTGGTGCCGAGCAGGCGCCGATGGAATCTAGATGAGCGGCCTTGGTTGTCGTGTTAATTGTCCGCTTGAGCACTATATTGGATTGCCTGCAGACGGAAGACGGAGCATATTTTGCTGGACTGGGTGCCAGGATTGCAGGCTATGGCAAGCTATGGGTATCTCTGGGCAATCAAGAGGCCGCAACAGGTGCATTAGCGCAGGGAGTGGGCCAAGGTCTAAATGGCCTGAGAGTCGTCATTACATCACTATCATGACAGAGGCGCGTCCGAAAGTGAGCTCATGCTTGCCGATGGCACGAGCAGCCTGCATTGGCGGGGTTCCTTCGCCGGTGCCGCATTTGGTGCAAACCAGAGCAGCCACGATGGAGGGGAGCTTGTCGCGATGGATGAAGTGGGATGGATGCGAAGCTACTCCTAGTACGAGTATAATATATATCCTCTCACTTAGCCGTTCCATCCTTTGTTTTTTTGTCCTATGTCCTGCCAGACACCAATCAATCAGTCTAACAATCAATCAATCAATCAATCGATTCCTCCTACAGCTTCATTCAATTGAACTATCAACATCCCGAGCTCCTAAAGTTAAGAGTGCTGGTCACCACAAGCAACAACAGCAACAGCTACTATATTCATCACAATAAACACCAACTTCGAACTATAATATACTATCTGGGGAAACATCCATCTCCCGCTGCAATCATGGGCGCAAACATCAACATCAGGGTGCAGAATCTCGAGCAGCCCATGGACGTTGCCGAGTATCTCTTCCGACGACTCCACCAAATCGGCGTCCGCTCCGTCCACGGCCTTCCCGGAGACTACAACCTCATTGCCCTCGACTACCTGCCTTCTTGCGGTCTCAAGTGGGTTGGCAGCGTCAACGAACTCAATGCTGGTGAGTTTCTTACCATAAAATATGACCATACTATACCTCATACTAACTGATGCCTGCCTAATAGCCTATGCCGCTGATGGATATGCTCGCGTCAAGGAGATGGGTGCTCTCATCACCACCTTTGGAGTGGGAGAGCTTTCCGCCATCAATGGCGTTGCCGGTGCCTTCTCCGAACATATCCCCGTCGTCCACATTGTCGGTTGCCCTTCCACCATCTCGCAGCGAAATGGCATGCTCCTCCACCACACGCTCGGAAACGGCGATTTCAACGTCTTCGCCAACATGAGCGCTCAAATCTCCTGTGAGGTCGCAAAGCTCACCAACCCGGTTGAAATCGCCACTCAAATCGACCACGCCCTCCGAGTATGCTACATCCGGTCTCGACCCATCTACATCATGCTGCCTACCGACATGGTTCAGGCCAAGGTCGAGGGTGCTAGGCTCAACACGCCAATTGACCTGTCGGAGCCCGATAATGAGCCCGAGAGTGAAGCCTACGTCGTCGATGTCGTTCTCAAGTACCTCCGAGCTGCAAAGAACCCCGTCATTCTCGTTGATGCCTGTGCCATTCGCCACCGCGTCCTCGATGAGGTCCATGACCTCATCGAAAAGACCAATCTCCCTGTCTTCGTCACTCCCATGGGTAAGGGCGCTGTTAACGAAGAGCACCCGACTTATGGCGGTGTCTATGCCGGTGCCGGTTCTTCACCCCCTCAAGCCCAGGAGATTGTTGAGTCCTCAGATCTTATCCTAACAATTGGTGCCCTCAAGGTGTGTATATCTGTCCCAAGCTATATCTGCATCGCTCTTATCCGTTCATTCGCTAACCTTTCTCTTAGAGCGATTTCAACACTGCTGGTTTCTCTTATCGTACATCTCAGCTGAACACGATTGATCTCCACAGCGACCACTGTGTTGTCAAGTATTCGACTTATCCAGGTGTCCAGATGAGAGGAGTGCTGCGGCAGGTTATCAACCAGATCAGCGCATCCGAGCTCAACGTCCAGCCATCACCAGTTGTCGAGAACGAGGTTGCCAAGAACCTAGATGACTCACCCATCATCACTCAGGCCTGGCTCTGGCCGCGCGTTGGTCAATTCCTCCAGAAGAAGGACATTGTCATCACAGAGACTGGCACGGCCAACTTTGGTATCTGGGATACCAAGTTCCCATCTGGCGTTACCGCACTCAGCCAGGTCCTCTGGGGAAGTATTGGTTGGTCAGTCGGTGCCTGCCAAGGAGCTGCCCTTGCCGCTGCCGATGACAACAGCGGCCGCAGGACTATCCTCTTTGTAGGCGACGGCTCGTTCCAACTCACAGCCCAGGAGCTGAGCACTATGATTCGTCTTAAGCTGAAGCCCATCATGTAAGTCATAACCATATCCCACACCCAGCTCAACCAGACAGTCACTAACATGTCTGTTTCTCAGCTTTGTCATCTGCAATGATGGCTTCACCATTGAGCGCTTCATCCACGGTATGGAGGCCGAGTACAACGACATCTCTAACTGGGATTTCAAGGCCCTGGTTGACGTATTTGGCGGATCCAAGACGGCCAAGAAGTTTGCCGTCAAGACCAAGGAGTCATTAGAACAGCTTCTCACAGACCCCACGTTCAACGCGGCAGAATGCCTTCAATTTGTCGAGCTGTACATGCCTAAAGAAGACGCCCCGCGAGCATTGATCATGACTGCTGAAGCCAGCGCCAAGAACAACGCCAAAAAGGACTAACATGCACGGCATGGAGTTTATCGGCACCTTATTAGAATAATAGACCTGAGACAGCGGATCAAGGCAGGCACTGATCGTTAGTCAAGCAGGCTTGGAAGGGGGGGTTATAAAAGGAAGAAAAAACGAAGCATGGTTTAGCAGGATGTTATGTATATGAATTTCAAGTTGATAATCCTTTTTTGTTAATTATCTATTTGCAATCTTGTGACCCGACTTGTGCGTATGTAATACCGGATTCCAACAACAGGGTATCAAAGTCCTTTATAAAGTGCCCCAAAATAATTACCTTACGCCTTTTCCGGGAAATCTGTGCCAGTCTGAGTTATTTTGGCACAGAGATTGTCACTTGAATAAATTTGTTGAATATTCCAAGATTTACATTTTATTTAGTGCCTATATGTACTTGGTACGCCCATTAAGATTTGCCTTGGCGAAAGTTGGGATCTTGGAGGATGAGATCTCGAAATCACGTGCTTTCGTGAAAATATTAGAGGTTGCGAGTACCCAACTTTCCTCTAAACTTGAGCCTGAGTAGAAGTACCAGGTACCCGCTCACCGTATCTAATCGCGAGCCTCAAATAAGCTGTATCCAGCACTGCAAAGCTCACTGCAGTTTCATAAACTTGCTTTCAGAGCATCATTTAGTCGGCCTGTATTCGAGACAAAGCACTCAATTGAGATGGCAGATTCCGCATCAAAAAGAAAACAGGGCCCTGGTAGCTCTGACGGCTCGGCATTGAAGAAGAGAAAGGTATGCTGGCGAATACACCTGTACTACACATGAAGCGAAAACTCTTGCTTCGTGTCTATGACGCTGGAAATGCTAACATTGTGATTCTCACGATAGGAGGGTACAGCTGGGAGATGGAAAACGCCGGCTCAAAAGGCAAAGCAGGCCTCTTGGGCGGAAATGGGCAAAACGCTTGAGGTGGGCGATGAGGGCATCTGGGTTACCTATGCAAGGGGCATGAAGGGCAAGGCAGTCCGAGAGTTCAAAGCCTTGTGCGACGAGGTAACGACATCCCCCTTTTGCAATCCACCACAAATTATCTAGAGGAGAATGTTGGGATTTTGTGGTGTTGCTGGTAAAATGCTCACTACCTTTCACAGTACGGCGAAAAGCTGTACGGCATCAAGCCGCCAGTTGATGAGACGGAGCCGAAATCAGGAGACGAGGATGAAGACATTGAGGCATCTATCCAAAAGGAGCTTGAAGCCATGAAGGCACCCAAACAGCCCCAGGCAAGAGGCATCTTCTCCCCAGTGTCGGTCACGATAGAGTGCGTCTTCTTCATGAAGACGATGAGGCCGGTGGATCCCTGCCAGCTGGTGCTTGAGATATGCAGGGATGCGCAGAAGTGTGAGAGCCCAAAGGATCGCAAGTGCAAGTATATTAACCGGTTGACGCCCGTGGTGGATACGGAGAAGGCGTCTGAGAAGGGAGTTCAAAGAGTGGCACGGAAGGTTCTAGCCTCGTTTTTTAGCTTGAACGAGGAGGAGAAGGAGAAGGAAGGGGAAGAAGAGAAGCCAGAGGAAGGCTCGGATGGAGCAGAGGAAGTGAAAGAAACGGCTCAGGCGGCGGCGGTGCCAGAGGCGGAAACCCGGCAAGCCGAGACAGGCGCCCCTTTTACGGTAAGTTGAGGCCCGGCTGGGAAGAGGTTTTGTTTACTCAAAAGGATACTTGGCTAACTGGAGGTTGATGGCTGGGCAGTACGCCATACGACACACCATGAGAAATCACAGCATCCTGGAATCACAAGCCGTCATCAAAATGGTTGCCGGCATGATCAAGCCTGAGCACAAAGTCAACCTCAAGAACCCAAACAAGGTCATCCTCGTCGAGATATTCCAGGTTTGTCCAATGTCCACTGTAATGGAAGATTTGTGAATAGCTAACAACGATGATACTAGATGTTTTGCGGTATCTCTGTGGTCGATGCCAAGGAGTGGGAGGAGCTGAAGCGGTATAACATCAATGTACTTTATGGCATGGCAGGCGAACAAAAGAGTGGTGGTGGCGGCAAGGCTGTTAAGCCTGACTCGGAGGATTGAGGTTGTTGTCTACTGCATGGAAGTTGGCGTGTATAGCTCATTGAATACGATACCGGAAAGTGAAGGGAGCATTTGTAATATTTATGCACAAGCCAGGAGTTGGAGACGAAGATTGATATAGTACAACGGCTTAACATATCTTTTATTTGTCCCAGTACTACATGACATTAGAAATACGGTGTGTTGCTATCACAATCAAGCTCCCAAGCACTTGTAGTCTTGACATCGAAGAGCAAAAGCAAACAAAACAACGAATGCCAGAGGCAAAGCCTACACCAATGCCAGCTAAGCTATCGTCCGTCACCTTGGCCTTCACTGCCGCTATCTTCGTCACGGGGTAGCTGGAACCCCATGAGCCCCATGAGATTTCCCGCAGGGCCAGCCATGCCTCCCTGGCTCTTGAAGCTCTCGAGAAGATTCTTGGCTAGGTTATAGTCAATGTCGACTTCGCCGTCCTCGTCATCGGTGGAATCTGCCGAATGGCCGTTTTCTCCTTGCAGCGGTTGCTTCTGTTTCTGCTTATCCTTCTGCTTATCCTTCTCAGAGCTTTGCTTTGACTTTATCGCACGCTCGGTTGTTGGTGGATCGAGCTGGAGAGTCCCGTACTCTTTGAGCTCGGCTTCCATGCGAGATGCGAGATCTTGTATGTCTCGATCCTCTTCTGCATCGCTATCGGTGTGGTCCTCGGCAGTCTCAACCTTTCGAACCTTTGCTCCTTCCCCAGGATTCGTTGTGGCAATGCCCATCATTTCTTTCATCATGTTGGAGAATGCTTCTTCATCAAAGCTCACCTCTACGTCCTGATCTTCTTCTTCTTCCTCGTCATCATCATCGACGTCCATTCTGTCGAGCTCAGCGCCCTCTAACCCAGCGTCATCATCGTTGAGGAAAGACTCGAAGCGCGAGACTATCTTTCTCAGATTCTCTTGTGTCTGAGCCTCGCCGAAGCCGGATGCGCTCTTTGAAGACGAAGCATGAGTTTGCTTCCCTTCTAGCTCGCGCTCAAAGTCTTCGTAATTGATGTCAAGCCATGAATCATCGTCATCCCGACCAGCGTTCTCCCACAATTTCATCTCTTCATCGGAAGGCAGGCATGAGCTTCCGTCCTCTTGCAGATCCTCTAACATGATAGCCATTTCGCGAACGACTCTGCTCTTGCTATTCTCTGCATTGACAGCAAGCATCTCGAACCCGCAGGTGAGCTTCATGCCAGTCTCTAAGTGTTCGAATTTCTTCTGGTCTTGTTTTGGCAGCAGCTCCGCGTTTGTGGTTTTGCGGAGCAGGGCCTCCCACCTTGGCGGTGTGTCGAATCTCTGGGACTTGAGCTGAGCAAAGAGGGTTTTGCTGAATCTTACACTGACCGTGACAAGATCTTCCGGTGGAAATTGCAAAGATCCCGATGAAGATATAATGGGCTTCAGCGAGTTGGCATCTCGCAAATAAAAGTGCTCAACGGCAGGGGCAACAGCCTTTGGAAGAGCATGTAAAATGTAGGCCACTGCTCTAGGAATCGTGACAAGGGAATGGTGGATAGAGTTGGAGATTTGATCTGGGTATTTCTTCAATCTATGAAATGCTTCGGAATCGATGGCGGGGAGGTGAACCAGGGCGTCTGTATTTGATCGCAGAAACGTGACGGCTTGCGAAAGCGACAATTGGTCGGGATCGTCTTTACCCCTGAGCATGAGAGGTATAAGGAAGATCTTCCCAAGATGGATCCATACGCGGTAACGATCAATTTCCGGACTCAGCCACATGGGAAGGACGTTGGCCGCTTCGACAAGGAGGAATTCTCCATCGGAATCTCCAACTCGAACCCAGACGTCGGGATGGGCTTTGGACAGCTCACAGAGCATGTAGACAATGAGCCATTCATCTTCGATGGCATCTCCATAATCAGTGGTGCCATGTAGAAACAGAAGTCCTAGAGGTAAGCTATTAGAGCAGGAATTAAGAAGAAATTGTCATTGAACCATCAGAGGCCAAGGGGCTGCACTCACCATGCTCGCTTTTCAGCGAAATCTCAAACCCCTCACGCTGCCAGATGTAGTCCTTTGTGAGCGACTGAACGAGCTCAACTGCTGCTTTTCGAATAGCTTCAAGGCGAGTACGTGCTTTACGAGCCTCGGATTGTTGGTTCTCGACCACAAAGAGCATGTACTCGACGGTATTTTCAGAGAGCTGCCCTACGGCAGTTTCCGTCTCGCCGACATTGCTGTCGTTGGACATGCTTTACCGCGAGAAGGGATACCTGTGATGGTTTTCAGTCATCCGCATGGCGAAAGGTTATTCATACGATATGTTGAGTTTAGTTGGAATGCATGTAGATGTAAGTTTGAGAGTGCCGTCTCGATTGAAGCCCCACGCCGACAAGCTCTTACACACCCGCCTATCAAAATTCTTTCAGCGCTGGCTATTATCACAATATTGCTGGGCATTATAGATAGCATATAGCTACGGACTTTTAATTATTCTCTCAAAAAGGTTGAATCTCAAATTTCCTTTCTATAGTTGTAATGTCAAATGATATTTATCTTTGCTAATACAAGCCGTCGACTTGCGGATAAAATACCATCTCGGTCCTCAAAGTGATTTACATACAGCCAGCGTGCTACTAAGATACCTGAAAGGACAGGCGCATTAGTCATGCACTGTTAGCTGCCTAACTGCCTAGCTGCTTTACCCCACGACGCGCTCAACGCGGTCAACGCGCTGCAAGACCAAATTAATGGACTTTGACAAGTCCATCGCATCGCTTATCGGCCAGAGGGGCTTGCAGGATGCATGCGACACTAGGATGGGACTCTTTAACATGTTAATATAACCAATACGCTTCAATCACCGACCGGCGCATCCTTCCAGCCTTCCTTGATACTTCTCGACTTCTGTGACTACGCCCAATCTATCAACCACCGGCCATGGCGCCTCTCAAGAGATTGCGCAAAGCCTCAGGCCAGCAAGACGAAATTACAGACGTCACTGAAGCGCGTGCGTCCATGGCCAACGGCATGCAGCCGGTAACTACGTCAACAAGCCGGGCAATCATCAGCTGGCTAACCGCAGGTCGCAGAGAAAACGAGTCCGGTTATCAGCAGAGCCTTCGAGCAGTAGAGCAGCAGAGACGAGACGAGACGACGGTTCATCCAGCTCTGAGAGCGAAAACGGCGATGGAGATGACGATGATGACGACGCTCCGGCGACTCCCCCCCAGACCCAATACGAACTTATGAGAGACAATGGTTTCCGACACCTCAAGAATACCGATTGGGACGACCAGCAAGCCACGCAGAAGCTGATGCGCCGCACTACGACACAGACGTTTGACAACAACATGGTCGCTGAGAGTGGCATTATTGAAAGCATCACCTGCTACAACTTCATGTGCCACGAACGATTGCATGTGGAACTTGGTCCCCTCATCAACTTCATCGTTGGAGAGAACGGCAGTGGCAAGAGCGCTGTCTTGACGGCTCTTACACTATGTCTTGGCGGCAAGGCTAGTGATACCAACAGAGGCGGCAGCTTAAAGTCATTCGTCAAGGAAGGACGCGAGCAAGGAAGTCTTGTTGTCAAGATCAAGAACGTTGGATCCGATGCATACCAGCCCGACATCTACGGATCGTCCATCACTGTCGAGCGCCACTTTTCTAAATCTGGCAGCAGCGGTTTCAAGATCAAGACGGACCAGGGCAAGGTTGTCTCTACCAAAAAGCAGGAGGTCGACGAAATCTCGGAGTGGTATGCCTTGCAGATAGGGAACCCCCTGACAGTCCTCTCCCAAGATAATGCGAGACAGTTCCTCAATGCCGCAAGCCCAGCGCAAAAGTACAAGTACTTTGTTTCTGGTGTCCAACTGGAGCAGTTGGATAATGACTACAAAATGTCGCAAGACACATTAGACAAGACGCTTATACTCCGAGAAGATCTCGATGAGAAGATAGCCCATGTTAAAAAGGAAATGGACGATGCTCAACGACTTGCCGAGATAGCCCAGAAGAACCAAGGCCTTCGCGAGAAAGCGAGACACTATAGAAACCAGCTTGTTTGGTCGCAAGTCGTCGAGCGGGAAAGAGAGCTAGAGCAGCGCAACGCTGATTTGAACAGGCGCGACGAGGAGCTCATCACCTGGGAGGCTGACTGCGAAAAGGCGACAGACGCCCTCACAAAGGAGGAAGAGAAGCTGGCTCGGGTTCAAGAGGCCCGAGAAGCTCTCGGCAATGAAGAAAACACTTTTGAGGAGAAAATGTTGGAGGCAGAGGCTGCGTGGAATGATGCCAAAAGGAAGCAAACAGAACTGCAGCGCGAAGAGCGAGATGCTCACATGCGGTTGAGAACTCTCCGGACAGACATACAGTCATGTGAGAGCAAGATCAAGGAGGAAGAAAACCGACTGGATGGTGCATCAGGCTCTGCACGCGCGCAGAAAGACCAAGAGCTCTCCGAGGCGCAAGCGCAGGAGAAGAGAGTGAACGAACAAATTAGCGAAGCCAAGGCCAAGACGTCAACGTATTACGAAAAAATAACAGCAGCCAAGGAAGCTGCAAAGCGAGCAGATCAATTTCTCCAACAAAAGAAAAAGGAGGTGGTCGTGGCGCAAAGGGGCGTCAAAGATCTCGAGCAGAGCAGCGGCTCAGCCCTTGACGGATATGACCCAGACCTCATCAAACTGGCCAAGGCCATTGAGAAGGAAAGCGGGTTTGAAAGCAAGCCTCTAGGTCCCCTTGGCACCCATGTTACTCTCCGAAAGCCTGAATGGTCTGGCATCCTCGAAAAGACCTTTGGTGAGAATTTGAATGCGTTTGTTGTGAAGAGTAAGAGGGACCATACGAAATTGTCAAACTTAATTCAGCGAATTGGCCTAAGAAAACAACCACCCATTTATATTGCGTATGGAGGCACAATTGACACCAGTGCCCAGGAGCCAGATGGCGAATTTGATACCATCCTCAGAGTGCTGGCATTCGACAATGAGCTCGTTCGATCTCAGCTTGTCATCAATAACCAGATCGAAAAGGTCATCCTAGTAAAGGATCGTATCGAAGCGGAGCGGGTAATGATCGATAACAACGGTCCTCCCCGAAACGTGGTGGCGTGCATCTGCTTCCACGATGGCAAAGGGAAACGCGGCCACGGACTGAGAATAACAAACCGTTTCGGAACAATAGGCACAAGTCCTATTACACCGACCAACCTAGCTCCTCGAATGCAGTCAGATTCTGCTCAGCGGCTTGTTGTGCAGAAGGAGAACCTCAGGCAGCTAGGCTTGGAGGTGAAGGATTTGATAGCTGAGGAGCGGCAAGCACGCCAGCAATTGGATGGCTGTGAAGCTGATCTCAAATCTCACCTGACCGCACTCAAGGGTTTGGAAAGTGATAATCGCCGAATTCAGGCGGACATTCAGCGGATATCACTAGACCTAGATGCATTCGAGGGCGTCGATGGACGTCTTGTTGCGCTGCGGGAGGAGCGCGAAGCGAAGCAGACCGAAGAGGAGCAGCTTGGTCTGCAGTATGGTAACTTGAAATTAGAAAAGCGAGAGCTAAGCAAGAAGGCGGAAGAGGCCAAGGCACGCCTTGATGCCGAAAAGGATGTGCGTAAGGATCACCAAAGCCGCGTAGCCAAGGCAGACGACAAAGTCAAGAAACACGAAGCGTTTCGGAAGATTGCACTCGCTCAAAAGAATGCCGCCTTTGAGAGGTGGGATATCGAGAAGTCCGAGAGGCGGCGAGCAGAGGCCAGGCGTGACCAGAAGATTGCCGAGGTGGCCGACTTTATCCAGCAAGCAGAGCAAGTGTCGCCGGATCGTGTTCATATCCCTGAAGACGAAACATATGCAAGTCTTGAGATCAAATACCAAAAGGTTTGCGAGCAGCTGGCACAGCGAGAGGCTCGACAAGGGGCCACAGACCAACAGATTTACGACCGAGCTGTCGAGGCCAGAACGCGGTACGAGGATGTGATGAAGAAGACAAGAGACGTGGACGACACTATTGCGAGTCTGAAACAAGCCATTGAGCACCGACTTCACCTATGGAGACAGTTCCAGAGGCAAATTAGCGCTCGAATACGAATTCAGTTCAGTTATCTTTTGAGTGAGCGTGGGTTCAGAGGCAAGATCGACATTGACCACCAGGCCAGGAAGGTAAACCTCCAGATTGAGCCTGACAAGACTCGAAAGAGCTCATCAGGCCGCAACACTAAGACGTTATCTGGAGGCGAAAAGTCATTCTCGTCAATATGCATGCTTCTCTCCGTGTGGGAAGCAATTGGATCACCAATACGATGTCTGGATGAGTTCGACGTCTTCATGGATAATGTTAACCGAGCAATTAGTACCAACATGCTGGTAGGTTATACTGCAGATTTACGGGAAATGAGAGGTGATTTGAGAGTGAGTGCTAATGGGATGATGTCACAACACAGGTGGATGCTGCTCGACGATCAGTATCGCGACAATACATCTTGATCACGCCGAATGCTATTGAGGGCCGTGCTCGGCTGGATAAAGACGTCAAGATTATTCGGTCAGTTTCATTGACATTTTACTCTTTCTAGTGATTTGCGATTTTCATGGCTAACTCTCAAATCTCTATCTTACAGCTTGACCGATCCCCGCCAACGAACCCTCATCTAGAGCCAGCGCCTGCCACTCATGGCCGGCCTGTGAACATACTTTGTGGGCAAGGTGTAATGAATAGTTTGCGCAATAATGCTGGGACGCCATTCATTCGTGGGCGGTAAAAAACAATAGGCGATGGTGTATATACATAAAATGGTGGCGAGCAAACTCGTTGGGAGTTGGGAGCCTTGAGATGCTGATACTATTGTACATGACTCTTATGATTTAATTAGACAGGGATGAGGATGTGGCTTGGGGGCGGATTTTGTGTCTAGAACGTCAGATAGGGACGCCCTTGCTTCTCAAGACATTAACGCCTGCATTAAGCGTAAAGCCAACCCATTGGCCTACGGCTCCTACGGTGCCCCCCACAGATTGGACCTCTCCCAGCCTTCGATGCAAGAACTGTCTTGTCTCGAAAAAGGACGGCGATCTGTCGTTGGTCATGAAGAGCTCACTGGAGCTGTAGACCATGGAGAGAGCCGCCCGCTTGGTGTACCACGACGGGTCGACGGCCTTGTCGCCCGCCAGGAACCAGATGTCGTCGGACAGGGCAGCCAGCTCAGCCAGCGACTTGGGCAGATGGCTGGGCTGCGCCATGATGGCCAGGGCCTGCATATGGCGCACTCTGGTCAGCGAACGCGCCAATGGGTGTCTCACGACCAGACACGGCACTCACCTCCTGCCACCTGTGTATGATGTCCTTGTTGCCCACCAGTCGCTCCCATGTCAAGGCAGCCACCTTGTCATTGACGGTGGCGAGCGAATCATCCTTGAGCAGCTCGCGGCTCTTGTCAGCCAGTCTCTCGCGCTGCGCAACCAGGTGGTAGCGTATCAGGCTGAACTGGCCGTCGGGCAGGATGCTGGAGCTGATATCAGGGTAGCCGGCATCGCGGGCGCCAAGGCCAATGGCGCGGAGAGAGAATCCATGCTCAGGGACGTGCTTGTAGGCGGCGGCCAGGATAGACCTGTCGACGGTGCCAAATGGCGGCGTTGATGGATGGTCGTACGAGTGGTAGTGCCGCTGGCAGAGGGACGAGGCTGGCGCTGTCTGGCGGGCGATTGGGCCGCGGGCGGTCGAGCCCAGACATCGTGCGGCGCGCGAGATGCAAGGGGAGGCCATTGCGATTGTGTGATGAGCTGTTCGGGCTGCGATGGCTTATGCCTATGCTATGCGACAGCGATGCTGCGGATTCTTATTGACTGGTTGTACGAGGGGCTCTGCAAACTCGACGAAGCACGGGTGGATCCCCCTGCGTGGGAGAGAGAGCTAGATGCATGGTGTGTTTTTTTGGTGGGTTTTTTTCTTTTCTTTTTTTGGCAGTGCATGTAAGTGCAGCGCAGTGCATTGCGGTGCAGGTAGAGCATGAGCGCAGCCAGTCTATTTGCTTTGCGATATCTCGACGTAATAGATATGAGTGCGTGCTACTGCCAACGAGCCAATGGCATCTGGAAGCGGATGTGATTGCGCATTATCTATGTACGAGTATGCTGTCTGTACGGAGTACGGACATTAGCATGTTACACAATGAGCAGCTTGCGAGCATCGCATCCTCACCGGTGGTTAGTCATCCTGCGGCCTCATTGGGTGGCCGGAGCACCCCGTCTTGGATTGCATCATGCATCGTGGCGACAACTCAACAAACCAGAGCTGCCAGGTTTCGGAGCAAAAAGAGACGAGGTAGTTGGCCAATCACGCCGGGAGACAGGCCATGGCCAGGGCTTGAGGGGGCATTTCTGCCGCAAAGCACGCCAGCATAGAGGACTTACAGGCACGTCCCATGGACTTGTCACCGAATGCCGGGGCCGATCCCCCGTCGATTTGCCAGCACCCAGCCAGATAGACTCGATTCCTCCCTGGGTGCTGGGTTGCTGGGCTCGTGTCGTTCTGTACTGTGCTGTCGGTATCACAAGCAGTGCCGATACGAGCTAGGGCCCGGGCAGGGTGGGATCTGGAGCCGGGCCCTGTTTGCAGCAAAACGAACCGACGAGCAGTCGCACAAGTACAGACATAGCATCTTGTCGGAGACTTGAATCCACTGCCTTGACTAGTCAGGCACAGGTGCTCTCCATTCAGAATCTCCTTGTCCAGCTCTAATACAGCTTCAGGTTAGTAGTACTCCCGTAGTGAACTCAGGCGAGCTCCCCTCACCGATCTTCTCGGGTAGGGCACCTTAGCCATTGTGTTAGTGCTCTGCTCCGCTGTTCCCGCCCTGCATCTGGTTGAGCCGCCTCAGCGATCAGTGCTCTAGTCTCTAACACGTCGAGCTCTAGCAGCCCGGTCTGGCGCCTAATGCCACCCGTGGACTGCTCTGCTTTGCGGCCGAGCCCACACGTGCTGCTGCTGGCCTCGGACTGGCCCCTTCTAACCCTTCTGGCCCCTTCCGGCCTTCTTCTCTCTTCTCTCGTCAACCTCTTCCTCTTTGCATCATCCAATCCGATTCCCCTGCTCCATCCTCGTACCTGTACCGGCCACTTTCGCGACGCCTCCGTCCAATAGGGATCGCCCCCGGCTGCCCCGGCCACACGACCCGAGCAAACGACCAGAGGAGAAAACTCTACTTGCTGCCGGGTGTGGGAGCTTCCCTGAGCTGGCACTTTTGCCCACCTCCCACCTCCCACCTCATCCATCTGCGCGGTCCCGGAACCGAGCCAGCCTGTTTTGTTTTCTCCCACGGCCTGGCATCCGACCAGCACTGCATCTGTTTTTTCCCCGGCTTCAATCCACGCTAAGTCGGAAAACCCACGTACGTACTGTCTGTCCTGGTGGCCACCCTCCACGCAGGCGCTGCAAAGCTGGACGCAATGAGCGACGTGCATGCATCCAACTCACCTCTGCTACCACATGCTGCGTGAAAGCTCGCTCCTGGCCTGACTTTTTCCTGGCTTGCTCCCACTCACTCCCACCAGCTGCCGGCCCACGAGCCAATGCAAGCCGACCCCCCTGCCCCCCATCATCATCACCATTTTGACCGGGTTGTTTGTTGTTGTTGCTGTGTGCTTTTTTTTTCCCTTTTTTTTTTGCCCTGTTTCTGTCTCTGTCTTTTATCTCTCTCTCTCTCCCTGCCTTAGCACAGCACAGCAATCACATCACCTACCAAGTAGTAGGTTTTACAAGGTCCGTAGTGGTTGGTACCCAAGTTTTGGTTGGATCCTGCGGCGCTCATCAATGGTACCACTCGTACGAGCTCCCGTGAGAAAAAAAAAAAAAGCATAGCAGGATCTGCAGCCTGCTCTCCCCCTGCTTCCCATCTACTTGCTCTAGCTCTGGTGCCTCGTCGTGCCTTGCAAGGTACTTGTACCGGTTTAGGTAGTAGTAGTCACAGCTCTGCATCTTGGCCCCCTCCGTCCTCCCTCAGCCTCTGCACGCTCATTCGTCGCCTGGTCCCCTCCCGGTCCGCGCGTTCTTTTCCCCTTCTCAACCACCAGCTTGAACAATAACCATGCGCCTCTGTCCTACCCCCCTCCCAATTGCATTGCGACTTACTGGTACTGTACTGTACTCGTGCTGCAGCCCGCTCGCGTCCCTGCGAGATCCGTTCTCTTGCTGACTGCTGCTGTGGCTTGCCCTCTCTCCAGAAGCCACCCATAATTCTGCCGTCGTCGCGACCTGGCCCTCCAATCTGTTGAGACACCCGGCTTGCCTTTGACTGCACGCGCGACAAGGCTCAAGGCACAAGGCACAAGGCCACTCTCCTCCTTTGTATCGCATAAACCGCCATGGGTACGTCTTTTCTCTCTCAGCTCTCTCAGTCTATATCTCTGCCTCCGTCTGCCGACCTCGACTTGTACCGGCCTCTTTCTCTCTCACTTTCTCTTTGTTTCTGGCCAAGACGCGTGCTGCCAGCCTCGGCGCCGTCACTCGCCTGGTAGACTTTTTTCCAAAAAGCTCTGCCTTGCCTTGCCTTTGTCTTTTATTTCCTCTTCCCTGCCTGAAACCCCCCCAAGGAAGCAAACCAGAGACGCCTCTGCTTCATTCAACGTGATACCACTTTGGATGTAACTTGTCGCCCCCGTTGCCGGCTGATACGTCCTTCTTCTCGACTCGCCTCTCTCCGTCCACTGCATTATCATTGACCCCCCTTACCTGCATGTCCTCCCGCCTTGCTACTCCGCATACTTCTCATCACTTTACACCCCACCACTACCCGGGTACATGACTATTATTTCAATCAGGCCGTCTTTTCCTCCATCTCTTTTGGCACAATTTCCTTTGCTTTGAAGAGGGCTCTTGCAGCGCCAGTTTTCTAACCTTTGTCTTTTAGCTGACTCCGGCGATAACTACCGACCAGTAAGTTCACATCATATTTGCTTTGACCTGCCCTTTCTCCTACACGCATTCCACTGCCCTCGCCTTGGTGCGAGCCCACCAACTCTTATGTGGTCTCGCGCCTTGGCCTTCTTGAACAAAATCCTACAGCGCCACCCCGCAGCGGCCACTCTGTTTCCTACGCCGTATCCCACGGGGAGGCGTCGCCAGCAGGTGTCATGTTTCCGGTTCGAAGCTGTCGTTGTTGGACAATGAAGCTCGTCTACTCAATTGCTCGGTCGTGGAAAATGCTCAGCCCGCACCGAATGCAGAGTCCTCTCTGTTGGGGAGTGTTATATATCTGCCTATGAAAACAGGCTGAGTGTCACCTTGGGCAGCTCGTGGCTCGACTGCATTCCGGATAACCCATTCACTTAGCCTAGCCCTACCAACGTCACAAGTCACTGTTGTCTGTCTTGAAACGCTTGTACTGATCGACCCATAGCGTGAGAGGTCTCGATCACCTCGACGACGTTCCAGGAGTCCAGGGCGACAGTCTCGTCGGCGGTCTTATTCGCCTCGCAGCAGATCAAATAGTCGAGACGACTATCGACGGGGCCGCGATCGCTCCCCAATGACTGGAACAGGAGCTGCACCCGCCGGTGGTCCTGCTGGCAATTACGGGGGACAACAACCCCATCGATCATACGAAGAACGGGCCGCTGCCCGAGAGCAGATGATGAGCAACATTCGAGAGACGTCCCAGCAGGACCGCCGCGTCTATGTCGGCAACCTCTCATATGACGTCAAGTGGCATCACCTCAAGGACTTCATGAGACAGGGTGAGAACAGGATTCTACGAGTATGGGCACGGTGAAAAGATCAAAAACTGACCAGGGAAACTCCCAATGTTACAGCTGGAGAGGTACTCTTTGCCGATGTACTATTGCTTCCAAATGGAATGTCGAAGGTGGGCTTCATCGCGTAGCTTTGGTTGGCTTTCTTTTGTAGTTTCTTCCCTTTCTGGTTTTGATGGATGGTTGGGTTGACGGGTTGGGACGTTGTCCTGGGAATAATTGTAGGGATGCGGGTAAGTCTCTCTCTCTCTCTCTCTCTCGAATTCTGTCGCAGCACGTGTCTGGTTTACCGTTGCTAACCGTTGCTCTTGAAGAATTGTGGAATATGCTACAAGGGAGCAAGCTCAGCAGGCTGTTGCTCAACTCAGCAACCAGAACCTAATGGGTCGCCTTGTCTACGTTCGAGAGGTTGGTCAATCCCTAATGCTAATGCTAATTTACGTTGCCTGGCGCTGACAGTGTGGCTTTCTATTTTTTTTCATCATCAGGATCGTGAAGCTGAACCTCGATTCATCGGTGCCACGGGTACCAGCTCCCGCGGCGGATATGGAGGTGGCATGCCCGGAGGAGGATTCAACGCTGGATATTCTGGCGGTCCGCCCGGTGGCGGCGCTGGTGGAGGCGGCGGCGGCGGCCGTCAAATCTACGTTGCTAACGTCTGTTTATTCTCTCCATGATGTATCACGAGAGTAACCCAACTGACCCCCTCTTTAGCTCCCCTACAATGTCGGTTGGCAGGACTTGAAGGACCTCTTCCGACAGGCAGGTAAGTTGGCTGCTCCTTCATCAAACAGTCGCATCGTCGAATGTTCCATACCATTAACGCTTTCGTGTAGCCCGAATCGGTGGAGTGATGCGTGCCGATGTGCACGTTGGCCCCGATGGCAGACCCAAAGGCTCAGGAATTGTCGTCTTTGAGAGCCCCGATGACGCACGAAGCGCTATCCAACAGTTCAACGGCTACGACTGGCAAGGCCGCCTGCTTGAAGTTCGCGAGGACCGCTTTGCTGGCGGCGGCGGCGGCATGGGCTTCGGCGGCCGTGGAGGATACGGCGGCGGAATGCGTGGTGGTTTTGGCGGCGGTTTTGGAGGTCGCGGCGGCTTCGGTGGTCGCGGAGGCTTCGGCGGCGGCTTCGGCGGACGTGGGGGCTTTGGCGGCGGCGGCGTTGGACCTGGTGCAGGTGCCGGAGGTGGTGGCGACTTTGGTGCTGCCGCTCCGCCAACCGTACTCCCCAATCCCTTTACCGACAATGCAACCGCTGGCACGGAAAGAGGCGAGATCATATACGTTCGAAATGTAAGTCCTGGCCGCTCTTCAATGCAGCATCTGTTGGGCCGATTCTGACACGTGCTATAGCTGCCTTGGTCGACAAGCAATGACGATCTGGTGGAGCTGTTTACGACTATTGGCAAGGTGGAACAGGCCGAGATTCAGTATGAGCCCAGCGGCAGATCTCGAGGTACCGGCGTGGTTCGTTTTGACTCTGCCGAAACTGCTGAGACGGCAATCGCCAAATTCCAGGGCTATCAGTATGGTGGCCGACCGCTCAACTTGAGCTTCGTCAAATACCTGAACCAGGCCGGAAATGACAGCATGGAAACCGACGCTCATGCTGGCTTGACACAGGACCAGATTATGTAAAGGGTCCAGGTTCGGGTCATTCGGGCCCAAGTTTTCTTGGCCCTGATTTCATTTTCTTTTCACGCATGATCTTTCACTGGGTTGTTCATCTTCTTCTTTTTTTTCCTTTCTTCTCTTCTTATCACTTTCTTTTGCACAGTTCGTCTAGGGTTACTGAAAATTTGATTTGCGGACATGCTATATTTAAAGTCGTGGGAGGAATCAGCTCAAATCCAAGGGGCATTCTTCTATCGATACCAGCTCTGACTGGTTAGATGGGATGCCGCTCTGGAAGATGAGGGGCAAAAAGAACTTGAGTTTTATGTCTTCGGGTATGGGAAAGAAATGAGCAGCAGAAGGAGGGGTGAACGTTGTTATTGAGTTTCTTATTTCTTCCTTTCTTTCTTTGTCTCTCCCTCTCTCTCTATGTATCTCGAAGCGGTGCGTATGAGAGCGTGGTGAAGATAAGTGTTTCAAGCGTGACGTGATTTTCGGACTGGATGGACGGCGAAGGATGTCCCCATATAGAACCCAACTGCCATGGCCTTGTTTAGCCTGGAGTTTGAGGCCTGAGCGTAGGAACAATACGAGACTGGGCGGTATAATGACAGGGCGCGCTGCTATGATGGGGCGCGAACAGATATATCTCGCGCATAATGTTATCTTGGGGTCGGGTACAAATCAACCCAAGCGTTGGGAGAGGTCGCCAGATGAAAGGCCTTGTATACTCTACGAGAAAGCCTATAATCCAACAAACAAAGAATCAAGCTATCCCATCGATTTCTTGTTCCTACAATGATGTCTGATATCATATTGCTTTGGATCTGTAATGACACTAGAATGAATACCTTGACAGCTTCGACATACACGTAAAATCAAGGTAGTCGGACTAGCACATCAAGTCGGACAAGGTGCTAGGTGATGAAGTAGAGCGCCATATATTGGTTTGAAATAGTCAAGACTCGCTGAAACCAACAATAAAATCCTCTGCTGCTGAGATTGTCGTTACCAGCCAGAGGAGGGCACGAGACACTGCTGCATGACCGCCTCGGACAACAAATCTCGGCCGGCCACCACCTTCACTCTTCTCTTTGGCCAATTCGATCATTCAGTTACCTCTTTTGGCATGGTCACATCTTCCCCAATTCCAATTCCCCCTTTCCCTTTTTGCGCCTCCTTACGCAGTGGCCTTCTTCTTCTTCGCCTTTGCCTTCTTCTTGCTCTTGTCCCTGGGCTTGAGCGTCGTCATGCCGGCCTTGCAGATGTCGGCGTAGCGGACGTAGAAGGCCTCGAGCTCGTGGGGCTGGACGACGGTGGAGAGCTTGTCCTTATCGGAGCGGTCGCGCTTGGATTTGCCGTTTGTGGCGCGGACGATGATGGGGAGGGGCTTGTTGGGGACGAGGTCGGGGAAGAGCTTTGCGACTGTTGACTTCTCGCTGGGGTCGTATGTGACTGTGTTGTGCGGGTCAGAGAGAGAGAGAGAGAGAGAGAGAGAGAGAGATTGTGTGCGTTTTGGGTGGTGTGTCCACTCTTACGTCGCTTTTGTGTTAGGTATATGGCTCCATGGTCGCTGCCTTTTCTGTGGTTGAACAGATGGCCGAGTTTGTCGAAGAACTGGACATGCGCGGAACACGGTGAGTTAGCAGATGTATATACACAAGTAATTTGCGCGACGAATTTCGTAAAAGATTGGAGGCTTCATGAGCCTGACGAGGGAGGGGAGGGTTTGGGGGGGACTGACCTCTTCCTGGCTGAGGTGCTGTGAACTCATCTCTGGGAGTTTTGCTGACGGGAAGGCTGGCCGTTGAAAGTGGGATGTCGCTAGCTTGGAGGGAAAGACAATCTGGAGTAGATAACGATAACGACGGGTGCGTTTTAGTGGATGTGTAGTACTCCGTACAGGTAAGGCTACTAGGTACTTACAGTTAGCATGCTGCGCAAAGTATAACAACTTGCGGCTAGGTAGAAAATAATGGACGTGATTAAGAAACAAGTACAAAATATTCATCATAAAAGATTAATCCTTCAATATCTTTTTTCTGTATGGACAGCAATCTCCGTCTGTTCTTACAACCATCAATGTAGCTCGACTGCTATCATGAGTGAGACTTAGTACTAGGTACCTATATTCCGTAGGTAGCAGTCCTCCAATCCAATCCTCAGTTCTACTTTAATACTTACGTGTTCTGTCAGATGCAAATGCAGGCAGTTCAGCTTGTGTTTAGTGGCTAATCAAAACGAGCTGCGAAATCGGGAAGCGCTCCATGGCTATTTATTCGGCTACCGATGCTAAACACTTGGGCAAAGCTGTGGCGCATCTGCTTCGTGCCTGTGGCCCTGTGGGTGCTAATGCAGCATTGCCCCTGTAAGTTTACCGTAGTGCCTTAGTTCCCTGGCCCATGCTAAAGGACAGCATACCCTCTTTTTTCCTTGCCCAGTCTCTATTTGTTGAAGCGTTATAACTTCCCTTTCCGCTCTCCCCACATGTGCCACACCTAGTCGAGACACGAATATATAGATGCGTCTTTCTTGACACGTCTCACTCTTACGACTGCGCCCATCTGTTCAAGTCGTTCTCACCAGCTTCGTTGTCCTCGTTGTTTGGCGACAAAGGCTTGATGCCCAATCTCCCTCTTCGTGTCTAGCCTTGTTCACCATCATCACCGTCGCAAAGATGCGCCTCTGCCTGCCAAACCTCCTCGTGACGGCTGCACTTATATCAGCCGGCGCCGTGTTGGCGCAAGACATTCCTTCAGATGTACCTGTATCAGTTCTCTTGACTTCGGCCCAGGAGCATCTCACAAAGGGCGAGACTAACGAGGCTTTGGCTTATTTCGATGCGGCCATCGCTCGAGATCCGACCAACTATCTGTCATTCTTCAAGCGGGCTACCACGTATCTGTCACTCGGCCGCGCAAACCTGGCAACTGAAGATTTCAACAAGGTACTCTCTCTGAAGCCTGGCTTTCCAGGTGCTCACATCCAGCTCGCAAAAATCAAGGCCAAGGCCGCCGATTGGGATGGCGCAAGAGCTGAATACACTGCGGGCGGCGAAGGGTCCGACTCCCCCGACATTCTGAGTCTGACCGCGGCAGAGGAGTCGACGAAGCTGGCCTTTGCTGCCGAAAAAGATGGCCGATGGGAGGAATGCGTCAACCATGCAGGGGATGCCATCGTTACCGCCTCGAGGTACATCCCGTTGCGTGAGACGCGATCCCACTGTCGCTTTGAGCGAGGCGAGCTAGAGGAAGCCATTGGCGATCTTCGCCACGTGCTGCAGATGCGACCCGGAGATATCTCTCCCCATGTCGTCATCTCGGCTGTTTCATTCTACAATCTCGGAGATCTCGACGCTGGCGTCGGCCAGATCCGAAAGTGTCTCCATTCCGATCCAGATTCGAAAGTCTGCAAAAAAATACACAAGCAGCAAAAGGCCGTTATCAAGACGTTTACCAAGGTAAACGGGCAATTGAACAAGGGACAGTTTACAACAGCAAGCAGAGGGCTGGTTGGAACAGCAGAAGACACTGGGCTCCTCCCGACCGTTAAGGAACAGATCGATGAACTGCGCCAAGAGGGAAGAATCCCCGCCCAAGGGAGGGTCATTCTGTACGAACAGCTCGTCGAGATGGTTTGCCAGGCTTATGTTGAGGTAAGTTGCATGGATGTGCTATGGCGTTACCAAGATTGAAGCTAACAGCATTGTGTGACAGTCAGCTAGCAAGCATGCTGATCAGTATTGCGACGAGGCACTTCAGCTGAATGAAGAGTCATTCTGGGGCCAGTTGCACCGTGCCAAAACTCTACTCAAAAATGAGGATTTTGAGGCAGCTATTCGGACGTTGGAAAGCGCAGCCAACGCACACCCAGATAAGAGAGACAAGGTCAACCCGATTCTTAACAAGGCACAGATCGAACTCAAGAGAAGCAAGACAAAGGACTACTACAAGGTTCTTGGCGTTGCCAGCGATGCTGATGAGAGACAGATCAAATCAGCATACCGCAAGGCGTCCAAGCAGTTCCACCCAGACAAGGCAATGAAGCAAGGCATCAGCAAAGAGGAGGCCGAGAAGAAGATGGCCTCGATCAACGAGGCTTACGAGGTATTGAGCGACCCAGAACTGCGCGCCCGGTTTGACAGAGGAGACGACCCCAACTCCAATGAGAGAGGGAACCCATTCCAAGGGTCACCGTTTGGAGGCCAGCACTGGGCGTTCCAGCAGCCAGGCGGCGGTGGTCAGCAGTTCAAGTTTCAGTTCAACAACGGGCCGTTTGGATTTTAAAGCAGCGGCAGCAGTAGTAGTAGTGCGTGTAGCAGCAGCAGCAGCGGAGTTTGTCTTTTTCTTTACGGTTGCATTTCTTTTTGTTTTACAGAGATGGATAGATATATCATCGTCACCAATTCGTAGCGCAACGTCCATACCAATTACAAATCCATACAAGACAAGGCAATAGACTACATGCTCGTACTGTATTCACAACCAAATACAGTAACATATAGCGGTTCAGAACTTAAAACCCCGATTCGGCGTGTCCTGGCGAATTTCACATTTCCGGGATTACTCCGCTGCTGGGCGAACAGCCAAGGTGGGGCCTCGCACACCTCGCAATTGCCTCCCGGACTCCGAGGCCGTCAACGGAGAAGAGGTGGGAAATTTTTATAGACCGGATACTGGGGATCCGCTCTGATATACTCGCCGGCTCTGGACTCTGTCGCGATCATTTGTCCTTGTCGTCCATTCCCTCACAAGCACGCACACGCTCGACGCCCTGCCGAAGTGCCCAATGACCTAGAGCTGCCATTGATCAGACGCTGTTTCTGCTTGCGACCGACTCCGCGCGACCTCAACGGGCCACATCAGCTCCAGCATCCCTCCATCTAGCCGCGGCTGCATCACCCACTCACGCACTTGGGTTGCGATCCGTCGCCGACCGCCCGCAGCTCTCCGCCTCGCCCTCGCCCTCGACGACCCCGAGATAGTATACGCTGGCCGTGCTGCCTCAGCACGCCTCAACTGCCAACCTGGCTGCCATCAATTCCAAGACTTTTGGCGCAGCTTCTGACGCTGTGGCCGAGATGGCCCAGCCGCCAAGTGGCAAGCCTGTGGTGGAAGAGGAAGAGGAATACGAGTAAGCAACACCCCTGCCATAGCGAGGCTTTATTCTTTGTGTTTCTTTTTTGTGCGCGACCAGAACAAATTCAAGAGGGACATGTCGAGAGGGACAAGGCTGCTGCTTCTTCTGGCTTGAGCAATTGACACTGACTGTTTCTGCGCTTGTGTAGCTATGAATCCCTTCCACCAAACTTCTCGCTGCTGCAGAACATGGCTGCAGGAGCATTTGCTGGGATTGCTGTAAGTGACTGATTGACTGCCACCAGCCAGCCCAGCTCTGGTTGACTTACGGCTGAACATGTGCTGACGAAACGTCCAGGAACACACCGTCATGTACCCAATTGATGCGATAAAGGTAATGACTAACCGCTCGCCTCTTTCAACCGTTAATACTGACGCGGAACTTCCGACGATAGACACGAATGCAAGTCTTGCAGCCGCATGGAACGATAACACACAACAGCGTTCTTCGGAACGCCTTCCAGATCGCACGAACTGAAGGTGTTTTCAGTTTATGGCGCGGCATGTCTAGCGTTATCGTGGGGGCTGGTATGTTTCTTCTCTGTTTGCGGCTTGCCGCAATCCTTTCTCTTTTCCCCTGTAACTTACTAACTCGATGTTTTATAGGTCCTGCCCACGCTGTTTACTTTGCGACCTACGAAGCCGTCAAACATGCCATGGGCGGCAATCAGGTGGGCGTCCACCACCCTCTTGCTGCCGGTGAGCTTCGCTTTTCCCCAATACCCCAGTATGCCCTCTCCAAAACTGACCCAAATGTCCTATAGCCACCAGTGGTGCCGCAGCTACAATCGCCAGCGATGCTTTCATGAATCCATTCGATGGTACGTCATTGCGTTATTTGCCCTCAAGTCTGTAGGAGTGAGCGGGAGGCTGATCTTGATCTCTCTCCAGTTATCAAACAGCGCATGCAGATGCAGGAGTCTCGAAAGATGTATCGTTCCATGGTCGATTGCGCCAAGTACGTTTACCGAAACGAAGGTATCGGCGCCTTTTACATCTCTTACCCAACCACGCTGTCCATGACCGTTCCCTTCACGGCCCTGCAGTTCCTTGCCTACGAATCCATCTCTACCGCCATGAACCCGCAGAAGGCATATGATCCTGTTACGCACTGTCTCGCCGGTGCTGTTGCCGGTGGCTTTGCCGCTGGTCTTACCACGCCCATGGACGTCATCAAGACCATCCTACAAACAAGGGGCACGTCCTCTGATCCGCAGGTTCGGAACGTCAGCGGCTTCTTGGATGGCTGCAAGCTGCTGTATAGAAGGGAAGGCTTCAGAGGCTTCTTCAAGGGAGTCAGGCCCAGAGTTGTCACAACAATGCCCAGCACTGCTATTTGTTGGTCTGCCTATGAATTTTCCAAGTAAGTTGCGCTCACACTCTCTCTCTCCCTCATATTCACCAGAGGATGATGTCCAGTATACTGACATTGGTTTGCTTTTGCAGAGCGTACTTCATTAAACGAAACGATGGCTTGTAAAGAATATGTTTGCAATATATGGTAATTATAGAGATTATACAGAGCAATGGGCTATAAGCTATAATTACATTTTTCTATTCCTTAAAAAAAAAAAGGTAGTAAATAGATTATGTTTAAATATATTCTGTTCAAAGCAATCAGTCTTACGGTCCAATTCTGCAATACCAGGTTTATGTACCAATGAAAGAGCAATTTATGCTAGATTCATTCCGTAGGAAACTTCGACTAGAATGGATGCATTTGGGAATATGTGGGTAGGTTTGACTCTACATGAAAACATTAACCAGAATTGGTATCTCGTTTGTAGACTTTGGGGCTATAGCGGTATGTCAGAAGCCTGAAAGCTAGGCAGCTGAAAGGAAGCAGAAGCCAGATTCGAGCTGGGCTTTGTGGCCTGAACAAAGCAACCTATACAAAGAAGAGGTCATCTCTCTTTTTAAGGGAAGGGGCTGTCCAGCATCCCAGCGACTAAGAAGAGTTTCAAATGTCATGATAACGCATAATGAAGATCTTTTATCACTAGTATTACTTAAATAGGTGTACTCTTCCTGGAGTATCTGCTACTATTGCTAGGTACTTTCTGCTACTATCACTACCATCGAGACTTTCTAACACTGTACAAGTACTTATTTGGGTGGCAGCTCTAGCGATCCACCCTTCTAAAATTAGCCGCTCTTTAGCTGAGATCTTGGGACCTGCACGCTTAGATCATATCAATCTACCGCTACCTACCTAGCCTAGTAGGTCCTCACCCGGTGACGCTTCTCTCCAGCCATCAACAAGCCACCTGACTCAAGCATTAGGCAGTAATGTCCATGTCCATGCTCGACCAGCTGACTGTCTGCCAAAACATCAACAATCACAGCTTCCCTTGTGCTAACGGACATTGATATGCGCAGAGTTTACCGTCTCTGGCCTGTTCTCTCTCCCCATCTCTCGGGCGATTCCACATGAACATGGTTATGGTTATGGTTAGCAACTGAACGAGCCTCCGACATGGCACCCGCACCCAAGATCTTCTCACGACTCACGGCGTCTACGCAAGGCGGCCGGTCCTTTTACGAGCAGCTGCGGTCCTACGACGACGAGCCAGACTACGATGTTGAGGCAGGGCCGGCCCACGGAGGCGCCAGCCGGCTGTTTGACAGCATCCCTGCACCAACGCTGGCCGCCGCACGACGCAACAACAACAGCAATAACAACAATAACAACAGCGCCGGCAGCGTACTATCGCCGGGAGCGAGCAGCCTTCATCAAGACCCCCGCCGAGGTCCCCCGATAAGGTGGCCGCAACACGATGACGACGGTGACGACGACGTGCCCGCTTCGCTGCTCGTCGAGTCCAACAAGGCCATGGCGAATCCCGCCCTCGACCAAACAGAAGCGCAACATTATCACAGCCCAGAGCCTCCATCGGGCCACGGCCGGCCCCAGTGGCGGCCGCCGGCTGAGGTCCCCAGGCCAAGTGCACGACCAGCTGCAGCACCACCGTTGGGATCTCTGCTGAACGCGGGCCCGTCATTCGACCGCAAGAATGCTGCTTTGTGGAGATGGGCAAACATCACAAATCTCGACAGCTTCATGAGAGATGTTTATAATTACTATGAAGGCGACGGCATGTGGTGTATCATGTGCTCAAATGCCCTGTGGTTATTGTAGGTTCAACCAAGGGGGTTGAAGGGAGGGAGCTATCTTGCCTTCTTCTTCTCCTTCTTCTCCTTTTCTTTGATTAACCTGGTTGGAATTAAGCGGCAGCAGCTGACATGGAGATGCAGGGAAACTTTGTTCGTTGCTATCTTGTTGACGTTCCTAACTCAATGTGTCGATTACAGCAAGGTGCCGCATAGTCAGTCACTGAAGCAGGTCGTCGTACCCCAATGCACTCAGAAGATGTCAGGCTTGTGGAGTTTTGGCATCTGGCTTTACTCCTTCTTCTTCATATGGAAATCTGTGCAGTACTTTTTCGAGATCCGCCGTCTCCTCCATATCCGCGAATTCTTCGTCGTCCTTCTTGATATTCCCGAGCAAGATATGCAGACGATATCGTGGCAAGACGTTGTTGCTCGGATCATGGCTTTACGGGACCAGAATCCTAGAACAGCCGCCGATATACCGCAGAACTTGCGGCGCTTCATCGGTAGTCAGTCTAAAGAACGTCTCGATGCTCACGACATCGCCAACCGACTGATGCGCAAGGAGAATTACCTCATCGCCATGATTAACAAGGATATACTAAACTTATCACTTCCGTTTCCGTTTCTCAGAGGTCGTCAGCTGTTTTCAAAGACTATGGAATGGTACCTTCATTACTGCATCCTTGACATGGCATTCAACGAACTGGGCCAAGTACAACAAGATTTCCTGCGTGCCGAACGGAGAGGAGTCTTGAGTCAAAAATTGAAACAGCGATTCTACTTTGCTGGGTTTCTGAATCTCCTCTTCGCTCCCATCGTGCTCGCATACGTCATTATCGTCTATTTCTTTACGTATTACAATGTGAGTACTCACTCCTTTATGACATATCTCATGTAATTGCTGCTAATTACCGCATACAGGAATATCAAAAAGACCCCAAGCTAGCTGCAGCACGTAAATACACCTCGCTTGCAGAGTGGAAATTTCGCGAGTTCAACGAGCTTCCTCACCTCTTTTATGAAAGGCTTCATATGTCATTTCCGTTCGCAACCCGATACATTGATCAATTTCCCAAGCGCATGACAGAGGATATCGCGAAAAGTATTTCCTTTATGTCTGGTGCACTTACGGCCATTCTTGCTGTTTGCACTTTACTTGACTCGGAACTGTTCTTATCGTTTGAAATCACAAAAGACCGGACCGCTCTGTTCTACCTGGGAATATTTGGAGGAATCTGGGCCATCACCCGTGGAATGGTGTCTGAAGAGTCGATGGTGTTCGATCCTGAGTATGCTCTGAGGAACGTTATTGAGTATACTCACTATATGCCTGATCACTGGCAGGGAAGGCTGCACAGCTTCGAAGTTAAACAGGAATTTTCAGAGCTCTACAAGATGAAAGTTGTCATCTTTCTAGAAGAGGTCCTAGGCATCATAACTACCCCCCTGTTGTTGCTGTTGTCACTACCCAAGTGCAGTGATCAGATTGTGGATTTCTTCCGGGAGTTTACGGTACATGTGGATGGGATGGGCTATGTCTGCTCGTTTGCCGAATTCGACTTCAAAAGGGGGCCAAGCCAACCCGCCAATCGACAGGGAGCCCCCAAGGACGTCCGCGAGGATTACTATGCAACAAAGCATGGAAAGATGGCTGCGTCTTATTATGGATTTCTTGATAATTACGTTATCAATCCCAAGACTGGCATCCCTGGACACCTGCCTCCGGGGACGCAGCCATTCCATCCTCCCCCTGCGTTTCCCAATCTGAATTCGCCCACTCTAGCAGCAGACATGCAATCTTCCCACATGGGGGGCGCGGAAACAGGGAGAAATAGGAGCCGAACAGCAGGGTTGGGTACATTCCCCAGAGGCGGTCACAGCATTACACAGCCATCGCCTATGGCATCTATGCTCCTAGATGCCCGTCACCAGCCGTCAATCTCAAATGTGGCAGGCAGAGGGCCGTATAAACCGCCCCGTCCGTCACGAGGAGCCCATCCTTCTGAGATCCCCGAGGAGCCATTTGAAGCCGAAGCCGATGTTGCAGGGCTGGGAGGAGAGAGCTCCGAAGCCGGCGCCATGCTTGGGGAATCCATGTGGCAGACGTCTCCTGGGGGACTCAGTAAGGAAAATAGTATGGCCACGAAGGAGCCAGATGTCGGTGTGCTTGGATTGATTAGCCAGTTCCGGCAGACACAGCCTCACCGCCGGGGAGGAGGAGTCTTTTAGAAGCAAGACTTTGGGACGAAATGAACATCAGGGAGTTCTAGCGGCTGCCAATTTGGGAATACATGGGGGACCTCAGCGGATTTTTAGACTTTAAGTACACTGCTTGAGTCATAACATGTTGTAGTATACATATGTAGACTCGGCTTATTAAAGGCAGCGAGAATTTAGCTCTTTTTTTTTTTTTTTTAGCTTAATAAGAATTATAATTAGAATCCTAAGATGGAATATAGCATGAGTAGCAGATACTTAAGAAACTGGCTACAATAAGTCTATCTGCTTCAGCAAGTAAAAGTGGTAGTTAATTTCCTAGTTTGTAGGCATTTGGAAGAAGTTATTTAGTACTTTAGTCTGTAAAATATACACAGCTTAAGTGTCAGAACGAGATACTGAGGAGGCACCCTTAAACAGCTTGCATTGCTTCTTTTGACTTTATTATTTATAGTAATAATTATACAACCCTTGAAGAACTTGATTCTACAAATAGCTTCAGTTTGACTTAGACATTTGTCTCCTCGGCAGCCCTGGGTATGCATACATGCTTCATTGCATCCCGTATCTATATGTTTTTGTTTTGATTTCACTACGCATGACCTATTGACTTGAGAGACCTCCAACGCCAGACCTTCAGACTATAGACCCTCTCGACTCAAAAGACCACGCCGGCTTCACACCACAACGATCCCTGACTTAGAAGTGGATGGCCTTGTCATAAGTGGCCATGGCAGCCTCCTTGAAAGCCTCGGCGAGCGTGGGGTGGGCGTGGCAGGTTCGGGCAATGTCCTCGCTAGAAGCACCATACTCCAGGGCCAGGGTAGCCTCGGCAATCATCTCACCAGCGCCAGGTCCAACGATGTGAGCGCCGAGCAGGCGATCAGTCTCGGGATCGGCAAGGATCTTGACGAGACCGTCGTGGTCGAGGTTGGTCTTGGCTCGGGAGTTGGCGCTGAAGGGGAAAGTGCCGATCTTGTAGGGGATGTTCTGGGCCTTGAGGTCCTGCTCCGACTGGCCAACCCAGGCGACTTCGGGGTGGGTGTACATGACAGACGGGATGCATCCGTAGTTGACGTGGCCATGGCCCTTGGAGATGTACTCGACAACGGCAACAGCCTCCTCCTCGGCCTTGTGGGCAAGCATGGGTCCAAAGGTAGCGTCACCAATGCAACGGATGTGGGGGATCTTGGTTCGGTACTCAGAGTCGATGATGACACGGCCGCGCTCGTCCAGCTCGAGGCCAATGTTCTCAAGGCCCAGGCCCTGAGTGTAGGGTCGTCGACCAATGGCGACCAAAACGACCTCGGAATCAATCTGTGGCGAGTATGTTAGCAACTAGTATCCCGGAACTGTCTGGTTATCATCTGTTTCACTACTTACGCTCTCGGGCTTGCCACCCTTGGCGGCATCGACATCGAGCTTGACGAGCTCGCTGGTGGTGTCGCCGCTGACGACCTTGGTGTTGAGCTTGAACTCGATGCCCTGCTTCTTGAGAATTCGCTGGGTGGCCTTGGAGATCTCGGTGTCCATGCCGGGTCCACCGATCTGGCCGAGGAACTCGACGACGGTGACCTTGGCTCCCAGACGCGACCAAACGGAAGCCATCTCAAGACCAATGATACCACCACCGATGACGGTCATGGTCTCCGGGACCTTTTGCAGCGCAATAGCACCGGTGCTGGTGACGACGCGCTGCTCGTCGATGTGAAGGCCGGGGAAAGGAGTAGCCTCAGAGCCAGTGGCGATGAGAATGTTCTTGCCGCGGATGACGGACTCGCCGCCATCGTTGAGGGCGACCTTGATCTCGTTCTCGTTGATGAAGGAGCCGGTGCCCTTGATGTACTCGGCGCCGTTCTTCTTCAAGAGGAACTCGACACCCTTGGTCAGGCCGGAGACGGCGGTTTCCTTGGCCTTCATGAAGTTCTCGAGGTTGAGCTTGACCTCTCCGACCTCGATACCGCGGTGTTTTGAGTCATGGAGAATCTGGTGGTACAGGTGGGAGTTGTTGAGCAGAGATTTTGAGGGAATGCAGCCGACGTTAAGACAGGTACCGCCGAGGGTGCCTCGCTTCTCAATGCAAGCCACCTAGACGCAGAAACGGTCAGCTCCTGAATATCACCAGCCGTGCAAATTCGGCTATGCCTCACCTTCATGCCCTCTTGTCCGGCCTTAATGGCTGCCACATATCCGGCAACACCACCTCCGATGATGATCAGGTCCTTTTCCTCTGTCCCCGTGTTAGCACAGCATTCCGAGTCTGCCGTCTTTGTTCTTTTTCAGGGCGACGAACCAGAGGCGGAGGCAAATCCTCGACTCCATCGTGACAGACTAAGCAGAGCAGTGATGCGGGTTAGCCATGCGAGAGATTTTCCACTGCCACAAACAGCAGCCGGTGGAGGGGAAGCGGGTGCTCACGTCAATTGCCTGCTGGGCAGCGTGCGGATGGCACTTCGGGGTATCAGGCGGCTGGCAAGCATGCTGGGCAGCCGTTGACAGGTGCTGTATGATGAATTGGTTGAGGAAGAGAGTCGACGGTTGGAGGTCGAAAAGAAGTGTATCAGCTTTGGGCCTATAGCAAGGCCCGCTGGTTTTAGGGAAGCTCCATGGGCGATTATGTGAACACGAATGTGCACTGGGCGGGTACTCGAGGGGTACTAGCGGGGTACATCCTGTCTATGAGACAATGGCGAGAATGGCACCTACAGAGGGCTGCGCGACTTCGGCCTCCCGCTTTGTTTGCCCCTCTACACGTCGTCGTGATGTACCTCCAAGTACCCTCCGGCCCAGCGGCGCAAATCGGCCTGGCCTGGGACATTTTCGCTTAGATGCGGGACGCCTCAGCTCTCCCTATAAAATTCCAAGTTTGCAACAAGATGCTAGCTATCTCTGTACAGTAAATCCGCCCAGCAAAAAGGCTGTCACGAGGCTATCGGGTATCGCATTTGATATCTTTTCTATACGGCGAATTGCCACAGCTGGAAGAAGGCGACACAAACGGGGCGAAGTGATGACCAATTTAGTCTCTATCCATTATCAGCCTCATTCCTAGTAGTTTTCGTCGAGCATCATGATCCTCGGTAATCGATCGGGTGAGCCCCTTTCGCTTACCCTGAGACTCTACGCCACCACTGCCTACAGAGTTGTGTGTGTGTCTATCTACTTTTGCCCCTTTATTAGAAATGTACAAGAGAGGAAGCAGGGCAGAGGAAAAGAAGAGACGTCTCTTCAGCTGTCCTATCTACCTAGCCTTCTCTCGCTGTCTGCGCTTGGACAACGGCCTCAGCTGTCGCCCGCGCCCTTTCCAACTTCTTCATCTCCTTCGACGTCAGCAGCTTGCTTTTTCGTAGCTTCTTCCGAAGAAACCAGTCCATGCCTGCTGCAAGCGTCGGTACCTCTGCCACCACGCCAAACACCTTGGCTACCCGGACACCCTCCTTGGCTTCGCTCCCCCGGCAGGCCTGCAGTAGACTAGCTATGAGCTGCTCGACAAATATGAGAGTCCACCGATTCAGCCTTGGTAGGTTCAAAGGCTTTAGGATGTTGATATTCAAGGCGCCGTCAAATATCAAGGCCGCGTAGAAGCGAGCCACATGGCAAATGCGTCGCTCGTCCTTCATCTTCTCACTATCGGCAGTTTCTTCGTCTTCTGCCTCTTCGCCAAACATTAACTCGCCAAGGCTTCGGAAGATTTTCCAAAGTCTGTCTTGGAAGGCAAACCTGATTTTGTTGTTTGTACAGGCTTGCTTGCCCACGAGTGCGTAGTATTCATTGTAATTCGCCTCACTCCCGACGCACTGCACGAGCACGCGTGCAATTTCAGCTTGATCATCCTTTCTCAGCTTAAGGTTGGCATATTGGCGGTACCCATGTTCGTAGTCGGCCGCGGACATGATGGCAGTGAAGATGGCTATTTGTGCTGAGGTGTGAAAGCCCTGGCCACGAGCTTTCTTGGGAAAGTCGGGTAACACAATATCCATGTCCTCATTGTCATCGGCCAAGTCGATATCATTCTTTTTGGGTGCGGATGTCGACTCCTTTTCCTCATCTTGATAAGTCTCCTTCGCTGGAACACTTGCTCCTACCAGCCACCATTTGCCCCTTGTGTCTGCCTTTTCAATGTCCAGTAGGCTCAATCCCATCGGTGCGAGACCATCAAGTCTTCGAGACTGTGATTTGAGCTCGCCGAGCTTCTTTCGAATTCGGAGAACGTGGTCCGATACAACGGCAGAATCTAATCCTCGAGCCTTGGGTTTGCTCTTGCCAAGATCGTTGATCGTCTCAACCATGAACTTTGTGCGCACAGACTGGTCGGCGGATCCAGCCTCATTGATTGCCTTGTTTAAAATGGATGTAACATGCTTCAGCGCATTTGGGTCATCCCTCCGCATAAGACGACCTGCCATACGGCAGATGCGTAGAAGAAGCTCAACGTTCAGCTCATTCAGGTCCGCGAGAAATCTTTCCATGTAATCAAACATTATTTTGCAGTTTACAACCTCGAACAGGTACAGCTGTGTGAGAAAACCAAGTATGTTTGAGGACTCCTTTGGAATTTCCGCAAAAGCGATCCCTTCTTGCGTAGCATGTTTATAAGAATCCCCAAAGCTCACCACCACTTGTTGAATAAGGTGTGATCCAAAGCTGGATCCAATCACTTTGTAGACTGCAGCGGAAAAGCCGCCTGTAAGAACCAAGAACTGGTCTGGAATGCTTGAAGATTTGTACATCTGCGCCAGAATTGTACTCGTAAGAATTTCTGTGACATCGCCACGGGCATTCTGTTGATATAACTCCTCGATAGATTTGACAATGCCCAGAATATTCGCTTCCGTCAGACGATTCACCAAACCTTGAATCTGTTTCTGCAGTCGCATCTTTGCTTCTGAATTCGAGTTGGCAGCTTTTCGCAAAGACGGAGGCACGTATTTGGCGACCACTGGCCCCGTGGCAGGCGCCACATAAGGATTTTCCTTCACTCTGGCCTTGGGTTGATGTGATGAGTCTTCTTCTTGGTCCTGATTCGCAGATTCGTCGTCTGAGAAGTCAAAAGCGTCCTCTTCTTCTGAGCCCTCTGATTCATCGGAATCGCCCAAAGAAGTCGAGGCTGCCTCCGGCATTGCTTTCCTTCTCTTTGAGGCTAACCAATCATCGTAATTTCGTTTCCGTTTTAACGTCTCATCGGCTTGATTCGTCTCGGAGTCTGATCCAACATCGCCCAGAATTTCGTCAAGCCCATCATCTCTGAAGGCCTTCGGCAATGAGGAGGCTCCTTTCTTTATACGCAGCTTCTTTTCAAATTCTTCAATTTCTTTGTCATCTTGAGCAAGCTTTTCACGGACAGCACTGGAAAGGCCATCGTATTTGGATGATCCTGTCTTTGGTATCTCTGCCTCATCACTGTCAGAGTGGCTGTCGTCGTCTAAGTCAAAATCATCCTCGTCTTCGATTCTGCCGTCGCTGTCGGATTCTTCAAGGATATCCTCGTCCTCTTCATCCAGTGGTGACGTGTGACCATCGGAATCGCTCTGGTGGTCATCGCTAGATGCCAATTTAACTGGGGCAGCCGGCCGGCGTTGAGAATTTCGTTCTGGGCGATGGAACCTGGTCCCATTGGCAACTTTCTTCGTAGAGGTAGGCTGCTTCGGGTGACTCTTTGTCCTTTTCTGCGCTCTCAGAGCTTTCCGACGCGATATTTGGCTGAATGATTCCTTGTTCTGTTTGGTTGGGCGCCTTTGTGTCTGTCGTTTTTCCTCTGGCACATCCAAGCCCATGCGCTTGAAGAGCTTTTTTTGGAGCTCCAGAGCATCTGTGGAAGGCATGGCGGCGAGAGAGCGTTCCAATTCACTGGAGATAAAACGGGGATTTTTTATATGAGCATTGCGTGGAAAGGCTGGATTTGCGATGAAAACTTTCAAGTGTCGACCAGGATCGCAAACCCGCGTCGCAAAATTTCTGAATGACGTACTAGTGGCGCAGGGGTCTCGACAACTCGAAAGAATTACACTCTTCGGACAGCCTCGCGTAAGAGCTCAACACATATTAATGTCGATTTAGTGGAATAGTATTTTATTTATCCAAGACTTGAATTGGCTTATTTTTATACATTATCTGCAACTTTATTCATTATTGTGACTTTTTGCATCTTCTTCTTTCTCTTTCTCTTTCTCTTTCTCTTTCTCTCTTCTCTGTCTCTTTTTTTTTTTTTTTTTTTTTTTTTTGGATTGATATGATAAAGGCTTGCCGCTCACCTCGTAACCAAAAGCTGACTAGGATCGGTGACTAAGCTTGGGACAGTTCAGCTTACCCTGCAGTGAAGACGATCGTTTTTTCTTTCCTTAGTAAGAGAGAACAGACAGGCTATCCGCCTCATAGTGGCCCCTGGCAGTTGCTTTGTTCTCTCTGCTAGGCTAAGGCTGTGGATCTAATGATTTCCTGGTTTGTTTCCGTGATGTGGTCCCAATAGCCGGAGAACGTGCCCGGTTTCTACGCGAGAGTTTGGTGTTTTAGACCATTGGCTTAAAGGCCCGCTTCACGGTTATTGAATAGATAGCCGAATCCGCCTGTATAAGTAGGCAAGTATTGCCGTATCGTGCAGGACTGCGACTGATACGATCTCTCACCCATCAAAACTAGACAATCGGCGATGACTCAAGCCCCTCGGAACTATGGGACATTATTAATACAAGAGCAGAGAGCACAAAGCTCCGGCACCTAATCGCGAAAGAGCGGGACTCCAAGGATTTGGCGGGCGATGGCCTAATATCCGCGGGTCCAACTCCGCGCTTTTTCTTGTAGTATTACTTAACTCTTACACGGAAAGGCGGCATATCGGACGAGTGATTTTGCTTGGTGCCGGCTTGTGGCCTTGCAGCCTGCCAGTAGTAGCAAAGGGCCAGAATGCAGTTCAAATGAAATGGATTGCCTAGTGGCTGGTACCCTGGCTGAGGAGCACGCCAATCGTGGCTGCAGAGCTGTGGGGAGGCTGGCAACTCTCATCGGACCAATCGATGCTGACACAAGTTTCCACGTTTGTTCGCGTCACGCCACCCTCCCGGCATTGGGTGATTCGGCTGCAGCCACGGAAAAAGAGTAAAAGAAGCACAATGTAAGGTTCGGAGAAGAGGCATGAAAAGGCGAGATAACTGGGGGTTGGCTGGTTGGGGTTGGCTGGCGCTTGAAGGAGGGGTTCTGAAGGTGATGAGATGTCATGACCAGGGTGTCGGACGAGGTGAATGAAGCTCTGCTGTGATTTTTTGTTTCTCCCGCCGTCAAGCTCTGAATGGCGACCAGAGAACACAACAACACAACATCAACAAAAAGGATCCAAGTCATCAGATGACCCCGATTGCGCATGGGCCATTTTAGCATAGCAGAATGTCGCCAAGTCGCAAATCCATCCTCCTAGTGTGCCAAGAAGCCTTCAAGTGGGGAGCTCCAGCTCTCAACCCAAGCCAGCCATTTCGTCACAGCGCTTCGGTGGAGACACAGCCGATGGTTCGCGCTCCGATGTCCGATTCCTCCTCCGGAATCACCGGGGCGGGTGGTCAAGAAAAAAAAAAAAACGAACGACGATAAGTGCGGAGTCGTATTAACGGCATGTACAAGTACCAGGTGAGTACAGTACTCCGACAGATGGGTGTACGCGGTAGCTGGGTACTGTAGCAGCCTTGGTACCCAATACGCAATACGCCGTGTGTGATACGCGGAGCGCCCTTCTGGCGACGACGATGCTATTCCATACAGAGCAGGCCTGCTGTAAGTGAGGTCACATTGGATGCACTGCATGCCGTGTGCATTTATGCCTGGCGGGGGTCAGTTTGTCAATCACGACTCGGTAGAGATTCGTCTTACATGCCTCCAGGCAGGTACCTGTAGCTTGTTGAATAGAACCAAATCGAACCAAGTCAATATCCATAATCAAGTCAAGCCAGCCGTGCCCTGCCCTACCAGGCGTATGCAGGTAAGTGGTACATGCTCGTCCCTAGGACTCAAGCACTGCAGGTAGGTACTACTACCAGCAACGTGCCCGCTGTGTCATCGGCGTGGCAGCGTTTGTCAGACGGCCTGACAGCCGAGAGGCCGCATGGCGTTTGCCGGGCACTGGCCGGGGGTCAAGGTTCTCCAGACGGGCATGACAGTGCGTCATAGCACTGCGTTCGGCTGTACCCTGACTTGCGCCAGTGCTCAGAACAGCTGTGCTATTGCCTATTTCCGCAGCCCTCAAGCTCTGTTTGGCACCTTCAGCTTCACATGTGACTGAACGCCTCGCCTTACTACGACTAAGGGAGCTGTCGATTCCGATAGGAGGAGGGTGAGGAGCGACACTACCAGTCGATCAAGTGAATCCTCCATCATGTAGCCCGGAGTACTGTACAAGCTGCGGACTTACAGCTGCCTGTTCAAACTACAGCTCATCTCTTGGCCGCAGAATGGATGCTTAGGCGCGACCCGATACCATGCCATCCTCACCATCCGTTCCCGAAATCGCTGGATCAGGAATCGAAGCCCCCCACCCGGCTCATCCATGCAGTGGAGATATGTCTTTTTTTTTTTTTTCCTTTTCCCACCTGGGCTTCTCGATCCTGGCTACTACCTACCTTGGCAAGCTTGGGTACACCTACTGACCGCATCTCAAGTACTAACAGGCGCGAGGCTCGGAAGCCTCGGAGCTCGACCTCATCTTCCCTTCCAACAACCCACAAGCAGCGTTCCTTGGCCTTGGTTTCTCGCATGACTGATGTGATGACAATCGCAGCCCTGGATTTTGTGCCGCTCAGGTCCCGCCCGGCGGGATGAAGCGGCTTCGACAAGCTGCCGCCATGCTGAGCTGCTTCTTCCTTTTAAGACAGCCACCCACCCACCTATGACTCTCGTAGAATGAAGCTTCTGTGTTCTTTTGTTGGCAGTAGTTTGCATAGTCCTTTGGCCGGACACGCCTCTTTCCCCTCCCCTTCTTCTCTCTCCCATCCTAAGGCGTCTCTGCATGTATTCTATCTGTCGTCCTTGATTCGTCGCTGAACCTGCGCAACGCAACGCGGTTGAACGCCTCTCGCCTCGTTCTTCTTCTTTTTTTTTCTTTAATCGTGATTCTAAGCTATACAATCAACCCCGATGAAGTCAGCCGCCTTCGGCCGTAGCCTTGCTGGCATCGCTGTGCTTGGCCTGAGCTTGGCCTTGCCAGTCCTCGCAGATAATGCCCGACGCCATGGTGGTGAGGGCATGGAGGGCATGGAGGGCATGGAAAACATGGAGCCAGACCAGCAGCAGGACTCGGAATACCCTCCCACGTACTTTGCCCACCCAGAGCATTCCCAGGTGCTGTATGCGCACATTGCGCTCATGACGCTGGCCTGGATCATTTTCCTTCCAGTTGGTGAGTATTTTAGACATGTTGTAAGCAAGGCTGTTTTAATGCTAATAAGACGCTTACAAAAGCTGTGGTCTTGTCGCTGGCCAAGTCGCGCTATGTTCTTCCGTCGCAATTCATCTTCCTCGCCGCCAATGCGCTGGGCCTGATTCTGGGAACCGTGTACAATGCGCAGACGCCCGATCTGTATCCCAACAATGCGCACCACAAGATTGGCTGGATCGTGACTTGGGTCATTTCTGCGCAAGTGGTTGTCAGCCTGCTCCGGCACATTGGCGGGGCTTTCAACTCAACTGCCGACCAGCTAGTGGATGAGCGCCGCTCCTTCATCCCACTTCCCAGAAGCGCCAACACCAACTACTTCGGCGACTACCGCCTCTCCAACGACAGCGGCCAGGGCTCGGAGCCGACGACAGAGTCGCTTCGCAGCAACTCCTTCTCCACGCTTGCGGAAAATGATCACCGCGAGGCCAATTTCGACAAGGAGCTGGAGGAGGACGACGATCCTGACGGCCCCACCATGCCCATGCCCATGCCTGCGCCGATGCAGCAGAGCAAGACGACGCTGATGGCCGTCAAGGTGTTGTCTTCCCGGGTCTGGAAGTACATTGATTTTGGATATAAGACTGTTGATCGCATCATCATGCCCTTCGGCTTCATTGCTTACATTACCGGCATTGCTACTCTTGGTCGTCTCTTTGTAAGTATCTGCTCCAATCTCTCCGCATGGAAAAGCGGGGATTCTTGCTAACAGCACTTTAGGAGGGTTCTGCCATCTTCAGCGGACTTGCTCACTGGATCAAGGGCGGTATTTTCTTTTGGATGGGCCTCCTCACTCTTGGTCGCTGGTCGGGAAGCTTCCACGAGTCGGGTTGGGCTTGGAACCTGCGCCCTCAGAGGAAGGCCGGCCAGCGATGGGTCGTCTCTGCGGAGTGGGTCGAAAGCTTCCTCATCTTTTTCTATGGCTCGACCAACATCTTCTTGGAGCATTTGGGGAGCAGCGATGGCGTCTGGACCCCGAGCGATCTGGAGCACTTCTCCATCACCGTTCTTTTCCTTGGAGGCGGCTCCGTAAGTCTTTCGCAAATTCGCGGGTTTTTGCTACATTCCAAAACTCTTTACTGACTGGTGTTCCAATAGATTGGTATGCTCGTTGAATCTACTTGGTTGAGAGGTCTCCTCAATACCTTGGTGACTAGCAGCAACCCCCATCCTTCCGATGATGAGCGCGCGGCTCTCGAACCCCCCGAGTCGTACGAGTTCTCCATCAACCCCATCCCTGCACTCATCATCTTCCTGCTTGGTATGATGATGGGTGGCCACTCGCAGGAAACCATGACCGGAACCATGGTCCACAAGCAATGGGGAAACTTGTTGCTCGGGGCTTCCTTGGCTAGAATGCTCACGTACGTCACAATGTACCTGAAGCCGCCCAAGTCTACTCACCCATCTCGACCGCCGACCGAGCTCCTGGCATCGTTTGGTCTCATTGCAGGTGGCATTATTTTCATGTACAGTGTAAGTGTGATACAAAACAATCCATCTCCTAGGAACTCCGAAACTAACGGCAGCAGAGCGCCGATACCATCAAGGGTATGATTCACTACGATTTGGAACCAATGTCCCTCTACACAATTACCTTGGGCTTTGCAGGCTTGTTCATGTCTTGGGAGCTCATCGTTTTGGCTCTCAAGGGATGGGCAGTCCGCAAGGAGCGCAATTCTCAGCCTTCAGCAGCTTTTGCTTGAACATGCTCGGCATGTTTCCCACGGTGTTTTCGGCATTTGGGACGATGCTTACTTTGGGTTGGCTAACTCGACCTAAACACGGCGTTTCAAAAAATTTCTTTTCTATACGACCTTTACGCATTTTTTTTCTGCAAGATACCCTTCATGATACATTGGGAGGCGGATTGGATACCCTTAGCCTTTATGATACCACGTTCATTTTCTTTTTGCGGTGGGGGTAGTAGTATTAGGAGAAGTATTAGGATAGGGTAATGGAGGTAGTAGCCATCCTATAGAGGATGTAATGATATATTTGATGAGGGATGAATTGACCTATGATTCTGCTATGAGGTGGCGTTTTAAAACTATACACACATTTGCCATGAAGGTGACAATTCCAAGCTATCTCTCAATAGGCGGCACATTCTAAAGTCTTTCTGGCGCTCGCATAGCGTAGCCTCATATATACAAAGTAAGTAGATGCATCAAACCAGTATGGCTGAAGGTAGCTTGAGGACAGCGCCAAGGATAGAGCTCGATGGTTGATGAGCAATGGCCAATGGCCTTACTATTGCACAATGCTATGAAAGCACAAGTGTTTGCCATCTTATGCCATGATTAATACACTGAAGAGCGTGTGTAGCTCCGTGGGGCGTCTTGTGGTCTAGGTAGGTGTCACTAGCCTCGTGTGAGTTTATCGCCGATAAGAAACGATGATGAAAAAGAAATTTACCATGAAGAGAGAAGAAGTTTTAAGATTCACACCCGCAGCGCCAGTTCAGCCGTGTCGGCTTTCTGAGGTCTTGAGAACGGCATTCTGCTGAGCAGGGGAGAATTGCTTAGCGCCCTGCTGTAACGCATGGACGAGAGACGGCACGGATTCAGCCTTGAAGTCGTCGGCGTTGCGGATCTTGTCCAGGTCCTCGGAGAGCTCTTGCGTGAGCTTCTGGAGGTAGAGGGCTGAGAAGGCGGCTTGCTGGTTTTGAGTTGAATCTTGAGGCATTTTGGCTGTGGAAGCGGAGAGCAGCTGATATTGAATGGAAGGAAATTAAAAAAAAAAAAAAAAAAAAGCTGGCTTTGGTTACGGTTGATGAAGCACTGATTTGAGACTGGGCTACACGATGGAGCTTTGATCTGAGTGGATGACCAATACTGGAGAGGTAGCGGCTGACATAAACACAGTTATCCTTATCTAAACGGTCTTGGATCTCTACGGAAAAAAAAAAGAGAGAGAGAGAAGAGAAGAAGATGAAAAGTCTCCCGAAATTACAAAGCATAAGAGGCTGATGTATTAAAGGGACTGTGTAGATTGGCTTAATTATCCATTTTTTAAAAAAAAAATTGGCAGAAAGACAATAACAAATATGCCACGCATTCTATAAGTGTGACATCGCTGAATGTGTAAGGAGGAGATATTGCGAGAATACCTTATGCATATATAGGTATAGCAGATGATGAGCAACATATAACAAACTACCTAGTAGGTGTAGGTAAATAAATGATTGGAAGCGATATACGCATACTAGGTACATATACAATTCGAATATTTTCACCACATGGTGCTTTCCTTGAAGCCTTATCGAGGGTGCTGGCCAGTCACTGTTAGCCGCTTCCTTAGCCGCTGCTAAGGCAAGGCACGCACTCTATAGCGCATCTGGTTGATCGGCGGATGCGCCATCCTAGTAGCAGCACTCCAGCCGAGTTAATGCGCGTGCCCAAACGTCCGATAATATTCGATTGCAACTTTTAGATACCCATCACCCGCAAAGCCTCATAACATCGCTACCCCAATCCATCTCACCCTCTTCACCAAGGCACCGCGCACAGAGGCCGCAGATCTCGACTATCGATTCTTGCAAACAGCAATTCGGCATTTGCTGAGAGGCGCGTCGACCGTCGACCACCATCATCATCAGTCGCATCATACATCATACCCATCCATTCCCACAGCCGCCATGTCCACCCGACCAACGACTCCCGCATCTCCCAAAAATGCGAAAATCAAATCCCCTTCGCCGGGATGCCCAGTCTTTGGCTGCGGTGAGTGTGCCAGTCAAATCAAATCGCCACAACTGCCATGACTGACTTGCTTCCAGAGCATGTTCAGCTGCTCCTGTCCCAGAGCCAAGAGGTTATGAACAGCTCCATAGCGCACTACAAGATGATCCTCCGAGGCATCTTCGATACGAGCCCCATCGTTACCCAGACGTCCACAAATCAGGAAGGCCGCCCTGTCACTTCCCTTACCTCGAATTACCTATGTCTACAATGCCCAGTTACAGTGTCCGAAGACGATCGGCTTGATCATGGAACCGAGAAACTGCATCGATTCTGTACGTAGCAGCTCCGATGCGGCCGATTGAATACTGCTATGCGTTCATATTTCATAGTTGCTTACAAATACAGATGTCGACTCTCGCAGCGGTGCACTCTATTGTCAGATATGCGATGACCTGGTCTGGGACCCCACGTTGGAGGAGCTCAGAGTGCGAAAGATTGGAACTGGGACGTTTTCAAGTATGCAAACCCCGTGCAATAGTTCGCAATGTCGTCCTTCTTCTCCTTGTTTTGTCTGGAAGTTACCAATTGGTCGTCTTCTCTGCGCGTTTAGTAACCTCACCTGCTCTTTTTAGCGAATCGAAAACGAAAGCATGACGAACTTTTTGCCGACTCGGCCAAGGAAGACCCTCGGCTCATCTCAGCCAACACAACCGTGGCATCGTGCCGGGCGAGTGGCCTTCGCGGCATCTACAACGCAGGTGCGACTTGCTACCAGAATGTCGTGCTTCAGAGCTTCCTCCACAATCCTCTCCTGCGTAACTTTTATCTGAGCGACGGACACCAGAGCAGCGAGTGCAGCATTTCCCACTGCATGAGCTGTGCCATGGACGACATGTTCCAGGATTTCTACGCGCTAGAAAGTACCAACGGCTATACAGCCGCCAATATCTTGTCTGGGTTTTGGATTTCGGAAAAGAAGGCTTTCGAGAATCTTGTGACAACTAAGGAGCAGGACGCCCATGAGTTCTTCCAGTTTTTGGCTGAGGAACTTCACGAACGAAATGGCGATGGTAAGAAGCCGCAGGGTGGCAGTGAGCATACGTGCAACTGCATTATCCACCAAACATTTTACGGCAAAATGCAAACAGTCACAACCTGCCAGAACTGCGGTGGCATGACCCATGCGGTCCAATCTTTTCTGGATCTCAGTCTGGGTGTCGACACTTTGGCACAAAGACGAGCTAAGAAGACGGGACAGAAGCTGCCTGCCCTTTCATTGAACGATTGTTTGGATGAGGAGTACGTCAAGTCAGACAAATGCGAGTATAGGTGCCACAGCTGCGCATCAATACAGCAGGCACGGAGATATACCAACATCAAACGCCTACCCAACGTATTATCCATCCAACTCAAGGTAAGTCGTTTTGTCATGATGCCCTCCTTGTGTCTTCTATTAACATGTACCCCCAGAGATTTGAGTTCAAGCAGGGAAAACATGACCGAGCTGCGTCCAAGATTGATAACACCGTTCAATTCCCGCTGCAGCTCAACATGCTTCCTTACACCAACCGTGCTCGCAGCCGTGATAGTCGTGAGAATATGGAATTGGAGAGGTCATGTACCTATGACCTCCTGAGCGTTGTCGTTCACGTCGGCGAGATTGAGACCGGTCACTACGTGTCATATTGCCGAGTTGGGGATCAGGTATGGCCAATACTCATTTCTCTATCTTTTTCTTTGTGCTAATAATCACAGTGGTTCAAATTCAATGACCACAAGGTAGAATTGGCCCGGGTATCGGATGTGCTTGGCGCCCAGGCGTATCTATTGTTCTATATCATTCGGTCTCTCGCCTAGGAGACATCATTGTCTATGCTATAATCAGGGCCACCATACCCACCATACCCACCATCCCTAGACTATGGGATAAACTAGCATGCAATCCAGCATACTACAGCTCATCAATCGGGCTATGTGGCTCATTTCAAGCAGTCCTTGTCCTATCATGGTTGTCTATGCATCCAATTACCCGTTCACTACATTATGTTAATATGGCCGTACTTTTGAGATGCCCCGGCGGCATCTTCTTCTTCGTCCTATTGTTTTTTTTACCGCCATTTCCAATTTGGGCACTCAAAATTGGCGTAGCAGTAGAACTCGTTGCTAAGGCCCCTTGTATGCTTGGGCTCAAAGGCAGTTGTCTGCACTCCCAGTGCCCGGTATAGCTTGAGAATCAGAGCCTCCATTCTCTCTCCAGTGCAGACAATAAGGTTGGATGATGGTCCGGCACTGCTTGGTTTGAGGAGCCAGCGCACAGTCAATGCGGCTACACCCATCATTAGTTTAGAAAGCTCAAAAGGGGGTATTGCATATCGAGGTGGGAATTGGTACCTTTGGTCTGGCAGTCTTCACTCAGAAATGGCGGATCACAGATAATCCTGTCCATGGACCCTTTCAGGTGACCTGTGTGCACATGAGGTTATTACGGGATCCTTGAGACTTGGAGATAGAACTTGTCTTATAAATAATAATGCATGGATGAAGATTTGAGTCTGATACATACCTGGCAGTTTGACTGGCTGTTGGAAATCATAGAAGTAAAACTCGGGGAACACGCCAAACCGGTTGTCGTGTTCCAAAAGGACAAGCTTAGGCTTCTCATTATCGCTTCGGTCTCGCTACAGCAGGCAGAGATCAAACAGTATTAGCACTGCTCTTTTCCTCCTGTGCATTCGACATGTATATATAAATATCTGGAATAACTCACCAAGAGGTTCCTGAGTGCCACAAACACACTCGGCGCTGAGACAACACCGATTGTCATGTTGCTTGTCGCATCTCTAAGCAGCTCTGTAGCCAGGATATTGGCAGTTTCCTCTGAATACTGTAATCATACAACAAAAATTCCCATTTTCTCAGCAATTAGCCTCATTCGTCCAGTGTTTTTTTTTTTTTTTCTTTCTTTTTTTTTAATTTTGTGAAAGAGCAAAGAAACGTTTGTAAGACGTACCCAAAATTGAGACTCATTCCAGTCCTCGGCAAACGTATCGATGGACAGCAGGCTGTTGCTCTCTGCCTCGTCCTTCAGCCGCTGGAACTTTGCCTGGTGCTCGTCTCTCTCTGCTTCGAACGACTTCAGCGCCGCGAGGGCATGTGCCGAGAGGGTGCTATATGGGGGGGAAGTCGAGCAAAGTCAGTTCTCATCATCATTTTCCCCTCCACCTTACCAATACAGAGTCTGACAAAGTGGTTGAAGGAGGGACTAATTACATGGGTTCATCGTCGCTGTCGGACATTTTTGCAGATTTTGTGTTTATAGATAACACTGCTCTGGAATGGACTTGGAAGTGCTTGTATGTGTCAAACAAATGGTAAAAAAAAAAAGTTCGCAGCGTTGCGATGATTTGGATGTGCTACTGTATCTAACAGTTTGCAAATTGAAAAGTACTTCAGAGAGACTGGAGTTTAAAGTATAGATGCCGCTTATTGGTGACTAGAAATACCTCAAACTAGGGTGCCTACTAAGTACTTTTCAATGATTACGTACAGACCTTGTGTTAGCACCCAGTACATGATGGCTACGTGAAGCCGCCAAAGTGAGCTCTGGAGATGATTTCATCTTGTAGAAGAAAAAAAATCTGGTAGAAATTTGAAGTTTTAAATAACTAATAAAGAAGCTTCTTTAGAAAGCTGCATAATTCTACCGCACCTTTTTTTTAACCTACCTGTATTTGTTTCTACTAATCTCAGGTATTCATACACATATACTCCTCTATCCAAGTGCGAGACTTTTATCTAGCAACATTCTATAGCATTTATATAGCAAAATCTTTCGTCTTGGTGATGGTTTCCTGGCACTTTGAAAAGATGGCGGCCTGTCTGGCAACTTCTGCGAGCCTGCCAATGACCTGCCCATTGGCCGTTGTGAACCCGTAGTATGCGTAGGGGATATCAACCTCTTTGCAAAACTCAATGACAAGCTTCTGTGCGTCGCGGAAGTTATGGCGCGGCATGCGGGGGAATAAGTGATGGATGGCTTGAAACTGCAGGCCACCGTGAACAAAGTCAAGCCAGCGAGGGCAATCAACGTCCATTGTCGTTCTCAGCATCATCTGCGGGAAAGACTCCTGCGGCCCCAGGTCGGCGGTGCTCATGGCAAAATGCGACAGCACAATCTGCACATGCAGAGGAGAAGCTGCAACGTGGCTCACCATCAAAAAGACAAAGCGCGACCAGCCATCAGGTATCGACTTGTACAGAATTCCATAGCCGAACCAGATCCAGAAGAACACCTGTCCTGTTAGCTCGAGCCAACGCTGGTACGCAGCTGGGCCCTTCCGAGGCCCCTTTCCATTGAGGATATAATCCCACGACAGGACGTAGAGGTTGAACCGACCAAGAGCCAAGAATGGGTAGTAGGTCCACGGCTGAATGCGCAAGAGAACTTTCGCAAATGCATCATACTCCATGACGCGTTCGTAAAAAGTAGACCGCAAGGATCCCAGTAGGCGGTGAGAAACAGCGAAGAGAGGCATGTGTTCGATGTCGGGATCGTGCTCGGGGGCATTTGTCACGATGTGGTGAACATTGTGGTTGTGCTTCCACCAGCCTAGGGAGAGGCCACCAACGAAATTAGCGATGAAGATGCCGATAGTCGTGTCGATAAAATAGTCGTGCGTAATGCCCATGTGGCCAGCATCGTGAGCTGTGAAGACGAGCTGGTGCCACAAGAAACCAAGAGATAGTGCGCTGATGAAGTAGTAACCATAGGAAAGAGCAATCAGCATCGTAGCGAACAGAGAAAAGTAGCGAAGACATTCCCAGCCATATGCCGAATAATTTGTTTTGTACAGGCCGGCATCGATAATCTTCTGGTGCAGTTCGCGGTAATTGGCAACAATGTGAGCTTGCGTGGCTTCGTCAACAGCGGGGTATTTCTCAAGATCAAGCGAGATATGCTCGCGAGTGACAATGTCTAGATAGGACATGCCGTCCAGCGGCGTCTTGTCCGTAGTTGACTCGGACGAGATGGACCCTGACCTGGCTGCTGCATGTCCCGACGCACTTTTTCGATCACGCAACGACTTTGTGTCAACATCAAATACAGGCGAGGGTGCTCGGGAGCTTGAGGAGCTCGTATCCTCTCCCGTCGATATGCCATGGATACCTTTGCTATGGTCCGATTCGATCTCTTCCATGGTTCGAAAGATACCGCCCTGGATAGGCGGCCTGAAGTTCAACCAAGAACCTTCGATTTTGCCAATGCGGTACCGCGCCATTTTTTCCTTTGCCCCCTTCGAATGTATACTGCAAGTTGAAACAACAGGGCGTTAGCAATTCGTCCAACCAATACATCGTTCCTAGGGGGGGAGTTCACGTACACCTCGATCCAGTCAGTTGCATCTCTGCCCACCATATGCATGATGGCCTTGGCTCCTCCTGGGTGATATTGAAGCCAGCCATCAAGCCGCAAGACATATCCGCCGTAGATAATAATATGTCGTCCACTGGCGATCAAAGCCTCAATTTCATCGCGGGTCATGAGGGGTAGATCCCTCTTTCCGCCAACATCCTGTGCCGGCTGGCGAGAAGAAGACTCAGTAGCTGACATGGTGCCAACACATTACAATTGCACCGGGGAAAGGAAGAAACGGAGCAGGAAAAAGTTCAATCAAGTGGTGCGGGAGAGAGGACCGTTGAGCTGGAGGACGACGTCGTCGTGAATTCACCGCTTAAAGCCACGACAGCCGCGAGTATCGAATGACTTTGGTAGAGGTAGAACGATGGGAGGTACAAGCACATATTTACGACAGGCGCCGCCACCGAGGTACCCATTAAACTGCGAGTAGCACTACCCCGTTATTTATAGCCCTTTCTGTATTAGCTAAGGGAATATACAATCAAGGTGAATACTGAATTGATGCTAGTGGGGGGAGCTAACAGCTAAAGCAAAAGAGGCGCAATAGAGCTACAAGTCGAGAAATACGCATATAAAAACATCAAACATTGCATACATCAAACAGACGCAAATTACGATTGAATTATCATTGCATTTGCAAGTTAAATGCTTGACAAAATATAAGGGAAAATATAAGAGAGAAATGTCACATTTGGAACAGTGCTCGAACTAGACGATGTTTCAAATCAAAAAGGATATCTTTTTTTTTTTTTTTTTTTTTTTTTGTTGATTAACCATGATTCCATATCAATACACATCACTTGCGGCTGAAGAGACCAATCCGAATGGTAAACGTTTTAACGAAGTGCATTTGAAAAAAACCCTAATTGATTCATGATCATAGCCGTGGGGGATTAATGTACAACCCAGACGTACAAAAGCAACCGTAAACCTTATCCCTTGACCCCTTTATGACAACCAAAACGACCTCGAAAGAAAGCACAAACGACCAACGGAAAAATTACAATTCTTGGCTGGAACCCTTGCCAGACTTGCCAGTCGTCTTCTTGGGGAGGAGGTCTGTGTGATGTCAGTAACTATTTCGATTCTTGATGTGATTCCGAGTAGCTTACTCTGGTGGATGTTGGGCAGAACACCACCCTGTGCGATGGTGACGTGTCCCAGCAGCTTGTTCAACTCCTCATCGTTTCGGATGGCGAGCTGAAGGTGACGAGGGATGATACGGGTCTTCTTGTTGTCACGAGCGGCGTTACCAGCCAACTCGAGGATTTCGGCAGCGAGGTACTCGAGAACAGCGGCGAGGTAGACGGGAGCACCGGCACCGACACGCTGGGCGTAGTTGCCCTTTCGCAGAAGACGGTGGACACGACCAACGGGGAACGCAAGACCCGCCTTGGAGGAACGGCTGGAATGGAGTCAGGTTTGCGTGTTCAAGTGGATTGTTTTGATCTTGTTTGGATAAGAACGCGTGTACCGCGTCGAGCTACTTACGATTGAGCGTTCTTGGAGCCAGAGGCCTTGCCGCCAGATTTGCCGCCGCCAGTCATTTTGAATGTGGTTTTTGGATTAACGAAAAATTACTCGAAAGTAGATGCGAGGTGCGAGATGCGGCAAATGTCGGAATGGTAAACGTGCAGCGTGGATAGTTGAGAGACAGTGTAAATGAAGAGGTTTGAGTTCGGCGGGGGGAATCTACGTTAAGTAGTTTTTGGTGCTCAGCGCGCGAGATCACCAATCACCCTCCCTCTGCGGCAGCTTCAGAGCTAGTCCCGTTTGGGAAAATAGACGTGTCCCAAGGAAAACAATGCGACAATCAACTGGAACTGCGGGGGGGTGTACAAAGTACATCGAGTACTGCCAAACTGGGTCCAGGCAGAGATGCAGCTAATGCTGGCTCCAGGTACCTAGGCGGTACATGGCTTGGTATCCCGGCACTCAGCATTCTCTCCTTCTGATCTCCGCCCCATCTCAGGGCTATTCAGGTTGCGTGAGCCTCAATGCGGTGTCGATGGGGTTTGGATGGATCTTCCCATCTTGCAGATATTATCGCTTTATTCTACTCACGGGGTGCTCGTGTACATGCAGAGAGTACGGCTGGTTACAAATATTCGTGTCATTTAAAATAATATGTGCAAACCCTTGAAAGCGCGTGTTGATTCGCAGCCTTTTCTAAGTAATGCAGCAATTTCATGACCAACCCATGAATACTACTCGCTCCAGATTAAATCACAGCCTGCTTATTGGACCAAAAAAAATAAATGGATAATCCTGGGCGGTACCTGTGTATTTTGCACCAGGGCTTCGTTAATCGTGCCGCTGTGGAATCTCGCGTACCCAGTCGCTTTGCCTCAGGTCCATTACTATATGCAAATGCAAGCATTTGGTATCCATTGGGGACATGATTTTGCTTACAGGTTCTGTACTTTTGATGTGGCCGTTTGATATTGGCTAGACCAAGTGGTCTGTGCCCGGCTTGCTCCCAAACACGTATGTGGTCTACTATGTAGCATTAGATGATTATTGGGTTGCAGTGATGGTGGTGTTGCTCAAGATTGCTTCGCCGTTGCAATTCTGATCCAGCACCAGGCCTGATTATGCACATGCGGGAGTGTCTCATCACCTCATTCTACCACATCGTTGCGCCATAGATATGCGTACATATCGAATAAATGCGAACATAGAGAAATATACACGGGAACAAAGAGAAGAATTGAATCTACAAAGGGTGCAACAATTGGCTACACTCTACATTCTAGGGTAGGCTGGGCTGAGGCAAAGTGAGGCTATCCAGGCGCTCCTGCTAAGAGGCGGCTACTACAAGGGCGCGTCCAGGCAGCACGCAAGGCAAAGGCGGGAGGTACATGCGCCGGTGAGATCAGAAGAAAAAAGGTACATCCGTCCTCAGCTGGTAGGGGGGCTGGTGGGGAGAAAAGCTGCAGCGATAAAGAGGACTGGCCTCAGCCAATCACATGCGACTGAGCAGAGAAATGGCAGCCAAAAAAAAAAAAAAACAACAAAAAATGTCGACGCGACTAGACGTTATGGAGCGAGCAAGGCAATCGCATCTGGTGCAGGGACTCGGCCCCGTCCAGAGTGCGTGATAATCAAGGTGCGCCTTGCCGTTAAGTGCCTAGCGCGGCATAACTGGAGCACAAGCAGTGACTTTGTGAATACATGGCACTTGTACCCCGTAGTGAACCTTTTTTTTTTTCTGAGCCTAGACACCCTTTTTCGCAGCGGGCAGTTTTACCGCACTTTTGCAGCTCTGAGGGCGTGCACGCGCCTTCGCTCGCGCCACCCCTACTTGCTCCCAAGCAAATCAGTAATCCACTTGCACCAACGCGTCCAGCTACAAAAGCCCAGCTCATCCCCAAACGTCTTTCCCGCACCATTCACTTTCATCATCACCCGCTGCCAGCCCGCCCTTTTGCCATTTTGATTATCCGCACTTGAAATCTAAATCGATTGCATCAACTTTATCCAAAATGCCTCCCAAAGCTGCCGACAAGAAGCCCGCCGCCAAGGCCCCCTCAACCGCCAGCAAGGCTCCCGAGAAGAAGGACGCTGGCAAGAAGACCGCCGCCTCTGGCGAGAAGAAGAAGCGGTCAAAGACTCGCAAGGAGACCTACAGCTCCTACATCTACAAGGGTTTGTCAACACTGTTTTTTCTCCTTTTTCTTTTTTTGCATTTTTATTCTAACTTGGTTTCCAGTCCTCAAGCAGGTCCACCCCGACACTGGTATCTCCAACCGTGCCATGTCCATCCTCAACTCGTTCGTCAACGGTAAGATTTGATCGCATTCACACCTTTTTTCTGGTCCATTATTCCTAACTTGAACAGATATCTTCGAGCGCGTTGCCACCGAGGCTTCCAAGCTGGCTGCCTACAACAAGAAGTCCACAATCTCTTCCCGAGAGATCCAGACATCTGTCCGGTTGATCCTGCCAGGTGAATTGGCCAAGCACGCCGTCTCTGAGGGCACCAAGGCCGTCACCAAGTACTCTTCATCCACGAAATGAAAAGGATCATGTTGGCTGGTTCTGATTTCAAATCTGAAAACTTGGGTTTTTGTTTGCGTGACTTTAGTGTCTTTACTCGAGACGATGGGTGACTGTGTTTCGCCTTTGGGATCTCTTAATGCGTTACGGATGGTTTGCTTTATGGGGGCAATGTCTTCACGGTCAATGGGGTTCGCGGTTGTACAATAGCTATCGAGGATATCTCGAAGCAATGGTTTCTGCACATTATGCTATTTTATTTTCCTCTGCATCAACAATTACAGAATCTCCTAGATTGTCCATGTCTCCTACTCCTGTCCGAGACCCGCTCGGGTTCGTTTCATCGTTTGACTCACAGGCTGCAGTATACCTTGATTATCACTAGCGCCCAAAGGTGTTCCGGTACTCCAACCCATTTTCTCAAGCATAGTTCGACCTCGATTTTCGCTCCCCAGTTCTGGCGCAGACGCACCGATGACCTCACCGTCCCGGTAGCTAGTTCCGGCGTCACCTCGGCCTGACGCTTTCTGTCGATTTTGACCTTGTTTAGACGGCTGAGAAGACCGTGAATATTGTCGTTTGAGTCGCATGACGGCCTGCTCGAAAGCGGCTTCCTTATACGTTGTTCTCTTCGTTCGATATAAGACCGGCCTACGCTGCTCACCAGCCCCAATTGACTTGGATTTGATGTCGAATTTGTTTGCCAACTCGTGGACCATTTTTCTTGTTCGTTTATCCATTGGTGGTAGATTTAAGCTGAGAAATTGTCAGTAAAATGGGGGTATTTTGATAGGCCTATGGTATACGCACGTTTCTTGAGATCCGGCGAGGAACGTTTTCACTTCATCTGCAACTTGGCTCATCGTTATGCCTGTGGAGTATTTCGCTCGCAGGTCAACCTGGCCCTTCTTGCCAAGTAATCCCATCGCTCGCAACTCTTCCCTTTCCTTTTTGCGCTGGGCCTTTTTCAGTCGATCATTGTTGAATGTAGATTGAAGTCTCTCCTCAAGGTCCGAGTCCATGTCATCTGTGAGTAGCTGCAGGCGCCTCCCCTTGCCCTTCCTACGCCGCAGACTAGGTCGTTCCCAGTCCATAAAATCGAAATCGGCCTGCTCTTCAAGGTCATCAAGGTCATCCTCTGCTTCCGAAGGAACTTCGACTTCATTAGCGTTATCTGGGCCTGAAGGTGCTGATGGTTTGACTTCGGCGTCATCATCGGTTGATCCACTCTCTGAATCGTCCTCAGCCCCCCAACCCTCAAACATTTCGCCGTTCTCGTGTATGTTGGCTATGTAATCGGCGATCATAGCCGCTTCTTCTTCATCTTTCTCCCGATTCCGTCGTTTATGTTTGTCTCGTTTCTTTCTTGGCCATAGCAGATCATCTGAATCATCACCTTCTAGCGTAGGACGCATGAGAGGCCCTCTAATTGCAACCGAGATCTGTTTCTCCACCGCTCGAATCTCGGTTCTCATCGACGTAAGCGTGATGCTGGGAGCCTGCGCTTTCGGTTTCATGGCGTTTCGACCCTTAAAGACAATGATTTCATCGCTAGAGGTGTCGTCTTGCAATACTTGATTCTCGTTGATCTCTTCTTCGGGTGCCTCTTCCTCAAGCATCGATTCTTCAGGTGCTACCTCTTCAAGTATCGGTTCTTGAGGTACTGTCTCTTCAAGTATGGTTTCTTCCGGCATTGTCTCTTCAAGTATTGTCTCTTCAAGTATTGTTTCTTCAAGCGTTGTTTCTTCAAGTATTGCTTCTCCAGTCATTGTTTCTCCAGGTAGTAGTTCTTCAAGTATAGTCTCTTCAGGTGTAACTTCTTCAGGTGCTGTTTCGTCATGGACTGTTTGTACAGGTAATGATTCTTTATCTATCGTCTCAGATATTGTTTCTACAGGCGCTGCTTTCTCGGGTGTTGCAGACGTTTCGGCATGATCGCTTGCGTTCTCTGTCTTCGTCTGCGGCGGGAGTAAAGGATCATGTGTGCCGGAACTGACGAATGTGACGGGTCTCTTCCGAAGCTGGGTATTGCTGCTCCAGAAAGAGTTGTCATGATGCGACGTTTGCCGGGCTTCGTCGAGTAGTGTGAAGGCGACTGTTGCAAATATCCAAATCAGCTATATGTCCAAATGATTTAGGCAGACGTCTTTCAGAAGGGCTACCGTTCTGTGGTGTGACTGCCGCATCATGGTTGGCAAAGTTGCCTCCTCGGCGAGGTGACTGGTTCCAGCCGTTCCTCTGTTTCTGGAAACCCCGACCGCGTCCCCCCCTCATATTGACTGGAATCTGGGTTGTGAAGGCTGGCACCAACGATTTGCATGGCACAGTCGCCAAAAGAGATCTTGGAGGTCTGAAACCATACCCTGGTAGATAGACTAATAAAGTGCAGCCAGCTGGGAAGAGGAACGCGCTGCCTTCTGAGGCTAGTGTGACTCTTGTCAAGGTGGGCTGCGCATTACATAATCTTTTATATCCAATAGCAGGCAAGGCAATTGACTTTGTGCCTTAAATTATCAATGGCTTCTCAGGTTTTTTTTTATGACACGAGACTCAAAAAGAGCAAATACTATAGATTTTTTCGTAGTGCAATTGAAGCAATCGATTTTATTTAAAAGCAACTTCAACTAAATGATATTCCGCTGATATTCTGGATATTTCCCGCCATATAGCAACATATCTCTATCAACCTTCTGAGCGTATATTGCCATATTTGGACTAGACTGCTGTGCTAGTGTGGCGCTCCTCGCAACTTATTTCGACTTGCTCGCTGACCTGTATGATCTTGGTGGGAGGGTCAATAGACAGCGTCAACAAAGATCCCGAATTGGCCAGCTCAAAGACCTCACCAGCTGCTCCTTGCTGCTAATTCGGCCAAAATGGTGCTCGCTCTATTCTCGCGGGGAGCTCTCCGCAGCTCCGTCGCCGCCGGCGTCAGCAGCAAGCGATCCCTATCCGATGTAGCAATCACACGCACTGGCAAAACTATTCTACGAACAGAGGGCGGCCGGTAAGCAACGCACGCAACCGATTTGAAGACAAGTCAATTAACATCATCTTCCAGGTCTTCTCTCGGAGGTGCGAACGCAATATTCAAGGCTTGGAGATAGGGGGCTAACAGCCTGGGCAGGACATACCGCGACAGTTTTCGGTGCGACGGGTCAATTGGGTCGGTATATTGTGAACCGCCTCGGTATGTTGAACGAATTGAAGCGCATGAGTGTTTACCACGGCTCTAATTATCCATATATAGCCCGCCAAGGATGCACCGTTGTCGTCCCTTTCCGCGAAGAAATGACAAAGCGACACTTGAAAGTCACTGGTGACCTCGGTCGCGTTATTTTTGTTGTATGCCTGCCACGGATGAATTGGATAAATTGGACGAGTTGATCTGATGCGCTCGCAGGAGTACGATCTTCGCAACACTGCTTCCATCGAAGCAAGTGTGAGGCACTCGGACGTTGTGTACAACCTTGTTGGCCGGGACTATCCTACCAAGTACGGATGACCATGATTACTATTTCGATCTCGACGACATACTAAGCTGTGATAGGAACTTTACCCTCGAAGATGTGCACGTGGAAGGAACAGAGCGTATCGCTGAGGCTGTTGCAAAGTACGACGTTGATCGTTATATTCATGTTTCGTCTCACAACGCCAATGTTAACTCACCCTCTGAATTCTTTGCGACAAAGGTATGCGCAATCGTTAAAACTGTGAAAAAGATGGAACTAACTCTCACCGCACTAGGGACGTGGAGAGCTTGTCGCTAGAAACATCTTCCCTGAGGCTACCATTGTGCGACCGGCACCCATTTTCGGATTCGAGGACAACCTTCTGCTGAAGCTCGCGTCCGTGCTGAACCTATTCACAGCCAACAATATGCAGGAGAAATTCTGGCCAGTCCACGTAGGTATCTGGAAATAGTGTTATTAACAACCACGCTGACAAATTCACAGTCTATCGACGTGGGTGCTGCTCTGGAGAAGATGCTGTATGATGACTCAACGGCTGGCAAGACTTTCGAGCTCTATGGGCCCAAGCAGTACAGCTTGGCAGAGGTTGCGGCTCTGGTGGACAAGGAAATCTACAAGAAGCGACGACACATCAATGTGCCCAAGGCAATCCTAAAACCTGTGGCCAAGGTCCTAAACGACGTTCTGTGGTGGCACACCATCTCTGCAGATGAAGTGGAGCGAGAATTCATTGACCAGGTCATTGACCCTGAAGCCAGCACGTTCAGCGATCTTGGTATCGAGCCAGGCGACATCGCCAACTTCACGTACCACTATCTGGTAAGTGCCATGTACTACGAGGCTTGTTACGTGGCCAGGCAGACGGCTAATTTCCTCTATAGCAAGGATTCCGAAGCTCTAATTACTACGACCTCCCCCCTGCCACGGAGAAGGAAAGGAAGGAGGACAAGAAGTACATCCATGTCTTGGATGAGCTATAAACAACAGCGCATTTGTATATCTAGGAGGGATAGTAGGGTATATAATACTATTAGAACCAAGAAAAACAGATGCTCTGAATGTGCCTATTCGGCTTTCTTTGTTTTAAAAAGATAGTATTTACATAATTCAAAAAACAAAAAACGAATTGAACAGTTACTACTATATAAGAGTTAAGCTGATCCTTGACACGAGTCGACAGCCTGTTGGAGCTGACTTAAAAAACTAGTATAAACATATGCTAGATTTACCTAATCCCAGCCTGCCGGCAGGGTAGTTGTTTCAAATGCGCAGTGCCCGCAATACTTTATTATTCTCCGCATTGGCTTTGATCCTTCCATACTGTATTACAAGATTCAATCCGCCGTGGGAGCCGGCTCATTCTTTCCGCAATAAAACTGCGCCCGACTCTCCGAATTGCACTGCACATGAGGCCTCCAACAAGGCAGTGCTTGAGCTTGGAAGTCAACATTTCCAGAGCATCGCGGTTTTTCGCACTAGTATCGCCTGGGTCTTGCAGATTCCCCACGCCGAGCAGATCGACTTCCGTCTCGTCCATTTCAACCGGCTGTCGCGCATTCAAATCGCAAGCACGTGAGGCCATTGAACAAGTGACCACAAAGACTTACATCCGCGACCAACCCGCTCCAGCATCTTCCATAGACGGACGTCACAGAGCCCGGCATAGCGTCATATATTCGTCTCTGCACAAGCCGCTCCGGACCAGCCGCGATCTCCCCCTTCGCAGCAGCCTCACATACACCACCGGCGCCGCAATCGTTTTCGCCGTCGTCACCATTTCCTGCCTTGCGACAGTGGACTTGCGCGAACATCCAGCAACTACTGCGACTCCGGAAGACATCGCGATCGCCTCCTCACCTTCTGACAGCATGCCCGACCAAATCGCACCGGGGCACGTGGGCAACCTCACCCCAGAGCAGGAAGAGAAGCTGCGCCAATTGTGGCAGGCTTTCTTCCAGCTCTGCGGCGTCCTTGACGACAATGGCTCTACCAGCACGGAGACGACTGCCCGTGGAAAAGCGGAACCGGCTGAAGCAGAGAAGAAGAGGCGCTTCGGTGTCTTTAAGAGGAAGGGAAACGAAAAGTCCGCTGCAGCGAGCGAGGCTGCGGAAGACGACAAATATGGCCAGAACAAACACTTTCAAGAGGTTCTTGCGAGCAACAGCCCCGAGGCCATTCGCGAGACGTTCTGGAGCATGGTAAAGCACGATCACCCCGATGCCCTCGCGTTGCGCTTCCTGCGAGCCCGCAAGTGGGATGTGGACAAAGCCTTGGTCATGTTGGTGTCTACCATGAGCTGGCGACACAGCGACATGAAGGTGGACATTGACATCATGGCGAATGGCGAGGAGGGAGCTGTTGTGAATGCGCGCGAGGGTAAGGATGAGGCCAAGAAGGTTGGCGAAGACTTCTTGGCGCAGCTCCGTATGGGCAAGAGTTTCTTGCATGGTGTCGATAAGCAGGGCCGACCAATTTGTGTGGTGAGAGTCCGCCTCCATCGCCAAGGAGAGCAGTGCGAAGAGAGTTTAGAACGATATACCGTCTTCCTAATTGAGACGGCGAGAATGGTGTTGAGACCCCCCGTTGATACAGCAGTATGTACCCCATATTGAGATTGTCCTCTCAATATTTGTGGACGTTACTAACCGCACCGAGTAGACCATCATCTTCGACATGACTGGATTTTCCATGGCAAACATGGACTATACTCCCGTCAAGTTCATGATTAAGTGCTTCGAAGCCAACTACCCCGAATCTCTTGGAGCCGTCCTTGTTCATAACGCACCATGGATCTTTCAAGGTAAGTAGATAAGATTTCTTATTTGTGGAAGGGAGAATAAAAGAGAAGACAACTGACGCTGGCATTAGGAATCTGGAAGATCATTCGCGGCTGGCTAGATCCGGTTGTGGCGGCAAAGGTTCATTTCACGAATAATAAGAATGATTTACAAGAATTCATCGAACCCTCACACATACTTAAAGAACTTGGAGGTGACGAAAACTGGGAATTTCAGTATGTGGAGCCCGTCGCTGGCGAAAATGACCTGATGAAGGATGGCGAAACCAAGGCACGGCTTCTCGCGGGCAGGGAAAAGCTTGTCAAAGAGTATGAGGATGCGACTCTACAGTGGATACACAAGTCGGAAGGCGGAAACAAAGACATCATGTCCAGGAGGGACGGCCTGGCGACACAGCTCAGGGAAGACTACTGGAGACTCGACCCATATCTGCGCGCGCGCTCTCTCTACGACAGACAGGGAATATTACAGGGTGATGTTGGGGCGAACTGGTATGAACCGGCAAAGACAGCGACTGCTGACGGAAATGGGAATCTAGACACGTCAATCAACGATGTAGATTAAAGAAACGGCCATGCACCAAAATAATTTTGGATAGAACGGGGTCCTGCGTATTCTATGGAGGATAGACATATATAATGTTTTCATTATCTGCATACCTCGCGAAAACCCTACCATCCTAATGTCGCCGGCAAGCAGACCTGTGACACAACACAATGACACTTACATATTGGCCTTGATTCGCTCACACAGCGCTTTAAGCTTTGGCATATCCGTAGGAGTCGAATTCCAGGTAATGCCAAGGCCCTCTATCTCATTGGGCTTCGGAATCTGTTCAGAGGCATTAGCTAGAATCAAAGGCTGAGGTGCTTCATTGCAAGGGTAATGGTCATACCATGTGGAAGTGGACCTATGGCAGCCAGGGTCAGCCTCTCACTCATATAGTAATTCAAGGTGTAATTGAAGCTTACATGGTGCACCTCTTGGTGGGCAATGGCTCCGTTGTTTTGGAGGATGTTGTAGTCGGTGGCTCCAGTAGCTGTCACGAGCTTCTTGAGAGTAGGCTGAATGAAACAAAGACGTCGTGAGTAAAAAAAAAAAAAAAAAACAAAAAACAAATAAATCAAGCAACTAATAGACGTGTTACCAGAATCTCGGATAGCTGATCATCGGGGATATCAGCCAGCTTTGCGCCATGAAACTTCGGGATGACAAGCTAAATGAGTATTACAGTATTAGTAGTGTACCATTGAACTCGGTGAGCAGGACGATGCATACCGCATGACCCTTGCTTAGAGGTCCGATGTCGAGGAATGCCAGCGTCTTGTCACTCTCAAAGAGCTTCAGGGATGGGATCTCGCCTGGTGCGATATGCTGTTAGTTCTGTGAGAGCAGGAGGGGTAGCTGGTCTCAGTGATTGGATTTCGGCAATCTGCCTCGCCTATTTAGCTCACCCTTGATAATACGGCAGAATATACAGGCAGACATGATGACTTATATGAGGTTGGTATTCGGGCAGAAAAAATTGAAAGAAAAGGAATGCAAGCTATGGGCTGAGTATTGAATATGAGCCTAAGGCGGCAGTAAATACTTTAGTAGGTAGTGGAGAGAACAGAATTGAGGGCAGTGACACGATATGAAGAGGGGCTTTTGTACGCCAATACGCTTATTACATCACTGCGACAAAAGGGATTACATAGCGGGTAATATAAAATAAATTGAGTATCGAATGGGGTGGACCGCTAATACTAATGCAATTCACCACATTGGCATTATCGGATGTATTTTTTGTTTAGACGGTAGATTTTACTCCTCTATCCGCTAATTATCTCTCTCTTATATCAGGTAGCTCAGCTTTTATTGGACGTGCACTCATATTTCCTACCCCAGATTACGTACGCATGGCGATTTGATGAAAACGGGGTGTGACTGCTAGAATAAATGCATTATTTTTTTACTATATACTCGGGATCTAATTTTGGCGCAAGTAAAGTCCTCAATGCCGATTTGCGTGGTGAGGGGGAGCTATCAAATATTAGCAGTCGAAACAGGCGCAAGGAGTACATTGGCTCACGGTCTAAAATCGGAGATGGGAGGTTTCGTTCAAATTTGGATCCTGCTCAATTAGCCTCTGTTTTGTTTCGTATACGCGATTGCATGTGTTGTCTAACCTCCAGGTGCGCATGGCGGAACGTATGGGTCTGGGTGCTTCCAGCTTTCGAGTAACTTTTCGGTCTCCGCTAACAGGGCCTGGAAGAGAGTTAATGTCGGCCCTCCATTGAAGCACGGGAAGCGGTGACTGACTCTCTGCTGCCGGGGATCTGTGACCTTCCTGTTGGCCTCAAATAAAGATCGTATATAGAGCGCCTGGCCTCGCCATAGGTGACGATGGACAGCCCAGTCCAGCGCAAGCTTCAATGAGCGACGGTATAGTGACCTAAAAATTGGGGGCTATTGGTTAGAATCGAGTACGTCGGCATTCGTAGGCTTGATTGATGTAGGTACTGACAGAGCAGCTTGTCGCGTCGTCATGTTGGCTAGATGGTGGTCCTGGCGAAAAGACCGTGGTTTGAATTGGCAGTAGATCTCTCGGAGGTTAACGGCTGGTACACAGAAGTAGAATTGTCTGCCTTACGCCGGGCTCGCATTCTAAGGCAACAACGCGATCGTTTGCTAGTTGGCCACAACGGGAAAGCCGCATTCAAGTAGTAATTACTAACCACATTAGAGATAATTCTTTTAATCTTATATAATTATATAACAGTTGATTTTTTAATACTTTCTTAGAATATATAAATTGATCAAATGATTTTCTTTTTGAAAATGTAAAACATTACATATTATAAGAGTAGATAAATATTATAAATAATAATTTATATTAATATTAAATTTATTATAATATTGAGTTAAATCTGTAAACTCGAATTTTATTTTATCAGTGTTCTTTTTAAACACGTTGCTTAATTGCATTACGATGCTTAGATCGGAACGCCCTGGATGCCCCGATTTAGTGCATGGAGATTTACCTGATCCTCTGTCTTAGTACCTACCACCTACTAAACTCCCTAGGTGCAGTAGTTGTGCAGTCTACCAAGTGCCGGATACTTGGGGGACTAAGTCGACAGGCGCACGAGCAGCGATGCCGAGTATTCAAGGCTTCAATACCTTGAGGGCAAGATCATACATCTTTCGCTTACCTTTGTTTACCCGTGCCATCCTACTGGGAATAGCATGTTTCTGGCTGGCTAGCTTGCCCGGTTACTGGGATGTGAGACTCTGGGGTTCTCTCATCCCGGACAAGATCTCCTTTGCAACTGGTAACCAATGTGCTCCGATATCTGGCTGGATTGGGCTTGATCTGACTCGACCTTAGGATACCGGCTGAATACATTCCCTCTTATCCATCTCAACTTCCTCCATGCAATCCTCAATGCGGTTGCGTTGACGCCGTTGATGGAACGATTCGAAAGCGAATATGGAACCCTGACGACCTTGGCGCTCTTCTTTGGACGTAGGGATACCACCTCCCGTCAATTCCTCATGTCATTGATCTAACAGGAAACAGCTCTGACTACGATTCCTGCCGTTTTGTATCTCTTCATTGAGATTGCCATCCTCCGAGCCAACCATGCTGTTATGGGCGCCAGGTAGAAAACACCGCTACAATGCTCTTAATCAGCTAGATGGGTTATTAATACTAACTTGGCCTGGGTAGCATCTGGGTGTTCTTGCTGTTAGGCATGGAAGCGATCCGAACGTATAAATCGAACCCATATTTGGTTATTGGGACATATCACCTCCCTACCTGGACCACGCCCTTGCTCATGATAGTGGTTGTTGCCGCGCTATTGCCAAGCACCAGTTTGTTGGGCCATCTCTGCGGTGTTGGCGTTGGATATATCGGTATAGTCTCAAACTACGTGTATGAGCCGTGGATCTTATAACTGACACCCCCTTTATAGCTGGCCTTGGCTACGTGAAGTTGCTCGCACCTCCGGAATGGGCACTTCGATGGATCGAATCTCGCTTGAATCTCCTTGCCATATTGCCGCACTATGTCAGTGTTGATCAAAAGACGTATGGGAGATTTGGCGTTTTGCCCACTACCAATCGCCCTGTAGGGAGCGCACCGACGGAGCTGGTGGGAGTGAATGCTTAATATGTGAGGGGTTTCATATGACGGGGACCATTTGGATGCGTATCACACAATGTTGACATTCAATTACTTCGCAAATCGATCGTCAGCTAGCAAAAAGGAGTATTGTTACGGGTAAAGCATGGAGCAGCAAGCAATTCACAGCTCGGGCGTTAATTATACATATATTTCGCCATGACGGAGAACTTGATGCCATAGCGGACATACACCGTCTGTTACGAAATAGAAAACATGATTCAACTGCTCTTGTGCAGCATCAGCATCATAGTGAATGGATTCAATCAGCCACATCGTATGCGTCAGTTCGGGTGGGGCAATTCTGTTGGTTACGTGTAAAACGGTACCAAGTACGTACTGTATTACTGTAGAACTAAAAAAAAATAATGCGCTTGGAAAGGGAAGACCCATCAAAATACTTCCGGGACGTACCTGTCGCATGTCACTTTATTTTATGCACATGGCCTACTACCAAAGATCCCAGTTGTGATTGCTCTCTTTCTGTGATATAGATATCACCACAATACGAGGAGGACAATCGCCCTGAAATCGATTCACTGCCCGCCTGGGACTTTGGTTCTGCTTCCATGCAATGCTCAGCAACAGAGACAGCACCGCCCTTCAGAAAACATATGATTCAAGTTACCTCAGTTGTTCAACGGCTGTGTATTATGAAGGCCAGGTAAAAAGCGATGATGGACCGCCCCATCTCAACTTCACATGCCATTTCCAACTACATCTCACGGCTGACACTTATCTTCTCCTAGGGTGACGAGAGCGAGGCTACTCGACATTGGAAAGCCGCACTTCGGCGCATAAATGAATACTACGCGTCGGCAAGCGCTCCAAGAGTCTCCGAAACATACAACGATACAGATGCTGCCTTGATAGACGCGGTGAAAGAGCTAGAACTACAATGCAAGGAAAGAATTGATCTTTTGGAAGCGTTGAAGCTGTCCCGGCAAGACAGCGTCGCTTCGCCGTACCGTGACAATACCACGCAGGCCACTGGCAGCACCAGCCAGGGAGCGGGAACCATAGGGCAAGGCACCATCCCTGCGGTAACATATTCCGAACTTTCACGTCCTGCGTTCTCGTCAAGGAATTCCCTTGAGGCAATGACGTCATCTGAAGAAGCGATTAAGAGGATCCATAGCACCCCTGCCGATTCAACTCAACGAACTGCCTACCCGCTTCCCAGCTCGAGAAGTCCAGATTTGCCCGATACAAGAAGCGACAAGGCGGCCCGTCCTCCGAGCCCCGAGAGGCACACCATGAGGACTACGTTGCGGTCCAAGAAGACTGCCGATCGATCGTCTACTCCTCGTAAATCGAACAGGCCCGCGGCGGATGGGCCAAGCAAGGCCGCGACCATCGCGTGGAGCACTTCTGGATCTCGAGACAACTTCTTGCGTCCCTTTTCTACTGAAGCGCGCTCATCAAAATCAAGCCCTACTCCACGCCCATCGCTGGAACGCAACTCGCCCAGTTCGCAGAAGTCGACAATATCATATGAAACGAGATCTCAACGTACATCGCCTCAAAAATGGAACATGGTTCCTTTGTCCGATGAATCTCGTCTTCCACAGCCCTCGGTCCTGTCTATTAGCGCAGCATCAAGTGCTCTGACATCTTCGTCCAGCCAAGAGCCCTCCACGGCATATCAAACTCCGAGTAAATCAGAGCAATATGTCACCCCTCGGAAGCCCCCTATCTTTGAAGAAGCATCAATTCAAAGTAAAAGAGGGAGTGCTAAAGCTGGCACGCCCGAAGTGTCTGCAGCACAAAGGGAATCCAGCACCTCTAGGAGTAAGAGGATAGCTGTGGACAGTCCGCTTCTATATAAATACGACGCAGAACGAGGAGATCGGTACCGGGACGATACACGGCGGCCATCCTCCGAGTTTGCCACTCTGAGGCAAGTTGACAGCCGTTCAAGTGAAGAGGCTGTCGAGAGTCCAGCAAGAGAAACTAAGAACGATAAAACACCCAAGAAAATGACGAAGACAGCCATTCTTAAGAATCTGCCGCCAGGCATAGACGAGAGTGCCGCAAAGCAAATCTTCAACGATATTGTTGTGCAGGGAGATGAAGTTCACTGGAGCGACATTGCGGGCCTGGAGGTTGCGAAGAACTCTCTACGGGAAACAGTAGTATATCCATTCCTACGCCCTGACCTATTCATGGGCCTACGCGAGCCGGCTCGCGGAATGCTGCTATTTGGACCGCCAGGAACTGGAAAAACGATGCTGGCTCGCGCAGTAGCCACTGAATCCAAGTCCACCTTCTTCTCCATTTCTGCCAGCAGCTTAACAAGCAAATATCTAGGAGAGTCGGAGAAACTAGTCAGAGCGCTTTTCGGTCTCGCCAAAGCACTTGCTCCCAGTATTATATTCGTCGATGAAATTGACTCGCTGTTATCTCATCGATCGGATGCTGGGGAGCATGAGGCAACCAGAAGGATCAAGACAGAATTCCTTATCCAGTGGAGCGAGCTCCAACGAGCCGCAGCTGGCCGGGAGGCGGATAGCAAACTGAATTCAAGGAATGAGGCTCAAAGGGTCTTGGTATTAGCTGCTACAAATCTGCCATGGGCAATTGATGAAGCTGCACGGCGACGATTTGTGCGCCGACAGTATATTCCATTACCAGAACCGAAGACGCGGGAGACACAGCTGAGGACGTTACTACGACAGCAAAACCACAGCCTATCAGACGAAGATGTAGAGAAACTCGTGCAGTTAACAAATGGTAAGCATCGTCTCACAGCGTTGGCTTCTCCCTAGCGCCCAATCAAGTTCATACAACAACTAACTGCTTGGTAGGATTCTCGGGATCCGACATCACGGCTCTTGCCAAAGATGCAGCCATGGGGCCACTAAGATCTCTAGGCGAGGCCCTTTTGTATATGACCAAGGAGCAAATACGGCCCATGGATCTTTCGGATTTTGAGCTAAGCTTAAAGTCTATTCGGCCGAGCGTCGACCAAGAAGGCTTACGGGAATACGAAGAATGGGCCGAGAAATTTGGCGAGCGTGGTGGTTAACGCTGAACTGAGCTGAATTGTTTACCCGCGTCCAGATACAGCATCCCTTCCGCTTAGAGTAAGGCTGGCAGATGCGCAAACTACGACAGTACACGATCGAAACATCAAGTAGCGGCTGCGGTGTGCGTTGCGAGTTCTGTCAAATCGATGACGATCGACGTCCGTGAATTCATTAAGAGGCGCTATATTGCTAGACTCTTACTCGTTTGTTGGAAGCAAAATATGAGCATCCCTTCGCCAATAATCCCACATGGGCGCAGCTCTGGAGAGATGCTACCCGATCTATTCATACAGCCCTGTTGCGCTATGCAGCTGGGATTTGTGATATCCGATGTCGTCTGTTTTTCGTCGTGCGTCCTCGTATCATTCCTTCTGCTCTTCCTTGGCACGTATCCTTCGTTCAGCCTTGACAGCCTGCTTGGCTTCTCGTTCGGCGATGCGTTCCTCTAATGAGGGAATCGGCGGCCGTTCTTCGATAGGAGTGCCGTACGGCGCAATGATGTTCTTGATAACGTGACGCTTGTGCTTAGAGGTCGGCCAGCCGGGAACGATGGAGACAACATCGCCAGTACGAAGAGAGGAGTTGGGATCGTGTACGAGGTAGTGCTTTGGCTCTGCAAACCACTTTGGACTGGTCAGTCGAAGGGATGAATTGTGGTGATGTCGTGCCTACATACCTTGTTGATGACTTTGTTCCATTTTTGACCACCGACTCGAACCTTGACGGTTTTCTGCATCAGACCAGCAGACACAACAATGCCATGAAGCTCGTGAGTCACGCGCCGGGCGGCTTTTGCAACTTGTGAAGACATGGTGATATGTATCTTAGTTTAGGCGAACAATGAATGGTTAAACAATGCCAACAATCATTGCTCCGAAGTCATTGCTCTCTCTGTGGACCTCAGACAACCCATCATCATACTAAAACTTTGCGACTAACTGGAGCATTCACACTCCATACCCTTTTGGGGCTTATCTGCACCCGCTAGCCGCATCGCCATTGGACAGAGGAGAGGCTGCCGAAGTTGACCCGACATCTTATCGATTAGAGTGGGAGGAACAATGCCAGGATTTTGTTGCCTTGTGTCTGTCTGCAATAGAGGAAGCACATTTAAAGAGTCATTCATAGGTATACTGTTGTTTAGAATATGTCAAATATTACTAGATCGTCATTGTATAAGTCTAGTAGTATATATACGTTCTCTTGATGGGTTTGTCGCAGATTCATAACTATGGTAAAGCAGAGAGAGGGCGCTGTTCTCTTGAATTCAAATGAAAATAAGCGTTAACTCGTAGAAGGCTTGTCCGTCGAGCTGCATTAATGGTGTTTGGACTCGCCAAAAAGCCCCCAGTCCTTGATGACGAAAGTTTCCCAGATGCGAGCCGCAATCTCAACAGCGTCTCCAATAAGCTTGCCCTGCTTGCCCAGCTCCAGATCAACCTCGTCGGCGTCGTATTCTCCCCTGATGTGAGGCACGTTGATGGTAATCAGGATATCCGTGTCCTGCTCCTCGAGGCGCAGCAGAGTCATGGTGAGGGCCGTGAAGTCTGGCGCTGAGCTTTGGTCGCTGGAGTGGCTGGCGTTGGGGGTCTGCGTCGCGATGAGGGTATATGCGGGGTGTTTCAACCTGTTGTTTTCCCATGTGATTGCTGGTTAGTGGACTGGGATGCGCATACACAAGACTGGCCGGGGGAACGGCGCGTAAAGAGAGTGAGAAAGAGAGAAAAAGGACGACGTTACTCTTGCATGCGCGAGAATTCAGTTTCGGCCGTGTTCCAGATCTTGACCGTGTTAATGTCCGACCCGACCATGTCTTCCAAGTGCGTGGTCATGGCCCGGCCGTCAATCTCAGGGCCGGATCCGGGGCCTCCAACACGCTCTGTAATCTCGAAGATGATGCTGGTGAAGCCGTCCTTGTCGATCCATACTTCCTGGTTGTCGGGGACTTGTCTGAGTTTGCTGCAGAGGACAAGAGTGTAAGTAAGTAAGCGTTTAAACAAGCATTTCAGAATGCGCCGGTTGCTGACCTGACATCTGCAAAGTGTTTCGGCAAGTCGCAGGTGATGGCTCCGCCGTAGAGGGGAGTGCTTCGGTAACTTGACATGGCGGTATGATTATATGATTATAATGATGGGAGTTTCAGCGTCGTTGGTCGCAAGTATTTGTCTACGTTGGAGGATGCTGTAATGCGATCCAGACAGAGGCTGTCGCGCAGTTGGAGATTGCTAGACGAGTGCTAAGCTTAATACCACAGTGGGGTAAATAAATGACATCACAAGGTGCTCCGCCCGCCATGCGCGTAATGCAGCAGTTCAGCCTCAGAGAAAGCCTTGGGCCTATAGAGCGAACTCGGGTCCATAGACTACTATAATCCAGGTACTTTAGTCTATGTATGCCCACGGCGATATACATTCGCATTACAGCCTTGATATAAATTTTGAGTATATAACTTGTATAATATATGGAATGAGATTTTTATCATGATTTCTATTAAAATACAATAATATTTTAGTTTAAAGTAGGCAGCAAGGGTAGTGCGAATCTAATGACTCATTTCATATCATTTTCTACTGCTGTTGCTCGAAGCCGGTATACGGAGCAGTGATACTGTATATAGAGTCAATTTAGTTTTTGCTCAATTTCAACCCACTTAAACTCGGAGGTGCAAACATAACATACTTAGATAGCAGCTAAACTTCTAAGAAGAGAGGCATTCATCATTTCCATAATGCCTATAATTTCACTTGGAGATTCTATACCGCCCGACACTGCTCATGTAAGTTGCCAATTCATCAATCTGCACTTGTTATATTGTTGACAGCGTTGACTCACTCATGCCATCCGCAACCATCATCACAGGCAGTGAGTGTCTCATTGCCAACCTGGCAAGCGAATGTCGATTATGAGGAAGGCGATGTCCGAGTTTTGGGCCGTATGGTCACTGGCTACCCTCGGTGAGTGAGATGCATCAATTGGAATGGCCTGTCGAGTGTAGCCTTTGCTTACTTCTCCGGACAATTAGATTTTTCATTCATCGGAGCATTCAGGCCTTTGCCCAAGACTTCCTGGCTGCTTATGGACAACCCGGCCAAAAGGCTATGCTGTTTGCTACGGCTGCCGCTGGCCGAAGATGTCTAGAGTTTATGCGCCAGCGAGTAACTCCGCAAACCTCTAACCAGATCTTTGTGGTTGATCTCGCCCTGGATGCGTCCAAGGATATTTCTCCATTATTGAAACAGTTGGCACCCACCATTTCCGGCATCATCTTCCCAGAGGAATCGTTTCCAGTTGCAAAGGAGTACTGGCAGCATACGGGCGATGGAGTCTCAAGCCGACGGGCCGAATTCTCCCATGAACTTTTTAAACATGGCCAGTTGATTGCAATTAATGAACAAAAGTCCCATCACGCTCCCCCAGAGAAACCTGTTCGTGGTCCAAAGCGGTATTCACGGGCCAATTCTACCCCAGGTCCCAATGCAGCTGGTTCCGAAAACAAGGCCCTTTCCACCTCCGAGAATCCGGAAGAAGATCGTGAAAGCTTCCATTTCCTGGAAGAGCGTTTCGGAAGAAATCTAAACCTTACCCAAGTAGCCCGAGCAAAATCGGCTATTCGCAGAAGAATCGCAGGCTCTCTCGCTGGTGATGTGGACATGAATGATGAGAAAGAGACAAAGAGCGAAGCTAATAGCCGTGGTATTGAGTCTCTTGATGAGACTGACGTCTTGCTCTACCCCTGTGGCATGAACGCCATCTTCAACGCTCATCGTGTTCTCCTAGCTGCTCTGGGTTCGCACAAGAGCATCAACTTTGGATTTCCCTACGTCGATACGCTCAAGATTCTGGAGAAATTTGGACCGGGTTGCATACTGTATGGTCACGCCTCGTCGGACGAACTTGACGAGCTTGAGCGCCTCCTAAAGGATGGACAACGCTTCCTTGCCCTCTTTTGCGAATTTCCAGGAAATCCGCTTCTCGCCTGTCCAGACCTCAAACGCATTCGCAAGCTGGCGGACGAATTCAACTTTGCCGTCGTCATCGATGAGACTATCGGCACGTTTGCAAATGTCAATGTCCTCCACTATGCCGACATTGTCGTCAGCAGCCTGACCAAGATATTCTCTGGCGATTCAAATGTCATGGGCGGATGTACGGTCTTGAACCCAGAGGGTAAACATTACAGTTTGCTCAAAAAAGTCTTTGAGGAGCAGATTTACGAAAACACGTATTGGACCGAGGATATCCTTTTCATGGAGAGAAACAGCCGTGACTTTTCCAACAGAGTGAAGCGCATCAACGTCAACGCAGAAACAATATGTGACATCTTGCGGGATGACCCTCTTGTCAAGACGGTACACTATCCCAAGTATAATCCTTCAAAGCCAAACTACGAGGCTTGTCGTCTCCCCGATGGTGGATATGGAGGCTTACTCTCCGTCGTGTTCAATCATCCAGAGCACGCCCAAGTTTTCTACAACAACCTCGACACCGCAAAGGGACCAAGTCTGGGAAGCAACTTTACGCTCTGCTCTCCTTATGTCCTCTTGGCACATTATCGGGAACTAGATTGGGCAGCCAAGTTTGGTGTAGACCCGAACCTGGTTCGTGTTAGTGTAGGATTGGAGGAGCCTGAGGAGCTGCAACTTCTCTTCCGGAAAGCTCTTGAGGCGGCGAAAGAGGTAAACATTGCATGAGAGCAATGAAATCAGGTATTATATTGGATAAAATGGCAATGAAGATACCGCAAAATTAAATGTCGTTAGCCGAGAGCGAGCAGCAGCGCATAGACGATGCTGTGGACGCACGCCAAATGTATTGAGCAGTCGGCCATTATGCCCATCTGTTATTATTCACAAGATCGCACATAACTTTATCATAGTTAACAGGTACTGAGTATCTAAGCCACGAGTAGGAATCTCAATAATAGAAAGTATAGAAAACACACACCATGAAAAAGGGTATCAACAGGTATTATTAACTTTCAGGCATCGTAATAAACATTATCGTTTCTCAAACAGCATTCCAAAAATTCCACGTTCATCGCTCAGCATCTCACATAACAGTACACTCAGACCGTGTATAGCCTTCGCCAAACACCTCTACCCCCCGTTCTATGTCATTAGCTCGTTGCTTCTCCTTTACTTCCGGGAGAAAGTATTTCTTCATAAACTTCTCTAACTCGGTATCAATGTTTTCTACATGATGTTAATATACCATTCTCGTAGTATACATTATTTCGCAGCATGAGTGAGTTACTTACCGGCGGAAGCATCCATCACTACACGGGCTCGACACAAGGGGCAGCACTCCTCCTTGCGCCGCTGGATCTTGATTATGCAACGAATGCAGAAAACGTGTTGACAGCCCAGACGAACTGGTTGATATGCAATCGAATAGCATATCGGGCAAAGGTAGTCATTAATCTGGGGTATAATAGAAACCAACTCGTTGGAAATTCGGGCACACACTTCTTTCGCAATATCGCCCGATATCATCTTTCGGGAGCTGATTGCGTTCGGGAAAGCACGAGAAACGCCCAATGCAGTGCGTTTATCAAATTCTACGACTCTCGTTAACCAATACTCAATCAACGGACGTCGAGGGAAACGGCATGTGCTTACTCTTCAATATTTTCGAGATTGCCAACATGTTTAGTTCCTGAAACTGTAGATGCTTCAAGAGGGTGAGATTGAGCTCAAGGAATTTCGAAAAGGCAGATCGGCTTTCTGCCAACTTGAATGAGGCGACAAGCTGTTGTTTCTGGACCTGATTCTGAAACCACTGCAATTGCTGGAGAGCCTTTTGGCTAGAGCGAGCTCCGTGTTCTTGCTCGTGCGTTGCAAAAAACACTTCGGCATCCAGATATAGCTCGAATATGTGCCTCCAGTGGTCGAGGTCGCTCTTCGAAAAGCGCGTCGGCCGGGACACTTGCGAAACTTGTTTTCCTATCTCTTTGACCTCCTTTTTCAGCTGGTCCCGCTCCGTGGCTTGCAAGGCATCCAAACCGCCGAGATCACTTTGAAGGATGTCGAAGAAGACACCGTCAGATACGAGGGGCACCTCTATAATGTCGTGCTTTTCATGGCCTGCGCCGTTTCCATTTATGACAGTTTGCGGTGTTGCACGCGTCCCCTCGTCGCTCGTTTCGGCGCGCGAAATATCAACTGGTTTGGTTTCTCCCTCGCTCTCAGAAGAGTCAGGAGCAAATCCAGAAGCGATTTTCTCGAAGAAGTGGCGTGTGGTTGGTGCTAGCGACGCATCGATAATGTTGCCCTCGTGCAGATGAATATTCACCGTTAACTTGGGTCGCACAAGTTTAGAGCTGGAGGATGCTTTGTATCCAAATAGTGTCAGTGACAACGACCAAAGATATGTTTGCTGGAGAAGACAGGCAAGACGGTCTCCCCTAGGAGAAAACGTACGGTTGAGGCTATAATTCAAGGCGACTGGAGAATCCGTGTTGGGATCGAGAAGTGCACGCAAGGTTTCGGCATCAAGTCCCAGCTCTTGAAGCTCTCGTTGCACTTTCTTGAGGCATTTCTTTAGCTGGCCGTAAGGGATCGCATGGGCAACCCAGTGAGGCGGGAAGCCTGCATTGTTATAACACTGTCAGGAGCTGAAACATTTTTGAGACGTGCTGTCTGTGATGGCTGCAACTACTCTCAGGTAGACTAGTAGGGACGAGTAGCGGGTTTTACCTTGACTAGCCAGCGACTGCTTATAATCATGGGCGAATTTCATGGCATCTGTCAATCATGTTATGAACATGTTACTTCTAAGTTGCTAGAGGCCACCACCCCTACCGTTCTCAAGTAGAAAACCACAAGCATGGTTGTAAGTAATAGTATGATATTGTCGCAAGGCCAAGTGGAGAAGCAGCCAGTCATAGAATCAGCCCTATCTGCTCAAGGCCAGAAAAGGCGACGCCGATAAAAGCCGGTACTTTAGGCGAACCAACGAATAATGAGTATTTCGTAATAGTTGGATGGAGGAAAATAAGATGGTGTAGAGCAATTTAGAACAGACCTTTTCACGTGAAAGGCAGCTGTTTTCTCGACATTTCCCAAGTGAGTAATAATATTAGAACAAAATAAAAAGATTTTTTTATTCCTCGTGGCCTTGCCGATCCTCCTCCGATCTACCCTTCGATTTTTTCCCCAGCAGCGCTAGTCGGTGACATTTGATTTCTTGGCCAGATTGTCACTGCCCCACCAACCTCATCTCAATCCGGTTGCTCGGCATCCACCCCCGTCGAAAGTAAACAAATGCATTGATGTCACAGCACGAGCAGCTCTCTAACTCGACAACTTTATTGTATTATAGTATGACATTATGACCATGAAGAACACCCGAGAGGACGACTATTTTTATGATAGTGATGACGAACTTCCGTCCTTAGACACCCTTCTAGCACGTCTTCCCGGCCGCATACAACAGCAACTCTCTCCGTCGAAGCCTACTTCGTATCCCAGTCTGAAAAATACCACCTTGATTGAGCTGGATGACGGAAATAGCAGTGCAGAGGATCACACTACCGACAAGGCGGATTCATTCTTGGACCTGAGCGATGCAGCACCTGAGCAGGTTATCCCACCCCTGGTAAAGGGGGAGGAAAGACGGAAGAGATGGCAATCATCACCAAAGTGCTTTGGTGATGATGCAGGTGGTGAAGAGAAAAAGATCCCTCGGCCTCGAAGCCGACTTATCAACACCTGCAGACCTAAGCCACAAGAATCCGACGATCGATCGCGCAAGGCCACCAAGAACAGGACCAATATACCCTCGACAATCGAGTCGCAGGCATCAAGAAAGCAACCTCGAGGCCCTTCGAAAACTGGCGATGATGCCTTTAGAAACTCATCCTCAGATGCCAATGACTCAGCATTGAGATTGCCCCAGTCACAGACCCTCACGACTGAACGATCTCGTAACAGCAGGCAGGAGGAACTATTAACACAACATCCTCGTAACGTATCACCAAGTCGAAGTCAAATCACGAAATCGAGTCACCAGCCCCGGTTTCCTGAGCATGAAGAGGGCAAAGATATACTTCGGCCATTATCGCGGCTTAGGCTTATTCTGCAAGATGAGCCAGGTGCTGATACTCCAAGTCGTCCCACCATGCCTCCCAAAAAGAGCAAGCAGGAAAAGCTGGTCTCTTCTCATGGAGACATTCATGCTAAAGAAGCTTCTAAGGAGCTAGGCATGGATGCTGGTCAGCACCAGGTGTCTGATGATGAATGGGATGAGCCAGATATTGACTGTAAACCTAAGTCTACTCGGTCAACGGTTCCAAAGCCGGTGTCAAAAAAACAGACTAAGAAGTCGTTCGATGCGAGAAAATCACAACTGGCGATAGATTTCCTGCAGCAGCTCGACGCTCAAATCACGCATGGCAAGATTGCAGAATTGACCCAGTCAACTGGCGGAGTCAAGATTGTATGGAGTAATACTCTCAAGACAACAGCCGGCCGAGCAAACTGGAAGCGGGAAACTGTCGTCCCCAAGCATACGGGCGACAGCGCCAATGTCGATGTGAAGCAATATCGGCATCATTCTTCCATCGAGCTTTCCGAGAAGGTCATTGACGATGAGCTGCGCTTATTGAATGTCATAGCACATGAGTTCTGCCACTTGGCAAACTTCATGATTAACGGCATTAGAGATAATCCTCATGGGAAAGAATTCAAGGTATGGGCGGCCAAGTGCTCCCAAATGTATGGTTCACAAGGCATCAACGTCACCACGAAACACACCTATGAGATCGACTTCAAATACGTGTGGACTTGCACGGCGTGTGGCTGCGAGTACAAACGCCACTCCAAAAGCATTGATCCCAAGAGGCACCGATGCGGTGCTTGTAAGGCTTTGCTTGAACAGACAAAACCTACACCACGCCAGACGCCGACGAGCCAATTGAGCGAATATCAATTATTTGTCAAGGAGCAAATGAAAGTGGTTAAAAGCGAGCATCCAAACAGCCCGCAGAAAGAAATCATGAGGATAATCGCAGAGAGGTGGGCCAAGGTGAAAACTTGACATGTATAGAGTGACTTGTTCGTTAGATGCGTTGATATTCTGATAAATAATACCCGTTTTATTATGTAATTTAGCAAATGGAGCTCGTTTATTTGTTTTTTTTTTATTATGATATATCTGCCTATACCATGAGAATGCCGTATTTCACCTGTCTTTTTATCCCCTTTGTTAATGATAAATAGTAACGGCGATACGTGGCATGCATGCATAAGACGCCATGCAAGGCAAGGTAGCTTAAGCTGTGTACTTTGGGCTTCCAACCTCATCTCAACTTCATTCGGCCATCCAAAGTAAAGCACATAAACACTATTCAAATTATCATCCAGGACGATGGCTCATCGGCTTGCTGAAAACTCAGCAGCCATCTTCTCGCCATCCGTCGCCCGCATCGCCGCATCCACCGCCCGAGACTGGTCCTACATCGACGCCTGGCTTGCATCCAAATCGCCCGCATGGAAGAATTCACTGCCGTCTTTCGAGCGGAACCAGGACACGCTCAAGGCGCTGCTCGCCCTTGTGTCGCTAAACGAAGCAGCCGATGACCAGCGCCGCCTCCTCGCCCGGGTCGATGCCACGGCTCTCCAGGCGCTCAGCGCCCACGACAAGGTCGAGCCGGGCATTTCTGCCAATGGTACCGCCCTCACCAAGGACCACTTGCTCAACGCCATAGAGCACAGCCTGCCCAAGGATGGTGCGAACGCTCTGAGTGTTCTCACTGCTGTGGCCTCTGAAGCCGCCACTGCGAGCGCGGATCCCGACCACCTTGGCAGCCTGATGCTTCGTCTTCAGGGCACGGTTTACGGGGCCGAGCAGACGGCAGCCCGCGTCGATGCCTTTGAGCGCCAGCTTCAGAGAGAGACCGAGGCTGCTGAGGAGCTGCTTCATGTGTTGCAGAGCGAGTGCTTCAAACCGCCCTCTGACCTGGCAAAGCAGAACTTGGATGTGCAACGCAGAATCAAGACCGTTTCTGCCCAACTCCCTGATCTCCACGACCGTGTCGCTGCTCTTGGTGCGTCCATTGCTACGCCGTATATGGCGATTGGCGATGTGGTTGAGCTCGAACAACGCTATCAAACTTTGCTATTTCATGTGAGGGAACTCAGCGAGCAGATTGCCGCTCTTTCACGGGAGTAGGCCTACTGGCCACGCCCCCCTGCTGTTGGGTCATATGTTAATGGCCTTACCAGCAACCTATGATTCTACTTTGCGGCATAGTGCGTGGAACATTGATATTGGAATCTTAAGCCATAAACCCATGGGCATCTTATAGTATGAATATTCATACTGCATCCAAAAACGTCAGTTACAGCCCTCGCACAGAAATAGATCGCTGTTGCTCCCCCCTTTCATTCCCAATCGCTATTGTTCTGGTATCTACTGATTTCGGCGGTTCTTCCCCGAAACGGCACCTCCTAATCTCCCAAACTGCCTTCCAAGCCCTGACCTTTTGACTGGTGGTGAAACTACGGCTGGTGTCTGGTCTTTCAATGGAACAGGCGGTCCAGCAGGGCCTCCTCGCATGCCGTCTCGATTTTTGCTCTCCGGTGATGGCTCTCCAATGCGGAATTCGCTCACTCCAGCCGAAAGAGCGTCCTCTATCTCAATGTTGGGTCGCTGGCTTCTTCTTGCTCTCTCCTGGACGCTTCGAAATTTCTCCAAAAGCTCAACCCATCGTATTGCCCCATCCTCTCGGCCTTTCAATCTGTTTGGTCGGTCATAATTTGAGGAGGCCGGCGTTGCTGCCATGCTATGTCCATCATCACCAGTCAGCACTGAAGAGACGAAGATTTCGAAGCTTTCACTTGCAGTTAGAGCATCCAGGCTGTTGGCAAATCTTACCTTCGTGGAACAACTTGCAAGAACCCAATTGAGCTTACGCTATTGAGCCGGTTTTTCAATGCAGCAAAAGCAGAGGACTGCGGCAGAAGCATAAGAATTCCGTACATGCATTTGTACAAGTATGGATATTTCTCAGGTTCTAGCAGTTGCAGGCGCAAATCTTTTTTTTTATTCTAAGTTAGTGCATGGTGGTCACTCATACCTCTTCCCTTAAATGGACGGAACACTTACATGTGAAGACGGGCGATTCGATTAGCTGGACCAGCTTGTCGACTTGGATCAGCATGTTGACTGTCATGTCCAATTCACCACTATTCAATAGTAAGCGCCCGGTATACAGATATTGCCTATAGGCAGAACTCACAAAATTTGTAATAGATGATATGCCTGTTCATAGGCTTGGGAAAGTAAACACAGAGAGAACGTCGCAACAGCGTTGTAGCACCACGACCTGAACAGAGCCACGAACAAAGTCTGGCCATCCTGCATCTTGTGTTAATTGAAATGTTCTCAATTCTAAATATACCCAAAAGAAGAAAAAATAAAGGGGGAACAAGCTTATATATACCTTTGTTTCCAGGTTTCTCAACCGCTTGCGCACTTCCGCTAGCTGAGGTGCCGTAATCAAGTTGTTATTAAGATTTTGCACCATTATGCTGGCAAACTCTACGTCTTCCTCCTTTTCAATGCAGTCGGCCAACGTTCTGTATATGCGCTCTGGGCTGAGGCTGATACAAAGCTGCCGTATGATGAGGTTACCTCTTGTTTCGAGCAACTTGCGATCCGTAGAAAAGAGCTGTAGCAAGTTTACCATGAAGCTGGCGAAGTAATCGTCTTCGCTGTTGCGTGAAATTTGTGACAGTAGTTGCAAATCTCTGGTAACAACAGCATCAGAAGGATCCGAAAGAGTCTTGAGAAGGGCCGGAAAGGTGCCGTCGTTGAAGGCCAACACCTTGCGCGGCGCTTTTCTATGCAACATGATAAGCCAAGTCAAGGCAGCTACACGTGTAGCTTCGTGGTCATTTAAGAACAGTAGGGTGAGTGAATTAACAGCAGCAGTATAATCGAGATTCGCTTGAATTTGGGTGGCATCAGGTGTGGCGATTGCAGCGGAAGACACTCGACCGCTGCCTGGCGTTACGCTGCGTATCTCGTTATCTCTTGAGTTTGATATCGATGCCCGGCCGATACTGCTATTGTCTTGCTTGTCTTGTGACAACGAGAGTCGGTGGTTCATCGATGCTGTTCCTTGGCTTGCATTGACGTCAGATTCATCAGACAGAGACACCACGTAGTCCATGAGACAACTGTTAACTCTGGTCGCAGCAAGGCGAATTGTCTCTTTGGTGCTGGCCATCGCAGGGAGCATATGCGCCAGGATCTTGGGCGTGAAAGGCAGCACCTCCTCGGGGCAGATATCGAGAAATTCGACAATCCATCTGAGTGATTCAAGGAGACAGTCCTCCTCTTCATCATTGTCAGCATGAGTCATTAGACAGCAGGTATAATGACCAGATGGGATATCTAACAAACCTAGTGGAGAATCAAGAGTAGCAGTAAGGATATCCAGTATCTCTTTATAGTTGATTTCTACATCCTGGCCAGGAATCCAGTCCTCTTCCATGCTGTCCTCATCGTCGTCGTTTAAAGCATCGGAATCCAGCTCGTCTCCTTCTTCCAAATTAGGACGGCCGCCAGCACTGTCGATGGATTCTTGTCGCTTCCGCTTCCCGCCTTCTTTAAACTTCCTGTTCTCAACTAGTCCTCTTTTCACTTGGGAAATTCTTTTGATCTCATTAAGGAATTTGTCAAGGCAAGTTTGTGTGGCCACTCTGACGTCAACATTTTGATCGCTGAGGAACTTGAGGATCCCACCAAGAAATTCTGGTAGGTATGTGACTAGTTCCAGGTCCGGGATTGAGTCTAGAAGTGTGATCCAACCAACAAGAAACTGTCGAGTGAAAGGGTTGATGACATGGATGCGTTCCTTGAGTAGTGGGATGAAGCGCTGCAATGAGAAAGCTGTAGGAAGATTTTGTTGCTGTTCGCCAGTGGCATTATTATCGTCGATGCTCGAAGAAGTTTCCAAAACCGAAATGTAAGATGCGGCAGACTCAGAGACGATGTCTTTTATGAGTCGATCCAGGAGTTCAGCACCATTTTTGACTGACAGTTCTGAGTCCGCTCCAAGCTAAAAGAGATGATATTACGTCAATAAGCCAGACACTTGAGACTTCTATAACTCCGCGCCAGCATAGGAAATTAATCAACAAGCTTACCTTGCAAAGCTGATCGAATATACTATTGAAATAGGCCAAGATCTCCCCCTTGGCTACCTTGGCTATATTGTACATTGCCTCGCAGGCATAGTATCGAACTCTCGCATCCTGATCAGTGAAGCAGGCAAGCACAGGAGGCACGATGTTTACAAGGTAGCGAGGTAACTCCTGTAGCAAGTGTCAGTGACGACACCATCAAGCATAGAAGCCTTTACATATGCGAAAGTGACAGGATTCAACGGAGCATAACACAGCGGAAATATAGTACAGCAGCAAGATGAGATGACAGAAAATGGCGTTCATGAATCGCCTGTGAGGTCGGCAATCGAGCTATGCAAAAAGTTGAACATACCGTGCCGAGCGCAATCGCCGCGGCGGCTAATCCAATCAAGCCTCCATTCCGAGCATGTGGTTGATGAACAGCATAGGCATAGTCATTACATAACTGTTCCAGAATCTCTTCCACGCGCTGAAACGCACCAGAGGCAACAAGATCTCGTATTATCTTTTCAAGTCTAGGGCATACAACAAACGTAAGCACATATATGCATGCATCGGCAGTTGGGCAGGACCTATGCCATACTCAAGTGCCCCGACCTTGCGCTTATCGTAGAGTTTGTCATTCAGCGCCCGCTGGATGTTGGTATCCATATTTCTAAATATCTCATGCTTGGTTCGGTCGGAGGAGACGAGCAATGATCGAGGCTGTGGGCGATGACGACGGTCGATATTGGGGAGCGGGCGTCTATGGGGATGGAGGTATGTATTGCGCACTGTTTGTTTACATAAGGCGCGTACGCAAAGGAGGTGCTAGAGCGCCACTAGCATCATGTGGTACAAAATTCAAATATGGAATTAGGCGTACAAGTATAAGGGTATCTAGCTAAGAAGAAACGACGAGAATGGATTCTTAATGATAACTTAACATCGGGCATACATGTAAATAAACCATTTCGCGCCAATTCTTAATTTCTTAATATATATATATATATATTTAACATAGAAAACTGCCAAAGGGCGCTTCCAAAATACAGGTGGTTTAGCGTATCTACAAGCATATATATGGCCACTCATTTTTTTGTTATGAATTTTGTATTTTTTTGCCCTTTATTATATATACTAAACATGGGAATCACGAGTTACATACAGAGTAGACGTAAAAGCACATAATGACTCCCATCGCATCTTAAGCCGACAGACTAGCACGACGGGTTTTTACCCATTTCCAGCTGGTCATGAGATTGTGGGCCATCAACAATACCCCCTTTCATTTTCTTCATAGCTCTTCTTCTTCTTCTCCTTAGTTCTTGGACATCTTGGCCATGGTGTTCAGTGCGCTTCCGTTCTTGAACCACTCAATCTGGGCCTCGTTGAAGGTCTGCAGCAGCTGGACCTCGAAGGGGCTGCCCTCCTTGGGGTGGACGGTCATGGTAAGGGGCTTTCCAACGGCAAGCTCAGTGCAGGGAATGTCAACCTACAATACTCATTAGTATTTACAATTTTTATGATGAGCTGAAAAGGGCTGGGGGAGCTTACCTTGTCATCGGGCTTGATCTTGTCATAGTCAGCGGGGTCAGCGAAAGTCAGAGGAAGCATTCCCTGCTTCTTCAGGTTGGTCTCGTGGATACGAGCAAAGCTTCGGGTGATGATGGCCAGGCCTCCCAGGTGACGGGGCTCCAAAGCAGCGTGCTCACGAGAGCTACCCTCGCCGTAGTTCCAGTCACCAACGACAACCCACTTGATACCCTTCTTCTTGTAGTCACGGGCAACAGCGGGGACAGCATCCCACTCGCCAGTGGTGAAGTTCTTGATCTTGTTTGCCTCGTCGTTGGCCTCGTTGATGGCACCAATCAGCATGTTGTTGGAAATGTTGTCAAGGTGGCCACGGTACTTCAGCCAGGGACCAGCCATAGAGATGTGATCAGTGGTGGTCTTGCCCTTGGCCTTGATCAGGATAGGGACATCCTTGGCATCCTTGCCATCCCAGGGAGTGAAGGGCTCCAGGATCTGGAGACGATCAGAGGTGGGGCTGACCTGGACGTTAACGCTGGCACGCTCCTTGGGAGGGGCCTGGTAGGTGTTGCGGCCGGCATCATAGCCGTTGGCAGGGAGACCGTCGCCGGTAGGAGGCTTGAGCATAAACTCCTTGCCATCCTTGCCAACAAGCTTGTCGGTAAGAGGGTTGAAGTGCAGAGAACCGGCAATAGAGAGGGCGACAACCAGGTCGGGAGAGGTGACGAAAGAGTGGGTAGCGGGGTTGCCGTCGTTGCGTCCAGTGAAGTTTCGGTTGTATGAGGAGAGGATGGAGTTGGCGTCACCCTTCTTCACATCCTGGCGATCCCACTGACCAATGCAAGGGCCACAAGCATTGGCAAGGACAATGCCGCCAAACTCTTCAAAGGTCTGGAGCTGGCCATCACGCTCAATGGTAGCGCGAATCTGCTCAGAGCCAGGAGTAACGGTGAAGACGGCCTTTGACTTGAGGCCATGGTCGAGGGCGTCACGAGCAATGGAGGCGGCGCGGGACATGTCCTCGTATGAGGAGTTGGTGCAAGAGCCAATCAAACCGACCTTGAGCTCCTCAGGCCAGTTGTTGTCCTTAACGGCCTGGCTGAACTTGGAGATGGGAGTGGCCAAATCGGGAGTGAAGGGGCCGTTGATGTGGGGCTCAAGCTCAGACAGGTTGATCTCGATAAGCTGGTCATACTCGGCACCCTTGTCCTCGCGAAGCTCAGCAGCGTAAGCACGAGCAAAATCTCCGATATCCTTGCGCTTGGTTGCGGCAAGGTAGTCATACATGCGGTCGTTGAATGGGAAAAGAGAAGTAGTGGCGCCAATCTCAGCACCCATGTTGCAAATGGTACCCATACCAGTGGCAGAGATGCCCTCGACACCAGGACCGTGATACTCAACAATGGAGCCGGTACCACCCTTGACAGTCAGGATATCAGCGACCTTGAGAATGATGTCTAAAAGTTGCAACGTCAGTATGGTTTATATATATATATATATAAAGAAAGAAAGAAAGAAAAGCTCCGGGATATATCGACTTACCCTTGGGTGCAGTCCAGCCGGACAGCTGACCAGTCAGCTTAACACCGAGGATCTTAGGGGCCTTCAGCTCCCAGGGCAGGTTGGCCATGACATCGACAGCGTCAGCACCACCAACACCAATGGCGGCCATACCAAGACCACCACCGTTGGGGGTGTGAGAGTCAGTACCAATGAGGAGACCACCGGGGAAAGCGTAGTTCTCAAGGAGAATCTGGTGGATGATACCAGAGCCAGGGCGCCAGAAACCAATGTTGTACTTGGCACAAGCAGAAGACAAGAAATCGTAAACCTCCTTGTTGATACCAATAGCGCGCTCAAGATCCTTGGCGCCGCCGACTTGGGCCTCAATCAGATGGTCGCAGTGGACAGTGGTAGGGTTCGCAACAGAGTCCATGCCAGCGGACATGAACTGCAGAATGGCCATCTGAGCAGTGGCATCCTGGCAAGCCACACGATCAGGGCGCAGCTTGAGGTAAGACTTGCCTCGCTCGAGCTCCTGGTTGTGAGGATCGTCCAAATGAGAGTACAGGATCTTCTCAGCAAAGGTCAAGGGTCGGTTGAGCCGGCTACGGACAATGGAGAGGTTCTCGGACATCTTCTTGTAGTTGATGAAGTTGTTCTCCTCCCAGTTGTTCTGGCGGACCTGTACGTGGAAACGGCGTCAGCACGAAACCCCCAAGCAGACAGAAAAATCGACGAGCTATAGCAGAAGGGCCTACCTTTCGGTCGAGGGCAGAATCAGAGACGGTAGCCAGACGGCGAACGCTGCTGGCCGCGCCACCGACGGCGCGGCTCCGAGCAATACTGCCCAGAACCTGTCTGGAAGCAAGCATGGTGGCCAATTGAGCGAGGGTCTACAGACTGCAGTCAATTGGAGAAATCAGTCAACATCAGAAGCAGAAAAAGGCCTTGGAGGGGGGGGGTTGTTATAAAGAGACCAGAGTGGAGAGTTGGTTTTGTCCAGGTGGGGGAGAGGTGTTTTTCGGCTGCTTCTGGGACCAGTCGTTATCCTCAGAGAGGAAAAAGATGGAGCCCCGCGGCCGGGATAGCAGGACATGACAGAATGTGCGGCTTAGAGCTGGCATGGCCCTAGGCCAGCTGGCCACTCAGAGGCCGTGTAAACATAATCCCTTGGCCCGCGTCGTCGCTTGTGCCGAGCTAAACCTCCCCTCCTCCAGCCGAGAGCTGTGGTTGTAATTTTTTTTTCTCTCCCTCTCATTTAGCCTCCTGCTCCGTACGGGCTGCCCCGTATTTACCTGGGCGCTTTGGCGTTACAGCGTGGCAGGGCGAACCTTGCTGATCTCTGGGTATGAAGCAATAAATACGGAGTGCGGAGAAGTGCTACAAGCACGAGTACATACATTGGTACTAGGTAGATACGTATGTATGTCCATCGTAGTGCAAAAGGTAGCAGCTGGATAGGTACCATGATCAATATGTTTTGCGTAGAGCCTCGTGCAATTCAATTCTCGTCATCCATCGTAAAGCCGCGCATTTTCAGTGTGCCCTCCATGCTGAAGCGCTAATTTGCAAGTGTGCAAGCACATCATTACAACATGCATCAGATGCTACCTCCCCCGGCCTGCTGAATATGCGCGATGTGCTAAGCATGTGACGTCGTAGAACACACTCGTGCTGGCGCATTTAGTGGCGGCCATCGAGAACCATCGAGTGGCCAGAAATCGGCGGTCCCCTGAATCGTCTCTTCAGGATTCATTACAACAAGGCAAGGCTACAACGCCACCTGCCGTGCAGCGAAGTTGCTCCGTCTTCGCTGGTAGAATGCCACGGCGTAAAGAAGTAGCCGTGTCCTGGGCCTCGGCACGAAGCAGCCGAATCATCGGTCGCCGTTCCAGGAGCTCGCTTTTGCGAAGTTCTCGGTAATACCACTCGGAGCCCGAAGTGGCGTTAGACGGAGCTCCGTTCCTAGTGCCGCAACGGAGAAGCTGGAGCTACGACAAAGAGTTACAGGCAATGGTCCGTGCCTTCAATAATTTAAATCAAAGGCAAAGTAGTGTACGGAGTAATAATCGTAGAGCAAAATCACTTTAGCGCCATCGCAAATTCTCATATGCCTGCTTGTAGCACGGGTGGTATTTGATGAAATCGAAATCTAGCTGAATCTAGTCTAATGCGATATATATTGAAATACAGCCGAAACCTCACTCCCGGCGTACTCTTGCCGGAGCAACAAATCTTGAATAGGCTGTAGCCCAGAGTTGACAAAGTGATTCCAAGTGCTTGTATCGCCATACAGCATTGCTGGAGCCTTGATGAGTTGTCGGCCATCAGGTTTACATCTTTTGCATCTAAACGTATCATGAGTATCGCTAGTGGTATCAGGACGATATTGAAAGAGTTCTCTCAGGCTATCGAGGGAGAAATGACGCTCTACATCTTCAGCAGAGTCTACCACACATGACGATAAACTTTGCTTGTGAGACTGCCTTTGGAAGATTTTTTCCTCGATGGTGCCAGTGGCAATGAAGCGATAAACGAAGCAATCCTTCGTCTGGCCGTCGCGCCAGACTCGCGCTAGGGCTTGCTGGTCAGCAGCAGGATTCCAATCCGGATCGAAAAGGACAAGACGGTTTGCCCCAATGAGGTTGATGCCACAGCCTCCTGCCTTGCTGCTCAATAAAAAGATGAATTCATCTCCGTTTGGATCGTTAAAACGATCAACCAGTTTTTGACGCTTGTTCACAGTCATAGTTCCGTCAAGTCGTAGGCTTCCATATTGGCGTTCTCTGCAAAGACGTTCAAAGAGGTCCAGCGTTGATGTGTAGTTGCTGATGAGGACAATCTTGTCATTTGTATCTTCCCGAATCTTGGCAAGCATACGATCGAGAACCTGCATCTTCCCTGAATACCAAGGCTTGATATCCCGATCTCTCCCACGAGCTTCCTTGGGAACATAGTCCTCTGGGAAGCACTTTTCTGAGCCAGGTAGGTCATCCGAAAGATTCAGGAGGTCGGGGTGGTTGCAAAGCTTTTTGAGAATATTGATAGCTTTCAGAGGCTGGCTACCCTTGCCTCGGAGAAGAGCTTGAATATTTGGGCTGGTGATAAAATAATTGTAGAGGTCGATCTGGAATGGGGCCAAGTTACAAAAGACCACGTGCTCATATTTAACCGGAAGGTATTTGGAGAGGAGGTCGTTTGTTCGTCGAATTAAAAACCTGTTAACAATACCAAGCAGTTCTCCAGTGCATTCGTCTCCGCGCTGGCGTTCGTGCTCCGAGGCGTTTGCATCCCGCCCACGCAAAATAGGTATTTCGAAACGCTTTCGGAACTCCAGTCGAGATCCAAGTAGATCTGGATTGGCAAAATTGGTCAAAGCAAAATATTCCGTAAGGTCGTTTTGAATAGGTGTACCGGTCAGAATGACCCGTCTGGTAACATTCAGATCGTTAAGAGCGCTGAATGTAGTGCTGTCTGCATTTTTCAAACGATGGCCTTCATCACAAAACAGGAGGCCGACCTTGGTGTGTTTAAGCTCCTCAACATTAACGCGCAGAGTCTCGTACGAGACAATGATGACTGGCCGAGTGATGGATCGGCCAGAGGCAATTGCCCATTGACGAAGTTGTCGTTTCATCTCTTCTTTTGGTGCCTTGCCATCGATGGCAAATGGGTTGATAGCATTAGGACCAAGCCATTTTGTCAGCTCGTTTGCCCAGTTTTTTACCAGACTCGCAGGGCACACCACGATGGCCTTTTGAATTGTCGATTTTCCAGCATTGGGAGATTGTTTCAATAGCGTCCACATGAGAGTAATGCACTGAAGCGTTTTCCCCAGTCCCATCTCGTCAGCCATGATGCATCCGTGAGCTTTCTCGTCGACTTGACCTGTGACACATTTATACATGAATTTGACACCTTCAATCTGGTGAGGGCGGAGACATTTGGCAATCTTGGGATCAATGACAACCGGCACTTTGGGGTGATCTTCTTCCACCTGCTTCTTGATCCCGAGGATCTCAGCAAGACTTTTATGCACAATCGGGCTGTCAATTTTTGAGGGCTCCACCTCTTTCTGCACCACGTTTTCTTGAATTGCATCAGGCTTCGCATCGACTGTCGGATCATAAAGAACAATGGCAAATTCACCGGATGGGTCATGTAAAGGCTTGGGGACAAACACAACCCCACGTCGAAGTCCAAGAGTTGGTGGGGGCCTTGATGCATCGAATGAGACCTGAGACTTATCCTTTAGGGGAATGGAGAACGCTTTTCGAAAAACGACATTCTTATCCTTGACTTGGAAGACTGGGAACTTGGGCGATGCCGTTAATTGGCGGCCAGCAGCATCATATGCTGTATCGATGCTCGTCGGTCCGCTTTCATCGGCCCCTCGATAATCAACTTTTCTTTTCTTTCTGGCTGGGCGATCCGACGTGGATACTGCAGTAGCAGCTGAAGGACATTTGAAGGGCTTGCGGAGCGCGTCAAGATTCTGAGGCCTGGGAACTTGGTGATTCAACCTGCCGGGGGGTTTATCCTTCAGCGCTGAGATTGAGGGCGCACTAGATTTGTCAATAAAGATAGTACATCCAGATAGCTGAAGCTTAAAATCACATACGCAGCTGTCATGGTGAATGAGAACAATCTTCACAAGCCTTGGGATTAACAACAAAACAAAACGCTGGCGCTTGACAAGCAAATTCATACAGAGGTTCATGAAGGAGATGAATAAGATAACGCGTTTGCTCAGACTCAGTCGCGCGTGGCTGCAGTACACGAGATCTTGACGCGATCTCACGTGACTAATAAAAACATTCCAGGCACCTGCTTAGATAAGGCATGTTGTGCATTTACAGGGAGTAAGCTTTCTCGACAATGTGATGCAAGGGGGCATTCCCTGATACATTCAATTTATTTGCCATTAGTGCTGCTTAGTAGTATTTTGATTTGTGGCGTGAATTTTCTCTGAAAGAAAAAAAGAAAAGAAAAGAAAAGAACAAGAAAAAGAAGCATTGAGAATGCTGCGCCGAGGCTTTCTCAATGATATCGCAGGCGGACTCGCGACTGCCAAATGCTAATGTAATAACTGAAAGATGAATGCTGATTTATGCTCGTTATAATTAAGCCTCTGTAAGCAATTTCATTTGATCTTTATTGCCTATCTTTACTTCGTTCATGATCCACTCGTATACAGCCCATTGAATGGCATTCACCACAAAGGCTCTGACGCTGCAGATTGATAGGCCCCGGAAAAAGGGACGAATCCCCCCCTCTCTGTAAGCATCTTTTGTCACCTGCCATGCTCCATACCGCCTGTTACTTGTGCTGCCGTACATCAGAAACGGCATCTCATTCGTCGTGGGCCTGTGGGAATATTGCTGCGTCTGGAGGCGCGATTTGATGACGTCGAGAGGAAACACACTGGCCCAAGTCGCAATTCCTGCAATTCCACCACACACCAACACCTTTGATGTATCTCGTCGCCCTGAAGCAGCGTCTTCCTGCCCTCGGGCAGCGGGCCAGTGGCGATGAGCCAATTCGTATGTCCAGAAGTAAAAGCCATAGCCGATGCTATCCCGAAGCGCTGTGACAACCCCGCCATAATAGAGGCCCTTTACACCCTCTCTCTTCCATATCTGCTTCAAAATCGCCCAGCTCGATGTAGCTGGCGTGGACATTTGTGCTCGGCATTTGATTAACTCGGTCGGAGCGCTGACTATCCAAACTCCCAGGCCGCTCACTGCTCCGGCTGTCCAGGTAACCCATCCGGCGTCCGGGGTTGATGCCACCTGTTTCAGAATTGCTTCCGACCGATTGTATGAATAGAACAGAAGCGCATTTAGAGCCCCGTACCCGAAGATGGGAGCGGCGGTGCCTTTCATAAAGGCTACCGAGCTCTGGTTATATAGTTTCTGGGCAACATTGCTTCTCGTTTGTTGGTGTACTTTTTCTATATCGAGAGGGTTGCCTACTATAATGCCGACTATTCCGCTGAGATAGCCGGCCCAGAAATCAGCCGACATGGTGAAAATCAAGCCAGCCTTGGAGTTGAAGGTTGTTGGCAGACGCTAAGTGGTAAGTTTGATGAAATGGGCGGCATATTACCTGGTAGTAGAAACTATCACATGCAAACTTAGGTTTTGCACTAAGTCTATTCTTATGGATCTCTATTATTCACCGAGAAGCTGTTGGTCTATCATGCATGCGGTAATACTCATGTCGACACAAGTTTGCGTCTGCTACCTCAACAGCCTCAATTCTCGATATGTGTAAAGCATTATGTGTATATACCTATTGATATGCCAACGTTAAGTAGATGGCAGTTTATATTACACTCTTAACATCTTGCAGCTGCCACCCGTCTTTGGTTTGCCTAACCCTTCTCTCCTGCTCTAATTTGGCAAGCATCTGTAAAACCCCACCGCAAGCTGCCATATGTAAATCCTCGCGTACACCTTTATATACCGTTTTAACTATGTCCATTGCCGTCCAGCTTCTGCTATTGTCCGAGTTGCTGGCTCTCATTGCTTGCAAGACCTCTTCCTCTCGCTGACGGCGGTGTTCGATATACTCGCTGATTTTCCCCGGTCCATCTTCAACCACAGGTCCATGGCCCGGATAAGCCCGTCCGGAGAAGAGCGTCTTCATTCTGTTCAGGCTCTGGAGATACGTCGCCAGGTCCTCAAACACAGCTGTGCCATGCCCAAGCACATTATCGCCCGCAAACAATGCATCTTCTTCGGCAAGCACGAACACTATGTGATCTTTTGTATGGCCAGGAGTGTGGCAGGCTGTTAAAGTTGCATCTTCGACTTGAAAACTGTCGCCATCCTGAATCGGCAGCTGTCCATCATCTGGGCTGTTTTTGAAAACCTTTACTTGGGGGAAAGCATTGACAAGATCCGCAATGCCGCCGGTGTGGTCATGATGCCAATGTGATATTACGGCCAACTTCACCGTCGCATTTTCCTGAGCAAGCGTCTCCTTGAGTGCTTGTATCCAAACTGGACGCCCTTCCCCTGTATCAATTAAAATACGAAAATGGCCAGTACCAAGCAAGTAGGTGTTAGTGCCTTGCAGCGTAAATTTGCCCGGGTTGCCACCCAGGATGCGGATGCAGCGCGGGCTCAGGCGCTGAACCATGGGAAGGTTTACGAGAGCGGCTGCCATGGTTTTGGTTTTCTTTTCTGTCGGTCACTTTTAAGCGGTAAGGGTAAGAACGATGTATTATAACATGATGGCAATACGATGAGGGCTGTGATCGTTAGTTCACTTGTATGCTCTCCGAGGTTGGGGTATGTCACATCACTTGAGCCGAGGTTGTGGATTAACCAGGTACAGTACCTCCAAGGCAGGGAGATACCTTTACTCAGGTGCCGTCTAAAGTGCATCTACATAATACAATGAACAATCAGGCCATCACAATTTTCAAGTAATAATAATCATTCTGTTTCTCACTCTTGTTCTCGCCAAAATGGAGGATATATTGCGATATCCTGTTCTAGGTACTAATCAATCATGCTGTTCTTTGAAAACTAGGTTGGTACCTACCGCATTGCTGTACTTGGGCACACAGTATCTTAGACTTAGTAGCACCTTAGTACGGAGCACCTACTGACCTACCTAGTAGTTACTAAGCACGCAGTGTTACCTCCTGTTCTTGCTAAAGCTGTATCGATAAGCACCTACCTTGCTCGCTCCGTCATAGACAAGATCTTACCTAGCAAGGCTGCCAATCTGTGCACTAGGCAGCTAGCTGCCACGTTATTCGCCAGAAGGACCCATGAAGTAAGGCTGCATGTACGCTATCACCACCACCTTGAACCACCTTGGACCACCGTTTGAACAACTCCAGATCTGAAGGAGTTGCACCTCGACAATTCATCTTGAACGGTAACATTACGTCACCGCAATACACGTTCTACCGCTTGTCAATCACTCCACCAAGGCCGACAATCCAAGCTCTAGGCTGTGGATGACCAACGTTGGTCGCTATCTCTGCAATATGAACACCGACAGCATCCCCGATTTCCTTGCGGAGCAACGAGACGCAGCTCCGGAAAAGCTCCAGCCGCTCATACTCAACTTCGAGGATTACTGGGAGCGCAAGTTATGGCATCAACTCACAGACGCCCTTGTCGAATTCTTCAATGATGACGACAGCGCCGCCCAGCGCTTGGCCTTCTACAATGTCTTCATCCTCAAATTTGCCGATAAAATCAACAAGTTGAAGTTGGTGATGCTGGCCCTCAAAGCCGCCACACAGTGCAAAGGTTTGTTCCCGGCTTCCACCAAATCCAAGCTGCCCGCCAGCCCTACTGACAATATATGGAAGATGACCACGACCGTTTGGCTTTTCTGCAGTCAGTAGTCAAGAAAGTTGACACCGAGGATTCTCAAGATGCACTTGTGTTTGCTTCTGTTGCAGTGGCCAGAGTGAAACTAAGCCTTGGCGAGCTGGAGAATGCAAAGCAAGACCTGGACGCGGCAGAGAAAATACTAGATTCATTCGACTCTGTTGAGGCGGTTGTCCACGCGGCGTTTTACGATGCCAGTGCTAATTACTATCAGGTAAGCCTTCTTGTTACGGTATCGAACATTGCCACTAATCCTGCTGTTTGTTAGCGTAAGATGGACTTCGCAAACTACTACCGAACCGCCCTCCTCTATCTTGCCTGTATCGACCTGTCATCACTCTCCGACGATGAACGACATCGAAGAGCCTACTACCTAAGCGTCGCTGCTCTCGTATCTACCAGCATTTATAATTTTGGCGAGCTACTGCTCCACCCTATTCTGGACACTTTGGGTCGGAGTGAGGATGATGCTTGGTTGCGTGACCTCCTGTTCGCCTACAACCGGGGAGATCTTGCTGCCTACGACCTTCTTTCAGATAACATTGCGTCTAACAAGCTATTAAACGACAACTCGGATAGCCTCCGACAGAAGATATACTTGGCAGCTTTGACGGAAGCTGTATTCCGCAGACCACCGCATGACAGGACCATGACCTTTGCCACTATTTCTCAGGAGACCAAGGTTCAGCCCCAAGAAATCGAGCATTTGGTGATGAAGGCTTTGAGCCTGGGTCTCCTACGCGGAACGATTGACCAAGTAGGCCAGATTGCGCACATCACTTGGGTGCAGCCGAAGGTGCTCGATATGAAACAGATTGAGAGTATGCGTCATCGGCTCCTCGAGTGGGATTCAAACGTCAATCAGCTAGGGAACTGGATTGAAGCGGCCGGCCATGATGTTTGGGCAGCATAAGCATCACCTCGATGAGATGCCAGTCAGTGGAGTTTGCAAATGCTTTTAGAGAGGCCGTATAGTATACCACAAATACGCACTGCAATTCCATTGAGCTCTTGAGTAATATGCAGCCCTTCTGCATGTCAGGATTATTAGTGATGTATATTAAACGCAATCTAACAAGCCAGAGAGATCCACCCCTTGTTACGGCATGAGGTCTATTCTATATTTCCGAAGGTCATAGCCAGAATCATCACAGAAAAGGTCGGCATCCTTCATATCTTAGAAATAGGACTAAGAGTGTTTGTCATGCCGATGAGCCACGCAGGCCACCACACGCACCATACAATGATTGGTGTGTACATCCCCCACACATTCCAGCCTAAACTCGCTGCTTTCAGCACTTCGGACATGGCAACGCCGCTGGTCCATGCTGCGGATGAAATAATAACAGGTGGTGAAGTTAATATCAGCAGGATTGCAAGGAACGCCTTTGTGACCAGGTTTTTGGTTGGTTGAATGAAAGTAAGAGGGCTTGCCAGAAGCCCAACCAGGAAAGCGAGTGAGAAGTTGAGCGTACTGAGCGTGGCGAGGGATACACCGAGGATCAGCAGCGAGAAGGACTTTGTAAGTTGAAAGAACTGCGAAGTAGGTTTGTGAAGCGAGGCAATAAGGAAAGAGAAGGCAGCTGGAAGAACAGTGGATGAGACGGAAAACAACAAAAAGGCCAATGGCAGCGTCTAGTTTATAACAGGAGTAGGTCAGCACTCAGAATCCAGGGGTCGCCAAAGGCTTGGGTTTTTGCTTCGGCTTACCTTAATGCCAAGGTGGTTGAAAATGAATAGAGGAATTGCAGAAATGGAATGGCATGTCGCAACGAGAGCAAGTGGAGAGAGAAGGTTCCGCTCTACTGTCGTAGGAGATGAAGGCGCCGTTGTCGTAGCTCCCTTGCCTTCCAAAACGCCATCTTTTGGCTTGTCGGCAGTTCCTTTCTTTGCCATAGGTTGCCCGCTTTTCACCCAAAGGAAGATGGCCATGATTGTGAAATTGGCAGCAAGTAGCATGGCGCTAGGAAGATATGTGCCAATACTAACAAAACGATTCTTTTGCATGAGGAGGTAGAAAAAGAAGCTCTGGTGCAAATGCTCCAGGAGATTGTTGAGACTTCTGAAAGATCCCTCCACAACTCTGCCCATTGCCATCTCATCGTGCCATCCTTCGCCGGTAGGCTGTAAAGTTATGGCGTCCACATGATAGGGGATGAAACTGCTGTGAGGGCCTGTTGGATATCCAAGGCCTTGATAAAGCATACCTCGAAGCATCGTTTGAAGTCGATCCTGATAGCTGTCGGTATGGCCAGCCATTTGCTGAACGGTAGTCTCGATACCCATTTGGCCTCCTGCAATGTTTACAATCGAATTGATGAGGTCAAGGTTGGGCAATTGACCATTTGTGCCATCGTAAATGATGTGGAGTTCATGATACCGGTGCTCAAAGGGGTAGTCAATCGCAAGGGCTCCCTGCAGCGCACCAGACTTGAGCGGCAATGGCGCGATATGCTTAGAATCATGAGCATCGTGGTAGGCATCAACCCAAGCTTGCGTACCCGTTGTGCTATCTGGAGGTAGAAGGAGAATGATATCCTTGGACCACAAAGACCAACCTAGGAATTGTCAGCTAAATCAAGCAAATTAGATGCACAAGCTCTGGTTTCATTTGCGACTGACGTTTGAAATAGCGAGCTAACGTGAGGACGAGCGCAACGCCATTACGATTCAGTTGCTCATCTATACTCTTCCATGCAGCCACCAGTACAATGGCCTCGGTTGCGTCCCCCCGTGGAGCTTGCAAGATACCATACACGTTCTCCCCACTGTATATCTCCCCTGCCGAGTGATAGGTATAATTCTGTCGACCAACTTTAACTCCAAACCCGGTCAGGATGGATTCAAGCTTGTCATTGACTCTAGCTTCCGCGTTAGCCTTCTGTGTGCCGCAGAGGTTTGTTCAAACAGCTGGGGAGGGCCACAGACTCGTAGTTGTTCTTGCTAGCAAGCAAATCTACCTCATGCCGGAATCCTCTGAAAATGGATTGTTCGCTGCCCCCGAAGTACGTATGCACTTGGCCAGGTAGGAGAGCATTCTCTGATACGTAGGTCCGTCTCGAATAATCGTCCAGGGGCAGTAGAAGGAGCCAGACAACGCCAATGGCAATGCAAAAGGCAGATACGTATGGAGGGATTTTGAGCAGTCGAGGGTCGCGACGCAATGACAGCGCTGTAGCTGTAGAGGAAGGGAAGTTAGCGCATCAGCTACGTTGCAAATGTAAGAAGCACATACAGAGCAGTCGCGGCATCTCAGCTGCTAATCGCGACAAAAAACATAAATTTACCACTAATTGCTCGATCTGAGCTAGATAGGCGACTGCGAACTGCAAAATCCAGAGAAAGCAGATGTCATGAGGGATAGGCAAGGTCAGTTATAGCCTGGCCAAGTAGCATGTACTAAAGCATAGGTATCTCCAGGGTCCTAGCTGAAGACATTCCCGAGGTGGACCATCGTTTTAGATTGATTATATAACCCTCCAAAGGCAAATGTATCAGTTCGCAGCCAAATTATCATTCAAAAGAGACAGCATTTTATAACAATTTATAATTACAGATCTAACTAATATTTAATACTACATCTCGAGAAAAGAATTATTAGCATTATTATGTAATTAAAATTATAATTGTTCAGGAAGGGTCTCTATAATATCACTTCCATCCCTGGGAAAATAAAAACGGGAGTCGAAGAGGAGGATAGGGGAGATTCATAAGCTAGATCGCCTTGTTCGTTGCTTTTCGGGTCATTATCTTCGTAATAGCGTGTCGAATTGTGATTCCTGCCTTTTCGATGTCCTTCTTAGATAGCGCCGAGGTGACGCACACTTTAAGGCTTGGCTGGAGTGTCCAATCTCCATCCTTTGCCCCCATAGCATTCGCATAGGGCCTGGTCTTCAGTCGTGTAATCATAACACCATTGGCTAGAGTCTGTTGATTGTTAGCCATCGTTACCATGCAACAAGGGAACAGTTGTGTTGAATCCATAGTACCTCTTCGACGCACTCCATCAAGATTTTCTCTTGATCATCCAGAGTCAGTCTCCTTGCCTTGATAACTTCGGATTTGAGCACCAGGAGCAAGATTGGATTGTCCAGCGAGCTGGTGCACACAACCCAATCGCTACGCGGGTCAAGCTGCGCTCTCAAAGCTCGGATATTCTCTCTGCATTGAGTAAGCACGTCGGGATTTGACTGCAGTAGTTTCACCGATTCGCTCGCTGTCATAGCCAACATGGCTGGTAAGGCAGCAGAGTAGGTATAAGCGGAGGAAGTAATGCGCTGATGCACAATGACATCTTTAGATCCCGCGCAAAATCCACCTCCAGCACACAAGGGGCCAGAGAGTGATCCAATAATCATGTCCACCTGTTGCGGATCAACGTTTTGTGCTTCGGTAAGACCACGACCAGTCCGCCCCAATACTCCGAATGACCAAGTTTCATCCAGGATAATTCGGAACTTGTATTTTTCTTTCAGCTCAACCAATCGTGGTAGGTCTGTGACATCACCGGTTGTCTCGAATAAACCCTCTGTAACGACGAATCGACGAGTCAGTTTGCCTGACTTTGCCTGCTCATTTACAACCGATTTCATCACTTTCTCTAAATCATTCATATCTCCGTGTTTGAACCATCTGATGTTGCTCCTTGAAATCTGTAGGCCTTTGCGGATGGAGTAATTGGCAGCAGCATCGGCAATGATCACATCTCCGCGCTTGCAAAAGGCCGGAATGACGCTTGATACCGTTGAGAATGTTTGCGCATAAACAATACAGGCTTCCGTGCCGAGAAATGAAGAAATATCCGACTCGGCTTTTTCGTGAACATCTTGAGTGCCGTAAAATTGAGGGGGTCCACAGGGGCCAACGCCGTAAGTGCGCAGGGTTTGGATTGCTTTTTCCTTGATTTGTTCGTTGGCGTTAAAGTTGTAGAAGTTGTAGGATGCCAGATTAATAGCAGTACGTCCATTGGATAATTTGACTTTGGGGCCTGTCGGTCTGAATCGCGGATCAATATAACGCAGCGCAATTATTAGACGGTATTAACATACCCTACAATAACTGGCAACTTTTCATTCTCGATCTCTTCCATGAGAGTTTGGTCTGCTACAAGCGGTTCGGGAGTCCACTCATCAATCAATTCCTCGATTTCCTAAAGTCACGGACAGTCAGCAATAGTGCATTGTTGGTAGGTTAGCGGAGACTTACGCCTTCTCGCAGCTTCACAAAATTCTGCTTGTGAGTAGAATATGAAGGAGACATCAGATACCGTATGAAAAACAAAACCAGGATCAATTCAATGGCAGATCGAACAGGGTCATTTTGGTAACTGGACTGGATGTATCGTGCCAGCATAGCCGAGCCGGGAAGTTTCTGGAAATTAGACGATACCACATGGGCAATTTCGCCAAAGCGAACCTGGAGAGTGTCGAACTCCATTGTGATTAGCCCGCCGTTCGTGGACAGTCGATCTGTTGACTCTTGGGAACTGCCGGAGAGATGTAAATGGAGTGAAAGCCGAGCTTAGACAACAAAGGATAAATAGTTTACACGTGTTGCTTAGTCATGCAAATTATAGTATTTTAGATACAATAGACCATAGCTGGCGCATATTAGTATTATGTAATGTTAACACATTATACTTTGTATATTATACATTAATTGTATCTCTTGCTGCTAAATTACTACTAAATATGAAATTATTCAATATATTTTTGTATGCCTATATATAGATACCTGCATCCTAAATCAACCTAAATATAGATTTCGAAGCACTGCCACTCTTCAGTAACTTTCTCTAGTGAACCCCTAAGGTAGGCAGCTCTTCTAGTGTGTGTTCTTCTTCACAACCTTATTTCACTTCTCTAATGTAGAATGGCCCTTTTTAGAAAGCTGTCGCGGCCACTCTTACTTCCACCTACATTGCATAGCCGACTGCTACAGAATATCATTTTAATTGCTTCTTGCCTTATCTTGTTATTGTTCTTCCTGTACAATCTCAGAGAACCAGAGCCTACCCAATTGCTACCGTATCAAATTTATCCACAGGCCAATGACTCTATACACCATACGGTGACGGAGTTTCTTCCGATTTCTGTACAACCTGGAACAGATACGACTCGGGAACTTTGCGATTCGTTCCCTAAACATGTCTTGACACGAATACAGCCAATTCTTAAGACCGGCCATGGCGATAACAAGGAAAAGCTGAACGCGCAGATGGATAGCACTAGTGCCTGCTTTACGCCAGATGAATTGATCATCTTTTCTGACCTCGATGAAAAAATCCGGAATCATCATGCTATCGACATTCTGGCCCATCTACCCAGCTCTCATTATAATGCCACGACCTTCAAGATGTGGGAGGAATATCTTGCCCAAAAAGAAATGCAAGCGAATGGTATATTAGACACTGAAGCACAAGTAAAACACATAAATGGATGGGCACTGGACAAGTTTAAATTTTTACCGATGATGGAGAGAGCTTGGGCCATGAAACCCAATAAAGACTTCTACGTCTTTTACGAAACAGACACGTAAGTGGACTCGCCCATTGATTGGCCTGCTGTAGCATTGACGTTGTCTCTCCTAGTTATATATTCTGGGACAACCTCTTCCGATTTCTTCAAACGTATAACCCAGATGCAAACATTTACATTGGGTCACCATCTCCTGGACGTCGTGATCCAAAACGGGGAGACCAAGGCACCCTCTTTGCCAACGGGGGCCCTGGATATGTGATCAGTCGAGGTGCTATGAAAACCTTGTTACAGCGTGCCACTGGTCCATATGGGCAGTATACCGACGATCCGCTCTCCGTAAAATTTAGCTATCTAAATCATGATGATGAATGCTGCGGTGATAGCGTTCTAGGATGGGTGTTATGGGAGCTTGGTATTCCTATGCATGGACACTGGCCTATGTTCAGTGATTATGGCCTTCATGATATTCCTTTCAATGATCAGCATTGGTGCCAACCGCTCATCACTTTACACAAAACATCCCCAAAAGATATGGTTGATTTGTTCAGCTGGGAGTTCAGCCAACGAAAATCCCAGGTCAGTAACTTCCCATGCACAATTCACACACCAAAATGCTCCTTCTCCTGGCGAATTTGAGCAAGTGGGTAAACTTGATCTGGTTCAGAGCTGACACGCCAATAGCGCCCATTACTATACTCGGATGTATGGGAATTTCACAAGCCTGGCACAGTGCCAGCGCGCGAGAACTGGGATGGCGGCCGCTTTGATGCGTTTGAACCACCGCCTGAGGCTGTGATTGAATCATCCAAGCAGTGTAGCCACGCTTGCGGTGAGGACCCAGGTTGCCTACAATGGAAATGGGAGGGAAGAGACAGGGGAAAATGTATTCTTCTAGGATCATTACAACACGGAAGAGCACGAAAGGCAGAAAAGGAAGGTAATGATAAAGAAACATGGGTCGATTATACATCAGGCTGGGTAGAGGAGCATATAAAGGATTGGAGGAAAAAGCAACAGTGTGATGTTGTAAAATGGGTAGGGGCAAGTGTGGAAAGGAAATTTTAGAATTATAAATATTATAGGAGTAAAATTATAAAAATAATATTAAATATATAAGAATAAAGTTAAATAAAAAAAGTTATTAATATATTTATATAAAATTATATATTTTTAATATAATAAATATATAAAAATTTAAAATTAACTTAAATTTAAAAATAATTTAATATTATAATAATAAATTATAAATTAAAAAATTTAATTATTTTATTTATAATTTAAAATATTTTATATTATTTTATTATATTTATTATATATTTTATTATATTTATAAATAAATATTAATAAATAATTATATTTAATTTTAATTTTTTTATAATTTTATAAAAATTTTTAATTATTATAATAGTATTATAAAATTAAAAATATTATAATTTTTAATTTATATTTTTATAATATAAATAATATATTTCTTTTAAATATAAAAAATAAATTATTTAAAAAATTTAAATTTAAAATTATTATTATTAATTTTTTAATTATTAACTATTAATTAACTTAATAAATTTATATTTTTTTATAAATAATTTAAATTACTTTTTTTTAATATATATATTTTTTTTACTATATTAATTATATTTTTATTATAAGTTTTTATTATAATAATTATTATTTTTATTATATTTATAAATAGTTTTTTATTACTTTTAGTTATTTTAGTTATTTATATATTAAATATTTAGTTAATTATTAAATTATTTTTAATTATTATAAAGATTTTTTATTTTTATATTATATTTTATTAAGTTTTTTATAGTTTTTTTACTTTAATTAAAGTATTAAATGATAATTTAAAGTTTTATATAATATTTAAATTTTATTATTAAAGTATATATATATATATATATATTAAGTTTAGTTTTAAACTTTAATAAATAAATATATTTTTTATATTTTTATTTATAATATAAAAGTTAAATTTAATATTAAAATAAGAGGTTTAATACTGTAACAGTTAGTTTAATAAAAGGCTATACCCTAGCCTTTAGTTTAAAATCTAGAATTAATCTATAGCTTAATTTAATTGGTAACAGCTGATTAAACTAAACCTCGGAGATTTAGGCTATATTACTGAAAGAAATACAGAAAGTATAACTGCGTATTAAGGTTTAAGACTAAACTTAAAATGCATAAAAAGGTCTAAATAATAAAGTTTAAATATAACGCAAAAACTTTAAATTATAGTTTAATAACTTAATTAAAGCAGAAAGGATTATTCATTAAATAATAAAAGGTAGTAATAATCTTTAAAAATAAATTACGTATTTTAAAAAACTTAATAAAATAATATAATATAAAAGTAAAAAATCCTTACAGTAATTAAAAATAACTTAACGGCTGACTAAAAATCTAATGCATAAATAGCTAAAATAGCTAAAAGTAATAAAAAACTATCTATAATTATAGTAAAGATAATAGCTGCTGTAATAAAAACTTACAATAAGGACGTAATTAATACAGTAGAGAAAGTATACTAAAGCCTTAAGAATAAATAAGGTAAAAAAGGGTAACCTAAACTATTTATAAAAGAAAAGATATAGATCCACTAGGCTAGTTAATAGCTAATAATTAAAAATTTAATAATAATTATTTTAATCTTAGTTTTTTTAGGTAGTTTATTTTTTATACTTAGGAGAATTTATTTATAATATAATATAATTTTTTTAAATATAATTTTAAATTTTAAATTAAAAACTAAAATATAGTTTTTTATTAAATTAATTATAATAATATTAACTTTTTTATTTAAATATTAAATTTAATTTTTATTTAAATTTTATAAATAATATATAATTATAATTTATTATTAAAGTTTTAATATATTAATTTTTTTTTAAATATTATTTTAATATTATTAAATAATATTTTTTATTTAAAAAAAATTTTTTAATTTAAAATTTAATTTTTTTTAATTTAAAATATTTTTTTAATTTATTTTTTTATTAAAATTAAATTTTTATATAATTTTAACTTTAATTTAATTTATTTATATTATAAATAAATTAATATTTTAAGAATTTTTTTATTAATTTAATAAATAAAAATTATTTATAAAATTAAAAAAAAAATTAATATAATTAATTATAGTTATTAAAACTTTTTAATAAATTAAAAGATTAAATTTTATTTATTTTATATATATTTATTTAATAAATAATTAATAATTATTAATATAATAAAAAGTATTAATTTAAATTATTTATTAATTTATAAAATAACTTTAAATTATATAAATTAAAGTTTTTTTATTATAATTATAATTAAAATAGTTTTATATAATTTTAAAAAACTTTAAGTATTTTTAATTAATTTTATAATTTAATATAATTAAATATTTAATATAACTTTTATAATATATATATATATATATAAAATTAAATATTTTTATAATTTATAAATATTTTTATATTTTATTTTATATTTTATATTTTTATAATTTTGATTATTTTTTTATAAAAAATATAAATTATTAAAATTAAAAAATTATAATATTAATTTTAATTTTTTTTTATTAATTTATAAATAATTTTTTTTTATTAATTTATAAATAATATTATTTTTTATTAATATTTATATTATATAATTAAATAAATAAATATATATTTAAAACATTTTTATTTTATTAAAATAAATAAATTGTTATTTATTTTTTTATTTTAATTTTTTATAAATATATTTTTAAATATTAATAAAAAATATATAATATATATTTTTTTAAATTATAAAAAAAAAAAATTTTTATTTATATTTAATATTTATAAATTATTTAAATATTATTAAATATAATAAAAAAAACTTTATTAAATTTAATATATTATTAATTTTTTATTATAAATATTTGTTTTATTTATTTTTAAAGCTTTAATATATTTTTTTATCCCCTTAATTATATATTTATTTTAAATTTTTATTATAATAATTA